TGGGGTAGATAGACAGACAGAGTACATACACATACACGCAAGCTGCAACAAGGGGCACATACACCACGACACGACTCGACACGGCGCACACACACACACACACGGAGACATACACACACACACACGATGTATCCGGAGATTGAGGGAAGAAGACGATACTCGGTTACCGGATGATATTTTACTGATTGGCGCAAGGCGAGGCTGCGTCTAACTCAGCACTATGCAATTACTATATCGACTTTACTCTGGTCTTCTATCTTTTTCGGAGTGCTGTCGGGCTGTATCTCTAGTTGACTTTGCGCGCGAATCGACCGGGGAGCGGAGGGATGGGTTAGGTTGGTTGGTGCCTAAGCGTATCTACGGTAGATACTCTGCCTAGTCGCAGACGTGGGTACTACTAGTAATAGATGTCTGTAAATGTATGTACGAATGGCAGCTGCGGTCCTGCGGACGCCGGAGCGATGATGATGGGCGTGGGCTTGCGAGATCGGCTGGGCTTGGGGATTCCATGTACTCACATGCAGCCACAGCTCGGTAGGCGTCCGAACGAGAGCTTGATTACCGACGTCCTGGAGGAGGAGGAAAGGGTTAGACAGGAGAAGATAGGGTGAAGAAGGGGGTTGGGCAGCAGAATACAAGGCTGAAGAATAAGAAGGGGCGCAGAAGAAGACAAGGCTGAGGAAATGGGCGACGTGCAAACAAGATGCAGCGGTGTGTTCGAGATCGCACGTCGAGATCTCTCGAGGTGGCCGATCTCGGGCTTTAGTTGTAATCTCACATTTTCCCGGCGCCACAACTCAGTTATGCACTACAGGACGACTCTGCATGATCCAACTACCTTGCCATTCCGCGCAGGGAAGACGAAGAGAAAGAACGATGATGGTCGCTTTCTGATGGTCGCTTTCTATGCGCAATCGTCTCCTTCCCGGAGTCGTCGTCTTCTGCTCAGCGTCGTCTGCTGCTCAATGCCTTCTCCGCACCTTCTATGTCTAGAGTATTCTGCCTTCCCAAGCGTGAAGCGCCCACCTGACACTCGTCCTCCTAGGAGTACGCATACGTACTCCGCCACTAACTAGCACTGGTTATCATATTCTGCGGTTCTCCGTTGCTTCTCATCCGCCGCCGCCGCCTCTACACCATACCCCTCCACCATGTGGTTGGCCGCGCTGCTGCTGCTTCGATCATCCACTACTGACTGCCACGGCCACCCACCCACCTCATCAGCAACTCCAGCCGGGTCAAAACCCACTTCGACTACCTACAATCCTCCGCCGCTTGAACCCCGATCATATTGGCCCACCCATAGTAGTAGATCGCCGGTGCATAGAGTAGGCAGTCATCCAGCATATTACATAGGATAAAACGATATATCATACATATGGAAAAGAAACCCTTCAGGGTAGTCAAGTTCGAACAATTCTCTAGGCCATCCTTCTTAACCATTCCACTGCCCTCCTCCTCCAGACACCTTCACACACCCCCTCCCTCCCCCACTACAACAACCACAAACCACAACAACAGTTCCTACGAAACCCTCGCTCCCCTTTCACACCCCCCCACCCAGCCCCCGGATAGTATTCCTTCTTTCTCTTGCTGTTCCTACATATTCAACCCCACTCCTCCCCACCCTCCAACAACGCACCTTGTCGATAGCTCCCTGCAGAAAGTAACGCTCTTCAACCACTACTGCGACTCCTTGGAAACCCACTACTCTCGACCATTTACCTTCAAGGTCCCTAGCCACCTTTTGGCTCGGCCAAACCCACCCCAGGTATGTCACCGCTTACACATCTCCACCCTCCCTCCCCCGTCCTGGTTCTCATCCAGGAAAGTACCTGGAAACTTGAAAAATAAAAAACATCACGATATTTCCATGCTTCTTCTCAACACAAATCGTGAACTTGATCCCATAGCTTCCTTGAAAGATAAACGAGATACCAAAGCTATACTGGACATTTTCTTACGCATTACAGACTTTCCACCTTTCAATCTCTCGGTACCTCTGCGTTCGCTTCGGTCCGACAACTCTTTTTCCGCTCTGTAATGACATCGTGGTTCTCGCGTGCATCCGGGAGAGATATATCCCGATCACCCACCAAAAAAATAATCACCGGCACAATGACGTCCGCAGAAGGCGTCGGGGCCGGCCAGTCCGCGTCCGAGACTAGTGGTTCTCAGCAACAGCAACAACGGCAACCATGCCCGAATGGATTCGATCCATTTCGGGATGCACGAGAGATTGTGCGTTTGGTGCAGTGCAGCATCTGTTCACTGCCCCTCCGTCATCCCATGGCGTTGCCGTGTGGAAATATCGCCTGTCGGGGCTGTCTGCCAGAAGCTTATGTCCGCCGTGGTGTGAGCTATCCGGATCTGCCGGAGAGGAAGCTGGGATTCATTTGTCCGGCTGTCGGGGATTGTCGGAAGGAACATGCGTTGGCGGATTGCGGCGTGGACGTGACGCTCGCGAAGGTTGTCGAGCATTTCAACAGTGTGCTGGCAAGTGGGAAGATGGGCTCCGACGACTCCTCCCAGGAGAAGCGGTTCGGTCGATTACGATCGCTCTATGTCTTGGCGAAGGACGGCCGATTGGCTTACGACGAGGAGATCGAGTTCGACGAGGAGAAGGAAGGTGATGGAACGGATCACCAGCTCCTCGCGGCTATCAAGGAGGCCGCTTGCTCTGAGATGGAGTGCCAAGTCTGTTACGCTCTGCTGGTGGACCCGGTTACGACGCAATGTGGCCATACGTTCTGTCGGCAATGCATACAGAAAGTCCTAGCCCATTCGCTACATTGTCCGTCTTGCCGTACGAAATTACAACTGCCGTCACATATACCGGCAAAGTCCAGCAACAAAAGACTTACCGAGATCCTTGTCGTTCTATGTCCGGGCGAGCTGGCTGATAGAGCCACCAGCAACACCACGGCTGAACCTCAAGACGAGGCGGACGACCTTACGACCCCAATATTCGTTTGCGCCAGTTCCTTCCCTTCAATGCCGACACCGTTGTTCATATTCGAGGCTCGGTATCGGTTGATGATCCAACGGGCGTGGGAAGGGGACAAACTGTTCGGAATGGTGCTTCCGAACTTCGTTAGCAACGGGGTAGGAGACGCGGAGGGGACTCCATTCATGGAGTATGGAACGATGCTCCAAATTGAATCCATCCAAGTTTATGCCGACGGTCGCAGCCATATTTGGACGGTCGGCGTATCGAAGTTCAAAATCAGGAAGTGGGGTTACCGCGATGATTACCTCATCGCCAAAGTGGAACGAGTTGACGACTTTCCTCTGGCGGACGAGGAAGCGTTCGAACAGTCGTGCCTAGGCGTGAACCTGGGACATCCGCATTCCTCTCCCCTAGCTCCTGGCCAAACCACCATGGACGCCTTCCGGATCTGCGCCGACTTCTGTGATCGCATGATATCGATAAATTCGCCGTGGGCGTCCCCGAATGTCCTGCTCACCTTCGGTCTTCGACCGGAAGACCCCACCCTGCTTCCCTACTGGGTCGCATCCATTCTCCCCATCGTCGATCAAGAAAAGTACCGCCTCATCTGCTCCCAGAGCGTCCGAGAACGGCTGTTCATCACCGTCCAATGGATCAACAACATAGAACGAATCAGGTGGTGGGTTTAACTTACCGGGACTCATTGGATACATCTGACGTCTTGAAGGGCTTCCGCGCCGAACTGCACGGTCCTCTGACTATCCGTTCTTGTCCTCCTCATCGGGTGCTTGGTTTCATGGATACTTTCGCACGTCTGATGATACGCCTACCGTTCCGGATCCGACACGATTACTGCGACACATTTCCCTTTGTTTTTTTCTTCGGTTTTCGGTTTTCTTTTTTTTCTTTTTCTTTCCTCTTACCATGACGCTTCGGCTGGGGTTCTGTGGTGGTGTTGATACGGTGACTTCATTACATACTGCGGTATACCCTTCAGCTTCTTTCATTCATTACAGGTGTTTATTCTTACCATGCTTTGCTATTCAGGGGGTTCGGTTCCATCTTCATTTTCAATTTCTTTCCGGTTTCTCACAAGATTTTACACCGTCGCGAATTTCCTTTCAAGTCATTTTGTTTTTGTTTCGAGTCCATTTTCTGTCCATTTTCAGGAAAAAGAACTGCTTGCTTGCTTGTTTGCTTTGCTTCTCGTTGGTTTCGCGCGCGCACACGGGTCGGTCGGGGATATGGCGTTATGGGGGGGAATTACCTGCATTTGAATTTTCTTTCTCTTCTTTTCTTCAAGGGATTTGTTTCTTACGTTTTTTTTCTTTCGTTTCTTTTCTTTTCTGTCCATATTTTTTTACCTTCAGTATTCTTCATATGTACCATTGGCCTTTCGTTCTTTTCTTTAGCTGTACTGTACATTAGATTTTACTTGACTGTTGAGGTCATGGGCGGATGGGGGATGGGCGGTGAATTGATGGCTTGGGGTATTCCTATCATCTTGATGGAACGATGTGATGTGAGCAGCCCAGGCCATGAAGAGAATCTCCACTCTCGAGCGCAATGAGCTCAGCGCTACAGTAGAGTGCGGGAATGGTTGTCTCGACTCTCCTCCACCCGCCGTTCTGTCCGGTCGGTCACCGACTCACTGACTCACCGGTGCCCTCGAACTTAACTACAGCGTGGCCACGCCGAGATGGTATACATCTGCTTGACTAACGAAGATCGGACCGAACATACACAAAGGTTGGAGAGGTGGGAGAGGTGGGGGGGGGGTGGGGGAGGTGGGAGATCGACCTCGGGCAGGGCATGGTGTATCACTCGGGGATACTTTCACGGTGGGGGGTGCGGGATCTTCGTCGCTGCGGTATCAGTCTCACGGGGCTACGTCCGTCAGTCCGTTACTTCACCCTACTCCCCTTCCCTCCCCTCCCCTCCGGCCTCCACTTCAGTCCACTCCACTCCACTCCCACAACATGCAACACGTAACACGCAACACGCAACACTCAACACTCAATAAACTTCATCTCAGCCCTCGGCGGCAGATCAACATCGCGCATAGGTAGTACATTATGTACCTAGGTATGCCATGTGCACTCACCATTCCCACTTTTGTTTACGATCCCGCACACAGTGTTCTCCATCGTCCGGACGGGACAGACGGGTCGGTCCCCGTCCTCACGGTCGATATCACGTGATAATATTCTGATCACTCGACCCAATAAGGGCATTCACTATAGTAGCCGTTTGCAGATACGCGAGTGAGATATACTAATAATGATATGTTTTGTGTGGGGATCAACTACCTATACCTTTGGCCAGTACAGCGCACAAAATTGCTTAGTCTTCCTCACGCTGTTGCTGTGAGAAGGAGCAGTATTTCGACTTGGACACCTAAGGTACACGCTCGAAATCAGGGTTTTGTCCAAGGCTTGGTGGCGGACGGCCGTGGACGATCGAGTTCTGGCGCTGATGAATCGGAAGAGGAGAAAAAGACCGACGCAGGAAGGAATTTGATGAAGCAGAAGATGGGCAGAGGACTGTCGGGAAAAGCCAGATAGTAGAGGTGATTGAGCTTCCCTCTGTAGTTCCCATGTAAAGGGGAGAGAGGCGGCATCTTTGTATCTTACAGATCTCAAGGTGGTTACCACCGAAAAGCAAAATAAAGATCTGTTACGATTTCACGCAAAAGTGCAAACCTCTATGTAATTCTAAAACCCGCTCAGAATATACCTTAATGAATCTGGGTGCTTCGCACTGTTGCATCGACACCTCAGTTGTGTATCAGCTTGGACTGCTACTACGACATGTTGGACATATTTCCATAACAACTTGTTATCACCACCATGAGAGGAGCGAAATGTAGGATCGATGGGGGACAGATAAGATAGGAGGAGTGTCCAGGTAGTCAGATCAGTGGATCCGAACATTGGAGATATGATATGTAGTCTGTAGTGGCAGAGAAGACATAAGATGATTCTTCGAAGTTGAATATGTAGAACCTCAACTTCTCTATTATCCTTCATCTTCGCCGCTTTCCTTCCCGGGCTACGTCGTAACCGCAGGTATCAAACACCCTCAAAAGACCGTTACCAAGTTTGGTTGGACGTACGAATCCACTACCATCACTCCACAAACCACACACAATAAACCCCACACAACAATCCACACGTCACATCCCGCACACAACAATCCACAAAACCCACATCCCCCTCCGCACTTCACACTCTTCACTTCACACTCCACAATCCACCCCGCTTGATCCACAATTCACACTCTTCACTTCATACTCTTCACTTCACACTCCACACTCCACTATCCACACTCCACACTACAAATAAAACATACCGCCAGAAATCCCACCACACAGCTCATTCCTGCACAGCACATGAGTGCCTTCCCTAACCACCACCGCGCACGAATTTGCGCCGCGCCCTGCGCCCTGCGAATTCCCCCAACAACACCATGTGCCACCGCGGGCGGTAGCCCGGCCACCACTGTTTATGGTGGCTTGAGCGAGCATACATGCTCGCTGACATAGTCGGGCCCGGACAGATTCGGAGACGGACAGTAAGTCCTCATGCTGGAACAGAACAGATTGATGTTGGCACTTGGGCGTTGATCGCTGACTCGACTCGACTATGATTAGCGGAATGAGCACCACAACCCACCGAGGAGCCCCGGCTCCCGGGCGGTGCTTCCTGCGAAAGTATCGCAGGAAGCAAGCAGGTGACAACATCAATGCACTGCGAATGAATGAGGCAACTGGGGAATAGCTGCCGACGTCATTGATCCCTTCCGACGGGCCTCAAGGCCCCTCCTCGACCAACCCAACTTGGTGGAAATGCCCAAAATCGACTGGAATGAGTACTGCAACCATTCATCGATGAGCCACGGCTCCCGGGGAAGCCGAACTGCGAAATTGGTGGAGGCCGAAGCACTCAATTCACAGCATTCCAAACCTCAACGAACATCCTGTCTGTGGGGTTAGGGTCTTGGGACTCCTTGTCTCGCAGCTTGGCGGAAATCCGCCATTGAGATGCAGAGGTTCGTCGTCGGAATTCGCGACCTCGCTCGGGAATCGGGACGATAAGTGGGGGTAGTGAGGGACAGGACGTAGCACGCCTTAGGTGAGTTTCTCTGTCTTCGAGGCTGGACCTTCGCTGACCTGTGGCGACCAGTTGTCTTTCTAAGTGCTTGTTTCTGTTTTTCTTTTCTCTGCATCTATTTTTTACTCACTGCTCTGTGTCGTTATATTTTCTGTGTTGCGATCTCTACATTTTCTTGAGCTTCCTGTTGATAGGCCGCTCTTCTACGATTGATTGAATTCTCTTTCCATAACTACCCCCCATCTAGGGCCTCTCAGTACCCGGGCGGGCTTGAAGTGGAGCGGAGATTTCAATCCGTCACTGCAGTATGGGAGAGGGGGGACGATACATTGGATGTCCTGAGATGGAGCCTGGAGTGCTCAGGAGACGGGCTAGTATCCGCAACTACTTAGTTGGAAAAGGATACCAGTATCGAGGCGGTGAAATGGCTGGCGGTGCTGCTGTGCGGAGTATATTTTCAATGGACGCATTTGAATCGTAGCTACACTTCATAGTACATCTTGTTCACCCACTCGCTCTCGGTGCTCTTATGTACCGGCCATTCCATGCCAATACACGGATAGTAAGGTTCATGGGCAACCGACTCGAATCGGCTTCCGAGGGAGTTTCTGGATCATGGTCAATCACTTTTGCGAGTGCGTCCGTGTGACTTGCTCTTGCCATTGGTTTCCAATCTCTGTATATACCTTGCCTGTGATCTACATATCGGAGCAGTGGCAAGCCGCTTGTGTAGGGCTGGCTAAGTAGCCGAGAAGCTTAGTAGTGTTACATGTCAGCGTTCAATGTCATGGCTATCTTTTTTTACGATACGAGCATGCACATAAACCAGCCAGTTAGTTAGTAGTCTAGCAACCTCATCTATCTACATCCCCCCTGCCTCCTTTCTAGAGCGTACTCCCCGTCCCCGCCGCCTTTCCCGCCCGTTCCAGTTCCAACAAGCGATTAATGCCCTTCAGTGCCTCCCAGACAGCCTCCATCTTCGGCACCACGACGCCAAACTCCCTCGCAATCGCCACCACATTCCCACACAGGGCACGGACCTCCATCTCCCTTCCCGCGATTCTATCCTGCAGCATGCTGGGCACCATCTTCAGTCCCTCGGTCTTATTAAAGAACCTGTCTACCTCCTCTCGCTTCATCACTGTCCCGGCCGCATTGGCTGCTAGTCTGACCTCCTCCGCGAGCCCCGTGATCAGCGCCCCCGACACCGCCATCGCCTCGTGCGTATCCAGCCCCGTCACCGCACACACCGTCGCATAGCACGCGTTGAACAGCAGCTTCCGCCACCGCGCGCCCTGCAGGTCCTGCAGTGCGACGCACGCGATCCCCGCGGCGTTCAGTGTGCCCACCAGCGCGCCAAGATCCTCTTCCCCCGCGCCGCCGCGCGCAGGGTACACGCCCACCTGCAGGCTCATCGATACGGTCGACTGCACTATCCTCCCTGGCGACGGCTGCGCGGCGGCAATGTACGCCACGCCGCTGACGATGGGGACACCGGGGAACGCGGCGACGTACGGCTCCTCGATGCCAATGCCGTTTTGGATCAGGACGATGGTGGTGCTGGCGGAGAGCGGGTACCCGTGTAGTGGCAGTGGCCCAGAGGTCGCTTTCGTCGTGATGAAGATGTAGTCGAACGCTTCGCTGGGCGCGAGTTGCGAAGGTGACGAGATCACCCGTGACGGGAGGTACGTGTGCTCCCCCAGCAGAACGCTGGAGATACTGTACCCCACCGTCGACACGATTGGGTACGCGCTGCGCACGGCGACCGTTATCGTGTGCCCGCGAGGGGAGCGCGAGAGGAGGAAGGCGTAGATGGCGCCGATTGCTGGGGATTGGTTAGTGGAGGTGCGGGAGCGGTATGGGAGGGGGGAGTGTACACCCGCCGCCGAGGAAGAGGATGTTGAGGCCGGAGTTGGAGTCGGACATCGCGGTATTGGTGTTCAGGTGGTCACTGGTGGGGTTTGGTCGTGCTCGTGCTCGTTTAAAAGTCAGTCCACGTTCGACATCGATAGTGAAATAGAGTAACGTTAAGGTTGCTTGATAAACGGTACCTGACTTAGTTACCCCACTCCCCGCTATTTGTCCGTAACCGCGGTACCATACCTGGATCGGCAGTGATCCCGCACGTATGTAGGGGCATGTGAAGCGTAAAGAGCAATCATTTTTACAAATAAAACCCAACCAGAAGAAATTATTCATGCGATCATCACCGGTAGATAACCAAAAAAAACCCCCAATTGATATCTAAGCCACCAGCCATCCCTTTGCCCGGAATAAAGCAATAAACCAGAACGAATTCCCCATAAAGAAAAAAAGAATAAAAAACTCCCCGCAGCCATTATTAATCATTAACGTTGCGTAACTTGTTGCGTCCCGCATCCTACCTCCTCTGCGTTCCCGTCGACCTCCTCCTCTGTGGCCCGGCCGACCTCTTCTGCGTCTCCAGAGATCTGCCCCTCTGCTGCAGCAGATAGAAAGCGGTATATGTAACCACCACGAGTATTGCGACGACCGAGTAAGCGGCGATCTGTCCGCTGGAAGCGTTCGCGAGACTGGGGCCGAGTCCGATTCCGCCGTTGATGATGGCAAGAATGATCACGGTGCGGCCCATCCAGATGTGCGCATACGACCAAGGGCTGCGCTTCCCCGTGCGTTGGAACTCAGCGTGGTGCAGCTGTCCCAAAGCTGCCTGCACGAACAGCATTCCCACGAGGACGACGCCAAAGTATTTGTGGAAGTGATTGAAGTGCTGTAGCGACAAGGGATTAGCTTATGTTCTGTAAGGTGCGGATTGATACCCGAGCACGGTAAACAACCCCTCTCCCACTCCCGCCCCTTTCCGCGAGCCGATGATTGGTTAAAGGAAGGGTCTGGGCGGGGCCAAAAGGGGGGAGCCGAAAAAGAAATGAAATGTGGCGCCCAAGTTGGAGGCCTAACATTGGTTGGCGGCAAAAGCAAAAAAACAAAGGAGGGGGGAGCCTTACCGTTCCATTGAGCCCGCTAGTCCACATTCCCATGGACATTCCAACAATCGCGAGGAGGACATTGAAGAGCTGAAGAGTCCGATGCATCACAAACGCATTGGACAGACGGCCCGAAAGGAGTCTTATGAAGGCAGCCCCCAGAGGGAAGAGTATGACCCATGTCAAAGCCATTATTACACCTGAAATCGCACGGCAAACCAGTTGGTTATTCAAATATTCCCGCAGAAGTAAAGCAAAAAGCCAATTAAAAAAAAAGTGAGCGGTCCGACGACATTATAACAGATGTATGTAGTGCGATATAATCACAGTTCCAAGTGCCAGCCTTGCGTGATATGTGCGTGTGCGTGTTCAAGCAAGCACGGTTGTGAAAAGAAAAAGAAGAAAAGATATTACAACAGGAAAAACATGTACGAGGAAATCGCTACTAGCATACCATGTGCGATCAAAACTTTGTCGGCCTTGCTCTGCGGAGCTGCGACCGAACTGCCGCCGGTGGTGTTCTGATTGGTATCCGTGGGCGAAGCACCGCTCGCCGTCACGAACGGGTTCGTGGTATCGCCGCCGGTGGCCCTGACGAGATCGAGACGGAAGTTGCCATTGTCCGAGTGCTGTGTGATGGTCTCCGACGGGTCGTTGGATGTGATTTCGGTGCCCGGGCCGGCAGCCCAGATGAAGTCCTGTCGAGTCGAGGTAACGCTGAGTCTGTCGCGACAATTCGAACCTGCATCCACCCCACCATCAGCTTCTTCTTCTTTTTCTTCTCCTCCTCCCCACTTTCCCGCGCACAAAGGAACTGACATTTGAAGTTGGCCGTCATGATGCCGCCGCTGATACCGGAGCCCCCCAGGAGGGTGATCTGGATGCTACTCTGATACTGGGGCTCGATGTGTCCCCTGCGCAAAAAGATAAGCCAACCGACAGCGATCAGACGGAAGTAGCGATCCCGAGCCATACCTTCCCAGACGCGGGGAAACGGTCACGTTCCTGCCGTTGGAATTCGGGTAGACGACGAAGATCAACGAGCCCGCCATGGCGCTACCAAGACCCATGGCAACCCATCCAGAATTCGTGGATCCCTTCACCTGGAAATAGGTGTCGGTGCCCGACGAGGGGACGTTGACGGCGGCGCATACGTTGCCGTCACCGGAGGCGCAGAAGCTGGAGACCTGACCGAGTACTGCGGTAGCTAATCGACGGACAGTGTTAGCATCGCATTCCGGGCCTCAAACACTGCGGTTCCAGAGGACCCACCCAGTGCCAACGCGCCGAACAGTGACCTCCTGAGTGAAACCATTGCTGTGTGTTGTAATCGACGATAGTCGTTTATTGTTCGAAACTCCCCGCAGCCCTGGGAAGAGAGAGAGAGAGAGCGACAGATGCGAACGAGAAACAAATTTCAGAGTGCAAGGTGAGGTTGCTTGGTGCGATGGAAGGTGCAACGAGAAGAATCGAAGAAGAGAAAGGGTGACAGAGGTGTGTAATAGGCCTGTATGCAAGTGGACGCCTGTCTGTTGGATCTGATTGGCCTATTGGTTGGTTCCCGAGTCGCTCGGCGGCTGGAGGAGAGGGCTATCTTTGATAGTACTAGAGTAACTAGAGTAGGGTGGAGTAGTAGAGAATCGATCTGCCTACTATATAACTACTGGTAGTTATAGCTGCTGAGATTGAAGAGGAAGGCTTCAACGACGACGAGAACGACGACACCGTGCTCGGTCTTATATCGAGAGATAGAAAAAGCGACAAACGAAGCCAAGGAGTCTTCCGTGGGCGGTGGGGGGGGGGGGGGGGGGGAAGAGGGGGGGACAGCGAGATTTAAGCAGGCACTCTGGGCGTGTGGGCGGGCTCGGCAGAGAAAAGAAGAAAGCCAGATGGAAGGGCTGAGTGGGACAATGGTAAGGATGGATGAATTTGCAGCTAACTACTGGTAACCACAGCTGTCCAGGAATGTAGTCTACTCTAGCGAAGCCTGGGAAGATCGAAAACGACGGACAGATGCAATTCGCTGACCCTGCATCTGATCCATGGGGGGTTGCGAAGGGGTGGGTGGGTGCCTGGTGTTTCGAAAGCGGCTTTTTCTTTCTTTCTATCTTTCTTTCTATCCTTCTTTCTTCTATTTTCCTCCATCTCATAGGTATCATAAAGACAAAGACAATAGAATACCGATACCGTATCTATTCCGGAGGGAGTGTTCACCGGAGGATTCGCACGCACAGTCGGTTCTCTCCAGTGTCCAGATACCGGGGGCTGTGGGGTATTGGCGAGTGCCTCCATTCAATATGCACGGTGAAGGCTGAACAGTGAATATCAGTCATGCAGTTAACTATTCGTAGCATCGGGGGCTGTGAGACTGTAAGACTCGAGAGGGCGCGATGCCTAAAAGCGGAGAGTCGAGTCGTAGACCCGTAATTAGTACCCTGGGTACGATAGGGACTTTTTTGCTTGTTACTCCACCGAGCAGAGAAGCCATCCAGCCAGCTTGGATCGTCTCGTGGAGGGCCGTATCGTGAATGTATTGTACTTACTCCTACTAATTATTACTAGTAAATAGGCAGTAGTGACTAACTGTACTGCCATTCGGTAGCAAGCATACTGATTATTACTGTAGTGTACAAGTAAGCCTTCGGACCGTGGCCGGCCAATCATCAACGTCCATTATTCACACTATATCTGACTATATTTGGCCCCCGCTTGAGAGCTTCAAGCTTGGCTCGAGCCTTATGCTTATCCTTAGTTTAGTCGTCCACTCGCTGAGCCTGAGGGTGAGGGTTGATGCCTGTCCAAAAAAAGGTTTCCCGGGAAACATTATTGGTCGGTAGGTCGGTCGCTCGGTCGGTCGGTCACTGCCAGGTGGGCTGTCATCCATTCCAGATCCTAGACATCCAGACATCCAGACATCCAGATTCCAAATATCCAGAACCACCATCATCATCACCATCCACGGCCTCGTCGTTCTCTAGAGCTCTAGAGATCGGGAATGTAACCGAAACAGCACCATCGTCACCATCACCACCAGTGACGACCAGTGACCACGACCAGTCATCATCACCACCACGCCTATCCCTTCCACGCCCATTCTCCGGCCAGTACCCAGCCGGCGGTATGCAACACCACCACCACCATCGACAGGACACGACACGACACGACAGGCCCGTCTCCGCCGCCCCGTCGCTGCGTCGCTCCGCTCCCGCACCGAGACACGACGCGATGCAGGAACTGGCAGCACATGGATAACTACTACAGTTACGCTGATGACTATTCGTCCAATAGCTACCATCGCATCTCATCCCGGGCCCGACGTGTCTTGCGTACGTACGTACGCCCCCCCCCCCTACCCCCAACCACCAACCACGAACCAACCACCTACCAACCACCACGGGGATCGTCGAAAGCTTCGCTTTAAACCCGACGTCGAGCGACGGTCGAGCTTCTCGTGCGATCGGATTATGGATACAGAGGTATAAAAAACCAACAGAACAGATCTCCCTCTACGTATGTACGTATGGATGGATAGCCCAAGTTCCAACTACTCTTGGTATCACAGTACAGGCATCGTACTGGAATGAAGGACCGAACGAAGGCCCGAATGAAGGAATGAATGAGTGAATGAGTGAATGAACGAATGGCCAGACGCCGCACAGCCCCACCACCCCCCCACCCAGCCCACCCCGCGCTGGAGATGCTCCATACTCCATGCTCCGGCGTCCGCCAAGTGTTCGGTAGGTATGCGGGGTCAAGTATAACAACCAGGTATGTAGCCCGGTAGCCCTCAAGAGTCGAGAAAACCTGCCATATCCAAGTTCCGAGTTCTTATCGTGACAGCGTAGGTAGGTGCAAATATGTATCTAGACTCTACAGTAGGTATCTAATAGGTAGAGTAACTATCTGGAGCACTCTACGCGAAGCCGCGTGTACTCCTGTTGCTTGTTGCTGGCGATCACCAATCAACTATGGGTGGTATCATGGGTAGGTTGGTAGGTACCGCTGCCAGTCACTACTCTACTCTCCTCTACTATGATTACCATGTATAATAGAGTAACTACAGTCGAATCGCCAGCTGTAGTGCGCACCGGTACCTTGGTAACTAGACTCGGAGCACACACTGTTCACTGCACTGCACATTGCACACTGCCCAGGCATCCCATCCCCCCATGTGACCACGGCCAACACCCAGCCAAGCGGACGCGCGTTCCCATCCATCCTACCTAGATTCCTCACCTCTCACGAGTCGCGGATCACCCCTCGCCCCTCACCCTCACATATCCATCGTTCGTCGTTGAGTATGTCGAGTACCGGTGTGTGCATTCAACGTTGTGCACCTATGTAGTCACGGTAGTCACGGTAGACGGTAGACGGTAGATACGGTATGTAGATACCTACAGGCTACAGCAGTACAGCAGTACCGGCCAGCAGCCAGCAGCCAGCTCGAGTCCCCCTACATAGAGCCTGCCCACGACGGAGCAGCGGAGCAGCAGAGCAGTGGAGCACTACACATCCCAGAGGCCGGAGGTCGGGGGGATGCAAGGCGAGAGAAGAAGAGAGAAAAGGCGGACGGTCCTCCGCACTGTGCAGTCTCGCCGTGAACTCGTCGGGGTTCGAACTTCAAACTTCGTTATCGATACCAAATAGAGGTAGATATCTGTCGATCGACAGGAACGGACGCAGCGCCGCGCAGGCGGGCGGGGGTGAACCGTGGGACCGTAGGTGCGTGTGCGAGCGGGGGTGCGGGTTGGCTTCGTCGTCACTGGTGACTGGATGGCTTTTTATATCTGCCCTGCATTTGGCATCCCCGGCTTTGGTGGTAGGTGCGAGTGCGAGTGCGAGTTGCTGGCTGGCACTGGCAGTTACAGCGTGTCCGCATGAAAACAAAGTATCCCGTCGCTGGGGCTGAAGTCTAGAGAAATAACGGACACTGGACAGAGGCTGGACACCATGTGGAGATCTCTACTGCCACGGCTACTATTATACTCTATTATACTCTAAGTACTAGTAGACTACCGGTATCCAAACGAAACGTGATATGTAACTACAGGATAGTTGGCGGCTAGTTACCGTAGTTAACAACGCAGTTAGAGCTTGGTAGTAAAAGTAACCAGGTAACCAGGTAGCCGGACCACTGGCTCTCCGGACTGCCGAGCTTCGACGGTGACAGTAGCCCCACTGCAGTCTCTATTATGTACAACTACTATGTAGAATGGAGCGTTTGACGTCTGGGCGTTTACCGGCAAGTTCCAGCTAGTTACCGTAATTATTGACAGCTCGCCAGCGGCCAGTCTTCCGTGGTGCTTGTCGGCAAGCTCCAACTAGTAATTGACAGCTCGCCAGCGGCCAGTCAGCACTCGGTGCCAAGTGGTTGCAACTACGGGAAAGATTAACCACAACCACAACCACAGCCACGAGTCTCGAGAGTCGAGACGCATATACAGTAAGGTAGGTAGGGTAGGCACATAAACCGTTGCAGGCGTGACGCGGCTCCGGTGACATGGCGGGCTATGTAAATACTTGGTATGTGGTACCGAGTTCCTAACTGCTCTAGAGGATACCAACCCGAGCTCGCTATCTGGATTCCGGACTGTACATACAGTGCAGACGGACAGAAGGACAGAGATAAGTATGGAATCTGGATTGTCATCATCCAGAATAGAGTACCGTAGACAGGCCACATTCGAATCTCGATGAATCATGAAACACAACCAAAAGGGCCCTTGATTACGCCCGCCCTATTATTGCCGCCGTATTGGCAGTTGGGTACCGCCTTTTTACTCTACACCTTGCCAACCACCACCACCACTCCGCCACAGACTCAATCCAGTCCGACCGCCCATCGTAACAATCTTCTCATCGTCGAAAATATACAGATACCTGGAAAGTTGCAACTGACACATAAACTGAGAAAATCATGGAACTGCACATAAAAAAACACTCCGCATTTCGCCAAACTCCACATCCCCATCCCCATCCCGCTCAAAACATGGGACACCACCCAATATACATCGCGCATAGATTCCCGGGGTCCGTCGCCTTCTTGATCAGCACCTCGACGTGGCCCTCGACGCTCAGCGGCACGGTATCCGATTCCCAAAGCCCCCTAAGCTTTGCCTGTATGCTCTCGAGGATCTCCTTCGGGGTCTCGGGGGACGGGAGGAGATCCGGAGCCTTCGCCGCCTTCTTCGAGCTTCCCGTACGCTTTACCATGTCTACGCTAGGGTCGTGAATGAACGCCTCGAGGACGGTCATCATAGTTTCCTCGTTGTGTCTCAGGAGTCTCATTGCGCTCTCGCAGGCCTTGCGGAACACGCCCTCGTAGCCGGTGACGCCAAAGGCGTCCACCATGTTTTGCGTCAGCCGGAACGGCACGCGCTCTGGCTTCTCGAAGCCGAGCCCTTTGTCGAAGAGGCAGTTGAAGTCCACGTGCACAGTGTCCCCACTGAGCTGGTCGAACAGGATGTTTTCGCCGTGGCGGTCGCCGAGACCGAGCACCGTGCCGGTCATGGACATCACCGCTGACGTGCGCGTGTAGCGCAGCCGTGCGGCGAACCAGGCGGCCGGCTCGGAGAACATCTCGAGGAACCATTCGTGGAAGATGGGCGGGTACGCGGGGAGGACCGTGTTGGAGAATATGTGGGGCTTTCTGGTCTTGGGATCCTTTATGTCGCCTGTGGCTTCGTCGAGGAGTTTGCGAGCGGTCGTGTAGTTTATGTGGATGTTCTTTTGTTTGTAGTAGAACAGCAGGATGTCACGCAGCGTCTGAACGTTGCTCACCCACTCGATCACGCCGCATTCTTCGTTGAGCGGGGTGACGGAGTATGTGCGGATGTAGAGGTTCCGCCGACTGGACTCGGCGTCGCGCTTGAAGAACCGGTTGATCATGTTGTTGAACTCCATCAGTCGTGCGTCCTTGCGGAGGTCGTCCTTGGGCTTGCAGAGGAAGGAATACACCCGCCCATCTGTGCCCTCTATACTGATCTTGCGTGGCTTCTGCAGCGAGGCCATGATGTGAACGTCATCGAAGAACCTCTTGATCGTTGGAGGGTTCGCCGCAAACGCATAGTGTCCGTGGCTCTCGATCGTATCAGTGGGCGAGGGGAGGGTGACAGTGAGCACCGCCTGTGTAGGAAGTACCAACTGGCACGGCGCCACTTCGTGGCGGAATTTGAAATCCTTCTTCAGACTGAGATGAGCCAAACGGTTGCTGAGCTCCATGTTACAGAGGTCCAGGAGTTGATCCGTCAGTTTCCGCGCTTCATTGATGAGCAGCTTCGTATCTATGGTACCAGCGGGGATTTTTCCTTTCGGCAGCGATTCCCTCAACTGCGTCAGCACCCGCTGGCCGCGCTGCGAACGTTCCTTAGACGTCGACTTCATCACGGCCATTAGAGACCACATCGACTGCTGCGGATACGTCATGACCACTTTGACAATGATGGTCTGGATCTGCGCGTACACCCTCTCGTGCGAATGGATGATCCGCGACATGAGCTGCGGCAGCGCAGTGAAGAACATCCATGCTCCCAGCTTAGTCTGATGATACCGCTCGGTCGCCTTGTGCAGATCCTTAAGCTGCTTCGCCCTCAACCTTTCTATGTGCTCCCTGTACTTCTCGGTCCCGTAAACCGCATCCAATGGCCTCTTGACCTCATCACCGAGATCCATCCAGACGGTGAGCAACCTCGGCATGGTCTGAAAGATGTATCTCGCGCCAAACGCGAGTGCGCGCATGTAATTCCGCACGATATGCACTGCGTGCGAACCGCTCAGGAAAGTTGACGACTGTCGCTGCGGTGGAAGAGCTTTTTCGGCCTCGTACAGCTTATTGTAGTGGCGTCCTAGGTAATAATGTGCCTTCTCCCACCGTTGAAACCACAGAGTAGCGTCGGTATACTTCTGGAGCAGCGCCGTCGAATGTGTCTGACCACTGGCCTCGAGCCACCTCGCGAGCAGCAGCTTGGCCCTCGCCACCCTCTGATTCTGCTGCGGCTGCGGCTGCGCCTCGAGGCTCTCCGTCGTCACCGTGAGATTCGAGTTCGTCGACACCCGAGTACTGCTTTTGGAGAGCGACAGTGGTGCCTCGGTTCCAATCTCGAGGATCTTCTTCGCGATGGCACCATTGAGATTGCGTATGGCATTCTTATGTTGACCCTCATGCCACAGGAGCTTTGCATGTTCTATCGTCGCCAGCGCCGGATTCAGCAGCGTAGCATGATGTACGGCATTATACGCCTGCTGGGTATTATCATTTTTCCTCGCGAGCTTCGCAGTGCTCAGCCAGGCCGACATGATCTCATCCGTCATATTCTTTCCCGAGAGCTGCAGTGCAGCCCTCCTCACCGCCAGAATGTACTGTTTATCCGCAGGGTATGTGCCCATGAGATTCAGCCGACTCTCGAGGGACCGTGTAAACGCGCCCGCATCGAACTCCGGCCGGTGCAGACCCTCACTAACGCTCTGTAACTCAGAGAGCGCATGTAGCTGAACGAGGAAGTGGTGGGACTGCCGGATACTTCCCGTGGCCGACTCCGTCATCGTGGTGGCAACCGTTTCTCGAGCGCTGTTGACCCACTCGACGAACGCCTCCATGTTCTGCTTGCGGAGCTCCGAAAGTGCGTAACCCATGCGGATATCGTACGTGCCGTTCGTATGCTCGTTGGATTTCGACAAATACTTATCCAGCGCGGTCCAGTTCCCCGTTACCCACGAGGCTTCAACCGCGAACGGAAGCAATCTCGTATGCGCCTGCGCCGAAGTCGCCATCATCCCATCGACCTGATGGAGCAGCGCATCGTATTGCCCCGAGTCCCGCAGAGAACTGATGAGGTCCGCCTGAACTTTGACATCGCCGGGCCTCTCAGCCAAAAGCAGCTCATACCAGCTCTGTACCGCCGTCCACTTCCCAGCCTTGCGATGCTCCAGGATCTGCTGGTCGATGTCCAACGTGGGCAGCTTCGCCGAGATCCCCGCCATCCCGTCTGGCTCGTCGATGTGCGTGTATATGCGTTGTAGTTGGACATACAGCGGTTCCATCTCATCCTCCCGCAGTTCGTTCCTCTTAGCTCTGATGTGCTGCTCCCAGTAGAGGAGAGATCGGGCGTAAGATTTGAACTCGAGTGACCGTCTTCCCATCAGCTCAGGAGGTATGGCATCCAGGATGCTGCGGACACGGCGGATGGCAGGATTCAGCTCAGAATCATCTTCCAGGGAGTAGTGTCTATTCTGCTGTTTCGCAGCCGCCGTCTTGGAGATCAGGTCGTCCTGCCGCTTGTCACGAAGCCACTTGGTCATATGGTCGATCGCCGAGAAGATGACCTCGATGCACTGCCGCAGCGTATCCTTCATCTTGGTAGTATCATAGGGCCCGCACCTATGCCTCAACACCGCGAGGAACTCCTGCGTGATGTTTTGCCTATCCGCGTCCGAGCCCGCGATTGCCGTATGCAGCACGGCGACAGGAAACAGAAACTTCGAGATGGAAATATCCTGCCCGCGGCAGATCCTTACGCACGCATCGAAGATCTGTTTAGCATTTGTCCCCGAGGCATTGCACAGGAGCTCCGTTATGATGGTCATCAGCCATTCCCTGAACGTTATGCCCGGCTTAAACAGCGGGTAAGTGAACGGCGCGCGCTGGACCCCTCCGCTCAATGAATACTTCGACTTCAGGAACGGCGTCAGCGTCTCTCGCGCCGCAGGCGGAAGGTTATCCCATCGTTTCTGCGCAGACGATTTGATTGTGGACTGCGACTTCCGCGGAACAGGATTTATCTGATTCGTGGCCTGGCAGAATTCCAGCAGCTGCTGAGCGCACCACGCCAGGAAGCCTTGCGATTTCGTATCCTGCGACGAGAGAAACTGCTTCACCACGATCTTCTCGAGGAAGAACATGGCAAATGCCGCGCTCTCGTCCGCTCGCGTGAAATTGTGAAGCACCGTCATCTCCTCCTTGACTCGGCTCGACTCGACAATGTTCGGATTGACGGCGCCAATCAAGCCAAGACACTCCGTACATAGCCGTTCGATTCGAGGCCTGGCCGGTAGGTCTGGATCTTTGAAGGTGACGATGACATCCAGGAGGCTCCGTATCATCTCAGTCACCACGGAATCCGGTTGCTGGTTCCCTCCAGAGGTGTGAATGAAAGTCTGATTCTCCTTGATGCAGTCCCTGAGTTCGACGAGCGCGTACTCCACGACGATGACATTCTCGTGTCCGCAGCGGAGAGCAAGCTGATGTAGCCGCTTCTGTGGCTGGACACCCTCACGCCATTTCTTCAAACGGGTTTCAAACTTCCTCAGGAGGGGGATTGAAGCGAACGAAGGTATCAACGCCACCGACTCCTCCAGCACCGGAGCACGAGCTTGAAACATCTGAGCAATCATATTCCGGGCAATTTCGCATGCCTCATCATCAAACAGCGACCAATACCGCAAGAGGATGGAAAACGTCTGCGAAAGCAGCGGGACTAAGTCCTCGTCGTCAAGGTGCACCACCATTATCGACCAAGTCCTCAGTGCGGTCGTGCGGAGAGCGTCGGACTCCAGCGCCGACTGGCAGCATGCACAGATCTGCGGTAGTGCACTCGTCACCGATCCGGAAGCGAGATTGAGCATCTCCTGGATTGCCTTCAGACATCGGATCTTCTCCATGTCGGTGGATTTTCCTTGTGCATTCTTCAACGTGTCGCTGAACAGCGTGCAGAGTCCAAGAACATGCGTCTCAAAGAAGTCCACTAGATAGTCGATATTTGGCGGTGGTTTCATCTTGCGGCTGGAGGTTGCCGGTGTATGAACTTCCGGCCTATACGACAACTTGAAGACGATTTTGAGAGCTTTGTGAATTCTCTCCTTCTGCTCCTGTTCTACCAGCGGGCATTCCCCGGCCATCTTTAAAAGCTCAGCAGCAATCATCAACGAATCCGGCCTAACCAGCTCCGCCAGACTCGATGTCTTAAACTCCGACGAGATAGCCTCGAGCTGCTGCATAGCATGTTTCTCGACGTTGGTGACGTCCTGTACAAGCAATACCGGCAAGATCGACGCAATGTTATCGTAGCAAGTAACCTGCACGCTACGATCCTTCCCGGACGCTTGTGCAATCTTTTGGATGACATCGGTTTCCCCCTGGACGACCAGATACGGCAGTGTGTAGGCTTGCGTGTGTGTCAGGAACTCGTTCAGGTCCATCGAGATGAATTGGATCAGTGTTTGCACGATCTGCGGCTTGGTTTGGAGCTGCTTGACTGCGATTACGCTGACGGTGCGCCAGAAAGGCGTGACCAATCTCCGTGGCTGGGTCTCGTGGGCTTGAACCAATGCATCGAGCTGGCGATCTGTCAGAAAGAAACACATTTTTCAACCACCATTCAGGTGCCTACCTCATTCAGTGCCGCACCGATCACCAGGTCATTTGGATATCCCAGGTACTCAATCAGTCGTAGAAGCACCATATTCAATTCCTGATTCACAGACACCCTTTCAAAGTCAGCAATGCACACGATCCGGTTCGCGGAGCAATTTACCTTCCAACCTGGCCCCACGCAAGCACTGTTGTTTCCGGCGTAAGCCCATCATTGGCAGTCGACAGGATTGTGAGTCCCTCCAAAATGATGGTCTTATTCTTCGACAGTAGATCGGCGTCGTGCGAGAAGTTCAAGAACGACGGCAACGCCCGACTAGGATATATCAGCACTGCAAGTTCACACCCATACGCAAACCACATACCCAGCAGCAATCCTCAGCTCCCTCCTCCCGCTTTGCAGCAGTCCCATACACCACTCGCCCATAACGGAGATTTCCATATTCAGATGCGCCGCTTCCTGCGTATGATTCATCATGCGTCTGACGGTCTCAACACCCCACGCCCTGATCTCTGGGGACTCCGCGAATTTCTCCATCTTGTGGATAGCTTCGAGAGCATCCAGGAGCTGGGCCACAGCTTCACTCACGAAGCCACGTTTCCGGCGGGGATATGGCGCATCGGAGTCACAGAAGCCACATCTGTACACGTACTCCCCCTCTGCTCCGGTCCGCTCCAGATCACCGGCGGACGCACATGCAACGAGTCCCATGGTGTGAACGGTTGTGCAGCGATCACTTTCGGATGTTTTACCGAAGCCATCCACGGTGGCGCTCTTGAGGCCGGTGAGATCGCCGGCGGCTTCTCTGTTTCCATCCTGAAGCAGGGAATACACCTTACGTACGAGCGACTTCGTCAATTCCTCTGGAGTAGATATCTCATCCTGGACGAGCCTCCGACGCTTCCTAGGACCGTAACCGTCGTCGACTGCCACCTCTTCTTGCACCGGTAGTGGAACCGCTCTCAATTTCTTGTCCAGCGCGGCGTCCTTGCATTTCCATTCTCCGCCGGTGGTAGCATTCAGCGCTTCCCTCGCCTTGGTGACCACTGTGCGCTCCTGCGTGATGTCGAGTATGAGCCTTAACAGGACGACCTGCATATCATGCCTCAGCAGCTTCCAGGTCCCTTCATCCGAGACCATCGCCAGCGCCGGCGAGAAAACGCGATCGTTGAGCAGCTCCTGGACGAGCGGCGACTCGCCGTCCGCCGAAGCCACCGCCACCAAGCTCAGCACAATCCCAGCGACCGCCTGTTCCGCGATCTGGCTCATCTGCTCAACGGGGCGCTTGAGCGTATCCACGACGCAGCAGACGGCAAACATGTACAGTCCATCCAGCTTCCCCTGCGTCTGCGCCCCCGCTTCCACCGCTAGTAGATCCAACGCCGTAGCCACCGCCCTTAATATCTCAGTACACGTCCCCTCCGCCTTCTCACGCATGACCGGCAACGACTCCCACGAGGCCATCATGACGCCCCAAATCTTTGCCAGGCCCTGCTGCGCAGCAGTGAAATGATCCGCGATGCTTCTGATGCCGGGAAGATGCCTCGTCCTCCTTTCGGCGGCGACAATCCGTGCCAAGATGATAAAGATGTTTACTGCCACCAGCGCCGCGCTCTCCGTGTCCGACAGACTGAAGCGTATCGTGCGCGGATCAAATTTGGGCAGGTTCTTGCGGATCGACCCGTCCATGCTGAAGTCAGACGGCGGGAGCTCAAGCGCGTAGATTCCCGCGAGAGTGTCCTTCACCGTCGTGGGGCTTTGGAACGACGAGGCAATACCTTAGGTTTTCACAGAGCACCCAATCAGCGGACATTCCCCATGAGGCAGCAGCAGCAGAAGAAAACAGCAGCAAGTCACACGTGAAACCAAAGACACTGCACAACACCACAACACAGATGGAGAAAAGAAATGGTTATTACAATTTAAGCAGCCGCGGAAGTACCCCGCAACGGTCCTAAGATGTTTCCAATGCTGCGGCAAGGATCCGACCGCAAACAGTATCGCCTCCAGCGTCTCGACCAGATCCTTCGCCAGCGGCCTAGCCTTGTAATGTCCCAGCAGCGGAAACAGCCTCGGAAACAGCCAGAGATATAGGAACAGCTGATCTGGCTGTGCATTCTCCGCGGATACCACAGGCGGCGAGTAAAACAGCACGGCAGGAGTCCTCTGTATGGTAAGCCTGATGACGAGCAGACTATTCCCTGCCTGCCTCAGCGTCTCGCTGGAATCCGCAAACGGATCCTCATCCTGCGCCAGCAGGACCGTGAGGCCGGCACTAGTAACAACCTGGAGGACCTTATAGTTGGTAGCAACGTCCTCCTCGTGGCCGCCCGCGCCACCCTCGTCAGGCCCCAGTATCTCCGCCAGCAGCTGCTGGAACGCATCCCGGTTCGGCAGCCCGCCCGTTCCGCCGCCCGCCCCGCCGCCCCCGCCCGCCTTGCTGTAGTTCTGTACGATCACCGCAATCGATGATGGCGGTGGTGCTTGTGTTTGCGTTGGAGCTTGTGTTTGGGGTGCTGCCGCCGGCGTCATCGCTCGTAACGAGAACGGCGCGGGTGGAGGCCGCATGCTGCCGCTGCCCCCTCCGCCTGCCCCAACGATTGGACCGCCCTTCGGGTACACCCCCGATTTGCGCCGCGATACCGACATGCTGTGTTTAGTAGTGCGCCGGGAGCGGCGGCTGCTTCATCACTCGACGTGCGTGGTAGGTTTTTGTCGTGCGGATTGAGTTGGTGTGCGTGCGTGGTCGTGGTCGTGGTGTGGTTCTGGTGAGGCGTGGGTGCTCGATGATGTGCAGGTGGGGATACTTTGGTAGACGCGACTCACGCCCCCAGTCTCACGTGTCGGGAAAACGCGACACGCAATGCCAAGCCGGAAGTTTCCGAATCACATGCGGCCACTCGATCATTCTCATATGGTCCATTTCACCAATCGTCACTTCGTAGCTTAAGGAGTAATGGAACTGCAACCGGTAGAGAGATTATCTATATAGACGTTGACACGGTGGCCTTGCCGGTATGTAGGGAAGCGAAAGGGCAAACAGGTGCACAGCGGCTTGTGTCGACGCAAATTCAGGATGACGATGAAGTTATGCGGTTCCTTCCTTCGACACATGAATGGAAGAGCCAGTTTTGGGCCGGGCGGAGAGCAATAGGGAACCCACATCGAGCTCGCGGCCAGCGGTCGGAGACAGTGAGGTGGAACCGGATGTTTGTACAGCCATGATCTGATAAGGTCGAATGCTATGATGATGAAACAAAAAAAAGAAGAGCCAGTTGTAGTTGTAACCTCGCTGACACAATGCAATAACATTGACTCTCTGACCAAGAAATTGAGCGGCTCCACTTTCTTGTACCAATCAGCATCTGTATAGGCTTCGTTTGATCGGAGACATGAAGGTATCATTTGATTACAATGTACTGGTTTCTGGACATAGAAGAGGTGAATTTGTAGTGTTTGGAATCTAGTGGTAGAAGGCTGTTCCGGCTGGTCGTCCTCTATAGTATTAGTTCCGAGTCGATATTTCCACCCCTTCCACCATAAGTCTTGAAAGTTCTGTGTTTTTTTTGGCATACCTTACCTACACATTTGTCTGTTTCACCAGATTCTCCCAATCCTGCTCCTGCTCCTGCCACAAAAACCTGAAAACCAATCAGTTGCCGCCATCTCCGCAGCCTTCATGGTTTCCGGAAGATTGATCTTTATTGGATGTTCCGCCTTCCTTTCCATTGGATTGAAAAAAACTCTGGTCCTGCAGTTCACGTTTTTTTTTGAGCGCTTCAATATCGATTTCTTAGACTTGGTCGTAGTATTCGCCGGTGTAGCAGTAGAGTCCGCCGGTGCCCCGTCTGCAACAGTCAACATGACTGCCTGTTTGTGGCTCGAGTCCCTGCCTCATAACCTCTGTATCAGTCCTGCTGCTCATTGTCTGGTATTGGCACCGACGGCGACTGGCATGGTAGCAATCGTGACTGCCACCAACACAGCTGCAACCAGACTAATCGAGAGAGTGAGCTGTGTGGTTGTGTAGACGCACTGCCGCCTCCTAACTGGGCATACTATGCACAGCAACAAATCTACAGTCGGCGGATATGTAGGGGATAGTATTCACGCATGCTCAATCGTTCCCGATGGTGAATACACATTTTACCCTCGTTGGTGACATAAACCAGAGCGTTATTGAAATATCTCTCAGATCTCTCCAGCATCTCCCGCGTACACGAACGTTCTCAACATCTAAATCAACATCTAAATCCCATCCCCCTCGCCCCCCTTGATTATACAGTAAGTACAATTATAAGATAAATCCAAAACGATATAACAAATAAGCCACCAAACCACCAAGCCCCCGTACTTATGTACATCTAACGCACATATACTCTACTCTACATCCCACATCACATCACTGCATACTTCATACCTCATTGCACACCCCACCTCCCACCTCACACCTCATAGCTGCCCCCCCTCGCCCTCGCCCGCCTCGGGGCACTTCCACTGGGTCTTAACAAACTCCAAAATGAGCTTCGTGAGGGTATCCTCATATCCCATATACATCTCAAACCCAGTTCTATTCCACCTATCACCTCCCTCGATATCATTAAGCGCCTGCGCGACGCTCCCCGCAATGAAGTCAAAGAACACGACGTCGACCTTCTCCGGCTTGGTTCCATCCGCGGGGAACTCCGCGTTGGACTGCAGCACCTTTGGCGCGGGATATCGCGGCGTGCCGATGTGCACCACGTCGTCGCCGGGATCGGTGGCCGACCAGGCGTCGGACGTCGTGTAGCCCTTGGTCAGGTTGTAGGCCATGCCGAGAACGTGCTGCTGGCGCTCGCGGCGGCGGACGCGGTGCAGCGGCGTGTTGGGCGTGATCGGGGACTCGCCCATCGCCGCGGCGGCGGTCGAGTACGGCGAGGCGTCGTTGATGAACCATTGCAGGAGCTTTTCGGCTACGGAATAGTCCACGTCCCGCGCGAAGTGGAAGCGGCTGGTGAAGGGGGACACAAGGAATGACGTGTCGTATGTAAACGCTCCCTTGAACACGTCGAAGCGCTGGCTGCCGCCGTTGATGAAGATCATGTGAGGCACCTCTGCACGGTTTGGGTTCCGGACCATCACGGGCAGGAGCGTGGTGGTGAGGTAGGAGTACCAGTTGGACTCGCTAGGGTAGGGAGAGCTACGGGATGTTAGGAGCGGTGGAAGGAGGGAGGATTACGGGACAACTAACTGTGATAACGAAAAGTCCTGCGGCGCACACCCAATCAACTCATTCAGCAGCAAGTCCTGTCGGTGTGCGGTGATATCCTCGGTCATCCGGATTCCCTCTAGCGTATCAAACGTCTCCACATCCGTTCCGGAATGGTGCATAAACCCGTCTCTATTGAAATCGATATATCTCCTACTCGTCCTGACCTCGGCATCCTTATTCCCGCGCCACAAGCCCTTTCCGGAAAGACTCAGGAACCCGGCGGTCTCGCAGTACCGTCCGGATTGCAGTGCGCTCGACTTCTCGTCGAACACCTTGAAATTCCGGATATGCGAGTGCCCGCCAAAGAACTGGATCTGCTTATCCGGGTTGACCGCGCGGATGGCATCATGGATCTCCTGCATCTCGCCGGTGTTAAGATCGACATGCGACACGACTAGGAACATGTCGACATCGGGATTGCTGATTTCCTTAAGGAACCATGGCTCCTTCAGAACCAAAGACACGGGCTTGACGCGGGCGATGGGGTGTGCCCCCGTGAAGTTGAAGATGAAGCCGAACGCGGTGATGGTGAGGTTTTTGCGTGGCGTGGTGAAGGTCAAGCTGCGGTTGGCGAAGGGTTTCCAGGCGCCGTCGATATCGATATCGATGTTGGACGAGAGATAGCGGTCGCCAAAGTACGGGACCATCTCGAGGTGCTCGAGCAGCGCAGTCGTGCGGTTGTAGAGCTCATGATTTCTATCAACCTCCCATCAGCCACACACACCACACACACTCATCCCCTTTCTCTCCACATCACTTACCCCGTCGTGAGAATATCCACATCCCACTTCCTGACCAGACTTCTAGTGACGTATCCCTTGGGATTACTCGCGTCCCAGAGGCCATTCCCCTCCGCGCGGTCACCACTATCCAGGACGTACAGATCCACGCCGTTCTCCTCGGCCCTGCGCCGCATGTGGCTGATGAACGAGATGTAGTCCCCAAGGTCCGCCGAGTACTGCGGTTCCTGCAGGTGGCCCGCGTGCCAGCCGTGGTTGTCGGTCGTGTGCAGGAAGTTGATGTCGCCCCAGACCAGCTCGCGGAACTCCTGGTTTGGAGGCGGGCTGTGGGATTCGGGCTGGATGGCCGTGCATAGCTGCAGCAGCAGCGTCGTGAGTGCCGTGACCGTCGTGAGTTTCCCCATAGCTGTATGTATGATACGTGAAGCCGTAAAGGAGGGTGAAGGAGAGATGGGGGGCGCGGAGGTGGTTGGATGAGAGAGGCGGAGGACCTGGATGGGACCCCGTGGGAGCTGCCTAAGCTCTGCGGTATAAGGCGCATGGCTGGCGAGCTAAATGTGCGGAACAAGGAACCCTGCACTTCGGATGACCCGTAAGATAGGAGGATATGGTACGCAGGGGGCTAGCTCACATGCGCATCCATCTGCCTCATCTGGTACCTGGTATGCAGCCTCAAAATCCCCCGAGTTCCGACTCACAGGCCATCACCATAAACTATCCAATGGAATCGGTATTTGATACTCGAAATCTAGGAAGATGCCCAAAATGACATGACCGACAGTGAGAGTGACAGAGCCCATGCAACAAAAGAGCAGTTGAGTACAAAAAATCCATCCGTTCAGTCTCAAATCCTAGGCACAAAAAAGATAGGAAATGAAATGATAAAAAAAAAGAGAGATAAACACCTAGTCCCAGGTGCATCAGAAAACATTTGACGTCTTCGAGGGAGGAGGGAAGGCATAGCAAGATCAAAGGCCCATCATAAATACAAGGTACAGAAGTCCACAATGTTCATCCAGAAAGAAGCAAAACAAAACAAAAACGTTAAACTAATACGACTATGGCTTCTCGCCCTTATCGCTTCCCATAGGCGTCGCTGAACTGGCAGCAACGGCGGTAGGGAACTCACTACTGACATCCTTCGAACTGACAACAGGACTACCGGAGTACGGGGTCAGAGCTCCGGGAGACGGTGTATCGGTGATGATAGTGGGTCCCATCGTCTTAGGTGAGACTCCCTCGCCGCTGCTCCGGTCCCCTCCCAACGTAGTGATAGACGCATTGGCCAGACCCTCCGTGATACCAGCGAGGCTGTGGCTCTCGTCAAGCATCAGATTGCTCTGCTGTAGGATATCCTGGTAGACTCGTCTTCCCGGATCCGCCTTGCGCTTAGCCTTCTTCTTGTCCCGCTTAGACGATGGGCGGACGACGATGACGGGGACCGGTGAGTGTTGCAGGCAGTACTTGGATACGGAGCCGGGGAGGAGTCCTTGCAAACCGCCTAGAGAGCGACCGCGAGTCCCGACGATCAGAATGACGGGCTCATAGATGTGAATCTGAATTAGGATGTCAGAAAATCTCCGACGTGGGACGGAATCCCCCATGTCTTGTGGTGACATACCATTCGCTGGATCGTTTCGTGCACTTTGCCAACAGCATACTCGAGGATGATGGAAATAGACTTCTCCTCTTCATTCTTCTCGATGATCTGATCGAGCAGCTTCCTCGCCTCCTGTCTGTACAGCCTCTCCTGCAGTGCCATGTCGCTACTGATCTTACTATCCTTATCGACGACTCGCAGGCAGACGATCTCGTCGCCATCGTCGACCAGCTCATCGATCAACCATTCGAGGGCGAACTCCGAGTAATCGTTCTGATCGGTGCCGCACAGGAATGTGCGGGATCGGCGACTGTAAGAATAGTCTCGGTGCTTAGACTTCAGCGTGAGAGAGAAATCGGATGCATCCTTATTGTCGAAGGTATCGAACGAGACGCGCTTCAGGAACGCACTGCGACCAGATCCACGTGGGAAGAAGTTAGCCTAGGGTTTCATGCGGGATGCGGATGACGATGCTTTTTCTCTTCTTCTGCGGTATGCATATCTGTGTTCACGAGAGATCTCATGGCACTATCACGAGTGTGTGGCGGCATGTGAGAGGGTACAGAGAGCGGGGGTGGTGAACAGGAACAGCAGGAAAGGAAGAAAAAATGTCAGGTGGGGGGGGGGGGGGGGGAGGGGAGGGGGAGAGGGTATGGGGGGTATGGGAGGGGGTATGGGGGTATGGGGGGTTTGGTTTGGTTTGGTTCGATTTTGATTTGGATGGGAGGGGGGTAAGGTAGGGTTCCACATACGGAGGAGGTGGGGGTGAAGACAGCGAACGTCCTGTGCGAATGGACCCTGAGATACTTGCGGGACCGGGTGCGGGAGTACCAGGAGTCGGAGCCGCGATGACAGTGGTGGACGCGAACGATGGTTGCCTACGACTCTCCGAAGCTGGGATTTCGGGGAGCTTGTTCCAAGCTATGGACGTCCGACGATTGTCCTTGTCGACGCTTGTTCGTGGTGTACCGGCGTTTGACGGGGGTGCTGAAGTCATCCAAATGAAGACGTGACGGAAGGAGCTGAGTTGTTTTTTGTTCTGTCGAGGGGGGTGGCGGCGGTGGTGGTGGTGGTAAAGGAGGTGGAGGTGGAGGTGGAGGTGGTGGTGGTGGTGATTGTTGACGTAGTGGTCGGCTGGTGGTGGTCGTAGTCGTGGCGGTGGTCGTGATCGTTTACGTATAGTAGTGGTTGTAAGGTGGTGATGGTCGCGGTGGTGGTCGTGCGGGATGTTCTGGGAAGAAGGAGCTAGGAGTAGGACGGAAACCTAGATAGCTGTCCGGTCGGTCTCGTCTGACAACGGTCGTGGCCGTATGCAGTCTGGATGCGGCGGTTTGGTGATGGGTGGGATAGTGCACGTTGCTGAAGATTGTTTCGCTAACGCAACAGTGCGGCTGCTGGGGGGTTGGGGGGGAGGGGGGGGGAGTGGTCGACAATTGGCTGTGATACCGATCTCTCTGGGATTTTTCTTATTTTTATTTCTGTTTGGGCTGTGATTCGTGGTGGAGCGAGCGAGCGAGATGAAGATGATGTGTGCGTGTGAGGTGCACGGCGGGGTGGGGTGGGGGGGAGGGGGGGGACAAGCAGGAGCAGGAGCAAGAGCAGCAGCAGCAGCAGCAGCAGCAAGCAGGTAGATAGACGATGAGTGCACAAGGGGCGGTTCTTGTTCTCTGGGTACCGCACTTAGTCAAGAATCCCCCTCTCCTTCACAGCAGATGATCCATGAGCTCAGCAGCAGCAGCAGCAACAACTGTGCTCTAGTTACTCTAGCTCGCGGAGATTCCAAGAATCTTGGAGACTAGATATTCTACCTAGTCGAACAGGGCTGCGAAAAGCAGAGCCGAGCCGTGGCCGCGTGCGGTGATCCGTCGCCCGTTTGCAGTGGAGAGGAGAGGACGGATGCGGAGCACACGAAGCCGTACCGCACCGCAATCGGTACCGGTATCAAAATTGGGATCGTCGCGAGTGCTTTCTCTCCAGCTCACCGAACAGGCCGGATGGAGTGGAGTGGAATCGAAGTCCACATCCATCGCGGACCGGCTCGAGATCGGCTCGCTGGATGTAACTACTGGAGCCCAGTCTTTTTTTCCCTCTTTTTTTCTGTAGTTTAATCGTCATTGGCATTGGCATTAGCATTCGACGGTGTTAGATCATGGCAGTTACGAATACATGCTGGGGCTCAGAGTGCTGGGCAGTGCTGGGCACTACCTACTTGTTAGTCCTCTTGGTAGTTTCCTTCGACTTCCAAGCTCCTCTATGGACGAGTGCTGGAGTCTGGTCGTCGGTCGTCAGTCGATATCGACACTTGAATACCTATTGTAACTAGCACGTATGCGTATGGTATTGGTACCAGTGCATACAGTACATCAGCCAGCTCTCCACTCCCCACCACTCCCCACACCCCATCCGCACAGCGCGGCCGTTTGCTGAGCTACTCTAAGTACCCATACCCGCCGCGCCGTATCTACCGTGGAGTACCGGAATGTACGGTACATATGATGTATGATATGTATGCAGCTGAGATTGTCGCGAATGCGGGAGATCAACATCCCACACACACACGCACGCACACACAGCCCAAGACACGGCACTTTCTGCTTCCTCTAGATACACCACTTTCCACCCTGACCGTCTTCTCCCTGCCTCCTCCTCCCTCCCTCCTCCCTCCCTCGCCGGAAGAGTGGAAGAGAGAGAGAGCGAGAGAGATGTAAATGCATGATGTGGCCAAGAAAGATGTAGCATAGTATACAAAGCATACCCTACGTACGTAGAGGGCGTATGCACATATACCTACGGCTGACCTAGCGGTCCACGGCCTGTGGCCGCAGTCCGGCTTCCTTGATCTGATGCTAGGGTGCTTTATGTCCTTAGCATCCACCCCGTCGTTGACCTGATAGCTTGGGGGCGGGGGCGGGGGGGGAGCCAGAGTGGGGAGATCCTGAGGGGGCGGGGCGAGGGGTGAGGAGTGAGGACGGGGGCGAGGGGGGCGAGGGGGGCGAGGGGCAAGGGCGAGTGAAGACCTGAGGGGTGATGGAGACCTGAGGGGCGAGTGAAGACTGAGGAGCAGCAGCAGCAGCAGCCACGGCGGCGGCGTATGTGCCGACACGCTCCACCCCCCTCAAGCCGTTCGTTCGCGGGGTACTCTGTTGTGAGTGTGCTCAGTGGGCTCAGTGAGGGGGAGGGGGATCGCTGGCACATTTCCTGATTATCTAGAGTAGATACCTGAGTACATGCCTGAAGACCTGAAAGCTCGAGACCTGAAGACCTGAAATCCGAAACCATCTCGCGGCATGTTCTGCTGCCTGAGTTAACGTCCGTACGTCCACACATCCGCGGGGTATACTCTAGCAGTATACTCCAGTCGTATACTCTAGCAGTAGAGTACCTCGTAGAGTGCGGAGGCGGGCGGGCGGGGCGGAGCATTCGCTCCTCATCCTCCCTCAGGTTTACTCACTCATACTCATACGGTACTACTCTACTCATAGTTACTACCGTATGACAACCTATGATAACCTATGATAACCTATATTACCGTACCTATTGTGCTCGCCCTCTCTCTCTCACATACAATCTCGCACTCTCGAGAAATTGAGATCGCATAGCAACGACTCGTTGGGAATAGTTTCCAGAACGGCTATGTATCATATGAGCCCTCAAGAGTCAACCTCAGTCGTGACCCAGTGAGAGTATTGCGCACGAACACGCAGTGAGTGAGTGAGTGAGCGTACCCAAAACACACACACACACACACGTTCCGCCCTACCTCGCCCACAAATTCACAATGTGTCATTCCCCACCCCTCCCTCCCCCGCAGTGTGCGAGTCTGGAACTCACGCCTGCCCACGCCCACCCTTCCCACGCCCCACGCCCACCCACCCGCCCGTGCACACCACGCACACGACACATCCACATCCACAGCGTACATCCTCGCTCGCTCGTCTAAGTGATGTGATGTGAGGAGTGCGCAAGCGAGCGAGGGAGCGAGTAACGAGAAACGTATCACCGGTAGTTATGATGTATGGTGTATGATGTAGTATGTAGACTTAATTGTGTTGTGCATTGTATTTTGCATTTGGTTCGCCTTTTGGCTTGAACTACCCCATCCATCCAACCAGACTATCCGTCCGTCCGTCAAGACAATCAACAGATCCAGCTCGTCACAAGACGGCGATCATGTTATGTCCCCTTTCCCCTTGCCCCGCTCCTCCTCCTGATCTTCCTCCCAAACACCTAATGACACAGAGTAGAGATATATACAGCTCCCCCGCCCCACCCCACATGACACTATATACCCAGAAAGAAAGATGTGGTCGCAATAAAATAAAATAAAAAAGATGCACTGCTAACGAGTTCCCCTTCCCCGCATCATGACGAAAAGAGAAGAACGCCAGCCCATGAAATATAACCGAAGGAAAAAAAACTCGAAATTGAAAATGTGAGAAGGAAAAAAAACTAAAATCCGCTAGATGAAAAAAGGACGACGCTTCCCAAAAGACGAACCCCGCACCAATGATGTTGTAGACAGAAAGAAAATCGTGAGGATGGCGAGACGTGATATCTAGAAGGTGGATATCATCGTTGGTAATAGCCGATCCTCAAACAACACCTCTGTGCTGTCGTGGTCGTCGTGTAATGTCGAGCTGAAGTAGGAGATTGTTCGCAGCTCCTTCTCGGACATTGGGTAGTGGTGTTCGACGGGTTGTGGTGGTGACGGAGGCGCATGGTCGTCTTCCTCGTCGTCGTCGGAAGCGTCCGAGCATAGCGAAGGTGGTCGGTGCGATGTTGTTCGCGTCAATGTGAACATGCCATCCTCCTCCTCGTTCTCGTACTCGTCGTCATCGAAATCGGCCTCGACCTCTTGCACTTCGATCACTGCTGCGCGTTGCGGCTGCGGCTTCGCTGGGTAGGCTGTTCGTCGCGTCTGCTCGTAGTAGACCTCCTCGAACTCGTCCTCCTCCTCCTCATCGGAGTCCTCCTCGTACTCCTCGTCCTCGTCGGACTCTGATTCTGTGTCGGACTCGTAGTCGGCGGCCAGGGAACCGTACTCCTCGGTGTCGTACTCGTTTCCTCGGACGGTGTTCTGGTACCACCGTTCCTGCTCTGCTTCGGCTTCCGAAAGGTGGATCATGAGGGAGTCTAGTAGGTTTGCATGTCCTGCGAGATTGTCAGCGTCCGAAACGAGAAAGAACAAGAGAAGCGAAGTGAGGTTACATACCGACTAGGAGTCTGAGGTTGTGGTCTCCTCGGGAGGCCTCAGAAGAGAGCTTTCCTCGTGCTTTGCGGGCGAGCTGGAATGTTTGTGCGATGCTCATCTTGTCGGTTCTTCGTGGGAAGGGAGTAGCAGTAGGAATGTCGAAGGTGATTTTGGTGGTCGATGGTGGTGAAGAGAAGTGTGTGGGAGAGGCAGCCATTTTAAGTTATACAGGATAAGGATAGGGATAAGGTGCGTAGGGAGCTCAGGTGTGTGAGTCGAAGTTCGGGTTGGCTGTGGGTGGCTATGGGTGGGGGGGGAGGAAAGTGTGCGGGTGGGATTGTGAATTTGGCTGTACGGTTGGATGTGTGTGGTTGCTCTGCTCTGTTCTGCTGCGGGAATGAGTCAGTAAATATGCCTTTTATTTATTGAATGGAGCGGACGGGGTGCACGGGCGCACACATACCGAGAACTTGGGATTATTGTCAATCAGGACGCTATTGCTCGTTTGGGAAGCGTTCGGCAAAAAGCCAAGATCTCCACTTTCCGTCTTGGTGCCGTGGGCGCTTTTCCTGCCAACCAGCGCCTTATCGTTCGCAGCAAGCAGCGACCGAGATCCGTGCAGCTGTCTGTGTGTGTGATGGTTGGTGTTGTCGCTGCAGATATGTAAGGTGCCAACTAGCGATGTTCGCGGACCTTGTGTGGAATGGGCGGTGGTGAATAGGTAAGTGCGGACTTAGGTGGGCACTCTAGGCGAATCGGCGGGTCAAAGGGTCCAAGTTCGGGGGGCAGTTTCCGAAGACGATGCTTGCTCGGCGAAGACGGCGGGGAGAATCGTCGTTGTTTGAGTTTTTCTTTCGTTCGGGGGGTTTTCGACAAAGGATTTTCTTCACTTGGTGGACGCTAGAAACCGATGGAGAGATGTGATCGTGAAGGGCGAGGAGGGGATGGGGGAGGGGGAGGAGCAAAACGAGACGGGGCTGCTTACTTGTAGTGATACGTTTAACCTTCCCCCACGCGGGCACTCTGGGTGCCGAGGGCGGCGTTTCGATGTTTCCAGCACATCGTCATCACCAAATTATTGATCTGATCACATCACACCGATCAGGGTCCTGCCCAGCCTGTGTTTGTTGCTCGCTCGCGTTCGGATGTAGGACGGGCCTTACAGATTCCACGGCCGTCGGGCTTTGTCAAACCCCGGAACCGCCATACCAGGAGGACTCATCATGCTCGCGGAACACCGGCACATGCTGGGATTCTGCGACCGCAGCCACATGCTCACATAACTCACAACCACGACCACCATCACCGCACGCCATCGCAGGATGTCGTGAGTCGGAGCTGCGTATGTAATCTGGCTGGCAGACTGGCTGGCCGGGTCCGACTTACTCGTTTCGTCGCCGCAAGCGAACCGCCAGCAGCAGAAATCCGCAAGCAGACTGTTGACAGCATGCACCCCTCTGGGAACTAGAAAATAGCTTCGACTTTCCCTCGCGGATGTGTCTGGCTCCCCCAGGCATGCCAGCGGCCAGCAGCACACCATTCACCTGGCAGGGCCAGCCAATCGCGTTTCTTCCCCGGCACGAACTCCCCTCCCACAACGGACGCTGCTGCTGCCGCTGCTTGCTGATGCTGATGCTGATGCCAGTTCCGATATCCTGCTTTCGCGTTCGACGATCCGCAACCGGCAGTCAAACGTTAAACCTCGACCACGGAAAAGAATCCCCCTCCCATCTCCCCCCTCCCCTCCGATCCTCAAGATCCTCGAGATCCCCGCTTTTTCGCTAATTCCATGACATTTCCCACCTTTCACCGCCACGGCGATGCGGATGGGTGGGCGGTGCTTAGGAAGCGGAGTTCCTCATCCACCCTCCATCCGACAGGACAGACAGACATCATGACGCACTCTAATTGCTTATTTGTAAGGCTCGTGGACACCTTCCGCTGTCGCTGCGAGTCATCCATCACCAGCAAGGCCATCATCCGCACATCACACCTGCATCCTCCCCTCCCCTCTTTGGCAGACGGGACAAAGTAAACTCCGCGTGCCTCCCCAAGCAGGCAGGCAGGTAGGTAGGCAGGCAAGCGGGCGGGCGGGCCAGAGTCATCACTCTTTTTTTCTCCTTTTTTTCGCCTATCGGGTTTGGCGGATAAGTCCGACCGCGAGCCCGAAAAAACCCCCCATCCCTCCGCCCCCTCCCCAAGAAACGGCAAATTGGCGTGCGAAGCACTCTATCCAACCATGGAACCGACCCGAACTGGGAATGTCCTTCCTCACACATACATACATACAAAACACACATATCCGAAAACCCCCCCCCAACCCCTCCCCTCCCTTCCCCTCCCTTCCCCTCCCTTCTTCATCTTCTTCGAATCCTTCTGCTGCATAGAGCACCTACATGCATGCAGTTTCTCCGGAGCTGGAGTGCATGCGCGGATTTGTTATCGATGGACGGGAAGGAAGGCTTTGCGCTTTTCGCTTTCCCCTTCCCTTAAGGCCCCTTTGCCCCTTCCGAGGAAAGGACCGGAAGGAAAAAATCGCGCCAAATTACCGACATCGAGCCGTAGCCTGTAGGTAGAGTACGGACCGGCGGCCGGCGGCGAGCAACGAGCCGCGAGCGAGTTCTGCTGGAGCTATTACCGGTAGTATGGATAATAGCACTCGTGTGTATAGCATATGCCTCCCTCGAGAGTCGAGACACCATGTAGTCACCGTAGCACATGCTCGGCGATAGCAGTAGGTACCCGTGTCTCCCCGTCCGTCGGAGAAAAGTGTTGCAGCCTTGCAGGTACTCACACATATACACGGAGTTACACGTTCCTACTCTTGCCTGGTTGCTTGCCTACATTCTTATTCACCTACACACACTGCCGGTACATATGATGCACCACTACCACTCGTTCTGCCGGAACGGAAACATAGATGTTCACGGCCAAGCGAGCTCGCTGGTTCGCACCACACGATTCGGCAGGATGGAGGCGGTTCCGGTCCCCGGATGACCGCGAATCAAAGTTCAAACATATTCTATCTATGTTTGTAGAGTACAGTACCGGTGTATCCAACACACGAGTACGGATCCAACAGCTATCTCGAAGAGATTACCTGTGACTCGAGCAGAGTAGATACCCAAAACCTATAAAAATCACTGTACGCGTTACTTGGGAGTTGGCTATACCGGTTATACCGTATCTACTATACATACAGGGTAGAGTGCTGGCTTGCTGGTTGGCTGGCTGGCTTGCGAAACGCGGGCTGTGATTTGGCGGAATGAAGGACGAGTACCTACCCACCGTAGGTACTCTGCTGCACCGCCCGGCCGGCCGGGAAATTGGGCGTGCGAATACGACCTACCAACCTACCGGGCGTACATATCTTGATGGTTTTGGGTGGTTTTGGGGTGCGCGTTCGTGGAGCGGTTCGTTTGGACGTCGTTATAGTAGTTGCAACTTGCCTGGGTATGTCGACAGTCGACGTCCTATTCGCAATACCTACTCTACGTCTCGCCGTCTCGGATGGATATAAAACGTAACGAGTGTGGCGCAAGCTATTGGTATTGGGGTATCACCAACTGGCAACACGTTACACATATCCCCGACTCCTCGCGGATCTTTTTTTGGAGGTCGTGTCCACTGCCTACTGTCCAGTCGTTCTGTTCGGCCGTCTCGGCCTCGGGGTCTTAAACGTCCTGGAGATCGTACTCGTATGTATTGGTACTCGGGGTTGCGGTGCTGCGGTGTCGCGGACGCCGGCGTCCGCGTGGTGATTCGTGGCTTTAAGCCTTTCGACACCCAGAGTAGAATCCTAGAATCCTAGAATCCTAGATGTCGGATGTCCCAAGAGTGGCCAGTGTGCCCAGTAGCCAGTGCGTGTCTCATCCGGTGCTGGAAGCTCGACCATGTGCGTGTGCAGTGTGTTCCGATACCTGGATGTCCCTACATTCTCGGATGTGATCGTTGCACGTGTCCGTGTTCGTAACTTCGTGCTCGTACGGAGCGGTGCGGCGTGATGAGCCGCCGCCGCCGCCCGATGTCTCGGAGGTTCGGAGGTTCGGAGGTTCGGAGGTTTGGATCCGGTCGTTGCACTGCACATGCCCATGCCTTGACGCCTCGACGCCTCGTACGGAGAAACGAACCGCAGTCCATCACATGCTGACTCCTCACTCTGGCTCCAGCTCGATCTCGAACTCAAACTGCAGCGCGAAATCCCTCTGTAGATCTCCCCCGCATTTTCCACTCGCCTGAGTCGCCTCGCAGCCTCCAACTAGTTACATGACTAGAGTGGTTACATATATTTGCACTTGCACTCCAGCGGTGCTCACTGCCGACCATCGACGGCGTTTCGGCGTGTCCTCGTGGTCTGTCAGGTCTGGTCCTGGTGGTGATCGGATTATACACTTGTGGCTTACTCTACACACATATGGGTGGTATGGCGGAGGGGGAGGGGGGGGAGGGAGGGAGGGATGCATCTTGTTGGTTGGTTGGCCGAGCAGCTGGTGGACAGTGGAGATCAGCATGCCCGCCGTGTACACTGGACGGTGGGGCATTAATATTGTGCATCGTGGCAGCCCCACCCTAGTTAGGGTACTCTACAGAGTAGCTTCGGACGATCAGACGATTCGCACTTTTCGATGCGGGACACCTCGCCTCGTGGTGCTCAATGTGGCTTTCTGGCTGGCTGGCTGGCTGGCTGGCTGGCGTTGGCTGTCTCGCCTGCTCGCTCTCAGTTGCTACATACCCCCGGCGAGCTGCGGCGCATACTGCCCCCACCTCCCCACCACCCTTCCCACGTCTCCCCTCCCCTCCATTCATCGTCGTTCGTGGTCGTAAAGCTTGCCATGCCCAGGGCTGACTATCCGACTACCTATCCGACTACCTAGGTATCCGACCAGCTGCAATCGCAACATGTATGATGTATGTATGCAACCGGCACGGCCAGATCGAGCTCTTCCCATATGGAGTAGCTCACTGTAGCCCACGACCACCCAGCGAATCGGACCAGAAATGCCAAACTCACGTCGACCGATATCGATCGTGCCATGCGTCCGCATTGCCATATATCGACTTGCCGGGCGAGCGTGGGCGTGGGCGTGGGCACTCTACTCTACTGTGCATGGGCCGGTTCAAACCCCCAAATCCAACGCGTATACCAGGCGAGGTCTTATGCGGTTAGTAGGGTATGTAGAGTGTGTTGCGAGTACTTGGGGGTGCTGGCCGCTGGGTGCGACTGCTGGGTGCGAATGTTGGGTGCTGATGCGCGCAACTGGTAAGTCCATAAGGCAGCTGCAGCCTTACTCCATATCGATTGCGATTCCGGCTGCGCACCTGCCCTGCTGCGCAACTGCCCTGCCAGCCGGTGAGACGAGGAGCCTGGTCGTCTCTTCCTGTTTTCCCCGAGTGTTCCCCGGGGCGCGGGTCAGCCTTCGAACAGCGTCTGACACACCCACCAGGAGTTAAATTGACGTTTCGTAGATGCATGTGGGTAGAGTATCTAGAGTGAGAATGTGGGTGTGCGGATGCGGATGTTTGACGTCCGGCTCCGCGTCTGCCAGTGATTGATTACACACGAAACTCCAGGCCGTTCGATTCAATCAAGGGCAATTCATCTGTATGCCATCGACGCTCACCCGTCGCCCTCCCCCTGCGGCCCTGGAGTACAATACATAACCCGCCGTATCCCTTCCTCCCTTTCGTCCTCCCAATTTCCCAATGCAATGCAGTTGCTATCGATAGTTACCATACCCACCGAGGTAGATACCGTATCGTACCGTGTGTACCGGTATCCATCCATCCATCCAGCACCCGCTGCCATCACATCAACCACGCTGCTGCTATCATACCTATCAACCACGCGTATGCGGCCCGCGCAACCGACAATCACCCGTCGATCCGCCAGAGGCTCGCAACCACATGCCTCCACACCATTGAGTTTGGCGGGCGGTCGGGCGGGCAGGCAGGCAGGCTCGCAGACTTCCGCGCAACGACGTCTCGGATATGATAACACTGTAGCGTCCGTCGTCGTGTGTGTGTCTCTCTCGTCTCTTGCCGATCACACTCCCTCCCTCCCTCCCTCGTCCCTCCCATCCATGGTCCCTCCCCACCGCTGCGCTGGGAGTGCTCGGTTGCTCGGTTCGGTTGTATCCTACCTGGATACCTTAATCTACCGACTGACCGGGGGCTTAACTCAACTTAACTCAACTCAACTAGGCCCGGCAGCTGTTTCGGGACCACGGCGCCGGCAGGTGGTTGATATATAACCTACGCTAAGTAACAGGATACGTTAGTCCCCACAGCAGCGCGGGGGGTGATGGGGGAAGGAGGCTCGAGATGCTGGATATGGATACGGATACGGAGGTTCGCGACGAGGGCGATCACACTCACTGACACGTCGACGCTGTGCGCGGTGGGCGGCGTGCAGTGTACCTACGCGTGGACGTGTCGCTGCAGCTGCTCGCGACGGCGAAAGGTCAGTTCCAATCGGCGAGGGAAGGTACTGTCGTATGTACTCTACCTAGCAGGTAGAGTACATAGAGTACCGACGAGAAACCGGGGCAGCTGGGGAGTATGTAACACCACCCCCCCCCCCCCCCACCTCCCTACGAGCGGCAACTATGCCAAGACCCGGTCTGGTTGGAACTTGGAAGTTGGAAGTTGAGGGTCACTCGGCACAGGGGAGCTGAACGCTCAGCGGGTGCGCTTGTGCCCATGGGGGAGGGGCGGTGGACCCAGGTCTGTGGTTGACTGACTGACACGGGGACTCTGATAGATAATCTGATTTTGACTGCCGCCCGCCCGTGTATACGGCCCGTGCTGTACATACCCGGCGGCCTGTGGTTTACCCGTGGGCCCCGTGGTTGGGTACCAGCACGGGAAACATCCTGTTCGATCCATCAGCGCTCACGCCTCTGGGCCCAGCTCTCCCAAGGGTGCGGTTGGTAACTTGGTATCTATCGAGATTCGAGATAGTTATAGTAAAGCGCTTGTTTCACGATGCCGGATTCCGCTGCTGGAAACGTCGTAGGTACTCTAGGTAGGTAGGATCGCGGACCGTGCGATTACATACGGGTGTTGGACTTTCGAAGGGACCCCCACTGTGGCTACCAGTTATCCGGAAAAAGAAGACTGGAGCCCATCTCCTGCTCGCAGGTCTCAATCTCGGATATCAAGAAGGTTTGGGATAAGTCGGGTTCGAGAAGAAAGTTACTTCCGGTTTTGAGTACCTGTCTTTGCAATTGATCGACCACAGCCTGGCAGTCCAAATCGTCTCCGTTAGAGTGGATGGGAGACCTGAGCCGTGCTCTTGTTCCACGGTCCGCCATACCGGTACCGTATCGTATATGGGTATTCGACCTAGACTTGATTGTTCTAGAGAGATCTTCAATTTAATCATCCCTGCTTGCCGAAGTCTGATATTCGGGTGATAGTTTGTGTATGTACGAATTTACATAGTACCGCACTCGAGATGTTCTGTTTCGGCGTACAGATTGGCCAGATGCCAACCATGACTTTTGTCCGGGTGCTTTACTAAGTACACACCAGCTCCATCGGAGCATATCATTGCTCGAATAGGCCTTACGCATCACTTTACGATGCAATTCGCACTCGGAGTTACCCGGCGAAGAGCGCAAAGCCGATGAGAACGAAGACTTTTGGATGCCCATCTCCCAACAGTCGACCGAAATCCTCTACAGATGCCCGGTAGCAGTTCCCTCGGATCGAGTCGACAGTTAGGCTCCACAATAGTCTTCTTATTGGGCCGGAATCGTGTCGTGACCCGGAGACCAACAGTCACACTACAGGTGACGTTGAAACAGTCCATTCACCGACTCAGTCACACCCGGGGGTGGAATAAACCCAAGCCTTACCCCACCATCGGAAGAGCCACAACCCCTCCATCGCTGCTGCAAACAACACTACTGCCGCAAACACCACCGCAACAACAACGCAGACTCTTCGCAACTCAAACCTCACTTCCCGCGACATCTCTTCATCCCCGGTTCGTAATCATGGCGACAAACGACGATACCGCCGCTGCCCAGCACGTCCCCAAGGAGTTCCCGCCGATCCCGTCGCTGGAGTCGCTGCACAAGCGCCTGCAGTCCCTCAGCATCTCCGAGGAGATTCCCGTCTTTCCCGAATCCAACCCTACCACGAATCCCGTCGATATCTACAGGTGCATCATTGCCCACCACCTGGCCCCGATCACCGGTGTCGATATCAACCTGGTCTATCCCGCTCTCGAGTGGACACAGACTTTGGACAAGGGCGATCTCATTGTTGCTGCGCCCCGACTGAGGATCAAGGGCCGCAAGCCGGATGAGTTGGCGAAGGAATGGGCCGAGAAGGTTTTACATTCACTGGCGGTCCTTCGTGGAGGGGAGGAGGGCGGGGAAGGGCGGCCGGCTGACTCGACTGGTTGCATGTAGTTCCCAGAAAGCCCCTACCTTGAGCGCCCGAAGGCCGATGGAACGTTCTTGCGCTTCTACTTCAAGAACAGTGTTCTCAACAACGTTGTCCTCTCATCGATCCTAAACAGGAAAGAGAACTACGGACCCATCAACAGCGGAAAGGGAAAGCGGGTCATTGTCGAGTTCTCGAGCCCCAACATTGCGAAGCCCTTCCACGCTGGTCATCTGAGGAGTACCATCATCGGAGGATTCTTGGCCAACTTGCACGAGATCTGTGGTTGGGATGTCATCCGCATGAACTACCTCGGAGATTGGGGAAAGCAGTTTGGTTTTATATCCCGTACCGCGGGGCGGAAGATGTGTCGCTGAACCGTATTGCAGGTATCCTCAGTGTCGGTTTCAAGCGGTTCGGTGACGAGCAGAAGCTCGTCGAGGACCCTATCCACCACCTGTACGATGTCTATGTCGCGATCAACAAAGTGATCGAAGCGGAGAAGGAGGTCGAGAAGGCGAAAGCAGAGGCCGCTGGCGTGAAACAGGTATATCCAAGCCTTTGGACGCTCACTTGGTTGTTCGTCAAGTAGAATGCGCGTGCAAGAGGACATGGGCTAAGCTTTGGGGGGAAAAAGACGTACAACGGACCTACCGACGACGAGGCACGAGCATTCTTTGCAAGTATGGAGGCTGGAGACGAGGCGGCCGTCGCCTTGTGGGGGCGGTTCCGTGACCTCAGTATTGAGAAGTACAAGGACACCTACGCCCGTCTAAACATCAAGTACGATGTCTACTCCGGTGAATCCCAGGTCTCGAAGGAGGCCATGGACACTGTCAGCAAGTTGATGAAGGAGAAGAAGGTGTCGGAGGAGTCCGATGGTGCTCTGATCGTCGACTTCCTCAAGCACGGCGCGAAAAAGCTGGGCAAGGCCATCGTGCAGAAGAAGGACGGTACTTCGCTCTACCTCACCCGTGATATCGGCGCAGCTATGGAGCGCTACGAGAAGTACAAGTTCGACAAGATGATCTATGTTGTTGCCACACAGCAGGATCTCCACCTGCAGCAGCTCTTCAAGATCCTTGACCTCCTCGGCTTCGAGTGGGCTAAGAAGTGCCAGCACATCAACTTCGGAATGGTGCTGGGCATGAGCACTCGTAAGGGAACTGTTGTGTTCTTGGACGATATCCTGCAGGAGGCCAAGGAGAGGATGCACGATGTCATGCGCAAGAACGAGGACAAATACTCGCAGGTCGAGGACCCCGAGTACATTGCTAGCACCGTCGGCCGAACTGGTGTCATGATCCAGGACATGTCTGGCAAACGGTACTCCCCACTCCACTCCTGCCGCTCGGTACACAGCTAATGACAGCAGGATCAACAACTACACATTCGACATGGACCGCATGACCTCATTTGAGGGCGACACGGGCCCGTACCTTCAATACGCACACACCCGTCTCTGCAGCATCACGCGCAAAGCCAATGTGCCGATCGAAAAGATTGAGAAGGCGGACCTGTCACTACTGACAGAGCCGCACGCCACCAACCTCGTCCGCTGCCTGGCGCAGTATCCCGATGTGTTGCAGCAGACACTCAAGACCCTCGAGCCGACAACTGTGGTCACCTACCTGTTCAAGATGACGCATCTGTTGAGCAGCAGCTACTCGGTGTTGCACGTTATCAGTAGTGAGGACGATGTCAAGTTCGCTAGGCTCGCGCTGTACGAGAGTGCTCGCATCGTACTGCACAACGGTATGACGCTACTAGGACTCGTCCCTGTGGACAGGATGTAATTTTTTCTTTTTTGCTGGACGGAGGTAAAAAGTTCGCCTTGATTTGGGGTTTTGATTTAGGTTGCGTTGGCGAATTGTGGTATCCATTTCCACTCATAGATCTGAAATATGATGACCTAGAAGGTTGCCTTTCTGAGACTTTCGACTTATGTGCCTAAATATCGAGTGATGATTGATGCTTCAATGGATGACGTTGGGCGCATTTTAAGCCGCAGAGAGCTCCAAAAGTTCCACGTTGGCCATTCGTTTCCAACTATCGACGCCATAGCTCTCACCAGCTCCCATAAACCACCATCACTTAACGAGACATGCCACCACCGATAGAAGCACTCACACCGTCCCAGGCGACGCTTCTTGCGGTTTACCTAGTGTCAGCCGCCGATCTACCACGCTTACGGGTCCTGATTGCTGCACACCCGAAGGTTTTCCTTACAAGTGCAAACAATGAGACGCTCCTCCGCATCCTACTGTGTCTTCCCGAGACAACTCCACCGGACACGTATACGCCCATCCTCGATGCCGTAGTCGACGGAACCCCTCTTGAGCCCCCGGCGGTGGACGCCGATACCCCCAGCATCGACACCACATCGGTCGAGAACCTCAGCTCCTCCCGCTGCGAGCGGAAGCTATCGCAGCTCCTCCCAGCACCACTGCTACAAGCCGGCTCCTCAGCCTCAGACAAGCTCACCGCCTTCCTGATCCAGCGATCCGAACGGATCGACGCCGAAACCGGGCTCCTCTCACTGATCGCCGAGCTGCTCGCGCACTACACCGCCCGGCCCGGGCTCCCCAGCATCGCCGCGCTGGCCACTGACGTCGCCGTCCTCAGCACGCTGGTGTACACCTTCTCGCGAGAGCCCGTCCCCTCGCTCACCACGTTCCGCACGCTCCCCGTCGAGGACGCGCTCGAAGTCCTGATCGCCGACCCCTCCACCGTCCCGCGCGACCTGGAAGCGCTCGTGGTGCCGTATCTGTGCGTGCGCGAGGGTGGGGGGTGGGATGCCGTGTGGGCGCGCCTCAGCGCCCTGCCGTTTGCACGGATTGTGGCGGTGGTGAGGGAGTGGACGCCGCCGCCGGAGGAGCGTGCTGTGCGAGCGGAGTTTGTGACCTGGGCCGTCGGCGTGTGTTATCGCTGTATGGAGACGGGGGCGGGCGTGTGGGAGGGGATGAGGGCCGTGCAGCGGAGGGTGGTGGCGCTGGGGGGCGGCGGAGATGCGCACGTGCCTGAGGTGCTGGGCGATCTGGGTGATGCCGGGAATCCGCTGTTTGCTGCGCTGGGGCTGCTGGATGTGGGCATCACTGCGGCGGCGATGCTGGGAAGGCCGCTGGCCGAGGCGGTGAAGCTGAGGTTGGAGGGGAGTAGGGAGGTGCAGAGTGCTGTGCTTAGACAGTTCGTGAGGCCGGGGACGGAGTGGAGTAAGCGCGACGATGAGGCGTGGGGGAGAGTCCGGGATGGGGCGAGGTGGTTGCGGAGTAAGGCGCAGGTGCTGGGGAGGCTCGAGGCGGAGGAGGTCGAGAGGGTTGTCCTCGCGGGCATGCTGGCGGGAATGAGGTTTGGCCTGGTGAGAGATGTTTATGTTACCAGCAACCACACCACAGATATCTCACTCGACGAGGTAGAGAAGTGTGTTTTGGCAGCATTCAACGATTTCGTCGATAATGCTACCAATGGGAATAAGACTCGAGGTGGCATGAAGAATGCTCTTCAAGCGTATGTCCCTCTCTTCCTCTGACTGTATATGCCATGGTAGCTAACAAACACCAGTATCAAAACTATCTACCCACACGCCTCCAACTCCCCCACGCTCTCCCGGGCGAACAGCCTAATAAACGCCGTCCACAGCTTGAGCAACTATACCATGCCCAGTACCAACCGCACCACGCCCCTCATCCCCGTCCAAATCCGCATCCACCCAGACCCGCTCTCGCTCCTATCCAAGCTCCTCTCCTCGAACACGCGCTCCTACCAGCACCCAGACGCGCTCCTCCAGATCGGCTCCGACCTCGTGCACGGCACCGGCGGCAGCGAAGCCGACACGCTAGCCGCATCGCCGCGCGTCCTCGGAATGTGCGCGGAAGCCGCACTGGACGAAGACGACTTCGAGAGCGCGTACGCATACATCACGTCGCGGCTGCTGCCAGCGGCCACATCGCGCAACGAAGCCGCGCGCAGCACACTATGGCGGACCGCGCTCCTCGCGGGGCGCTTCCAGTCGCCGTACGCTCTCCTCTCGGGCACGACCCCGCGCGGCCCCGCCGCCCTCGCCAACCTCGAGAAGAAGCGCGAGCTCCTGGCCTGGGCACTCGCCTACTGCCCCCCCGAGGCCCTGGGCGATGTACTAGCCTCCTGGCGCAGGAATGAGGACGATATCGAGGTGCTGATGCAGGCCGAGGAGCTGGCGGAGGAGGAGCATGCGCGCCTTGGAGGAAGCGTCGCGCAACGCAGGATGAGTATCGCCCGTGATGGCGAGACACCCCAGAGTCTGTTTGAGGTTGCGAAGGGCGCTGCGAGGGTGTTTAGTTCGGGTGTGGGTGGCGGGATCACGGCGCCCCCGAAGGAGGGCCAGGAGAGGGAGCGCAAGAGGGATGTGGTCAGTGGGATGGTTACTAGGGGGCTTGTTGGTGGGCTTGGGTGGGTCCTGGGCGCTCAACCGAGTGTTGAGGTGCAGCAGCGGTAGAGTGATAGGTGGTGGTGGTGGAGGGGCGTTTTTCGGAGTTTTTTTTGTTGCTTTGTTTTTTCTTTGAAAATCATTGGGGTTGGATTCATTGTTTACACGATGGCGATGGCGATTGCAACGGGGAATGTATACTATACTACATCATGTGCATGAGATAAATGGTGGATGGATGGCTGGATGGCTGGACGTAATAATGGCAACGAAACGAAAACGTATTTCTCCAGTTCGCAGTTCGCACAGCAGCAGTAGCAGAAACGGGCAGTTTATTATTGCGTGTCCCCCCACCCTACAAGTGAGACGACAAAGCGTATGCATATACATAGTAAATCACCTCCAATGCACCCCTCCCTCGCAGCTTAAACAACCAATCCACGCCCGCAATCCCTCGAAAATTCACGCATCAAACCTTGACCTTCGCCTTCCCCACTCCGGAGGTCAACGTGAGCATGAACAGGAACTGCACTAGGTACGAGTAGCCGAACAGGAACCACATGCGCCGTTTCCGCTGCATCCGCGGCGCGTTCGTCGAGTACACGTTAGTTGCGTCGGCGTGCCCGTCCGCGTCTGGGAGAAGCACGTATTTCAAGCTCCGGAGCTGTCACTTGTTAGCATGGGCGGAAAGCATGGGGGAGTGTGGGGGAAGAGGGGGGGTACCAAGAAAAACGCCTGCGCCGAGTAGCAGTAGGCAAAGACGATCCAGGAGAGCCAGCCACGGCCTAACAAGCTCGTGGCGAGGATCGAGATGATGATGCCGACGAACTTATATCCACTGTATGCGACGAGATCGAGCATCTGGGAGTTACTGATATTGAGGAGGTAGCACCCGAGCTTCAGTCCGACGAGCTCGAAGATCACCGCGCCCAGCGCGGTACTCGCAGTGTACCCCAGCAGCTCTGGGTGGAACGTCCCCGACAGCCCGTACAGCAGCGCCGATAGCAGGATGTACGTCACGAACGACATCAAAGGGATGTACATGTCCGGCGCGTTGAGGTCCTCGCGCGGCGGGAGGTAGATCGACTCCGCCTCACCCGGCCGCTGCGCCGACGCGCGCGCGGTGGACTGCCGTGACCACATCCCGTGTCGCCATGGGTTCACCAGGATGTGCAGCTTGCGGATCACGTAGATGTTGGTGACGGCGAAGTACGGTTTTAGCGAGGAGAGGTAGCGGGATATCTGTCGTATACGTTCCCGTCAGCTTCCGCCCTCCGTCTCCATCTATCCCCATCCATCCCTCGAGCTATGCACATACGTTCTTCTCCGCCAAATCCGTGCCGCCCGACATGGCCGCGCGGGCCACATTGAAGCCCATCTGTGCAGTCATAGGGTCTGCGAAGAAAGCGGGCGCAGCCGCGCCGCCGAACCCGCCAAACTGCGGGTAAGCATTCCCCTGCTGGGGGTATTGCTGAGCTCCGCCGCCGCCGTAGGGGTTGTCGTATGGATCCGACGAGTGTGGAGGTGGAGGGGGGGATTGCATGACGGGCACTTGCACAGGTCGTTGCGGTACGGGATGGTGGATTGGTGGTGATACCGGCGTGTGGCGTTGCATGTTTTGTGTGGAGCTGGTGAGAAATCGAAGGCTGCTGGTGCTGGTGCTGGTGGTAGTGCTGGTAAGGTGTTGTTCTCTGCGGTAACTTTGCTTGCTTGTTTGGTTGCGTACCGTAGTTGGAGAGGTGTCTTGTGTGACGTGAAGGGGATGGACGGGGATACGAAGAAGGGCAGTATTCTTTGTTGGATGACCCGGCGTCGCATCATTGATCATCACGCATGAGAGCCCGTGCCTGGGTCGAAGAACAAAAACCCTGTGGTATTTTGTTCGCCATAGTCTAGAAAGTCTGTATGCGGAACAATTGATATTCTCTCTCCGTGGGACCTATCTAATGGGGTAGAAACTATAAGAAGTACACTGATTGAGTCTATCCGGGAGGGTGCCTCTGGCTCATCAACGATCGCAAGATTCCGTGACAAAAACAAATCGATATTTATGTGGAGAACTAGAACTCTTACCAGGCGTACCCTTCCCATCGTATGCATCCCCAGGTCTAACAATCGAGCTATCCAACCACCGAGGGACAGTCGAGCCAACGGGAATGACACGGACAATTGAGCAGTGAAATTAAGATCATGGGAGGATAAAAAAAACCCCTTCACTTCCCATCCCACACCGGTGCCAAACCACACCGACCATTCGCAAAGAAACCAGAGAGAAAAGCAACAACGAAGAAACCCCTCCGATTTTTTTAGATAAAGCCTAACCAGCGAAAAATCCTCCCATGAAAGAGAAGGAAAAACTGAAACAAGTCGAAAAGGGGACACAGAACTCCGAACAAATGTATTAGGAAAAGACAACGTAGTAAAAGCTCATCAAATCATATCTCCCGCTTGTCTGGTCGCTGACGATGAGAAATCCCCCTTTGAAATTGCAGAAATGACGTTTTGTGTGACTCCAGAGCGCCGCGAAGCATTAAAACAAAGGGAAGATGCATCTCGTCAGTGAGTAAACCACTTGTAGCAAATGCCATTAGTGATAGGAAAGTCCATTGGTGTCTGTAAGATGATGATGATTAGTATACATGCGTCGGATGGATGTTGGAGGATTAACTCACGAAGTCTGATGGACAAACGGCTCTCGTCCATGCACGGCAGTCGGTCTTCAGAGCAGGCCAGCTTGTAGGCATCCTCGAAAAAACCTTCGTGTTTGTCGGTTTCACCTCTGGCGATCGTCTGCTTGTAGCAATGAGAGAACTGCGCCATATCGATCACAATCCTCTGGAGGTGATTGAAGTGCGACTCCTTCCATAGATCCTCACACACTTTATGCGGTTTCAAGTTCATGGTCATTAGAGACGTCCCATGCTCGCGCAGGGCATCGCACAGGTGATATTTTGAAGGGAGAGCTTCGCGCGAGCTGGCACGGCCAGTGCGGTCGAGCCAGACCCAGAAGATCAGGTGGCAGAGTTTGTTCGGGATCTCGCCGAGGACACGCGCGATGCCTGCGTAAATTAGCATTTACAACTTCATTCAACAGCCTGGGGGCAGGGCACATACCAGCGGATGTCACGAGCTTGCAGTTCACGATAGCGAGCTTACTGAGAACGTAGAATCGGCGCACCAGGAAAACGAGTAACGCATCCGAGACTTCAGGGGCATTTTCGAGTTGGAGGTTACTCAGTGCCCGGAAACCGTAATCGAGGCCTCTCTCCGCCATGTGAAATGGGATCTCGAGCGGGGTAAAGTCCACTGAGTCGTTCATGGGCGAATGAACGATCTTGAACTTGTTCAGCTTCGGGAAATTGATCAGGTGATTCCACATCTTATTGAGAACCTGCCCACAACTCGTCTCATCGGAGATGACGATTTCCCTCATGTGACGGAATCTTCCCAATAAGGCTCCGAATCCCAAAGCGCTCCCATACAACTTGGTCGAGAGGATTTGAAGGTTACGGCAGCTCTCGACGATTCTCACAAAGAAACTGGCGTAATCCGTAGTCGTGACATGAACGTTGTTGACCATTTCGTGTCTGTACACGCCGCGATTCTTGTAACTGATTGTCGTCTGTTCCAGATGGATTTTGAGCACTTGCACCATCTGTCCCAGCTCCGGATCCGCAGTCAGTGTGCGAGCAAGGCCACGCAGAGGAATGTAGCTCTTGATGCAGATGACCCTGTAGATGACACGTTGAGCAACAAGTCGCAGCTGTCGGCAGGATTTCACAACTCCCGCAAGGTTTCTTGCCCTTCTCCAGGTGTCTTGGACGCCCTCTTCAATGTCCCATTTGTTTCCGGTAACGATGTCCTTGATCTTCTTGTCCTCGGTATATGCGTCGCCATCGGCGGCGTATGCGAAGATGGACTCTAAGAGCTCGTTGGGGCACCGGCACAAATAAGAAGATTGAAAGGTTGCGCTGCCAACGGAGCTGGACTGGCCACTATTAGAGCTCCTCCTTTTCGACTTGCGCTCCTTGTCCAACTTCACCAGCCCTGTAAGATCATCACGGTCCAATACTGTCTCCTCGTAGGGAGCGTCATTATCACCAGACTCCCGAAAACCGTCTTTCGCGGACCTCTCGACCTTGTAGGTTGTGGTTTTGGAGTCGACAAGCGCCGACTTGACCAAGGAGGGCTTCGAGCCTTTCTTCGATTTCAATGACTTGATTGGCTTCGGGCTGATTTGGCGCCCCAAAGCGTGCTTTTTCGGGAGCTGGGGCAAGTCATTGGTGTTAGGCATCCACTTAGTGTCCTCCCAGTCAGCGGGATCGCTGTCAGGCGACGTTGCCTTGCATGCAGACCCGAGGTGACGCCCTTTGCACAGCCAACATGTTTCCGTCTCCTTTTCCGGTGTAATAGGTGAGGATTCCACCTTGTTCTCCTCCACCGTGTTCTCCTCCGCCTTATTCTCTTCCGCCTTCTTACGGTGTTTCTTGTTTCTCGATGAGCGTCGACGAACCCGAACGCCCTGGTCGTAGACGGCGTAGTCAGTCTGGACACCTTTGTTGCAGGTTGATTTTTTCTCCGCCTGGTTGTTGATGTTCGTCGCTCGCTGGGAAAAGAAAGCTGCACTAGGCGTGATATATCGTCCAGTTGTAGCCGAGGTGTACGGCTCCCAGAGCCTTGAATAGCCGCGATGTTTTGTAATAACTGCTGAAGGAATATTGTGACGATGCAACGTCAACAAATCCTGCGTCCATCTACGGTTAATCACGCCTTGCTCGTCGCGAATTTTTTCTCTCGTGAGAACGTCCAACCTGGGCATGCGGCAATCGTGATAATTGTGTCCTTCGTGGAAGCAGTTGAAGCACCGTTGAATCTCCCACTCGGGTATGCCGATAGCCCGTGGCACGTCATCCGAAAGCTGGGTGGTCTGTAGGGTGATATCTATCGGGAGATCATTGGTAACAGCGACCTGTGGGGTAATGGGCGGCTGTTTGTTCGATTCGGACGACGAAGTTCCTCCACTGGTACCTCCGGAAACTTTGTCCGCCATAGCGACTTCTGGAACGGCTGCCGGCTGTTCGTCTGCTGGCTGTTCGTCTGCTTTGTGCGGCAAAACTTCCCCGATAGCCCTAGAGACCCCATTCGTGACAACATGCGCAACAACAACCGTTGGAACGACATCTGGTTGTTTGTCCAATTTGGGTTGAGTCTTCGACGGCGTGATCTGTAGACCGATAGCCTTCGAAGGATCGTTGGCGCCACTAGTGGGCTCATGTTCAATGGTGACTTCTGGCATGATGGTCTGCTGTTCGAGCAACTTCGGTTGAACGTCTAGAAAAGGGGCCCGTTCATGCAAGGCACGTGGGAGGGGTTTCAAGCCAGAAGTGCGGGTGTGCTGTCCACACTGTTAGTCACGATACTGTTAGTCACGAAGCATGGGAAAAGGGAACGGAGCACCCACGATTAATTCTACCAGGTGAATTTGGTGGTAGAATGCATCTTCATGCTCAGTGTCTTTGCATGACAGGTTCTCGTCGTTAACTTCGTTCGCGAGCTTGGTAATCAGCATTAAGCTTTTTCCAGCGTCTTTGCCACTGTCGGTCTTGGGATTCGAAGTTGGGTATAGCGGAACACCTCCGGACAACCCCGGCGGTGAACAGGGTTCATACGATGCCCCAACGTGATGTGAAGAGCGGTTGTCAAGCTGCCCGGGTGTTGTTCTGTCTGGGATCAGCGCGCCGGATATGCACTTTGGAATGAAGTCTGGTGCGAAGCCAGTTCGATGCGGTCCCGCAACAAAACCACGGGGCTGTGTAAAGACTTCTTGATTGAGTCCAGCCTGGACTGCATACGGAAGTCCTCCAAAGATCGAGGCCTGGCTAGCAGTCGTGGAGCCTCTACCCCAATCGCGCTGGGCCCTGCCACTCGGGTGCCAAGCAGTTGGCCTTGCTTCAAACGAAGCACTGAGCGTGGTACGTCCGACATATTCCCAACCGGGGCTTCGTGGGCCATCAGTCGTCTCCATATGCGAATCGCGCCTAGGCGGAGGCTGATAAAGCGGAAGGTCGGGTCTGTCCTTTTTCGAAATGATGGTTTCCGTATCTCCATTCTGCGATATGGGTGCCGGAGCACGGATATTCTCATTCTCACTCCTCCTTGGTTGGACACTCCTACCGGCAGCAGCAGCATCGTTCTCGAAAGAAACAGGTGAAATTCTACCATCGGAATTCCCAACACCCGTCATATTGTGCATCAAAGGACACTGATCTCCGCGGCCACAGGGATCTGCAGGGTCAAACAGATAAGCGGAGAACAGAATAGCGGAGACCCGATGGGTAGGAATTCATCGGGGCCAAACGCACCTCTCCTCTTGAAGTGATCAGCGCACAAAGGTGGCTTCTCGTTGGGGTGGAGGGGCCTATGTTCATAACGACACCTCGCGCGAGAGCATTTGCCTATTGAGCGAGTTTGGTTTAGTAGAAGTATGGTGATCGCATCAGGGATGTTGACTCACCGTGTTTCAGCCACTTGTCGCACACCACAGCACCGTTGCTCCACATCGAATCTCTATCGTGCATGTCGAGCACCTTCTTAGGATGCAACGAGTCTCCAACGGTCGGACGCCTTGTAAACGCACTAGGGGCTCCAGACGACATAATCGCAACAATGTTGTAACTGTGCAAGCTTAGAGGTTTGTGACTAGCTTCTGATGTAGACAGATGAGCGACCGACATACAGCAATGGAGCGCAACCGAATGGATATGTGCTCACTCCAAAGCAGCGAAATTGTGAGGAGAAGCGCAAGGTTACACCAAGTGCTTTTGGGAAAGCAACTTGGCGTAAGGATGTTGTAGTACTTTGTACTCGTCGTAGGCTGTGCGGAACAAATCGTGAGCAACTGGGGAAATATGAGAAGATTAGAGATGTGAGAAGGTGGAAGGTGGAAGAGAGGTGTTGTTTGTGGGATTGGAGTAGTTGTAAAAGCGTGGAGAAAGCTTAAACGTCAAGTGAAGGTTGCTTGCAGTTGATGTCGGGGGAGTGAGCAGCACAGACCAAGCGAGCCCGTAGGGGCTTGGCAGAAAACACACGCTAGTTCTAGAGGCTTACATACCTTTGGAGACGATAGCGCCGTGAGTCTATGTGGAGAAGGAAGGAGGCAGGGAGCGAAGGCGAAGAGATTACGAGAGAGAGATGAGTGAATGAAGGAGGAAGGGTCGAGTGGTTGAGCAAAAAGAGGGGAAGCGTTGGGAGAGGGGCAGAAGAGAGGTGAGTTTTTTATAGGCAGTGTAGAACGGGAGGCTTGGAAGCATCCGAGAGCGAGGTTACTTGCTTGCTAAACTTCCCGCGATGATTCCATCAACTTTCAATTGAAGGAACAGAGAGAGAAGTTAGCGGCTTCAAAAGGCTCCAAATTTGCATGTGCCCGTGGAATTGAGCGCGAAGTATGGAGGTACGTAAGCAAGTAGGTACAAAATAGGTACTTCTTACTTGTATGCATCGGCATTTCACGCATGGGGGTCGAACCGCGCAAGTACTCTAGAGAAGAGCAGATAATACTTTATACTCGGTGCCCCGACCGACATCGATGCTCAGCATATTTGCGCTATCTCTAGAGTATACTTGAAACACAGGTTTCCATCGACCTTTGCTTATTCTACGCTGCGAAAGCTTGAGTCGAGGAACCCCGCCAGTTCCACTCCGCTCCGTAATCCGACCAATCGATAGGCGTCGTGGAAAGCGCCGGCTAAGTATCTGCATGGTCAATGCGCGGCACGAAAGCATTCGCGCGCTAGCTAAGGCGTGGTAGCCTACGTAGCGCAGTTCTGACATCGCATGAGATGGACGGATCATCAGATGGCGTATTGAGGCTTCTTCGGTGTCTTCAGAACACATTCATTTGCTCAATAGCGGAACGGGCTTGGGCCGGTGTCCGGGACTGCGCGGACGACGACAGAATACCTGCCTCAGGGTGTGCATGTATTCTGCACATGCGCCGCGTGTCAAGATCTCCATCGGCTGCTCACACCCGGTTCTTCACGATCACAAATATGGTAGATAAGTAAGGGCTTACATCCTCTCAGCAAGGATAGCAGCAGGCGGTGATTTTTGACGGCGATTTCTCATTCTGGCTTTGCGATGCCGTGGGTTGAAGGCTTGACAAGTGGACGCCGTACGGCTTTGATGGGTCTAGGCTTTCCCCTCGCCCGTTCCCTCCCGGTCGAATATTCACCATTAGCGTGACATAATCTTCTCTTGGGTCTCCGCTCGTCTCCCGAATCCAACGGTGGAGCAGGCAGAGAGCGCCGAAAGAACACACCCAACCACGAGACGAACCTACGGAGCGCCACCACCGCTGCCGCCCCCACATATGCGCCAACCTGCATCACACTCCCCCGCGGGCTGGCCCGTTTACTGTGTCTTTCGGTTGTAGGCACTCTAGAGTACCTACAGCTTTGAGTCGACCGACGATACTCGAGTGCCAACGTGTGTATGTAGCGGGCATTCCGCTTCACCCCACGGACGGGAGGGGGCGGATAGGCTAGGATCAAAGGGACCCTACGAGGGATGTATCTTGGTAGCAGAAGATGATTCCAGCGTCAATTTAGGCGTTCCCATGCTAGTAAACGGGAAAGATGCCGCTAAGATGCGGGAATAAAAAAACATCATCCTGAACATCTCAAAATCTTGAGGATATTTCTTATAATCCCGTATCGTTTAGAGGTAATTGAATGACGTCTAGCCGTCAGAGTCTAAAAAGAAGAAGCTATAGTGTATTTCCTGAGTTGTGTCTGTTCAGAAGATCGGATTTTCGACCAAATAACGGTGTCGAGGGACATGTGAGCACCAACGTGAAAGGCCAACACTTATGAGCATTCTATAGAACCCTTACTACGCTGAGGCGGAGGTAATCCAATGTTTTTCTGACTTTAGGAAATTGGTTGAGCTCACGGTTGAGCTCCGAATGAGCTAAACGTCGGTCTGAATCATATCGTCTACTAGCAAACTCGTCACCACACTCTTATGTATCAAGGGACAATGCCGAAATTCGAAAAGAGAATCATCAAGAGGGGGCCACCGATAAGATATCCATCCAACTGGCTGGAGGGTGGCTGGCAAATTGGACTGACAGTCAAAGTTGAAAATTCCGTATCTTAAGGGATACATTGACCGCAAACGAGCTGCGGTTCAGGGAATACTACACAGCAGTTCGCTCTCTCGGTTTCCAATACGCAGTGAAACTCCTACGTGAAACTCCCACGTGAGAACCCCCCGTGCCACCAAATGAGATCTTGGCCCAAGTGTCCACCGCCTCTTTGCCTCCGCGACGCACACTACAGTACCTACATCAAACATCATGCTCGGGCCCGGTCGGTCTCCTCCTCCGTGAGAAGTATGCCTCGTTAAGACGGACGAGTCATCCAGACTTAACGGCGACGAAGAAATCATATCTCGAGTGATAGCTGGTGAGCTATGAGAATTTTTCGTCCCGGGGGCTCTCCCGCTTCCATCTACACCGACACCTACATCCTACAACCTGTACAGTACTTACGAGGTACGGCTACCTGAGTTCGCCCGTACAGTAGATTTAGCTGTCGCCGTGCCCTTATCCGCCATGTCGCACATAAATGTTTAGCTCTCCTTAGCGGCTCGATTGTGGCAGTGCCATCGAAATGTGGCGCATACTACATTCTCCATCCACCGAACAGATCCGTGGGATCGATCGGAATCAACTCACAGTTCCCTCACACCCTGAGGTCATTTTTAGAGTTGTGGGAAGAGGCGAAGCGAGGCTTGTCAAGGCGACACCTGCTAGCTAACCTAACCAAAAGGTAAACAGCCCGCAGTTGCATAATTTCTCTCTGTGACCCTTCATACCACCCACACATCTCCAGTGTTGCACATTATATTTCGCTTCTGCACAAATCTCAAACACGAGAGGGAGCGAAAATGTGGCTTGGCAGAAGGGAGGGAGGGAGCCACCATGTATCAGTACTTAATGCACTTATTGAAGCCGGTTGGTTGCGGCGAAGGAGTGTGGTTGTGCAAGAAAGGGTTGCGAAGGGAAGGGGGGAACGTGCGTTGATGCAAGTGGGCACCTGTCCCCCCGGCTCCCTCCAACGGATATCTTTCTGTCGCGATGAACGACGTCGGTCTCGTTTGCAGCTCGACTCATCACACCCCCCCCACCATCGTTCGTACTCATTACCTCGTCCCCCCACCCCACTACCCACGAACACCACACACGTCCTCCCCTCAAGATGCCGTCCAACCATCGCACGAGCGGAGCTCATCGTGGCGCCGTCGGTCCTATGCTTCAGCACGAGATCACAACACAAAATGTTTGTTTACTCCCACTGCATGGTTACAAATTATCTAGATAGCTCGGAGGAGATAAGAGGATAGGAGGAGAGAAACGAGTGTTGTGAGGGAGCGGAGACAGGCAGACCGAGTATGCTTGCAGTCATCACTGACAAGGCTCAAGGGATACGGAGGTGATGATGCTAGCTATGGCGACATCAATATCCAGGAGCCATCCTCGATCCTCGACCAGTCCAGGAGTGTTGTCATAAGGCTGGACGAGTATCGCACTCTCCTTCGTTCCTACGATGAATACAGTAATTGCTTCCCCATCTTCCACTCCCTATCCCCCACAATTTTGGTAGTAATTGCACTTACTGAGATATCGCCAAAAACGCAGATGCTTTGAAGGATACTCTGCTTGCTGGAGGAGTTACGATCGAGAATCTCGAGGTGACTACTTTCCCTATCGCTGCTACCCACTTTTTAGACGTCGCAGTGGGTTGTCGGTATTTAACGGCTGTCGTAGATTCTTATCAACACCGGCCTTCAGCAGCAGCAGCAGCAGTATGGTGCCGCCGTGGAATATACCCCGCCATCGCCAGTCACCCCACAGCAGTCGGACACCGAGTCCTTTGTTACTCCGGCTAGGGATAATGCGGGAATGGCAAGGGATCTGCACGATGACCACCACAGTGGTCAGTATGGCAATCAGAATGGAAGGAGATACTCTCATAGAAACGGGAATGGGAATGGGAACGGAAACGAACACGGGCGTGGTGCGGCGAAGCAAACATCCAACAATCATGCGTCGCAAAACGAGACTCTGGATAGCAACACCAACGGCTTTAGCGTTCAGGGAGGGGTTGGAGGGGGAGGCAAGTTGAGAAGAACTCTTTTCATTACCGGCATTCCAAAAGATGCCGAGTACTGCGATTTGGTGGGGGTTATTCGCGGGGGTCCTATTGTCGATGTGTGGATGAACAACAGCGTGGGTCCCCTCGCGCTACCTGGGATCGTGCATTTCTGACAATCGAACCAGGATCGTTGTGCTTCCGTCTCATTCGTAGACCCTGTGGATGCAGAGACATACTTTCGCTATGCGAAGAGGAACGACATCTACATCAAAGGCCGCCGAGTGAGTGCCTTCGCACCTCTCTCCATTCTCTTGAATCTGACGACAGTTTAGGTCGAAATCAAGTGGCGCGAAAATGCCAGGCAGTTTGTCATCCTGCGGAACATCGCGCGTCAGATCCAGCATGATGGTATGTCTCCTTACTTATCTACTCTATTCCGATCGACGCTGGGGTGGATAAATCTAATTCGCTTCTAGGCGCGTCGCGTGTTCTGAGGATCCGCAATCCCCCCTCGTCCCTAACTGAAGAACGTCTCCGCGAGGATCTCGATCATATCGCGAACCTTCGGGTCGAGAAGATTGAGCGTATCGAAGGCGACCTCCAGTGCAACCTCAACTCCATCTGTGCCGCCTTGTTCGCCAAGACTTGTTTGCGTTCCAGAGCCTACTACAAGGGATCCAAGATTGAGTTCGGCGTCGACGAGTGTTCGAAACCCCTTTCTGATCCGAAGGCTTACCATCACCCCGAGGCCCGCCAAAAGTCGAGTCCCCCGCAGCAGCAGCAGCGCCAGCAACAGCAGCAGCAGCAGCGCCGTCCTAATAGGTTCGATGTCTTATACGCCGAGGATGGAGGAGAGGAACTTGCCGACGTGGACGGTGACGATGGCGAGTCTATCTGTACCTTCACCCAGGATGACGATGATGAAATAACCAACCTCGCCGAGGCTACCGATGTCGGTAACTGGGCCGATAGCACTGCTGCCGAGAGATCAGGTGGTGCCTATCTCCGCAACTACTGGTAGGGGGTTTCCTCTGGCTTGTGCCATGGAGTGCAGACGATATCCTATCACTTCTATATTTTCGGATATTGGGGTGTCTCGGGATGTGCGGACTTGTTTGCTGCTTTAGGGTACTGCCATTTTCAATGTTTCATCTTTTGTTTCTCACGTGCCAGAATTGTCATTTTTACAGCCCGGTTTCTTCCTTTTTCTTCTTTTTTATTTGTTTGTCTCTGGAAATAATCATGTGCATGGGGCGCCGGCGTGGGTTTCGAATTCTCTTTCTGTTATCATTTCCTTTTCTTCTCTTTTGCTCATGGATCATGGAATGTGGGTTGGGTTTGATATCAGGAACTTGTTTGTATGGTGCAGTTCATATGGTCTGGGCTGGGTTGTGGGCGAGCATTGCTACACGTTTTATATGTAGAGCTTGATTCGGGTTGAATGGGATCAGCTAAGATGGAATGACAGCACTGTTCCTAGGTGGATGGTGACTGATTGATCACGAATTATCACTCTCGGTATAGTACACCCCCAAGGCACCTGAATGAGCGTATAGGTATTAGGTATGTACTTTTGTAGTCTATATCTACAGCGTATGTACTCCTCAAAGCCCTGGCTATGTACTCCGCATACGTTCCAGAACCCAGGTTCGCCTCAGCTCAAGTCCGGCCTGGCGGCCATAACCACATCGTTCCCCAACACGGTCCACAGCACATCAGTGAACCTGACGGCCGCCTGGGTCTCAACCACTCTCGGCGGACAAACGTTCACACCGCCCGTGCCCAAATAGACAGGGGCAACAGTGACCACAACCGAGTCCACAAACCCGCGGTTCTCCCTCCGGAGGAGCCCATTAATCACCTTCCCCCCGCCCTCAACCATGACACTGTCGAGCCCCAGCGCCGCAATCGTCTCCAGCACCGTTTTCCAACTCCACGGCGGCGGCGCATCTATGCGCACGACTCTTCCACCCGCCTCCTCCAGAAGCCTCACCCGCTCGTCCGCCTCCACCTCACCCCCGGCCGCGGCAGAAACGAAAACAAACGGCGCCTTCCCCTCTCCCCTCCCAGCAGTCCGCAGCACCCTCGCGTCTCGTGCGATCCGCCAGCGGAACTGTGGATCGAGCACTACGGGCCGCGGCTGGCGCGCAAGCGGAGTCCCGGGCAGCCGCGAGTTCAGCCCGGGGTCATCGGCGATCGCGGTCGACGCGCCGATCAGGATCGCAGAGTGCTGCGTGCGCAGGTAGTGCGTTAAAGCTTTTGTGGCCGAGCCCGAAAGGAGCGTTTGCACGCCCGCTGACAGGGAGAGGTGCGAGTCCAGGGAGGTCGCGTAGGTTAGTGTTACGAAGGGACGGGTGGGGAGGGGGACGGGGGAAGGGGAGGGGGTGGGGGTGGCGGAGGAGGAGGACGGCGGGAGGTAGGCGGATAGGAATGCGGGGATGCTCGGTGGGAGCGGCGGGAGTGTTGACATCTTTGTTGTCATGCGTGCGTGTGGTGGGACGGGGCGGGGCGACGTGGGGCGGCGTGATGTGTTGTGTTGCGTTTGGACCCGACCGGCCGGCAGGCTGCGATTGGCTTGCTTGCTTGTCAGTTGGTTGGTGGCTTGGCTCCCCGTTCTATGCGAGGAAAAAAAAAGGTTGCTAGGAACTCACCCCGCCTTGTTTGAGAGAACTCCACACATATTCCACCACCACCACCACTCACACATACACACGATGGCCGCAACCCTCAAATTCGACCACGCGCTCCCCGCCCTGTCTGGCGAGTGGACCGGCGGAGACTCCAACTTTGTCTCGCACGCATCCATCACGGCTGCTGTGGACCGGAAGCTGGAGCCTTTGGGGCCCCACTTCCTGGCTCATGCTCGCAGAGTAGGTTTTTTTTCTCGTTATGATGATGATTATGAGAAAGGAAGGAAGGGGATGCAGATGCAGATGCGGATGGATGGCTGATGAATTGAATAGAAGCGTCATTCCCGCACTTTCTCAGAGGACGATAGAATCCAGGCTTCCAAGAAGGTCAAGAATGTCGAGGAGGAGGATGCCGGCGAGATCAGTGAGCCCGAGGACCCGTCCATGCTCACGCGGGATCCTAAGGACTGGAAGGTAACATCACCATAACTTCTACTGAGTGGGTGAGTGAGCGAGTGGGTGAGCTGACGACTGTGCAGAACCAAGACCACTACGCCGTCCTCGGCCTGTCCAAGTACCGCTTCCGCGCCACCGACGAGCAGATCAAGAAGGCGCACCGCCGCAAGGTGCTGAAGCACCACCCGGACAAGAAGGCAGCCAGCAGCTCCGGCGCGCAGCAGGACGACTCGTTCTTCAAGTGCATCCAGAAGGCGATGGAGATCCTTTCTGACCCGGTCAAGCGCCGACAATACGACAGTGTCGACGACAACGCGGATGTCGACCCCCCCTCCAAGAAAGCCAAGGGCTCATTCTACAAGCTGTGGGCGCCGGTCTTCGCGGCGGAAGGCCGCTTCTCGAAGAAGCAGCCGGTGCCCACACTCGGCAACGAAAAGTCGGCGCGCGAGCAAGTCGACGAGTTCTACAACTTCTTCTACAACTTCGATTCGTGGCGCACGTTCGAGTACCTGGACGAGGACGTGCCCGACGACAACGAGAACCGCGACCAGAAGCGCCACGTCGAGCGCAAGAACAACGCCGCCCGCAAGAAGAGAAAGAACGAGGACATTGCGCGCCTGCGCGAGCTCGTCGACAAAGGCCTGTCTCTCGACCCTCGCATTAAGGTGTTCAAAGAGCAGGAGAAGGAGCGCCGCAACGCAAAGAAGAATGCCCGCGAGGCCGAGGAGAAGCGCCTGGCTGAGGAGGCGGCGAAGAAGGCCGAGGAGGATGCGAAGCGGAAGATTGAGGAGGAGGCTGCCTCGAAGGCGAGCCGTGAGGCTGGAAAGAAGGCGAAGGAGGCTGCGAAGCAGGCTGTCAAGAAGAACCGTCGTGTCCTTAAGGCTTCCGTCAAGGACAACAACTACCTTGTTGTCGGCGACGCCACTCCTGCGGCTATCGATGGTGCGCTCAACGATGTTGAGCTCATCCAGAGCAAGGTCGACCCCGATGAGTTGGCTGAGCTCGTTGCTAAGCTGAATGTTAGCAAGGGCCCCGAGGCCGTCAAGGCTGTCTATGTTGGTCAGGCGGAGGCGTTGGCTGCTAAGGGTGTCGTCAAGAAGGAGGATTTCAGGGTTCTGTTTGCTTAGATGTGGAGTGTCGAGATCTTTGATAATCGATTGATTGGTGGTGCGGGGGAGTTCAAAAATGGCTACCTACTTTAAAGTTTACTTCGGGGGTGACAATAAACGTATTGCTTCCGCATGTGCTTGAGTCACTTCACTGGAGATATAAATCATTGATTACCAGTGGCCGATATTACTCGGAGAGTAATTCACTGCCATTTCTATCCAGTTCCGCCTATCCACCCTATAGTCTACCAAAAGAAGATACAAGAAAGCAAAAAAAAATGAAAACACCAGAAGAAAGGTGAAAGACAACCCATTAATTAATTATATCATCGCTTCGTTCCATATGTTGGTAGAGTAAAGGCCAATCTAAACGCGTATAAAGCCGGTGGTACGTGTGAAGGGGAAGAAAGAGCCAAAAAAACAACTGGACGAAATGAACCTAAGCGTTCAAAGGTTTCCGCGCAATCATCATGTACATTGGAGTAAACAGGTTCTCCTGTGAAGCAGTTAGCATTCGGTTCCCAGGAAGTGTGGGGGTTGGATCTGGACGTACCTTAGCACCAGCAACCAGACAATCCGCAGCCACAGCCAAGGTGTCGGCAGTCTTCTGCGTTCCCTTGGGCGCAACACCGATCATCTCCAGCGCACCGACGAGCTTGTGTACAGCTCCACGTCCGACCTTGGTCATCCGCAGGACGGTGAAGAGATCACCGACGGAACGGCAGTATTTCATGTCACCGGCGAGAGGGTAGTACCACGGGATCTCGTCACCGCGCTGGGCAAGGTCCTCGTGGTACTCGAGCTCGAATCCGGCAGCCTTGATGGCGCGGAGTCCTTCGCTGATCTTGACCATCTGGGAGATTCCGTCACCACTGAGAAAAGTTAGCAATTGCGGCGAGGGAGAAACGAATATGGAGGGACAAACATCTCGATTCCGTGGCAGATCTCACGGTGGTGGGCGTTGGTGGCATCGTAGTCGTCGGTCATGAGCCACTCGTAGACACCAAAGACACCACCGGGCTTGAGGACCTTGAAGATCTCGGTGTAGACACCCTCGAGACTGGGTGCGTGGACAGTCGCCTCAATCGCGTACACGGCGTCGAACGAGTTGTGCTCAAAGGACATCTGCATAAAGTCGCCCTTGACGAACGAGTGCTTATCGGCGAGACCGGCCTTCTTGGCGTAGTTGGTCGCACGCTCGATCTGGTAGTCGTTGTTGTTGAGACCGACAATGTTGACGTCCGTGAAGCGCGACATTTCGCGGGCGGGACCACCGACACCACAGCCGACGTCGAGGACCTTCATGCCCGCCTTCAGGCCCATCATGTGGGCGAGGTAGTGCTCGTGGCGCGCGATCGCCTGGTAGAAGCCCTCGCCCTTGTAGAAGCGGCAGAAGTGGAACGACTGGCCCCAGCCGTTCTCGTACAGATCCGTCGCGAGGTTGTAGTAATGCCGTGTCAGAGTGGCGTAGCTGTCAACACGCTCCTGTCATATCTATTAGGCTCCGTCCGCCAAGGAAAACGGTCAATGGGTTGATGTGGTTATTTACCTTCATGTCCGCCTCCGTCTCCTTTCCGGCTCCCTTTCCGTCCCAGTACTTGAAGTACTCGTCGACGGCCGCCTTCTGGGCATCCTTGTCCTTTCCCATCATAGCCATGAAGCCGACAGAGTCCTCGGCGGTCTTTCCGTGCAATGCCTTCTTGAAGTCGGCATCACGCTGATGGTCTTCCTGCTCGAGCTGAACCTTGTTGACGGCCATTGTTGATGTGTTTGGTGTATGGAGAAGAAGATTTAAGGTTGGCAAATGTGAGACTGAACGAAGGCGAAGAAGGTAGTAGGAGGTAGGAGGTGAGAAGTGAAGGTGTTGTCGAGGGGAGAAAAAAAAAAGAAGGGGCGACCGTTTTGTAGTGAAATTGATACCGAGTACGCGGAGGATGTTACGAAAACGACGGTCCGCGAAAGGGGCTGATATTACGAGCCAAGACAGGGATTCAGGAACCGACACTCGTTAAGCGTGGCCACTTTACGCAACAACACCACACACATGTGAGCGGCACCCCAGCCCGTGGCGAACGAATACTGAGTGCTAGTTGTATCTATACGAATACGCAAACGAAGGCTCCGGAATGAAAGGCTTGTGAAGTTCCGAGCTGGATACCACAGCCTGTGCGTGTCTTCACCGGCCACCGATTGAGTGCAGCTATCCTTCCATCTATCCTTCCTTGATCCTTCATCATCCTTCCACACAATTTGGACGCGGATATGGTGTGGCATTGGCATTGTACTTGCACACAGGCAGAGGCAGAGTACTCTATGTACTCCACCGGTCCATCATACCGGTATCTGTCTGTTGTTGTCGCGATAGGAAAAGACGCCAAAGATATTGGACAGCATACACGGAAGGGCGAATGACTTGGCCACATTCCCGTGGCCACCTCGACTAGCTCGATTGCTGCGCATGCATCTAACGGATTCGACGCTGAAGAAGAGAGTCGATGCGGGCTGCCGGCAGACCACAGGCAGCATAAGGCAGGGGACGTAGAGACAAGTGAACAAGAGACCTCCTGGCCGGCCGGCTGCCCACAGAGCGCATTGACTTCGTTTTCTGCCGGCCGTTTGAGTTGTCCCCCGACGGCACATAGTCGTGTACTATACATAATGCGATTGTCAGTCCTCGTTCGTCCCCAACTCAAAATCTGGGGGAGCTCGGCGAACGCCGCCGGTTGGTGGCACATCATCCTCGTCAGTGCCGTGCTGCGTGATCACCTGCTCTCTGTTATCGGGTTCCTTACGTTACGCTACACGTTCCATGGCCAGCCAGCTACCTCCCTGGGAGCTCGTCTGGCGAACGGACAGCTCGTCTTTATATACCGTCCTCCTGCCGCTGATCCTTCTGCTCCCCATCAATTCTAAACTGAACACGCATACGAAAACGAATACAAGCCCCAGGTCAGATCAATACGAATAATGACAACCAGGTACGAGAGAACCAAGCTCAAGGGAGCTTAGCCTAGGAGCTGCGTAAGCTAACCCCCCCACGCAGATACCGAGTTGAATACGCCCTGAAGGCAAGCCATTCACCGGGCATTGACCCCTCGTGAAAACAGTATACTGAATGATGTGCTTAAAGCTCCACAGGCCCACCGTCGCGATGCCCTAATCGAGTTCATCAAGGGTCTTCTGGCCGTCCCGTTCGTTCTCCACTCGCAGCCCACAGCGTCGAGTAATGCCTCCGTCAAGGAGATGGCAGAGGAGGCGCATAGGCGGTACAGGGAGATCATGAGGGATATTGAGGGGTTGGTGAATGACCACAGTATGCTCTCCCTTACGATGAGATGTGTGGGTGGAGAGATGGGGGTGTTGATGCACTTGGGTAGTTACGTGCGATGCAGCGGAGAAACCGGAGCATTCGAAACTGCGCTTCCTGGTGCCGTCGGTGGGACGGTTCTTTACACCGCTGCTGCTGGAGAAGGCGTTCGCCGTGCAGGACCAACGGCGGGCGATCTCGTCGCGGCGGTTTGTGGCACCCAGTTTCAATGATATTCGTGTAAGGCCGCCGTTCATTCATCCATCCATCCATATCGCCCGGTGCTGATGGAGAAAAAAATCGCAGCTCATCCTCAACACCGCACAAATAATGTCCCTAGCGACCCTCGACGGCCCCACGAAGCTCATAACCTTCGACGGAGACGTCACCCTCTACGACGACGGCAAATGCCTCGATCCCACGAACCCGGTGATCGAAAAGATCATGTGGCTTCTCGAGCGCAATCTGTGCATCGGCATCGTCACAGCGGCGGGATACACGGACGGTGCGCGGTACCGGGAGCGACTCTACGGGCTCCTCGAATCGATCCGCGACTCCAGCGTCCTCACCGCCTACCAAAAGCGCAACCTCATCGTCCTCGGCGGCGAAAGCTCGTACATGTTCCGGTCGTCGCCCACACACGCCGACCTGCTGGAGTGGGTGCCGCGGACGGAATGGCAGCTCGACGAGATGCGCTCCTGGTCCGACGAGGACGTCCAGGGGCTCCTCGACATCGCCGAGAACAGTCTCAAGGACTCCACCGAGGCCATGCGGCTCGAGGCCACTGTCATCCGCAAGGAGCGCGCCGTCGGCATCATTCACTCGTCTGGCGGGAAGTTCGCGCGCGAGCAGCTGGAGGAGGCGGTGCTGGGCGCGCAGAAGACGCTGGAGCTGAGCGAGGTTGGAAAACGACTGCCGTTCTGCGCGTTCAACGGCGGGAACGATGTTTTCGTCGATATTGGAGATAAGAGGCTGGGCGTGCTTTGCTGTCAACGCTTCTTTGGTGATGTGAAGGGGAATCAGACGTTGCATATTGGAGATCAGTTCCTCTCGGCAGGGCATAATGATTTCAAGGCGAGGATGGCGGGGACAACTGTGTAAGCTTCCACCCTCCCCGATCTCTTCCTCCTAGTGAAATAGCGCTGATGATACTAGTTGGGTTGCGAGCCCGGCAGAAACGGTCGCTTGCCTGGGTGAGCTTAAGGAGCTCATGGAGAATGGGCTTCCGGAGTGATCACTGGAGAGAAAGCTTGAGCTTGGGGGATCTTTAATACCAATTTCATTGCTTATGCATCTTATGTTTTGTGTTTGCGCTTGATAAGATTTATACTCGTGGGTTGTATTTAGCCATTGTTTATAATTCAGTTTACGTCGGAATGAAGTCGGCTAGTAAGCTTCAACCATCTATGTAGCAGTTGTGAGTGCTTGTTGTAAGGGTAAGTGCTGCCTCACCAGGTTTTCCCCCATACAACTTAGTCACAACCACTCACTCATTTCATTGTATCCGGCTTAGTGTGCTCCTACTATGGACTAGTGCTTATAATTCGTAATGGTGGTGAGGCACCACTTATTGGCAGCTCCTGGTACATCGGTAGACCAGCACAGCGTCACGTCTCTTCCGATGAAGGATTCCCACCTCCGTCACGCTCACGAAGTTACCGCAAAGATAGCTCCAGCACCAAAACAGCCCATTGAACGCAGCATATATTACCAAGCCGTACCGTCATCCCCTCACACCCAGGTATGTATGTAGCCGTCATCCACCACCCCACCTCACCTCGACTCCAGCTCCCTCGTCCTATTAAGTATCTTCTTGATCATGTCATTGCCGAGCTTGATGGCCTCGGGGAAGCGGGGCGCAAAGTACTGCTGCGGCTTCTCGAAGCGCATTCGGTAGCCGTTAAAGTCCTTGAACGAGACGGCCTCGCTCCAGCCCCGCGCCGCGAACGTGAACTCCAGGTCGTCGCTGCGGAACCCTTCGTCGTCTAGTGCGAAGCGGATGCAGTCGTTTAGAAGCTCGGGTTGCCGGAAGAGGTACTCTGTTGCGCCGAGCCAGAGACGGAAGAGCTAGGTATTTCTGTTAGCCCGTGGGGAGGTGGGGGTGGGGGTGGGGGTGGGGGTGGGGGGAAATACCGGTGTGGAGCAGATCATGTGGTCGTAGGGAACTATCCCGCACTTATGCCAACAATCCACCATAGCAAGCAGCGACAAATGCGAATTCGGTTTCCTCTCCGCTTTGGGGACGCCACTGAGCGAGAACTGTTCCAGCAGGTCATCTTTCAGCAGCAGATCCTTGCCTTCCTGGCCTCCAAACACGAATTTCCCCGCGGTCGTGATGCGCTGCGTAAACTCGTCGCGGCTCCCCTGGAGTATGAGCTTAAACAGCTCTGTAACGGACTCGGCGTACTGCCGGATTTGCCGCTGCGCCGCCGGGTTGAGAATCGCCAGGCCGGCGTAGACATGCCACTTGTTGCTGTAGATGCGCAGCGTCACGTTGATCTTGACGTTTTCGATGCCGCCGGACCACCGCGTTTCTTCCCAGGGGAACTGGTGGTTTGCGGTCCACGCCGAGCCCATGGAAAGGAATGCGGCGTGTGTGACGGCTTGCGTGTCCGCCGTGATACGGTCGTGCTCTTCCGCGCTGAGGTGCACGAATTTGGACTCGAAGCAGGAGAGGATTTGCGTTACGAGCGCGAATGAGGCATCGGAGGCCCGGTGCTTGATCAGAACCTACACGTCTGTGTCAGAATTGGCCCTTGTACAGTGAAGGCCTGGCTTGCTGCAAAAACTCACCAGCGGTTGGCCCCGAGCATCAACATTCGGTCCGTGTAGCGAGTGACAAGAAATGATCTCCACGTCCGGCGGCAGGTGTCTCTCGAACGCAGCAATCTCAGGCGCCTTACAGGAAGTCTGCCCACCGACAATTGCACCGAGTTTCGTAGCTATCCCCAAATAGTCAGTCCCCCCTCCTCATCACAAGGAGTAGTAGCGGTCGGAACATACAAGGCCCATACTGCGCAACCACAGCATCAATCAGCTCCGCCTCGACCGAGTAAATTATGTAGTCGCTCTGCCGCGACACGAGATGGCCGTTGGGGTACACATGGACGTTTTCAATCTCTCTAGAGCATCAGCTGCGCATTCCGGCCAACTATGTCTTCGCGAACGACGGATGTAAGTAAGGTACCTGCGAACTCTTCCTTCAACGCTTCGTACTTGTCGGCGCGATCGCAAGCATTGACACTGTCGGTACCCACTCAGTCAGCTGTGGGTTTCGGGGAGCCGCGAGATCGAACACACACACCGCCAACCCGCCGCCGCAATACGGCGAGCGTAAAGCTTCCCCATGTCGCCCATGCCGATGATCCCTACAGCAACAGCCAGGACCGGCCGGGGGTGGTTCATATCGTTTGCGGTTGTCATATTTCTGTTTTTTTCGCGGCGGCTTTGGTTTGCGGTAAGGAATTGCAATTGTAGGAAAGTTGTGACAAGTGGCCCGACGACTCCTTTTGTATGCACCCGTGGTCGTGGTGGCTGGCCTGGCTGGCAATGCAAGTGTTGATTCGAGCTGGTGGGCTGAACTGCGAGTAAGCCTTTTCAGGTGTGTATGCGGGGTGCTGCTAGAGAACACTGGACGCTAAGATGATCGCGTGATTAGATAGGTGCCTTGGGATGTCGATGAGTGATACATAGTGAGTGTCTCGAGGGTGGGTTGAAGCAATTGAATGATGAGAGTCAGTATATAATTCTATAGATAGTCTAGCTAGGCTGCATGAAATCAATGGGGAAATAAACCAACAAGGGAAGGCCCGGAGATTGCCAGGCGGAGGCTGGAGGAAGTGAACCATGATCTAGCTAGGCCGTATTATGGAGTAACAAAAAGGCCCGGAGACGAGGAAACAGTTGTAGAATCCTCGGTAAATGTCACCTTGCGGGGAGTTGATGATGAAGCTCTTCCATTGCCCTTGTCGGAACAATCTATCCCAAGCTGCTCACCACATCACTCAAATTCATTAATGCGCAACGTATACTACACCAAGTACCCAAGCATTACACCCCGCTACATGCCATTACACCCCTCATGAATCGCAATCCACCTTTTGCCCCCGGCATCTTTGACCAGCTTCCTCACCACCGGCAATTCCACCTTACTACCAGCAGTGAGCCGTCTGCACTTATCACATTTAGCGGAGAATATATTCCTGTACGCGCCCAACATCTCTAGTAGCATCTCCAGGTTCCCCGGCCACTGACGCGCCGTGACGGCGCGCATAATACCCGTGTGTAGATTGTGCACGGGTGCATCCGTCTTTTTTGCGCTTTTGACGGAGGTTACGACGAAGGCGCGCGAGTTATCAGAGGACGGGGTGATCTCGATGGTAAAGAGGAGGGAGGACGGTGGTGGAAGAACAACCTGTGAAAGCGTGAGCAAAAAAGTCCCCCCCACTGCCAGAGATTCATGCCGCATACCTTGAGCGACCGTCGCGCGGGTGTGCCCCCAGGAAGTTCTTCCACATTTACATCGCGATGCATCAACCTCCCCGAAAACTCCTCCACCACATCTTCGATGTCCTCGTCCTTTGTATTCTCAACCACCTCTTCCTCCTCTTCCTTCTCTTCGCCGACAGCTGGAGCGTCTTTCATCTCCGTGTCTTCTTTCTTAACCCCGTCGCTTTCTTGCGGTTGCTCCTCCGGCAGAAACACTTCCCCCACCGCCAGCCTTCGGATGTCCTCCGGATCGCGCGCTCGCGACGATGCCGCGTGTTCGAATATGGACTGGCTCTTCACGTAGAGCGAATTGAAGGTCGCGATTTCTTCGGAGCAAGACAGCGCGCGGTTCGAAAAGTCCTGAAACATGTCCACAGCTGCTCGTTTTCAGTCCCGTGCATCTAACATCGGCCAGGGGGGAGGGGCTTACGAGTTGCATACTCGGCTGATAGAGGGTGAAGAATCTTGGGAATTACGGTGCGGAGTCCTATCAGCTACGTTGCCCGTCAGCTCCCAGTAGTAGCGGTCGGCCACGCGCGGTTGGTGGGGAATAGTACGCGGTTGTGAAGGTCGTCAAGTCGTCGGAGCGATTCGACTAGCTTTTCCTCGGACCATTCTTCTTCCCCCGCTGCTATCGGTGCATCTTCGGTCCCTGTCGTCGTAGTTGTAGAAGTTGGTAGCGGAGGAGCTGTCGCAACAGCCGGAGCTGTTGGAGCTGTCTGAGGCGGTAAGTTGGTGGTAGCGGTGGATTGTGGTCGGGACATGGATGGTGGCTGGCAACAGATGTGGTGTCTTTGCGCGATCTGATCTACGAGCGAGCCAAAGGGTCGTGTGTGTGGAAGGCTAATTATCAAAGCTCCCTCTCGAGCTGTGTGGACCCCTGTCCCTGTCGATTCGTCTGACTGATGAAACACTGGACCTGACACGGAGAATTCTTCACTTTCGATCACTCTTGCCCGCACACTGGTGGTCCATGAGTTACATTGCTTTATCACAACGCGACAATGATTTCGGCGACGCCCCGGAGCAGGCGCAGGATAACGAGGACTCCGAAGTGGCCGCCAGCGGAGACCGGGACCCGCAGCAGCAACCAGGCGTTACTCGAAAGCAGTTATGGGGACTCTATCTCTCGCACTTCCTCTCCACATGGAATGCGCGCAGCTATGAATTCGCAGCGGTACTATAACTCGTATACCTTACGCAATCCCATGCTAAAAGTGAATTGTACACCAGATTCTCTTCACGGCCTCTGCATACCCAGATACATTGACCGCATCGTCGATCCGGTATTCCTCCCGCTGAATTCCGCAAGTACGACGGACTAAATAGCTACGTAGCGGCATCTTGACAACGCTCTCGACGCTGGCGCTCTCGTCTGCGGTGGGCAGATGGGCTGACCAACACCCGTCGCGCTTGCAGACATTGCGGATAGGTATTTTTGTCCAGCGAATACTCGTCATATTGGCTTGCGGGGGGTGGATATCCATTGTCGGAGAGGTATTTGTCGAAGGCGGGTTCTCTGGTACTGGTGTGAAGACTGGAGTTGCTGGCAGTGGGCACCAACAGCCGTTCGCGGGTAAGCCGGTCGTGAAGGGGATTATATTTGCGGCTGTACTGCTTCTCGGCATCGGCGAGAGACTCAGCGCTGTGGGGAATATGATGGTGATGGAACGGGACTGGGTATGTTGTTCTACAGATCTCCTGGGGACAGCTGGCTCACCGTCTCCCAGGTCCCCGCAATCGCGGCAACGGAGCCCGCGCCATTCCTCCTGAGCTTGAATGCCTCTATGCGACGAATAGACCTGACCTGCAAGCTTCTCGCCCCCCTCTCCATTTCCGTCCTCGCCCTAGTCGCCTCGAGCGTCCGAGTGACCGCCGTATGTATCGCCGTAATAAACGCCGTCTCCGTTGGGATAGAATGGCATACCGCCTACCGCGTTTATAGGAGCTGCCCCTCACTCCGGGTTCCCAAAGCGCCATCACCTCCGCCCGTCCAGGCCACTCGACAACAGAGTGTATTCCGTTCATGGACGCAAGGCTTGAGCCTCTTCTTCTCCACCGAGATCTGGCTCCCATCGCTATCACTGGCACTCCTCTACTTCCCCGTGCTCTCATTCTCCGCATCGATGCTGACCTTCCTCCTCAACGCGGGGTTCCCGCTTTCGGAGATCACGATCGCCCAGACCTTCAGCACGCTGGTGGAAGTATTCGCCACGGTAGCTAGTCCGTGGGGCGTACAGATGATGGAGCGCAAACAGCCCACCGCCACCGCCGCCGCAGCCGCCGGCATAGAGCGGATGGGCCTGTGGGGACTCTGGTGGCAATTCACCAATCTGATCCCAGTGACGCTCCTGCTGTTTACTCTCCCCACATCGGGTCCTCCAGCCTTCCCCTCCGCCGCGCTGTTCATCTTCCTTGCCCTCTCCCGCATGGGCCTGTGGATCTTCGATCTCTCCGCACAGACGCTTGTGCAGACCCACGTGCCCGAGGGCAGGCGCAGCGAGTATTCCGGCGTCGAGATGGGGTTCATTTCCGCGGCGGAGCTGGCGCAGTGGGTTGTCACCGGCGTATGGGCTCAGACCGAGGACTTCAAGTGGTTGGCTACTGCGGGGACGGTCGCCGTGGGCGCGAGTTTGCTGGCGTATATGGTGTGGCTGCGGGGAAGAAGGGGACATTTGGTCCATTGGGAGAAGGTGCGCTGGGGGGAGTGCGGGAACTAGTGATGTGGTTATGTGGTGATGGGCCATAGATAGATCAATGGCAATAAGGGGATGAAGTGGGAGGCTTTTTTGAGGGGGGAAGGGGGTTTAATCATCATTGCATTCAACCTCAGTAGATCATGGCAGTTATATTTCCATTTCCACCCCACTGTCTTTGACCGCTGGCCGCAAGCTTGATGTGGGTTCCCTATTGCCCTCCGCCCAGCCCTTTGGGATGAAGTGAGTTCGTTGCCTGTATCCACGTTGTGCAAGAGAGGACTGTATTGACGAGTGAGATAATATGTCTAAATCATGCTCCTGTGACCTCAGTGTGCTCACTGAGGTTGCTATTTCGACAAGCCGATCCCATTCTTAGATGGAAGAGATTTCTGAATGCGATGTATGTGCACGAGTAATCATGTTTCTGAATATGAGCCATGAAGGCGGTTTCCAGGTGGAGATAGTCAAACCGGGGGACAGGACTGATACATTCGACCTAGGTACATCGAAGGTATCCAGCAGAATAACATCTCCGGCAAGGGCTAAACGTTGAAAAGGCAGCGTAGGCGACGGTATTGGATTTAAAAGTAAAAGCAAAGTTAGCCTTTCAATCCGGCTCGTTTTGCCTTTTAATTCGCACAATCGACGAATCACACCGAGTCATCCATCGAGTGATAGTGTGTGCTTAATTCTAGGCAGCGCACATGTCATTTCGAATGCATCTTTTATTCACATTGTTGGATGAAGAGTCAACAATATCTAGCTTAGAATCACAGCAGACGGAATGTAGCTTCAAAAGATAAGTTCTTTCTATTCCTTCACGACCACCAAACTCTCAAGGCTCATCCCATCTGGCATAGCTGGCGTCAAGAACGCCAAGCACTTGTATGTGAGGCTCCGACGGTTACACGCATACGTACTCAGTTTGAAGTGTGCAACCTTGTCTGTGACTTCGCCTCCTCCTCCGAAAGAAATAACGGCATCCCCTTTCGCAGCAGCAGCAGCAGCAGCTTCACCCGCCCGCCCGCACTCACTCACTCACTCACACGATCCCGTTTCAACCATCGATACTTCACTTCACCCAAACACAACTCAGCGCAACTATGGATTCAGTACCTCCAGACCAGACGTTTCCCGCCGCCGTGAGCGCGCAGACTTCCCGCTTCACAAGAGTAGGTGCCCCCCCCCCCAGATGGATGGATGGAGGGCTGATGCGAGAGGTGGTGGATAGGCCTACCAGGCGTACCTTGACAAGTCCGTGCCGTTCGCGGTCTACCGATGGATCGGCACGGGAGTCCTCCTGCTGATGTTCATGGCGCGCATCCTGTTCGCCCACGGCTGGTATATTGGTTCGTTATCCCATTCATCCATCCGTTTCAATTTTGCCGTCGTGTGGGCGGTTTCAATCGGGAGAGAGAGAGGGATGGAAGGACTGACCGAGCTCTCGGGATGTATAGTTTGCTACACGCTCGGAATATACCTGCTCAACTTGTTCCTCGCTTTCTTGACGCCGAAATTCGACCCGTCGCTGGAGCAGGATGACGAGATGGAGGGCGGAGGTCAGTCGGCGTTGCCCACGAAGCAGGACGAGGAGTTCAGACCGTTCATCCGCCGGCTGCCCGAGTTCAAGTTCTGGCACAATGCCACGCGGGCGATCGGATTCAGCATGGTGGCGACGATGTTCGATGCTTGCGACATTCCTGGTATGTATCAGAATTCGGCTCGATAAATCATCACCGGCGGCGGTGGTGGTGGTGGTGTGGTGGGGGGTCCTGCTTGCATATGAAACTGACTGAGATGTACTAGTCTTCTGGCCCGTTCTCGTCATCTACTGGATCATTCTCTTCGCCTTGACGATGAGGAGACAGATCCAGCACATGATCAAGTACCGCTACGTTCCCTTTACCTTCGGCAAGACCCGCTACACCCGGTCGTAATTGATGCTGTTTGTGCGCGTGCGTGGTGTGCCCGGAGATCATGAGTGTACGTGCGTGTCGAAACGATCATTTTACGGGGCGGATGGATTGGATAGATAGACGAACGGCGCATGAGAGCTTGATATAAAAAATTATTGGCTTTTTCCTTGCTGTTTGCCATGGCTGTTGTTTTACTCATACTTAATGTTTCGATGGGCTTTCGATGAGCGGAGCGGAGGGCGGATGTTTGTCTGGTGGCTTGCGGGGGAATGGTTGTATTCTATCCTCTCTACGGGTTTCTTTTGTAAGGGGCTCGTTGTGTCCATCATGATACCTGGTGCTAGATACTTGTTCGTATATTAGAAGTTGGACCTCGGGATTACTTACCATTTACATGCGGTGAGGATAACCATCGTATCGCTCAGCAGGTTATATATCATGACCGAGGTATGCAGCCCCGGGCTGAAGATGAAGATGACTGTATCGGCATATTTTGCACGGCGGACTTCACGAGCATGGGGGACGCCTTGCGCTGCCTGCGCCCCGGAGTGCTGTCATGAGATTTTATTAGCGAAGGCGATATAGACACACGAAGTTGTGCCTGGCGGTTTTCGGTCTGCGGACTCCGGAGGGCATTGGTCTCCCGAAGGTATACACACGATACTAGTACAGGTACCTTCAACCAGCGTCTATTATTGGAACAGACAGACATGGACATCGGACATCAGTGATGGTTTCGAGAACACCCAACTATCGGCGCTTCAACAGTGCTCAGTGCGGCCCCTCAAAAAACATGCTCCGACGTGTGGTCGTCGGTCGAGATATCGATACCCATCTAGCTCATCCCAGCATTCAGGGGCCAGCTCCGAGCTGCCTAGAGCACATGCCTACCAGCCTCCCGAGTCTCGTCACTTCTCATTCGCGATGTTTAACAGACACGGGATATCATAGACCATGAGATGCACGTAAGTAGAGTAGGTACAGTAACAGCAACTGTCGTCGGCGTCAAAGGGGTGAATTGAGAATAGAGTGAGACTTTTATGACTTTCGTTGTCGTGTGCTTTCTTCAATCCGAAGAAGAACACCACTCCCCCTTCCTCCTTCCTCGCCATTCTCCTTCGCGTCCCCATCCGTCGTCGTCGTCGCCGCCCGCCCTCCTAGCAGCGCCCCATCACCGCCCACCAATCCATCCAACTAACCAACCAATCGTCATCCCTGCACCACGCGTCGACACCGACGCCGACACCGCCGCCGCTCACCATGCCCCTCTGCGGCTCAAACAAGGTTCCCTCCCCCAACCATTTCCATAACTACCCGCCGTGCACCTACCTGCCTGCCTGCCTGCCAACCACCATCCCCCCTTCCTCCGTTACCCACCCACCCACTCTCCTTTACATACACATTCACACAATCCACAATCCACGAACGAATAAACGAACAAACGATCGATCGAATCACACAAGGCTAACTAACTGTAATGCGCCGCCGAAAGACCACACAACGGAAGATAGTTCTGCTCGGTACGGGCCCCCTCTCGCCCCGCGCACGCGCAGCCAGTGCACTGCACCGCACATGACCGAGCAAGGACACTGACCGTGAATAGGTGATGGAGCGTGCGGCAAGACTTCGCTGCTGAATGTTTTCACGCGGGGGTGCGTGACGCGTCCTCCCCTCCCTCGGCATCCGCCTTGCCCTTGCCCATCCATCGCGACTGACGCGCGTGAGCGTGAACAGATATTTCCCGCAAGTCTACGAGCCGACTGTTTTTGGTAGCCCCTCCTTTGTCCCCCTCAGCCCTCTCGAGCTCGAGAGGGTGAGAGAGAGAGAGCGCGCACTAACACTGCCACTAGAGAACTACGTTCACGATGTTTACGTCGACAACACGCACATCGAACTGTCGTTGTGGGATACCGCCGGCCAGGAGGAGTTTGATCGCCTACGGTCACTGAGCTACAGCGATACGCACACGATCATGCTATGTTTCTCTGTTTGTGCCCCCCTGTTCCTCCTCCTCTTCCCTAGCCACCTCCCCCCTCACTCAGTCGCTAACAGATGGATGGAAAGGTGGACTCTCGCGACTCGCTAGAGAACGTGGAAAGCAAATGGGTCGGCGAGATCGCCGACAACTGTCAGGGCGTGAAGCTGGTGCTGGTGGCGCTGAAGTGTGATCTCCGAGAGGCCGGTGACGAGGCGGTAGGCAGCGCGCGCGAGATTCCGGGAGGGTTTATTCAGTACCACGAGGGGCTGCAGGTAGCACAGAAGATCAAGGTAACCCCCTCCCCCCGTCCTCCCACTTAGCTACGGGAGTAGTGGAAGCGCAGGAACTGGAACTGATTCGGACGACGGTGACAGGCACTGCGATATCTCGAGTGCTCGGCGAAGATGAACCGTGGGGTTAACGAGGCTTTCACGGAGGCCGCCCGCGTCGCCCTGAGTGCTAATGCGAAGGGCGCGAAGGAGAAGCGCTCGTGCGTCATCTTGTAGTCCTTCTCCTTCCGCCCTCCTCTCTTCTCACCCTCACACCCCCCTCACACCTCACACCTCCTACGAAACTGTCTCTCCCCTCGACCTCGACCCACATCTACCAAACCAATTGTAATGTCTTGTCTTGTCTTGTCTTGTCTTCTTGCGCTCGTTTTGTGATTTTCCTGCAGGAGTGGGGAGGGAGTGGTTGGTTAGTTGGTTAGTTGGGGGAATTTGGCGTGTTTTGTCTCTGTTCTCTCTTCTTTTTTTCGGCAAGATTTGCGAGCGTTCATCCGTTTGGCTTTTGGCTTTTGGCTTTGGATTTTGGATTTTGGATTTTGGATTGAATTTTTCGGATGGGATAGGATATCATTTTGCTTTGAATACTCAAGTACGAACCGGATATGATTTTTTGGATATTGAAATGTAAAGTACTTTGTGGTAGTAAAGACATCGGATGATGTTGAAAGTTGAAAGTTGAACACCGAATTGGCGAGCCTGGCGAGACCAGCAGCAGCTGGAACTGGAGATCCGTGGATCCGTGGATCCGGGGGTGAATATACTACGGTGCTCTACTCTGCTATACTGTGGTAAGGCCCATCTAGCTGCCGTACATTTACCCAGTATATATGATGCCTATATGAAGCCGACCACCGACCACCGAGCAGGTCATGTAGAGTACCTGCCGGTATGCATGCAATGCATGGTTATGGTTGTTTATGGGATTATGAAACTATGAAATTATGAAATTATGGCTCTGCCTCGGTTTGGTATAGGTACATACATCTAGGTAGGAGTCATCTCTGTAGGCAAGGCAGGGAATTGTCATGGCATTTCTATTGTCCGGCCGAGATAATTGCGTGCCAACTTTTTTTTTGGTTTGTTCGTTTCGTTTCAAGTTCACATGTCACATTACATTACATTTCACCGAAGGAAAGCACAGTAGAGATGAAGAGTAGTAATGATCGCAAACAACAATCAATTCCAGGTTTCTCCAACCCATCAATTCCATCAATCAAATCCCATCGCATCCCATCGCGTTTCATTCCACCGATCCCATCCCCATGCCATCCCATCCCGTCACCATCCCCTCCACCGATCCCATCCCATCCGTCGGTCCAGGAAGATCAGTCAAGAAAGACCAGCCAAGAAATCTCCGTCAAGTCAAGATCAGTTCTGATCCGAGTAGTGAGCCAGCCAGTTCAACACGGCGGCTATCAAACCCACTCGTCACATCACATCCCCGTCCTTATCCGTCGCTTTCCTCAACCAACCCCCCTCAACCAACCCAACCCAACCAACCGCCATCCGTATATTCCCAATACGACCGAAGAAGAAAAAGTTAAAGAAAAGTATTTTTTGTTTAGACCACCCAACCGTTTCATGACTCGACCTGGCCCGTCCAAGGAGTGCTGTGAAAGGTAACAGAGAAAGGAAAAACGTTTCATGAAAAAGGAAATAAAAGAAAAACAACTAGAGAGGAAAGAGGAAAGAACGCCTTTTATACACCGAAAACACCACGTGAAAAACAAAAACCAAGGAGGACCCCCCAACCCAAAATTACCGGAACAGACATGATCGTATACCAGTCCATTCCCTTCTCGCCCCATGGCTCCGAACGGGTTTTGTTGCGTCCAACAAACTCCGCCTTGACCACTTCGAACCACAAACACTAGAGACGGAAACCAGGCGAGCATCACTCGACGCTCGCGGAGCAGCCTCCGCGGCACTAGACGCAGCCTGCTGCGTGCTACAATCCGTCGCGATCCGTAGATGCGCCAAAACCGTGCAGCAGATCAGACTCGTCATGTGCCAGGGAAGCGCCCCGTTCGCAGTCGAGGAACTCGTCGAGGAGTCGCTCAGGTGAGAGGGCCGAAGAGGATTCCGGCGAAGACGGGAGACCACTGTCGCCGTCCGAGAGACAATCGAGGCTGCCATCCAGATACATCCCATCAATATCGAAGATATTGCCATAATCGGTTTCCCCTGCAGACACGGCAGGTCACACATCAACGCGGCAGGTTGATGTGTCATACAGGGGGATTCTGGCTCGTTTTGGGATGTTCCGGTGGCGGAGAAGAGAGAGGTGGGGTCGAGACCGTAGTTGGTGTCGAAGACGAACTCGTCGAGAGGCTTGTCGTCCATGAGTGGCTGGTGTTGTTGTTCTTGTTCGGGGGATCCGGAAGTCAGACGCAATCGGCGGTTCTCCTCCTGCATCTGCTGGAAGCGATCCTGCATCTGCGACACGATGCTCTGGAAGTGCGAGTTCTCGGCTGCCAGAACCTCGTTCTCTCGCTTGAGGACATCTCGCTCCTGCTCGATAGCTTCCAACTGTTGCTTCTTGACTTCCCTTGACTTCTGAGCGGCGGCCCTGTTACGGAGCACACGCTCTACTCGTCTCTGCTCCTTCTCTTCGGCGGTCTTTGCTCGCTTACTGCATTACGGTTAGTCTAAGGGTGCTTGGCAGGTAGGTAGGTAAGGGTCCGCAAGCAGAACATACCGAGGAGGGAGGTTTGTGGTCGGTGTGGGAAGCTGTTGGCCCCATGACTTTCTCTTCTTTACGGGTTTTGTCTCCGTCTTGTCGGACTCGGTCTTGATTGTTGTGCCATCCACGGAGCCACTGTATGACGGAGGTGGCGAGCTTGTGGGTGTGGTGTCCCGCGAGCTCTGGGGGCTGCACGGTGACGAAAAGTCATCGGGGCTCTGGGATCTGGTAGCGCCAAGGATGTCCTCGAAGATAATCGACATGTTGGAGAAGCTTTGCAGACCGGGACGAAGCGAAGGGCGAGTTCAGGAGTAAATGGATTGGTAGCGGAGGGTAGGTTCGGCGGTGGTGAGTAGTAGTGGTAGTAGTAGGGCCTGATGGGAATAGGGCCGAATGGGATTGTAGTGAGAGTGGTTCTTGCTTTCTTTTCGGTGATGGAAGGTAAGAAGAGAGAGAATGTTTGGGAGGGAGGTAATGAGGGTAGAGGAGAAGGAGCTATCTAATGACTGGGAGGAGCTAAGGTATGTTCGATGAGCATTCACTGGGGGCTCTCGTAATGGTGGTGGTGGTGGTAGTGGGAGTGGTGGTGGTGGTGGTGGTGGTGGTCTCGGAGTTGAGGGTGCTGGACACTTGATGTAGAGGACAGGTTGTCCTTTAAATAAATGGATGGCAGGACAGCCCGCCAGGCAGGCAGGCAGGCCCAGTAGGCTAAGGAGTCAGAAAGTAAGGGGGGCGAAGGCTGCGGCACGGCTTGGCACCGTGGCCGGCCAGCCGCCAAACACAACCCGAACTCAAAAATAACCAAACGTGACGAATCCATCCATCCACATCAATCGTGGGGGAGATGGCTGCACCGTTGACTCCTGCAGGAACTAACTCCTGAGTTTGGAATCCAGACGCGGGGGGTGGGCGATGGGAGCGACGACGACGACGACGACGCTGTTCGCTGTGCACGGATGCAGATAGAGTGCCTATGCTACTTGCTTGCCTGGGTACGGGAGGAACGGTTTTGTGAAGGATATTCCACTCTAGATGGAGCAGCGCCGAGCAGTGAGTTCCTCTAGTTACAGAGGCTATAGTAGAGGAGGTATGTAGATTACGGTACGGCACTCTAGATGGAGCAGCGGGCGGGTGTTCTGGATGGAAACAGGTTGATACCCCACAAAACCACTTTTGCCGGTGGTGGTGGGTATTTTTGCTGCTGCTGCTGCTGCGCAATCCAAGATTCCAGAAATTTCGCAGCACCTTCGGGCTTCGGTGGGTATCAAAGCATCACACTCTTACCAACCCGCTTGCGTCTGGCGTCTGAGTCTGAGTTCTGAGTCTGAGCTTGAGTCTGAGTTCTGAGTCTGGCTTGAGTCCGAGTCCGAGTCCGAGTCCGAGCGTGTGTGTGGTGTGTGTGTGGTGTGCGTGCTGGCTCAGACTCCCAGTCGGGATCGCCAAAAAAGCAAGCAGCGCAATCGCCATCGGGGAACGAGGGGTGAGGGAAGGGGAAGGAAGAAAGGCCGCAGGCTGCGTGCATGGCTGACATGCGAACGAACGACCGAACGAACGAACGGAATGTTGGAGAAGTGCACACTGCAACTGCACAGCTGCACCCGGTCCCTGGCGCTAGACAGCTGGGAGTGCATTATTATTTGTCGCGGATGGGATCGTGGCAGCACACGCTAGCGACTCGGTGCTGGATAACTGGGTCGGATGGAACGTTGAGGCTTCCAGGACCAATCCAGGATCCATCCGGCCTTCCATCGGCACCAATCGAATCGCTGCTCGGTGCCTCGCATCGGCACGGTACGACTGGAAAGGCACAGACAGACAGACAGACGGGCGGACTGGCGGACAGACAGACACAGGCATTCTCTGCATCGGAGGCGGCGACATGTATGTACAGTACCTACTCCACGGTGCTTCTGATACCTGCTGCTTTCGAATGAGAGCCGTGAAATGGAGCATGTGTGCTATGTGCCTGCTAACCAAGCACCGACATACATACAGCACTGCACAGCACGACACATCGCGGCACCGCACTACACAGCACTACTGTCTAGCACAGTACCCGTGCAGCACTCCCCTCCCATCGCTCACTGGTGCCGTTTGCCCGCGAGGCTGGGACAGTGGGAAGTGGGACCGAGACCGATAGGTGGGTGCCGTATGCCACAGCCGCGCCCGGCCAATCCCCCTTCCCCGCTGTCCGCGAGCCGCGTTGTCAAGGCTGCCCTATCGATACGCCTCGGTTCCAGCCGACGCTGTGCCTGGTCGAGACTCGAGACCAAGGCCGGACACCTACCGTGCGGTGCCGTATCTACGATACCGATGATCCCCATCCCATGCCTTACACGTAGCAGACCCCTCACATACATACCGTACATACTCGAGGCGGATCGTCGACGCCGACGACGTCTCGGGTTGGCGTACTCGAGGTGCACATGTAGCAGTTAACCTTCGCTTTCGCTGCGACATCAACTGGGTTTCGACGACGGCAAGGGCGACGACAAGGACGACGACTACAACCTTACACTAGAGCACCTACCTAGCAGGCAGGCCCTCGAATGCTACATACCGTACATAGATCAAGGTTCGCCATGCTGGCTGACGCTCGCGACGCTCGCGCATCTTTCTGGCTCTCGTCGTCTCCGGCAGAGTTTCCGACTGGCAGGCAGTAGTACCTAGTGGTGGTGGCTCGACGTCGAATGTCCCCGATCGAATGCCTCTCATCGGTCGGTTGAGCAGTTGAGCAGTTGAGCAGTTGAGCAGTCGGTCGAGCAGTTGAGCAGTTGAGCAGTCCAGTCCAGTCCAGTCCATCCGAGCTCAGGGATGGGCTGCAGTCTTTGCCTGCACTGGTCATCATCATCGTGAACATCGAAACGGCCCCGCTGCAAATCCCGCCTTACACAGGTAGAGTAGATACCGGTACCGGTATCATATTTACCGGAGTACATACCATACCTACTGTCCGCCCATAACAGCAGACATCTACACACCTCCTCCAGGCTCCGGCGGCCCCTCAAAACTACCCCATGCCTACCCGTACATGGAGTAAAGTACTCTACACGATGGCACCGACACGACCACGCAAAGACTTGCCCATCAGTATCGACCCTCCCGTCCCCGCCACACGTGCAGGAAACCAAAAAGTCAAAAAGTCAATCGCCTGCAGCCCGCGTCGGAGGAAACCAGCGAATCGCTTGCGAATAGTGCCTAGATTGACGGTGTGCATGGAGTGCATACGAGAAAGCAAGACAGAAAAGAAAAAACAAAAGGCCCGGAGACCGGCCCCCATTCTCAACCCTAGAGTATGGGGGGTGGAACACCCCTGACATCTCCATTCCATTCCGCTCCATCGCTTCCATTTGTTCCATTTGTTCCTGCCTTCACATGAACAAGTAATATACACAGGCTCATCTCGTTTCATCTACATGTATGAACAATTGACCCGTGTAAACGAGCCCCACACGGGCGGCGGGCGGCGGCGGGCGTTCCAAACATTCGCACCTCGTGATATCCTACACACTCTACGCACTCTATCCTACAGCCCTCGCTCGCTCCCTCGCTCCGACGTCCGCCCGTCTCCTCCCATCGTTCCCCACGATCCGTCGGGAGAACTTACCGCATGCCAATATGCCAATATGTATGCCAACCCCCTGGAACGGGATCACCCCAACCCACCCCAGCACACCAGACGGAACCAGCTCACATTCTGACAGCTCGCTCGCTCCTTCGCAAAGAAAAATTTGCGAGGAAAAAAATAGATGGATAGAACAACGTGGGATGGCACGTGCACGTGCATTGGTATGTTGGTATGCATGTTGGTATGTAAGAACTCCGGATGGGATCTGTTGGCAGGCAGGCAGGCAGCTGCACGGAATTCACGCACTGCGCTGCGCTGCACTGCGATGTACGGATTGTACTGCACGGATTGAATGCACGGACTGGGAAAAGGTCGGGTCAAAGCTCCTCTCGAGGGAATCGAGAGAATGTCGGTTTGGTACCAGCCAGCGCACGCAGGTTTACGCTGCTCTGCTAGTACTAGGTGCAATGTGCTCTAGGTGCAAAGCAGGTAGCAGGTGCTTTGGGTACCGATTGCGGAGACATGTACGGTTGAGTACGGTAGAGTAGAGTGGTTACATACGCGCTGCAGGGCATGTACAATACATACTGTATGTATGTAGAGTACCTCTCCTAGGGCTCTGCTAAGGCTCGACCGCACGACGTGAAGAGTGCGTGAAGAGTGCGTGAAGAGTGCGTGAAGAGTGCGTGAAGAGTGCGTGAAGAGTGCGTGAAGAGTGCGTTTAAGCTGCTGTCGGTACTGCTGTTACAGCTGGTGTTGCTGGTGTTGCTGCTGCTGTTGTCGGTACTGTTGCTGCCACTGCTGCCAACTGCTGGTGATACTCCTGTTGCTGCAAGCCACTGAGCGAAATACCTATGTAGGCCAGGAAGTTAGTTGCAGCTTCGTATGTCGAGTCCATAGACTGCTGATGTGTACTAGTACTAGCACCAGTATAGGCAGCACCGGTAGCTAGCTAGCGATCCCCTCACGGAGAGGCACAAACAGCGAGCTCACGAGTGCTCTACCTACTCTAGCATACGAGGTGTCAGTTCGCAAAGAGCGTCAATCCCACCGAACCAGCGGCGGCGGCGGCGGCGGCGGCGGCGTTTAGAGTACTATACATACCGGTAGATGCTCGGGGGTCCCGTTGTTCCGGTATTTCAACACTCCGGTATTTCGATGTTCCGATTCCTGGGGTAGGTAGAGTACTCTACGGTGGTTACTCCGCGACGGTCCGTAGGCCGTTGGACATCTGCATAAAGTACGGTAGAGTACGGCAGAGTCGAGGGGAGGGGAGTACCGGCTGAAGCTTAGGCTGTGTTCCCGGATAAGGAAGCTCTCTCCACTATGTACGGTACCTTGGAAGAGGAGAGAAGCGAAGAGTGCTCCGATTATTAGTGGAAACGGCGGAGCCTCAGAGTGGCGTGCCAGGTGCAGGTGTGGCTGGATACGAGCGCACTGTAGAGTACAGTAATCACAATCCCCAGCCCTCGGGCACCCGGTCCGCCCGGCGCCCGGCGCCGCATCCATCCCCCTCATACCCACCTGCTCTACATACCGGCCCAGCGCCGGTCCCCGGGAGACTAAAGCACCCATACCGTACTCTACATACTATGAAACCGTTGAGAGTTCCGGCGCGCGCGCGATGAGTTGTTCTGCAGGAGAATCCGCCGCGAGGGGGCCGCTGCCCCCTTACGGTAGGTGCATGCAAACCCGCGGGTCGGTACTTTTTCCGCTTGCTATGTACGGTACGAACTAGCCGTGCCATGGAGGATCGCTTGTGAACGAGGACGGGGATGGGGACGGGGACGGCCCCGGCAGAAGAGGAATGTGGGGGGACGGGGGATCGATCGGCGGGCGCACTGGGAGACGAGGGGGCTTGGCGGTGTGGAAGAGTGGGTGAGGCTTGGAACTGGGAAGGGTGAGCGGTGGTGATTGAGTGCGGGTTTTGGGTTTCTTGGAAGCTGGCGGCTGGCTGGGAGGGGAGGATGGAGGTCGTCGCTTGAATGGCGGTGGTTACTCCCTACTCTCCTCTACGCTACGCTACTCAACTCAACTCAACTCTGAGTGTTGACATTCGTTTCGATGACCGTAGGTTAAATGGTATCTACCCAGGTACCTAATACCGTAGCTTCTCGAAGCGATCGAGGGGGATGATACTCCAACACCTGGTTGGAAGTATGGAAACGCAATTGCAATCGCAATCCTTCGAGGCGTCAAACATTCCACCGAGTGGAGTCTGAAGCTTGAGTCTGGACACTGGAAACTGGACACTGGAGCCGACGAGTTTCGAGCTTCGAGCTGGTACCAGGTAGACTTTACGTTGGAAGCCTAGCTGATCGTCACTTTCGACCTCTTCCGTGTGGGCTCCTTGGGCCTACGGGCGGGTCGCTATATCGATCGATATCCGTTTCACTTTACTGTACTCTACTTTGCTGTACTCCACAGCGTCCAGGCTGCATGTACGTACTCTAAGCAAGCAAGCAAGCAAGCAAGCAAGCAAGTACTCCGGTATGTGTGTAGGTTGGTACGTACTAAACTCTCCGACATAATGGAAACAACTCTAGAGTGTAGAAGCGACGTGTCTATATCTGCCCAAAGACTATTTAGGCAGCGGTGGATCCCCGCCCGGCGCGGAGCAGTGTTGAAGGAACCCCCTGCGTGCTAACCTCTCGATCGCGATCACGATGTTACGATTCAGACTTCGACTTCAGAGCTCGATGCAGCCAGCGGTAACCTACACATGAAACCTACGTGCGAACTCGGTGCGAACTCGGTCCTCCCGGCCGCCTACTCGGAAACGCCCCAGCTACTCTACGGTCCTAGGTAGTACACCAGGCGGCCTACGACTCACGATTCGACTCGCCACCCGCGAACCGCGCTCTCCTGCCCCTCCTCCTCCGCCTCCGCCTCTGCCTCCAACAACAACGGCGTCACATCGGTCTTTTGGACGTTCGCACGCCGGACTTCCGGGCCGACGCCGACGCTACCACGTACCTGGGTAGTTACTAGTTACAGCCAGCCTCCAGGTACGGTATCCATCAGCCAGGCTACATATATACGCGGTCGTCGTCGTCGTGATCGCGGCCCCGGTCCGGCGGGCGGCTTAGGTGGGCGGGCGTATGTGGGCGGGTTAGAGGGTAACCACTCTACTCGATGCGCCGGGCCCACCGCCACTGTCACCGCCATCGCCACCGTTACCGTCACCGCCAGCGTCAGCGGCAGCGCCGATTCCCGGATGACTCCCGGATGAATACCTGGTGCGGTGCGGTTTCGCCTCCAGAGTCTATGACCCTTCGACTCCACTTTCGTTTCCGTTCCCCGGAGTCCCGGAGTTTCGGACCTGATTGCAGATGATATCGTCAGCCGTACCGTGCCGTATCCACTCCATGGTCCCAGTGCGGTTACGCGGGTTTGGACCGACTGTGGAGGGATTGCGATAGACCGCCTGCTACTAGGTATGATATCTAAATTCCAAGGGCTCTTGAAGTAGGAATGTAGGATGCCAACAGTAGGTATTTGCCCAGGGCCCGTTCTGTAGACACCACAAATGCCCGTTTTGGACCACAGATACGATGTAGGTACAAAAACCTGAACATGCAAAAAGAGCCATACCGTAGACCATCCGGAGATCTCATTAACTGCGCAGAGTACAGTCCACTGAGGGGTAAGAATCGTGGCAGTGCTACAATATATTCGACAGAATGCATCGATTCTGAGTGCTGTAGTTGGTACATACTAGGTAGCATGAATGAATGCACACTCACCACCACGCTCATGGCTCATCCATCACGAAATGTTTAATGGACAGTCATCTATATTGTCTGTACTACCTATAGACTGTAGTCTGGAAGTTGCTCCTTCGTGACCTCGTTATCTGGTGACGATATCGAACGGAAGGTGGCTAGGTACGGTTGTCTACCCAGGCTGCTTATTTAAAGTTCTAGTACCGTACCTAGGGAGGCAGTGGTCTTGTAACATGTTTCTTCGATTGCGATTACAGTGATGGTCCGTGCTCAAGAGTCAATCGCCATGGGGGAGGGAGGACATGTCACGACTTGGTATGTACCGCTCGGACACCTATGTTGGAAGCTGCAAGGAGAGGTCGTTGATATGTAGCTAATACAAGGCCCGTACCCGCAGTGCCACATTCCCTAGGATTCGACGGACGAAATAAAGAAGAAACATCGAGGAAACACACATATCGACTTCCCAAATCCGGATCCGGATGAATAGTACTCTAAGACGAGTGACATCTCGAGCTCCAACTAATCACCCGTCGCTCTCCGGAGTAGCAAAGTAGAGTAGAGTAGGTACCCGTGGCCAGTGACACCTACCGTATCAACTCTTTGTGCACTTGGGTACCTGGGTACCTGCTTGGTTAGAGGTTAGATAGCGGTACACAACTCTCGAGTTCGGAACTTCGGAGCGAGCGAGGGATGATGGCTGATGCCGGATCCGACGGAGGAGGTATTTAGGTACTTGTGGAAGACACTGGATTTGTCATTTCCATTCGAATTTCGAACTGTTCGCTTCTCTAAACACTCTAAACACTCCAAACCGCCAACACGGCGAGCTCGCGGCGACATCGCACAGCAAGTTTATGTACTTTACCGGTCACTGTGATTTTCACCTCTGCGGCACACGCAGTCGCACATTCATTTCCTCATTTTTCATCGATAACCTCCTCGTCAGCCCTTCAAACTCTGCGACGTGCCTGTAGGCTGCAGGAAAACAGGGCCGGGAGACAGGGCCGGGAGACAGGGCCGGAAGAAAGGCCGGAAGACGCCCCCCAGTTCCCCAAGTTCATCCCCAACCTCTTCGCTCACTGTCAGCCTCACCTGCACAGTGCTGGCAGGCAGGCTGTTTACATGGATGGGATCCGTAACGTTACATACGAATTGCTGTCCGGGCCCTCCGTGAGAGAGAGATGGGGGAAAAAAAAGAAGAGAAGAAAAAAAAGGTGCAGACTTCAACAGGTCCGAAACTCCAGACTCTAAGACTCCGAGGAACATCTGACGGCCGTGCACGGTCGTCGGTGCGTATATCCCTATTGTACAGCGACGCGGATATAAATATACGCGGGACAGCCGGCATCATCATGTCGCAGACTCGCAGACTTGCGGTCGGAGCGTCGATGCTCTGCGTATGCGAGTACTTGGTCATGTATCATGTATCATACGTACATAGGGCTCGGACTGGTGCTGGCGATCAATCGGCATGGTAGAGCACGGTATCCTGGGCCATCGTTATCGGCGGTGGTCTGAGCGGAGGGGGAGGAACCAAGATTAGCGTGTGGGGTGGGAGGTGAAGGGTGAAGCATGGAGAGCGAAGAGTGAAGTGAAGTGGGAAGGGTGAAGTGAAGTGGAAAGTAGTCAGACCGACGGTGAGACTTGACTCCTGAGTGCTGTCGCAGTGTCGTGTCGCGAGCGTGGCGGAAAAGTGCCGCCATCTCCGCAGCGTAAGCCAGCCTTCCTGCGCCTGCTATGTAGATGTACCTAGCATCGTAGCGTTCGGTTTCCACCGTCCCCTCAACGATCCAAGGCGTGTGTGGCTGCTGCTTCCGTGATCAGTGAGCACTGAGCGTAGAACTTGATGGAAGTCGCTGGGCGGCGGAGCGGCTATGTAGTATCATAAGAGCTCATCATAAGTAATATGGCGGCACCCGAAGATCATTTTTGCTCCGGTGTGTGTAGCACGGCATTCCCGCTTGTCCATCGATCTGATTCGATGCAGTGCGTGAATGGAGAGCGGAAAGTGTGCTCTAACCAAGTGAAGAAAATGAAGAACAACAGGAAGAACATGAAGAAGAAGAAGATGATGAAGAATGGACTAGCAACGATCCCTACACCCCCACAGTACCTACTACTTACCTAGGCACTCAGTGATCCACTCAGCCGTCCGAGATCGCCGGCCGCCGCGTGTTCCGTCCAACTCTTCGTCTTGACACCAATATATTTCGTGAGATTCCTAGCCTAATCATCAATCCGCCCCCTCCCCCCTCTCCTTTGCCCCCCGGAGGCGGAGGAAATCCAACCGAGGGGGGTTGTCACTGTTCCAGGCATCGCGCTCTCTCCCCCTTACAAAGCGGATACGGGTACGTGTTGGACACATCCAAGACTCCAAGTATGATACCTACGTCAATTTTTTTTGCCAAAAAGTCTCAAAAATTCGTTCACGGCTATTCTTGGCCCCACTCACTTATAGTCTCACCCACCACCCCCAGGCTGCCCCCCGCGCTCCTCCCACTCGGAATCCGGTTCACCCGCAACCGGTCGTATGCGAGTACTCTACTCGTGGTTGCTGTTGGTTCGTAGCAGCAGCAGAAACAGCAGCAGTAGAGACCAAGAGAGGCTGAGGCTCGCGGAGGAAGGAAACATTCGGCAAGTCGTGCGGCGGGGATAGTGCGTGGTCCGTCCGACGTCCGACGTCCGCTGGTCCTTCTTCTCGCTCGAACAACCGCCCCCCAAAACCCAAAAATCCAAAACCCAAAACCAAAGCCCAAAAAAACCTCCCGGATTCTTCACCCAAAAACAGACTGCCTTTTCTAGCCTGCCCGCCTACCTGAGTCTTGAAGGCGTTTCCTTCCTCCATCGAGAATTCGCCCCGCCCTCCCCTCCCCCTTTATTCTTTATACACTCTACCTGCCTACGTGCTCTGCATAGTGTCCATCTCCACATACATCAAACCGACACACCTACTGCTAGTAGCCTAAATGAAATAACTCGTAAACGAAGCTTTCTCTAGTTGCTACATACCGTACCTACTCTACTCCACTACCACCGCCGCCATTAACCAGGGCTGGCAAGGCGCACGCTCCCCGCTGCTTCGTGCAACTACACCGCTGCTACTGCTGCTGCTGCTGCCACCACAGCTACCCGTCGTCGCCTCTGCTGCTGCTGTTTTCTGTGTGGCTCGCACTCGCACTCGTCCTCCCTTCGCGACCGAACAATTGAGAGCTCGTCACATAATGTCGAATTCGTCGTCGTCGTCGTCGCGGTCGCCCTCGTCGAGGAGGGCAGGTGGGGATGAACGACAGGGTTGGCCGCGTATGTCGTCGTCGTTGTCGTCGTCTTCGTCGGTGACAGTGTTGCTGGTGGGCCTGGTAGCGATGTGCTTATCTGCCACTGCGGACGCTCAACCTGTGACGAATCCCTACCACAACTACGACGTCCGAAGCGCGGTGGCGAGTCCCGGTGGCGGAGGAGGCGTCGGCGGAGGGGTCATTGCGCGCGAGAACCTTCACGGCCGAGGTGGTGGAGCTGGCGATGGCGGTGGTGGTGGCGATACTGCTAGGGATTTGACATCGGTGTTGAGGCGACACTTGTTGAAGCGACAGCAGCTGGCCGGAACGAACGATGGCCTGCCGGGCCCGGCGCCGGGCACCAGCGTCGCACTGATCATACTGTACTCGATAACGGGCATCATCACCGCGCTGTTCCTGATGATCATAGTCACGGGTGCGGTTCGGGCGCACAGGCACCCGGAGAGATATGGGCCGCGCGCGATCGCACGCTTCGGACGGCCACGGCAGTCGAGGGCCACGGGGCTGGCGAGAGCAGTGCTGGATACCATCCCGATCGTTCGCTTTGGTGCTGTGACGCCGGAGCCCGATGTCGGGAAACCGGTCGATCTCGAGTTGCAGGATGGGACCTCGACCCCGGCGACCCCGACGTCGGCCAGCCCACCGCCACCACACATCGGAGACGCTGCCGCTGTCGTGGGAGCTGTCGCCGCGGCTGTTCCGTCCGAGCGAGCCGACACCCCCGACGTGCTGGAGACTCCCGATACTACTACTAGGTCGGGCACGACGACGCCCGCGCCGCCGTCAAGCACGGCGAGCACGCCCGCACCACCCATGGACAAACCGCTAGCCTCGCAGAACCAATGTCCCGTGTGCATGGAGGACTTTGAGCAGGGCACCGAAGTGCGGGTGCTGCCGTGCGGACACTCGTACCATCCCGACTGCATCGATCCCTGGCTGCTAAACGTCTCGGGATCATGTCCGCTGTGGTATGTGATCCCCGTGCCATGCCCTCCCACGTAACTCCTGCTGACCGGAACATAGCCGTATCGACCTCCACCCAGAAGGCGAAGAAGCCGCCAGCGAAGCTGCAGCCGCAGCCGCAGCCGCCGCCGCCGCCGCCGAGACTGCGGCGGTTCCTCCGCTCCCCCACAGGAGCTCTTCGAGGCTAGCACAGTACCTGCACGTAGCGCGCGGATCCACCGGCGACGAACGTATGGCTGCGCTGCGCCAGGTGCGCGAGGAACGGAACCGCCAGAACGGCACTAGGAGGAGCCGCGTGCCCGAGCTGGGCGTCTCGCGGCTTAGTAGGGCGTTTTCGAGACGGATGCAGGCGCGGTCACAGCAGCAGCAGCAGCCACCACCACCACCACCGCCCCCACCCCCGCCGTCGCAGGCGCAGTCGATACGGCCAGAGGGCTCGACTTAACTACTATAGAGCGGTTGCCCGGCCGATTCGGTTCCATTCCTTTTGTCTTCGATGCGGACGTTTCTTGTCCCCCACCTCCCCACCCCTCTCTTCTCACCACCGGCTAGTGTTTTGTTGGGGGTGTATGGGCTTGTTTTCCTTTCCTTTCTTCTTTTCCTCACGCTGTCTATGATTTATGCATGCTTTTGACTGGAGTTTGGCTTTGGCTTTGAGCTTTGGGTTGGTGGGTGGGGTGACTGTGGATGGGTTGGGCTGGGTTGGGTAGGGCTGGGTCGGAATTGGCACTGGAATCGATTGATGCATATGGCGTGTACATTTACCATTACCATTACCATTGGGAGTAGCATACTTACTCGAGTTTGCGGCCGGTTGCAATAAGCTTGATGTTGTCTTGTAAATTTAGGTACTGCACGCAGCTCAACTCAACTCTTGACTCCTCGTACAATTTTCCACGCATTTAAATACATGGCCAAACATTCACCCGAGAGCTGACTAGACCCACCGAAGTGCTATGGCATCCTCAAACCTCACATTAACCTGTTGGTTGGCCACGTGTGAAGCGGGTTTGGTGCCCGTGTGAAGCGGGTTTGGCAATCTTGGAGACTGCGGTCGAGGGGTTGTGTGTATGGCGGGCTGGTCTCGGTAGGTATCCGTCGTATCCGGTTGGAGTCTACTCTACTACCGTATTTGTGTTCTGGGTATGCAGCGGTATTCATACTCGTATACGTGTAATTGGTTGTTTCGGATGGCACTCGTTGGCGCTGGCTGTATCGTGATTACATACAGAATAAGGATGTCACTTAACTTGGGAACGGTACTCAGCCTCGTAAATCTACTTGGGTATCCATTAGTGTAGTGTACCTCGGATCTTGATTTCCAGAGTTAATCACCATCCTCGACTCGCCCAGTTGCACTAACACCTAGCAGACCGTACCAAACCCAGCCAGAGCTCTCGTTACACAAGATCCACCCCACCATCCGACCATCTTCACACGAACCTCGCCAAAACTTTTCCTCCATACTTCACGACACAGCAACAACACAAAAATGGCCACCCCACTATCCGCCTCCCTGAGCACCCTCACCACACTGATCACGCACTGCCGGGCGTCGCTCGCCGCCGCCTCCACCTCCGCCGCCTCCACCTCCGCCGCCTCCACCTCCGCCGCCCCACCGCCCGCCAGCTTCGACGCCCTCGCCGCGCTGCACTCGACCGCGACGCTGGCGCGCGCGCACATCACGAACCTCTCCGTCACTTTACGACCACCCATTACCAGTGGCGGCGTAGAAAAATTCACCAGCGAGCTCAGCAGCACAATAATCCCGTCTCTGACAGCGGCGGCATGTTCGCTCTCAGCAGCTGCGCACGGTCGCGCGCTAACGCTCGAGGCGCGGGCAGCGACGGACTCGCTGCTGGCCGCAATCGGCGAGTACATCGCTGCTGTGGCCGGGGGGCGGGGTGACGCTCGGCTGCCGAACACGGGGGTTGTGTGGAGTGCTGCTGATCGGGTGCTTAAGTTGCGGGAGCTGGGGAATGGGGGGGTGGTGGAGCGCGATGTGGGGGCGTGGGCGGAGTGTGTGGATGATGCGCGCGAGGAGTTGAAGGGGTGGGTTGAGGATGAGGATCTCGACGGGAGTGAGTCCGAGGGCGATGAGGACGAGATGGAACAGGAGTTTTGGGATCGGCCCACGAGGAAGGGGAGGCTGGATGAGGCGACGAGGAAGAGGGCTGAGGAGGCGCTGAGGCTATTGAAGTTGGTGACTATTCTGTTTGGCGCCGCGAGGAAGAGGAGGTTGCTCGGTGACGCGAGGCTCAAGGAAGATGTTAACAGGGTTGATGGGATCGCGGAGGCCGCGAAGAATATTTCGAGGCTGGTGGATGATGTGGGAATGGCGTTCTACGAGGATGAGGATCTCGAGGATGTGGTGGGTTCTTCTTACTTCTCCAACGGGAGGGCACTGCTGACGGCGGCCGTGGTTAGGACCGGAAACGAGACGAGCTGGTCAAGAAGGCGGTGGAGCTGGCGGAGTTGTGTGTACTCGGGAATCAACAGGAGAAGGATGGCTACTCGGCGTGGTTTGAGAATTGTAAAGCTACGCTGCAGAAATCTACATGATATACCTACGGCACCCAGGACATGCCCGAGTGATCAATGCAAACCATACAAGTACAATACAACTAGAAGCGGTGGTGCCAAACTATTCGTTGCTCCACTTAGGCTGCTCCTTGTTCACGAACGCATTCATTCCTAGAGCACCCCCATCAGTGCCTTATCATCCCGTACGAAGAGGGGGGAGGGGAAACCTACCGATCTTCTGGTCCTTAGTCGCAAACAGCGAGTGGAAAACCCTCCTCTCGTACTTAACCCCCTCAGCGAGCGAGCCCTCATACGCCTGATTAACGACCTCCTTGGCCGCCTTAACCGCGAGCCTTCCATAGCCGGCAATAGCCTCGGCAGTATCCCGCGCGCCCTCGACCGCCGCCTCGGGGGTCTCAAAGCACCTACTGGCGAGGCCCCACTGCTCTGCCTCCTGGCCCGTGAACGTCTTGCCCGTGAGCACAATCTCCATAGCCCTACTCTTCCCGACCGCCCTCGCCAGCCTCTGACTCCCTCCCGCCCCGGGGATCACACCGAGCTTAATCTCGGGCTGTCCAAACACCGCCTTAGGCCCACAATAGATGACATCGGCCATCATGGCGAGCTCACACCCGCCGCCCAAAGCGTGCCCGTTCACCGCGGCTATGATCGGCAGCGAAACACTAGTCAGCTCAGACCAGAGCGCGATGAAGTCCCCGCCGTATGCCGCGGAAAAGGTGAGTGAGCGCATCTCGTTGATGTCGGCGCCCGCCGCGAAGAAGCGGGAGTTGCCGGTTAGCACCACCGCGCCCATGGTGCCGTCGCTGGAGAAGGCGCGGAGGGCCGCGTTGAGCTCACGCATCAAGGGCGTTGAGAGCGCGTTGACTTTGGGGCGGTTGAGCGTGACTAGAGAGTGGTGGGTGAGTGGGGGTGGTGGGACGAGAGGGGGGAGGGGGCGCACTTTGGCCTACGCCGGGCCGGGGCGTCGACGTGAGGATGTACTCGTATTTGCTGTCGCTGCTGCTGCTGCTAGCCGTGGCATCGGTAGAGCTCCAGCGGGCGGCAGATTGCAGCGGCCGCGAGATCCTGCCGGCACCGGCGGCGAGGGGGAGGCGCGTGGAGAGGGTGGTTAGGCGGAGGAACAACATTGTGGTTGTGATCGTGGCTGTTGTATGTACAGTGCAGTGCAATTGAGGGATATCCTGGGTGGTGGAGTTGTGGAGTCGCGGATTCTCACATGTGGTTATTGGAGCTTCGAGTTCGGAGCTTACCACCTCCACCCCACCGGATGAATGGACCCAAGGGACGTTGTAAAGCCGCTGCTATGCGAGGCGAACGTCAAGATCTACGGTACTCTACCCCGCCAGCTTATCGTCATAAGGAAGCACGCGAGGTCTTGGACGGTGATCTGCTCTAATTCCATATGTATCTTACGGAGCGTACCTAAACATGATAACGAGACAAAAAAGATAAAGGATGACTATCACAATCATCGGAACTCCAGGGAATAGAAAATCGAAACAAAAAGCAAAACCCAACGCCAATCCGTGTCTTCGTACACCTATAGCAGTATCATACCCATTCACTCATTCATCTAAGATTGCTTCGTGCCCGTTCCACTCTCCAGATCCGGCTCACCCGTGACTCTTCCCCACAGCGCCCTAAACGCCATCAACGCCGTTGCGGTCAACGCGGCGGCACCCAGGAACAACGCATCGAACCACCGGTCCACGAACGCCGGATCTAGTGGGGCACCTAGGGACTCTGAGATGACGGTGCTCATGCTCAGCGGCAAGTTACTGCGCAGGAGGAGTGCCGAGGCCAAAACGTACACTGCGCTGATCTGCGAGAAGAACAGGGCGAGATTTGGGTTATTGTCGCTGATGGAAGTGGGAGCAATCCGCATCACCATGTTGATCGTCGTCAGGACGGAACCGAGGGAACCGCAGATGATCACACCGGAGAGGAGGAAGCCGATCTGCCGTGACCATGCAACGCGGTCGAGATGCGGATCCCAGTATTCGGCCAGGAGCGCGAGCACGTTGCTGATGGGATCGCTGCGCGAGAACGACGAGTCACGGTGTCGCACAAACGGCAGGTGCGCGAATGTCGTTGCCGCGATCCGGTAGATACAGTAGACTGAGAAGGCCCAATACACGGTGGTGAGGATGCGGCCCCTCGCGGTCTGCGAACGCTGCTGGAAGGTGAGATTGCGCTCCAGCTGTGTGAGCTCGGATGAGAGCGACGCTCGCATCGATTCCAGTCCGGAGACTTCTTTCAGTAGCACCGCATGCTCCTGGGTATCCGTATCGCCCCCGCGCAGCGTCGACATCATTTTGGTCATCAAGCCGTCTTGCGAGGAGTCCTTCTCCTGTATCTTCTTCTCCAAGTAGCGCAGCTTGTTCCTCTTGCTGTTCAGCAGCTCCGTTGTAGCGTCCAAGCCTCCCCGAGCGCGCGAGACGTCTGTATCCGACACCGGCCGTTGTTTCGCGACAAAGCTGTGCCACGGCGTCGACACGCAACCGAATCCCGAAAGCAGCGCCATGAGGGAAACACCCACAACGCCCACCCTCGCAATGCACTCCTGGCACAACGTTCTTGAATTCGAAGCCCACAATCCCATCTCTCCACTGCGGATTGGCAGCTTGTCGCCCAGTGTCCAGAACACCCACAGCCAAGCCGTGAAGCCACCCACCACTACCACCGTCCGTCGTTTCCGATCCCATCGTCCCTCGACCAGAGAGTATAGCTCCAGTAGCGGAATAACCGCAATCAGACACACCAATAACACGCCCACCACGGTCCGAAAAGCCAATCGTCGCGCATCGCTGTTGACCCAATCACTGACCTAGGGAGAGACACCTCGCTGTCAGTCGCACTGCTGGTAGCTCCTCTAGCGTCCACGAGGGCACACGTCTGAGACTCCTTCATTCCACTAACCTCGCAGAGCACCAGCTCAGCCAGAACACCCGTAGCTCCCAACGTTGTGCTGAAAGCGATTGCAGAGATCCGTTTGCGCAGGCGGCTCTCGGGGTTGGTGTTGTGACGGGCGCCAGCGCCGCAAAGTGCGGGAAATAGTCGGTGGAGAACGATGATCGAGATAACCGAGAACGTGACAACAAATGGTATCGACGCAAAGAGCAGCTGGACCGTCGAGGATGCATACTGCTGCCCAGGCCGGTGCGCAACGCAGTCGTCGTCGCAGCGATCGGCCGGTACCATCATCGATGGTGGTTCAGGACCCATTGTTGCGCAGCGAACGGGGGGCGAGGGCTCCAGTGACTGATGTTACTTTTCGCGATGGGAACCGTGGCGGGCTCATAGACTAGATATGGTAGAGCGCACTGAGAGCTGTGGAGGTTTGTTGCGATCAGGACGGCCGCGCGTTGACGTGGTTTACATCATACCTCTCCTGTAGCTCGTCGCCTTGCAATTAAGCGGTCACGTGGGTGAACGGGACACCCTTGCTCGTTGAGTGATGTTTCATGACAAACAATCGTCGTATCTTTCGTTTCATAAAGCCCTCCCGTTCACGCAATCCTCCCAACACACAGTGCACACAGGGTAGATGCGGGTCCCCGGCCGGATGGAGCATCGATGCGGCGAAGAAAGTACGAGTCCTACATCGGAGTATGTAGATAGGCAACTTACAGCTTCTGTTCATAAAACCAAGACCGGGGCACAAGCCGGAATTTGAAACCGAGCACCCGGTGAATTGAAGGGTACTCGCTTGACGGGTTAATTCTAATCCGCTCAAGCACCCGGGAAATGATCTTCAAGAACAAGCAGATCCGCGGAGCTCGAATGCATGGTCCACCCGTGATCTCTATCGTGTACCTGGGCTCATTTGCCGTCTCGAAGCACGAGACGATCATAGCGAATGTGGCGATCACGATTTGGAAATTGCCTATCCGTACGTATCCGTCTTGAGGTTATCTTCTCATGTTGCACATTGTGGTCGTCGCATTCCATTTTGTAAATATTCGGATACGCATTCGTGGTACATACCTTGGGGCACCGCTCCCAAACACGACCCGTTCCTTTCGATGGGTAGAAGCTGATATGTAGGGTCAAGTTACTTCGGAGAGACTACATAGAGACCTATATGTACCGGTACTTGATGCACCGATGAAGCCTAAGCTCCACACATGAACGGTGAACCGTAGCTAGGCCGCTTCTCTCGCTAATTGACGGGATTTCCGGGCATTAGTAGTCGATGACTTCCAGTGCTATGTAAAGCAGAATAACAAGGCTGTGAGAGCTACTAACACAGGATCCATTCTTGGCCTGCGAAAGAAGCCCTCGTTCTCTATCTGGTGGCTGGCAGTTAGCTACTTAGAGAGAACTGGAGAACCCAACTCTTGAATATATCTTGAATCTAAAGTGAATGGCACTTAGAAGCGCTGCTAGAACCTCATTTATCAGATATCACTCGCTCTACGCCTTTATAATTGGTCAATGAACGGATTAGAGGCCAATCTTGCTACATACTGCGGCGGGGGCTGTGAATGCTTCTTCTAAGCTGAGTATGTAACTCGCCACTGCTGTTCAGCCTTTCACTAGTAAGTCATATTTGGGATTTATAATAGCATCTTAGGATGGCTGTCGGACGATTGGAGTGCCCAGGGCTACCAGACACGTCCCGCGGGGATATCTAATGCTAAGCTTCAAGATAATTCCGAGTCTTCTAAGGCGTCCGACACTTCTGAAATTAAACTGTCTTCGTAATAGCGTCTCCTGGAGAAAGGTAATGCCGCCTAGGGCCGCATTACCTCTCATGAAGCTCCAACATTGCATGGAATAACATTCTTCGCAACTCTATTACCACGGGCCTCTAATTACGCACATGGCATATCTGAGAACCTTAAAGTGCTTACTTAGGAGTATAGGAGTAAACCAAAGAGATGAACGGAATTCACATCCAAAGGATTAAGCCTTCGCACTCATGGAACCGAGTGATAGTGCGAGTTCGGTACTCAACACTCCCTTGAGACATGGTTGAGTTTTGCGAACAGTTCCGGACTGGCACAAGCATCAAGTCGATCCCAGACGGTCAACTCTACATGCGTGACCTCGACTCCTATCACATTTCCCCCGCGACCCAAGTCTCGTCGGCCATACCGGCATTCCTCCGGCCTCACTATACCCGCACTCTATCGGTTGATACCTCCGACGACCGGCGTTTTGAAAATAGGGCTGTCGGTATACAGGGTTCTCGGTACCCATAGATCCTTGTGCGTGAAGTATGGACCATGGCATTGATCCCCGATTGGTAGCTGTAGCTGTAGCTGCCGTGCTCTCCGACCGGGCCGCGGGTATACCGTATCCTGTGACTTTCAGCTCCCGGCACGGCCGTCGACAGTGATCGAAGCGGGTCGGGCTCCGGATGGTGTTTCCGTAGATGGTGATCACCGACACCCGTGGCAGAATATACTGACTTTATATGAAAGAGCGTCCGATAACTGGCCGGAGACTGATCACCCGTTATCAGTTAAATGGACATGGACATGCACATTTTGGGGATATATGACGGTACCTAAGCGGATAAACGAACCAACGAGCACATCGAGATGCTGCACGGTTTCCCGGTAACAATCCCGCTGCCCTGCCATGTCTCCCCCGCCGGCTGGCCTTCTCGGCGTCGCCGTTCTTATCGTGACAACTGATCGATAGGTTGCAATGTCGACGTGGCTGATATAACTTATGTTTCACCTTGGCAAAGGTAGGTATATGAGGTGGGTAGAGTGGATATGCAGTGAGAGAGACAACGTACATAACGTCGTTGGATAGATATGGGGTCTACCGTTGCTCCATGCCGGACAAGTATATCTACAGCTCACCGCGAGATTGCACGCAACCCGGAAGCTGTTCATGGTCCGCATGGTGATCTCGCCGGACCGGAGGAAGCAGGTGAGACTCAAGGCTCGCAATGACGTCCAATCAGAAGGGATGGCCATGGGTCTAGTGCAAAGAACTCCGTTATTGCAAATCCGCAGCTCCAGCTCTGAGGCTCTATGCATGGCCACTTCTTCGCGCGTGATCAACGGGAGTCTTTCTTTCGTGCGGCAAAGTGCAAATGCCCGAACAAGCTGTGCTGGTAGGATTGCACTTGCATAATCACATGCTAGACAGGCGGCAGGTCCGAGGAAAGGACGCAAACGGTGCATAGATGCTTTATAAGTACATGATGTGTTCGAATTGCGAGCCGGTGCACTGCGCAGTGTGGAGCTACTACATATAGCGGTGCGGCTCATCGCAGAAGGGTGAGAATCACGGACCAAGAGTTTCTAGCGCAGATTCTCTCAAGGTTACCCGGGATCCTCCCCGCCATTGGACCCTTAGTTAGCTCTCAGAACGTTGGACGTCATTACTTGTGAAAGTACATACACGCCAAAGAGCAGCATCGCATACCGTACGATAATTCAACATCTCCACACCATCAAGTGCACTTACTTACTTACATCTTACACGAATCACTAACACCCTCCACTTTATAACCAACCAATTGACCCAATCCGACACAGCGGCACAGTGGCACAGCTCTGTGCACTCGTCTCTGCTCGCTGGTTGATCCATCAGCAGTAGAAGTCATGCAAGGCACTCAAGATTCCTCTCGAGCGCCAACAGACGCCCATTCGCTGGAGGACCGACTGCGCGACATGATTACAAGTCACCAGCCTCACCAACCGCAGCACAATCGACCTCCAGCATACCCTGCTCTCCCGTCGGTACGGCAGTCGATGCCGCCACCGCCGCAGTATTCACAGCGCCCGAACGGACCTCCCCCGACGTACGTGCAGAGCAACAACTACTCGGCACATCCGATCCCGCTCCGACCACCACCTGGACTCGCTGGAGTGGGGTCGCGCCCTCGCACCACGGGACCTCCGCAATTCGGCCCTGGGCACCAGCAACGCCGTTCACAGGGAGGACCCTCGATGCAGCAGCCTACTCAGGGTCCAGATGCGCCGTCGTCATCGCCACGATACCAACAGCCTCGCCGTGGCTGGGGCAATCCCGCTCCGCTCGCACCACCGCCACCCAGCCTTGATCATTTCCCACCTCTAGGTAAAGAGAATCCAGAGGGGAAACAGCGATCCCCACACAGCGTTCCATCGTATCAGCGCGCTGATCAACCCCATGGCCAGCAGCCCCACAGACCTAAAGCGGGTCCTCTCGCAAGCAATAATAATCCTATCGCTCCTCGCAGGTTTGATCGGCGGCCTCCGAGGCTTCCCGTTGCGCATTACGAGCAGTTCTTTGTGGAGCAGGCGGCCAATCTCGAGAAGGTTGCCAAATCACTGTTGGAGGAGATCTCGCCGCCGGATGAGGAGACGGTCGCGAAGAATGAGCTCCTGCATCTCTTGCAGGGCATCTGCAGGAAGCTAGTGCCAACTGCTGTGCTGATACCATTCGGCAGCCTTGTCAGTGAGTACCAACGAACAAAGCCAACCACCTCTGGAAGATGCTGACTGTTGCACAGCGGGTTTCTCGACCGCATCTTCGGACATCGACTGCGTGTTCGTCGCTGGACCTCTCAACGACCCCGCCACGCCAGAGGTATCCGACGATCTCCCTGCCCTGCTGGAACGGAGCCTGCAAGAAGAGGACTTCGATGCACAGCTACTGACTCGCACTCGAGTCCCCATCATCAAGATGAAGCAAAGGGCTGCTCCTGGCATCGGAGAGATACAGTGTGACATTGGATTCAAAAACTTTCTGGCGATCCACAACACGCAACTGCTTCTGTGCTACTCCAAGTGCGACGTGAGAGTAAAACAGATCGTGTTATTCGTCAAGGTATGTTTCGCCCGAGATCTCCGATTTATAGATCTCTAATTGGATTAGTGGTGGGCCAAAAATCGACACATCAACTCTCCATACCGTGGCACGCTGTCTTCGTATGGATATGTCTTGATGATACTCCATTATCTCATCAACATCGTCCAACCACCGGTTCTGCCAAACTTGCAGCTGCAACCCATTCCCCAGGGTACGGCCGATAGCGAGATCCACTACAAGGAAGGCGGGAGTGAGTACAACATCTGGTTCGCCAAGGATATCACGAACATCGGACCGAGCCCGAATACCAGTTCTGCCGGAGAATTGCTTAGAGGTTTTTTTGACTACTATTCCTACAAATTTGCCTGGGGTCAAAGTGTGATCTCCATTCGTACTCAGGGAGGCCTCCTCACGAAGCAGGATAAAGATTGGTGTATGGCAAAGAGCAGGCCAGCGAATACGTCTGACGGCGCGGAAACCTGGGAAGTTAAAGACAGGTATGTTTTTGCTGTGTCGCGTATCGTCCGGTTCCTTGTGGCTGACTGATCCGATAGGTACCTCTTCGCCCTCGAGGATCCGTTTGAGACCGTTCACAACGTTGGAAGGACATGCAATGGCCCAGGTAATTGACACCATCTCATCCACTAGCGAGATATATCCATTGACACGCTTAATCACAGGGGTTAGAAGGATCCGAGATGAGTTGCGACGTGCAATGGACCTTATCAAATTCCGCGGCGACGGAGGCCAGAGGCTCGAACGGTTTCTCTGCGAGGAAGCTCCACCGGAGAGGCCATTCGTCAAGAAAGAAGACCGTGAGCCGAAGGACCCGAATGCTTCCATGAGTCCCGGTGCAGAGAACGAGAACGCAGCCGAAGAGGCGGCTAACTCGGGGGCGGCTGCTGGGGGTAAGGCAGCTGAGGATTTGGTGCTCGATACTCTGGATGCTGTTAAGGAACTTTCGCTCAATAGCTAAGGCGATCGGCTGAATTCGAGTCATAACTGATCTCTCCCTATATCATTCGCATTTTTGTCTTTCTCATTTCCTTGTGTCTTTTTTCTTTTCTTTTTTATCTCTGTATTGGAGTTCATGGACGGTCCGGTCGGGATATCGGATGAATATCAAAAGCTGCTGTTGTTTTTCCTGCGGAATTGGGAATGGGAAATGGATACGATGTGTGTACCTTTAGCAAGTGCAGAGATTGTAACGAGGAATGAGTTCAAGTGACGGCGTTCACTTAAGATATCGCACGTTCATTCGGCATTCACTCTATATATCGCACATTCATTTCAACTATCGCGCCTCCATCCCAGCCACAAACAACCATGACACCTACCGTGATCGGGACTGGGGGCTGGGGGGCGCTTTGCTACACCGCCCTGCCGCCGAGCCCAGCGCCGGTGAAGTGAGATAAGTAAGTCAGCTATGTGGTACTTGGGTACTCTAGATAGTGACTCAATTGCGAGTGTGCGAGTGTGGGTCATCGCCGTGACCTCCAACAACATTGTTCCGCAATGAGTTGAGTGTTTATCTCGACGCGTGCATGGACGATGACACTACAGTCTACAAGTGGGGGACTCGGGACTGAGCCCCCCAGCCCCAGCGAGAAAGACGATCATATGGAGAATGTACTTCAGGATGAGGACGGATATGGATGGGAAATTGTGTTTACCGATGGATCTGCGATATCGATCCGTACTTTGTATGTATGTGCGTATGTGGATATGTATGTGCGCGCTGCGACGCGCGATAGACCTACAGACAGAGAGATAGGTAGAGCTGATAGATAGCCAGCCAGCCTTCCAACCCTCTCTGTTTACGCTTTACCCTCGGCTAAAGTGGAACAATCCGGAGTCGATTCGATTCGTGAGTGAATTTCTACTCACTCACTTGGGGCTGATAGTTGAGCAGGCTTGGGGGAGGGAGGGAGGGTTGAGGTCTGTACTACACCGCAGACCAGAACGATGGACTCTGGGGAGAACGATGGAAATAGAAATATCGTATTCTTTTCGTTTCGTGATGGGGAACGGTGTCGACATTACTCATCGAAGGTCGACAGGGCAGGGCAGGGTTGCCGGTGGGTGCTGGTGGTGGTGGTGCTGGTGGTGGTGCTGGTGGTGGACGGGAACGTGTTGCGCGCAGACTGAGGTGGTTGGTTGGTTCGTTGCTGCGGTGGGTGACCATCCACCCCAGATTTTGGGCGCGGTACATGTTTACGTAGTAAGGGGCTCTCGGGAGTCTCACAGCTTGATCCCTGTCACCAGCAGCACCGTCATCGTGTTCTTTCCGGACGAGGAACAAGCAAGGTATGTAGAGGAAGCGCCCGGGATGGATGGATGGAAGGATGGAGGGATGGGAGGATGATTCGAGATGATTATGATGATGGCAGGAAGGACAGGGCTGTGCTAGAAGAAAGTTGCGCCCGTGAGCGCCCATTCGATGTATCAATGATCGAGGCGTGGACGCTGGAGGTGGACAGCCAGCCTGCCCGTCCGTCGCCCGTTGCGCTGTTTGAAGCACGGGTTCCTTTCTTACCGTCCGCATACTAGTAGTTAGCATACCTCGAACCTAAGCAGGTACCTCTTTGGAGTTTAGCGAACGGAGCTCGGGGGTAGAGCTCCTACTGCACAGCACACAGCTCCCTGGGGTCTGTCACGATAAGACCGGTCCCCCTTCGATTTGCGCTATGTATGCGTACCCGCGGCTTCCAGCTCACGTCCCAGTGTCCCCCTTATCCACCCTCCCACCCCGTCCCACATGACTCAGTCTCTCATTCATTCAAAAACAAGCTCTCTCCTCCCTCCCTTCTCTACCTCTCCCCAACCCATCCTTTCTCTGAAAACCTCACCGGCATCCAGTATAAACACTACTGGTCACCTTCCCGCCTCGTCGTCCATCAAGCAGCAATATCAGTAGCCAACACCTCCTCGACAAGCTTTTGACATCAATCATACCTATCTACCACGAATCCTCTCCGACAACTACACCAGCAATCATGCCCATCGTCGACTCTGGAGATTTCCGATCCGCTGCCCACGAGATCCGTCGGGAGAAGGAGGTTTGTTGTTCCTGGCTACAGCTGTCAACCCCTTGCTACGGAAACACAAAGACTAACAAATATCAAACAGCACCGTGTCAAGTACCGCGGAGTCAACATGAACCTCATTGGAAACCCCAAGACCACCATTCCGGGTGCCGAGGCCAAGGCAACTTGGACCGCCACCAACAAGTCAGTCACCTCTTCTGCTCCCTCCGATACCACCCTACTGACATATCCCAGACACCAGATGCGGGCCCTGCCATCCCGAACCTGCCAGTGTTTCAACTGCAAATGCTACCGGGGCAAGAAATCGCGGTCCCGCAAAGAGATCCCACACACGGACGTGGTATGCACCGCATACGCGCCCTCGGCCATGGCCCGCAAGACTCCTCGACCTACACTGAACCTCGCGGATGACTTCCGGGACGACGACTACACCTCGTCCTCCTCGGACGATGGTGACTACATGGGCGGTGTTACCTACTCGTTCGATAACACCGGCCCGAACTGTGAAATGGACCTCTCCCATGCCGTTACCGAGGCGGTCGAGAAGTTTGAGACCAAGGAGCTGGCGTTGATCGTCAAGAATGAGTACGATTTCATCATGGAGAGCGAGACGGAGGAGGAGTTTGAGCTTATCTGAACACTCGCTCTCGGTTCATCTCCATCGTGTCACTTCTTCTGATACTCATGTGTACACCTTTCCATTTCGATCCGTCGATGTTTTAATACTCCTTTGTTGCTCCTATTGCTACTGTCGATGCTCTGGTGTTTGGTTCCGATTTCGGGGGGGGGGTTTCGATTCCATCTACGTTTGCGTTTTTCTGACTGCTGTCTACTGCTCTTTGCTGGAAGTGGTTGTTGTATTATTTTTTTGACCTTTCGTGTCTCTTTTGCTCTTGATTCTGCTCTCTCATTGAGACGATTTCATTGCACACGCTACAAACTAGAAATGACCTTAGATACCGTTGCGGTTTTTTTTTGCAGGCAGCTGTTGGAGTTGGATACGAACGAATATAACGGATATTTGTGGGAGCTCCTACAGTGCCGGGTTTGAGTCATGTGAGAACTGAGCTGTGAGCTGTGAGAGTCGTACCTAGCTGTTGGTTACCTACCCGGTACTCCAGCTGTTGGTTACCTACCCGGTACTCCAGCTGTTGGTCGATCGCGCGCTTTCCCACGGGCGTCAGGTAGGTGCATATCATACGCTGGGGTGCATCGTGCATCAGGCGCTGGCTGGGGGTGAGACATGGGCTTGTCGAATCGGTAACGGTACGGTATGTATTTTACAGTACATATTCCGGCGAATCACCGAATCGCTGGCCGCCAATGTTATTCTGAGGCTGCGGGACATTGCCAACAGCCAACTTGATGTAACTAATGGACGACTAATGGACGTGCAGTGCAGCGCGGATGACAAACCGTGGAGAGAGGGCGCGAGAGAGAGAGCGAGAGAGCGAGAAGTGTCCTCAGCGTTCCAACTTCCGTCGGCATCCTCCAAGATCACCTGAGCGAAGGGCGCGCGCGCACATAAGCAAAGTCAGTGGTCACACACAGGATGACGGACTGACCAATCGCTGAAGAATACTCATTCGCTCATGGCAGATGACTCCCTCTGTCACGGAACCGCCACTGAACCGCCACGGCTTACTGGTACGATACAAGTAACCAAGTAGAGTACACAATAGAGACAACGAGAGAGAGAGGAAGAAAGAGAGAGAGGAAGAAAGAGAGAGAGCTCGTGCGCCTTTGGCGTACATAATACGGTCCGGTTGCGCTGGAACACGGCGGATTTCCCGTGTCCCGGCCAGACCGGACCCGCTGGCCGAATATATATCGTGCTGTGTGGCGGGTGAGCCGGCGGCGCAGGTCGGGCTGTTGGCTGTCGTGGAGCGGCCGACGAGCGCGGGCCGCTGTACATATCGATCTGGATCGGGGGAGAACCTGGCTACCCGGCGAAGAAGGCCGGCACCCGGTACCCACGACCGCCGGGACTGACAATCTGACAGTCTGACCTGGCGGCCATGGGAAGCCACGGGATTACACGGGAGGTACACCTCAGTACATACACCGTGCAGAATTGGGAGGGGAAGGGGCGAGGACGTCCTCCCCCCCTCCCCCGAATTCAGGGGGTGGATCTGCCTCCCAAGTCCGGGCATCCCGCAGCGCCGGCTAAGCTTTCGTGGAAGTTTGCACGTTGGAAACATGGAAACCCGAACCAAACCAAACTAAGCCTGGAGTCTGGAGACCCCGCGACTCGCGGCCCAAAGGCGGAGAGGCAGGAAGACGGGAAGGCGGAAAGCACAGTGGAAGAATCCCCGCCGATGCCGATGCCGATACCGGCTACACGACGCGGGAGACCGGTGCACTCCGACTGTGTCCTGTCAACTGCCTCCGAGCTAGCTATCCCGTGATGACGCCGGGAGGATCACAGATACTCAGACACTCAGGCACTCATGAAATGTACATACATACCATACACCCGATAGCCGCTTATGACCGAGAATCGTGGGGATCGTGGATATGGTGACCAAGAGTCCAAGACAAGACAACAATCTCCTCATGATCCATCCAGACGGCGACTCAACTACCTATTTGCTACATAACCACACTTTCGTCCCCAGAGTTCCACTTGTTGCTTGTTGCTCATTGCTCATTACTCAGTGTACTCTACTCTACTTTTTGGCACCGTTGGACTGCCTGCCTGCCGACCTGCCCTGGATGCGGCCTGTTGTCGGGAATGCTGCGTGGCACCGATTCCAACGTCGTTTTTGCTCTGTACTTTTTTCCCATTTCTTTTCAGTTTCATCGATGATTACGTGCAACTTATGCAGCCTATGGTTCCTGCCTGCGGTTTCCGCTGTAGTTACGCACGTACGCGGGGGATAATGTTTGCGAGTTCAGATATAGCGAGCGAGTGAGAGTGTCATGATGTATTATGCATCATGTAGCAAGCATTATCGGCATCTATCTACTGTATATGCATCCGTCCCGGTACTGTATCGCCAGCGTCTACTATAAGTACTCTATCCACTCCACCCTACCCCATACCGTACACAGCCCTCTTTTATGTATACATCTTCACACTCTATTCTTCGTGTTCCGCCACTTTATAGTACCGGGTCCGCGGGATCTCCACAGTCCGAGGACGATGGATCCATAGTTTGCGTCCACCGGCCCGACACCGTCTGAGCTAAGTGCCGTCCATGAGATTGGGTGTTTGTTTCGAGCGATCCCTCAACCGTGGGTACCGCATTGGTATTCTAGGTAGTCGGTATTCTTCTTCGTACTCGTCCGGGTATGTAGGTACACCGTCCAGCGGCAGCTAGCCAGCACTCCGTTCCATTCGCCTTCCGTCTTAAAAGTTGCAACCCGTCAGCTTTCGTCTCACTCGCCACCCAGCCTCCAGGCGGAGAGTAACCTTCAGCGAACCTTCAGCCAACCTGTGACCCGTAGGCTGTCTACAGCGACGGCAAGCGCAAAAACGTGCTAGCACTGTAGCACGCAGGCAGACATTGCTGGAAAGCGACGATGCTCGAGAACAGGAACCACACGTGGAACACGGTGAAGGCGGGGGTGGACAGGAGGTTTGGGTAGTGGCTCGTCAGCGCCAGTAACGTGACGTTGAGCGAGATCAGCGGGAGGACGGTTGAGGTGTATGTCATCTTTACTGGCTGTAGAGAGGGAAGGGGAAGGGGAAAGGGAAAGGGAGTGATGCTGGGTGAGCGGGATAGAGGGAGGTTGGTTTAAACTTTGTGTCGGCGGGAATATGTCGGCGCTCTGGAGTCTGGAGGTGGTTTATATGAGGATATACCGAATTCAAAATGGCCATTTGTTTCCTCTCCGGCATCTCCTCTCCGGTTTGTACTGGACAGTGGGAAAACAACCCCCCACGGTGGGTGACAGCAAATGTTTGTCGTATCCTGAACACTTCACCCACTCCCTTGCTCTCTCTATCTCTATCTCTCTCGTGATCTCGGCCGCACCTAGAACCAATTCGTTTCTTGCTTCGTGTTTGATTTCCGAATTTGCAGCTTTCTCCATCGCTGGCTGGCCGTAGGCCCGTAGATAGTAGACTGTATCATAGTATTCACTTCAGCTCATCTCTCTGCTCCGCCCCCAACCACTCCGACGTGGACGTGGCTGCGGCAACAGCGGGCGGGCGGGCGGCAGCATTGCGATGAGCATGAACTCTGGACGTCGGTCGTGTGTGTCGTGCGTTGTTAACGAAGCTCTCTAGGGCTAACTCAACCTATCCCACAGCTGTTGCACAACATCCTGATCCCGACTTGATCCCGACATGATACATCCTCCCCTGAAGAATTGGATCAGCAAACCCCACCCACCTCCTGGATTTGTTGTTGTCGATAATTGCGCGTGTCGTGCTGCGTGCGAGGAAATAAAATCAGAAATAAAAGAACGTGTCACTGCTGGTGTTGGTGTTGGGTTTGGTTGGTGGTGTCGGTGTCTGCACATGTCGGTGCGGCACTGCGGCCAGCCAATGAATAAAGTCTCGCAGAAAAATGAAAGACGGGCTGGGCCCAGGACTCCAGGAGAGCCCCGCTTTTTGCACCGCTTCATTTGGGAAGTCGCCGGGCGGTCTCGAAAAGAAAGAACGAACAGACGGATGGACGGACGTCATGAAGTCTTTATGGACTGTGCATTTCGTTGGATATCGATAGGCACTGGTACTACATATCTCGTTACCGGTACCAGATACAGAATTGAACCTCCTGTCTGCAGCTAAGAATTGGTGCTTAGGCTGCCGGTCGGTGGTAATTGCGTCTTACATACCATGAGAAACATCTGTAGATACGGTATCCTGCTTGGAGTCTTGGACATGTAGCGATAGGCTTCTGCGACCTTGATTGCTGGACTGGTGTGTGCTGTACGGTACCGTACTGCGTAGTGCTATGCATATCCAGCTCCCGACAACGTGGTACCTGCTACATGGTACCCGCAGCTAGCCGTGCGGCGGCGAGCAAGTATAGAGGAGGAGTTGCAGGTATGGGAAAGCTGATGGACAATTGAGATTGAGATTGACTCGGACATAGTACCTCGTATTCAACGGGTTGTTTCCCGGAAATGACGTTGGAGATGCGGGAATGAACGGGACGTCGATACGAAGAGGCGTTGTTTGCGGAGCAGGTTCATGAATCATGAAGATGATGCTTCGGTGAGGCGGTGAGGCGGCTTTCACTTCTCCTCTCCTCCACCATCGCGAACCAACTTCTCGCCACCGACTCGCGGGCGTGCGGTGTAGTCTGTAGATATGCAATTCTCCGTTCACCCTCCACTATCCGAATCAACAGTCCACTTTCACCTCACTTTCCATCCTAGAACCAGATCAGGCACCTCAACTTTCAAGCAGTCCCAGTTCAGGTACATAGCGAGTGCAAAATCCAGTCTCCCGCCAAGCAACCCCGAACCGCCACAAGCCCAGCCAGCCAGCCAGCCAGCCCAGCAGCCCAGCAGCCCAGCAGCCCAGTCTAGTCTGGCCCCGCCCCCGTGCCGGCCTCAAGCCCAACAGTTAATCCCCAATTAGCTCGGGAAAGCCTCGGGAAAGCCGTGTGTTGGTAAAGCGAAACAGGAATCCGCTGGCGTGTGTGAATCATGATCGTCGATTCCGTGGGCGTACATGCCGCACAGCCGGCCACCATCCACCGGCCACCGGCTTGTCTGCTTGTCTGCTTGTCTGCTTGTCTGCTTGTCGGTGTGTACAGTGTGGACCCTGAATTGACCTCGGTGCTCCCCTCCCCTCCCCGGAAAAGTCCGAACTCCGGATTTCGCTGCGCATGAGGTGGCCTACCCACCGACTTACCTATCTGGACTCTGGTGGAGAACGTAATTCGATCGGAAATCATCATGATTGCGAATCTTTGCGATCATGACGATCTCCGCTCCGACCGGCCGGCCGACCGACCGATTGACCGACCAGCCGGCTGGGGGGGCAGCCGGCTGGGAGCGGAGCGGAGCCTGGAGGTGGGTGCGTGGGTGGATGGGTGGATGGGTGGATGGGTGGATGGGTGGATGGGTGGATGGAGCTGGGTGGAGCTGGATCCCAAGGGGTCATCGCCGATGTATAGTAGTTACATACAGCATATAGGCAGGCAGGTATATAGGCAGGTTAGGTAGGTAGGCAGGTAGGTTAAAGACGACGTCGCGGTAGGTAGGTACGGTATTATGTGCACACTGCACAGAGTGGAGAGCATAGCAGTCTATTTTGCCGATCGAAGATGGAGCTCGCTGCTCGAGTATCTATCGCGTGCCAATACAGTGGAACGGACTAATCGTCCGGAAGCTCTGCCTTAGGTCTACTCTAAGTAGGAGTAAGAGTAGGTAGGTCTGTATTCCCAAAGTGTTTCGGATCGATCACTAGTGACCACTGGGCCACCCAGGCGGTTTGAACTGAACTGACAGCTGATGGCCCCCGCCCCCCAGTGCTCACAATCTTATCGTCTCCATCTTATCAAGATACTAGTAGTAGTTACTCTATTACAGCCTAGTCTAGCCTAGCCCAGCCCAGCCCAGCCAGGCCTAGCCGAAGCTCACACATCACGTCATCATCCGTTGCGCAAGATGTCTCGCATGCCCAATCTTGGTCTTTGGTCCTTGGTGCTGGAAACGTTAACGCCAGTTACATATGTGTGTATGTGTGTATGTACCACGGCGCGGATGGATGATTACGCATGCGCAGCGGCCGGCGCGCGTCGACAGTCGTGTCACTCTGTGGATCCGGGACGTCGACTACCAGTACCTAGTATACACGATTGTGAAGAGTGTGGGGCTCCGAGCCTCCGATGAGCTTGATGGAGAAGGCGCTTGCGGAATCCGGGGAGACGATGGGATTGTGCACGGAGCTGATGAAGAATACGGCAGGTATAAGGTACCGTAGGCACCTACCCACGGATGCCGTTGCTGGCCTGCATACTCTACATACACCTACGATAGTACCGGAAGCAAGCCTCGCGCCTTGCGGTTGTGTGTAAATATGTAACTACCCAGGTACCAGTACTCCACAATTCTCCCCTCGCCCGGACTCCGGAGAGAGAACGGATTTACCTATGTATCGTCACTCCCTCGCCTCGCCCGGACCGGGAGGATAGGTGCCGTAGCGGCAGAGTGATGGGGCGTGACGGATAGTGCCGGAAGCAGACACCGATGCGGGGATAGGTACATAAAGTATCCCGTCGTGTGGAAACGAAGATCCGCGACCAATTATGGGCGCTGGCCGAACATGATCTGGAAGCCGCCGTGCACACTGGACAGTGGACGCGGATCTGTTAGGTACTGCGCACCGAGGATGAATAGACGCAGCCATAGCATATCACATCTATCGGAAAAGAAGAAGGTCTTTCCAACGACCGCAACCGCAACCGCTGCCCTTGGCGATCTCACTCGGTGCTACGGTAGGTACCGAAGTATATACCACTCTACTAGGTAGTAGCAGCGATCGCACGCACTACGAGAAGGTGTTGAGAATCCAAGCCGGGAAAAGGGGGCATAGATATCAGAGATATTCCGTCCTTTCTCCCTATCCTTCGACTGTTCGAGAGCACCTGAGTGGCATGCGCGGGTGTCCCTTGCAGCGAGTTAGCGACCAAAGAAAGCAGAAAGAAAGCAGAAAGAGAAAAAAATGTGGAAGGAGAAGCAAGGAGAATCCTTCAGGTGCGCCCCGCTCTCCTCTATCTCGCCCTCGCCTCAGGCGGGTGGCGGACGTCCAGCGAAACGCCGGAGTGCCGTATGTACGGCCGTTTCCCGGAGCTGTGTTTCGTAGTTTCGGAAGCTTACCGACGCGCACATTTTTTCTTTTTCTTTTCTTTTTTTCTTTTTTTCTTTTTTTTTCTTTGACTCTTTCTGTGCGGTGTGCTGTAGACAGGACAGGATCATATCGTGGGGCTGTTTGGTACGGAAGTACATCCGTGCGACTTTCAGGCCGGTCGGCGGTCTAGAGTATCTAGAGTAGGGTAGGTGGAGGATGGCCCCCGGCCCTCTCGGTTTCCCCCCCTCCCCCCTCCTCCCGCCCGATGACGTACTTGGCACGTGCTTTTCTGCGCGGTCTGGATCGTTTGGCCCTTCTACCTATCATATCTACTGCCGGCGCTTTTATCGTATGATCCGATACATATTATTATTTGGGCCTGCCTGCCTGCCTGAGTCGAGTGCAGTTAGTTACAGCCGAGTTGGCACTGATCTACAATACGTCATGCAGGTTTTGCTTGGTGTCCATGTAGGACTGAAAGTGCTTGAAAAGTTTGAAAGGTTTGAAAAAGTTGACGGCCGCCAGGATGGACTCTGGACTTTGGAGTGCCGGAGAAACTCGAGAGTTGACGCGAAGGCATGTACGTTAGTTACATGATACATGCAAAGATGTAGCATCATGGTTATTGTTATTGGGCGGCTTTTACATTGGTCGGTGGACTGGAACTTTGCTGTACTGTACTGTACTGGACTGTATTGAATTGTACTGTACTGTAGAGTAGAGCAGAGCCTCCGTGGAGGGAAGAAGAACGCGACGAAGAAGATGGTGAATATTACATACATACCAGTACCGTAGTTCGTCGCAGGTGGCCAGCCCTACCTACCTGCGAGCGAGCCACAAGAAGTCAAAGGTCGGTTTCTCCCGGTTGGTTCCGTGGGATGTCCGCACGGGAGCACCGACCGTCACTCGTGGAATCTCACCGACAGCTTCTCCGTGGTTCCTGTGATTTGCTGATCCGCTTACCTACTACGTTGCTGCATCTCGCGAAAATAAAACGAGTCCCAGAGCCGGAGAGTCATTATTCCTCATCCTCAGGTAATCGCTCAAATGCCTGCTGAACACGCATGAGCGAGCTGCCCCACGGAGGACATGTGCCACCCAGTCCAGAGAACCAAAGAGAGCGCAACGCGTCTGGGAGAGTATCATACATACTCTAGAGCAGAGTACTCTACTCTACACGCACGCAGACGTTGATGTGTCGGATGCGCCTATTAATAGTGTAGGGGGGGTCGTCTTTCGTCACTTCGGTACAAGCGAGAAGTCAGATCTAGACCTCCGTTACCTTGTGGGTGATCTCGCTGAGGCCAATTTGGAATTCGCCATGAGCGAGGCCGGTCGTCAGGTGCTTTTGTGCTCCTGTTGCGGATGGAGTGTTATTGCCGTTGAATGAAATACCCCCATTGTGGATGGGAGGGGTGGTGAACCGAGTCAGAGGGCGTGATAGGTAGGTATCATGAGATGAGCCATCCTCCGTCCGCGCTACATACAAACTTCTTATGCTACTTACTGATCTATGTAGGGCCACGCTCTCCAGAGTTACCGCCGACCAGTGGCCAGACCAGGTCAGACCAGGAAATCCGGGCGTGTAGTTACGGTGGTGAATCTCCTGTAGGGCCGGGCACCCATTGCGTGCTCTGGTTACCCGTGCTCCGCGTGCACGAGTGAGTGCCTGTTTCTTTCTTTATTCCTCTTTTCTCACACGGGCCGCCCGTCAGACGCGGTCTGTCCGCACGCTCAGAGGCGGGGGAATACCGTGGGTAAGTACTGACAAATGTACTGTAGATACTCCACCTGCAGCGACAGAGTGTGTGTGGCAATGGCGAGGGCATCGGTATTCATTCGTGCCGGATAACCTGTATGCACTTGCTGCGGGAATGAGTAATTAACCTGCCATGTAGAAAAGGCAAGAAACTGAACGTGTATCATAACTAGGCCATGGTTTTTCCCTTCTTTCCCTGAAACCCACACACGCCCTCAGAGACCACAAAGCAGGAACCACCCACGCTAACTAGCGTCGGTCCACAGGGTTTCGCCCCTCTTCCTCTTCAACATACCTCACCTCTCCCATCGTCCTCACCCCCTACTACCTACTACCACTGACTACATACGGTATTACTACTACGCCTACTACTACGTCTACTACTACTGCTACTACTACTACCACGCCTACTACTATTACTACAACTCCCCACCACCCCTCCCTACCCATCACCACCACCACCACCACCGTCCACCTACCTCACTTAAGGTCGGTCTAATACCATATCTACTCTAACTCCCGCCCCCGCCCCGCCCGTCACCCATCCCCTACATCTGTCCATCTACAATCGACCTGTTCACCGAACAACAACATCACACACCCCCGGACACCTACATACGTGCAGCTATATCCGCACATCCACCGCTGCTCTACCCATCGGACGTCGACCCAGCTACTACTACTACCACCATTACTACTGCTACCTGCAACCCCCCGACTCGGCACTAAAGTAACTGGCGAAACACCCCAGCCAGCCAGCCACGATCCGGCACGAACACGGCATCAACAAACTACTTGGACACTGCCGAGACCACAGCGAAAGCCTTTCACTGCGGCGAACACGGATCGGGAACGCCGGGTTCGAGCTAAAGTGAATAACGAATTTTCGGTCCCAGTCATAGTTGCCACATCAGTGCTGCCCCCTCACCCCCGTCATCATCGCCTTTGAATTGGAATGCTTGGTTGTTCATGACCATGATCAGTGGCCAGCAGTCTTCAACATCACCCTACCTTTGACGACAGAATCCAGAAGGCATCTCTAGCCCGCCGCCGCAGTCCATCATCTGTGGTGTCCCGCCCCCGCACAACTTACGATCCCACATCCTCTAGCCCTTCTACATGCCTCCGCTGCTTGGATCTCCTCTCCACATGCCCAGCATGACCGCATCACCTCGAACCTCGAAAAACGACCTTCCCGCGCACACGCAGATCCGCCAATTCCACAATGGCCCCACCCCCGCGCCCGCGTCCCTCGATATCTCGCCCCCCGCAATACCAGTACCAGCACCAGAATCCGCCTTCGCCGAAACACCTTCGCAGCCAGGTTCCGCCGGCTACTTTGGATTCGTGGTGGACCCGAATGACCCCGTGTACGGAACACACTCCAAGAAGAACTGGTCCCCGGCGAGCTCGTCGATTCGGTCGGCGGCCGCTCGTTCTCCTCTGCCGGTCCATATGGACAACCCTTCCACACCCTTCCAGATACAGACCGAAGCGTTGGCGCAAAAACTTCAGTTGCACCGGTCCTTGGGGTCGACGAGGACGAAGGAGCCCCTTCTGGGTGGTCACAAGGGGAGTTTCAGTGCCGTATCGTCTTCCGGAAAGGATGACGATTACTTTTCCGCGATTCGCACTACTTCACCGGTCAAATTGGACGATACCGGGAGTGACCAACCCTGGCCACCGATAGCATCTCCGGGCACGATCCTCTCCCCCGGACTCGCGTCACCTACCCTCAAGCTTCCGAGTCGAGCCGTAGGCGCCCCGAGCCTAGCGAAGGAGAAGCCGGCATTGATTTCGGCGCGCCATCTGTCCGATTTGATCTCGAGGTGCAGCACGGACGGTTTGCTACTGTTGGACGTCCGGACGTACAAGTCGTTCGCCAACGCTCGAGTGTTGACCGCTGTCAATCTATGTATCCCGACGACCCTACTGAAGCGGCCTTCGTTCAATGTGGCCAAGTTGTCCGACACCTTTGCCAACAGCCAGGATAAGGAGAGATTTGGCCGGTGGAAGCAGATGAAGTACATCGTGGTGTACGACGCGGATTCCAAGGACGCCGACGACCCATCCGCGCTTGCCGCTCTGCATACGCTCAGCAAATTTTCGAGGGAGGGCTGGGATGGCCAAGCCTACATCCTCAAAGGTACGGTCACCGCTGTGTGACTTGATCTATTAGGGGGAATATGTTTGCTAACATGATCAGGTGGGTTTGCTGCCTTCTCCCTGGCTTTCCCCGAAAAGGTCGATTCGAAACAGCTGTCCAACACTCCCAGCGCACCTAAGGGTGGATTGAGCCTGAAAGGAGCTCCTGGAATGGACAATAAGGGAGTCGTTGGCGGCGTGTTCAACTGTCCGTTGCCGGCCCATCAACCGGCTGTAAATCCTTTCTTTTCCAACATCAGACAGAATATGGATCTCATCGACGGTGTTGGAGAAATTCCCATCCAGTTACCCACAACTATGGGCAATAAGAATATTTCCCAGTTGCCCGCGTGGCTCCATGAAGTGGCGTGCAGAGAGGACGGCTCCAAGGTTGTTGCCGATCGGTTCCTGAACATCGAGAAAGCTGAGCAGCGTCGGATGCAAGAGGCGCTGAACGTCTCGGTGGTATATGACTCGCCTACGTCGACGAGTATCAAACCGCACACTTTAGCCGGCGTCGAAAAGGGGAGTAAGAACCGGTATAATAACATTTGGCCGTATGACCACTCGAGAGTCAAATTGCAGGAATACCCCGCTGAAGAGTGTGACTATGTGAATGCGAGCCACGTATGTATACCGCATAGCCGGAAACGATACATTGCATCACAAGCACCGCTTCCAAGCACATTTAGGGTAAGTTTTTCTTTTTCTTCTTTTTTTCCATTCCGTTCCGGGAGAGGAGGGAGAGAGACTACCAAAATATCATTTCTAACTTGCTAGGATTTCTGGTGTATGGTTTGGGAGCAAGACGTGCGCGTAATCGTCATGCTGACGGCTGAAGAAGAGGGCGGACGTGTGAAGAGTCACAAATACTGGGAGACGAATGAGTATGGTCCGCTGAAACTGACTCGCATACAAGAGAGAAAGGTGTCCCTGGAACCCACTTCTCTCAAGACCACGCCTAAGAGGCGTTCGGTCTCGACATCGAGCCAGCCATCTCCTTCGGACTCAAGCATACCCTACATCATAGTCCGGAAATTTACTCTGGAGCACACGGGGTCGCCATTTTCTCCTATGCGTGAGATTACCCAGCTGCAGTACTCTGCGTGGCCCGATCTGGGGACACCCACCCACCCGTCGCATGTTCTCGGGCTGGTTGAACATACAAATGCGGTGGTGCGAGCGTCCATGTCTTCGGAAACCGCAGCCTCTCGGCGACCGGTGCTCGTGCACTGCAGCGCCGGCTGCGGTCGGACAGGAACGTTCTGCACCGTGGACTCCGTGATTGCCATGATGAAACGCCAGCGTATGAACCGGAAACGTCTGATGCCGCAGCTTCAGCAACAGAGCACGGACGATGGATCTGACGGGGATGGTGACATGAAGATGAAGCACCTAGGCTTGGAGGATGAGGGAGACTGGATCACTCGTGAGGATGACGATCTCATCTTCAAGGCCGTCAGCGAACTACGAGACCAGAGAATTTCCATGGTACAATGTCTACAGCAGTACGTGCTTTGCTACGAGACAGTTTTGGAATGGCTCGCGAAGCAGGGCCCACTAGATTCGGGGAAGAGAAAGGCTTGAAGTTTTATTGGGATTGTGGCTGTGTTTGTACATTGAGGTTTTGGTTGTCTTTCCATCCTAATTCTTTACTTGTTTTTCCTATACCCATCGACCCGGGCTACTGTTGTAGATGGGCCGCTTGTGTCTTTTTTCCTTCTTTTCCTTAAAGTTTGATCTCTTTATTGTTTTGGATCGGTGTTTTGTTCAAGTTTTTTCTTTCTTTTTATGCATATGATATCAGGAATGGATGGATGGGATGGGGGAGAGAGGACCACATCAAAATATCACATAGGTCACGCACCCCCAGATACAGATGCAGTTCTTGTACAAAGAAGAAAGTTGGTATATATAAATCGAAGGAAGAGTCTATGATCTTATTCTCCTCCCCCTGCTCCCGAAATCAGCAAAAAGACGCCGGCGAGTAGGACCCACCAGTACCTATTAATCACCAACGGTTAGCATCGCTCGCCCAGTAACGTGAATCATGCAATTACTTTTGGAGTAAGGTCTTCTCCACCTGCGGTACCGGGATCTTCCCGTCGGCAGTCAAAACGATCGGCTTGTTGAGTTCGGGCATGACTCCGGGAGCAGCCTTCACAACCATAACCTTCGGCGCAGCCTACACAACACAGCACACCCATTAGCCCCCATCCCATCACCCATCCCCCACCCCTTCCCTCCCCTTCCCCCCAGGAACCCCGAATAGCAACATACCTCCACCGCCATCGCCACCTCAACGAACCAGACCCTCTTATCCGCGGCATCCCAGCGCAGCGTAACCGCGCCATCACGTATCATTCCACGAGTAGTAACACTACCACTCCACGTCCCATCCTCTGCCGGAACGCCAACGCGCACCAGCTCCTCTGCGTCGCCGTCGCCCAAAGCAGCATCGCCGAGAAGCTCCCAGCTCCCCGCGAGCGTCGTGCTGCTCCACGTGGCTTTGCCTAAAGGCGTGGGGGAGGCGGAGGTTAAGGGCCATGCGTGCAGCGTTACGGTGTTTTGTGCAGCGGAGGCGGAGGAGGGGGGGAGCGTGAATTCGTCGTCTAAGGAGGAGGAGGAGGAGGAGGAAGTGCTGCATAAGCCGAGCGTGAGAAGGCCTAGCAGCGGCAGCAGGAACAGGCGTGGGAGCTGCATTGTGCGTGTGGGTGTGGGTGTGGGTGGGCGGCCGTGGTCGTGATAGTCGCGTTGGGCGGGAATGAAGTTGTGGTGAGGTGGTATCTACTTTACGACGTGCTCACGTAGTCTAGTCTACCGACCCTGGTTACTCGATGGTTGGTTGGTTGGTGCTGGCTTCTCCTAAAACAGGAATGGGGTGGTGGATGAGTAAGCGGCTGGATGGCTAGCGCGTTGGTGGGTTTATACTTCTTATGTACAAAACCCCATGGTATGATACTCCAAAAGATCGCTTTGTACGGACCCTAATGTGTTACTGGTGAGCACCGATTTCTGCCAGCATGGAAGTCTTTCAGTACTCTAGTGATACCACAGCCATCCGGTTGAAGATCACGTACTTACCTATAGTACTACCGAAAAAAAAATTGACCAAATATGCAGTCCTGTTTACAGGACGAACCTGCAAATCCACGCTCAACATAATTACACAGTGCATTGCAACACTGTAGAACTCTCGTTGTCTGTACATAGATGACGTACCTATTACTTTTCGATACGTGATGTGAGAAAGACGGTACGGTACGGCTCCTGTCATTATGGAAATACGTGTTCTCTAGACTGTTCTAACAGTGAGCATACGAGGTAGTGAACAAAAATCTGGTACATAGTCCTTCGGTATTCAAATGACCGCGGTATTCTTCCCGTAGTTATCACACTCCACTTTTTGATACTGTGCTAGTATATAGAGTAATGGTGCGTTCCGTCAACCACCAAGGTGAGCAAATCTAAACCACAGTCGTCAAGCGTTGACCAGGCCGAGTGATGGTTTAAGGATGGTAGTCTACTTTCCAGTCCTCAGAAGTCCAGATTATGCGCAGGAATCCTCACGGACGGCTACAAAATTTCAAATAACATTCACCAACAGTCTAGCTTCCACCCGGTAATAAAACGAGAACCCAATTCCAATGCCTTTACATGACCGTAAACCTCCTCCAAGACCCGAGCCCGCGATTCTGCTTCGCCCTCCAACCAAAACCTGCAATGTGATCCCAAAAAATCAAACACCAAAAACCGGTACCCTGACATTGCCGCAACTGCCCTTCCGAGAATCCGGCCAGCGATAACCAAAACCTGCAATCGTATCTCAAAAAACAAAAACAAAACCGATACCCTGACATGACTGCAACTCTCTCTCGAAGACTCCCAAAACCCGCAATCTCGCCCACTACAGACGAGTAGCTCCACTCAACAGAATTTCTCCAGCACCTTAGCGACGACGGCATGGCCATTCTTCAGAGCAAGATCCCTTGCCCTTTCGGGATAGTTCCCTCCGATGTCGGCACCGGCGTTAAGCAGAAGCTGCAGCATGTCCAGACGTCCGTTTTCTGCCGCACCCTCGAGGGCCGTTCTTCCGTGAAACTTTGCCGACGGCGCGTTCGGGTCAGCGTCGGCTTCGATCAGTATGAGTGCTATTCCGAGGTGTCCCTGAATAGCAGCACCTTGAAGTGCTGTGACCCCACGTGATTCCGCGCCGGCGGCGTTGGGGTCTGCGCCGACTTCCAAAAGAAATCGTACGAGGTCGATGTGGCCTTCGATGGATGCTGCTTGGAGTGCGGTTCTCCCACTATCGGCGTGGGCTGGGTCATTGACTTTTGCTCCCATATCCAATAACGTTTGAACGAGTTCCATGTTGCCGCGTTTGGCCGCCGCCTGAAGCGCAGTCCGTCCCCCGAAGGGTTGAGGCCTCGCATTCACATTTGCGCCAGCCCGTAGAAGCAGGGCAGTCAGTTCGTCCTCGCCCTCCCCAATAGCACTCAAGAGTGCTGTTCTTCCAAGCTCATCGTCCGGGTCCTTGTATGTAACCTCTTTGTAATCCATCAAGCTGGCATCGACAGCAGCGCCGGCATCTAACAGGAGTTGGGCCATAACCAGGTTTCCACTTATCGCAGTGAGCGGGAGTGCATTGGAAACCCACGCAACGTCCGAGCTACTGTCTTGAGGAAAGTATTGGTTGACATTTACCCCGCGAGAAAGTAGTATCTTAACCAGCTCGACGTCATCCCCTATAACGGGACCATCAAGAACCGTGCCATGGGCGGATACAGTGTTGGGGAATGCTCCGGCACTCAACAAGACTTCGATTATTTCCAGGTGTCCCCTAGAAATCGCCATTTCGAGAGCAGTTATTTCAAAAGCAGCATTGACGTCCGCACCCATAGCTAATAAGAGTTCAACGAGGCGAATGTCGCCTTCTGTCGCTGCTGCAATAAGAGGAGATATTCTGCCCCCGGTATCGAAGTTTGTGTGAGAGAATCTGTTGATATCTGCCCCGGCATCTAATAGAATCGGTACGAGCTGCTTGCACTGCTTTGACTGAATTGCCAATAAGAGTGGGGAACATCCATAACCGTTGACATCTGCCCCAGCATCCAACAGAGTCGGCACGAGAAGGAGGCTGTTACTTGACTTAAATGCAAAAGAGAGTGCGGGATAGCCAGGAGCGTTGATATTCGCGCCTGCTTCTAGTAGCAATTGAGCGATCGCAAGGTTGCCAACTTCAGCTGCGGCCTGTAGAGCAGTTCGTCCGGTCAATCGGTTGCTGGTCGCCGGTGCATTGACATTCGCTCCTGCGGAAAGTAATAGTCGAACCGATTCAATCATACCTCTAGACGCAGCAATTTGCAGAGCGGTCATTCCACCCCATGGGCCGGCGGCAGGTGGGGCATTAACATCAGCGCCTGCGTCCAACAGTATTTGAATTAATTCAATATTGCCGTAGCCAGCTGCGCCTTGCAGAGCAGTTATGCCATAGCCTTCTTCTTCTTCTTCGCAATCCTCAAACCAGATCTCTTCCGGTGCCCAGTAAGGCGGGGCATTGATGTTGGCACCTGCGTCTAGGAGCAACTTGGCGAAATGCAAACTGGGCCGCTCATCATAACCAGCCGCAAATTGGAGTGCTGTAGATCCAGCAGATAGATTGTTATTTCTCTGGCTATTAGCGGCGGCAGCATTGACGTCCGCACCCTCGCGTAGTAAGAATTTAACTAGCGCGACATCTCCAGTCTCTGCAGCTACTTGAAGCACGGTTCTGTTGCAGTGGACGCGTTCAGCGACATTAACGTCTGCACCCGCGTGCAACAACATCTTAACCATATCGACGTCAGGTCTGGCAAGTGCGATGTGTAGTGCACTCACTCCAATCCTGCCGGTCGAAAGAGCGTTGATGTCCGCACCTGCGTCCAACAGGGTCTGGACGAGTGTCTCGTCCCTTCCTGAAACCACTACCTGGAGAGGGGTAAACCCATCCATTATGGAAGTGGGAGAATTTGGATCCACGCCGGCCTTCAGTAGGATCCGCAAAACTTCCGCGTTTTGAGTTCTGAGAGTACCTTCGAAGAGACACCTTGCAAAGGCGTCAATGGTTGGTAACTGCAGCTTTGCTGAGAACAGAGTCGTAAGAGCCGAGTGGTTGCTATTCTCAGCAAACCACTTGAGAATTTGATCGCATTTTATTGGACGTAGCATATTGTTGGATGCGAGATAGGCCGCATACTTGAGAAACTCGGACAGGGAGTTGTTATTGACGGGGCCGAGTAAAGTCTGGATACTGGAGAGTTGCTCCCCCTCCAACAGCTCCAACGAAATGGCTTGTAAGCGGGAATGTACGGCCGGAACAAACTCGACGCTTCCCCGTGACAACGGCGATAGGACAAGGTCTGAAAACAAGGACGTGGTTTCCAGTGCTTTTGTGCTGCCACCAGCCCCGGGCTGAATCGCTTGTGTTGATGAACCCGAAGCTGACGAAGCGCCCGGATAACCTGTACCTCGCAAAATAGGAAGGCCTTCGGATGGCTGGCGAAGTTGAGGATCTCTATCAAGCAACTGAGCGGCCCAATTGTCATTAAGGTCGACTATTCATCTGTTAGTTTTTTGAAGGAGTCCAAAAGAAGATACTACTAACTCTGAGCCTTAAGTTGGTGTCGAAACTGGAACCAAGGGAGGTTGTCCAACCGGAGAAAGTAAGTTCGCGGATATTCTGGGGTTAGAGCTGCCCTAGTTGTGCCTGCTGTAGGGGTCCCTGAACTTTCCCGAGTCTGAACGGCTCCTACGGCTCTAGGTGTACCTGGGGTTGGAGCTGCAGGTGTTCCGGGTGTTGCGCCTGTGGGTGTTCCCGGCGTTCGAACAATGATTCCAACGGGAGTTTTGGGACTCGGAACTGGACATCTGAGTGTAAGCATACATACCATCGAACAATTGCAAAAGGAGGGTGGCCAATTACCTGTGGCATGCCATCGCTGTGGAGGGAAATGGCGACCAAGTTCCTTCTTAACTCTCTTCACTGGGATGAGGGAGCCATGCAGATACACAGAACTCTCTTTGTCGTCGGCCTTCCGCTTTTTCGTCTTGTAGTTGATGACTTCCCACTCAGGACGAGTGAGATTCTTGCGTAGACCCCACTCTTTCAGCATCGTTTCGTACTGGTATTTGCTGCTTCCACTATCAGAACCCGGTCCTCTTGTGCCAAACGGCTCGTATAGATTACCAACCTAGGGCGAAAATCGTAGTGGTCTGCCATGAAGGACATGATATCCTTCAGAGCCATGTTGTTGGGTCCCATGTAGAGCTTTGTGATTTCGGGGCGACGACGGTCCCATTCAGCAAGGGCGATGCTTTGCGCCTGTGGCATCGTGGACAGTGACGGTTGTTGATGCGGAGTTGGGAGGGGTCTATAACTGGCAAATTGTAACAATTCAAGAGAGTGGATTGTGATTCGGAGGAGGAGAAGACTCAGGAGGCGGAATTGGAGGATAATTAATGCCAGAGAGTGGATTGAAGTTCGGAGGAGAGGACTCGAGAGAGGGTCCCAAGTGTGCACTGTGATGATCCTGTTCATGGTTCGCAGCAGTACGCCGGCTTTTTATACATACATACACATTGAGGCATGCAGCTCTGTGCCGGGCGCCCTGCGCGGTGCGCATAGAGCGTGGAGTTGGGCCTAGAAAAGCCAATACCAGGATCTGAGAGAGATGATTGGCCGATGCCAGAATCTGGGAGGACAAGGCTTCGACTTCATGTTTTTCATGCACCCAACTGGGTTTCAGCATAGCCTCGCCGTGTACACTATTCCGCAGACCGCCAATGCGGTCCATAGAATCGCTACAGACCCATTCCTCTGCTACTGCGCCTCTCATTTGTGGTTCCCAGAATCTGGTGTGTCTAACCCCCTGGATATGATTGTTGAACGTACATGCGTCAGGGATTACTACTAGGAAACCTCCAGAATCCGATTCAGACTCCTTTCTGTTAGGACACCACCAGCCGTTTCCTCATGAACGAGCAACAACGGACTCTTCCGAGCATGCTGCCTTGCGTCTTTTCCAGGTGACTGTGTATCCGCTCCAGCACATAAAGAGCATGCTGCCCAACTGTTATACCTCCATCTACCTCCGAAGCAAACGATCTCCCCAGTCCGTCTCTGCACTTCCAACTCAGCTCCCTCAACGAACCCGAGTCGATCGACCTACCGCTTACGCAACATGTACTTCTCCTCCGAGGCGATCATCGCAATCATCAGCATCGTGATAAGTCTACCACCGGCGATTTTGATTGTATGGAAGCTATGCCAACGACGAAGGCAGAGGAGCGATGAAGAAGCCGGTAGGTTAACGTCCTTTCAACGTTGCGTGTAGCCCTACTGAAGCCTGGGTCTGGTATTTTTAGGAAACGAACACGTGCTCGAGCGAGAAGGAGCCGTCGTCTCGCAATCGAACTTCACAGCAGTGGTAGTTATGATGAGGGAAGCAGATATAGGGGCCGGAGAGGCTAGACAACAGCTTGGAGAGTTCATCGGAGTCCCATAGGAACGGGAGACTTGGCCAAATCAATGCACCCTGGATATATAATAGTTAATGCTCCAAAACTGGTTTTTTTTTGTTTGCTCATTGATTGTCGACTTCAGAGCTGGTCAGTGCTAAATGTTCGGCGGAGGAGACACCCAGAGTGAGAATCTGTAAAGTGCATTCAGTCTCGTCCGCACCCCGAAACAGGACGCCCACGGAGACTAGCCTCGATATACGCTTTAGGGTAGAGATGACTGTCAAAGTAATAGGGTTGCCGGTCTTGGTTCTCGGGCTTGGTCCGTCCAGGTCGGAAGTGCTCCGTGCGGTAGCCCCTCCGTTATCATCAGTGCACAACCCGCAGAGCACAGTATTCTTCTGTGTTCGAACAGGCTGGACGGTGGCGCCAGTAGGGGCTCAGCCTCTATCGGCCCTGAATAGCTTTTCAATTATCGCTTAACGCCACAACCGTAGCCACCGGTCGTGACTGATATTCCTACCTCAAGCCTCTGCTATAGAAGAAGGAGCGAGAAGTCACGTTTTAGTTGTCGGTGGTGGTGGTGGTGGTGGTGGTGGTTAAGAATGGGGATGGGGCGTCTCCGGCTTCTCATCAGCCTCGCCAGGCGCCGCTATGTATCATAGTAATTGCGTCACTAGTTCCAGCCTACAAACCCCATGTACTCTACTGCACTCAGTTGGGCCAAATCTAGCCGCAGATCCAATCCGATCACACAACCTTTCGCGCGGCGACACAGCTTTAAGCGTGGCGTTTCCCACTCCACACGCACTGCGCAGCAGATAACCTCTCGATATGTGTCGGTTTTGCGAGTAATCTAACGTACATGCTACGTTGTACCCTCTACATTGTCTCCATCGACTCCCTCCGCGTCTCGTGCACCGGTTCACTATATATATGCGTCGTATCCAGCAACTCCTACCACATCACGTGCATCAAGTTGCGCACACTGCTTCAGACGCCTACGGGGTGCCAATTTCGTAGCTATCAACCACTTGGTTAAAAAAGCAAGATGGAAGGTCTAATGCTTTAATAAACGCTAGATATAGAAAACCAAGCAAGTGCCGGCAGTACCGAGTGACACATCATGCGTCAGTGTATCGAGGCAAAACAGGTCTCTCAAATTCCAGTACGAGGTGCAGTCATCACATCTTCGTCGAGAAGCGCCACTCAACAGAATAAGTTGATGTTATCGTATCTGGCCCCGCGAGCGTCTCCGCCGAGTCTACGGAAAAGACCTTGGGGCGAGCGTCGATCAACAATGAGGATGAGAATCCTTCATTTCAACCATCACGGCCGGAAGTAAAGCAACGGGCGGAAGCAAAGCGGCCCGCCGCATATACACGGAAGCCCGGACGGGATCGACTCGGATGCAACGCAGTTGAAGTAAAAAGTTAGAGCCTCGTGTCTGCGCTTATGTACTACCTACATCCTACCTACTCTGTCTGTCTCAAGGATACATATTGCACACACAACTGGCAGGAAGAAGGCTGGGCAAGCGGCTGCCCGACGTGTATTGTACATAACCGGGGTGCCTGAGACGTTACTTAACGGTCCGAGCCGACGAGAAGGCGCTTAAATTAAAGTTACTATCGATATCCTGGCGCATATATTTACGCATTGAAAACATAGGGCAATCAGCTGAAGGCGGTATGTAGAGTACGTATTACAAACATGTTCGATGTCAGCATGGCATTGGCATGGATGTTGTGCATATGAAGAATATATACCTACCAGTACAATTAAAGCACCGGTGATCGGTCTGGACTCCAGAATACTTGTATGGTTGAACCGGAGATGCCTGGCATCATATCTGGTATATCCAGAACGTAAAGTGACGGGAATCTCGAGTAGTTACTCGAGTAAACTTTTGTTATTTGCACACGGCGAAGAAGTGATGAACGCCAGCCTTTCTACGCCTGGAGGTTTACGGAATGTCAGCACCACTCCTAGATCCGCAACCATCTCTCGTTACAATTGTTTTGCAAGGCATTAGACCTATCACCAGAGCAGCTTCTCGGTTTCCAGATGCAGTTCACCAACGTTTGTGCCCAATTTTCTCTTTCCTCCAAGGGCTCATTCCAACATGCAACCACCCAGATTCTCGTCGCTATACTTTCCGCCATCGTGGCCACTGCCAACAGCCTCACCATTGCTGAACGGGGATCATACCCTTCAAGTCTAGTTTCATTTTGCTTGAGGGGTGGCCGTTGATTCCTTCATCATGTTTAGATTAAACAATGTGAGTGTTGTCTTTGTTTTTCTTGATCTGTACGGCATAATGATAGATATGGCGATGTAATAGTATATGTGCAATATGGCATTCCCTGATGTATTTACGTAGCAACTATCCGCTCTTAATGATTGTGATTATTTGCTTCTACTTCATGGTTCGGTGGGATGCAGAGTTGCTACCTCTATGACGGTCCTCAACAGCCCCCAAAAACAAACCGTAGAACCAAAGAGATGGGTAGCGGTTGTCTGATGCTATTCACATATTCAAAGCCTATCCACGAACTTCCCCGGTGCGCCGTGAGAAATTGTGCAACCACCGCCCCCGAAGCCTACCGGTATCCCCTACATGGCCACCGTAGATGTAGATCCGAGCCAGTGCGGATAGCTCTCATTTCTGGGAAGCTGCTTTCTGCTTTCGCGCTCTTGATTTCCATATCGTTTTTGCCGGCCGATTTATGCACTGCATTAAATCTACATTGATTGTGGGCCTTGTGGGGGGACAATGAATCACCCTGTCTCCGCCTCTTAACCTTTGCTCATACTAGGTACTAAACACGAGCCTACATTCTCCACGAGACATCAACGTGGAATTTGTCCTTGCTGGATGACATCAGCGCAAGAGCCAACCAGGAAAGTGGGCATTGTCGATACATGTTAACTGTACTAGGTACTTCGGGTCGGGCCGTCTATGTCTAAGGTAAGTGTGTACCAACGGTTCGAAGATCAGGGTATAAGCTGTCTTAAACAACTATATTAAAATTCTGTAGCTTTACAACATTCCAACCCGGCAAAGCCGTCGTGGCAGTAGTCGCAAACAGAAGTGGTCAGGATCCAAATGCAATCGTGAGTGATCTTTCATGATTTTCACGTGAAACTTCTCATCCGAACTTGTATGCCTCTGTGGTCCAATGTTGATATCACATTGCGAGGAACTTTGCAGCGAGCTCGAAAGTCGCAAGAAAGGTTGGCTCTGCCGGCCCGGTGCTCCGTGACTGCCCATGGGTGCTGTAGGTATCATACCTTGAGTTTTGCGAGGGGATATCTTTACCGATCACCGCAGCCCAGCTCGAAATAGAACTCCCTCTGCGACTGCTTCAGGTGCCGATGCCGACGTCGGCTCGTTAATCTCAAGACCGGCAACCAAGCTTCGACATCCAGGGGTAGCTGCACTACATCGGAAGATTCGAGTGACACACGGTGCCCGGTAAGTTGCGTTTCATCGGTATCTCGTCTCATTGATCGAACACCTAGATAGCCGTAAGGCTTACATACTACAGAACCGAAGCAGGTGGAATAATCGACTGCCACCGCCTCCGACTCGACGACAACGACCGAGCAATCTATCTTAAAATGCAATTCCCAGGATCCTGCCAGTGGAGAGTGTGGACGATTCCGGTTTTAAAGCTGCATACTTCTCACTTACTTATAATCACCCGGTAACGGCTGGACGGTGCTGGCTGATATCGATTTTATGGAGTACTTATCCTCCTGCTACTGGTCGTTGACGTGTTCTTTCTCGCAGGCTGTGATTTGTTCTGGCCGTGCATGGCTGGCTAGAGTCGTGTAGAGTGCTCGACACACACAGGCATGGGAGCGACTTCTTCATTGGGCGTTTCTTCACGTATCGTAGGGCTTGTGTATCGACTGGATATACCTACTCTTTCGAATGCAAATGCGAATGCCTCGTGTAATCGCTTGATTACTACCCTCCCGGTGTCCATGGCCAGTCGGGTTGTGTCCCCCCCGCGCCCCCCCCTCATGGACACCCCCCAAGCGGTTCCCGACCAATTGACGACTGGGCTCACTTCCGATCGATCCTCGCCTCAAACTCCACTCGGGGAATCGCAGGCTCCACGGCCGAGGAAATGAAGGCTTTGCACTGGCAAGGTTCACCTATGGGCCCCCTCCCCCCTCGAACTCCAGGGTCCCCGTAATTCTCCTGCTCCGCGGCACATGCCGACACCTCTCGGGTCCACCTCCCCGTCTCCACGCCGTGGGGTTGGTGAGGACCGCGGACGAACAGCTGTAGCCTTCCCCTCCGAGGAGGAAGTGGGGTATCCGTAGTGTCGGTGGTATACGTATCATCCCCCCACCAGCGCTCTCCGGCCACGTCAAGTCACTCGGCAGTATATATTAGCTAGTACCAATCCCTATGGCCTATTCATCTTGCTGTGTTCCCCCCTCCACATCTAAGCCAATAGCTAAGTAGGAATGGGTGGAGTATACGCGTATCCTGGGGGTGTCTCCCTCTACTGTAAACAGCCGCCAAATCACTCCCTGACGTTTGAATCCCGTCGATTCAATGGACGGGCTCTATAGAGAACATCCCAGCAGCGCTGTCGTCGAACCAGCTGTAGTTGTTGCCCCTGTCCGTGCGGAGTCGAGGCACGGAAGAACGAGGAGGAGGAGGAGGAGGAGGAAGAGGAGGAGGAGGAGGAGGAGGAGGAGGAGGAGGAGGAGGAGGAAGAATGAGAACGAGGAGAAAACAACAAGACGGGGTTTGATAGACCTGAGGGAGCCCCCCCCCTCCTCAATAATACTACCTATCATTTGCGGAAAATGAGAGCTGTTCCAGGTAGAAATCGAAGAAGAACCTGAGGAGCGGTGACGCCTTCCGCCAACACAGAGTGGAGATGTCCAGGAGTGCCATAGAGTCCACATCTCCGCCCCCCAATCACCATTGCCGCGGCCGCGTCCGCCACCGCCGCGCCTGTTGACTCGCTGCCACCGGGCTGTAATACCGGTAGTCATATCAGCCCTACCTGCCTCCATGTACGCAGCGCCAGCGATGTTCGAGTACCTCGCGCACTTCAGGCAGGGCCCATCATCTCTTTTTTTCTGGAAGGGACAAGAAGTTCGTTCGTGAACTCAGCCTCAAGTCCACAGTCTTCCCCTTGCCTTTGCATCAAAGGCGAACAAAACCGGAGAACCCGCCCGCCCCCCGACGTGACCCGAGCGGAGAAAACACAGAACCCTACCTCCCATCATCCCTCCCTTCGTAGAAGATAGCCTCCTTCCCCGTCCTCCTCCTCGTCCTCCCCGTCCCCGTCCCACCTCCTCCTCCCCCACAAATCCAAACCCCCGCCCGTCCGCCCGCCCCCGTCCACAACGGTGACACCCCTACACACACCAGGCCGCCCACCCGCCGGCCAGCAAGGAGTTTCTGACGATTTTCGCTTGGTCCGCCGGCCGCTGCCTGTCTGCCTGGGGGTTGCGGTGGCTTCCCGCGCTCAGAGCTGTCCTCACACCTTCTCGATCGGCTTTGACGCATGCACTATCGTTAAACCGGCAGTCTACGCTGAGGAACCGAGCGATCTCCACATCCACACCCCCCCATATGTTCGGTCGATAGTCCCCCTCCTCCTCCTCCTCTAGATCATCAACACTTTCTCGAAAAGAAAGAAAAAACCGCCGCCAAACCCTCCTCCTCCACCTCTCCACCTCCTCCTCACCCACTCCAAAAACCCGACCCTACCTGTCGCTTCATCCTGTGCTTGCTGAATTGAACGGAAGTGGCCGGGCTAGGATCTGGCGACTAAAAGGAGTCTGGCAACGAAAAAAAGTCTGATGATGGAACAGAGCCAAATAACCTCGAGGATACCTTTCTCCGGCGACGCAGGCAACCAAGTGCGACCTCTCTCCTCCTCGGAATCAAAGGGCGGACCACACTCCAGGAGCAGTCCCGAAATCGAGCCCATCGAGAACATGTCGCTTACGGCGACAATGGACGCGCAGATGGGGAATGCGCCGCCGGGGCCTCAACACTCGCAGTCGGTGTCGTTGGGGAGCTCGGCTGTCCAGCAACCGAAAGTGCAAACTGCGTTTATTCATAAGCTCTACAAGTACGGTCCCTCGCTTGAGTCTATTCGAGCTTCGAAAGCTAAGTGGGAAATGTAGCATGCTCGAGGACGCAAACATCCAGCATCTCATATCGTGGTCTCCCAGCAACGAGAGCTTTGTTGTCTCCCCGACTGGCGAGTTCTCCAAGGTCCTGAGGTAAGCCGACTCGAAAGAAGATAGAACCCGAGATAATCGAAACGAAATTCGAGTCTGACGATTGAGTGTGTAGTCAATATTTCAAGCACACCAATATCTCCTCCTTCGTACGCCAGCTCAACATGTACGGCTTCCACAAAGGTCCGCTGCTGCCCATCCGATCCTATAGCCTCCTCCTCCTCCTCCTCCTCCTCTCCCACAGTTGGTGACGCCCAGCTCATCCGCATGATGTTTCAGTGAACGACGTCTTCCACACCGGTTCCCCGGATTCCACGTTGTGGGAGTTTAAGCACGGAAACGGAAGTTTCAAACGCGGTGATTTGGTTGGCTTACGGGAGATCAAGCGCCGGGCGTCACGACACGCCTTGATCCATCGCGATTCATTCTCCGGACCCAAGGGTACTGCCGTTTCTGCTCCCGGAACGCCAGGCGAACAGTCAACAGACTCGGTGGAAGCCAGATTGAGCGGCATAGAGCAGACTCTGTTCGATGTCACCACACGACTGGCTCGGACCGAGGATAACAACACTTACCTATCCGCTCGTTGTCAGGCTGCGGTCGATGGCTTTTCCAGATGCCGCCGGGTGCGTCATTCTCCTGGGGAGTCATTATAGGTGTTATGCTGAACTTGTGATTCCAGTACACCTCGGAAATTGCCCAGTTCTTGTCGCACGCGTTTCCCTCGGATGCCCCGATTCTTCGTGACAGTGAGATAGCCCCAATTGTACGCTCCCGCTCCGCAAAGGGCATGGCTGACGATGCGAACAGTCCAATCGTTGCAGAAGGAAATAGAGCGGCACAGTCACGCTCTAGAAGAACCTCCAAGGGAAATGATGCACCGTGACGCGCCAACGTTTACCACAACGTTGGTAGACAACGGCGTACCCTTATCGCCACGGCAGCGGCCAGTGGAGGACGATTCCCTCCGCGGTTCCTTCAGTGGCCCGCCGCGACCCTACTTCCGACACCCAGCTCCACCGGCACCGCAGGCTCCGGGGAGGCGTCTCGCCGCCCCCGGAATGGCCGGCTCATCCTCACCCAACTCGCTCCGTCCGCAACGGGATCACCAACAACCGATCCCGCACCCTCTATCAAATCTCCAATCCCAATCTCCACCGGGCCACCTATCTCGGCGGCACACAACCGCCGATATCAGACAGCATGGTTGGCAGGTCAACTCTCCGTTCAGCGGGATTGGCCAGACCCCACACTGGCCCCCGTCACCCGGAAAGCCGCCGAATGACTACAGAGATGCTGGGCCCTACGACATGTCGCAGGCACCCAGGCCATCCATATTCTCGTCGCAGACTACGCCGCCCTTGAATGAGGGCGGCATGGGTAATCATGACGGGCCGGGTGGAGGCATTGCGTGGGGTTTCGGAGGGACCAAGTTCCCTCCCCCTCGAGAAGCAGGACATACGGCGCCTCCAACGAGGCGCTCGAGTCTTGCTTCCAGCAGCGTCCACGCATTGCTGAATCCACCGGATTCGGCGATGGATAGGGATGGTGTCAGCGATGGTGAACCAGATGACAGGAAGAGGAAGCGGATGATGTAGCGAGTTGTGCTCGAGAGAGGGTAGGGGGAGACCCAGGCATACATATCATGGCAACAATGTTATGGTTTTAATATATGGGGTTTGGCGTAAGGGATTGTATTTTCTTTCTATTTTGTCTTTCGTTTCTTGTGAAGCAGAGGGGGAGGGGATTTTTGGGCATACCAACGCATGGACAGAGTATTTTGTTGTGTACGATTTGCAAAGTCCGGTTTTACTCGTGTATGAATTGTACGAAAACGCCAACACTTGGGAGGATTTCCCAGTTCACATATGATAGTGATATATTTTGAAAGAAAGCCTGCGATGTATCGTAGGGATACTGAGCTTGGACTTCCCGTGCCTTGCCGGAGTAAGCAGTGCTATGCTTTAGCTATAGCACCGCTTGCTCCTTGCTTGTTCTTCTTGTTCTTCTTTTTCGACTTCGACTTCCTCTTGCTCGCGTCCACAGTCGTGGAAGGTGTATCGCCAGCAGCAGCAGCAGCAGCAGTGGGGGTATCATCGACATCCATGGGCTCGGGCTTGTCCTCCTCTTTCACCTTCGCCTCTCCCTCCTCTTTCGTCTTTGACCCTTCGTCCTCCTTCTTGGCCTTTGCCTTCTTCTCGCCAGTTTTCACAGCTACCAGGGCCGAAACCTTCGCAGGTTTCCTTCTCAGATCACTGGACATTTTCCGTTTCTTGGATCCAACACCACCCAGTGCGGAGCGTCCCGTATCCTCGTCGCTATCATCCTTTTCCACTCGTTTCCGGGCTGCTAATTTTTCCGCAGCGGGCATCTGTTTCGTAGGCTTCCGGCCGCCAAGTAGATTCCGCCGTAACGTGTCGGTTCCTGCTCCACGAACTTTGAACTCGGCGGGAATTGGCGCGCCGACACCTAGACTGTTCAGCGACGATTGTTAGTGAGAGTGTGCGTGGGCGCGGTGCAGCGGGGAGGGAGAGGGGGGAGGGGGGAGGAGGTGCCTGGGTGGTGCGGGCTTAAATAACTCGTCGTCCTCATCGTCGTTGTCCGCAACTGCTGTCGCGGATTGCCTGGCGGGAAGCCATGATGCTACTAGGTTCCGGGCTTTCGAGACCTGGAGGTCGATTCGCGCCTGTATCACGTTTGCGTCGGCAGGTTTCGCGGCGCCGGCGGTAGAGGCGGGGGAGGAGGTAGTTGCGGCCATTAATTTGTGGGGGTGGTTGTGGTTGCGGGCGGTTGTTGCTTGCTCTCGTTAGCGGCGCGGAATTCTGCGTCGTATTTGTCCGTGACAAGGGCCGAAGCCGAGAAGGTCGCAGGCAGGATGGCCGCCGTTGGATGTGGAAGGTTGCTGTGCGGCGGCTCTTCTCCCCCACACAAAACTAGCAATCCCCCCCTCCTAAAGCCCTCAACTCGCCGCGCCCTCTGCAGACCGACTACACCCGAGAAGCTACTTATTCGAATTTCCCGAAAGGAGGATCGATCCCACCTTAACACTTATTCTCCTCCTCCGAACACTCCGAACACCCCGAATCCCCCCACACAGCATGTTCAATATCGTGCGAAGCACTGGCAGGCCTCTTTTGGCATCTGTCAAGGCCACATCCAGAGTTCGTATACCGCCTCTCTTCCCTACCTTGATGATGTCCTGTGCGAAACCTACTGGTAGCTGGACAACGAGGGTTCAAGGGAAAAAAACAAAAATGCTGATATCAAGGTTGCCCTTGGCAGCATACACAGATCAATAGCAATCTTGTGCAGTCCCAGCGGAGATGTCTTTCCATCCACGAGTACCTCTCTGCAAACCTCCTTAAGTCGGTACGATCTCCCCCCCGCGATGCACACACCCCACATTGAGAGCTCTACTGAACCTCGGCCTAGTACGGCATCGGCGTGCCCAAGGGCGCGAATGCGACGACTGCGGAGGAGGCCGAAGCTGTGGCCAAAGATATCGGTCCGTTGACACCAAGATACTGGCTTCTCCGTAATTCGCTCGGTAACTAACTGGGTGTCCGAATATAGGCGGAGATGATATGGTTATCAAGGCTCAGGTTCTGGCTGGAGGCCGTGGAAAGGGCCACTTTGAGAACGGCCTAAAAGGTGGTGTGCGCGTTATCTACTCGTACGGCGTCCCCCCTCGTCCTTCGCGATAGAACGGGCTGTGTTGTGTGGACATGCTGGCTGATATTTACAAGCCCGACTGAGGCCAAGATGTTTGCAGGACAAATGATCGGTCAGAAGCTCATCACCAAGCAGACGGGTGCCGCGGGAAAGCTCTGCACTTCAGTGTACATCTGTGAGCGCAAGTTCGCCCGTCGCGAGTTCTACCTCGCTATCCTCATGGACCGTCAGACCCAGGGCCCCGTCATCGTCTCCTCCTCGCAGGGAGGAATGGATATCGAGGGTGTTGCTAAGGAGAACCCCGATGCTATCATTACCACCCCCGTCGATATCCACAAGGGTGTTACCGATGAAATGGCTACCAAGATTGCTACCGATTTGGGCTTCTCCCCTCAGTGCATCCCCGAGGCTGTGGACACCATCCAGAAGCTTTACAAAGTCTTCTGTGAGAAGGATGCTACCCAGATCGAGATCAACCCTCTGAGTGAGACTGTCGACCACCGCGTGCTCGCCATGGACGCCAAGTTGGGCTTCGATGACAATGCCGATTTCAGGCAGAAGGAAGTCTTCACCTGGAGGGACAAGTCCCAGGAGGACCCTGATGAGGTCAAGGCTGGAGAGTAAGACTTCCCCCCAGAGTCCACCCATTACCGGCCCGTATATCCTAACAGTTCAAAAGGCTCGGACTCAACTTCATCAAGCTCGATGGTGACATCGGATGTCTCGTTAACGGAGCCGGTCTTGCCATGGCCACCATGGACATCATCAAGCTGAACGGCGGAGAGCCCGCCAACTTCCTCGACTGCGGAGGAGGAGCCACCGGGCAGGCGATCGAGGAGGCGTTCCGCCTGATCACCAACGACCCCAAGGTGACTGCCATCTTCGTCAACATCTTTGGTGGTATCGTCCGCTGCGACGCCATTGCCAAGGGCCTGATCGCCACCGTGTCGAATATGAACCTGCGCATCCCCATCGTCGCCCGTCTGCAGGGCACCAACATGGCCGAGGCTCAGCAGCTCATCGCCGACTCCGGCCTCAAGATCTTCTCGTTCGAGGACCTCCAGGCGGCCGCTGAGAAGGCGGTCCAGTTCTCAAAGGTCGTCAAGATGGCCCGCGATATCGATGTTGGCGTCGAGTTTACCCTTGGAATATGATCGGGGGTAACGAGGTGGCAATGGCAGTGGAGGTGGGAGAGGAATACCATAAGACTTCTGTTAATGGATGTGCTTTTTGGGCGAGGACACATGCAAGGGGATACTTCAGATTGTGTACTTGCCGCGATGAGGTGTGTGTGCGTGTGTGTGTGTGTGAGAGAGAGATGTGTTTGAAATGCAAAGTTTAAGTTGGGGGGTTCATTTGATACCGAAATAACAGCTGCCGTTCCCATTCTTTACGGTTTTTACTTCAGTGCTGTACCTCTCGTTTTCGCTTACGATGAAAGTAAAACAGCCAGCTGATTCTTGATATTTTTTCTACCCCAAACCACCCGGTATCTAAAAGCAAATAGTCTATAATATCTCGACCATAGCGCCCTCATCCTCATCCTCCTCCTCCTCCTCCTTTTCTACCACCTCGCCATCGGGGCCTACATCACCCGCATCATCCCTCTCGGCCATAAGTACCTGTACAAGGCGATCACAAGCCTCAGCGACCTCATCATCCTCGGTATGCAAATGTGTCTCCCTGATGATAGGATACACCTGGACCTTCCGCATGTACTCTCGCCCAGCGCGGGTGGATGTGAGAAGGAGCAGCGACTCCAGATGTGTTGTAAGGATGTGGGTGTCAGTGTCGCGAGCTTTGTCGGGAGGCAGGAGTTGGAGGTCGTCGAGCATTCCGTCCATGTCCTGTCGCTGTTAAGGGCTAGCGAGGACCAAGGAAAGGGAGGGGTGCATACCTCGTCGTCGTATTCCTCTGAGCCCATCAATGGCAGCAGGATGTAGGGTAGCAGATTTACCTCCTCGGGGTTTAGGAAGGTTGGGTGGCTGGATACATCGAAGCAGCAGTTCCTATCGTCCACCACCATCCATCAGCACTGCTCCCCCTCTCCGCCCTCTCTTCCCGGGAAACATACTTGATAGTACTGGCCACACCCTTCCTCCGGATCAAACTCTTATGTTCCGTGAACACCGTGAGCTTACAGATGGGAATAACTCCATCGTAATCCCTCTTCTTGGTAAAATAATCTCTACCAGCCGGCAGCCTGGAGACATCCGCAAACACGTACGCGAGGAAGTCGTAGTTCGCCTCGGGATTCGTGCCCTTAACGAAGCAGTCCATGAGCTGGTCGAGCACGGAGGCAGCGCCGCCCTCGGCGCCCTCCAGTGCCGGGAGGTCGATAAGTTTTTTCGAGAACGAATCCGACTTCGTCATGTTGGCGAGCAGCATCGAGGCCTGGTCGGCATTGGTGTACGACTGAGACACGATCTTGGAGATCAGCAGCGGGTGGAAAAGAGCGTCGCTGATCAGCGACTCCAGCACCGCGGATTTGTCACTGAGGTTTACGAGGATCGTGAGCGCGTGTTTTGCTCGGGGCTGGAGACAGACGAGCACAGCAATCAGCAACCAACCACCCAGGACGCAGCGCAGATATGGGAGGGAGGAGCGCACAGGAATGTCGTTCACGATCACTTTGAGATCGCGTATAGGTTTCAGAGCGGGCTCGAGGAAGACACTCGACTGGGAACCTGCGCTGTAGCCGACAGCATGCTCCAGCGCTGCAATGATTTTTTTTCCATCAGCGCTCCTTGCCGCGGTCATTTGCATCATGATGCCACAACATACCGAGTTGTCGAATCTCCGGCCGTGGGGAGCCCAAAAAGCCCACCAGTTCTTCCTGTCGCATGCAGTGTATCAGCCCTCCTTCCCTCCTCCTTCTCCAGCTTCTCCAGCTTCTCGGCGAGTGTTGTTTACCAGTTCCGTCGGCATCGTTTCGTTCCGCAAAGGTGATCGATCTGAAGGCAGGTGTGTGTATGTATGTATGGTGGGGTGAAAGAGCCGCAATGGTGGGGTTAAGTGCAGCGCGCCAGGGAAGTTTTATACCTACCCTTCCTTCCAGGGTGCCATGCGTAGCGTTTGTAATGGTGAGCCATGTGGAGTCTCATCGAAACTTAATGGCCCGCCGCCGGCAGGGTGCTACATAATAAGTCAGCAAACTGGTGAAACTCTGCGCTCTCGCTGCATCACTCGAGAGTCGACAATGCATCTATCATCTAATAATGGCATCTGTGGGAACTGCTTCTTATTGACGGGAAATCTCGAGTAAAGACCGGCCAATCGCTAACTAGTGGGAACTACCCACTTGCTCTAGAGTGCAGTCTATCACTTCCAAAATCATGAAGAAAATGACAACCCGAACAACTTCGACTGCAGGCGCTTTAGACGCTGATCACTTCAACTGTGAGATTGAGGGCTACAAGGACTTCTCTGTAGGTCTGGATAGCTGGCCGGCTGACGATGGTGAGGGATCAGATAATACGAGCGGACAACCGAAACAGCATTATCACTAGCACACAAACATCTTTGACCTGAAAACATCGTTTATCACAATCTAGATCTACGAAATACAATACAAGTTCGCTATTTTTTTTCTCTAGTGATGGAACAGACGGGTCTCCTGCTCCACGAATGTGATACCACACTTCTCGGCGGCATCGTGAACGGCCTGGTCGTTCACCGATCCACCGGGGGCGGCAGCGTACTTGACACCAGAGGCGGCAGCACGGAAAATGTTGTCAACGAAGGGGAACTATATCATCGTCTGTTAGCCATAATTTCTGCAATAAAACAAATAGTGACTTACGAATGCGTCGCTGGAGACAACAACGTCGGTCAGCTCCTTCTTCCAGGCCTTCTTCTCCTCCGCAGTGAGTTCCGTAGGGACCTCGTCGAAGTTGGCGGCGTAGAGATCCCACTCCATGCTACCCTTCTCGGGGATCTGTCCGGTGACAAAGAGGTCGATAGCGTTGCTCTTGTCGGGGCGCTTGGTTCCCTTCTTCCACTTGAACTCGAAGATCTTAGGGTGCTGTCTCGCCCACCAGTTGTCGGCCTTGTCACCAGCAAGACGGGTGCAGTGAATACGCGACTGCTGGCCGGCTCCGAGTCCGACGACCTGGCCATTCTTGGCGAAGCAGACAGAGTTGGATTGGGTGTACTTGAGTGCGATGGTAGCGACGACCAGGTCGATGATCGCCTGCTTGGGGAGCTCGGCGCCGGCAGGGGTGATGACACGGGAGAAGGTCTTGTCGCTAATCTTAACGTCGTTGCGTCCCTGGTTGAGTGAGACGCCGTAGACCTGGCGAGTCTCGTTGTGGGCGGGCTGTGAAGGCCATCGTTAGTACCTCGCAAGAGCTGCGGAACTCGCCAGATTATACCTCGTAGTTGGGATCCATCTGAAGAACGGTGTACCTGCCACCCTTCTTCTTCTTCAGGATCTCAAGGGCCTCGGCCGAGTAGGCAGGGGCAATGATTCCGTCGGAAACCTCACGGCTGATGATCTTGGCCGTAACAACATCAACCTCGTCGCTCAGAGCAATCCAGTCGCCAAAGCTGCTCATTCTGTCGGCACCACGAGCACGGGCGTATGCACAAGCCAAGAGGCTCTCATCAAGACCCGCAATGTCGTCGACGAAGCACAGCTTCTTCTCGACGTCGGACAGCTTCAATCCAACGGAAGCACCAGCGGGCGAAACGTGCTTGAAGGAAGCGGCAGCGGGGAGGCCCAGAGCCTCCTTCATCTCCTTTACCAGCGCCCACGAGTTAAGGGCATCCAGAAGGTTGATGTATCCAGGGGATCCGCAGATGACCTTGAAAGGAAGCTTTCCAGACTTGACGAAGGCCTGGGCGGGCTTCTGGTGGGGGTTGGCTCCGTAGCGCAGGGTGAGCTGCTGGACGCCGTCACCGGCGTACCGCTTGCGGAAAAACTCGGAGATGGCGGAGTCATAGTCGGCAGTGTGCTCGAAAGCCTTCAAGGCATAGATCTTGCGAGCGGTCTCGGAAACCTCACCCTTCTTAAGCTCCTCCAAGAAACTGGGGTAATCCTCAGGGTCGGAGAGGATGGTGACGCGGGAGTGATTCTTGGCCGCCGCGCGGAGAAGAGTAACACCACCGATATCGATCTCCTCGACAGCCTCGGCAACGGTCACGTTGATTTTGGTGATGGTGTCCTTGAACGGGTACAAGTTGCAGACAACATAGTCAACCTTGTCGATGTTCTGCTCGGCCAGGTCCTTCTCGTCGGACTCCAGATTGCGGGCGAGGATGCCTTCACAGGTCAACTTTGTTTGGTGCATAACATCTGGGCGGGTGCGAACCGGCGTGAACCGAAGGGTGAAGAGTCTTCACTCGTCCGCCCAACATCTCGGGAGCGTGGGTAATGCTGCTGACATCGCTGTACAGAGAGGTCTGTTAACACGGCCCAACTATTTCTACATCCAACCGTGGAATCCGAAAGAGTAGGAGGATAATAAGAACATACAGAACTTCCATTCCAGCTTCCCGAATCAACTTGGCGGTACCGCCCGAGGCCAGGAGACGAATTCCATTCTGCGACAGTCCCTTTGCCAAATCCAAGAGTCCAGTCTTGTTGTAGACGGACAAGATGGCTGAGATGGCGATACGTCAGCGGCGGCTCACTCTGATGGAGGGAACTGGGATGGGGATCTGCTGCGGGGTTGGGTGTGTGGGCGAGCGCTGAGGCAAGAGCGTACGAACCGGTCTTCTGTTGGGCAGGCATGGCTACTTTTTGTTCGGTGGGTAGAATTGTCAAAGAAAAACCGGATACCGAACAGATGTGAAGAAGTGGCAATTGGCTGAAGAAGAAGGAGAAGAAGAAGAAGAGAAGAAAAGAAGAATAAGAGTTTTTTAGCTGTATCAACAGCGATTTACATATGGAGGGGGGAGGGGTCCTCCGAAGGGTGGTTGCTTGTTTGGTTGCATCACTCTGCACCGCAAAAAGGGTTGGTGGGGCCGTCACTGGTCCATGGTGGGGGGCTAAGCGGGGGAAGCGGTCTTCGCTTGCGCCATCCTCATCACCAAAGTGGAACCAATCCGCCCGGGAGAGATATACGCCTGTTATATATGCTTAACTTTGGGCTGCAGAATTCGGCCTCTTTCTGATCTTGACCTGAGAGTCCGCGTCTTCTTCTTGTGCTGCTAGGAAGAGGATTTCAGCGTTTAACGAGAAGGACTTGTAAGCGCACTTGCATCAATCAGCTACCATAACAGACGGATTTACCGCAGTAATCCGATTCCTCGGGATGGATTTGTTCACAACTTGCCAGAAGAAATGTCGGGCAAGGGGTCGCCATAGTGTAGACAGACCGCATGTGACAATAAGATTGATGTTCTCTCTTTCTCGTTCTCACCAGCTCCGTATGAACTACTTAAGGCAGAGAGCTGACTAACCTTCCGCAGAGCCATCGAGGATGCTGTAAGAAAACGGATCCTGTGATGTTGCATTGCCTTATTCCCCGTTGTTCGTAGTGCTCGCGTAACTGCCAGAACGAGTGATAGCCATGCCAAGCTTAAAGCTCGCGCTACCCATCAGCCACGCATCAGCCTCACTTAGAACGGAGGTGCCACACAAGGTTGCCATATCCACACGGCCTGCCGCGTCGAACCTCACCGCCCTAGCTCCCCCCACCACCACCACTGCCACTAAACTCAACCACCAACATATCCATCCATCAACACTTGCCACGAAACCATGCCTTCCGGAAATCTGAGCGTCGGTCAGTTTCCATCTGCTACACTCCGTCACCCTGGGATTTCGATGCTGATGGATGGCAACAGATGGCATCCATGTCGACATGGAGCATCTCAAGAAGGGCGAGGTCAAGTATGTTCTCATCTCAAGATCTTCCTTCTATGATGATGCTGACATAAAGCTTATAGCCTCGGAACCTCAATGTAAGACATTCTCGTTCGACGGTCCCCTGATGCACGCCGATGAACTGGAGATGGCTTTGGAGCTGTGATGGTAACCTGCAACTAGCATGGCGGTGACCTTCAACGGTGGGGTTGTGCTCGGTACGCCCCAGATATCTCAACTCCCCGGAGCGTTCACTGATTGATACTTCCAGGCGCCGATTCTCGAACAACCACCGGATCGTACATCGCGAACCGAGTCACTGACAAGCTTACCCAAGTTCACGACACCATCTGGTGCTGTCGGTAAGCCTGACCACCACTCCCTACGGTGGGCAGCACAGCTAACACTACCCAGCTCCGGATCGGCCGCAGATACTCAAGCAGTCGCGGATATCGTCCACTACCACCTCCAGATGTACAAGTTAGTTACCGTCTTTCTTAGCGTCCGGTTGTCGTGTGTTGACTTTCGTACCAGTGTCCAGAATGCTCAGCCACCTACCACTGCCATCGCCGGCGCCATCTTCCAGGAGATCTGCTACGCAAACAAGGATCAGCTGAGTGCGGGCATCATCATTGCCGGCTGGGACAAGCGCAGAGGTGGAGAAGTGTACTCAATCCCATTGGGCGGTTCCCTTCACAAGCAGGCGTATGCCATCGGCGGCTCCGGTTCGACATACATCTACGGTTACTGTGATGCGAACTGGAAAGACGGCATGACCGAAGAGGAGGCAGTTGAGTTTGTGAAGGGATCGTTGACGGAGGCGATCAAGTGGGACGGAAGCTCGGGTGGTGTTATCAGGATGGTGGTGCTCACCGAGCGAGGTCCCGACCGGAAGATCTTTTTCCCGGATGAGGACTACAAGGGCGATGGAAAATAGATCCGCGTCTTTTTCACGAAGGCGTCTGAGATGAATTTGACAGGCATAGGCGCGCTTTGTTGTACTAGATGTTTGGCAACGTTTGATCACTCTGTGGCTATTGTGAGGCCGAGAGACACATATTGCCCGAGCACGAATGCTAGGTTTGCTCTCCTCTGTATTTGTATCCCGCGGCTGTAGGGTGCGATACCGCGGGTTATTAGATATCCAGAGGTGGTATGTAAAAAAGTGCAATTAAAGCGATCGTGATCAGATGGTGTTTCATGATGCATTGAATCTCCTCCCACCTCATTGTCTCGCTCGTGCAGTTCTACTCTCAGAACTGACCGAGGGAGCCGACAATATGGGCTCGATAGGTGGTGCGATCAGAATTGAGAGAACGACGTCTGCGCATGCAGCCAATTCTGTAGACTCCATAGACGGGATACCGCCGCCGTCCTTAGGAACCTGAACATGTGGGGATGTCTTGCCTAAATGTTACATAGGAGGATGTGAGGGTCCGGCGATAGGTGTCGATGAGAAATAGTGGTGCAGCTGGGTGTACAGAAAAGAAAGGAAATGCAGGCGGTCCACTCGCAAGTGTCTGTCTTCAGTATTTATTTCCTTGGCAGCGTGACCAAGCAGCCAAGCCTTGCGGCTACAATCTGAAAGTTCAGAGGGAGGAATCTGAGGCTTGATAGCATCAAATACACACCTCCCGATTCCCCCAGTTTTCATCAACGGCTTCCTTTTCACCATTCCGGGCGGACCGACGATACTACCCTACCGAATATAAGCCTCTACGAAGCTTCTGTAACCCCTCACAATGTCGCTGCAGATTCCCTCCGCCCCCGGGAGTGGACTCTTCAAGGCCGGATACCAAAAGTTCGTGGTGAAGACAACACGTCTATCTTTCTCCTATGTGATGCGACGTGATGGTAGATTATGTATGCTGATTGGGATATGGTGATAGCTATTCGAGCGAAGATGGTGCCGTGATCAGAAACATCGATGCGTGCCAGGCAATTGCTTCGACGGTGCAGACATCACTCGGTCCGTGCGGCAGAAACAAGATCGTCATCAATCATCTGCAAAAGATGATATTGACATCCGATGCCGCGACTATCTTGAGGGAGCTGGATGTGGTACATCCCGCCGCGAAGCTAGTTGTGATGGCGAGTCAGCAGCAGGAGGCGGAGGTTAGTTACCATCACCCCCGAGGGAAGGAGCAGGAGGTTGATTGGTATTGACGGGATGATGGTGATAGATGGGTGATGCTACGAATATGGTGATCGTGTTGGCCGGCGAGATGCTCAAGATGGCCGAGGGTTTGATCAGGATTGGATTGCACCCTTCGGATATCGTAGCTGGTTACGAGAAGGCTCAGGAGTTTGCTTTGAAGACTCTGGAAGGTAACAATTATCCCCGACGCCCTGCTATGGATGCGCTTGCTGATGATAGTTCTCCTGTACAGAACTCGTGGTCGAGAAGGTCGCCGACATCCGTGATATCCAGGAGCTCACCAAGGCCATCAAGACCGTCGTTGCCTCCAAGCAGCTCGGAAACGAAGATATCATCGCTCCCCTCGTCGCCGAAGCCGTCCTCGCCGTCCTCCCGAAAAACCCCCTCAACTTCAATGTCGACAACATCCGTGTCGTCAAGATCATGGGTTCGTCCCTGACCGAGAGCAGAGTCGTCAAGGGTATGGTGTTTCCACGGTCACCCGACGGCTCCGTCAAGAGCGCAACTAAGGCCAAGGTCGGGGTCTTCTCTTGCCCCATTGACATCTCCCAGACGGAGACCAAAGGCACAGTGCTGCTCCACAACGCTAAGGAGATGCTTGACTTTACGAAGGGTGAGGAGGTGCAGCTAGAACAAGCTATCAAGGAGCTCCACGACTGCGGTTTGAGGGTTGTTGTAGCTGGTTCAACGCTGGGAGAGCTTGCTCTTCATTACTTGAACAGGTATGGAATCCTCGCTATCAAGGTTCTGAGCAAATTCGAGCTGCGGCGGTTGTGTCGAGTCGTTGGTGCCACACCATTGGCCAGACTTGGTGCCCCAATGCCTGATGAGATGGGTTCCATCGATATTGTTGAGACCACGGAGATCGGTGGTGACCGTGTAACTGTTTTCCGGCAAGGTATGCATTCATTATTGGCCAGAAGGATATCATAGCCCAGCTAATGTCTTCCAGAGAACGAGACCACAAAGACTGCGACCATAGTCATCCGAGGAGCCACGCAGAACCACCTCGATGACCTGGAGCGTGCCGTCGACGATGGTGTCAATGTTGTCAAGGCCATCACAAGAGATGCCCGTCTCGTACCAGGTGCCGGCGCAACCGAGATGCAGCTCATCGAACGCATCGTTGCCTACGGTGAGAAGACTCCCGGTCTTCTTCAGCACGCTATCAAGAAGTACGGAGAGGCCTTCGAGGTCATCCCCAGGACACTTGCCGAGAGTGCTGGTCTCGACGCCACCGAGGTTCTGAGTCGGTTGTACGCTGCCCACCACAAGAGGGACGTGTGGACGGCTGGTGTTGACATTGACGTAAGTAACACATGTCCGCTGCCTCTGTCAAAAATCTGACCATCAAAACAGGACGAAAAAGGAACCGGTATGCTCGATGCCAAGGAGAAGGGTATTCTTGATCTGCTTGCTGCAAAGAGCTGTGCTATCAAGCTAGCAACGGAGGCTGCGAGAACGGTTTTGTCTGTGGACCAGATCATCGTAGCGAGACAGGCCGGTGGGCCCAAGCCGCCAGCTCCCAGCAAGAACTGGGATGAGGATTAGAGCAGAAACCAGATAGCAGATATTTAATGGAGTGCCTTTCGTTCATGGTACTTGTACTTCGATCCCGATGCTCAGACGATGAATAAGGGCCTGTTCGGGTGTCAGCTGCATTTTGAATATACCACACAAGATTGAGATGCAGTTTGAAACCCCCAGTTTCCGGGCGATGGGTGACCGTTCGGCACACCATCCCAAGTTGAAAATTTGAGAAACTACATGTTGTCGACTGAGCCATAACTTTACAAATAGACTCTACCGACAACCACCAATACATACCAGCGTAGCCCCCGTAGTCAAAAAAAGTGTGTCGTGCTGTTGAACCTCTAGGTTGCCGAACGGGTCGTTGGGGGATGAGACTTTGCAGCTGCAGCTTTTTTAACCTCCAACTCGTTAGAAACCCCAGGTTTGAAAATACAGCTGGCACCCGAACAGGGTCTAAATTTGTTTCGAGGCCAGGTCACATGATATCACTCGGTCCTGCAAAGGGTTTCTCGTGATCGCGAACAAATTTCACCTTCTGCCTGTATGACTCCTCTAACCTTCATAAGATAAAAGCAAAGGTTGAGTGTATAATAGTGATATGGAAGGCCTGGACTTTTTGAGTCACTGTAGGAAAGGGCTGTGGTCTTTGAATGTTGTGCGGCTCAAATTCAAAAAAAAATCAGTGCTAGCACCAAAATGGCCACCCCACATCACCACTCAACCCAACCCAACACCCCTCACTATCACTAATTCTTCTTCTCTACCACCACCAAGATACGCACCTCCGGCCTCGACGCGACGGCTTCATCTAGAAAGCGCCTGTGTTTCCAGTACACCAGACGCAATAAATAAAGCCACTTCCTCCGACGTCTCACCGGCACCACTTTGACTACTAGTCTCCCCGCTACATCCATTACCACCGCCACCATGTCTTTCGTCAACTGCCGGTACTATCCGGACAAATACCCTGAGGTCGATAGCTATGTCATGGTCAACGTCAAGCAGGTACGCTCAAGATGAAGAGTTCATCCCATTATCTTCTGATTTCGACGATTTTGTACTATGACACAGAGCGCTAACTCTGCGCCTCATCTGCGCAAACCCACAGATCGCCGAGATGGGTGCCTACGTGAAGCTTCTAGAATACGATAACATCGATGGCATGATCCTTCTCAGTGAACTGTCGAGACGGCGTATCCGTTCCATTCAGAAGCTCATCCGAGTTGGCCGGAATGAGGTCGTGGTTGTGCTCAGGGTTGACAAAGAGAAGGGTATGTAATATGCGAAAAGTGTGAAAGACTGACTATCTGGGCTGGTGGCTGATATGCGCTGCGATCATAGGTTACATTGATCTTTCCAAGCGCCGGGTCTCCCCCGAGGATGTGATCAAGTGCGAGGAGAGATTCAACAAGAGCAAAATGGTCCATTCGATCTTGAGGCACGTGGCCGAAAAGGTCAAGGAGCCTATTGAGACCCTCTACGAGACTATCGGATGGCCTCTGCAGAAGAAATATGGACACGCTGTTGATGCGTTTAAATACTCCATCACGTATGTTCAGAAAAGCTTCAGCTATCTGTGAATGTGGTTCTAACATCTCCTGCTACGTAGTAACCCGGATGTGTGGGATGATGTTCAGTTCCCGTCTGAGGCGGTGCGTGCCGAGCTCACCAACTACATCTCGAAGCGTCTTACGCCACAGCCCACCAAGGTCCGTGCCGACGTAGAGGTTACTTGCTTCGGATACGAGGGCATCGACGCCGTCAAGGAAGCTCTTCGCAAGGCTGAGGCCAAGAACACCCCAGACACTCCCGTCAAGGTGAAGCTCGTTTCGCCGCCTCTTTACGTCCTCACCTCGCAGTGCTTGGACAAGACCACCGGTATACAAGTTCTTGAAGAGGCCATCAAGGATCTCGAGGCGTCAATTACAGCTGCCGGCGGAAGCTGCACCGTCAAGATGGCACCTAAGGCTGTCACCGAATCCGACGATGCCGAGCTGCAGGCTCTCATGGACAAGAAAGAAAAAGAGAACCAGGAGATCTCAGGAGACGAGGACGAAAGTGTCAGCGAGGACGAAGTTTGATTGTGCGTTGGGCGAGGTATCTTTTAGCTCGTGCTTCTCTCTTTCTCTGTCTGTATGTGTCCGCAAAAGGTTTACAAAAGTCTGGGGAGTTTGGTGGACCGCGTAATGGGCGGATACTTCGTGTGGGGTCACAATTTTCGGAGATGTTTTAAAATGCAAAGAACACCACGAAATGAGATAGTCATCGAAACCATGGGCACAATTGAATTGTGCAACGTGATGTGTGGCGAATCAGCAATCGAGCTCGAAACTGCTGTGCAAGCGTCTGGCTCGATAGGAGCTTATCGCCCAAGGACATGTGCCCGAAATCATGGCCCATGGTTCGCCTATGAATTTGGTGATATTTCAAACTTGACTCGATTACTATCAAATTTCCATGATCTAATAACGTCGAATGTAATGACGATTAAACAAAAAATATGAGATTACTATCGAATGATGTACTTGTTTAACGCTTGTAAAGCAGTCCAAATAAATAGAAGTTATTGTGATCATCCATTATTCCACTGTTTCCAGGTTAGCTCTTAGCTCATGCAACCCGAGGTAGTCTTGGCGGTGTCGTAGCAGGTGGTGGAGATACCAGGTCCGTTCGTTAACTCATGCATCTGAGGTCTGTCAGAGCAACAAAACTCCCACCATTCAACCATGGTTCGTCATTCCGCTGCCCTTCGGGATATCTCATAGCTGACTCTCTCTTTCTCGAATAGTCACTAAGCAACGCGAGAAAGGATGCCAAAAGGGCGGAGGAGTATGCGAGGGAGGGTGATTATGGTATGGACGTCATTCATTCCCCCGCGATACAGTGGGCGTAAGAGCTCAAGCTGATGATTTTTGCACCACGACAGGTTCCATTTATTCGGTCTCGGGGTATGATTGAAAAGAAGTCAAGAACGCTATTCCGATAATGGATACTGACAGCTTGCTACTATAGACCCGTCGTCGTCGCGGAGAACATGATCGGATGTGCTATGTACGAGCTTGTAGGTCTTCTCTGCATGGGCGGGATCGTTCATCCGAGCTGGGGATAGCTAATCACTTCTTCTGTTCTTTCAGGTCCGTGTCGGTCACGATGCACTGGTCGGCGAGGTCATCCGAATCGAAGCCGACAAAGCCACCATCCAGGTCTATGAAGAGACAGGTCTTGCTCCGGAATCTTGTATTTGCGGATGAAGCACAATGGCTGACTCTTTTCTGCAGCTGGTGTGACCGTCGGAGATCCCGTCCTGCGAACCGGAAAGCCGCTATCGGTCGAGCTCGGACCCGGTTTGATGGAGACCATCTACGACGGAATTCAGCGACCCTTGAAGGCCATCAGCGAAATGTCCAACAGCATCTACATTCCCCGTGGTATCGCGACACCGGCCCTGGACGCGAAAAAGTCGTGGGATTTCACACCCGGAGACTTCAAGGTCGGAGATCACGTCACCGGTGGAGATATCTTCGGTAGTGTTTGGGAGAACTCGCTTCTCGATGACCACAAGATTATGCTTCCACCACGCGTGAAGGGTACCATCACGAGCATTGCCGAGAAGGGTTCCTACACGGTGAGGGATACAGTTCTTGAGGTCGAGTTCGATGGGAAGACGCAGGAGGTCAGCATGATGCACACTTGGCCCGTTCGTGTTCCTCGGCCGGTGGCCGAGAAGCTTACAGCGGATTATCCGCTGTTGACCGGTCAGCGTGTCTTGGATGCCCTGTTCCCTTGTGTCCAGGGTGGTACGACGTGTATTCCCGGAGCCTTTGGATGTGGAAAGACAGTTATTTCTCAGGCGCTTTCCAAGTTTTCAAACTCGGACACTATTATCTACGTCGGATGCGGAGAGCGAGGAAACGAGATGGCTGAAGTCTTGATGGACTTCCCTGAGCTGTCTATCGAGATCAACGGCCGCAAGGAGCCCATCATGAAGCGTACCACCTTGGTCGCGAACACCTCCAACATGCCTGTCGCTGCCCGTGAGGCTTCCATCTACACTGGTATCACCTTGGCCGAGTACTTCCGTGATCAAGGAAAGGACGTGGCCATGATGGCAGACTCTTCGTCCCGCTGGGCCGAGGCTTTGCGTGAGATTTCCGGACGTCTCGGAGAGATGCCCGCAGATCAAGGTTTCCCCGCCTATCTCGGTGCTAAGCTAGCCAGTTTCTACGAGCGTGCCGGAAAGGCCAAGTCACTCGGTAGCCCTGGAAGATACGGAAGTGTCAGTATCGTCGGAGCTGTCTCCCCTCCCGGTGGTGATTTCTCGGACCCGGTCACTTCAGCAACTCTCGGTATCGTGCAGGTCTTCTGGGGTCTCGACAAGAAGCTCGCCCAGCGAAAACATTTCCCCAGCGTCAACACATCCATCAGTTACTCGAAGTACTCTAATGTCCTGGATAAGTACTACCAGTCCAACTACCCCGAGTTCCCCACGCTCAGGGACAGAATCAAGCAGCTCTTGTCCGACAGTGAGGAGTTGGACCAGGTCGTGCAGCTGGTCGGAAAATCGGCACTTTCGGACCCCGACAAAATCACGCTTGACGTCAGCTCTCTGATTAAGGAGGACTTCTTGCAGCAGAACGGTTACTCGGCCCACGACCAATATTGTCCCATTTGGAAGACTCTGTGGATGATGAAGGCCATGGTGGGTTTCTTTGACGAGTCACAGAAGGCCGTGCAGTCGGGTGTGTCTTGGACCAAAGTCAGGGAGGCTACATCCGATATTCAGCACCAGCTTCGTTCCATGAAGTTCGAGGTATATTCAGCTCTCCTTGCAGCTAAATAGATTACTAACCATACCGATAGATTCCGGATGACGGAGAAAAGGTCGTCTGTGCGAAGTACGAGAAGCTGTGGAATGAGATGATGGACAAGTTTGCTAGCATCGGCGATGATTAGACTAGGAGCTGTAGTCGGCTGTTGCAATTGTTTTCGTTTTTATAGCTTGCTGTAGTTTGCTCTTGTTTTTTTGTACTCTCTTGCATCGATATCACGACACAACCCGAGAGTAGAGCATCCCTTTCTGCGCCTGCGGTTCTGTAGGAATATTTGAGCGTTCTTTTGTATATCGACCGATACCTACTAATCGAAGTGATGACACGATAATCCAGATACGCCCGGTGTAGCCACCACGTGATTGCGGTATCGACGTATGTAGAGTGGCTTGGGCCAGGATACCATCCTGGTCCGGTGCGGTGTGGTCGGCTCGTCATTTCGCCAACCTAATTCCGCCGCCTCACTTCACCACCACCTCCAACCAATACAGTACCTTCCCCACACCAAACCAACACTACCATCATCACCTCGAACGGCCTACTAGAACGAGGCATCTGTTGATTCTTTCGATATGGTGACCGATCCCAGGATGACGGCCTCCGAGGTATGTTCTCTTCCTGCCCGCCCAAGCTTGAGGTGGAGCTAATCGGAGGTGTCGTAACGTACAGGCCTTTGCTATCAACGTAGCTGCCGTGACACGAAACTACGGTGTACATGCCCTCATATCCCACCACGAAAGGAAGGAATGAAGTTTAACAGTCAGGAAAGGTCAATCCGAGAATCAAATACAACACTGTGGCTGGTGTCAACGGTCCTCTGGTGATCCTGGGTACGGCAACCACCCTCCAACGAGCCTGGGAGCTTGCGCAAGTGCTGATTGAGTGGAACAGAGAATGTCAAATACCCACGTTTCAACGAGGTGCGCATCTCAGGATACCTGCCCTTTCCTTCGAATCACTGTTACTAAATCAATGGTTGTCCGCAGATCGTCAACTTGACGCTTCCGGATGGGTCGCAGCGTGCCGGACAGGTGCTGGAAGTCCGTGGGAGCAGAGCTATTGTGCAGGTCTGTCCTCCTCCTCCTCCTCCTCCTCCTCCTCCTCCTCCTCCTCCTCCTCTCCTCGCTCTGGGTGTATGACCAACTGCCCGATGCTTACACATTGGGATAGGTTTTCGAGGGAACATCCGGAGTCGATGTACGAAAGACGACCGTCGAGTTTACGGGAGAGAACCTCAAGATCCCAGTCTCGGAGGACATGCTAGGACGTATCTTCGACGGCTCTGGAAGACCCATCGATAAAGGTCCCAAGGTGTTCGCGGAGGAGTATCTGGATATCAACGGTTCTCCGATTAATCCGTACTCGCGCGTGTACCCTGAGGAGATGATCTCGACGGGTATTTCAGCTATCGATACTATGAACTCTGTCGGTAAGTGGAATAGCTAGCTGGTCGGGGAGTGGAGGAATGGTGAGCTGATAATTACGGTGTGTAGCTCGTGGCCAGAAGATTCCGATCTTCTCCGCTGCCGGTCTGCCCCACAACGACATCGCCGCACAGATCTGTCGTCAAGCCGGCTTGGTCAAGGGAAACCGGCCCGACAAGGGCATTCACGACGGCCACGAGGACAACTTCTCCATCGTCTTCGGAGCTATGGGAGTAAACTTGGAAACCAGTCGCTTCTTCACCCGCGACTTCGAGGAGAACGGTTCCCTGGAGCGTGTCACGCTGTTCCTGAACTTGGCCAACGACCCAACTATCGAGCGTATCATCACCCCTCGTCTCGCGTTGACCACTGCCGAATACTTCGCCTACCAGCTTGAGAAGCACGTCCTCGTCATTCTGACGGATTTGTCGTCTTACTGCGATGCCTTACGTGAGGTTTCGGCCGCCAGAGAGGAAGTGCCTGGACGTCGTGGTTACCCCGGTTACATGTACACGGATTTGTCTACCCTATATGAGCGTGCTGGTCGTGTTGAGGGCCGTAATGGATCCATCACTCAGATTCCTATCCTGACTATGCCTAACGATGGTAAGAACACTTCCCCCCACCACTGTACCTATACTGACCGCTCGCATCAAGACATCACCCACCCTATCCCCGATTTGACCGGCTACATCACGGAAGGACAAATCTTCGTCGACCGTCAACTCCACAACCGCGGCATTTACCCGCCTATCAACGTCCTCCCCTCCCTCTCCCGTCTCATGAAATCCGCCATCGGCGAAGGCATGACACGCAAAGACCACGGTGACGTCTCCAACCAGCTGTACGCAAAGTACGCCATCGGGCGTGATGCTGCCGCCATGAAAGCCGTCGTCGGCGAGGAGGCCCTCAGCAGCGAAGACAAGCTCTCACTCGAGTTCCTCGAGAAGTTTGAGCGTTCCTTCATCGCGCAGGGTGCATACGAGAATCGTACCATTTTCGAGTCCCTCGATCTCGCGTGGAGCTTGCTTAGGATTTACCCCAAGGAGCTGCTCAACAGAATCCCGGCTAAGATCATTAATGAGTTTTACCAGCGCTCCAGCGCCGCGGATAGGAAGGGGAAGGGGAAGCAGGGGAGTAAGGACACGAGGGACTCCGCGCCGAAGCAAGCCCCGCAGGAAGAGCAGTTGATTGAGACGTGATTTTCTTGCTTATTGCTGCGGCTGTTACCTAGTAGTTACCTATTGCGTGCGTTGTTTCTATCATTCGGATTCCCTACCGCTTGGTTTTGTTTCTACCTACTTTTTCACCGGTTCGTTACTTACTGGTGGGGTGTGCGCACATTCGCATTGTGATTACGATCTCCCGGTGAAGTTCTACCAATACGAATGGATTAGAGTAGGGAGGGTCAACCATTGTCTAGTCATGAATCAAACATGCCATTTGCACTGCTCTCCGCCGAGACAGCATCGCTCACATAGTCATAGAGGTTTTGTTTCTTCTACATTCATACAAAAAAGCGAATGGAAACAGAAAAGCGCGAAAAATCAACCTTATTACACCCCACCCACTTCGTTAACACCCATGGAAATTTTAGTCCCAACTGAGAATCTATGAAATGAACTGCCCAACACCACCGAGCTCTCCCTCCTTCGCCGCGATCTCGAAGTATCCGTAGATAATGCTGCGATGTCAATTAGTATTTAAGCCAAGGTAAAGTAGGGATAGGAAGAAGCTTACGTTACAGCCAACAAGATACCAGTTCCGGAACCAAGGGCCCCACTAAGATCCGAGACAACAGAGAGCGCACCGATGCAGGCACCACCGAAGGCGGCGGCGGTAGGGATGACGCGCTTGAGTTCCTTATACATGGACTGTTCACGGTGTCCGGCCATAACGAGACCCTGCTCCTTAAGCTGCTTGGCGACGTCGCGGGGGCTGGAACCGGAGACTTCAATCCAGGTCTTGGAAAAGATGGCGCAGGCTCCGAGCATGAAGATGATGTAGAGCGCGGTGTGGACGGGGTCGAGGAGCGCGTCGGTGAAGTTCAAGGGAGGTGACATGTAGTACGCGATTCCGGAGGTAGCAAAGAGTTGCGCAGAGCCCTCCTTGGGCTCCCAGACGCCGAGGAGACGGACCAGGATGTTGTCGGAGAAGCGGGAATACAGCATCTGCGAAACGAGGAACACGTTGGAGCTCAGAGCGGACTGCAGCATGATCGGCATGTTGCTGGTGTAGAACAGGCGGACGGGGTAGGTTCCGCGCGAGCCACGGTACTTGCTCGACTTGACGGGGATTTCGACGCGGAAGCCTTGGAGGTAGATGACCGCGGCGAAGACGACGAGGGTCGCGATGAGACTCATCACGTTGGGGAGGTTCTGGCGGTAGAAGGCCTCCTTGAGCGCGCGGCCCTTGTTGTCCCAGGTCAGGAGCAGGTGGAAGAGAGCGATGACGGCTCCCTCGAACTCGGGTCCACGGCCGGTGTTGATGGTGGTCGGGGAGAACGCCTTCCAGACAATGCTCTCGCAAATGTTGGTGGCAATGAAGAGCGAGATACCAGATCCCAATCCGTAGCCCTTCTGGAGGAGCTCGTCCAACAGAATGACGATCAATCCGGCGACAACAAGCTGCAGAACCAAAAGCAAGCAAATGCCGGCTCCGAGGTCGCTAGGCTGTCCGTAGAGTCCGGTAAGAACGTAGACGGTAGCCTGTCCGAGAGAGAGGATGATAGCGAAGACTATTGAGGGTCAGAGGGAAAGCTCATTCCAGATGCGAGTCGGTGGATTTGGAGTAGACATACGTTTCTGGGCAGTCTGGTACAGCTCACGGTCGGACTTCAGGTCGAGGTTGACATCGATCATGTGGGTACCGGCAAGCAGCTGGAAGATCATTCCGGACGAGATGATTGGCGATATACCGAGCTCCATTAACGTTCCTCGATTACTCGCCATCATCATTCGCAACCAGTATAGCGGATCGGATGACTACATCGGCGTTGTCAGTACTTGAGCTCAGGCATCTCTCGGGGAGCTGTCGATCATACATCTGAGGACACAATTCCGTATAGTGGCATTTGACTCATGACCAAGAAGATCAGCAATGTCAACTGCGAAGCAACCACCAATGTCAGCTACAGTACTCCAGAACTCTCTCGGTCGACGGGAATCGAATGCTTACACCTGTCCACATCATGCGCTGCTGAAAGGGCACCTTCCGCTCCGGTGCCGCAACCTCAGGGAGGTACGGCACGAAGGGCTTGATGATATCCAGAAACCGTACTGTTGGCGAAAACGCGGATCGTCAGTTCAATTACGCTCGGACACAGGAAACACAGCAAGCTTGCTCGGTAGAGAGATAGCATCGCGAACGGGCCAACGTACAACCAGACATGACGAGAGCAATAGGCGGGTGGTCCGCGTATGGAGGGAGGGAAAGTAAGAAAGAGAAAGGTTTGGACTGTAGAGAAGGAAGTCCAGATATGGTTCTGTGTGTTCGGAGGTGATGGATTCTTATGAGGCGGCTTCAGGAGAAAGTTGGCCTGCCAAAACTTAGTTTTTGTGAATCTGGCCTCTCAGCCCCCGTGACTAAGCTGAACCACGCTAACTAGCTATAGCGAGGCGCGACGGAACACCACAGAGAACACGTCTTTGCCGCCTTCTATGTGCATGAATTTACCCGCAGTAGCGGTCACAACCTCTCACTCATCATGACATTTAACTCCCCCGGCCCCGAACCCCCGGGAATATTAAGGGACACAGTAACTAACATACACGGACCAGGTATCAAGTATCGGAAAGTGGTCATAAAAATACAAAGCTGAAAGAATGCAGGCAAGCAGACAGCACAGATAGAAATGAAGTCTACTCTATTATACATACAAGAGAAGAAGAAAAAGAAGATATCACGTTCAGCAATCCCTTACGATTTAAAAACCATCATGCCCGCTCCCACACCCGCCGTCGCAATCCCGCCTGCAAGGAGTAGAAGTCGCCAGAACCTTCCGCCGTTAACTGGGGGCACAGCATCAAACTCGGCTTCAAGCCTCTCCGCCATCTTCTCCTTAGAGAACTCGCGGATAACCCTCTCTCTACCTTTCCTACCCATGGCCTTGATCTCGGTAGGTGACATCTCGAATAAGGCCTGTCGGATAACTTCCGCCCATTTTTCGGGGTTGTTGGGCCTATTCCAGCCAGTCACACCCTCTGTGATGGTCTCCAGAGGACCGCCAGAGTTCTGTGCGAGCACCGGAAGCTGACAAGGCCCGTATCAGTACGGGGGATTAATCCGGCGAGCGGAGGGTAAGAGGGCGCATACCTCGGCAATCAAAGCTTCCAACGGTACGATGCCGAAATGCTCACGCTCCGGAGTGTACAACAACAATGAGGATGCCTTGAGGAGATATGCCTTCCAGCTGGCCGGTATGGACAACAAGAACAAAACGTCCGTGTCTTCTGGGATCGAAAGCGACGTTATGAAGTTCTTGCAGGTGATGTGCTTGAAGCCGTAAGACTCGCAGAGGGTGGTAAGTTCATGATGATATGAAATGTTTTCGTGCACACGAGGGTCGTAACCGCCTACAACCCATGAGAAAGTAAGGACACTGAACTCTCGTGGAATGTCTCGAATAAGAATCAGTCATACCCGCAATGATCAATCGAATCCTTTTCCTCTCTTCCTCCGACAGGCAGGCAAGCGCCTTAATGCCCACCTCGATGTTCTTCTTCCTCTCGAACCTATTGATTGAAAGCAATATCTTCCGTCCATCTCCGGCGAGAAAGCTAGGCTCATCATCCTTGAGGACACTTTTTCTCTCGGTAACATCAACGCAGGGGTAGACCACGTGAGGCACCCGCTCGATCCTGGGAAATGCGGTCGAGAAGACACCCCGAGTGAAGTTCGAGTTGACCAGAATGGTACTAGCCAGCCCGGTTGTGACTGCCTCGATCCAATCAAAGGGGATCCTGTACAGCGATTTGATCAAGGACGTGCGGGACGCGAGTAGGTAGTCGGGAAAGTGGCAGTAGAAGAGCACCGGAATGTGTGGTGCGAACAAGTAGAACAACGGAATACAGGCGGAGAGTTGGTCGATGAAGAGACAATCGTAGTTAGAGATCTCGTTCGAGAGGATCAGCGAAGCGACCAGATGGAGCTGGCGAAGGATTGCGCAGAGGATGTTGAATCGACCGAGAATATTTCGAGGGACTATCGAGTTGCCCGAGACGCGGATGGTCAAGGTTCCTACAAAAATGACAGGCAGACAAGCGTGAGTTACCGTTGCTACAAAACACGTAGAGAGATCCGGTGTTGCTTTGGGGGAATAGTACCATTTCGGGCTTCATCAAAACAGTGTCGAGAATCACAGTGAGAGGTATAGACAGTAACGCTGTGGCCTCGGTCTTGCAACCCGACAGCAGCGTCCACGACGAGCCGCTCAGCACCTCCAATTCCCAAATCAGGATGGATGAAGAGGATTCGTTTCCTCTTCTGTAGTGGGCTTAGTGGTGAAGGCAGCATAGCTGGTTGAGGTGGGTGGTTGGAAGCCATTCGAGGGATCGTGTTTGGCGGACGGGGGGAGCTCTAGAGAGCTGTAACAAAGAGCAGAGCGAATTCAAAAACGATGATGACACGCGAAGATGGCGGCTCTGTGGAACGTATCGCACTAGGTAGTTAGCGTCGGGTAGAGTGGTTGCGTGCAGGTCGCGACTCTCTGCAACTAGCGGACACTGGACAGAGGAGACTCGCCCACCCACCCAGACCCAACCGTGCCGACGACATCACGACCGCGCCGACTACCTCACACTCCTCCTCCCCCCATCAACAACACAAACAAACTACCACCGCGCACTCGTGTAACCATCACCGACATCATGGAGAAGCAGCAGTCGCCATATCCCCCTTCGTCGGGTCCCCCATATCAACCTCCCCCACCTCCTCCACCTCCTCAACAGCAGCAATCGCACCCGCTGCAACAACCTCAACAGCAAATACAACAACCACAATTGCAACCACCACCGCCTCCGCAGCAACAGCAACAACAACACTTCGTACCACACCAGTACTATCACGACCAGTCGCATCCTCAATTCCAACTACAGCTAGCGCAGCAACAGCAGCAACAGCAACAGTACCAGCAGCAACAGCAGCAACAACAACAACACATGATGCCGCCCCCTGCAACCACGAATCCAACCTCTAAGCCGATCGACCCCACCGATCTCGCCGATGCCCTTACGTCTGCTGGTATCGACTTGAAGGAGGAGGAAGCGCGACTGGCGTCGGGCGGCAACTACGCGGCAGCGTACAATGGCTACCCCGGCATGCCGCTCTCGCAGGAAGAGGTGAACCGACAGGAGTTGCGGAGACGAGCGACAATTAAAGCAAACCATCTCAACGACCCCTTCCTGAACGCGCAAGTCCTCTCAAATCGACTTCTTAACAAGACCCGGAACGAAGGATGCACGGCGTTTACTATCAGCGATCCCACGATGCCAGCCCACAAGGAGAACATGGACATCGTCACATTGCTGTCGCTTGCCTGCCGAGAACGACTGAATTCGCTCCTGACCAGAAGCACCGCGTTGGCTCGAGCACGACGTCGACCGCAGACCACCATCACCGGCGAATGGGCGGATCGCGTGATGGGTGTCACACCGGAGATTAGGCCCAGCGCACCCCCGGACAGTGCTGGCAGCATTCCCTCCGCGATCTCCCCCGGCAGCAATCCGTTAAAACGTAAGATATCAATACCCTATGCCCTCACGATTGCCGAACCAATGCTGAATGGGAACCCACAAGTTACAGGCTCCTTTTCAGTCGCAAACGGCGCCACGCCCGCTCCCGGAGGCGGCATCCCCACCGCCAATCTACAGAACGAGGTTGCGATCGCCCTGCGCCAGCTGAAGCAGAAGGAATGGGAGGCGGACCAGGAACGCCTGCGCAAGAAGGCGAGACGGGAGCAACTGGCGGCCGGAGGCACTCCCACTCCAGGTGGCGGCGGCGATACTACTCCTGGAACCCCCGGCGGCGATTCCCCGGGCATGGGCGAGCGCAGGATCTCGGCGAAGGAGAGCAAGAAGCAGGCGGCAAGCAAGATCGAAGAAGCGGCTTCTCATCGCGCCGCCAATCTTACGGCAAACATGATGATGGGTGGCTTCGGCGGCTTCGGCGGACTCAGGAAAAAGAAGAAGACGTACTCGTGGATGACGGCTGGAGGCAATGCCCCGGGAGGTGGAGGTATGGGAGGACCGGCGAGACCGGGCCCTGTTGGCGCCATAGACACATCGGTCGGCCAGGCCAATACTGGCTCTGAACTGGGAAATCTCACGTGGACCGGACAGAGGTTGGGCGTGTGGAGAGAGGATGGCGAGCGTGGAAAAGCCATCCAGATCAGGGATTGGGTTGCCGCCTTGGAGGGAGACGGAAGAGTTGGTCGCAGGGGCGTCATCAAGGCCTACCTGCGGATGAAGTGATGAATTTCCAGTTTCGTTTTCTGTTTCGTTTTCTGTTTCTGATGGAAAATACTTGCCATTACATGATCATGGCGAATTGAGAGAAAAAAACTCCTTCTGCATTTGATGTTTCGAAAAAAGTTTCGGTGCAAAATATCAGTTAGCAACTTGTTTTTTTCTTTTTTTCTTTTCTTCTTTCTGCAATTTTCTGCTTTGTTTTGCTTTTCTATTTTTACTGGCGTTTTAATTCGGGATGTGTTTGTTGGGTCAATTGGCTGGTCATCCATCTGTTTGCTGCTTTTGTACTATAGGTTTCTTTTTTTTTTTCATTTCCTCTTCGTTAGGTCTAAATGCAATTTGTGTATTATTATGACCTATCCGAGTGATGCCGAGGGATTAGGTTCCATTTCATACCACAGTAGTCTAGAATCTAGATACATGCACAGCACTCATTCACTCAGTTCCACCCGCTGATGGCCCCATCAACGATATCCCGGTACTCCTGCTGTGCCCGAGCCATCCGCATGTAAACCTGCCATGGTGGTTAGCAACGACAGTTTGCAGACGATGGATCATTGAAGGAGTATCTACCTCATATTTCGCCTCCAGCAACTTCTTGACGTTCGCATCGGTCGTGGGATATGCCACAGTACCACTCTGGCTCATCCGGTCCATAATACTCCACAGATCCTCCGTCTCCCCCTTCTCATTCACGCTTGCGGCCTTCGCGCCGAGCATGGCAGCGCCGAGCACGACAGCGTCCTGGATATACTTTGGAATAGCGACGGGCAATCCCGTAGCGTCAGCGATCAGCTCCATTAACAGCGGGTTCTTGCACTGGCCGCCGCTCATGAAGATGCTGGTGACGCTGTGGCCGCTCTTGTTGAGCACGTCGATGATGTGCCGCGTCTGCTGCGCGATGAATTCCATCGCGGCGTAGTACTGCAGCGCGAGGTCGTCGACGGAAGAGTCCATGCTCAGCCCAACGATTGACCCTCTCATATTCGGGTCTGCGATTGGGCTCCGGTTGCCGTGCTTGTCGCCGTAGAAGAATAGGTGCCGCGCGAGGTGGCCGATGTGGGGCGCTTTCTGCGAGGTGCGCAGCGCAGAGAGGTGGCTGTTCAGGAAGTCGAAGATGTTGGTGGGCGCGGATTTGGCCTGTGCGAGGGCGGAGCTGTACGACGGGTGCGTCGTCAGGACATTGTGCAGGAGTGCGCCGGTGGTGCTTTGTCCGCCCTTTTTGTTTCCGGAATGTGAGTGATAGCCTGTGAGGAAGTATGTGCGGACTGCGGATATAGCAACATACCTCAGCCAGCCACCTCCCCTCTAGCAGCACATCCCTATACGGCCCCCAGATTCCTGGCGCAAATACGGGGTCTTTGGACATGACGAGATGGCAAGTACTCGTGCCCGCGACAACCGCGAGCCGGTGGAACGCCTGCTCCACCGAGTTCTTTGCGTACCCGGCTTCGAGGGCCTTATCAGAGATGTCGACCTTCGCACCCACGCTACCGACCCAGCCCGCATAGGCGTCGATCACTCCGCTGCCGATCTTGACGCCGGGTTGCAGTCCAAGTTCCTTCGCCGACTTCTCGCAGAGGCCGCCAACGACTTCGCCGGCGGAGGCCCACAGGCCGTTCTAAACACCCACCCGTCAGCTAGCTGCAAGCCCTAACAGCGTGAAAGATCAACCTCGCCGTTAACACCGCCCATCTTCTTATAATTATCCTTTGCCAGCACCTCAAGGCCTATTTCCTTCAAGAAATCTTCCTGCCACCCTTTCACGCTGCCGTCGACACCGACGGGCACGTAGCCCTGTTTGCACACGGTGGAGCAGAAGCTCCGCGTCTCCCGGCCCGTGGCGATGTGCGTCAGTGCGTCCGGGAGATCGTAGAATTTGCAGCGCGCGAAGAGCTCCGAAGGCATGTTGTTCTTCAGCCATAGCACCTTCGGCGTCTCCATCTCGATCGACATCTGCCCCCCGAAGTACTTGAGCAGGTTGTGGCCTGTGTTGTTGATAGTTTTCGTTTCTTCTTTGGGACGCTGTTTTCGCCATCAGCACCTGGTCTCTTGTAATATTTGCGGAGGAGGAGGTCCTACGTGGTCCATCCAAACTACGCATCATCGCAAACCAGATCAGTATACATCCCACGCATCATCTTCGAACCAGAGTAGACGCCACATACGAATAACATTCCTCTCGGTCTCCTTAAACTCCGGCCCCGCCACCGAAATCGGCTCGTTAGTCTCCTCATCGAGCACAACCAGCGAGCACGTGGCATCGAAGCCAATGCCCTTCACCAGCTCCGGGTCAATATCCGCCTTCGCCAGCGCCGCCTTGCTGCACTGGCAGATCGCCGCCCAGATGTCGTCCGTGCTTTGTTCCTGGAGATTGTGAGTGCTTGGTTACGGGGGGGAGGGATGGCGGGGCAGGTGGCCGGTGGGACGGGGGCACACACGTAGTAGTCGGCTTTTTCGTTCCAGGTGCGGATGTCTTTCGACTCCACGACCAGGATTTCGCCGGCCGATGAGGTGATGCACACGCGCGCACTGCCGGTGCCCACGTCCACGCCCATGTAGTAGGAGCTCATCTTGGTATGTATAGTTCGCGGACCCGGGATTGCGGGGGAAGGGGGTCGCTGGGGAGATCTGCGTATTCGGAACGAAGCGTGTGGGGAAACAATTCGATACCGCGGGGAGAGAGTGGCGATTACGACGAAAACACTCAAAGACGACCTCGCAGTCGCCAGGCTTTTATATCTATTCTTTACGCCCTCCCTCCTTCCCCCGTCCCTCCCTCCCTCCCTCCCTCCTTCCACCCGTCCCCAAGTAGGTACCCCATTTGGCGATCGAGCTTCACGGTCCCCAGCGGTCCGTAGGTACTTTAATACTCCAGATCAACCACGCATCGAAGGCCGCTCCTACATAGCTTACATACATACAGGCACACATGTTTGATAGATAGCGAAGAGTGGGGTGGCAGATCCCTCCCGGGAAAAACTAGGCATGTACCTATCATACATAGGCGGGGTTTTAGGTTACTGGAAACGGAACTGGGGCCAATTCAGCCAGTGGCCCGTGGTTAGGCCCGGTGTCGGGGGCGGATAAAAGCCTAAAGGCGAAGGCGAAGGCGGAGACGACGCTAAAATGCTTACATACGGACTCCGGAGTGGCTGTCTGTGTCACGGTGACGAGTGATCGGCAGTGATGGCTGGGAAGATCAACGGGAGGATAGGGAGGATGAGGGACGCTATGTACAAGCACTCGTCGTGATCATTCCTCAGCAGTGAAGCGTTTGTAAAGGATCGCTGGTGAAGGATCCTTCAAGCAATCGAAAGGTCAACTACCACCTACCCAAGTATGAGGCACCTACGACAACCTTCATTACTGTAGAATAGGAATTCAAGAAGTACGCAGAAGTGTGCCTATTATTGCAAACCAAGAATCCCTCACAGCGAGTGAAGAAATATGAGCACAAATATATCCCAGCCTCTCATTCAGACTCGAGCCAGGCCATCTTCCAAACCAGATGCAACCACTTACCGAGTGACATACCATGTTTCATAGACCTACGCCATACCTACTGCTTGTCCCGCATTCCATCCCCAACACCCCACTACAATCCCACCCCACCACCAGCATGTCCACCACCACCACCACCAACACAATGTCCACCGAGCCCGTAATCCTGCTAACCGGCGCCTCTCGGGGCCTTGGACTCGCAATCGCCTGCCACCTGTTAACGCACACAACCGCGAACCTCCACCTGATCTCCCGCAGCGCCATCCCCCTCGTCTCCCCGCGCATCAGCGTCTCCCTCCTGGACCTATCCCTGGACACCTCCGCCCCCCTCGCCATCGCCACCTGCCTTTCCGTCTGGGGGCGCCTCGACAGCCTAATCCTAAACCACGGCCTACTCTCCCCCGTGACGCCGCTCTCGTTCGCGACCGCCTCCGCCTGGCGCGCCGCATTCAACACGAACCTGTTCTCGCACGTCGGTCTGTTGGCTGCGGCACTGCCATCGCTGCGTGCAGCGCCTAACGGGCGCGTGGTACTGGTGTCCTCCGGCGCCGCGGTAACCGGCTACCCCGCGTGGGGCGCGTATGGCGCGGCCAAGGCCGCAATGAACCACTTGGTGCTGACGCTGGAGGCGGAGGAACCGCGGCTGACCGCAATCGCGGTCAGGCCGGGTGTGGTCGATACGGAAATGCAGAGGGAGATTCGAGAGGTGCATCAAGCGGCGATGGGAGCCGCTGGTGAGAGGTTTGTTGATGCGCATAGGGACGGGAAGTTGCTGGCGCCGGAGGTGCCGGGCGCGGTGGTGGCAAGGTTGGCAATGGGTATGGGGAGGGAGTTGGGAGGGAAGTTTTTGAGGTGCGTGGTTGCGGCCCCGGGAAGAGGGGGGGTGTTCGCGTTGCGAGGTGTGGGCTGATGAAACGATAGCTGGAATGCCGAGGAGTTGAGGGAGTTTCAAGACGATGCGGTAGCAGCTTGATCCGGTCGATGAGCTCGAACAACTCACATGTACTCTGGACTGCGCGGCCGGCGGATTCACTATAGACGGATTGACTATAGACGGTAGAAGTCACGATATAGCTTGATTTGAATTGGTTGGAACCAATGTTGTAGTCTACGGTAATGATCTGTACAGACAAATACGCCTCCCAAATGTCATTTTGCCATCCGGTCCTGCCTAGATATGATGCGGGTACTGATATCCCGACTGCGCCGGCGGGGCATACTGCGCAGGTCTCCTACGTCCCCTGGTAGGCTCTCTATTCAGGAGCCCCCTCACCTCCTCGAGGTCCTCATGACGACGGCTGCTCTCGCTATTGGTGCGAGCAAGAGTCCGCGCGTCATCCCCGCTGGAAGGCGGCCTGCTGTGAGTATCGGGGAACTGGGAGCGGCTGTGGTGGTCGGTTGCGAAGTCAAAGTTCAAACCGCCCGTGTTGGTGTTCTCGTGGACGCTCGGGGCGGGTGAGCGCGAGGACTGGTGGTCCCAGCGCTTGGCGAGCTTGTCGTCGACCGCCTTTTGCATATTTGATTGCGCGAGCTCATCCGGGATCGCGACGGTGTACATCGGCTTGCCGACTTCACCGAGGGCAGGGTCACCTATTCCAGTCAGCGAGCACTAACAGACAGAAAAGGGTGATAATACCTCCACCAGGAGCATAGATGGGGATCTTCTTGAGGATCGCCACCAATGCAAGGATGAACTTGTTCCGTCGCTGGAGAGCGAGGGCTTCAGTGATGGTCTCGCGGAAGCGCAGTTCGATCCGTAGCGTGAGCTTATCCAGGTCGTTGATTCCGGCGACTTCGACTTCAATCTCGGGCTGGAAGTCACGGCTGTTTTCGCGGACAAAGAGCATCAACTCCATCTTGAGCGTCTCGATGTCTTCTACCGAGGTATCGAAGCTATATTTCATTAGGTATGCCGTGAGCATAAAGAGGGGACTGGCTTACTGCACGGGAATCATCAGCTGCTCCTGAATGAACTTGGACCGTGTGATGTTCTCGACGATCTTGGTGTTCAGCACGTTGTTGGGGATCTGGGTCGTCTTGATATTGTCGACTCTCTTGAACACGGTGAACAACAGCGAGATGTGCTCGACGACGTATTTCTTGTCGTCAATATCCACTCTATCACCAACGTCATAGGGGTCTGTTGAAGTCAGCATGGCATTCTCTTTGCATTGCCGGAATATGAACTCACGTTTGACGAAGAGGAAGATGCAAGATCCCAAGATCTCCTGGGCCGTGATCGCAAAGACGAAAGACATGCTGATGAGCACAGTACCAGCTCCTGCGATCGTAGTGCCAACACTGGACTGTTGCGCAACGACAAAGACCAGAATCATGATGACAAAAACGATGAAGGAAAGGACATTGTCCAAGGCACTGATTGCATTATCCTAAGTTGGTCCATCAGCACTGGACAATACCGTCTCCCGCTCAGATATGTAGGGAGGTACTCACAACATCCTGCATGCTCTTCGCAACGTGTCGGCGCTCGGTGCGGAGCTGAGTCGTGTGCTGGATCATCTCTTCGAGAGAGACGTCTCCATTGTTATCCCCGTCCAGCGAGTAAAAACACTCCTGCGCCTGGATCTCAAGCTCTGGCCCCATCACTTCCTTCAGGTCGGCCAGTGTCATTGCCGAGTGATCCTCAGGAACAAACGACATCCAGATGCGCCTTGCCAGTGCCTCGGAAGACTTCTTACCGAGGAGAGCACCAGCAGTGACAGCATACGCCGAAGCTGGATTGAACGCATTCTTCTGGCCGGTGACTTCCTGCGCCATATTCCCAAAGACGCTGGCGACCTTACCCTGGACCATATTGACGCCTCCAAGGATATTCCGCATCGGCGTTGCTGCACCACTCGACTTCTTATACCCCGGAATACTCAAGGCACCACGGATTATGTAGTCCTCCTCGGCAAACTCGCCGTATTCGGGAAAGATGTTCCTCGAGACTTCGTACAGCTGTGACAGGAACTTGACCTTTTCCTTGTTGGTCTTGATGCGCTGGGCGAACTGTCGGCGGTGGTAGTCGACGGACACGATCTGGATCAGGAGTTTTTCGGCCAGCCAGAGGAGACTGGACACCAGGCAGGAGATGAGAACTTTGTTCATCACCGTCTGCCATGGCTTTTCGATGCGGACTTTGGTCATCAGTGGGAGGAAGGAGCACAGACTGGCGACCGCCCAACCGACGAAGGAGAGAGGAAGCTCCAGTGCCTTCAGCACGAGGGAGTATTTCTTGACACCGGAACTGATGACTCCGACGAGCGTCTGGAAGATCTTTGGAAGAGCCTTGGCGAATAGCTTTGACACCCAGAGGGAGCACCAGACAATCTCCAGCTGCATATCGAAACCAACGAACTTAGCTTTCACATTCGCACGACCAGCAGGTGCATCGAGGAATCACTCACCCAAACGAAAAACCACACCATCCTAACACCGCCAACAGAAGCCTTCGGAGCAGCATAAACGCCGACCAGAATCGGCACGAGGAAGCACAGACTCAACGGCAGAATGTAGAGCATATACCTCGTCACAATAGAGAAGTGTAAGATCCTACCATACACTTTTCCCATGGTAGTGAGGGCACCCTCCTCCTCGGTGAAAGAGTTGTCGTCGGTGTGCATCCGGCGCCGCCCACGGAACGCGGGAGCAGCGGCAGCAATTGGCTCCTCGAGCTGTACATCCGGCATGGTCTGCCCTGCTCGGCGAGCGCCAGTGCTGGCGTTGGTGCGGATCGGAGTGAGTGGGATGTTGACTACGTGCTCGTCCATTCTGGATTGCTGCTGCCGGGTGCTGGGATGGGGGCTGAGACCGTGAAGAGGGAGGAAGCCCTCGTGCTTGGGGGAGGTAGGAGATTGGACCATTGTATGGGTCGGTCAATTGAGTTGGGTGGTGAATGTCTGTCGATGGGGTTGGATTGTTGTTGAACTGGCCGGCCCGCGGTGGTAGTATGTTTGTGGATGGTATGTGTGGTATGGGTTTGTGTAGTAAAGACTGTGATATTGTCGATTGATGTATGTAGGACGGGGTGGAGCTGAGGTCTCTGCTTCTCACGATTGCAATCAGCAACTGTTTTCACTTCCACATCGGGAGAAGCCTGCTGGTTCCCACCAGGGCGACTGCCATGACATCAATCCCGCGTGAGCTGGAGGTCAACACTTACATTTATGTATCACCACCACATAACCACGAGGAAGAAACGTCAAGTCGAGACTAGGAAACCCGGAAACGAGCAACAGAGGTAGAAAGAAAGAGTGTGGGTTCACAACTGATGCGAAAGAACGGAGGATCTCATAAATCTGGGCATCCCATTGTTTAACTACCACTATATACAAGTCGCCAGGAAATCCCAAGCAGCAAGCCTGCAACACTGCAAGCCACAGGGGTGCTTTCTCGCATTCGCACCCAGGCAACCTAACCGTGAGGCATGGATTGGCGATGAAGATCTTTCTCGGAACCCTGGATAGTGAGGATCCCTACGGATGTTCGCACCAGGAAGCAGCAATGTTTATATCAAGCCTGGTCTCCAAAGCGGCCTAGCGTGAAACGCGAAGCAAGGAGCCCTGTCTCCTTCACGTTTTTTTTCCTAACGGCGGACTCAGTCCAGGTCTAACCGTCTGCGGCCGTAGCGGCGTTTTACCCGGCTGCTCGGATAGCCGGTCGTGACGACATCGATCGGGCATCTCCCTAGAGCAACTCACCCCCCGTGCGCTGCATTGATCGTCAGGTCCCAACCCAGCCTCCTCGCATATCGCATTGCATCTGCGAAATCAAGTTCAAATTACTCTAGAAGATCTCCACCCCCCCTCGTACCCCCGTACCCCCACAAAGAACGAAGGAAGACGGTTAGACAGTGCGCGACAATTGCTATCTAGAAGCAAATCCACCCATCAATCCAACCCAAAAATGCAAGCAACCCAAGCCCGAACCCAAAAGCTCGCCGACAACCTGCGCACCATCATTTCCCGCGTCTCCGCGGTTCCTACTAGCCGGCAGGTGCGTACGTACTCCTCCACCCCACCCACTCGAGCTAGATGAGCCGTCCGTCCAGCCGTCCAGCCGGTCCGCGGTCGGGAGCCAAAGCAAGAAGCAAGCCAAAGAAAAGAAAGCTAATCCATTCCTTGCGGATACCGACTGCAGGTGCGTCTAGTAGCCGTCTCGAAGCTGAAGCCCGCGGCGGAGGTGCTCGCCCTGCACACTGCCACGGGACATCGCCACATGGGCGAGAACTATGTTCAAGGCATGTCCTTCCCCATCCCTATCCCCTTCCCCATCCCTATCCCCTTCCCCTTCCCCTTCCCCTTCCCCTTCCCCCCGTCCTGATCCACCTCTTACACCTTTATTTCAACAGAGCTCCTCGACAAAGCCGCGCAACTCCCGCGCGAAATCGACTGGCACTTCATCGGCCAGCTGCAAACCAACAAGTGCCGCAAGCTAGCCGAGGAGATCCATAACCTATGGGCCGTCGAGTCCGTGGACACCTGCAAGAAGGCCGATGCGCTGGAGAAGGGCCGGGAGGCGCTCACGGCGCGGGAGCCAGAGACCAGTAAGCTGCGCGTTTACGTGCAGGTCAACACTTCCGGTACCGCCCCTCCCCCCGCACCCCTCCACCTCCCCCTCCCCCTCCCCCGCTGACCGTGACCGTGACCGTGCAGGTGAATCCTCGAAATCCGGCTGCGCGCCCACCGACGCCGCCGGTATCGCGCGGCACATCCGCACCGCGTGCCCGCACCTGACGCTGCAGGGACTGATGACGATCGGGAGCATTGCGCGGTCGCAGCGGGCGTTCTCGGAGGAGAACGAGGACTTCGTGCTGCTCGCGGCGACGGCGCGGGGTGTTGAGGAGGAGCTAGGTCTGAAGCTGCCCGAGGAGCAGCTCGAGCTGAGTATGGGCATGAGCAGCGACTTCGAACAGGCTATTGCGGCGGGGGCGACGAGTGTTAGGTACGTTGGCTTGGCTGGTTGGGCTTGGGTGCTGGTGGTGGTGGTGGTGGTTGGGGGATACAGGCTGACAGGAAGCGGTAGGGTCGGAACGGCGATCTTTGGCGAAAGGCGGCCGAGGCAGGGTGCTCAAGCTATGATGGATGTGGTCACTGAACAGAAGGCTTAGGCGTGCTGTTGTGCTTTCTCATAGAACAATGCTTAGAGGTTGGTTGTGTCGTGATCACGAAACCAAGATGAGGTATATGTACTAGAATTCCGTCATAGCAGACGGGATTACAAGTATCATACAATGCAATGAGCCCCCAAGCAAACCCTTTGTGGGGATATACAGAGTACGGGACTCTCTCAAAGCTTAAATAGAAGAATCCATTACGCACAAAAAGAGAAAGAAAGAAGGGCAACCCAGGAAATGATGTACCGCCTTCGACAGAGAGAGAAAAAGAGAAGCAGCTACATAATGTAGGTAGCTCGTACAGAAACAGATAGTAGGAAAAGAAGGGTGTTGGAACATTACAAAAAGTGCAGGTAACTTTACGCCCCCCCACATACAACCCCCCCGCTCCCCCCTCACCGTAAGTGGTCAGGAGGCGGGGATCCCAATGCCAAACGACCCTCCATAACCTTGAGCAAGATCGGAGGCACTCCTTCGTCCGTTGCTCTGACGGTGACACGGTACATCTGCACCCACAAGTAGTCAGCATGCCATCCACCTTACAAAGGAGGGGAAGGGACTCACCCCAGTCTCAAGATTTGGCTCGACCCTCAAAAGACAGCCAAACTTCCCGCCCTCGAGGGTATGCAGTACACTGGCACAGACAAAGTTCTTCGGATTAGAGTCGACGCCATCGAGCACGCCCCAGCGGAACCCCTCGATGACCCGTCGCGTGCGCGGGGGCTCAATCCGGTGTCCCTTGATCCTAATCCCAAACACCTTCTGATACTCCCGGGGGCCGCCACCGATCTGCTTCCAGCGCTTGAAGAAGTCCTCTGCCGAGAGCGCGGCGGGCTCCATGAACTTCGTGGGCACGACCGGAAGCTTGAGCGTGAGCGCTTGCAGTGCCCCTGCGAGGTACGATATCCGGATGGTCGGCGCTTCGGAGAAGATCTTGTGCGCTTCCAGCATGATCGTTTGCTGCGTCTGGCTCTCGGGTGCGACGTTGGTGTCCGGGATGTTGGAGCAGTTTACTACCAGCGCGCCAGGAGAGTTGTTGTTGACGGTGGTGGTGAAGGAGCCGATTGGAGCGGAGGACTTGTTGGTGTAGTAAAGGATTATACAGCCCATGTGTGCCCGGTATTCCGACCGCAACCCAACTTGTATCTGTCCGTCTTCGAAGAGAACTCCTTCCGGTCTGATCAGAAGGCGGTTGTACCCAACTTCCCAGTCGGGACTCAGATGGGCCGCCGAGGCAAGGTTCACTGGTGGCTTCTTGGTAGTGGTGGTGGTGGCGGTGTCACCATTGAGATCGAGACCAGCGAGCTCCTGTGTCGGAGTCAACGCACTTGGCTTCACGGGGCTGGACATGCCGCCGTTGGTCGGGGTGCCCGCTCCGTTCGTAAACGTCCGTTTCAGGCCGCTGTTCAGAGTGAGGTTGAATTCCTTCTTCTCGACGTTCGCGTCCTTGCCTCCTATGACCCAAGTGCGTTTGTCGCTGGTTCCCGCATGCTTCTGGTGCAATCTGGACAAGAGTGCCGATGCACGCTCGGGAAACGGCGGCATTTCGTCACAGACCGTCCGAAGCAGGTCGTCGGTCGGTAATGTCGCAAGCGCGAGGTATTCGCATGCTCGTTGTTGCAGCTCGGGATCTAGGGTGTGGCTATAGGCGCGGAAAACTTGCAGGAGTTGCGGCTTGATCTCCGGGAATAGGTTGATGAACTTTACAAAGGAGGAGAGTAAAATCGCTCTAGTGATGGATGAACATCCATTGAACTTGGACTGAAGCGCCAGAAACTGTTCGATGGGACTGCATCCGGGATGGTCTGCAATGAGATGGCCAAATTCTCCCAAGAGGTACCCTCCAATCTTCACCAGTGTTTCATGGCACTGGGCAGCTTTGAGATGTTGCAATATATTCTGCGCTGCATATACTTGGAGCTCCTCGTTGTTTGTGACGATCTGAATCACTCGCTGCCACACCTCATCGCTCACATGATCTCCAGCCATGCTGATGAGGCGAAGAGAAATGTCGACATACCATTGGTATTCAGTAGCATATTTCTCGGTCAGGATAGCTATCTTCAGCACCATCTCCTCCCGAATAGCGAAGTCAGCACCTTGCAGATACTTGAGGAGTTCTCCAACGATTGCGGATGCGTTCGTAGGATCGCACATGCTGTAGAGCAGGTCGAGGGCTTTCCTCCGAACACTGATGTCGCGATCCCGTAATGAGCCAATGATAGTATTCTGATGCTTCTTTATTGGCTCTAATGTCTCCGAGCGTGCGGCAAGATGCGTCATGGCTTCCAGCCCCAGATATCTGACGTTGGTTTCCCGGGAAGTGATGAATCGGCCAAGTCGGACGGCTATCTGGGTCATCAGGCCGGTCTCCGAGTCCAGATGAATAGCCAAGTTAATGGCCTCAAACAAGACAGCATTTTGTGCATTATTCTGTTGCACATTTTTGGGTGTGTCCGACGCAGTATCGAGGATATTTTGTAACGATTCCCGGATCATGTTTTGGATGCTGACGTCCTCTAGCAAGCAATGGGGTTAGCGGCATGAACCCGCGGGATGTCAAGACAATCCGTACCTGAAGGTGGATAGTATTGGAGAAGTCTTAGTAGCTTAACCTGAATCCATGGGCAAGGGACCTTGTAGTATATATAGTCTTGGGTGTACTCGTTATCAACGACAATGCGCTTCAGCCGATGGGCAGCTTTCACATAGCTAGTTTGGTACGCCTCGGGATTGTCCTGCACCAGAGCCATGACCAGCGATGTTACCGATAATGCAACACCGAGGTCGGGATCGTCCATGATGGAGATTATGCGTTCCGCCCACTCATTCTGGATGATACCGGGGAACTTGCGGTACAATCGGAGGAGCGTCAGGGCAGCCTTCTTCTTGACGAACGATTTCGACGTCCTATACCATCAATTAGCTTCGCCGAAGCTAGCCAGTAGGGAATCACGCACGGTGATATCAGCAGGCGATGAACATCGGGACTGAGTGCTTCTCCCATCTCCCTCCCTCCTACGTTTGCGATGGCGTGCAAGGCTAAGCAGTTATTCAGCTCATTGTTGTCCAGCAGGTCCTTCTTGATGCTGTTGACAACCAGGTGCAAGAAATCGTGCTTCTCGTTCAAAAACAAAGTGACGGCGAGATAGCCAATTTGTTTTTCCGAATACTTCGTCGCGGAGACAAGATTCACGGCTTCGAGGTGGCCAAAATCGACGTTCCATCCCAGGATATAGATATAGAGAAGCTACAATTCGGAGAGTTGAGTAAGGACGGCACTCGAAGGAAGAGCAGGAGGAGGCGTATAACGATAAGTACCTTGCAGACGTATTTTTTCTTATGGTAACCATTCAGTCCGCCATCTTCTCAGTAATATAGCGTCAGTGCCCATCGTAACCCCCGGATTTCAAGGAATTGCCAAGTAATTGCCTTTGAACTTTTGCCTTCGGAGATATCAGCGTATAGTTCCGCTAGCATATGATGCGATGGTGGGGCGCAACTAACCGTATGTTTGCCAGCTCTTTGTTGATTCGCTTCTCCTCGAGTTCTCGTGCCCGCGCGTTTCTCAAGTCCGCGATGAACTGAACCAGCCCTACAAGCAGCCACACCACAAAATCAATTGCCGCCCCCTGGGAATGCTACTCCGGCTTTGAATTGCCGAGTAGTACAGGCTGGTGTGTGCGTACCGCGCATGGACGACATGACAGCGCTTTCCGATGGGTAGCCGAGCTGAGCGCAGCAACGACGGTAGCTCTGGAAAGCTCTCGGAGGGGGTCACGGGCTATCTATCGGTGCAGTCCTATGATCCTTCAGCACTCCACGCGTCACGAACTCCCGTGACACTCCCGAGGAACATACCGGCGTCAAATTGCAAGCTGGAGTACGGCTCGGGGATGGGCCACGCGGAGGTGCGTTGAAAAGGGACGTCGCCACGTACGAACGGAGTGCGCGAATGCCGAGAACGTATCCGGATACCGAGCCGCGTTGAGGAGGCAGTGGAAGGTCGAGAACGCAATTGCTGTACGTAAGTGTTGAAGCGGGAGTGTATGTAGGTCGTATGTAAGCTGATGGAGAGTCGGCAGAGCAGATGGGAGCGGAGTCCGCACGCACACTAATTACAGCACTCTTGGTGCTAGGTACGCAGGGTACACGATGACGATCACGTGCGATGCATGGTTCGCACATTTCCACACGTATCAACAGCTTGGATCCTTCAAAGTACTCGAGTGACAACAAATTCGTTCGTCATGTATAGCTCGGCTCATACCGTAGTGATCCCACACATAAAAGTATACATCTTCCGCATGCTCCAACCCAGTGAATGCTGTTCCAAATTCCAATTACAATTCCCATCCCGCTCAAACTCATGCCTTCGTCGTGAAATCAACCTCTCCTTCCCTCAGCCCAAGTGCGGGGTTCTTCTCGCATGTGCCTACGTTACCACGGACGAATGAGCATGATGCGAAGGACGCAGACTGCATCGGCGGGGACTTACAGGCATCGGCGGGACGCTTCCCACACTCACAGGCGGCTCCTGAGACTTTGTTTTCCTCGGCGGCTCTCTCGCAAGTGCACTCCTGGGCTGGTCGCTTCGCTACCATACATCATTGGCAATCAGCAAATAACTCGATACAAGGAAATCAAAAGAAAAATCGCGACGGTCGAAGACTTACCGCACGAGCACCGAGGACCGCTGAGGACATTCTCTTCTGACGCCTTCTGGCAATTGCAGTCTAGCGCCTTACGCGCTCCGCACGAGCACTTAGCCTGCTCAGCGCAGCTGCACTGAGAACCGTCCTTACGACAACAAGTGGCAGGTTGAGACGACATATCGGATATTTTGTGATGGATTGAGTGTTTGAAGATGGAGTATTCGATGGTGATGAGAGTGGATGCTTTGATACTTCAATACAAAATACGTTGCGCCGTGCCTGTTTATATGGTGAAGTGCCATTTGGGATGCTTTCAAATACGACGGCCGTGATAGGCCGCCAGCGTTGGAAATACGCTATGCCTATTGGTCTAACGACAAACGCATTCAACTTTACGCTTCCTTTAGATCATCAGGCGAGGAGATAGGCTTGTGCACGGTTACAGCGGCTGGCGAGTGAGTCAGGCTTATGAATGGACGTCATGAATGGCCGGCTGAATTGACGTATGCAGCACGAGTGATAGATTATGAACAAAAAGACATGTAATACCACTATTTGCTACAGGATAGAGCCACAACAAGCGTTTACGAACATCCAACACCATTGATTGTAGAAGAACCCAGCCACATATGCTCTGATGCAAACATCTCCCGCAGTGAGGACGATCCACTTCAGCTTGATTCAACCTTCTGAGACATGTTAGCCGCTGCCGCATCCCACTCAAACAATCGTTGGCCTAACCCTTTTCTTGCTTTCCGAGCCTTCATCCTCCGCTTGTGATGGCTTGGTGGTGGATGGACCCGCCCTCGCCATTGGACCCCAATTTGCGGTAGGATTGACCTGATATCTCACGACACCATTGGCCTTATCTTCCTCTTTACCCAACTCCTTGTCGAAGACGATGTTCAGGCTTTCATCCAAGGGCTTCTGCATGATATTGAACCCGGCAGTTCCTTCTTTCAAAGCGTTTTCCTTGCGATCGCCTGCCTTTTGCTCAACCCATCTCTTCATGATTTGCCAGACCACGCTGTGCGGAGCATTTGTTTTGATTGAATTTGGTTTGCAATGCGAGCGAGCGACTTTGTATCCCAACCCAATAAGGGCACCACGTAGCCCCGCATTAGGCGGTGCTTCGCAGCGGACGGTTTTAGACAAGAGGGATGGGACGTGGAAGAAGGGGCTGTCGGCAAGGGGAATTTCCTGGAGTGCCGTCTGCAGCATACCGATGATCCGCGGGATGGTTCCATACGTAGAATCTTCAGCAGGTGGGAGGATCGACAAGAACCGTTCTACAAAGGCAGCGGAGTGTAAAGGACCAGCCCACATTGGACCTCCGAGCTAAAAGGACTTGGTCAACACGCCGTCATGGTCCTTTTATAGGTAGGGAGATGCTCACATGCATCACAGATCCGCACTCAGCGCAATTCTCGCCAACCGTGGGCGCCCTTGCAAGGCCAAACTTCAGGAACGTTCCTTTCCCGTTCTTGTTAGTATTCTCCTTGGCCTTCCCCAACCTCTGTGTCACCCAGGATCCGCATCCCGAGTCACAGTTGTAGACAATCATGGTTGAACTGGCCAATTTCTTCACCTCCGCGGGCCCTTGCCTAATGCGCACCCAAACTCTGGCGTAAAAGTCGATGCTCAGGCTGAGCAACGGTTCGATATACAGGCCGTACTTTCCAGCGGCGGTGGCAATGGAATGCAATATCAGACGAAGTCCAGCCTCATGACACCATTCGCCTTTCACCGGTGTTCCGCCATATAGGGAGTAGCACTTCTCACTGTAACCAGTAGATGCCCAGACGCCCGCATCTGTGCAGGTAACGCACAACAGCCCACCATTAGATACTGCTTGGACAGCGGCGTCCAAGAAGATAGCGGCAGTTCCGTACGGGTCCAGGTCAATGACTTCATATCTGTGTGATTGAGATTCTCCAGGTGACAGGCTATCGTGCGCTGGCGAGAGAACCGAGTACATGTGGTGCTGAGCATTGCCCAGGCTGGGCTTGATCTTGGAGACCGCGTCCGCAGCAGACATCTTTTCGGGATCCGTCGTAGTTGAATGTTTCTTATTGTACTCGATGTTCCTCCGGATCGAGTCAACAGCTGATGGGTCGAGATCGTTGGCAGTGGCCGAAGTGACCATGGGAAGCTCAAGCGTATACCGCAGCGCCCGTAAACCGGTGGCAGAAAGCGCATCGAGAATAGTGAACTTGGGTGGGGTTGGAGTTGCAAGCTTAGTTTCGGGGTGTGTGGCCGGTACTTCCATGATCTTGTCTTCACTCGTCGGTTTGTCTATGTCATAAATTATTACCGGCAACCATCAACTGCGCAAACCAACCACATTCGTACCTCCTTCACTCTTCTCCACCATCACCTCCACCCGTTGCTTCTTCGCGCCTTTCTTGCCATGCCTCGGTTTCTTTTCAGCGAGATATATTTCCGCGAAATTTTTGATTGCAAGAACACTCAAATCACGATTGAATTGTTGGATCGGGTTGTAGAACACCTCTCCCTTAACCTCCACTTCACGGCCATTCTCGTCCCGCTTTATCGTACTCTTGGGGAACAGAACGGTCGCACGGCCCTCCGTGATCGCGGTATATTCGCTACCGTCTACCACAACATCTTTTGAGCTCGCCGGTAGCGGTTTCTCTGGAAGCGGCTCCAGGGTTACAGTGCGCGTGCGCTTTCCCATGGTGGGGCTTGAGTGGAATCTCCGGGTGTTTTGGCTGAGTTGAGACGAGAAATTGCGAGCGAAGACCGGTCGGCGAAGGCGAAGATTCGGACTGATAAGGGCGACCGCCGTTCGTGAAAGTAATACGGTGTTAGGTGCAAGGACGCAGGTGAGCCATCGGCGTTGGGACATCTAGATGCGGCTGCTAAAGTTGTCGCATTGAGTCATGGACGAAAATGTTTAATTAAATGGAGGGTGAATCAAGAATATGGTGTTACCCGGCTGACGGCCCCGCCAACGTACCAGTCGCTTGAACCCAGCACTCTGTACGAGCCCTCACGTGTACCTCTATTACACATGTGATGAGTTGTTTAAGAGGTTGTTCTCCAGACACCGTCTCGAGAGCGCCGAGGTCGATGGGTAGAAGACGGAATAAGCCAATTTCTTGGCTACCCTTCGATATCCACCCTTCGATCTCCACCCTTCGATCTCCACCCTTCGATCTCCACCCTTCGATTTCCACCCCACGTATCTCACTATAAATCACTCGATTAGCCGTTGTAGCGGACTGGGTTTCTTGCCCAAGTTACGCATCAAGCTCCCCACGCTTGGTCGGAGCCTGTCATCGAAAACGTATCCGGCTGAGTAGCACACGTTACCGGCAGAACAATCTCTACACACCTACAGTCAGCGTCTATCTCGTTACCTCGTCAAACAGGATATATTGTACGCAACTTGAACTGCAAAACACAGTCCAATCCGTCCGATCAGCGCTCCTAGAAGCGCTTTTCCACACATGTATTACCAATCTCGTTACATCCGTATTTCCGTCCATCTTAGCCTGCCGGAGACCCAGGGCAATTCCCTAACAGACACTACTGACGTATCTCTGTTGTACTGATGTTCTTTGCTATGCTGGTTGATCTAGGGGCAGGGACCGCGTAGTGCTCGAGTGAATGTTGCAATGTGCGAGTGCTGAAGCGCTCTAGACAGGCGGAGCGTGCTCACGCTATGGTGCAATTGCCAGAGGACGATGATCACTCGTGGAGATGAATAGTTACCCAGAGGTAAACGGTGGGATTCAGGCTCGAGTATATATAACAGCCACTCAACTTCAGACCTTTTGCTTAATCATCAATTGCTTTCGACCTACCTCTCCAGATGATGGCAATACACACTCAGTTTCCTTGTCCACTATCCAACCCAAATTTCGTCAGACGGCCCGGTGTGGATTTCCCTGCCCCCCGCTAGACTTTCCTAGAAGAAACATGTAGTGCGCACTACTGAAATAAAGCTAGGAAAAGGAAAGTCCGCACCTCACTCCCCTACCTCTTCGTCAGGAGATGCCGCGAAAGAGGATGGGGGAGGAACAGCGGGAGTGAGCCCGGTTCCTCGACCTTAGCATCCTCCTCCTCCTCTCTCCGCCGGCCTTTCTTCCCTGTCCCCTAGCTCCCACTCGGATACCTCACTTGCTGCATCTTCTTCAGTGACCTCAGGAATCTGCCTGCCCACACCAGTGGTGGCGAAAGAGTTTAGGATGGCGTGGCTGCGCCGATCGTCTGCGAAATGGTCTCGGAGCTTGAACATTAGGGCCTACAACACAAGAGCGGATGAGTGAGAGGCCGAGTGACAGGCTATGATGTTCGTTGACTTGCTTCTTTTCGAGCTGGGGTCCAAGTATAAGCATTCATCCGCCTGGCTCATATCATAAGGATACTGCGATCCAATCTTCTTCTTTTTTAAACTGGTGAGTATGTACCTGGGTCCATCACCAAACTCCATGAGGCCACAGATCTGGGCAATTTTGACCTGCAACCCCTTGTTCTAGCTCTGGACCATGTAACCAATCCTAGTATGCTGGAAGTGTGGTGAAGACCGCGTTCGCATGATGTGGTGCATACATAAGTTCATGTGCGCGTCGTGCTCTTTTCCTCCGCGGCCCGCGAGTGAGCTTCCTCGCCAGGCGATAGCTACGTGTGTGCGCCACAAACAGGCCTGCGCATCGGCAATCCTGTCATGGGCGTGAGCACTAGAATCGTCCAAAGTCCTTCTCTGTGGCTGCCCTATGTAGAAGTCTTCATCGAATGATGCTTGTCCGCCGTGTAGTCGATCCCGTCGGACGGGCACTCTTGCGCGGGCGCGGGAATCACGGAAGCCTTAGGTCGGTCACCTTAGGTCGGCCATCTTAGAAACTCTCCGGTGATCCATGTTTCACAGAAACAGGTACATACCACCAGGTGTTAACCCCTTTTGAAGAAGAAAAAAACTAGACCCACAGAAGACAACAACAGGTGATCTGGTCGGCTGTTTCGTTAGCGGCCATTGCAAAGGGTGTTGGTGCCGGAATCGCTGTGTCCGGAAATCTCGCCACTTACGGGGGAGTTGGTCTTCCGGCAGCACGTCTCCTGGTTCGATCCCAACCTCAATCCTAAAAAGTTGCTTGGCACGCTTCCCCTTTCCACGAAACCCCTGTCGTTTGGTGACATCTAAAAGGGAGTCCATACCCGCGTCTCTCAACTCTTCTGTTTTTTTTCTACATCTCGAAACCCAACAATCGCACACAGCCGAACCCCGGATCTTCACCCCCCGGAACTGCTCTGTCTTTGTTGCGATTCGATTCAATTTCTGTCGGTTGCTGGTCATTGGTCGTCGGCTACAATGTATTTAAACCTCCCCCTTCGCGCGGTGCACAGGCAACACGTTTTTGTCTTCGTTGCTACAGCTACTGACGTCTTCCCCCTTTGCGTTCAGGTCCAACTTCACCACGATCCTCCCGGACGTGAATGCGTACTGGAATGCCTACGAGCAGATTTCAGAGCTCAATGTGCACCTCAACATCTTTGAGCGCCTCTGGGCCGCTTGGTACCAGTACATGGAGAACGATACGCTCGCTACAGGTTTGACCCCATAGTTCTCCTTCCAGCCGGAACCAGCGACTAACCGTGAAACCTAGGTATCATGTCGTTTGTGATGCACGAGCTCGTTTACTTCGGCCGCTCTTTACCTTGGATCATCATCGATGCTATCCCCTACTTCCGCAGGTGGAAGATTCAGGATGTCAGTCTAGCAGCCCCCTGTTTCGATGCGCTATGTGGTCAGTTTACTGACTTTTGATGCAGACCAAGATTCCTACTCCCGCCGAGCAATGGCGTTGCACCAAGATGGTCCTTTTCTCTCATTTCACCGTCGAGCTTCCTCAGATCTGGCTGTTCCACCCGATGTGCAAGTACTTCGGCATGGACACCGGCGTGCCGTTCCCGCATTGGACCAAGATGGCCTACCAGATCGCGATCTTTTTCATCATGGAGGATACCTGGCACTACTGGTTCCACCGCGCTTTCCACTGGGGACCGCTGTACAAGTACGTGCACAAGATTCACCACACCTACTCCGCCCCCTTCGGACTCGCGGCCGAGTACGCGTCACCAATCGAAGTTATGGCTCTCGGCCTCGGAACCGTCGGATCGCCTCTCCTTTGGTGCTACTTCACCCAAGACCTGCACATCTTGACGGTCTACCTCTGGATCGTGTTCCGCCTGTTCCAGGCTATCGACGCCCACTCCGGATACGAGTTCCCCTGGAGCTTGCACCACTTCTTGCCGTTCTGGGCCGGCGCCGAGCACCACGACGTTCACCACGAAAAGTTCGTCGGCAACTACGCTAGTTCCTTCAGGTGGTGGGACTACATGCTCGATACTGAGGCCGGTCCCGAGGCGGCCAAGAAGCGCAGAGAGCGCAAGATCGCCAAGGATGCGGCGAAGGCAAGAAAGGTGCAGTAAATTACTGTTCTGCCTTGTTCTATGGAAGGGTCTGTGAACGGCTCGGGAGGAGGAAGGGTGTTGCGATGATGGTGGTGATCGGATGTTCGCACTCGGTCATTGTACACTTTGTTTTTGCCGTTTTAATTGTTCGGTCTACTGGTGTTCCTTTGGCTTTTTTCTGTTCTGTCTTAATGAGCGAAACGATAATGTTCGCTATTAGATTGGGGAAGTGGGGGGAGGGGAGAGGGGTTGATTGGGGCATCATGATATCGTCTGGGGAGGGTTCTTCCTCTTCCCCCCACATACTTACGCACGGAAACTGGAACGACTTAAGAAGTACTTAGAATATCTCAACATAATTAATCACAAGGGGGGGATTTGTAAATCATGTACTCTCTTGTGCATCTTGTCGCTATACTCGTGATCTGGGTGCTCTGTTCGTTCTACATCCGGCAAGTGAGGAATCCGGAATGCCAGCTATCCGGATGCAGTTGCGATAGGTAGTCCATGCTGCGCCTCTGTAGGACAACTGCTCAGTGGCTGTGAGCCACCGAGTGATCATTTGTGGTCGTACCGTCGAATGTTCTTCGCGGGTTGCCGAAGCTGTCGGTAGATAAGATTGTCTCAAGAGAGTATAGTTGTAGCCGTACGTTATCGTCCCGATGTCTTGGATTCGACCTGTGTCTTATATCAGCCAAAGGTAAGCGCATGCATGCGCGGCTTGGTACTGTGTGTATACAAGAAACTTGTACTCTTCGTTATTTTCAATAGAGATAGCTGGCTGGAGGTACTCCGTACATATAAGTGCTTGATGGCGAACGTTCTCAAGCTCCAAACCGTGCTGCGGCTTTTATCTGTTTAATTATGCCTGTTGATGAGCACCGATATCGACGACATCGAGCGATGGCAGAACATTCTCGAGCTGTGTAAACGAGGCATATATGCGAGTACTCTATCCGCAGAAAATGACTCGTGGAGAGGAGGAAGGAGAGTCAGTTGGATGCGGACCATGGACCATGCAAGGAGGCTCTGCGAGCAATCAATGACGTCGGGAACCCCACTTCTTTTAGTTTGGAGGGCGCAACATTGCTTGTGCACTCCTGCCGGACGCCTGAACCCTCTTTCTTGCGCCCTCTTGCACCCTCTTCAGCCCCTCCCCGCAATTCCCCTTGTTGCGATTTATCCTTCGAGATAGGGCCGCTGCAGTTTTTCCGGAGCTACTCTAATACTCTCTTTCCACCTACTAGCAGGCGGATTCCTTATTCGCGCCCACCTCATTCTCCCCCGCTCGTCGTTCCTCCTCTGCCAATCCACAACGACACTACGCCTTCCGCGAGCCGATACGGTTAAACTCTACCTGCTTCGTTCGAACTCGACAGTCCGTCCTGATAATTCTCAGTGAACTACATACAGCTCCTAGTCCATCCATCCATACACTTTCCACCTCACCTCACCCTCACCCTCACCAGCTTCGAAACGATGCCTCCAGTGGCTGTTGCCAAAGTGAACGGTACGATTGTTGCGGAGTCGAACCTATATGAAAAGGTGGAGGACAATGTCTACGTGAGCCGCCCGACTTGGTACCCACCCAGCCTTCAGTATTCCCTTTTGCTTGCGATTTTGTGTTATATTCCCGCGGGTACATTGGTATCGATGCTTGGGATCCAGAGTGCTGACTTGTGTGATGTACTTTAGTTCCCTCCGGCGTGAGTGATCCCTCTCTCTGCCCCAGATCATCTCCTCGTTACGGTTTACAGTGCGATGATTGACACTTCTTGTGATCCCCCCACAGCGCGGTGAACTACCAATACCTTAAGCCCTCCACCACGAAATCATACTGTCCATGGAAGGGGGAATGCTCGTACTACAATATTGAGGTGGGTGAGACGGTGATACCGGACGGCGCCTGGTACTACCCAGATCCAAAAGACAAATTCCTGGACTGCAAGGATTTCGTGGCCTTCTGTACGTATGCCCCGCTGATGCTCGTAATGAGGAGGGTTCCTTTACGGTTTCGTTAGTACCCATCCCCATGTCTTTCTGTCTTTTTTTCCTTGCTTGCTTGCTCTTTGGATTCCAACGAATAGGTGGGATGAGGTGGAGCTGATTGACTATGCAGATAAGAATAAACCCGACTTGAGCATCGGAACTATCATGGAGTAGCAAGCTCGCCTAGCGGCCAGCTACACGTCCGGCACGACGGCGGAAGTGGTTAGTTGGCTCCATGTTTACATTGTTTGGGAGAGGGAGGAGGGACCGGGACTCGAACTCGCGGGGTTTTTTTTTGACTGGATACGTTCGATCGATTATTGTGCTTTTTTTTATGACGAGCTTCATTTTTGCATGCCACGACCGATTTCTGGGACATTGGGATGAATGTGTGGGAGTTTGGAGGGACGGACAAGATGCATGCTGGTGTGGTGGTGGAACATTCATATCCTTTGCTTTTGCTTTGCTTTCATTTCTTTTTGCTACGGCAGCCAGCAACAGTGCTGCAGACAAGAAGCAATACCGATAACGAGCGATCATAACTGACCAAGATTTCTTGACATACTAATGCCATCTCATGACCCATCCCCCGCCGTAGCCATCCTATCGCCCCCATCCTCCCTCCCCCTCGACATCTCCATCGCCTTCTGAGCAACAACCAAAGCTTCCTCCCTCTTAGCAATATCCTGATGCGCGTGCTCGACCATGCCAACAGCTTCGTCCAGTAGTTCCCGGAGGTTGTGATTCTCGGCCGATAGCCGCTCGATAATCTCCCGCTGCTGCTGCAGGTCCGGATAGAATGCTGGTAGTGGGATTCGCGTGTCGCGGATGAGCGCTTTCGCCGGTGGTTGGAGTGTTATGAAGCTGGAAGGATGGAAGGAGGGCATTTCGTTTCTGGCTGACGGTAGAGAGCGGATGAGACGGGAGCTGAGAGGCAGAATGGCGGAGGGCCGGGAGAGGAGTGGAGATAAGAGCTAAACTTTGGAGAAGGTTGAGGTTATTCGTGCCTCTTCTGGTAAACAGTAATTGACACCATATACCGGCCAGTCCGGACCGTCAATACCATCTACCCGACGGGGCGGAAGATGTGAACTTCCTGCAATCCTTCCTCTTACTACTATGAATGAGTAACTGGATATGTGGGGTCAGTAAACTAAGGATCTCGTGGGCCGTGCCTGTAGCTACTAGGCAGCTCGGTCCATATAAGGTTGTGAACCGCGCGTCAACGAGTGAGCGAGCTGGACGAGCTGGACTAGCTGAAGGTTCAGATGCCGAGCACAATCGATCGTTCCCATCTCCACGTATATGGCAGGATCCTTTGACTATTGAGGCGACCATGCGAGGAAAGTAGGATTTAGGTGCTCTCTGTCCGTGGGCTTCGCCGATGAAAAGCTCTCCAGGCCTCGGCTCTGGTCGGAGGTGTCATCGGCTGGTAAGTGGTTTCTCGAACTTGTGCCGCAGTTGATGGTTTAAGAAATAATTTGTGTGGTGGTGAGGTGTTGAAAAAGAGTTGGGTTTTGCTACCGGTATATGGTGGGGGTTTTTGAGCTGTTGTATGTAGTAGAGAAGTGGTCGGGGTGATGGATAAGGATCAGCCGGATTCAAGGGCCTTGTCGATTTGCACGTGCGTCACGACCCACCACGGCATCCAACAACGTCGCCTGCAAATGGCCTTTTCCGCCCGCCAAAGCCCGCCCATCTTACGTCTCCATGCACTGGCAACCGTTTGAGCATCGTCGTTGACACGTTCCGAAAAAGCAAAAGCCCCAAGCACTCCGTCACGTCCAGTTGACCTACTGCCGGCCACATGCGTGTTGCTGCATCCCGCGTTTCACACACACCTCCGAGCACGAGGCGTACATAAAGCAGTGTACGAGTACATCACACCCTACGCTCGCATCCTCGAACACCATCTCACTCTACCGGTCAACAGCTCGCCATGAACGTTTCCAGCCCGTTGTCGGCGGCTGCCTCTGCAGTGGCTACATCCTTACTACAGTCGTCTCCAACGTCCTCAGCACTGGCCGCAAGAGCACCCCCACCGGATGATCCCAATATCTTCTGGCTCACGCTGTCGCTGGTCTACTCGACTGTGTACCTCCTTCAGCGCATCGCCTTCGCGACCACCAAATTTGCCACATATACCCTCCCCGCCTGGTTATTTACGCTGTTCAGCATGTCGTTGACGTTTACGATGAACTTTACCACTCTGTATAGATAGGCTTCTGATTTCTGCATCTTGTTTCGCGCAAACTAGGCTAACATGCGTTGCCGCAGCATGATCATATTCCTCGTCTTTGGCTCGATAGTCTCCTGGGCCGTCCGCTACAAGGTGTTGAATAACTACAATCGGTTGCCCCCGGAACCGCAACGCAAGGACCCGGAGATAGATCTCTTTCCCGATTCCCAGGAAGGCGACTCGAAACCGGGCTTCTCAAGCTACCTCGACGAGTTTCTGAGTGCTATCAAGGTGTTTGGATATTTGGAGAGGCCTGTGTTCCACGAGTTGACGCGAAGTATGCAAACGAGAAAGCTGATCGCGGGGGAAACTTTGATGCTGGAAGAAGAGAAGGGTTTCTGCATTGTAGTCGACGGCCTCGTACAGATCTTTGTCAAGTCTAATCGGGAGATGCATGGCACCGCCTCCGCGCATTACGGTGGGGGTGGAGCGTTTCACGATGAAGAGGAGGGTTCGGAGACGGCGGATGGGTACCAGCTACTTACTGAAGTCAAGAATGGTGCGCCGATGAGCAGTCTGTTCACGATCCTGAGTCTGTTTACAGAAGACATCAAGCTGCGCCATGAAGACGAGGACGATGGTGGCCTCTCCACCAGCAGCAGCATGATAAACTTGGACCAGTTGTCGATGAGCCATCGGACTAGTCCAGTAGACAGAGAACACAGTCCAATAAGATCTCATAGCCGCGGGCCACTGCTGCCTGTGCCGCATCTGTCACTTGACGATGGCGAGCGGCCACAGCGACCAAAGATCAAGAGACCAAAGTCCGTGCATCCAGACATTCTTGCTCGCGCCACAGTGGATACAACCATTGCGGTAATCCCGGCGTCGGCTTTCCGGCGGCTCACGAGAATGTTCCCCAAAGCGTCGGCACACATCGTCCAGGTCATTCTTGCCCGCTTTCAGCGCGTCACATTCCTGACTGGATATAACTACCTTGGTCTGACTGCGGAGGTGCTGAGAACTGAGAAATTTATGAACCGGTACACCATGTATGAGCTGCCAAACCACCTGCGAGGAGGTGCCCTCGATAGACTGAAGGAGAAGTTTCGACGCGAGCAAGAACGGTCGGATGCAGACGATTCTATCAAGGGGATTGTACTGCACAATCCCAAGGCCGGAGGAAAGCGGCGGCGATCAAGTGCTGCTCTCCGGAAGGAGGCTGCTATTCACGCTCGACTGGCTGCCGCACGAGGGATTCCATCGCCGGCTCTGGACACTGCGCCGTCTCCCTTCCAGCAGGGGCCCCCCTCAGAAGACCGTCCCCTAATATCGCCTATGCCGAAGAGACGATCTCCGTTCAACGAACCCTGGGATCCTGCCAGCCTTCGGCCGATGGATACGCCAATGACGCATCGTGCATTCGATCCGTTCGCACACAGCGCAGCTAAATTCCTGAACGACCGGAGAGCCGAAAACGAGGATTCGGAGTTTCGGGAGGCTGTATTGGAGTGTATGTTCAAGGCTATCGGCTTGACCGGATTCACGAGCAGCCAGAAAGCCGGCACGGAAAGTGGCGATGCTAGTCCGAGACTGCTATCCTACGATGCACGGCGGCAGAAGGCAACGTTTACCAACGCGTTTGGGCAGCTGGACATGCTGGAGGGAAGCGATGGGGATACAGAGAGTGTTACCAGTGCTTCCGCTGCATCAACTAGCGGCGGTGGCGGTATCGGCTCGGTTCGAGCGGAGCTCAAGGACGATGTGGAGATTGTGTTTTTCCCCGAGGGCTCTGTTCTGGTTGAGCAAGGAGAGAGGGATCCAGGGTTGTATTATGTTATCGATGGTTTCCTGGATGTATCCATACCTGTCGACGGCAAGGCGACTATGAGCCAGAACATCTTTGGAGATAACCACTCGGAGGCTGGTGCTGACAGAGAATCGCTCAACCGCACGGCAACCAACTCGTCCTTTTCAGCAAGATCGACGTCGCGGACACGGACAAATGGCAAGCCCACGAGGACCCAGAAGAGCTTGTTTATGATCAAGCCTGGCGGTGTGGCTGGCTATATCGGCAGCATCACCTCGTATCGGAGTTTCATAGACGTAACGGCCAAAACCGATGTTTATGTCGGGTTTCTCCCGCGAGCTGCGTTGGAGAGAATAACGGAAAGGCATCCGGTTGTCTTGCTCACAATGGCGAAAAGATTGACCAGCTTGCTTCCGCGTTTGATCCTGCATATAGACTTTGCGCTAGAATGGCTGCAGGTCGACGCCGGTCAGGTGATTCATCACCAAGGCGACGAGAGCGATGCTATATACATCGTTCTTAATGGTCGTCTCAGAGCAATCCAGGAGAATGATAACGGCACAATGCGGGTGGTCGGGGAGTTTGGGCAGGGTGAGAGTGTTGGCGAACTGGAAGTTATGACGGAAAGCACACGGCCTGCAACCCTTCATGCAATTCGAGACACGGAGGTCGCTCGGTTCCCGAAGACCCTCTTCAATAGCCTGGCTCTAGAGCATCCTGGGATCACCATTCAGATCTCGAAAATTATTGCCTCTCGCATGCGCCAGCTGATCGACGATCCGTTGATTGAGCAAGGGTCGGCCAGAGTTGGAAGTTCTCCAACCAAGAAAGTGTCTTCGACAATGAATTTACGCACTGTTTGTGTCCTGCCGGTGACTGCTGGAGTGCCGGTTATGGAGTTCTCCCATCGTCTTTCGAACGCCCTCACGCAGATCGGTACTGCCAACGGTGTCACTGTACTCAACCAGTCGGCTATATTAAACCACCTGGGACGCCATGCATTCTCGCGGATGGGAAAGCTAAAGCTCCAAGGTTACCTTGCGGATCTCGAGGAGAAGTACGGCATGGTCCTCTATGTTGCAGACACCAGTGTCAATGCGCCATGGACACAGACCTGTATCTCCCAAGCCGACTGTATTCTCCTCATTGGTCTCGCGGAGTCATCACCAAACATCGGCGAGTACGAACGATTTCTTGTCGGCATGAAGACAACTGCCCGCAAAGAGCTGATTCTCCTTCACCCTGACCGATACTGCCCGCCTGGCCTGACCCGGCAATGGCTCAAGAACCGTATGTGGGTCAATGGCGGCCATCACCACGTACAAATGTCATACAAGACGTCTCCAGGACCAGCGATCAATACGAATGCGAGCCAGAAATTCGGGTCAGCGTTAAAGCAGAGGGTACGCATTCTTCAAGCAGAGGTAGCCAAATATGCAACTAGGCGATCGGGCAAGACTCCTATATATCCTGCTGGGTCTACGGCAAAGAGCGACTTTCACAGGATTGCCAGACGGTTGACCGGTAAGAGTATTGGGCTAGTGCTGGGTGGCGGCGGCGCCAGAGGTATTGCGCACCTGGGTGTCATCAGAGCCTTGGAAGAGGCTGGGATTCCGATTGATGTTGTAGGCGGTACCTCGATCGGTGCCTTTATTGGTGCTCTGTACTCGCGCGACGCAGATATCGTTCCCGTCTATGGCCACGCAAAGCGATTCTCGGGGCGCATGGCAAGTTTGTGGCGGTTTGTGCTTGATCTGACGTATCCCTCCTGCTCATACACAACTGGCCATGAGTTCAACCGTGGAATCTTCAAAACTTTTGGGAATTCTCAAATTGAGGATTTCTGGCTCGAGTTTTACTGCAATACGACAAGCATCAGCAAGAGCCGAATGGAAATACACACGAGTGGCTATGCTTGGCGGTATATTCGCGCTTCGATGTCACTCGCAGGTCTCCTGCCTCCACTCTGTGACGAGGGGGATATGCTGCTGGACGGCGGCTACGTCGACAACCTTACGGTGGCCCACATGAAATCCCTTGGAGCCGAGACTATATTTGCAATTGATGTGGGTAGTGTGGATGACCAGACACCCCAGGCATTTGGAGACTCGCTGTCAGGCTTCTGGGCCTTCGTGAATCGGTATGTTGTCGGCGACCACCCACTCTGCGCCCATTTCTATAATGCTGACTGACCCCCACAGTTGGAATCCCTTCTCACCCTATCCCAACCCTCCCACACTGGCAGAAATCCAGGCAAGGCTAGCATACGTTTCCTCGGTGGATGCCCTGGAGCGTGCGAAGCAGTCGCCGGGCTGCCTATATATGCGGCCGCCCATCGATGCCTACGGAACCTTGGATTTCGGCAAGTTTGAGGAGATATGCGCGGTTGGCTACGAGTTCGGGAAGAAGTTCCTGCAGGAAGCGGCTGAGAAGGGGATCTTGCCAAAGGATTCGGGGGTGGACGGCATCAGAGGGAGGAACATGCTGCGGATGGTGGCGCCGAGACGGGCGAGTATCTAGGAAACTATTTGTTTGCTGGTCAGGGAATTGGGATTTTGAAGGTTGGGCATCGCATAGGATGGTGTTACTTTTTACTTGCTTTTTGCGGGGAGAGGGAGTAACGAAGCCATAGCATGAGCTTCTGGAACTACGAATGGATATCCGATTTCGTTAGGATTTGTGTACATACATGGGTTTTAGGCCGACTATACAAGAGGTCTAGAATAGTGTACACTACGAGTTATGTTACAAATTTAGAATGGTTTCCCAGAAGTTCATCCCCATCTGTGTCGATGGCTATCTGCAGACTGCAGGTACTATGTACTCGATACGTATCGAATCTGGCCAATGCCTGTCCCTTTGTTCCTGTCCAGGGTCTCGGGATTCGCCGCCAGCCATCATCGTTTCGCTGCAACCCGATTCTCGGCGCCCAAAGCCGATATTCACATACCAGTACATATATACCCTTTGATTGTCTGAGGTCATCGCACTCTATGACATTCTGAAACAACGAGCGATAAGGGCAACTGTTCGTCTGTAATAATCGATAGGCAGCATCTACCATACTCTATGGGCTGCGGGCCAGCAATGGGAAACGTACACTGCATGCGTTGTGACTTAACTCTCTTCCATCCACCAGCGCGTCGCCGCCGGGGCTCGGCATTCATTCTCCGAAGAGCTTCCTTAATCCACCAACCCATCCACCGCCTCGTGTCTCTCGTTCGGCCGACTCGTGGTATAACTACCCCCCAGCCTTCCGTCCTCCTACTGTCACCTACTCCTCGTCCGTCGACTGCCGGAATACACGCCTCGTACACTTGGGATTGCTCTATCTTTTATTCTTGATACTACTACGCGGGCACTCGCGATATTTCAACAGAACTTCACATCATGATAGGGCGACGCAAGATTTTCACGGGGACATTCGTGCACACGCCATCACCCAGCGTGCTCTCGATCCTCGAGAATGGGGCGATCTTCGTCGACCAATCCGGCACCATAGTACACATCGACCACGACGCCTCCTCGCCCGACGCCCGCCTCAACAACGACCTCGAAGAGTGGTCCGGCGCTGAGATGATCTTCACCCGCCCCCGCAACAACGAATTCTTCTTTCCGGGGTTCGTGGATACCCACATTCACGCGGGCCAGTATCCGAACGCGGGTCTGTTCGGGAAGTCGTCGTTGCTCGAGTGGCTCGAGGAGTATACGTTCCCGCTGGAGGCGTCGTTGGCGGATACGGACGTGGCTAGGCGAGTGTACGGCAGGTGCATTGCGAGGACACTGGCGAATGGAACTACCACTGCGGCGTATTTTGCTACGAGGAATGTGGAGAGCACCAATCTGCTCGCCGATCTGTGTTTGAAAGCAGGGCAACGCGCGTTTATTGGCAGGTGCTGTATGGACCAGAAGACGCCGGACTACTATCGGGACGCGGATGCGGAAACGGCGATTAGGGATACCGAAGCTTGCATTGAGCACTGCCGACAGGTAGATCCCGAGCGGAAACTTGTGTGTCCCATCGTCACGCCGCGATTCGCTCCTTGCTGCTCACCCAAACTGCTGGTGGGGCTCGGCAATCTGGCGAAGCGGAAGAATTTGCCCGTGCAGACACATATCTCGGAGAACAAGGCAGAGGTGGAATGGGTGAAGGAGCTATTCGCCTCCTCGAAGAGCTACGCCGACGTCTACGATTCCGCCGGGTTGCTGCATGAGCGCACTATCCTAGCTCATGCTATACACCTTACCGACGACGAGATCGAGCTCATCCGTGTGCGAGACGCGAAGATTAGTCACTGTCCGGTGTCGAACTTGGCGTTGACGAGTGGCTGCGCCAAGGTCAAGGCGTTGATGAAGAAGGGCATCAAGGTCGGCCTCGGAACGGATGTGAGCGGCGGTTATTCGCCCAGCATCCTCGAGTCGGTGCGGCAGGCGACGCTTGTCAGCAGGATGGTTGCGTTGATGGATGGCGAGGAGGCGAAACTGAGCGTTACAGAGGCGCTGTATCTCGCTACTCGAGGCGGTGCTGATGTGGTCGGATTGGGAGACAAGATTGGTACGTTCGAGGTCGGCATGCAGTGGGATGCGTTCATGGTGGGCATGGGTAATGTGCCCGAGCAAGAGGCTCCAGCGGTGGAATCCGAGCTCTGCAGGAAACGACCGAGACCGGAGTCGGACGAGGATGAAGATATTGGCAGGGAGAAGATGCTCCTGCCATTCGATGGCTCATGTTCCGAAGACGAGGCGCCCAACGGTGTCGACGGAGAGGGGGCAGTGAAAGATGGCGAATCCAAACCTCTCACAGCCGGGATAGATTTCGGGCTCGACGGCGGACCGGTGGATATCTTTGGCTTTGAGAGCTGGGAGGAAAAGGTGGCGAAGTGGGTGTACAATGGTGACGACAGGAATACTATGAATGTATGGGTTGCTGGTGTTGAGGTGTACAGAGCGGGCGGGATACCCCCAACATGGGCGCTGGATCTCACGTCATGAGAGTAGCATGCGTTTTTTTGTATTGGTTTGATCATGACCGGTTTTGCTCATGACTGGCATTTTGTCTATGGCAGTGGTTTTATTTGGAGCCGAGCAGTTTTATGTATACAACCTAGAGAGATAGACAATTGGGTATCGTACCTAAGCACAGTAGCGGAGAAGCTGGTGAATCGTTTCCACACTCCTAAAATTTGCCGTAATCAAAAGACATTTAAGGTATTATATAACTCTAATACTACACGAAGATTGTTGATGCCGAGCTATTGCGGAATTCCACATGGAAGCGTTTTGACTCCGGTAATGCTTTCACCCCATTTGCCCTAACCGTACTTGGTCTACGGCGAGTACAGGTACTTTGTGACTCATAGCATCTCACTCTACGGAGTTCGCCGCCTACTTTTTGCACTAGTGGCCGCAACCACTGGAAAAAAAGTGGAAGCTCGATACACCCCAACATCACCACCTCGAACCACACAACGGCCAGTCGCGAAAAAAAAAAGGACCGGGCATAAACCGCCACGACTATGCTCTCTTCTGTTCTGCGGTCACCCTACATCTGCCTTCATTGCCGCGTGCAATTGCTTCGATCCCACCGAACACTCGCCCGCCTCACCCCTCCATGTGTACCCCACACCGCCCGCCGTCTGGCAAGTTGGATGCCGCGGCCAGATGAGCTCTCCAACCCCCGTTTCACGAGGAAACGGGAAATCCGCGACCAATCCCCGATGCCTTACGAACCCTTGGAGGGCAACGGATTCGAGGAGGAAGGCACACCGCCGCCGCAGACCCGCACGTATGGCAAAGACGCGGATGCAAACGTTGACTTCTCGATTGCCGAGATCCTGTCGCAGTCCGTAAAGCGGAACCTACGGGAGAATGGCTACGATGAAGGAGGACGCCGCGGTGGGCGCACCTCGCGCATCGATGAGAATTATAGTTCTGCTCCGGTACTCAATCCGACGGCGACGGCGGCGGCGGCGGCGGCGAGGAAGAAGCAGCCCGGTGCTGGGTGGGAGGCGACGGGGCTCCGCCCGGTCGTCGTGCAGACCATGCTCCGTGCATTTCCGGAGGCGTCGAAGATCACCACTGTCCAGAGGAGTCTCCTGACGCAGTTGTTGAAGGGCCATTCGGTCATGGCGTATGGTCCTCCTGGCTCCGGGAAGAGTTTTGCAATCACAGCGTGGTTGCTGACGCTTCCCCGTGCGACAGCTTTGCCGGAGGGCACGGGAGACAAGGTGAGGGTGAAGCCGAGGCACAAGGCGAGGCTTACTACTACTGCGCTGATCGTTGCGCCGAATGTCGACCTGGTGCGGCAATATCACGCGAATATCACCGCGCTGCTGGAGGCAACCGGATCTCCGGCTATCATGGACAATCCTGATGAATTCGTGCAGGCACTGTATAGAGGAGAGGATGAAGCGAAGCAGATAGAGTTACTGCGGACACGCAGGACTCCCCATATCTTGATTGCTACACCCACCGTGCTGTTGGATATCTTGTCCAGTAAGAATGCGGAGATCAGGGGACTGGTGGATTACACCGCCCTTCGGGCCGTGGTCGTGGAGGAATCAGACCAGGCTTTCTTGCGCTACGATAACCCGATCTACGGCCACGCGGGAGTAGACAAGGAGAAGCCAAAGGATCCGCTCTTGATCCTTCTCGATTACGTCTTCCAAGCCAGGAAAGCAGCCATCATCAAGGCCGGCGGTAAACTCTCACAGCCGCAGCTCGTGGTTCCATCTAGTGCTACTGGAGCTGGAAGATTAGCACGGGTCATTGAGACATACCATCCCACGTGGATGGACGGCGAGAATCGTCCCGGCTTCACGCCCTTTACCGGTAAAGGCAAGTCCAGCGCCGCTTCCATGGCTGTCAAGGTCGGCCAGGATGCTGTATATGGCGAGTTCGTCCGCAAGATACCAGACAACATCACGCACCATATCGTCGCCTACGACCCAATCACCGGATTCCTTCGCGACGCCCCAGTACCCTCATACCCCGACGCTAAGTCTATAGCCGCAGACCTCAAAACCGCGGAGAAACATGAACAAGAAGTACAGGCTGCGCTCGCCGCAGCGCTCAAGGGCAATACCCGCAAAGGCCATCTAGACCCCCTAATCAGCTCTGAGTCCAACCGGGCACCGGAGCTCCTCCGCCGCGGCTACCCTCCCGAGATCGCCGCCGAGCTCCTCGAAATGCTCCTCGGTCTCGACGCATGGCCCAAAAACGTCATCGCCGTGATCGGCGAAAATGCCTCCTGGAAAGCGCTCGCGGTCGCCTGCGCTGAGCGCGGCATAACCGCCCGCAATCTATCAATCGATACCTGGAATGCTAACGCCGCCGCGGAAGGCCGCGTTCCCCTCGGCCGTCTCGACCTCCTCCTCTCCGGCGCAAACCGCCCCCAACCTCAAACCGGCAGCAAGGAATCAACCACAGTTTGGATAACCACTTACCACTCCGTGCGTGGCCTCGACATCCCGGATGTAAACCACGCCTATATCCTGCACCGCGTCGACAGAGTCCGGCAATACATCACATATGCCGGGCGCGTGGGACGATGGCCTTTCACCTCCTCCGCCGAAGCCAGCCGTGATCCCCGCTTCCTCGGAAACGATCCCCGCCCCAAAGCCAAGGTCGTCAGTGTACTCCTGGAGGAGAACTCTGTTGGCGGCGAAGAAGTTGAGCTCGGATACTCGGCCGTCATTAGTGATGGCAGCGATTCAGAGAAGTGGACGTGGAGGAATGAGGCGTTGCGACTGGCAAAAATTGGTCTCGGCGTCGAGAAGTATCTGCCCGATGGCGCAATGCAGATGGCGCCTACGCAGATGGAACGCGGCGGCGAGAGGAGCATGGACATGGATGAAATGCTGGATGAAATGCTGGAGAAGGAAATGAGGCACAAACAGCGGATACTGGAAGAGAAGGAGAATGAGGAGGAAGTGGAGGTAGAGACTGAGATTGATATTGCGAGCGAGCATAGGGCGGCTCCCATGGTTCAAGAGGAGGTGGCTCAGGTCGAGGAGCCCGTCAAGGTCGAGGAGCCCGTCAAGGTCGAGGAGCCCGTCAAGGTCGAGGAGCCCGTCAAGGTCGAGGAGCCCGTCAAGGTCGAGGAGCCCGTCAAGGTCGAGGAGCCCGTCAAGGTCGAGGAGCCCGTCAAGGTCGAGGAGCCCGTCAAGGTCGAGGAGCCCGTCAAGGTCGAGGAGCCCGTCAAGGTCGAGGAGCCCGTCAAGGTCGAGGAGCCCGTCAAGGTCGAGCAGGTGGCTCAGGTCGAGGAGGCCGTTCAGGGCGAGCAGATTACTCAGGTCGAGGTTGAGGCCGAAACAGAAACGAAGGCAGAGGAGACTGCAGCCCCGGCACCGATTATTTCAGCGGAAGAAGTGATCCAAGAGCCAGTCGAGGTCAGGGTGGAGGGAGTGGTGGTCGAGTCCGAGGCTGCTGCGCAAACGATTGAAACAGTCGCTACTATTGAGGCTGTCGACACACCTGAAAGTGTGGAGACATCCAAGGATAGCGAGGTAGAGGTGAAGGCTGAGGCAACTGAGGCGCCTGCCGAGATAGCGGTAGAAGAAGCGCCTGACGCTCTGGTGGCCGAACTGGCAGCCGAAGCTGAGGCTGCTCAGGCGGTCGAAGAACCCGCAGCGAAGCCCGAGAAACCTAAGAAGCGCACTACAAAACCTAAGAAATCACCAGGACGGCCAAAAAAGTAGGAGAGCAATGGGTAGATATTGTAATTTATGTATGATAAAAGCTACAGTAGTTTTAGTGGGAACCCGGTGTAGAATAGGAGTTTAGAGTTTTGGGGATTTCTCTTCTCAATGATGCGCACATTCAACTCAACGCCCCTTAGTATACATAGAAAAAAAGGTAAAGGTAAAGGTAAAGGAAGAAGAAACAACAGGTTCGCTAAATAATGATGCCAGCAAGAAATGAAAAAGGAAACAAGTTCCGGTTGGACACAGGTATGTAGAATAGAACAACAACTGCCTCCTTCAAGACGAACAAACGGACAGAATACAAAATTGAAGTACACCAAGGTAGATCAGACCTTTCATCTGAACTTTGTTTTGGACTTCGACTTTGGCCTGGGAGTCTCTTCTTCGCTCTCCTCCTGCTTTACGAGGGGAGCCTCTTCCTCCGCGTCGTTGTCGTCATCAACAGTGGATGCCTCTGACTCCTCAGGCGCCGATTCCGCCTGTTTCCTGCTGCGTGCAACCCTTCCAGAGGATACTTTGCGCTCCAAATGGTCGCGGCTCACCGACCGCTCCTTCATCATGGTACGAGACTTTTTCCTGCCGTTCATAGTGCCACACCTAGCACATCCCCATTGGTCCATCTCCTCTAGGGAGTGGGTACCAGGTGGAGCAAGACCGTTGACCATGCGGCAGTTCTTGCAGATCAACGCGAACCGGGCCTTGGCAGACATCTCGTCTTCGCCGAGAATGACGTCGAGAATGCGGTCGTACCATTTCGGCGCGGTGGCTTCTTCTGGCTGGAGATGCTGCTGCGAGGGAGGCTGCGTTTGCCCTTGCATCAAGAGTGATGACTGGCGTTTCAGTGAGGTGGGTGTTTGCGTAGGTGCCTGCGGCTGCGGCTGCTGCTTTGGGGGCTGCGCTTGGACTTGACCGTACTGGGGTGGAATACCGGCTTTCTGCTGAGCATAGAGCTGCTGTTGGATGCGAATTTGGTCGGGTGTGAGGTGAGGGAGTAGTGGTTGCTGCTGCGGCTCGGGTTGCTTCGACGGCTGCTTCGGTGGCTGTGGTGCGCCGACTCGGAGAGATGGCGCAGTGGTAGGGACGGACTTCTTGTTCTCCTGTTGAGGTGCAAGAGCTAGGATGCCTTCCATCGGTGCGGTCCCTCCATACTTCTCGATCAACGACTGGGTAGTCGAGAATTTCGTGATCGACTTGAGCTTCTCGATGGTTGCGCGTTGCTCTGCCTGAAAGTGTTCAAGCTTCGCTTCGGTGGATGCGATCCGTCCGCCGTAGTAGAGGTCCAGGAGCTTTCGAACAACATAGATTCTACAGATAACAACATTCAGCTCAGCACCCCCGTGGTTGTGTGGACGGAGAATCAACAAACCCTACAGGCCCAGCTGCCAAACCGCCGCCCTCATGCACCCGGATGTTCTGGTACCCTACCACCAGCACGATGACTATGCAGTAGAGGATATATCCAATCACTGAGTAGATAGTGAACAGTGCCTTGTAGCGGCGGGCGCGCTGGCGGAGCGTCGCGAGCTTCGAGGATGTGCTTTCGATCCGCGTGGCAAGCTGCGAAAGGATCCTCTCGAACGAATCTGGAGAATTGTCATCACCCTTCGGAACTATGTTAGCTTACTTCCTTGCTTCACACACCTTCAAAATCTGCCACATGTGGAAAGAGGGAACTTACACCGCTGAAGGGCCAAAAACGAACCATGCTAACTGCTCTTCGAACGGAAAGAAAAGAGAAATAGGGTGAAGACGGTGAACGAAAGATGGAGAACAAGAGAAGGAACAGCAGTTAGAATAGAAGTTAAGAGGGCAAAATAAAATGAGGTAAGGGGGAAGGTCTGTGGAGAAGTGAAGTGAAGGTTGAAAGAAAGAACAGAATTACGGGAGAGAGGGAGCGGCTTGGCTGACTAGATGGGGGTGACCATCGATCGTCTTGGGATCCCCGTTCCTCTATGTCATAGCTAGTGCTTGTTACACACTGCTGCAGTCTGCGGGTTGTGACTTGATTGGCAAAGCGGCAAAAGGGGCGGCGAGATGGCGATGCATGTGGACAAATCAGATGAGATGTGATTAGATAATGTGAGTTATGTGGCGGAGCCGGATGATGCTCCGCCACCGTGGCTGAGACAGTCAGCGCTAGCCTCCTTTCACAGAAAAAAGCCCTTATCTTATCTCCAGTCAATCAGTCGCACAATCCCCAGACAGCAGTCATACGCCGCCGCCCCACAGCGCACAACGCACAGCCCAGCAACTTCGGGTTTGAGACTATCGCAGCAAGAAGTATCCAGCCCAACAACATTTACGACAACCCCACGCCAAACGACAATCCCGACGAGTCCCGGCGAACGACCACATCGTTGCCCATCATGTGAGTATACCAGTATACCTCTACAAAGGAATTTCGAATCTTGGACGATAGCGATGGACGCGTTGGTCTGGGAAAGGGAGAGCTTCGAAAGTTGACGGATCGAATCGATAGGTCTCTCGTCAGCGGCGAAAAGTCGAACTTCCAGTTCATCCTTCGTCTTCTCAACACCAACGTTGATGGAAAGCAAAAGGTCATGTACGCCTTGACTAAGATCAAGGGTGTCGGACGCCGATACTCCAACTTGGTCTGCAAGAAGGCCGATGTCGACTTGAACAAGCGGTACGAAGCTATTATTATCCATCTCCTCCAATGGTTCTCTAACGCCCATATCCAGCGCTGGTGAACTTACCACCGAAGAACTTGAGCGTATCGTCACCATCATCCAGAACCCGACCCAGTACAAGATCCCCGCCTGGTTCCTCAACCGACAGCGCGACATCGTCGACGGCAAGAACTACCAGATTCTCGCCAACGGAGTCGACTCCAAGCTCCGTGACGACCTGGAGCGGCTGAAGAAGATCCGCGCCCACCGTGGTCTCCGACACTACTGGGGCCTGCGTGTCCGTGGTCAGCACACCAAGACCACTGGTCGTCGCGGCAGGACCGTCGGTGTCTCCAAGAAGAAGGGTTAAGCGTATCGCTTCGGATTTGGGATTTTTACGGCGTGTTGGGGTTGTGGAAACTTCTTTTTCTGGGGAGGGGACCACGCTGGCTTTTTTTTTCGGTGATGTTTCGATCAAAATAAAAAAGAAATGGTCATCGATATCATGACTCCGCGCTGTAGTTCCTACTGTGATACCGACGTTTCAACCTTTTGCCCGCCATTTTGTACTCCGACATCATCCCCACCACCGCGCACCAAATGCTGCATGGAAGACGTGAAGCTCGAAGTAACCCAGGGCCCGAGTGATTGAAGGATAGCATACCACGCCTTGTGCAAGCTTCACCAGAACATCACACCAGGACACCAGCCCTAACGCACAAAGGCAAACGATCTGACCGCTGTCCAACGAGACGAGCTAGACAATGCAACACCAGCGTCTCACCTGCCAGTTGCTGCTATGTACATACCCGAGGTGGACAGTTGGCCGCTATCGCTCGTAGCTCCCGCACCGACGAGCAGAGAACAGGTGTATACTTTCTAGGCTTCGATATCGGCCCAAAGACCGCAACAGTGCCGGTTTATACAGCGGAAACCGCTCACTGCTAGTTCTATGGAGCCCCGCTTGCTTTTACATACGCATGGGAAATGTCGATTGCGGTTTGGAGACATAACCTCCACAACTACTGTCCCCACGCCGTCTCATGCCGTCTCACGCGGCGGAGTACCTACCTCAGTAACTGGAGATATTGAACCACGCAATTTCCACAAGCATACCTAAAATACAACAGAAGCTCGAACATTCACAATACAATAGGTACCCATCATACTAGTTAATCACGAGTGTACATAAAGATAAAAGATAAAAGAAGCCAGTAGTCAACCATTCAACGCCGCGTAGTATAATGTACAATCCCCTCCCCCCCCCCCCTCCCCCCCCCCAAAAAAAAAGTTGCGAAGAATTTAAAAAGAAGTCCGTCCCATTCCATTCCCAAATTTCGACGGGATATCCCTGGTTCACTGGTTCACTTCCACTCGACCACCTGCTGATCATCATCTCTCATCCTCCGGGGCGTCCGACCGTGCTCCCCACCAGCACCACCACCTCCTCCCTTCCTGAGTAAGGGTGTAGCCCAAGGTTGGTGTGCGGGCGTGTATGCATACGACTCCGAGGGGATGTGGTGGGGCGTCCACTGCGATGCGAGCGGTGGGATCGTCGCTGCGACAAACGGGTGCGGGTGGTTCTGCTCCTTCAGCGTGGCGACGGCGCTGGCCTTGCTGCCTATCCAGCAGAGCATTACGACGAGCGCGAAGAGACCCTAGATAGATAGGCGCCATCGTTAGTTTTTACGGGGTTGGAACTCCGCCAGTGCGGGTGGGGTGGGGTGTGGGGTGTGGGGTGTGGGGTGTGGGGTATGCATACGATAGTCTTCCAGTGGAGCTCGTTGACGAAGCCGTTCAGGATCTCTGCAATAGTAGCGGCCGAGACCTTTGCGCGGCCGACCTTTGCGGGGTCCTGGGCCATGCACTTCTCCCACATGGCGCAGGCGGCTTCGGTGGCGGGCACGCGGGTGTCGGGCGCACAGCGGTTCTGCAGGTAGTTCTTGGTGCACTCTGCGATGTGGAGGGAGACGGACTCGGCGGCTTCGTACACGCGGTGCGCCATGTCCTGCTGCACCACGCGGAAACACGCGAAGAGGATGTAGATCGCCAGCGCAACCCACGAGGCGTGCACGAATAGCCCGAGGTACGCGGAGACGACCACCGGGATCCGCTGGTGCATCGCGAGCCAGTCCGGGCCGTCGGCGCGCTTGGGTTTCCGCGGCGTCTTGCGCGTGGAGGCAAACCCGTAGTCGGTCTCCGAGCAATTGAAGTCGTCGTCATCGTCGTCGGACACCTGGTCGAGCTCGGTGCGTCGGCGGCGTCGCGGCTTGCTGATGCTGTGTCTGTTGCTGCCGCGCCGGAGCTCGCCGCGCCCGGTGACACGCCCGGGAGTGGCAGAGATCGCTCCGCTGTTGGCGTTGGTCTTCTTGGTGCTGCGGAGGAGCTGGAGCGCGGCGGCGTCGGGCGTCGGCGCTTCGCTTTCCGTGTCGGGGGTGTCGAATACATCCGAGTCCTTCGACAGAGTGGCAAAGGGCCGGCGAGGTGTCCGGAACGATGGGGTCTCGAACCTCGATTGATGTGGTGTCTCACGATATGGGGTTCGGGGGGTATACGGTGTCTGCGCGGGCGTTGCGAACACGGGCTGTTTGATCGGCGATGATCCGAAGACTGAATGTGTCGCTGCAGTTCCTGCGGTGACATCAGGATGGCGTTCCGCATATCTCTCGCGCATCCATGTGGTGTACGTACCTCTCTTGACAGGTGTCTCCTCGGCAAGTGTGCGCTGGAACCCATTCATCCGGAAAGGCGAGTTCGGATCGACTCTGCCAGAGGAGTTCTCCCACTGGAAGTCCATTGGTGATTCTTGGCCGCGGGTCTCCATGATTGGGGAAGTGCCAGTGGAGGTGGGTCGTGGAGTGAACTCAATAGATGAAGGTATTAGGTTGGGAGATATGACGCAGATATACCCAGGTAAGGGATGTGGGGCTGGAATCGCGGTGATGCTCGAGATGAAACGGCAGCTACAGCAAAGTAGTGGTTTCTCGTGACGATGTCGAAGGCTTCAACTGCGGAAAAGACGCGTGTTTGCTCTGGATGGGTGTGGAATGAAAAAGCAACAGGGGGGTTGTCAGGGGCAACAACGGCGACTCGTCAACGGGAGTGTTGAGAGCCGCATGTTTCAACCTCAGGCATTGGTCATACACGGACACTCGGCCGTCAGGGCTTTCGACAGCTTGCCCGCTCGCACGTGATGGTCACGTGGAAGGACATCGACCTGACATGATTCAATAGGGTCGAACGCAAATGATGATGATTAAACAAAGAAAATGGTGACCACGCAATGGCGACAAAAACAAACGTGATGACCACGCGGCTACGGAGCGCTTTAGAAGCCTTGACCGAGGCGTCCGAGTGTTGATCTCAAGACGAGTTGCGTGTAAATTTCACGATCGTCGAGGCAATTCGAACTTTGGATTGCTGTGTGCTGGGTCCAGACCCGTTGTGTCCAGACCCGCTGGTGAATCGAGAAATGTATGTACTGTATACTGCTTCAACTGGATGAAGCCCAACATCTCCAGAATTGCCGGAGGCCTGCACATAGGTGTATAGCAGATTGCAAAGCTCCACGTTGGAACTCCCCCAAATATCCCCTAGGGGCTAGCTGCAAGAAAGACCGCCTTGCAATTGGGCGGGCAATAGGTACTTCACCGCTGGCCATTAGAATACCTATGTTGACCTGCGAGGCCTATTCTGAGTACCTATTCTAGTAGCTGCCGCAATGAGTTAATATTGAGGAGTCTCGGTAGATACATACCACGTTGGGCGCATCGAGGGTCGTCCTATCGGCACTCTATACACCACATGAGTCTGCAGATACCGAGTGCGGAAGTGCTCACGAGCAGTCTGCGCACCTATGGGTCTCCCTGCTGGTCCTATCTAGGACGATTCGTTGCCGGTGAGGCACATGCGATTGGGACGAACGAACTCTACTAACTAACCAAGAGCACGGCCGGTGGGAAGGACATCGAAAGTTCGAACAGCACTTCCATCGACCCGCTTAGGCGACCCGAGACCATTCGACTGAGGTTGCCTTCGGTGTATCCCGGTGATTCTCTTAGTGTGCACACGCCAAGAACTCGTCGGGCACTCCAGAATGATGTCGTCCGTCGCCAGTGATTCCAAGACCGTGGCAGCAGACAGGATGATCATCAGAAGTATGTAGGGTAACCACAGTAAGTACTGTAGTTACATAAGAAGTATCTACCACGGTCCAGAATCATGCGTGCTCACTGTTGTGGCCAGAGTCCCCCACCGCCAAAAAGCCGCGAATTGTGCGACACACACCTCGATTCGCCGCTACATGTGAACCAACCACACTCCCCTCCGCCGTTACGCTAACGCTTGCCTTATAAGGACTTCCCACTGCCAGGTCTATTTCTTATTTCTCTGCTCTAACCGACAAAGCACTTAGCCTGTCTCACTTTTTTCTGTTTTCTTTCCGAGGGTGTGGTGGAGGAGGCCTGTCATGTTGACCGTCTTGTGCCCCGAATCATCCCGACCGCGATTGGAGGTTGACCGGCCAGCGCAGATGCAACGGGGAGAAGCATGGGCCCTGCAGGCATCGGAGAGACGAATTCGCGATGCGCATACAGATCCACTAGAGCGACGACCGAGGTGCCACAGTTCGATGGGCGGGTGATACGTGTGATTCGTAGGAGGCGGGATCCCGTATGCAGGCAGTACCGGCAGTACCGGCAGTGTGGAAGTAGAATAGTAGAGCATCTGTGTGCTCGAGTGGTCATGGCAGGGCAGAGGGCAGAGGGCAGAGGGCAAATGGCAGATGGCTTTGAGTATTGCGGCAGAGGACAGAGGACACTGGACAGTGGACACTGGACACTGAGCAGCGGGCAGCGGGCGGTGGCGGTGATTCGCTGTGTCCGATCGGCAACGCCATTACTATTACTCTTGATCTGCCACCGATCGTCGTGAGTACCTGCTTGACTCGAGCAGTCACAGCAGAACAAAGCACCTGCCGGTACCTTCTATGCGGCCTGGCCCTCGGTCAACAGTCACCCGTTGAAAGCCGCCGCGGGATCGAAGTTCCTGCTTTGAATTCCGCACTTGTAGGTGTCAGCCACCCGTCCGCGGCGGCACGCAGACACTTGATATCTGCCTCCTACTCTGGGTACCTCACCTACGGCCTACTAGGTAGTACATAGCATCCTCACTTTATACATACCTTCACTTTGCCCTGTCGAGCGAGTGTGGGCCCTGGTCTCATTGGCGCCTTATCGTGCCACCACTACCGCTACTTCGATAACGAACTTTCTTGGACTCACGAGGTCCCGGTTCCAACCTTTTTTCTTCTCTCACATCCAGATTCCTCTTCCTTTCCTAAAACATCACTCTATTTGACTTTCTCCTCCCCGAACTGTCGGTTCCCCCCTTCAAAGCCTACCCGAGCAGTCGCATAGCCTTTCCGGCTGTCATTGCGGCGCACGCAGGTTCCTCATACAACTCTTGTATATCCCCGCCGTCACTTGGACGTCATCGGTAACCTAAAACCGACACGGAGAGAATACACACTTGGTAAAGAGGGGCTCTGGATTGCTTCCTCGAGGCGAGACAAAGGGCTAACGGCTGCTTCAGGGACTTCGGGACGCCACATCACGCCACATGACCTGCGCAATCGGCATGATGAGTTCAATCACGGTTCGCCATCTGTTGGCTCGGAGTGCATCTTCGCTTGCCCCGCGTATTCTGGCACGAACTGGCGCCTCGGCCAGGACGGCTGTACCGTCGAGAGCCTTCCCGGTGGCCCCGCGAGCATCATTGGTTGCGCTGAATCTGCGGCACACCCGTCAGTTTTATACATCCACGGCCGGAGAAACGGATGTTCACAGTACATCGATCTTTGCGCCTCTGGACACTTTCCAGAGACGCCACATTGGTCCCTCGACGACCGAGACGCAGAAGATGCTGGACTACCTAAAATACGAATCCCTGGATTCCTTTGTTCGAGATGTCGTTCCCCCGAACATTCTCTCCGCTCAGGATCTCAAGGTTAGCCCGCGCAATGGGTTGAGCGAGACCGAACTGCTGGAGAGACTGGGAGAGATCGCTTCAAAGAACAAGAAGGCGCGGAGTTATATCGGTTGTGGATACGCCGGAACAAAGACTCCGACAGTGATTGCCAGGAACATTCTCGAATGTCCGGAATGGTACACCTCATATACGCCGTATCAGCCGGAAATCTCGCAAGGTAAGCGAACACTCGGCACGATGGGATATATCTATGTAAATTTGGCGCTCACACACGCATTGTAGGTCGTCTTGAGTCTCTCGTCAACTTCCAGACCATGGTGACGGATCTCACCGGTCTTGCAATCGCTAATGCGTCCGTCCTGGATGAGGCCACTGCCGCTGGCGAGGCCATGACCATGTCGTTGGCAACCCTTCCAGCAAGCCGCCAGAAGCGTCCCAACCGGACGTTCTTCGTGGATGGCAAGGTTCACCCGCAGACGATCGCCGGACTCGCCTCCCGTGCTGAAGGGTTTGGGATCCACATCAAAATGGGAGATGCTCTCGATATTGCAAGTGTCAAGGAAGTCGGTCAGGACTTGATCGGTGTCCTCGTCCAATACCCCGCTACGGATGGTTCCATTCACGACTACTCCAAGCTCTCTGAGGCGGTTCACGAAGTGGGCGCCCCATTGTCCGTTGCCACGGATCTGCTGGCTTTGACTCTTCTGAAGTCACCCGCCGAGTTCGGCGCCGACATCGCTTTCGGCAATGCCCAGAGGTTCGGTGTCCCGATGGGATACGGTGGTCCGCACGCCGCCTTCTTCGCGACTGCAGACAAGCTCAAGAGGAAGATGCCAGGACGGTTGATCGGGGTGTCGAAGGATCGTCTAGGGAACACGGCCTACCGCCTGGCGCTACAGACCCGCGAGCAACACATCCGTCGTGAGAAGGCCACCAGTAACATCTGTACCGCCCAGGCACTCCTGGCCAACATGAGTGCTATGTATGCGGTGTACCACGGACCGGCCGGATTGAAGGCTATCGCGGAGAAGATACATTCCATGTCCATGATCCTAGCCGAAGGTGCCGAGAGGCTCGGATTTGAGATCAATGCGGGCTCGAAAGCCGAGGGCGGATATTTTGACACTGTCGTCATCAAGGTCAAGGACGCCAAAGACGTTACTGCTAAGATCACGGAGTGGTACGGAATCAACTTGAGGGTTCTCGATACGGACAAAGTCAGCATCACCATTGACGAGACCGTCTCGATGCGGGATTTGGAGGATCTCCTGGCTGCCTTGTCTGCGTTCGCGGAGAGAATCCCCGGAAGACTCACGTGGGATAAGATGCTTATCGAGATCGCCGAAGACTTGGCCATCACCACCACCACTCCCGCGGCGGTGCCTGAGGCGTTCCGCCGAATCAGTCCTTACCTGACGCATCCAAACTTCAACAAATACCACTCCGAGACGGAGATGCTGAGGTACATCCACTACCTTCAGAGCAAGGATCTTTCCCTGGCGAACTCGATGATCCCTCTGGGCTCCTGCACGATGAAGTTGAACGCTACGACCGAGATGTTGCCGATCACGTGGCCCGAGTTTAGCTCTCTCCATCCCTTCGTCCCGCTCGATCAGGCTCAGGGCTACAAGATTCTCATTGACGAGCTGGAAGCCGATCTTGCCGATATCACCGGCTTCGACGCTGTCTCCTTGCAACCAAACTCGGGAGCTCAGGGTGAGTTCACTGGATTGAGGGTCATCCGAGCGTACTTCAATGCTACCAACCAGTCTCAACGTGATGTCTGCCTGATTCCGGCTTCGGCCCACGGCACCAACCCCGCCTCGGCCTCGATGGCCGGAATGAGGGTGGTCACGATTAAATGCGACCCCAAGAGTGGAGACCTGGACATGACCGACCTCAAGGTCAAGGCCGAGAAGTACAAGGACAACCTGGCAGCGATCATGATCACGTACCCCAGCACGTACGGTGTGTTCGAACCACAGGTCAAGGAGGCTTGTGAGGTGGTGCACTCGTTCGGTGGTCAGGTGTATATGGACGGTGCCAACATGAACGCTCAGATCGGTCTCTGCTCTCCCGGAGAGATCGGTGCTGATGTCTGCCATCTCAACCTTCACAAGACTTTCTGTATCCCTCACGGTGGAGGTGGTCCGGGTGTAGGGCCCATCGGTGTCAAGCAGCATCTCGCCGACTTCCTTCCAGGGCATCCATTGGTCGCCACTGGTGGTGCTAAGGCAATCGCTCCCGTCTCGGCGGCACCTTGGGGATCGGCCAGCATCTTGCCGATCTCGTGGGCTTACATCAAGATGATGGGTGCTCGCGGTCTCACCCACGCCACCAAGATAACCCTTCTCAACGCCAACTACATGGCGGCCCGCCTGTCGGCGCACTACCCCATTCTCTACACCAACTCTCAGGGACGCTGCGCCCACGAGTTCATCCTCGACACCCGCGGCCTCAAGGAGACATCAGGCATCGAAGCCATCGACATCGCCAAGAGACTGCAGGACTACGGGTTCCACGCGCCCACCATGTCCTGGCCCGTGCCCAACACGCTCATGATCGAGCCCACGGAATCGGAGAATCTCCAGGAGCTCGACCGGTTCTGCGATGCCCTGATCAGCATCCGCAAGGAGATCAAGGAGGTTGAGGACGGTAAGGCGCCCCGTGAGCAGAATGTCCTCAAGATGGCGCCCCACACCATGAAGGACCTCATCACTGGCACCTGGAGCCGCGAGTACTCCCAGGAGAAGGCGGCGTACCCGCTGGAGTACCTTAAGGAGAGGAAGTTCTGGCCTACGGTGACTAGGGTCGATGATGGTACGTTACTTCCCCAAGTGCTCTATGTGTATACAGACGCTAATAGTTCTCCCCTCCCTCGTAGCATACGGTGACATGAACCTGTTCTGCGCCTGTGTCCCGGTGGAGTCCGAGGAATAGATTGGTACACCACCGATCATCCTCCTCCGTTCTAACTTATTTTTAGCGGTTTTCTTTGTTCCCTTATATTTATTTTCTTCTTTCTATGGGATATTCAACACGGGATTTTTTTTTTGCTTCTCTTTTTCAGTTTTAGATGTGTGTACATCAAGCAAGTGGGCGTTTGATAACTTGGAACTTGGACAAAGGAAAAGGCAGTATTCATCTACTGGCGCTGGTTGTTTTTGATTTTTTTCTTGGGAGCGTTTGGTCTTTGCTTTGGACGGGTTATATGGGATATGGGTTTCCGGATTGGGATTTCTTTTCACTTTCAATACAATGGGCGGAGGATGGGATGGGGGGATGTAGAATGGAGGTGGATGGTGAGGAGCAGGAGAAGGAGGAGGATGAAGAGGAGGACGAGGACGAGGAGGAACAGGAGGATACTGTATAGTACATACGACTCTCAACAGTCCGTGCGAATAGAACATCGGCTTGCCTCTAGATACTAGTACTTCATCCGACCGAGAGTAGACGTCGAGCATGCTCAGATTCCTCGCCTAGTGACATGGAATGAAGCAAGACCCCTGACCTCGGGCCGAATATTGCTCCCGAACATTTGGAAGCCCCCACTTGGCATACCTGCCCTGTTCATCCAGTTCATCCATGACTCAGGAGTCAGGACTTCAAGAAAGCAAGCCACCAACAGCAATAGCAAGCAAACCCGGGAGTTGTCCTGTCCAGCGCGGTCCACCTAGGCATTCTGGCTTACCGCCCTGACTGTCTGGCTGTCTGGCTGTTTTGGACAGTAGACAGTCCATCTGTAGAGTAATTTCTTACCTATGCACAGCTGCATAAAACCCCTCATGACGGACGGGAGCTAACTTTTCAGGGCGCTTACGGTACATATCGTACGTACAGGCCAGGCCAGCGGCTGCGCTCATAGGATGGGGTAGGATGGGTAGATTACACTAGAACTCGGTTGGAGAGTCGAGTAGGTTATAAGAAGTTGAGTAGGTACATACGGGCAGGTACGAGCAGAAGAAGGAGTTGACTGTTGGAGTTGGACTCTGGAGGGGGGTGATGAGGGGATGAGGACGAGGGGCTGAGGAGGTGGGACTATGGAAGCGGAGGAAATTACCGTGGTGAAACAGATTGGCCAGTAGAAGGGCTCTGCGGGGGGGTTGGTTAAGGGTTGAGGGCGGGGGGTCGGGGGGAAGGAGGGGAGGAGGGGAGGAGGGGTACATAGGGGGGGTATATTCTCCTTCCTTCCTGGGGGGGGGGGGAGTACTCGGCATCCGTCGAGCGCTCGGGGTGCGTGTGGGTGGTCGGAGTACGTGTGGATGGCCGAGAGGAGGTGCATTTCGGCCCGCGCTGTGTGCGTGACTTCTTCTGCTTGTTCTTCTTATTCTTGTTCCTGTTCTTTGCCACCCTATTCGTGGCGCTGGGGCGCTGGTGGGGGCGCTGGGGGGAGGGGAGCCCTGGACCCTGATTGGCGGTTGCGAGACTGGCGGACGGGCATCGGGTGGCGGTAAGCTGTAGTTACTCTATGTCTGCCACCGCTTTTTTCGCGGCTGGATAGAGAGAGGGGGGGTGCAGTTTCTATGTACTAGAATGTCTGCATAGAATTTGGGCGAAGTGAACCTACATATGATGCGATGCGAACTTTGCTGGGGGAAGATTGTGAGTTCTTCAGACTCTCCGCCGTAGTTGGAATTAAGTATGGGCCGTACCTAGCATAGTAGTACTAGTGGTATCGATGTCGATATTGTTCGCCGTGCTACTGGCTGTGATGCGCTGGGGCGGTGCGGTGGGCGGCGGTGAGCGGTGGTGATGGCTTTCATCGCACAGGGCAGTGACGAGAGATCTTACTGGTCCTGCTTCTTTTGCTTTGCTTTTCTTGCTTCGCCTTTTTTTTTTCTTTTTCTTTTCCCATCCACCACCACCGCCTCCGCCCCCGCCAACACCCACCTTCTCTCCCTCCCTCTTACAGCTGGCGCATCACCACTCGTACTTTATACTCGATACGCATTTCAAACGAACGATGATCCGTAGAAGTGTGTAGATGTAGATGTCTGCAAGCATTAACTTACCACCGGGAGTGATGGAACGTAGAGTACGGGGAAGATATCAGGGCTTGGATATGCCTATGCTATGAACTCTGCATACATACTTCAGACGTGCTTAGCAAGTATGTAATCGCATGAACGCCTATCTGCTCTATGTATCCAAGTAGAAAAAAGACAATCCCCCCCCGTTCGCCTATAGAATCCTGACTCCTATATCTATTTCGTCGACGTCTGGACTCTCTTTTGCTTCGTTATTATTGTTGGTTTGTTATTGCGACTTCTTACCGCTCGCTCTTGCTCTGCTCTGTGCTCTGCCCTGCTCCTGCCGCTCTACCGACCCCTCCCCCCTCCTCCTCCCACCCCCCCTTCGCGGTCGTCCTCCTCCACAACATCTCACGCTCCCCCTCCCCTCCCGCCAAAACTCCCGACTGCTCCTGTTACTGCACTATCACAACCGTTACTACCCTCCTAAGCACAACAACAACAACCATAACAACACTACCACCTAACGCTATACTAGAACCCTTTCCCCGCCAGCGACTGCGTGTGAACCTTCCCAACGACCACTACGAAACTTGCTTCACTACCACCACCACAACCTTCTCCCACCTCTACACCCCCGCAGCTGAGCTCTTCGACCCCTAATCGCAACAGAACCAATAATACACATCCACAACCACACATATACACGCACACACGCAGTACTCGACGAGCTACACGCGCCAGTAGCAGCGACCCGTCCCGTACCGTACGCATCACCAAGTTCTCGAGCACCGCCGTAACCCCTCCATCCACTCTATCTATCCGCTCAGGGCAAGACTATGAACGGCGATCAGAACGGAACCACTACTGCCACCACCGCTGCCGCCACCAGCATACCCACCGTCGCCGCTGTTACAGCCATGAACAAGGTCAAGCAGGTTGCCAGTGCTGCGACTGGTGTGGTGAACGGTCCCGCGCCCGCGACTGCGACTCCGACTACCACCACCACCACCGCCGCCGCCGCGACCACGACCCCAGCTGCGCCTGCGACTGCGGCTGCAAATGGAAACAAGAAGAGAAGAAAGGACTTGAAACCTATCCTCGTCAGCGGCGAAGGCCAGCAGTCGGTCCAGGCTTCCGCAACATCTAGAGCAGACAGGTATGTGTCGATCAACTCTTGCGTGCACTCATACTTGTGGGCCCATCTTGCTCCTTAAAAATACCGGCAAAAAAGTTAGCACAGAGTTACGGTATAATTGGCTTGCAGCCCGTGTAACTGGAACTTTCTTTGAGCATTGCCTTGCCCTGCTACACACACATTCACTGTGTCGCCTCGCTGAACTCAAAATGTTGAGGAGCACCGGCTATCCTTTCTCTTTCCCCTCTTGTCCTCATGGCGTGTCCTTAGCGGCTAGCCTCGCACATCGCCCTCCCCTCCCGTATCGGCAGAGTTAACGAACGATGGTGTCATACAGTGATGCCTCGCCGACATCGAGATCCAACAACAGTAACATTCCGGGCTTTACCGTCAACACACCCGGATCCAATGGCGTGGATTCGCGGACGTCTTCGGTATCATCGAGGGATGGCGACGACGACGAGACAAACACAGCAGAGGAGGAGGATTACGAGGACTACTGCAAGGGCGGGTATCACCCCGTGCAGGTCGGAGAAACCTTCAAGGAGGGCCGATACGAGGTTATCCGGAAACTGGGATGGGGCCACTTCTCGACCGTCTGGCTATCCCGAGACAACGAGTGCGGGCGCCATGTTGCGTTAAAGGTTGTTCGGAGTGCTGCTCACTACACCGAGACTGCACTGGACGAGATCAAGCTCTTGCAGCGGATAGTCACGGCGAATCCGGACCACCCGGGCAAGGCGCACGTGGTGCAGCTGCTGGATTCCTTCGAACACCGAGGACCCAACGGCTTGCACGTTTGCATGGTCTTTGAGGTGTTGGGCGAGAACCTTTTGGGACTCATCAAGCGCTACAATCACCGCGGAATTCCCATGCCGCTGGTGAAGCAGATTGCTAAGCAGGTGCTATTGGGACTCGACTACATGCATCGCGAGTGCAACATCATTCACACCGATCTGAAGCCGGAGAACGTCCTGATCGAAATCGGCGATGTCGAGCAGATCGTCAAAACTTACGTGCACGATGCGGACGTCAAGAAGGGTCCCGGGCCTAACGGTCCCGGGTCGGATAAGGGCGACAGGAACGGAAGGCGACGGAGGCGGACTCTCATCACCGGCAGTCAACCGCTGCCGAGTCCCATCTGCTCGTCCTTCGCTCATCGTCATGAGGAGCTGTTGTCGCATGTCGTCGCTGGTTCGAGCCTGAAGACCAACAGCCAGAGCTCGCTGAGCAAATTGATGAGTTCTGCGAGGGGGTCGAGGACCGCGAGCGCGGACTCTTCGCCTACTGCTATTGCACGAAACGGTGGTAAGGAGGATGAGGCGAATTACAAGTCGAGGGAGCGAACAGCGTACGTCACATATTCAGTAGGAGAGAGAACAGTGCGGGGGCATGCTGACGGAGGGGTTCTAGCGACGTCATGGCGCGGGAGATTTCCGGCATCACACTCGATAAGTCCGAGTTGAACGAGGATCTACCAGAAATTGGAATCATCTCTGTCAAGATCGCGGATCTCGGAAACGCGTGCTGGACCAACCAGCACTTCACGAACGATATCCAGACTCGACAGTATCGATCACCGGAGGTCATTCTCGGAGCCAAGTGGGGTGCTAGCACGGATATCTGGAGCATGGCGTGCATGGTTAGACAATACCCTTGTTCTCTGTCCGTCCGTCGAGGTGTCAGCCCTAACTTCGCGGTGGTGGTTTCTAGGTATTCGAGTTGATCACGGGCGACTACCTCTTCGACCCCCAGTCGGGCACAAAGTACGGCAAGGACGACGACCACATCGCGCAGATCATCGAGCTCCTCGGCAACTTCCCGCGACACCTCTGCATGAACGGCAAATGGTCGCTCGAGATCTTCAACCGCAAGGGCGAGCTGCGGAATATCCACCGACTCCGACGCTGGGCGCTGCCGGACGTGCTCAGGGAGAAATACCACCACCAGGCCGAGGAAGCAGTACAGATCTCGGAGCTCCTGATACCCATGCTCGAGCTCAACCCCGAGCGTCGTGCAAACGCCGGCGGTATGAGCAATCACGAGTTCTTGGCCGACGCCGCGGGCATGGAGGACAAAAGCGTGGACGTCCCCGTGGGCAGTCGGGGCGGCATCGAGGGATGGGCTTCGGAGGTCAAGAAGAGATAGGCGAGGCGAGGGGAGGGGGGAGATAGATAGATTTCTTATGACTGGCTCGTTTTCGTTTCTCTTTTCTCAACAACAAAGTTCTTTTTTCTCTATTTTTCCTTTCTTTTCTTTCCGTGTCCTGCTTTGTCAATCTGGGATTGTAATTGTGGATTTTTTTTTACTATTGTGTCGTATCGACGAAACGTACGTGCTGTTCCTTATCTTTTTTCATGCATGCGCTTGCTGCGAAATCGCGGCAGGCTACAGTTTAAATCCGCATCGCATACGCTATACTATACTTCCAGAGTGCCCTGAGTTCTGAGTGGGTGTGTGATATTTCTGGGAGGAAGGGGAGGGTGAGGAGGGGGGGATGATATGGGCTGGGAGGAGGTTGAGAGGGATGGGATGGGATGGTTAGACGGCGGTAGGTGAGAGACGGGGGGTAACTACTAGAGTATAAGTGCTTGCCTGTTCACGTACTCTATGCTCTTGTCAAAACGATACCGTGAAGATACGGTGAAGATACAATAAGTACCAGGTTGAAATTCAGTACGAGTCGATAGGATACGAGTCATATTTTGTGAACATGAACATGATTGTCATTCTACCCATATCTCTTGAACATGGTTGTCATTCTACTCATCTCTATCCATCCTCTATCCATCACTCTAGCAAAAAGTCTAGAGTATCGCCGCTCTACTCTATCAGGATTCAGGTCCGAGCCTAGCTAGCTCATCATATCCTCCTTCCAGACATCGGAACTCGAAACATCGAAGAAATCAAAACATTGTGAATCAAAACATTGTAAACATTAAGCGTGCAGAGATCTCGTCACAGCACAACACAACAAACGCATCCAAGCAAAGCAAAGCAAATCAAAGCATACTCAAGTAAGCAAGCGCAGATAGATAAAAATCAAAAAATCAAAAAATACAAAAGTAAACCAAACTAAACCAAACCCAGCTCCCCGAAATTCGCAATCCGCAAACTCCCATCCATAGGCACCTAATCCAGTCTACCCGCGTCTATGCTGCCTCTACGTTACGGCCACGCTATCCGGCTCGTCGTCTTCGATCGCACACTCGTCCGCCACCGCCGCCGCCGCTACGGCTGGCTCGTTCTCGTTCTCGGTCTTGTTCTTGTTCTCGGTCTCTGCCGCCAGAGGAGCCTCGTTCTTCTCCTCGGTCTTCTCCTCCTTCACCTCGGTCACAGCACCATCCTCCTTCGCCCCTTCCGCCTCACCCACCACCAGCTCCTCCTTCGTCACCTCCTCCTTCGTCACCTCCTCCTTCGTCACCTCCTCCTTCGTCACCTCCTCCTTCACCTCCTTCCCCGCCTCCGCCTCAACCTCAACAACCTCCTTCGTCGCCTCGCCCAAATTAATAGGAATAAAGTGTTTCGGCAGCTTAACCCTATGAAACTTCTCCCTAAGCGTATTGACGACATACTTCCAATCGAGGTGGCTCGTGAGGGACTTTTTCGGATTACAGCCTATGCAATGTTTGCTATCGAGCTGCATATCCAATGGATCGCTGGAGTGGCAGCCAGGGCTGATCGCGACGCGGATGGCATACGCGCTCTTATTAGGGTCGCCCTCGCTCTCGCCGGGTTCGAGTTTTGATTCGGATTCGTATAGCTCGAAGGAGATCTGTGTGAGGTAGTCGAGCTCCGGGATCGCGTTGCGCTCCATCTTGATCGGGATCCCGCCCTCGATTATGCAGTTCAGCAGCGTGTAGATGTGCGATTCTTTGGTGAAATACACGAATGATTTGGCGTGTGAAGCGGCTTGGACGGCTTCCAGGTCTTTGACGATTTGTTTTAGCAGGGGAAGGCTGGTGAGGAGGCCGATTTCGAGTTTTTCGTCGTTGGTTATGCCGTATTCTTGGGGTGAGACGAAGCTGGAACTGTTAGTGAGTGGTAGAATAGGAAAGGGAAAGGTGGCTTACTCAAACAGCACTTTGGCGTAGCGATACAGCTCCCGCAGCTTCACCAGGCGCGCGTCGGCTTTTGCCTTGGTCTTGCCGGTGGACATGAGGTACTTCCTGCCCGCCTCCTCGCTGACCGAGGGGCGGGGGGTATCGACTGCCGAGTAAATGAAGCTTCTGCGCGCGCGCCTGAGTCTCTCGAGCTTGCGCGTTTCTTCCTTCTGCGGAGGTGGCTGCTGCTCGCGGATTTCGCGCTCATAGTCGAGCGGCGGGCCAGTCATCGACGTGCGTTTGTTGCTATCCGTCCAGCCGCCGCTACTGCCATCGTCCCAATCTTCAACCGCCGAGCCCTCGCGCTCCAACAATTCCTGGGACAGCATGGAGGTCGGCGGTAGAAAGATGTTCTCGAGGAACGCACGGTTGTGGAGGGCATCGTACTTCATGGTATCGTAGAGCTCCGAGATCTTTCCTGGGTCAACCTTCTCCGAGTCGCAGAACTCGACGAAAAGCTTTTCCCAACGCTCACGAAACAGGGCAGGGTCCTCGCCACAGCACCAGCGGCTTTGGATTCCGTCGAGTGAGGTGGGATCTCGCTCCTTGATGGAGCCGGTTGAAGACCCACCGCCGCCGTTGGAGTACCCAAGGGATTGCGTCGCGAAGCGGGCGAAGTTTTGGTTCATCACCAACCGGTGGAAGGTCATCAGCTCGATTACTTTGCGCATCACGATCCAGGGTTCTGGCATATCCTTCGGCCATGCAAACTGTGGTGGTGCTTTGGAGCCTTTGCGAAGGAGCGACTTAAGCTTCTTCTTGACCTTGGAGTGAGTTAGTGACAATGCCCGAGAGGAAATCGAATCAAGGAACAGGTCTAAATACTTTGTCCATTTCATCCTTAGCAGCATTGGAGTCATCCAGCAGGTCTTTGCGGATGGCCACGAAATCGTCATCTAGTTTTTTGTTCAGGAAAGAGGCGGTCCATATTTGTGCTATAGAAACAAGACGGAAGTTTTAGAAACGGAGATTTTATTCATGTACACCCTAACTTGCGAGGGGGAGAGGAAGCGGAAGAATCATACCACTGGTGCTGACCCTCCTTTCAGAGCTGGTGAAAACAGAGACATCGTCGAGGGCATCTCGGTTCATCAGCAGTAGATCCTTGCGGTAAGACTCGCCCAGATCTTGACTCTGGTAGCGGGCCGAATGTGTGGGTTCTCCTCCCCATTTGATGATAAGCTGCAACTTATCAAGCTCCGGAGATCCCCGATTAGAGACAGTGGTATGTGTCTCGGAAGGGTCCTCTGGATTACTTGGAATATCCGCCGGGTTGGGGTGCTTCAGATACATCGGCTTGATTTGGACTTTAGTACCTGCAAACCCCATCTTCTTATCCAGCGCATTTTTTAGCTGTGCGAGCTTGTCACCATCCTCCGACTTCAGATCGATGGCCTTCTGGGTGGCTATGACCACATCCTGCAGTCCTTCCTCAATGAGGATGACCTCTTCCTTGTGGCCTTTCAGGAGATCGATGAATGGCTGGGAGTGGAAAGTAAACTTAAACTTCTGTTTCGGCGTTCTGTCCGCGTGTCTGAGAACGGCAACCATACCCTTCAGCTTCCAACTGTGCTGCGGGGCAGTGGGCGGTTGCTTCACCTCCTCACCCTCCGGGACGGGAGCCACGGGGGTCGGCGAAGCTACCGGTGTAACCCCAACTGCAGGTGTGCCATTAGATGATGATTGCGAGGGCGAAGCCTGGGCCGATGTCAATTGCGGTTGTTGTAGGCCAGACTGGTGGTGACTGGATAGCCTTGAAGCCGAAGGTGATCGTGAAAGAAGATTCTGAAGCGTCGACCGATGTCCACTGGCAGGTTTCTGCTTTCCGTTGATTTTCTTCGGGGCAGTTTCCTCCTTTCCTCTTGCGAGTGCGGCGGCCAATGCTCCTTGTTCCTGGAGGCCCTCTTTCGTCTGCTTAACCTGCATGTGCGCGATAAACGTCTTCCGAAGAATTGATGCACATGCGTCGTAATAAGGATTGTTGTCTTTGACGAAGCTCCACCCGTTGACGTCTATCACGTAACTCTTGCCGTGGGCTCTCAAAAGATCAAAGCCACAAACAGCCTGTCCGAAAGCTTCGCAGATTCGTGAAGCCATACTAGCCTCGTCTTTGGCGAGCTGCGTAACGAATCGGATCTCCTTTCCATGCTGATTGCGGCGAACCAGACCATCCACCACCGGCGACTTTCGTGTTTCGGCGTGGCAGTAGTCGGGCCCCACGGTGTACGCTTTGACATCCTCGCAGTTATCGACGTCCATGAACTGCTCGTAGACGAAGGATCCATCCGTTCGTGGCTGGTTCAGATTTGGATCATACTCAGAAGACTTGTTGCCAACTTTGCGGAAGAGTCTCCGTCCACCAATACCACCGGCAAAGTAGATGTTGATATTATGGTCCTCGCCGCTCGTTGGCTTCTCGACGAAAGGCTTCTTGAGCGTCTTGTTGTCTACGATTAAAGTCTCGCCGTCCTCACTAAGTTCAACCCTCTGCGGCATCTTCCATTCGCCTCGAGGCGGTACTCTAACGCCAGTCCGGTTCTCCAGGTGTTGCGCGAGCTCCGGCGTCAGATATGGACCACCATCGCGTGACACAACGATGCGCTTAGGTGTCGGAACGTTGATCGAGTCCAAAATGCGAAGAACTAGCCGCCGGTCCCAAAGGACCTGCTGCATCTGTAGATCATTGACGCAGTATGGCTTGCGCAATTGTACGTAAGAGATTGCTTTATCGAGTGGGAATCCAGTGGAAAAGAAAGATATCAGAAAATCACTAGATGACACGTGGGCACGAAACGTTAGCTGATTCGTTGGCTCTAAAAAGCGGTGATGCCAAACAACCCGGCCATGCGGCTAGAGCATCGGGTGCAAACAAAAAAATGACGGGACTCCACGGGAGCCTGCGTAACGTTCGCGGGAGATACACGGCGAAGAACACCGTCCCAGAACATCACCAATATCATTCCGGCACCACGGAAGTGCTGCCGTTGTACAGTTATGCATGTCTGCGCCATACGGAGATTCACACTTATTCTCAATATCGCACGTATGTACGACAATGTGACCATGATCCTTGTGAGACAGGCAACAGCAGGCATGGGATGAGGGGAAACAGGAAGGAGGGAACGGGGACAAGACGCGATGAGGGGACGAAGACAAGACGAGATGTGAGGACTCACCAGGTAGGCCAGTTTTCGACAGCTATTGCGTGGGGGAGCGAGCGGCGGGCGCGGGAGTTAGCGAATTCCAAGTACCAAAGATGACTACAGCCTCATCCTTGCAGCGGACAGGCAGAAGCCGCAGAGAATAAAACCCCACGGCGTCCCACCCCCATCTCAACGGTGGGGCGCAGGATGCACCCTGCACTCGGAAACCTCTGTTTCACAGGGACACAGGAACACACGCACCTTCATCGAAAATGACCTTGTCACCAAAAATCACCGTTTCGAACTCGCCATTTTCAATCAACCGGTTCAGGATCGTTCGACACGGCTTACTTCGCGCTTTCGCATCCAAAGCACACACTCCGATCCGCCCGATCACCTTCGACTTTCGCGCTTTTTCTTGAGCTTCGGCGGCAGCAGTCGAAGCAGTCGCGGACGAGGCCGACGTCCGTTTGTTGTTGGGGGAGCTTGACATCGATGTTTTCGGCGATCCAACTGACTGGGGACCTTCTTGTCGCGACATCGCCGACCGTGATCGCTGGGAATGTGGTGCCTCCACTACTTGTACGCCCATCCCTTCGTGCGTCGACGTCCGCGCGGTCGTTGGGTTCGATATCACGTTGACGGGAGACGTGGCAACCGTTGCTATCGCCGCCACCGACGGTCTTCGCTTTCGGCCCTGTCCGTTGTGGTACTCGGATGTGAAGCTCTGGCTATCTGGGGACGTCCCGAGCATGTGCATGGAGCTCTGCCCTTCTAGATTGACTACCGAGGAATTCTGAGACTGTGGCGAGTTCGAGACGGTGGTGCTTGCCAAAGACACCATCGATGTCCGATTGCCGGGATAGCTTGAGGCTTCGCTAGGCGAAGAGGAGAACATGGCCGGAGCTCTGGTAGTGATGGCTCGCTCGACAGCAGCTCCTGCAGCTGGGGTAGATATCGTGGCTAACGTTGTCGACTTCTCGACTGTTGCTGTGCCGGTGGAGAGGGATATCGATTGACTATCGGATGAAGGTAGCAGAACCTTACTCGACCGTGGGAGACTGTGAGAAAACGTGTGCGAGGAGGATGAAGAGGCGCGAGGTCTGAAACCTGGTGTGGACACCGGAAGCGACGCCATCGTAGGGTTGGGATGGACGGCGTGTCGGAATATTTTTTTCTTTCTGGCTCTCGGCACCAGATCAGTGCACTTCGTTGGGTAAGATGTGGCGGCGGCGGCGATAGCGAACTGGCTACCAGTGCTTTCTGTGCGTCCAATATGAGCTCATCACGGCTGGGCGCCAAGATATGCGCCTTAGCCCTTACATCGGGTATGCACATGCGAGATCGAGACCGCTTCGACTTGCGCGGGCGAGCAGAGCCACTGACGAAACGAGCGTAGTAATGACGAAAGTCATCGAATGGCTTGGATCTGGACAAGCCTGATGAACCTGAAGATTCCCAGATGAGCTCGATTTCGTTCAATTTCTGCTTTAGGTATCCGTAGTTTGTCTGGCGGTTCACAATACGTCACATTACCAGCGGACGGACCCCCGCCTTTGCCGGATGAACAATCGGGGATTTTTTAATCTTTAGACGAGAACCCCGCAGTGGTTAACCGATTCCCGGAGTTTCGTTATATATGAGCCAAAATTCTATCACGCACATCTGCGAACAGGAAGGCTCACTCGGAATGATGGAGTATCTCCATCTTAGTCATCACACCGATATCCACGCACTCCATCTCGTCAATCGAACCACCCAGTAGCCTTGCAACTCGTTTGTATTGTGATTACAACACGTGTCTGTCAATTGCCACTCCTCCCATCTTCATTAATTCGCTTCATTCGTTCCTCGAGTTCCGTATACTCTCGGAGTTCTTTTTCCTGGCATTCCCGTACCGACTCCCTTTTATACATCGCCGCAACCTTCAATTGCTTACTTTCCGCCTGATCCATGCGCTCCAACTTCTCCTTCATCTGGATCAATACCTTATCCAATTTCTGAATCTCCCGTTGCGAGAACTTCTTCTTTCCGTTTTTCATCTTGATGCCGGCTCTTTCCGCTACGTTTTCGAGCTGTATGATGGTATATTCAATGCCCGGCTCCGGCGTTGGCGGACGCGAATGGATGGGCTCTTCGGGGCCTTGTCGGAATCGGCTGAAGAAACACATTGCTGGCTGCCGTTCTGTCGGAGTCGGAGGGACGAGGGCGGTTATCGTGCGAGATGTCAAAAACTAATATCGTTCGAATGAGGAAGATGGATGTTGATGTCGCGGTCATTCCAGGATGAGGAGACCCTCATTTTATGGCAGAACTGTGTATGGGTACTCATGGGTCCGTGTTGGACGGATGGTGCAATGAGGAGTGACAACTAGTTATGAGCATGAGCAAAGCTTCTCCAAATATAAAGTCACATTGGTATCATGATTCCTCGTCCATGAACTCGTATTGTCACCATCATAGTTGGAACACATAGTAAGATGTACTATATTCGAGTAATTGCGTGGGACCGTCCAACGCTCCGACACCGCTTCACGTGGATCATGATTGTCGAGACTCCAATGCGGTCCCTCCACGGCAGGACAAAGTCGAGAGTACCTACGGCCGTATGGAGGCGTTTCAGCTTGACAGTCCCGACCACAGAGCGCTCCACCCATCGCCTCAATGCCTTGGAGTTCTTTGTTGTCGTCGGTACTCCCACAGATACCCCGCACACACGTGTAGCTCTTTGACCTCAGTCATCAGAGGTGAAACGGATTCCGAAAGTGCCCGGGCGCCCACGCTCGTAGTTGGCCGTGATAAAACTGCGAATCATTAGCTATGTTCTCCAGAGCAGCGATGTTTCAATGGTTACCGACTTCTCACCTCTGATATCGCACCTCGACATTGCATTCTGAGGGTTGCCCGGACGTGGAACATCTGTCAAGCTTGTTGCGTTGAAGAACCCGAAATAGACGCCGCAGTCAATGGGTGGAGAAGAATGGTCACTGCTGTGAAGAAGAAAGACAGACCTATGCAACCACAGGCTCCGACCCCTACCTCTGCCCCTGCAATGGGATCTCATTGCGGTTACTCCCGTCATACAAGACAGAGGCCCATGCAGCAATCCGATTCCCTCGATCTTGATCCCCATGGAGCAACGAGTAGCAAGCTGGCTGGCGTTCACACAAATTTCACTAGGACTAGGCCAACAACACGTGCTACGTCATAGCACTAACAATTCTGGTCGCAGTTGCTCGCACTGCACAGCCAGCTTGGTGTCCCGTCCCGTTCTCAAACAAGTAAAGTTAACTCACCATCCGCACGACCGCAAGAATCGAATGAACACACCCGCTGAAAAGCAGAGAGGATCAGACTCCAACTCTCCCACGACGCGCTCTCCCTTCCTGTTCTCTATCTTTCAGGCATACCTCAGACTCTTCAGGATGGATAGTCCAGTCGATGAGAAAACCCCCTCGACGAAGAATGTCGGCGTCGACTATGTCGTCAACTTCAACTTTGCAAACGCAAAAGGTAACCACAGTTCTGCTGTGAATTGGGTGTCTGGGTGGGTTGGGAGCTGACGCGATGACGATGCGACACAGACAAGAATGAAGCCGCAGCTCAGTTCGAGAAACTGATAGTTTACCTCGATAAGGTGGGAATGCGTACGGAGGTTCGCGATGGCCTACCAGGGAAGCTGCTGGTGTTCGTTCGCATCCGGTCGGCACAGAAGCTGGTTGGCGAGGTCTACAGGGCTAGGTGAGTGCATGCTCCACGTAACCTTGTCCGTGACGCCTGCTAAACGGAAATCTCGCGTTCAGAGTCAAAGACTGGCTTCATGGTGTCCGGCCCGCTGCCCCTGATACCGAGACGCAGCGCTCGCTAGATAAAGAACCTCTTACCGAAGCCGAGAGGTTGCGAATCGTCCACTCGCTACTTACACTTCCTCAGAGCGAGGGCGGCGCTGGAATCACGCCTGGCAAGGGAGAGTGGTCGTGTGTCGAGGGAATCTTCCCGTTGCACGATCATGAGTTCAACAAGGATTGGATGAAGCGATGGTCGACTACGTGGACCGTAGGACCTGAGGAGCTGGGAAACATCCGCGACATGTTTGGCGAAAAGGCAACCCCACTAAATGTCCTTGAGTGATGACGTACCACTAACGACAGGGTATAGGTGGCATTCTACTTTGCTTTCCTGCAGTCTTACTTCTCGTTCCTCGTGATCGCGGCATGCATCGGAAGCGCGTCGTACTTTGTGCTTCCCCAGTACTCGCTCGTCTTTGCGGTCTTCAATTGCCTCTGGTCAGTCGTCTTCGTCGAGCAGTGGAAGCGCCAGGAAATAGATCTCGCTGTGCGTTGGAACGTCCGCAATGTCTCCCAGGTCCAGAGCAAGCGCGCACGCTTCCAGCCCGAGACTGAGAAGGAAGACCCGGTCACCGGTGAGATTGTGAAGGTCTTTCCCGCGTGGAAGAGGCTTTGCAGGCAGGCTTTGCAGATCCCGTTCGCTCTGGGTGCTAGTGGAATCCTCTCAGCTCTCTATGCGTTTACTTTCGGTATCGAGATCATGATTACGGAGGTCTATAATGGCCCGTTCAAATCTGTCCTGGTATGCCACCCGCTGTGATCTCCACCGTGAATATGGCTGACCTCGTCTGTTTGGCAGACCTTCGCACCCACTGTGATCTTGACCGTCATGGTCCCAGTCCTTACGGGCATCCTCTCCGGCATTGCGACAAAGCTGACCGACTTCGAAAACTACGAGCATGAATCTGCCTACGAAGCGGCAATGGTCCAGAAAATCTTCGTCTTCAACTTCATCTGCTCCTACGTTCCCCTCTTTCTCACAGCATTCGTCTACATTCCCTTCGGCCATGTGATCGTTCCCTACATCGACGTTCTCGGCTTGATGGCTGCGCCCGAAGACGAGAAGATGGGCACGCAGGCCATCTTCGAGGTTAACCCGGGTAGGCTGCGGAAGCAGGTCATCTACTTCACCGTCACGGCGCAGATTGTGAACTTGGCCATGGAAACTCTCGTGCCATACATCAAGCGCAAGGCCTTCAAGAAGGCGAAGGAGTTCCAGGACAAGCGCAATGGAAACGAGATCCCGTACGCCAACGATGCACCGGAGGAGCGCCCATTCCTTGATAGAGTCCGGCACGAGTCGGAGCTGGGTGTTTACAGCGTTACCGACGATCTCCGCGAGATGTGCATGCAGGTATACATATTCCCCATCCACCGCAATCTCTAGTCCTAATAACCCGATCAATAGTTCGGCTACCTCTGCCTCTTCTCCCCAGTGTGGCCCCTTGCCGCCTGCTCCTTCCTAGTAAACAACTGGATTGAGCTCCGCAGCGACGCCGTAAAGATCTGCGTCGAGATGCAACGTCCAATTCCTCACCGCGCCGACAGCATCGGCCCGTGGCTCAACAACCTCGGCTTCCTAACCTGGATCGGTTCCGTGACCTCGGCTTCACTGATATACCTCTTCTCCCACACCGACACGCCCACCCCCCTGACCCTCGCCGGAATCCTCATCGCCATTGTCTTCTCCGAACATGTGTACTTCATCGCCAGCTTGGCCGTCCGCGTTGCCCTGTCGAAGCTAGACTCCCCGGGGTTGATCAAGGAGAAGCAGGAGAGGTTCTTGATCCGCAGAAGGTATTTGCAAGAGAGCATGGGCATTGATGAGGAGACGGAGCATACTGGTATTGCTGGCGCGATTAGTGTGGAGGGCGATGATGAGACTGCTTTCTGGGGGCGGCAGGAGGGCGCGCAGGGTGCATTCGCGGCTGGCATAGAACTCATCAAGAGCTCCAAAAAGGAGCAGTAGACGGTAGCTGGATGAGGGGAGTGGGAATCTATTGGCGGGTGTTATAGCGTATTTCAGTTGTCTTGTCATCATTTGCGGAATACATCCAGTTCGAGTTGCGTGTTCAACCTGAGCAATGGTCCCTCATCATTTGCACATACCCATGTATATCTATCCTACACGGCTTATTTACTCGACCACTCCAAATGATTGCCATGCGTAAAAAAAAAAAGGTGAACATTCCATTGAAAGACAAACAGCAATCCCAATAACTCTACTTCCAGAGTTTGGACAAACTCATCTCCTTGTCATCATGCTTGTTGAGGACCTTCGCGGTCGCCAGATCTATCCCCCACCAAACCATCAGTACACATTCAACCTCCACATAAGCTCACTGGGGGGCTTACCAAAGTCCTCCTGGGTAACGTGGATCCTGCGCTCACGCAGCGCGTACATTCCGGCCTCGGTACAGACACCCTTCAGCTCTGCGCCGGAGCAGCCATTCATCTTCTCGGCGATCTTCTTGAGGTCGATGCCACGAGTAAGGTTCATGGATCTCGAGTGAATACGGAGGATGTCTGCGCGGGCCTCGACACTGTTTTGTTTTTCATTAATCCCCGAAATCCGTGGGGTGGGGAGGGTGAAGGCTTACGTTGGCGGGGGGAACTCAATCTTCCTGTCAATACGACCGGGACGGAGGAGGGCGGGATCGAGGATGTCGAGACGGTTGGTGGCCATGATGACTTTGATGTTCTTTGTGGGTTCGAAACCATCGAGCTGGTTGAGGAGCTCGAGCATAGTTCGCTGCACCTCGGAATCTCCGCCCGAGCTGCCCTCCACACGACTGCTGCCGATGCTGTCAATCTCGTCCATGAAGATAATGCTGGGTGCGTGTTCCCGAGCCATCACGAATAGCTCGCGCACCATTCGCGAACCCTCGCCTATGTACTTCTGCACCAGCTCCGAGCCGGAGACACGAATGAATTTGCAGTCGGTATGGTGGGCGACGGCACGCGCAAGAAGGGTTTTCCCCGTACCCGGGGGACCGTAGAGAAGCACTCCTTTGGGCTGCGCTATGCCGAGGGATTCGAACAGCTCCGGGTGCTTGAGTCCAAGCTCGATCACCTCCTTGATTTCTTTGATCTGCTGGTCAAGACCTCCGATCATGTCGTATGTACTATCGGGGACCTTCTCGACCATCATCAGCGAGACGAGAGGGTCGACAGAGCTGGGTAATATCCTCTCCAGCCGGTAGGAGTCCGACAGCAGGGTGACACGCTTTCCAGGGGTCAACTTCGATACATCCACGCTGTCCGCAACATCGACGACTGTCGGCGTCAGTACCTAACCCAACTTGCCGCACGCGGAGGAGAGATAAGTGTACCGTATTTGCCCTCCGGATGGACCTTGACCAGAACCCGTTTGCTACCCATCACCTTGACCACCTCGCCGACATACGATCCAGGCTGTTGTAGCAATCCGAGCTCCTCTCTGAGTAGCCGTACTGCAGCAAGTCAGCGACCTCTTCCTAGAGTAGACTGGCGATGGGCGGGGGTTCAATGGAGTTGGTAGATATGGAAACTGCTATAGCAAAGCTATGCTCGCCCCACGAGAACCATGCTAGCCTAGCCCGCCACATCCTCCTCCGCACCCAGCAACACCACCGTAGTCCACCATAGCCGTCCCGCTCGCTCAAGCATACCTCGAGAGTTGTAGTCATTCCTCTGGGCTTCTAATCTCCGTAGCTTCGAGTTCCGCTCGATGATCTCCAATTTCATCGACTCGATTTTGTTGTGGAAGAAGCTATTGAGCGCCATGGCTGCTGGCTGATGTCTCGATTGTGGTCGGAGGGGCGCGTATGAAGGGTTGGTGATATATCGATCGGTATAGACGGATGGCCGATGGATGGAGATGGAGAGCGAGTTGATGATGATAGATGGGTGGGGCGGTTGATGGTAGTTTGTGTTTGGCCTGGCTTAGGATGATGATGAGCAGTGGGCTACCTTGTTACACTGATAGCACGTGATACTCACTATGATGCTTTGTCTTGGCACGCGGATTACATAAGTGATAGGAATGCATGTGGTCCCCGGGCACACCACAGTAACTTCGCTCCAATCCACGCAACATACGAGTACCTCGCCTTGCCAACCAGCATTACTCGCAGCGCCGACAAGTCTTTGACCCTCTCCCTCTGCTCAGCCGCCTCTCGACCAATAAATACAGCGCTTAATGAACCTCTCACAGCAACCCTAACCCGCGGTGCGAGTGATATTTCCAACCCTGCGGCGCCTACGTAGAACCACCAGCTAATCCCTCCCACAGGCGTCCGGTCATGGCAGCTTACTCTACTTTCTTGCCTCGCACGTTAAAAACTCGACAACCTGTTGAAAACTAATCTCCCATCGACCTCCAAAGACAGCAGTGAGTGATGCCGCCATCGCCGACTGCTTACCTTGCGGAAACTGGCCAGTTACACCCGCACCCCCGAACGGTGAAATCAAGATTGAGCAGAACAGGGGAGTCGTAAGCGCACATTCGCTCAGAGCAACACCACCGGACCGGACCGATCTTCGCTGCCGTTATTGGCCCTCTGGAGTCTGGACGAATGCATCGGTCCAGATTCCAGAGTAAGTCGGTGCACATCTCCCCCGCCCCTCCCGTGCCGAACTGCACAAACACGGATCGAGATTCAAGACCCAGTGCCCGCGAGAAAGCCGACACCGCTAGTTGCGGGAAGCTCTTTATCGATATTCTGTACCTACAGTAGTAGGGACCGGGAAATTGTGCCAATATGCGCCCTCGCAGCCAACCATCTCAAGTGGACGACCGCGAACAGAATAATGCATCATACGCTGATCCGACTATCGTATGGAGTAGCGGAAGAATTCCGGCACTGTCTTGTATACAAGTCAGTCGGTTTAGTGTTTCCAGTTTCTATGCAAACATCTTTCGAGGTTGTTCTGATCTGCTCCACCGCTCTCTGTCGGGGCCGATGCGACTACCCAGCGGGCTCACCTCGACACGGGATCAACATGAATCCTCAACTAGAGGCAGTCACCCCCAACGCCGGAGAGGATCCCAACGACAGTGGGAGGGAGGTCGTCGGTGACAAGGCTGCGGGCTCAACTGTCGGATCCACCGGACGTCTTGGCTGGTAGTATAATCGTGGACGTTCAAAACAACGCGTCGAACGACCCTTTCAAACTAGAATTGGATACTGCTGTGTCCACTGTTACAGCGGCCATCAATACTTCCACCGCCTCCACCGCCTCCATCAGCGCTAAGTATTACAGGCTCGGCGCTGCCTCATCCCCCTCAACTACGTGCCTACTCACTCAAGAACAGTTGTGCCGTGTTGCTTAGTCTACGGTGGAGTTTCGGTTCCTACATTTGGTAAATTCTCCTGTGCAGCCGCCATACGCTTTTTCGATATCACCACTTAGTTGACAGAATCGAAAAACAGATTCTCAGTGTATTGCACAAGCCACGTACCGGTACAAAGTTGTGCCGATGGACTCACCAAAATATTTGATGGTGCGGATCATGTGGTTGCACTATGCCCTCAGTATCACGAGGCTGGAGCATAATGTTCCGGAGGCGGAGGAGTAAAAGGATACCTGCCAAGCTGAAGCCGAAAAGAGGGCATGGGTTCGGGAAACATGGTTCTGGGCCAGGTTATTGAAGATCATTTGCGATGAAGAATGTGATTCTGCGAGGGGTTTTCCGCGTTACGAATTTCTGTTTGTACATACTGGAGAATGCGTCGTTGAAACCGATACATCATACCCTTCGCGTTAATCGCGCTACAGGTGGTTTTGGTACTTACAGCTGTGCGAAATTCCGCTGCCGGCGTCACGGCACCCTGGTGGGCAGCAAATATTATTATTGCGGCCACCATAGACCGACCCCATGGATACTTCCTTATCTTCCGTCGAGTGCACGTGTCCATCATAACCTCTTCGTTTCCAGTGCCCTCGGCGCAGGCATAGATACCGGTAGAGTAGATACATATTCGATACGATCAACGCTCGCCGGTAAAATGACGACGGGCCAGGGTCTGGAGATGTGATGCCAAGGGCAAGGGAACGAGAAAACGGGGGCCCGCGATCCCGAATTCGGCCTCAACTCGGGTACAGAGTACGATCGTCTCCTCCATGCAGTTGGTACGTTGCGTATTTGTACTCTATTCTGGGTACTCTAGGAGACATTGTGTGCGTCCATCTGAAATCCGTAGGGAATCTCGCTACAGTAGCGCTGATAGGTGAATACATACCGGTGATTTTACTCGATGAAGTCGCCTGGGCACTTCGGGGGTGGGGCCAACAGTGGTCAATAGTTACCTTGACAAGAAGTACCAAGTACTTGTATGTATGATACATATCATAGGTACATGGGATGTTCCCTCGCCGAAGTTAATTGTTGGACAAGCCCCCCGTAGGCAAAGTAGGTTGGTAATCGCCTGCCACAAACGATGTCATACTGGTTTTTAATATCCAGACATCCCACAGCATGCCGCGCAGTTGTATCATCGTCCTCCAACGTTTCTCCGCACGGCTGTGCGCAAGAAAAGCACGGAGACGCTGCGTAGAGTTTACTAGTGAGGGGGGAGCAGCAGTAGCGTCCGGATCAACTCTGCCGAGCTAAAGTAGTAGACTTGAGGGACTGGATGCATATCATATGTACTTAGAGCAGGTATCTAGAGCAACTACCGTGGAGGCGAGTGAAGTACTCGTGGAGTATATATCTTGAATAGAGTGGAGTGGAGTGGAGTAGAGCAGAGCAGAGTAGATATCATATGTAGAACCTAGAGTGGTGGGCGCACGAGTTGAACGTCTCCATATCAACGTCCTTCGGTACTCTACTCTACTCCAGCTGCCTGCGCTGCGTGACTACTCTGCTCCCGGTCTAGATATCGGGTCATCCCACCCTCTGCTTGTCGCGTCATCCGCCGAATCATCTGCGAGTCTCCTGCCCAACCACACACCCCACGAAAACCTGCAGAGCCCTGGTACATACCATACAGTACCGCTGCCTGCAGAGTACATAACTCTTCTCCCCCCCGCCCCCCCACTTAAAGCGAAATCATGAGCCCTGCCAAAAAGAGGACTACTGCAATCCCAGACTACCACAGCGTCGACAGCAGAATAAGAAGAAGCAGTGGCAGTGGCAGCAGCAACAGCAGCAACAGCTCCTCTTCAGCTCCTATAGCCATCCCCGGCAACTATCAGGACTCCGAGATGTCGGCCCCCGACAACAACAACAACCTCGAGGAGCAGCCGTATTCGACAAGCGCTGCAAGCGGGCGCTCGACGGGGACCGTCAGACGTGTGGGAGATACGGAAGCCGGAGTTATTCCCAGTAAGTAATCACCACCCCTACGCGGTATTATATATTCTGCGGAGGTGGCAGAGCAGATAAAACAACGGCACCAACTAACACAACCTTCTGCAGGCTCGGTCGAATCATTCAACACGGCGCGTGAACGTCCTGCCGGTGGTGCAGAGCAACCCTCAACCCTCTCGAGAGCGTCTTCGAAATCGTCCCTGCGAGATATCGTGTCACCGGACAAAAAAGTTAGAGCGCGGCCGTCGAACATACGGAGAGCTTCGTCTACACATCCGCATAAGGGGTATATACCGCCTGCATATAATTTGCGCCCCTTCTTCCCCCCCTTCTTCCCCCCCTTCTTCCCCCTCACCCCCCACCCGTGGCATTCGCTGACATCACGCGTGTTGTGTGTGCATCAGACAGGAGTTTAGCGCCGAAGACGAACCAGAAGAAGTCGAAGAGGACCAGAGAGCCCGGACGGCGTCATCGATCTCGAGCATCTCGTTTTCCGGAATGAGGCGACGGTCCCAGCTGTTGCGCCGACGGACTACGCAACAGGTACTACCCAACGTGGAGGACGACCCCGACGAGAGCTCCGATCAAGAGACGAGCCAGGCGGCTGCCCAGCAGGCTGAGCAGGACGATGTGGAAGCGGAAGAGGGCACCATGAGGGCGGACTCGTACGAATCTAGCGACGCTGGAAGCGTTAACTCCTTTACCTTGAAGGTGGGTACTTCTTATCTTGCGCGACTTTCCCGGCGGCTTTTCTGACTCCCGGACTTTAGGACCGGCAACAAGCGATCAACCAAACGCATCCGTTCGGTATCAGGATCTGGAAGCCCGCGCTTTACAAGAAGAGTAGATCCGTCCAGAAGACGGCCGAAGGCGATATCCACTCCGCTCCGGGCGGCAGTGTTGGGCCCATCTTATTCTTCGTCAACATCCTGTGGGTTTTGCTGTTCGGATGGTGGATGGCTGCCATCACCGCGTTCGCCGGTATCACTTGTTTTATATTCTTCTTCAGCTACAGCAACCGGCAATACGGAATGGTCCTTATCGGATTGGCTTATTACCTCCTTTACCCGTTCGGACGCTTCGTGGAACTGAAACAGGACGAATCGTACGCCGAGGAGGACGAAGGTGAGGGCAGGAGCATCAGTGAATACGAACAATGGCAGGCGGGCGACATTGAAGCAGGTAGAACATTCTTCGGTCCACACACGCAGCGGTCCATCGTTGGCCGCCGGAGAGATAGCATAGACACCGTTAGTGAAGCCGAGTCCCTACTCGGAGCAGGTGAGAGAACCGGGTTGATCACGGGTGTTACTGTCGGTTCCGAGAGGAAGACGAGGTTCTTCGGGCGTGGCCAGTGGAGCTTTGGGCGTGTTTTGTTCTATGCCTGGTTTTATGCGGTGATAGCTCCTATGTTACTCTTAGTGTCCGGGGCCTGTTGGCTTCTTGTCTTCTCGATACCGATGGCGAAGGTTACTTCCCTTCTACTTGACCATCTCAGGAGACATCCGTTGGCGCTATCATTCCATTCGGATCACACCTGGAGCCGGAGGCCGGGAACGCCCTCGACATCGATTTTACTGTGCACCTACCGTGCCGTCGGTTGGAAGTACTACAAGTACACCGTGGACGGTACCAATATATTCTTCATCAACCTTTTGGGTGTGGTAATTTTCGTCATCGCCGATTACTATATCCTAAGGGGCCTTTTGGCCCCTAGTGGTTTGACCGCTCCTGCGACTATATTCACCTTGGCGTTGTGTTCAGTTATTCCATTGGCTTATTTCATCGGCCAAGCGGTTGCATCCATCTCGGCCCAGTCCAGTATGGGTATGGGTGCCACGATCAACGCTTTCTTCTCCACGATCGTGGAAGTCTACTTGTACTGCGTTGCCTTGTCCGAGGGCAAGGGACGTCTGGTGGAAGGAAGTATAGTGGGCAGCATCTTCGCCGGTGTCGTTTTCATGCCCGGTATCAGCATGTGTTCTGGAGCGATCATAAGGAAGACGCAGAGATTCAACGCAAAATCTGCCGGTGTGACCTCGACGATGTTGCTGTTCTCGGTGATCGCGGCATTTGCGCCGACGTTGTTTTATCAGATCTATGGCTCGGTTTGTGCTTCTATGATGTTCGCACCGTGTTACATACTGACCTTGTTCGACAGTACGAGCTTAGCTGTGTTTCCTGTCAGTCCTTGGGTACACCGTATGACGCCGACTGTCGCAGATGTGCCTTTTACCAGACACCACCCACTCCTGGCGACCGGTTTTACAAGCAGGCTGTCCAACCATACGTTTGGATCTCAGCCGCTTTCTTGTTCATCTCATATGTTGTCGGTTCGTGGTTCACCCTGAGAACGCATGCCGCTCTCATTTGGCAGGCGCCTCCGACCGCTCACCCCGCACCCGTCCACGGCCCGAGCAGTGCCCATGGAGCTGCCTCTTCTGCCGCCGATGCTTCGCGCGGATTCGCACGGTACCAGGATGCCAGTTCCCTTCATGGATATGATGCCCGCACACCTGCATCTATCCATGAGTCCCAGCTCTACAAACGCATCCTTGGGCAATCACTCGGCAGTGCCGGCTTCCGACAGGACGGCACACCAGCGGCGCCAGGAACAACTTTGCATAGGGCGCCTCCGCGGTCCGCGGGTGATACCCTTTCACCGGTTCAGGAAGATCCCAACCAGATGGACGCCGCTCCACAACCTCCCGTCAGTATCCCTGGTTTGTCGAGCGAAGAGAACGCACGTCTGGTTCATGGCGTGGCTGAGATGGCTGCCGCGGCCGCCGCTGCTGCGGTGCAAGATGTCCAACGGCACAGCGTGAGACGAACGCCGACGACGCCGAAGCCAGCACTCACAACGATGGCATCCGCCATGGACGAAGATGTTCCCGTTGGTGGAGAAGCCGCGGACGCAGGTGGTCACGACGCCCCCAACTGGGGCAGGACGAAGAGCTCCGTCGTTCTTTTGGGCGCCACTGTTTTGTATGCGGTTATTGCCGAGATCCTTGTCAATACCGTCGACGTTGTTCTAGAGAACTTTGATATCGATGAGAAGTTCTTAGGATTCACTCTGTTTGCTTTGGTTCCTAATACTACTGAGTTCTTGGTAACAATCCCCATTCTATATCTACCGGTAATGCCAGCCTGCTGACACTGCATCCAGAACGCTATTTCCTTTGCGATGAACGGAAACATTGCCTTGAGTATGGAGATTGGTTCGGCGTACGCTCTGCAAGTGTGTCTGCTTCAGATTCCAGCATTGGTCCTGTTCAGCGCGATCTACAGTACTTCCCTCGCCCCCGAAGACTTGATCAGCCACACGTTTAGCATGATCTTCCCGCAATGGGATCTCGTCACGGTTATTCTCTGCGTGTTCCTACTTTCGTACATGTACGGCGAGGGAAAGAGCAACTACTTTAAGGTAAGACAACGTCTCCATGCCACTACCGCACTCAATACTGACGCACGCAGGGCACCATCCTTATCCTGAGTTACTTCACGGTGGCGATGGGCTTCTACTTTAGTTCGTACGCCCTGAAGGACCAAGATGACTCACAGATCGTCAGTCTGGGGTCCGGTACCAAGGGCACGGGGTTCTACATGCAGGCGAACCATTAGATTGTATTCGGATTCGTTGTTTACTTTGGCTGATACCCTCTGCATATCCGGTGTTTGGTTTCTTCTTTTCTTCTTTTCTGTGGCATTCTGTCCTCCTGTGTTGTGTTTGCTGGGGTCAACGGTTGCTACCCTCACCTGTACTAGAGAAGACTAGGTTGTGTTTTTTTACATCATTAAGTTTGTGCTGAGAAGATGAGCTTCAGTGGCAAATAATGGTAATCTTATACTGTATACTTCGTCGTTGTCGGTGATAGTACACACCCGTGGCAGCTGAAGCCGCCGCCTACAGTTTGCCATCATGCTCGCCCTTGAGCCTCTCCACCCTCTTCTGCTCCCAGTTATCAATATCCTTGGTAGCCAGTCTCTATAAATCTCACCCAGCGATTAGATTAGAACTCCGCCGCGCAACACCCCCATCATCATCCACAGCCAGGCGCGCGTGCATGCATACGTAGTACTCCTCGTTAAGATCGACCTTGCGGCGGTCCTTACTCAAACCCATAGCCTCGTCCTGCGAGATGCGCTGCACCTTGCGGTCGTGCTTCTCGTACCGCAGCGCTGTCGCGGGCGTCAGAAAGAAGCTGCCCGCTACGATCGTGCCGATGAAGGGCAGCCCGAATAGAAGGAACGGGTGCTTCGCGAGGTGCCGCCGGTAAAGCGCGCCGATTGTTCGCTCAGCACTCGCGGAGGACGAGCGGAAGGATTTGGAGGTGAAGGTCGGCATCGAGTGGAGTGGAGTGGAGGTTTGGTGGTGGTGGGGGTGCGGTTGGGCCGTTGGCATGTAACTTAGTCGCGTGGAGCGGGAGGCGTGGGGCGGCGGGAGGTCGTGGAGTTAGGTTACGCTACTAAGGCATGGTTAGCGTGGGTTTGGAGGATGGGATTTGGCCGATTGCAGGGTAACTACTAGCAACTCGCACGCTCTGAAATTTTTCTGAGCGGGAGGGGGTTTAAAGGTTCGAGCGTGTCCGTCCCTCCTGTTTCCTTCTTTCTTTCCACACCGTATCGCACCGGCATGAGCTGCAGACACAGCAGCAGACACAGCTTCCCGCCGATGAGCGGGCACGGTTTATGGTATGTTACTCTCCTCTCCACTCCCTCAACCCACTCCCTCCACTACATACCTCCTCCGGAGCCACTTCTTCTTCCAAATGATGAGCTATTCGTGTCGCCCCTATCAGACCATGGTCATGGTGATTACACCTGTCTTTTCCAAACGGACGTATCTGATCTTGAAGAAATCCCCCCACTTTTCCCACACATCTCACACACTTTTTGCTCCACGCGCAGTTGCTAACTCTGCACCAGACATCCATCTCCATCCCACCTTCTTCCCAACCTACCTTTTCACCTCACCTCTCACCTCGACCCGCCAGGCGGCGAAACAACTAATGTAAGATTTTTTTTGGCTTTCCCCCACACTGGCGAACCAGCAGCAGGGCAGCAGTAAAAAGAACACACGGAATACACCAGATGATGTAACAAATACCATGCTAATGCATACGGGCGGTCAAACGCCTAATGATTGAGAAAACTATTCGACTTTTCATCTTTCGACTGATTTTGTGGATTCCGGAAAAATGTGTTTCTGCTGCCTACTGCCTGCTGCGGCGAAGGGGGGGAAGGGGATGTGAAAGGGCAAGGTGGCTGATTCGAGAAGTGGTGGACAGATTTTCGAGGTGAAGAGGATAGATAGGATGGAGTGGTAAAGGGAATGAATGATTGAATGCAGCGATGATTATGGGGATTTTGAGACCGTGCTGTGTGATGTGATAAGGTGTGATGTGGGTGGTCGTGAACAATGTGCTATTTCAACTGTGATCTCTGAACGTCATTGACATCCATTCTGCCTGATGTACGCACTCAAGTTTGGCGTTTCGAGTAATGTCGCCAGGCTTGAGTCCACACCGCGTGTCTGTTGCGGTTGGTATCCACAGTCTGGTTCGAATATGTAGGAGCTGGCAGTCTACCAGGAACTACATCCGCGGGACTAGATGTATGTAAAAGGAAATACCTTATCGAGACTCCTGACGGCCGCACCAGAACTCACTCGCGGTTCGACCACGACCTCCCCTTCCCCCACCGTTATCGAGTGCTCAGCGTACAGGCCTAGTCATCCGAGAATTTCTGCGTCTTGGAACAGGAGTACATGTAGCTGTGGTACATTGATACCAGCTGGCTTGACTGCTCCTCGAACGGGTATGCATACGTGTCTACGGATATCACACCCCTTGGGGTGAAAATACGCCTGGTGTGAGTCGTGACATCGTGGTAGCTGGAGATCTTCATGCCCTCTCACTCAGCGTATCTTGAGGATGGATTGTTGCTGAACCGATTGACCCATGATTCAGTCCTTATAATTGGCCGACCATCATGACTGTCATCGGATGAGACGGTAACGACTTCCTTATGCCATTTCTGTTGAAAAGAGCCCGAAGACACGAGTGATAGCAATACCGTTACATATCCAGCTTCTACTTGAGGCGTTCAAATTTGTAACTACTTGGTAGGCACAGTAGAGAACAGGTACAGGTACAGGTATGCTCGAAACACAACTTCTATCGGCTACCGAAAGATGTCTCCATGCCACCGATAATATGCAACCTCCATCAACCTACTTCAGCCAACGTGCATACGCCCTGGATCATTCGCTCGTCAGCCTTTTCCCGCGCACTGCGGACCAGAACGGAAGTGAAACTCACCATCGAATCCTCTCGACAACCTTCAATTGCTTCTTGACACCGCCCCTCACATCGACCAGCTCCTCCAGGTCCGCCACGAAATCGCCCAACAGCGTGCGGTTAAGCACCATCCTCGCGTCCTCCATAAGGACGTGGACCTCGCACAGCAGCAGCCCGTGCTCCTTGTAGTTCAGACAACCCTCGTTCTGCCCCCTGATGGCGCCACTGCCCGTAAGGATTCTGTCGACATTTCGCAGTCTCCTAACGATTTGTGCACGCTGATGCCCGCCCTTCTGCTGCTTCCCGCGAAACATCCCGGCGATCCACCGCGCGGTGACGACAGAGATGAAGAGTCCTGGGGTCAGTCCGACGAAGCCGAAGACGAGCTCTTGCGACTTAAGCAAGCGGTCGATACCTGTGATGGCGACTTCGACGTCGACCTTTGTCTTCTGGATTTGGATGAGAAGGGCACGTACGAGCTCGCCCTTGATAGCGCCCTGGAAAGGCTTCCGGAGGTCGTGCTCGTAGGCTTTGAGGACAGGGGTGAGATCGCCCTCTTTGACGTTTGCGCGAACCAGCTCGATTTCCTGGGTGGAGAGGGACCCCGTGCCGTTGGGATTGTCGATGGCGAAGTCGACGACCATGCGCTCCAGACTCTCCATGTCTGCCGCCAGACTCTTGCGGCTCATGAGCGCCACCTCCGAGTCCTCGCTGTGGCGGATGGTGCCGATGACTTTGCGTGTTGGCTCGACTACCCAGTTGGCCCAGAAGTCGATGATCGTCGTACCGAGCTCCATGATCCACGTTTTGATCTCCTCCTGGCGGTTGACGAGGATGCGGAGGATCGTCGTGGACGATAGTAGAAGTGCTGTTGCGGGGAGCCAGTACCGGGTGAGCTTGGAGGGTCGGCCGTGCGTGCTCATGATCTCCCTTGAAGCGGTGGCTTGCGCCGGTAGGTGCTGGACCAGTATGTCTTGCAGGTGCGCGCAGAGCGCCGCAGTGGCTTTATTCGGGGGATTGTTTGTTTTTATCTGCAAGGAACCTGACGATCCGTGCGTATTTTCCTCTCCCTCCTCCGAGTGAAAGTCGAAGACGCTTTCTTCGAATTCATTCAGTGATTGTGCTTCAACCAGGGAGACGTTGCGCACAACATTCTCCATCAACGACACCGCGCGCTCGATGATACCCCGCCATTCGTCATGGTCACCATCAAACTCGAACGAAAGGCCCTCGCCAATCAGCAGTCCCAGCGCCGACGCCTGCATCTCACGCAGCTTCCGGATGCTAGCTTGCTTCTCACGGATCTCGTGTCTGGCGAGGGAGAACGGAGACATGGCAGTGAAGCGGTGGAGGGTAACCCGGTCATGAAGCGTATTCTTCACCAATCCGTAGAATTTCCGTGCCGTTTCCGACAATGGTTCAGACTTCCGTGGCTGCTCTTCCTGCTGCCGAGGTTCATTTCTTGGTGATAACGGGGAACCGGGACGCATAAACTGTGGCCGCTCCATCTCCTGAAGCTCCTTCAACCGCCTCCGGCTCTCCGCTAGTACCTCCTTTGAGAACGCCAGCAGCCTGTGCGGCGATGTCTGCAAACAGTACAGCGCAGTGTACCGGTAACTCGACAGCACCTCATCCCAATAAAACAAGTCTTGCGACAGCGGGAGCGTCTGATCAACGAGCGAGTTAAGAACAATCCCGTAAGTTTGAATCGCCGCCCTGCTGAGCAGCAACCACTCCAGCTCGCGCTCATACGTCCTATGTTCCCCGGCCTCAGCCGCATTGAATCCTGCCGCCGCATTTGTGATGTTCGCCTCTTTCAGCAGGGCCATCAGCTTTTGTGATGACTGATTCCCGTCTACGGCGCTTCCTAGCTGGCGGATCACCCGCTGGAGGGTTTGTGCGTGCTCTGAGGGGACGAATTGTCGCTGTCGGTCATGGTGGGCCGTTACGGATTCGGCGGCAAAGCTGCGGTGGGAATCAGTAGCGGATGGGGGCTCGGTGATCGGTATCCGCTCGAGCTGGGTTAGTTGGAGTTTTTCGAGTGAAGCATCGAGGCGACGAATCTGGCTGGACGGGCGAAACACAATGATGTCAGCGGCTCTCGTTATGTCTGAAGAATTGCGGTATGCACGGTGGACCCTTACGCTGAGGCGAACGTCATCACGCCAGAGAACCCTCAACTAACAAACTTTGAAGAGAGGAGTGATGTGAAGGGCACGAGCGGTGAGTGGATGGTGCTTGCAGTTGATGGCGAACAAAGTGGGGGGAGTTAACTACGGGCTGGAATGGGTTCTGGCGGGAGCGGAAACTAGGATCATGATTGAACGAGACTATCGGTTTAGTGTCACCTGGCTGGCACGTCTCGAGCTCTCTCTTTGGCTACAAAGCTGATACCATCCATTCATACTTGCTTGGACGAGAGTGCGGGGTTAACAAAGCCGTCATATGCACACTCTACTCCGCCGACCAGGCCAGGCCGAAGCGGGGGTGAGTGATCGAACGTGAGTAGACATTGGTGCCTGGGGAAGATCTATCGGTAATAGTGGGCCTCATGGTCCACCAAATCCCACCTGCTCTCAGATATTTGGACACTCGTTGTTTCCCGCGATGAACATGTTCGAGCTTCGCTTCCGTTTGAACTCCACCCTGGGCCCTGGCTCGGTATAAAAATATCTTCACTGCCTGAGTAATAAACATGTGTGTAACCCAGGTCCACCGTCCACGCGTTCTTGGCCCCAACAGACTGAAGGCACCCTTGTCTCAGAACTTACTCTCGTCACGAACCATTAACGTTTCTCCCACCAACCGCAGCGTCTTCGAATTGTTTCCACGTTCTGTCCATCTTCCCATAAGAATCCACAGGAGAGGTCTCCGCCGCAGAAATGTTGGCCCGCATACGAGGAGCAATAGACTCGCAGATAGCCGCCGAGCAAGCCAAGGCCCGAGCCACGTCGTCATCACCATCCGCAGGCCGTCCATCGCGCTCCTCCTCCCGCGCCCGCAACGCCCCAAAACCTGGCGAAGTCGAGAAGGATCCGTCGGAATTCGAGGAGAGCGATGTCGCTACTACACCTGTTGCCGGAGGAACTCCTGTGCGCGCGGGAACGCCGGTGCTGAGCGAGGCCGTGACGGACGATCCGCTTGGTGCGATGGGGGGAGGTGCAGGTGGTGGGGACGAGGCGAAGGAGAAAGACGTGAAGGACAAGCCCCCGGCGACAGCAACGGATGCGCCGAATAAGACGGCCGCGCTGGCGAAGCCCGCGCCCAGTACTGGCAGTCTTGCGTCCAACCCCGACCTCCCCACGGAGGTCAGAGTCAAGCTTAGGAAGCTTGAGAAGATTGAAGGCAAATACGCAGGTACGTAAAAAATTCCATGTGGAGGGCGGGGTGCGCGGGGTTGCAATTGACATCGGCGGCTTATTCCTGGCAGACTTGCTGAGGTCCTACAAGATCGTGCACGCGCGCAATTCACTCATCGAGCCGTTCGAGAAAGCGCTGCGCGAGAATACACCAGTCGAGTCCATCGCGGACCCCAGGTCGCTCATTGACTACATCAATAGCTTTTCGCTGCGCTCGGATATGGTGAAGGAGGAGTTGATACGGGTCTCAAAAGAGAAGGACGAATACAAGGCCACGGCGCAGAAGTTCCAAGATCAGCTGGACAATAAGGAGAAGGAGCTCAAGAAGGGCCAGGAGAAGAGGACAACGAGGGACTCCAAGAAGTCGGACGATATCTTCAATTTCGATGAGGAGCACGACGACCTAGGAGCCAAGCTCAAGGAATTGGAAAAAACCACCACATCTCTCAGATCCGAGCTCGAGACTGCGCAGCAGGCCAAGAAGGTTGCCGAGGAAGCAGTCGAAATCATGCAGAGGAGCGTCGAAGATGCCCAGAGCGAGCTGGAGGGTCTCCGGGAAACCGGCAAAGCAAAGGATACCGAGATTGGCAGCCTACACAGCAAGGCCAAGGTTTCCGCGAAGCAGATCGAGGAGCTCAACGGCAAAATCGAGAAGCTCAGTAGCGAGTTTGAGAGGCTATCCACAGAAGCCAGCGAAAGCCAAACAACTACCGACACCAGATCCAAGGAGGCTGCAATTAACGCTTCTGCGCTAGAAGTAGCCAAGAAGGAGCTTGATGGCCTATCGAAGAAGCTCGAGGTAGAAGTCAAGACGTCCGAGCAGTTGCGCAAAACAGTCAAAGGTCAGCTAGAGCAGTTGGTCAAGTCCAAGAACGAGTCTACAGAAGCAAAGACGAAATTGGATGCTTCGACCAAAGAACTTGAGCGACTGAAAACTATCAAAACCGGTCTCGAACGAGCAGTCGTCAAGCTGGAAGGACAACTGCAGCAGACCAATAGTAGCGGTACCGCTACTCCTTCCCAGCGCCCGTCCACGCCCATACCATCGACTCCTACAGCTTCGGAAGGTGTAGGTGGTGGTAAGAAAAAGAAGAACAAGAAGAAGAAGAAGGGTGGCCCCGCCATCTCAGCCGCATCGATCGAGGACCATCCTGTAAAGGAGAGCGAGACAGTTGACGACGAGCCCGAGAACGATGCCACACCAACAACGTCATACTCAGAAACCATCATCGCCGAGCTCCAAGGCCAACTGGAACAATTGAAGCAGGAGCTCACCGAGAAGGATACTCGGATATCAGCCCTTGCAGCGAAGGCTAGGCAAACAGAATCACTAAAGGAGGAGATCGAATCTCTCCGTGATGACCTTGTTGATGTTGGCCAAGACCATGTAGTTGCACGGCAAAAACTCAAAGAGCAGTCCAAAGAGTTAATCGACATCAATATGCGAAAGCAAGAGTTGGAGACCACCATCGAAAAGCTTGAGGGTGAAGTCCGCGAGCTAAAGGCGAAGCAATCATCGGTGACCGACAAGGCATACAAGACGCTGGAGACCGACTTTGCCAAACTTAAGGAGTCCGCGTCGGCTCTCGAAACTGAGCTTGCGGCAGTACAGCGTCTCGCCGAAACACGGTTCAAGGACATCACCGAACTCAAGGGTGTGATCGAGAAGGCCCAGCCCGAGCTTGCGTCTCTGCGGACCGAAAATGCATCTTTGTCAGCGACCAAGAACGACATGAGCAAGCAGCTTGTAGACCTCAAACGTCTGGAGCGGACCGAGCGCGACCTCAAGAACGATCTTCAGATTTTGAACAGGAAGATGACCGACAAGGACAATGAGATCTCTTCCCTCCGTAAGAAGAGTTCCGAAGAAGCTTCCAGGCGGCTCAAGTCTGAAGAGGAGGCTGCCTTGATTTCGAAGGACTTGCGCAAGGTGGAGGCAGACCGCAAGAGTGCCGTCGACGTCGCTGAGCGACTGAAGGCCGATCTCTCGCGCGCCCAGGAGGAGGTGGCTACGCTCAAACAGGAGATTGCCGCTCTAGAGAAGGAGCAGAAAGGCCTCCGCGCACAACGAGATGAGCTGAAGGAAGAACTGGAGCTCAAAGTTGCACAGCTGGACAGCTCGCAGAGCCTGATGAACTCCATGCGCGATCAGACTAGTGAGCTAGCGATGCAAACGCGTGAGGCCCAGGAGCAGCGCGAGTCTACTGAGGAGGAGCTCGCTGAGGCTCGCCGCCTACTTACGGAGCGGACCCGTGAGGCGGAGACGATGAGACGCATGCTCAGTGAGGTTGAGACGAGGCATGAGGTGCGGTCTAGGGAGATGAAGGAGCAAATCAATACGATTTCCGATGAGAGGGATAAGGCGGAAGAGGAGGTCGCGACAGTTGGACGGAAACGGGCAAGGGAGATCGAGGAGTTGAAGGATCGGCTGAGGGATGCCGAGAGAGGCCTACGCCGAGCGGAAGAGGCACGGGAGCTGGCTGAGAAGGAACTGGGTGGGCTCAAGGATGCCAAGCTGAGAATGCAGGCGTCATTGGAAGAGAAACACCGTGAGTTGGAAGATACCAAGAGGGCAATGTCTAGTATGACTTCTGCCTTGGATGATACCGACGGTCAAGTACGTGAGATCGAACGACAGAAGTCGGAGCTACGAAGCAGGGCCGAAGAGGTTGAGACTAAGTTTGAGAGAGTGCAGAAGCAGCTCAGGGTACACCATCCTTTCTTTCCCTCCTGCTACCAGAGTAATAGCTAACGTGGTTATTCTCCAGGCGCTCCAAGATGAAGTCCGCTCGAGCAAGACTGCACGCGCCAAGGCCTTCGACAACGACGCCAGTGTCTCTCGATCATCTATAGATTCCCGGACCTCACGCCCCATGTCCCCGCGAGCCGCAGCACCGAACGGTGGCGTGGACCTGACGTATCTCAAGAACGTTTTACTACAGTTCATGGAGTTAAAAGATAAGAACATACGGGTGCAGTTGATTCCCACGCTCAGGATGTTGCTGGAGCTTGATGGCAATGAGGAGCGGAAATGGTTGCAGGCTGTGCAGTAATGGGGCTGATTCTATGGTTCTGGGGGGGGGGGGGGGGGGTTTGGTTGATCGGCGTTCTGTTATCTTGTGTTCTTCGCTACGTCCGCTGGATGGGAATGTGTAATGTTTGGTTGCGACGAGAAATTATGGCTTTACAGATCAGTGAATATGATTTCTTACCGGCCAGGTCTTTGGCAGGTCTTCCGCTTCTTGTGCGGCCGGTGGACCCTGGAAACATGAGCTAGCACTCGTCAACGGTCCGCGCTTATTTTTTCTTCAAAATTGGGGAATATTGCTTCGCTCTGTATGTTCCTGACAAGAGAAAGAGGAAGCGGCAGTGGGCGAGGTCATTGCGGATAATATCCTGAGAAATAGTCGGGTTGAACTGAAGACTTGAGTGTTGCGCGTCTGTGAGAATGGAACCGATTGACGTACGTTGGAGATGGATTATTTACGATCGTGATCAATCGAGGCCCAGCACATCTATAATAGTCTAGGGATGTATCGAATAAGTAGCGCCCCTTAGACTAGAGCCATGCTCGAGGGTTCTAGAGGCAGGCACATCTGCGAAGAAGCATATTTTGAGCTATCTAGGACTGAGATTAGGGTATGTTGACAATAGAGGTTGCTGTTTCTCTTTGTGGTAGTACAAGGATTACCTACGACGCGAGTGAGTTTGCATGAGGAAGTACAGCTTCGAGTCGACGTCCTGGTTATATGATACCTGCATTACTTTAATCCGGGGGAGAAGGTCACCATCGGCACCGCGGAGAGAAGAATCCACCGAGAATAATGCCAACTAAGAACTCAGGGACTGCACAGGTACTATACCGGTCGTCCATTCCGCTGGTGGGGTGATCCTGAGCCTTTCGTACATATGTGTTCGGAGCAACTAGTCCGTCCGGTCGGTTCAATTCGCCCTCCCTTAAACATTCCATGCAACTCGTGCCAACTCCTTCGGCATTCTCGAAGGTTTTGCCCGTCCCGTGGTCCCCAAGCCCGCCTGGCCCACATACATAGCCATCCGAACCTAGAAGTCAAACAGTCTATTTCCGTCACGTCAAGGCCCCGAGTCCCTGACTTAAGGGCCAGTTCGGTTGCCAGCTGCATTTTGAATATACTGCACAAAATTTAGATGCAGTTTCAAACCCCTCAGTTTACCGGCGATGGGTGAGATGGGTGAGCGTTCCGCACACCATCTCAAGTTGACAATTTGCGAAACTGCATATTGTCGACTGAGCCACAATGCAAACAAAAAGTGTGGCGTGCTGTTGAATATCTGGGTTGCGGAACGGGTCCTCGGGGGAAATGAGAGAGTTGCGGCTGCAGCTTTGGCAACCTTCAACTCGTCCGAAACCCAAGGTTTGAAAATGCAGCTAGCAACCAAACAGGCCCTAAGGATTTATACATATCGTGCCGATGGATGGATCTTGATTCTCCACTCGAAATTTGAACGCCGGGCTCGCCAAGTCTCGCTTAACCACCAGCGTGCACGCGAAATTAAGAGGACGGGCGGATAGGGAGGGAACCCTGTGTGCATCTCCCGTTTGTGGCGGAGGGGCTTGGTCCGTAGGAAGGTGGGGGGAGGGGGGGTGGGGAAGGGAGCTTCTGGTATGGGAGGCTCTGGGCTGTGGATTGGTATCGACCATGGTGGGTATTGTTGTATGGCTGGTGGGATAACAGTGGTGAGACGAAGAACAGGTACAGCATGTGGCAGCCTCGCCCCGGTGTTGGCAGGCCGACATTGTTGGATTAGCTTAGAATCGTTAACCAGTAACCAGAGGAATAAATTCATCGTTTCCCCAAATTCTTGATCTGTCGATGCTATTGGCGGCGGCCACGCGGGTGCGCTAGCGGCCATATATCGCGAGAAGCTGTCTCCGCCGCCCGCCGCCAGTGGCTTGGCAGCCCGGCGGTGTTCTCAAATCTCTCTCATACGAAAGATTACGACCTGCCCGCCTCGAACTCGGTAGCCGGGACGGAGGCCGCTCTCGGATGAGCTGAAGCGACTCGACTCGGGCTCGAACTTGTGGCCTATCGGCAGCCACACCTGATTCGCTCGCACATTGAGAGGACAAGAAACAAATCGACGTGCATCTAGGTAGGTAGCTTATCTCATGATTGGATCAAGGCGTCCAAAGATTAGGAATGGTATGTAGGCAAGCCGCGGACACATCTCTTCTCCTTCTGCTCCTTGTGACGTTAAACCGTGCGATAAACTCTCAGCCTTTGTTGTGTCGCACTCCGGCAAGATCCCGCTGTTCCAGTGCACATAGAACGGATAGGTAGAGTGCTCCACGCCAACAGCAATTCCCCATGTCTGTAAGCTTCAAGCGTCCTGCCATGGAGTTAGAGATAGGTTTTATAGACAGTTATCTACATAGAAAGATAGTCCAACGTCGTACTCGCACCTGCTATGGAGAGCTGACCAGACACCGGACAATTAACCTTGAACCTGTCGTGCGCGTGCTAAGCAGCTACTCTACCTACAACTGGAAGCAAAGTAACTGCCACCAGCACTTGACTTCCAAGACCCCAACCAGTGTCAGTTGAGTGAGTCCCTTTCCTCATCTCTCTCTTTCGCCTCAACCAACAACCACCACCGCCAGTAACACACACCAACCAACCAACAACGCAACCGACCTAAAAAACTTCCATAACTGCTTTCAATTATCGACGTCGCCTCACCTCCCCCCGTTCACATAACTCGATCATCTGAATCCCGCCCGTCCGTCCGTCCTCACCAACAATCAACTCTTCGGCTTCTTTCGCTTACGCGTCCCCCCATCCCACAAAATGGCCGGCTCAAGGAACTACGACTTTCTGGTACGCACATTCTTCCGTGCATTCCGGAATGCGAGAAAGAGAGAGAAAAGGCGGAAGAAAGAAACCATGCAAGGAGTGAAGCTGCAGTTACTTCTCCAAGCTGCGGCAGAGAAAAGAGAGAGAGAAAGAGAGAGACTGAGAGGAACTCGGAATCAAGAGAGGCGACGTTTGCTGACGAGGATCTTGTTTCTCCGTACAGATAAAGCTACTCCTAATCGGCGATTCTGGCGTCGGAAAGTCGTGTTGTCTGCTGCGTTTTAGTGAAGACAGCTTCACACCAAGCTTCATTACGACAATCGGAATCGATTTCAAGATCCGGACCATCGAGCTGGATGGAAAGCGGGTGAAGCTTCAGATCTGGGACACTGCTGGTAAGAACGCCACCTGTCCACCCACCACTATCCGCCCCCACCCTCAGATATTGGCTTTTTTTTATCTGCTTCCATTCGTTCCGAAGGTTTTACTGACGATTTGAACTTGATATAAACAGGACAGGAACGCTTCCGGACCATCACGACAGCGTACTATCGCGGTGCTATGGGCATCTTGCTTGTCTACGATGTCACCGATGAGCGCTCTTTCAACAGTTAGCGCTCCCTCCCCCGCCACCCCTGTTTCTTGTTTGGGCTGGTTTCGTTTATACAGAGCACTGAAACATTGGATATTACTACAGACATCCGAACGTGGTTCTCCAACGTAGAGCAGCATGCGACCGAGGGCGTCAACAAGATACTGATCGGCAACAAGTGCGATTGGGAGGAGAAGCGAGCTGTCTCCACCGAGCGCGGCCAGCAGCTTGCTGACGAGCTCGGCATACCTTTCCTCGAGGTCTCGGCCAAGAGCAACATCAATGTGGATAAGGCTTTCTACAGTCTTGCGACCGACATCAAGAAAAGGATCATGGATACGACCAAAGCTGAGGAGAGGCAAGGTGCTAACCCGAACTCGATTGACCCGAGCCGGGAGGGTGGAAGCGTTGGAGGGAAGTGCTGTTAGAGAATTTGAGAGAGATGGTGGGGGGCATACATGATTTGCCAGGGAGAGGCGGAAGTTGTGGGCAAGGAGAGAGCGAGAGAGCGAGAGAGAACTACAGAGATGGAGAGAGAGTTCGGACTGTATGCTGTGGGATGTCTTTTTCCACAAGAAATGGCCTTTTATTGTCTTTGCACGAACGACGCGACGGTTGGAATGGCTTGCTTGCTTGTTATAATGTCTTTGATTTTTTTCTACCACTTACCAGGTGCTTTTTGTTGGTCTTTCGTCGCTTCTGTGCTTTTCTTACATTGTCTATTTATTCCATTTCACCATCTGTCAAGTCAAGTCATTCTCTCTCAGCGTCGCCACAGCCTCTTGCTGTATGCTGCTTGGAATTTGTAAATCTCTCAGACGGGTTCAGGGCGGATAGAAGATATGGGGTTTCCACGAGACGAGAACGACCAGACAGGCACTGGGTGAGTGACACTATATGAGCTCGTGACCGTACGTGTAGACGCAGAGTAGATGTCGGGTGTTGGGTAATATGTATAACAACTCTATTTTTGCGATCCTTCGTCCACCGCAGTCCCGCCGTGTCCCCACGCACCCGCTAAACCTCAAATCGAGTACAATTCGTCGTTGGCAGAGACCAACGTCTACTCCTCCTCGACGTACCGGTGGCGGATGTCCTTCCACTGCCGGCCACGGTTGATGCGGTCCCAGATCTTGTCGCTGGTGGTGTCAAAGAGCCTTTTTATTATCTCGTCAGCAAGGGGGGAAGAGGTTGGAGCTGGTGCGGGGGGTGGCGGACATCTCGAATGCGAATGCGCCGGTGAACACTGCGCCCACGAAGATGTGGTTGCGTCGGAAGACGGCGTTGTAGATGGTGTTTGTGAGCTGCTACTCTGTCAGTTTGGTGGCATCGTTTTGGAGCGGGGCGGGGTGTGCGTACGGGCATTGTGTCGGTGTCGGTGTGGAGGGGAGAGTATCGGGAGTGATGGTGGTGTGGTGGTTGCGAATGTGGATATGAGTGGTGCAGCGGAGGAGTGAGGATTCAATTGCCGGATCGGAAGGAGCCGGGTAACGGAGACGGGGGCTGGAGGTAGTAAGCCATCTTCGGACACGCTGATTGGTGTGGGCAAGTCGCGCTCCCACTAGGACAAGACGCGAACTCCCAGGTTTCCCGTCACAGCTGCAAACCTCAACCTTAACATCCACCGTACGAACTCTCTTCACCGACTCGCAACCACGCGCCCGCCCACACACCTCCACTACTACGATCACGACTCCAGCCAACATGTCCCGCGCCGCCGCCACCACCGCCGCCCCCAAGAAAGTCAACAAGCCGCCAGTGGCCGTCAGTGTGCCCAACCCGCTCCTGGAGGTTCTCGACATAACCCCGCACCCACGCGGCTTCAAGAACGCGGCGTACAAGGCTCCGCTCCGCCGCAACAAGAACCTCAAGGCGATCCTCAGCGACGCCACCAATGCCGACCCGAACCGTCTCAACCCCACCACCAAGCTGCTGCAGCCCACCTACCAGAATATCGAGAGTGCGCCCAGTCTGAGGAGGGGGAATAAGTGGTGCGATATTACTGGACTACCGTCGAGGTATACAGACCCCAAGACGAAGCTGAGGTTTCGCGATGGTGAGGTCTATCAAGTCCTCAGGAATCTGGGCGCCGGCGGCGCGGAGAGGTATCTGGAGGTGCGTGGGGCGAATGTGATCCTGAAGTAAGGGGGATTGAGGCACTTTGTAGCTGGCGTTATGGGATCGGGAGTTTGTTTGTTGGAAAGCGATTGAATTTCATAGCATTTGGTACTGTACAGTGTACTGGGTGATAATAATAGAACTGTTTGTGCACGACAGTCGAGAAGAAGGGAACGTAGATCGTCCATCACAACATCATTTCCGTACAAGCTCATCCATTTACACGCCCTTAAGCTCCTGCTCTACCTCGACAACCGGCGGCGTATGCGTCCCCTTTGCCCTGATTTTCTCGGTCTTATTGACAATAATCTCAAACGCCCTAGCCAAATGTCGCTCCTCTATCTTTGGATTTCCACTGACGACACGGATAGCATACGTCCCATCAACGACCGTGCTCGTGATGAAGATCTCTCCATCCGCATTCACGGCCTCATACACCTCTTTCGTGATCTCGTTTCTTGCCTTCAGGCCAACACCCTCACCCTCCCCAGGCTTAACCGTGAACACTGTAAGCCCAAACGCCGGCGGCGTAAAGATCTCAAACAGATCCAGCCTGCCCTCAACGTTGTTATAGAACCCCGTTCCAACAGTCACACAGTTCCTGATATGCTTCCTGAGGCCCTCAGCACCATACGTACGCATGACAAACCACGCCTTCAGCGCCCTAAACCTCCTTCCCAGGGGGATCTGCCAGTCTCTATAATCGGTGACCAGTCCCTTCTCGGAGAACTCATTCCTGAGGTAACTCGGGGTGATGCTCAGAGCGTTGAGCAGATGCTTCCTCTCGCGCACGAACAGGCAGCTGCAGTCGAAATTCGTCAACAGCCACTTGTGCATGTTCATATTGAAGCTGTCGAACGTCTCAACGCCGGCGATGAGCGGCTGGTACTCGGGACAGACGAGGGCGGCACCCGCGTACGCCGCGTCCACGTGGATCCACAGCTGCGGGTAGTCCTGCCGGATGGAGGCGATCGACGCGAAGTCGTCGATTGCGCAGGTGCTCGTCGTGCCCAGCGTGACGGTCGTGTAGAAAGGCACTAGGCCGTCGTCGACGGCTGCCTCGAGCGCCGCGCGGAGTGTCGCCGCTGTGAGTGTGTAGTTGCTCGTCCCTGAGTGCCGTGGAACGGTGATCGGGCGGTACTTGGTCCCCGCGATTAGGCAGCCTTTCTGCGTGCTGCTGTGCGATTGGTCGGAACAGAGCGCCACAAGCTTGCCGCGATACGTGTCGCGGATCGCCTCCGCCTCGGCTTCAGAGTTTGTGCTGGCGGTGAGAGCGCGGAGACACCGGTCGCGGGCAGCAACGATCACGGTCACGATGGCCTCCGAGGCGGAACCTTGGATTACTCCGCCGCCGCCGGACGGGGAGGTTGAGAGGTAGCATGGTGGCAGTGCTAGGAGCCGGCAGAGCCAGTCCAGGACTATGGTCTCGAGCTCGGTGGCGGCGGGGGAGCAAAGCCAGTTGAAATTTGCGGATGTGAAGGCGGCGGAGTAGACCTCGCCGAGGATTCCGGGGTACGTGGAGTTTGCGGGAAAGAAGGCGAGGAAGTTGGGAGACTGCCTGTAGCGAAGCAGTCAGCACCTCTCGGCTTGTAGAGTGAATGGAACTTCTCGTACCAGTGCGTCAACCCGGGAATAATCTTCTCCGTGATATCCTTCTGGATATCCTCCCACGGCTCTCCGTTCTCCGGGATAGTCGTGGGAATGATTCGGTTCAGCCAGCCGGGCTCAACATTGGATACCACGCGGTGGTCGGAGATGTTCTCGTAGTAGTCGATGACTTTGCGTTCGAGTTAGCTTTCGGTCGACGTCTCCGCGATGGCGGGGTGCATTGCGTACCTTGATCGATAGCGGCATGTGCCGCGGCACGGAACTGATTGGCGTCCATGTCCTCCTGTAACGTTACGAGTACCAGGTCGAAGGAAGCAGTGTATTCGGATTCACGACACCTCCTCTGTGGTGGGAATCATGAGTGACGTTTGAGATCATAGATATAGCATTGGGTGCCCCACGCGTTAACGGCTTTGCGGAGCTCATGGTGGGGCACATAAATCTCACATCATACATGGGCACGGGTTCTCTTCCGGGCATCCTCCTTGGGATGGGCGTTTTCGCTTTGCTTTTCATGGCAGAGAATACCCCATAGGTATCTGGGTAGGAAGGCATTATGCACACATACATACCTAGATGTAGAGCAAAGTCTGCAAAAGATCTCGGCCCCGAGATATAGATTCAGATGATGATATGGTCCGGGATTCATCAGTCAAAGACCGAATTGCGAAAAGGTACTTTCACGTGCATGCAGCGAATAGCGGATCATAACCCATCACATCGTCACTGGGGCACCACATTTTATACGAAACAAAGACTCGTAATGTACATTTAGAGCTATTCTTTTCAGCCGTTTATTATGATAATAGTCATGTATCACGACGATAGACTGCGAGTACGAACTCATGGAGCCGGATACCTCCCCTTCGCCGTACTTTCCTCCTCCTCGATATATCCGAATTTATCGGCCGCATTGCATGGACCATCCGTGAACTGAAAGTATGCAATTGACACGAGAGACCCCACGATCACGTTGACCTAGCTGGTGTTTTCGAAACCCGGTCTTCCACAATACCGACCCTTCCCGCTGTGATAATCGAAACGAATCAACGCTTTCTGGTCGGTATCAGGCAGTATTTTCCGGCGCCTCTCCGGCCGCATAGGGTAGTGGAGTGGAGATACCACCAGCCACTAACCACCAGCTACCTTTAGACTACACGCTTACACGCCCGGAATACAACTTCCGCAAGAATGCCCTCGGTATATAGTCATGGCTGACTAGAATGTATACGGTTATCCTCCATAAGTCGAACGTTGCCATCGGGTATGCTGCCATGGGGGGTTTGTCTCCGCTAGAGTGCGGAAGTGCGTTGCGGTGTGGAGGCGGTGAATGAATATGTCTTTGTATTAACGCACATCGTGAAGGTAGAGGACCGAGGAAGAGGACGAGGTCCTCATCAATCTGAGGTGTGATGGGAGGAATCGCAGAATACCTAGTAGTATGTACTCGAAGACGAGCACGAAAATGCTAACGTAGTGGATCACACATGGCGTTTGTAGTTTTAGTGTCCGCAATGGTGCGTGCATACGGTTATTAGAGGCTTTAACTATTGGGAGATTCTTGATAAACGTGTGTAGAGCGTTGTATATATCCTCGAATTCAGCTTCCGCTTGTTGTATAAATGTGTATATTGAGAGTGACAGGGCATGACCAAGAACATTGTGTTGGTGGGGTTGTTACATATGAAGCATGAAAAGCGATCGGAAGCGACGTTAACGCCCATCCTTCTTTCACGCAACCCATCCACCACAACCTACGAAGTATGGAGAGCCCTCACGAACATCAGCAAGGTAGGTATCCTCTGGCTGCGTAAGAAAATTCTGCTAACAGCGAAATCATAGCCCAGCTCCTCTCGCGCATCATAACGAATGTCGTACGTTTTGAAAGTCAACGCGGGGGCTTTGTTGCGGGGTGATAACATTGTGGCAGGAGAAACTTAACGAGGCGGTCATGACGCTGAGCCATGTTCTCAACGTGAGCTCGCTCGCTGTGCCTATGAGGAGAACCGGCCGAAGCTGATGCAGGTTGTGCTAGGAAATCAACACAAAGAACATGAACACCGAGATCGTTGCGCAGATGTGGAGCAACTATCAGTCGAACGTTCAGTTCCACCTCGAAGGTATGAGAGCAGCTGGGCGGGGGTTGTAGATTCGCTGGCGGGGGTGTGAGTGCTGACTAGCTTTGGCGAGCGTACAGCGACGGAGAATCTCCAGGATGCTGTATAGAACGAACGTACAACGGATTAGAATAGCGAGCTTCATCGTGCTAGCCATGGCGGTGATGATGAAGGTAGAACGATAGAGCTAGCGAGAAGATTTTGAGTTCTGTTTGTTAGGTTTGATGAAATGGCGTTTTGAGTCTTGCTCTGTAGTACCAAGTTTGTCGTGATGCGCGTTTGCGCGCTAGCGTGACACACGCGTGAGAGTTGTGAGAGTTGTGAGCGCAAATGGCCACTGCGAGGCGTTGAAGGTTGAGACTCGGAACAACTAAGCTTTGATTTCACCTCCCGGCTCAACAAAACCCACCACAATCCTTCTACCACGTCTTCCTCTTCTTCCTCCTCTTCCTCCTCAACATCATCAGCATCGTCGCCATCACAACCAACTTCGTCACCATCACAATCAACATCGCGACAACCACAACCACCATAACCATCACATCCATGGCTTCCTCTAACAGCTCGTCTACGAGGACGTTAGCTACGCCTTTACCTCCACCAAAGCTCTACACACTCCCCAATCCGCCTGCGCCATCGACAAAAAACATTAATGCCGACTTCGATTCGTCTTTCAAATTTAACAACAGCTTGCCTATTGTGATTGACAATGGTAAGTCAAAGCTCCATTTCGCTACTGCGCATATTCTCCTTCAGCGAGTAAGTAACTGACTTGCGCGCGCATCTCTAGGATCGTGGCGAACGCGTGCCGGCTTTGCGCACGACCCGACCCCTCGCCTTACATGTCCTCCTCAAGTCTCTCGCTATCTTGACCGCAAGATCGGCAAGAAATACACCTTTGGCGGCTGGGATGTCAACGTTGATGCGACTGCGCGCGGTCAGGCCAAGAACATATTTGATGGAAATGTCGTGAGCAACTTTGACGCGATGGAGATGTATCTGGACTACGCATTTATCAAGTTGGGAATCGAAGGCGATAAGTCTGGTGGTCTCGGACACCCACTAGTTATGACAGAGCCAGTGTGCAATCCAAACTACAGCAGGAAGAGTAAGTCTCACTCGATTCACATATACATGACAAGTTACTAATACTACATAGTGGTTACTGAACTGGTCTTCGAAGCTTACAGCGCCCCGAGTCTTGTATACGGAATCGATGCGCTCTTCTCCTTCAACTACAATGGCGGCAAGACTGGCTTGGTGATGTCTTCCGGTAACACGGCAACCCATCTGATCCCCGTCATCGATGGGAAGGGTCTCATCCCTATGACGACTAGATTGAATTGGGGAGGATCGCAGGGCGCAGATTTCATGCTCAAGCTGATGCAGTTGAAATATCCTACTTTCCCGTCCAAGCTCGCCAATTGGCAGGCAGAGGCTCTGATGATGGATCATTGCTACGTGTCGAATGACTACAAGGAGGAGCTGGAGAAATTTCTCACGAAGGACAAGGAGGAGAAGGATAGAGTGGTGCAGTTTCCGTTCACAGAAGCTATCAAGATTGAGAAGTCTCAGGAGGAGCTTGAAAAACTCGCCGAGAAGAGAAAAGAGAGTGGAAGAAGATTGCAAGAACAAGCTGCCAAGTCGAGGCTTGAAAAGGTATGGCCGATGTGTTTCCAGTTATCAATGAAGCTATGTACTAATATATTGCCCTACAGCTTATTAAGAAAGAGGGAGAGCTCGAATACTACAAGGACCTCCAGTCAAAGGCCGATACGATGGCCAAGCGTGACTTCAAGCGTCTACTCGAGTCTAACGACTTCGATGACGAATCACAGCTGGATAAGATAATCAAGGAACTCGACAAGACGATCCGCCGCGCACGGAAGCAGGACGTTGGAGAAGAAGAAGTCGACGATGCGCCATCCTTCCCTTTGATCGATATCCCAGATGAGGATCTAGACGAGGAACAGAAGAAGCAGAAGAGACAGCAAAAGCTGGTCAAGAGCAGTCACGACGCTCGCCTACGGGCTAAGGCCGAGAAAGATGCCGAGAAAGCTCGCATCGCAGATGAAGAACGCAAGGACGCGGAGAACAGGGAGAGAGACCCGGACACCTGGGTCTTCGAGAAGAGGGCCGTCCGAGATGGCCTCGTTGCCAAGCTCAAGGAACGACAGCGCCTGCGTACCGAGCTCACAGATCGCAAGTCCCTAGCGAGTCAGATGCGGATGAAGTCTATTGCCAACTTGGCTTCCGACACGCCGGCCGCCAAGAAGCGCCGTCGCGGAGGAAATGCTGACGCGGACGACAATTTCGGTGCCAACGACGACGATTGGGCTGTCTACCGTTCCATCGGAACGGGAGGAACCGGCGAGGACGACGAGGATGAAGAAGAAGAGCTCAACCGGGAGCTTAAGTCGATCGAAGCCCAGTTGCTGGAACACGATCCCGACTTTGAGGAGCACCACACCAGGGATGCCCAGGAGGACTGGAGCAAGAGCTTGATCCACGCGTTCTTGCGGGGTTCCCGGCCTTTTGATCCGGAGAACCAGGCCGAGCAGAACCAGATGCACATCAACATCGAGCGCATCAGAGTTCCGGAGGTGGTCTTTGAGCCGTCTATGGCGGGACTCGACCAAGCCGGAATCGTGGAGATTGCTTCGGACATCCTGCTGCACAGGATCTCCGATCCTGCAGAGAGAAACAACATCCTCAAGGACATCTTCTGCACGGGTGGAAGCATCTCGTTCAAGGGATTTGATGAAAGGCTCAAGCAGGAGTTGACTGCGGTCATGCCTGCTGGGTCGCTCATCAACGTCCGAACGGCAGGAGATGTCCTGTTGGATGCCTGGCGTGGTGCTGCGGCGTGGTGTGGGGCTCCGGAGAAGAACGCGGAGTGGAGGAGGGCAATCGTTACCAGGGCGGAGTACCTGGAGAACGGAAGCGAGTACCTGAAGGAACACCGGATGGGAAATGCCTGGTAGCGGTTGCGGGTGGGAGGGGGGGCTATTTTTTTTTCAATTTACGGAAACGATTTGTATTGGAGTTTGGATTTGTACAATAGCAATGCGCGCATATGACCTCAAACTGAAACCTGATCCACGAGAAGTAGAAGAGTGCGAAATGCAATGTAAGCCCATACGTAGTCAAACCACCCTCACTGAGTGTAGGGGATTCCGGCTTAATCGTGAGCTGCCTCCGTTGAGACTGGAGACTAATCCAGTCTCGAAGGTTGTGTTTGATCTGCGCCCCATCTGAACAGGTTACCGATGCACCATGAGGTGCACCAGTTACAATACTCTCTCGTGAGAGGAGTACTGTGGATGGGGCGGGGAAATTCAAGTATGGAAAGAAATAAAGCAAAAAGTTGAAGAGGGAGAGGGACAGTCAGTATCGGCTAATGATTGGATGATCGTATGATCGTGTGTATTAATTGTTACTTATGTACAGCGGGGAAATCCACTCATGACGGGCCGATGGCAACTGATCGAGAGGAATTCGAACATCATAGCATGCGCGTGCGTGGTTGGAGTCGATGAAAAGTTTTAGACGAATGAACCCGGAAGAAAAGGGATTAAGTACCCGACCGTCTGAGCCTAGTGCAGTCACGTGGCCATGGTGGCTTCATCCGCCTCAAATGAGTGCCCGCATTTCTTCATCGGAAGACACTCGCACTTGGCAACACCGTTTCCATCGGACGGACCAGCGCTACCGAAGAAGAACGAAAGTCATGTATCGCCGGCGCCCTTTGAGCTCGCTCCGTTTCTATGTCACCAGAGGCCCCGTTCGAATGCCGAGTCACTCCTACCCGCTCCCCAGCAGGCGTGGAACGGGAAGTTTGAAGGCAGGACCCCGGGGGCACAGGTCGTCGAGAGTCCTGGAGGATCGGTGCTGGACAGACCGCTGAGCGCCTGGAAATGTGGTCGTTTGTGAAACCCCTCTTTCGGACTCCGAAAGCGACCGGCTCGATCACCGAAGCCGTCACCAGGATAGGCGTGGTTCTTCGTCTTGAGATTCTCACTACAAAGCAAGGGAGAATCGCTGGACAGAGCCCGAGTAAAACCAATACACGCACTTGGGACGCTCAGCGAATATGTCTCAGAAAACCGAAAGCTACGTGTGTGTCTTGACTCTCGACTCCCCCTCAAGGGGTGGGGTGTGTGTGTGACAGGTATTTACAACTGCTACCCCTCCACTCTAGCCTACGGATCCTATTGAACAGGTCTAATATCCTCAAACCCACGACTCCTCGGCGGCATCAGGACGAAACTCAGATCCGGATATGATCTTCGATCGCCAGCGGTGCACCACTATACCGAGCAACCTTTGCCCGCCGACTCAAACTCGTTTCACGAAGGGAACACAGTTTGTTCCTCAACAGAGTATGGATCCGCAGAGTCTGTCTGGGTATGAAGCTTGGACTCTAGACCTTTTCGCGGAGCGCAGATCGTGCGTGAAGCTGGATTTTAGTTGAGCGAAGTTTCTGAAACGCAGTCACCAATATCGATCGTCCGACGGTGCTACACTGCTGTGTTGGCAACCCCTCCTAACGGAAGCCAACTCCTCATCACAAATATCCATTCATCTTCGAAAATGAGACCGTCGTCATGGCTCATTCACAGGGTGGCACTCGGCACCCGCACGACGGTGTGCGACGCGCCTCGAGCCCGCCCCGCGCGCTTTGCAATTGTCTTTTGGTGGACGTTTTGCTGTCTAATCTTTCCGCGGCAGCGGCATTGCTGCCAGCCTTTCCAGCCCCCCGCAAGCTCGCGACGGAAGTTTTTTTCGGCTGAGGATAACGTTGCCGAGATTAGATCCAAGCGTATCGCAGCTTGTCCGTTATCCGCTGTGCCTGTAACCGGCCGGCTATTGACCGGTATGTGCTCGCAACTCACCATGGCAACCAGCTGTGCTCAACAAGATTGAAACCCGTCCGGTCGACCAGCCAAATCTCGGAGAAAGTAGCTAGTCCCAGGGTCTAGCCACTTAAGCGGGCTTGTCAAGGCCCCACCCCCCCCCCCCCCCCCCGCCCCCGCCCCCAAACCTGGCCCTGAAGTTGAACGATATCGGGATACGATACAGTGCGGATACGGCGCTGGTGTACGTGTGGTTATGTAACTGCAAACGCCAACCCTACACACATCACCGCAAATTCTGCGCGACCGCAAACAGCGGATACCCAACCTAATCCGGATATTTGATCGAGAAATGCATGTGGGAGGGTGAGGGCTAGGTATTAATCCATGACAACGCACCTTGATGCAAACAGAGTCAGTTCCCCCGCAAGCCACCGAAGACCGCATACATACGCCAAGCGGGGTCATGTCCACATTGCATTCCATGCACACGCACGAGAGACAGCGCAGCTGTTGTCTATACCAGAGCCATTCAGGCTTCAGCTTCTTGGTGACTTGCTCTTTGCCGTGACCGACGGTTTGCTGGGCGCGATTTCACCGAACTTCCCCAATAAGAACATCTCAAATCGGTGAGGGTTGTCTTCCGAATTTTGATTGGAAGACCTGTGCTGAATCCAAGTCTCGCCGGCATTTGAGTCCTCGGGTATAGTGCGCACGGAAACCTTCAGCACTCCACCAGAATTCCTCGTTGCGCGAGGGGCTGTTTCCGAACCAGTGGATGTGATATTGAGCGCTTTGCCAGCCTGTGGGCGGAACAACAACGGAACATCCGGTGCGGAACATCCGGTGCAGAACAAGTGGATGAGAGGGATCGTGTTCCAGCAGTAAGTTTTCTTCTGGTTCGCGGAAGCCTGACTAACTTGTTGATTCCATTCAGAGCGGACAAAACATCGTTCCACCCGGACTGAAACACCACGGACCAATCGAAATGAAACAGTCTTCCACCGGATATGGGGAAACACCACACACGCCACTGGAGCTTATCCGCCAGTGCGGTTTTGAAATCGAAGTTGAGCACATTGGAATGGCACCCGACCATGATCTTATTCTTGGTGGATGTAGCGAGTGACAGCCAGTGAATCTACATCGTCGTTGGACTCGACTAATCGTTCTGCATCTTATCATAATCCTCAATAATATTCTAAGGGTGACTGAGCAGAGCGAACTAGAGGGTAAATTCCCCGTGTTTACGATCTATATTTCGACTCGGAAGCCAACTGACCAGCGAGAATTGAATTCTGCTAACCGCGACTACCGATCGGTTTCTACAATGGAAGTCATACGGCACACGTTGGGAGCTGGCACCCCCACACCTATGGAGTAGCTAGCAGGATACGCGATCCCGCCGGAGGTATCAGGTGTACATGAGCCAGTCGGCAGGCTGCGACTGAAATGACGCGCATTAGTTTGATCCAGCACCGCACCGCACCACCACCACAAACAGGATCATGCCGAGAGGGGGAGAGGGTTGTGGTGGTGGCCATGACTTATTTTGCAGCTGCATCGTACGTGCAGCGAGCGGTGCCGCCGGTGCGCTACAGGAAAAAATGGGCGGTTTGGATTTCTGGGTCGGTGACTGGGCCGTTCCGATATTACATCAAAAGCGGGTGGCTGCAAGGAAGTTAGTTGTGGGGCCTGTGGTTTCCATGTAGCCCTCACTGCAACAGCGCGGCCGCACCGGACATGTACCGTCCGTCACATATCAACAACTTCAGATTTCGGCCAGTCCATTGCATCATCACACGGTCAAAACATCACGGGCTTGACCGTAGTAAATCCGCGGCAGATTATGCTTGGTCCCTCCCCATCCTGTAAACGGTTGGACGGACTCAAACGAACGCCGGCATGATGCAAAGTACAGTTATATTGGAATCTGCGGTACAAATTGGATGACACTTGGAGGATTTGGGAGAGAGATAAACGAAACGAGCAGAAATCAAACGACGGAGGGATATCGGGAGAACAAGAGAGACCTTGGATCGCGAAACCGCCCGTAGCGGTACCCTCGGGAGGTGGTATGTGCCTGTCGCCTATCCTCATCCTAAGGGCCGAGACATCGAATTGTGTTACCATCGTTCGTCGGAGCGATATTTTGCAGTGCCTGCAGGATGGGCATGAGCTGCTGACCTATTGGTTGGGAGGTTTAATCTGACTGCCAGATGATGGATGCGAGGATATCAATCTTGCTGTGCTTTCCCGCAGCCTAATCAATACGGATCGGCCCGCGCACTGCGTACCATGGAACCTGATCGGCTAGCGTGTTCCAATCAACCACGCAAAATTTGGGCCTGTGTGCTGCTTCTGCTTTTCCCACCAGCAGAAACGAAGGAAGTCTCCCCACCTGGGGCACTTTCCCACCACCCACCCCCTGTGCTTGCGGACCCTTAATGAAATGCGCAAGAGGAAGAAGTACCTATAATTTTTTTTTCTCAATGGCCTCGTCCGGCCAACCCCCTACCCCTCCCCCTTCCAAACCCATCATCTCCGTACAAGCACCGGAGAGGAACCCGACCGGCTCGTGGGAGAGAGAAAATTGTGGTTTTCATGCTGCATTTTTTTTTTTTTTTGGTATGATATGGGGTTTTGTTGTTGGTTGGTTTTTGCTACCTCGAAGACACAGTACGAGGAAAAGGCTACTACGCTCCAACTCCACGTAAAGATGGCATCGAAAGGCATTCCTACCCTTCGATCCCATCTTACGTGGTACTGACAAGTGTCTGCCTTCCTGTCCTGTGCAAGTGCAAGTGATAGAGAAAGTTTTCATCCAGGCTGTGGCGGAGATGGCGGCCGCGAATCCAGGTGGGAGAGATTGTGTGCGGGAGAGTCCTGGCCGGGGCGGGTTTCCATGGCTGGCTGGCTGGCTGGCTGGCTGGCGGGCTGGTTGAAGTAGGATTTGAAGTCGAGGAGTGTGAGGAGGAGAAAGATGATGAAGACGAGGTGGTGGTGATGGTGATGGTGGCGGTAGTGGTAGTGGTGGTATTGGTTTTTCTCCCCTCACCGCCGCCGCCGCCGTCGCTGCTACTGCTGCTGCTGCTGCTGCTGCTGCTGCTGTTGCTTGCTTGCTGCCAGTGAAGAGGAGTGTGAAGGAGTGTTGGGATGAAGAGAAACCTGAGGAGGAGGAACGGAGGAGCCCTTTATATCAGTTCTTGTCGACATTTTTTGGGAGGAGATGGGAACGAGGGCGAGAGACGAAACGCCGAAACGATGGACTCCGCGTGGTGGGCGGGCTTTCCGGCGTAGGGGTGGAGGTGGTGGGGGGGAGTGGGAGAGGGAGTGGGCAACTCAGTTCAGGAATGCCCGCAAGTCAAGTTTCTTCCGCATATGGGCTATGGAGGGGAGTGAGTGAGTGAGCGAGGGAGGTGAGTGGTTGGAAGGGAACGACGAGACCACACGGAAGGGCAGGAGTTCTCTCTCTCTCTCAGTCAGAATATTGGGACCTTTCCGCTGGCGTCCCGGCGATTTGGACCCGGTAGATCAGGGAATGCGAAGGGCACTAAGCCGGCCAGGTACGAGTGAGTTGTCAGGAAGGAGGATCTGGGGGAAGGGGGAATGGCAGGCGAGTCCGCACCACCACCACGACCACCACCACCGCCATCACTATTACTACCACCCTACAGCATGACCGCTGGGGAGGCATTGGTCAAGCTTTCGCACGTATGTATGAGGTATGTATGTGTGTAGGTGGGTATGTATGTGTGTATGTGTGTATGTATGTGTGTATGCAGGCCGCGGCAGCTTGGCCGAAAGACCGCATGCATGAGCACCGGCTTTTACGCATGGCCGGTGGGTCAAGGACCAGCGGGACCGGTTTCTTTCGTCCCTTCTTCTTTCTACTGCCGCCGCAAGCACACACATACGAGGGCGAGCACAATTGGGTCACGACTCACGACGACGACGAAGAAGGGGGATGGGGGATGGGGGGGAGGGGATTACGAGAAACTGTTAGCAGTTGCAGAGTTTAAAATTCCTCCCTCCTCCCGATAGCGACCGTGTGGATGCACAGAGCAGAGAGGTATCGTGGCACTGGTAGAGTACATTGTAGCAATCACAGAGTCCGAGTTGCAGAGATTTTTTTTTGGTTTTTTTGCCCGACTTTTTTTTTCCTTCCTTTTAGTTTTGTTTTTTTGGGTATTATTTTCCCACGAATTCGGAGGGGGTGGGAAGAAAAGTGATATGAGCGAGCTGGTATGTCAGAAGTTGCTTACGAAAGTTGGCTAGAAGACGAATTGCATAAGAAGTGTGTACTCTAGGTTGTTTTTTCTGGTGTGTGTGTGTGTGTGTGATGGCGGTGGTGGTGGAAGTGGTGGTGGTGGTGGCGGTGGTGACAGTTGACAGGACGGTGTCGTTGACTGGCGGACGGCCAGCAGGAGGTCGGACGGAGCCAGCGAGCGGGCGGGCAACTGGCCCATCCAGTGCAAGGAGAGATTTGGTACGCTAACATTCGTCGCTAGCAACCATAGAACGCTCGCTCCACACATTCACAAGTGTACCTACTCTAAGTCCTTACCTAAGTCCCTACTTACTTCCTACCTCTCCTCTCCGCACTACACTCTCACTTGTGTACGTTCGCACAGCTACTTCCCTACTACCTACTACCTGCTGGATTCGACGGCAGTGGAACGAATGCACGATTGCTATGGGGTAATTTCCGACGCACTCGACGGGGAGGCGTATGCAGAAGCAGCAGAGCCATGGCCGCGGTCGTGGTGGCCGTGGCTGTAGCCGTGTTCGAGACGGTGGTGGAAGAGGATGAGAAGGAAGTGGTGGTGGAGGTGGTGGCCCGAGGCGCCATTGTTTCATTTAGTTGCTGTGTGTTGTTCGTGGCCCAAGACGGTGGATACTGCTGCTTCCTGCTGCTGGGACTGGATCACGTCGAATGGGGGCAGTTCGGCACCCACTTGGAGGGTGGTGAGGGTGGACTGGAGTGGGCTGGACTGGATTGGACTGGAGTGGAGTACGGTCCTCGTACCCTACTGTACAGCTACACATCGGTAGTCGAGCACCGAGCATTCGAACCGGCCATGTGCGGGCCGATTAGTGGCCGAGCGACGGAGAGCCGCTGCCGCAGTGGCTGCAACTGTGGCTACGGCTGTGGCTACGGCTGTGGCTGCGGCTGTGGCTATGGTGGCGGCTGTGGTGGCGGCTCAAGGTATCGGAGCTTACCCTGTGCTGGGCACCCGTACCGTCCGATGTACTCTACCGTGGATGTAGGATGTGTGGCTGCATTGCGGGCCCGCTGTGTGGATGCGCAGAAGAGTGCGTCGTTGCGGCGTGCAGAACAATCAACGAGCCCGACCCGCCGCACGCTCTGTCTCGCAGTCCCCTTCTCGCTCGCCGATCCCGTCACCGCGTCACCCCTGCCCTCGCACCTGCCTCCGTCCCGGATGGCCGCTGCCGAAAAGAAGAAAAAAGAAAACCGAAACAAAAAGAAAAGAAAGAAAAAGAAAAAGAAACAAAAAAATAAGACCATTTCGATCGCGAACGAACGAGCCCGCATCGTCATCCTCGAATCTCCCCAAAACTCGTTTCACCCGCCCCTCCCGCACCCCCCCTCCCCATCCACCCATCCATGGTCATCGATTTCGATACTCTAGAGTCCCGCGAGAGACACGATTAAAACATCCTCTGCGATCTTCCCCACATCGCACTGCCGAATCCGCAAAGCCAACCGCCGCCCCCCGCCTCACCCCCCCCTCACCCCCAGGCCTACCAACAAAACCTCTCCCGCCCACCAACACCACCTTCCCCTCCACCCCTTCCACCCCCTCAGTCCCCCCAACCACCACCACCACCCCTCCAACCCCCGTCAGTCCCCACGTCTCCCCCCTACATACCAGACAGGCTCCCCACCCCAGAGTCGCGCTTGGCCTCCCATTCGTCCTCCTGCAGCAGAGCAACGCAAAGCAACGCAGAGCAACGCAGAGTAACGCAGAGCAAAGCAAACCAAGCAGCAAACCCATCTATTTCTTCGACTTTGCTCTACTCTGCTCTACTCTGCTCTACACCAACCCTCCCACCCACCCACCCCCCATCCGTCCCAATCGGTCGTGCGGACACCCAGTAGCAACACCAGCCAACCCCCCGCTTGCTTGTTTCACAACGCCGGCAGGCTCGTGGTCAATTCGTCGCGATATATCAGAAAAAAAAAAGTGAGCGGCAGTCAGAGAAAGACTCGGAAAGGCCTACACCTCAATCAATTTCCCCCCTCAATCGATTCCCTCCCTCAACCGATTTCCTCCCTCAGTCGTCCCCCCCTTCCAATTCCCATGCCCACTCCCACCCTTTTGCGCTCTTGGCTTCCCGCCTGCCATCACTGCTGCCCTTCCCGACGGGCTGTCCCCTCTTGGACTCGGCGTTTGTCATCATCCGAAATCCCTACAGCAGGACTGTCCGCGTCACGTACCAACGATGGAGCGTCGGCACCAGCTGTTGGCCGCAACCCAGATGACGATGATGGTCGTAGTGCACCCGGCCGCGCCCGTGAGGCCACCGTTCCAATCGGTAGTTCCTTTTTGGCCGGAGAATCCACGAATACAGAGCCACGTTCCGACAGCTCAGGAACCGACATCGTTCGCATCGTCAGGGACCCAAGTGGTTGGGCTCAGCGAGCAGTACGGCATACGCGGAGCGGGACGGCTGATCGGGCCTCGGGCATGGGCGGCCGCACCTTGAACAGCATGCTTCCATCGAGACCATCAGACCAAGGATGGAGGACTACTTCGGCAACTGGCCATACCCAAAAAGGCGATGCTAGTATGTGGTGCATCATCTTGACCCCCCCTCCGTCTTCTGCCCCACTACCCACTGCCCTACTCGTACAACCGCCCCCCAAACTGCTGTCCAGAGATCACTGGTTCCCCGCGACATCTCGTGTCTCCGCTCTCACACGCAGCAAGCACAATGCATGTGGAGCCGCAGTTTCGTTTGCATGAGTGAATGAATCCCCGCCCCCTCCCCCCGTCGTCCCTGCACAGAGGCTTCTGGTTCTTTCTTTATTCCCCTCGGTGCTGATCCAGCTCTATTTACAACCGTCTAGCTGGCAAGAGTGCCACCACCACCTCCACCGCCACCACCGTCGACCTGGACTTCCAACCATCCTCGACGGTTCAACTGAAAGGGATTGGGACGACGCTTCTGGGAGCCGACATACGTCGTCTGATCCCACGAAAGCACCACCTTCCTGATTTCAAGGACGACCACGACATCGTGCGAGGTTTCAACATACCCGCTCCCGCGAGAGAGGGATAGATTCTCTCTCTTGTGTGTTTTCTTCGATGAGACGGGGAACGGACGGCTGATGAGGGGGGAAATGCGTTGTGTGCTACAGTGATTCCCTTCCGTGATTTCAGATCGCTCGATCGGCGTCCTATCTATCACATCACATTTACCACCCCGACGGCGGCCGGCACTTTTACGTCTAAGATGCTGTCCTTCTCGGACCCCAAAGTGCCCGGGCGGCCCGTCGTCAGATTTCCGCCAGGATCGAGCCCAGAGTTCACGCATGCTGACCGCCGCAGCAAGAGCATCAAGGAACAGGAGGTGATCCTGCAGGGTGTCCTCACTGCCGGTGGGGGTGCACCTGGCCGATGCGTCCTGCTCACGATCTGTGGACTCGGCGGCCGGATCAGATCGACAGGACTCTTGCCCAGGACGGACGAGGTCAGGGCGATATTGGAGGAGAAACAGGTGCAGCTCTGTCCCGGGGACACGGAAAGCGGTAGCGCGGGAGTGCAGAGGGTCGTGTTGGAGAAACGTGGCAACAACGTCTCGACTAGGGTTTTGAAGGCGGACGGGAGGGGACTCGGTGCGGAGGGCAGATGGCTGATTCGCTGTCGGAGCGAGAGCGAAGCTCAGAGGGTTGTCAGGGAGCTTCACATGAGGCCTCCTTGGGATGGGGGCGGAACGTTCCGTGCCGAGGTGATTTATTGAGCAACATATCAATGTCGAGATACCTGATCATGAACAATCACTCCTCACCTTCACTTTTTACCAGGGATGGATCCCGGACCCGGATGTTCTCCCACCACTACTAGATACGTAGATTTCAAGTGCGCGTGCACATTTATCTAGTATATCTACACCCCTCCCCCCCTCCCCCCCTCCCCCCCTCCCCCCTTGTAGAAGCCATGTGGCCACGGGAGTTCACTACATACCCGTCTACCCGCACCTGAAATACCTGCACCCGTATCTGTGGGGGCCGCAGGTATTATTATGAATTTTATTTTTTATTTTTTGGGGGGGTGGGTGGGAGGGTGTCAGCCCTATGGGTGGGTTTGTATTCTTGGCGACAAGGTACTACGTGGACGAATGCGGGGAGGTACATGTTACCTACGGATGCGGTGCTGTGGATGTGGGTCGGGGGTGTGAGAGGTGGGCGCTGTGAGTGTGAGGGTAGTAGAGTAATTAGGGCCGAGGGTATAGGGCAGGGTGGGTGGATAAGTACTTTGCTTGCTTGCGGTAGGTATTCGATCATGCGGGACGTATAGTCCGAACCCGGCCATTTCATGCGGATGGGTCCGAACGCCGGCTGCGTCTCTGTACCGGTATCCGCCGTGCCTTTGCGGTTACTAGTTGCTGGGTTTTACGTTCGTGAGTCGTGAGTCGTATGCAGAGATGTCGTACCTACGGTACCGTACTTTTCCGGCGGATATTCCTCCGGACCTCCGGTGCTTGCTTGCTACGCTTCCAGAAGTCGCCGGACAGACTCTGAACAGAATCTTCCCTACCGTAGGTATTCTCGTCGAGTCACGAGTGAGAAGAACCGCTTCGGTGATTTATGCATACAAGAATGGCGACGGTTGGTGACGGTCGGCGGTCGGCGTGCTTACTATCTAGCCGGCGGATGGTCGTGCGGATGGTCGTGCGGATGGTCGTGTCACTCGGAGTCTTGACTGCTTGACTGTCGTTCCGGAGATTGACAGTAGTAGTAGCAACAGCAGCAGCGGCAATGGCGAGTGTGGTGAGTGTAAATTCACGATACTAGTACGTATATATAACGCCTGCGCCGGTTCGGCAGAAATGATAAGAGCTGGTGGTCACTCGAGGCTGTAACGGGAACGGGATCGAAGCTTGAGGCTTGAGGCTTGAACTCTACTACCTAGACGGCTTTACGGTTGACCGGATATGCCAGTGTTCTCTAAGCAGCAGCAGCAGCGGTGGCAGCGGCAGTGTTGTTCGTAGAATAGGGGGATGCTGTACTTACCTCCTATATCGTGACCTTACCAAGTACCTAATTGAAGTTCATCGTCAATGAGTCAATGTCATCACCGGCAGCCACGGTTCCTATGTACAACACTCCTCGCAACACCTCCACCTCCAAATCTAAGATCGCAGCCTTCGGCAGCATATAGTTTCTCAAAATTTGCTATACCGGTATGGTGCCCGGGATCCAGATACTTTCGAGGTTATGTAATGAGTAGGTTGCGGGATGCGGATGCCTCATCGCGGCTCACTCGTCTTCTGATGTAAAATACGTCACTACGTCACTCGATACCGTCCGGGCTGAAGTTCTGCAGGCTGCAACACGAAACGTGCTGGTTGCGCACTTCCAGGGGCGATGGGTACTCCGGGCGATGAGTACTCCGGGACGGCCGCCACAGGCCCACAGCCGACCCCGAACCCGAGGTTACATACGAACAGTCACTCGATTACCCGGGCAGCCAGGCTTGACTACAGTACTGCCGTCAGCCCGCTTCAGTCAGCGTCCGCCTACACGGTTATGAAGGAGTGTTTGGTTTCGTAATCCTGTACCCTATGTAGCTACATAGCGTGGATCTGATTTTCGAATGAGATGAGTCATACTTCCGTGAATCCCTATTTCCCTCGGTCCATATGTATGTAGATGGGCATGCTGTCCGAACTCCGAACCCATCAGTCTCCTCAGCTATGTGCCACCCACCAGACGGTATGTAGGTACGAAGATAGGATAGATCTGTAGTGTCTTGTGCGTAGTCGTAGGTATCTCTGTGCCTAGATAAGATGCGCCGTCTGGAGTGTATGTAGAGCACCAGTTGTCACCTACGCCTACATAACCGCGTTGATCATCTTTGGGGCTTATGTAGGTAGCAGGGCCGTGGTGGAGCAGCTTGCAGGTTCAGATTCAGTTTCCTTCCAGGTCAAAAGATACCCGACTTCCCACATGTATTATGTACCTAGACGAAATTCCAACCAGCCGATCCAGCGCTGGACAAAAATTCGCAGACTCGCAGACTCGCGGTGGAGCGGTGGAGCGGCGAGCAGTCATTACTCTAGGTGTATAGTGTTGAATTCGGGGGCAGGGGCACCTCTGTGTTGCGGTGAGCGGCGAGCGGCGATATGGTGGGACCAAGGTGTGATGGCGGGCAGACCCGATGCGGTTGTTGAACGTTGAACGTTGAAATGTTTCTTGTTGCTGCCTTTATATTCGTCTAGGTAAGTAGTCGGTCGGTTTTTTGTTTAACACATCAGACATTATCAACCACCACAGACATTTTCTAGAAGTTCATCGGCTTGCTTTTCTTCCTTGCTGTTTTTAGTCAATTGAATCAGTTCATCGGTTGCCCGTACCCGTCGTGGGTCTCTCAATAGTCCCCGAAGAAGTCAACACGTCCCGGGCTCGCAGTCGGTGGTGGGTTCTCTGGTAGACGGTGGCCTCTTCCCCGCCGGAGCACGAGGACGACGAATTGCTCCGGTGTCGGAGCCCCTAGAGGAGGAGGAGCAGGACGGTTCTGCCGACCAAAGGTGGTGTTCTGGACCGGAGTGGGTCGGCCGGCCGGCCGGACACTGCTGGTGTACTCTATGCGGATCGATGTTGGAAGTTGCGGGAAGTCGGCGGCATTCGAGATCCTTCTGGGGGAAAAGGGGATCATGGATGATGGATCCTACTAGGTAAAGAGGATCATGGAACCTTATATCGTACGTTTTTAAACCCTAGAGAAACTCAAATCCGACTGACTTTGCGCTACTATGTAGGATTCTAGAAGTTTATGCATCCGCGAAGTAAGTGGGCTTCGCTGTTTGTAATTTCGCTGTATGTACCCATCCAGGAGGCCGAACCTACAAGCAACAAGTTATACCAATACACGCCATGCGGACGGCGGAGCGTCCAGCCGAGACGTGGTGCAAGTCAATATCTGGCAAAACCGCAGCATTGAGCGGGTGATTGTCCATGAAGCTCGTGCGCGTGAGTCAGCGTGGGGGAAGCGCGTGTCATCATCCGGCCAGGCGCTGTGAGACGAAGCGGTCATCCAACTTCAAGTCGCACAACAATCTGGGCCGGAAGGAATGGTGGCCGAAGGCAACATCAGCAAGCAGCTGTAGTTAGAGTATCAAACTGATGTCGAAGCATTTACTCTACTCTGGGTAATGCATCCTGAAGACTGATACTGAAATAGAAACTCGCCAAGGTCCAGATAGAGACATGATGGCTGATCTGTACGGCCAAACACGTGTCAAAGTACGAGGCGAGGCGAGGTCGGCACGCCTGCTGAGCTGATTTGTAATGCAGACTGCGTGTTTAATAATCCGCGACCGGGGGCTGGGCGGGGTACCTACTCTAGAGTGGCGGTCCGGAGGGCGGCATGTCTCCGTGCCGGCGCAGCTGTGGGGGTGGTGGAGGGGGGATGGGGGACTGGCGCTGGTCATGACGGCAGCACTCTTTCTCTCGCTTCGAGTCCAAGGGCCGAGCTGCCAGCCCAACGACCTCGGCCATCGACGAGCGGCGAGACGGAAGGATGACGGCAGCCGCGCGCACGAACACATACACAAGATGTCTCCAACCTCCAACCTCCGGGTCTATGCTTCCTACGATGCGGAATCGTCGCGCGCGTGTGTCTGCTCTGCTCTGCTCTGCTCTATTGCGGCTGACCGTCGGCCTGACTGTCATCACAGTCAGCGATAACTACTCGAGTACTCTATTCTACTCTATCTCCGCGCACTCTATTCCCGTGCTTACGCTCCCACTCTCCCTCGCTCCCTCGCTCCCTCGCTCCCACACTCGCTCACCCTGCCCGTGCATGTTCTCGCCTCCAATCGACTGACTCGTCGTCCAGCGCTTGGCGCCCCGGCTTGGCACCCGTACCCTCCAACTTTTAACTTATTCATCACCGCCGACTGACTGAACTCTTACACATCATCCCATCCTCCCTCCAAACAGTCGATACCAAAGCGAGCGAAGTTGCATCCGAAGAATCCGACATTCCTTCCGTTCTGTATGTATGTAAGTCCCCCACCGCCAGCCAGCGCCTGCCACTACCGTTACCACTACCCACTACCACCACTACATGCCATAATCCACAACCCACTACCCACGACTTCACTGAAACTCTCCTTGCCCAACGCATACTCTATCCCCATCATCACCATAACCAATACCAAATCCTAATCCCAATCCCCAATACCTCCCATTGCCATCTGCTCCGTCACTGTCTTTATTATATCCCCTCGCTCGTCCCGCCCAAACCCGCAAATAAATATACATAAAAAAAGAAAGAAAGAAAGAACGAACGAACGACCAACCCCCCTCATGAATCGCTGTTGCTTGTCTTCGCTCCGTACTTCACCCAGAGAAAGAAAGAAAGATAGAGGAAAGAAAGAAGGAAAGACGCAGAGCTGAGCAGCTCGCGGTCGCTCTACTGGCGGGCAGCAACGGAAATGCAACCCATAACTGACTAACATGCGAAGCACGTCACTCGATAGCTCCAACTCGTGGTATCGAATATCTACCGTCGCCGCCTCGTCCACCGCATAACCGCTTTGACCGGACGTCCATCGCGAAAGTCCGCAAGCCCGTAGTTGGTCGCATTGCTCGGCGTAACCACTGTCTCGGCGAACACGAACCCCGTCGATAGGTTCTAACCCCGAGTCAACGGTCTATTTTGCACGTCTCCGGCGCAGAGTAGCTTCCACCCCCGAGATATCGTGAATACACACCCACTTCGGCGCATACTCCGATCCATCATCACCATCGCGCCTTGAATTGCCACTCTTACCTGCGCCATCCACCTGCCACCAAGTCTTCGTTGAGCTCTCCCCACCACATCGCGCGCAATGCAACAGCCTACACTTGCTCCGGCGCCCCACATGTCGCAACAGGTATATTGCTCGGCGCTAGAGAGGAAAGGAAGCATGCGCTGACCCGCTCAAATTTAGGACGCAGCCGAACAGAGTCAGCTCTCCCGCGAGGGTACCGTTACCACATCTGATCGAGTGCTAATCGTACTGTTGTGTTGTAGCTCTCCGCGCCCACTTGCTCGGTCAGATCGCCGGCCCGACTCAGACAACTGCCCCTACTACGAACAGTTCTTCTCCGAGTGCTGCCACGGACTCCGTGAGCCCGGCGAGTCAGAACATTGATCCGGCTATCAGCGGTAACGCGAACAATTCTGCGGCTCAACAACAACAACAACAACAACAACAACAACAACAACAACAACAACAACAACAGCAGCAGCAGCAACAACAGCAGCAGCAGCAGCAGCAACAACAACATGCGGCGTCGCAGTCACTGCAGCAGATACAACAGCAGCCGCCCGCACCCCAACCACACCCGCAGTCAATGGCCCAACAGCAACAGCCCATGCACGCTCAGCCCATCCAGCAGCAACAACCACAGCTGTCACAAGGTCAACAGCATGTAATGCCCCAGCATATGCCTCCGCAGATGCAGCAAATTTCGTTGCAACAGATGCCACAGCATCCACAAAGTCCCAGCGGTATTCAGACGCTTCAAATGGGAACACCCATGCCCCAGGGAGTGCCGATGGATATGCAAAATAACCAGTCGCACTCGGGAGCGGATGAGTCCGAGCAACCGAAACCACGCGGAGGAGGCAAGCGGGAATTGTCCACGTCCAAACGCGCAGCTCAGAACCGAGCCGCACAGGTAGGACATTCCCGCCGAGTTACTTGGGCCTGATGACTAATCGACGGAAATAGCGGGCTTTCAGGCAGCGTAAGGAAGGGTACATCAAGAAACTCGAGGAGCAGGTGCGAGACTTTGCTACCATGCAGGAGAGCTACAAGCAGATCCAGAGTGAAAATTACCAACTGCGTGATTACATCATCTCGTTGCAGTCACGACTCATCGAGTCTCAAGGCGAGGATGCGGTACCACCTGCGCCCGCAGTTCTCGTCCACCCCTCGCCACCTCTTGTACTGGTCGACACAAGCTCAACCGCGGGTGGCGGGATGATGCACCAATCCCCCCAACCGGTGCCGCACTCGCAACCGCCACCACCACAACAACTCCCCGTCCAACCGCAGCCCATCCAGCCCCTCCACCAGGCACCCATCAACGCGCCCACAGCGAACATGGGCATCGGCCACCCATCAATGTCGACCGTCATCCCGCTCCCCCAATCGGTCCTAGCCGCCGCCGCCGAGCTCCCACAACCTGCCGGCGCCCAGAAGCGCGCCCACGACGACGCCACGGACCAAGCCTTCCTGCAGAGCATCGCCCAAGCCGCCGGCACTGGCGGATCCAGCTCCTCGTTCATCGCGACGAATCCTCCGAACACCACCACCACCCCCGCCAAGGCCACCACAAGTCCTGCCGCGAAACGCGTTAAGGGCGAGAAATTGGTCGAGCTGAAAACCGAACCGGAGCATGTGAATGGTGCTTAGGATGCGCTGTTTGACAGGAAACTCACGGATTTAGGGCTTCACTAGGTGTTGTGTTGTGTGGGTCTGGGTGTGGGTATGGGAGGGTGGCTGGCTGGCTGAAATCACTTGGGGTAGATGATTTTTTTTTCCCTTCTGTCGTTTTGCTTGAGGCGGGAACGGTTTAGATCGTTACCCACTGACTGCGTTCATTTTTTTACTCTTTGGAACCCTGCCTGCTTACTTTGCTTGTATGGTTTTTTTTTGCTTTGGTTTTACTGTCTTGTTTTTTACTGTCAGTATGCCTGCTGTGGGTGATGAACGATGATCCTGGAATGTTTTGGAGAATACGAGGCTTCTATTGTGTGCTCATGGTATCTGTCAGAAGAAAAAAATGAACTCAATTCCTCACCCCCCCGTTAAAGCAAGACAGATATAAGAACTAAATAAATCGGAAAGCGAAAAAAATAGAAATTAAAACCGAGAAAAAACGAAGAAAGCCGAGCAGAAAAACAGAACCACCACCACCCCCATCATATGATTGCATCAAATTTTGAACCTCCCAGCCCATCCATCCATCCCACCCGATACTGAGCCCTCTAATACAAAGAGAGAAAAAACACCATATGAAACAAAAGCAACCGCACCTGCAACCCATCACACCTCATCACGCACCTCACCACGCACCAAGCCTAAGCCTAGGCGGTCCCATCCTCATACTTATCCCAGTTCGCAAGGACCTGACCAATCTTGGGAGACTTGGTAAGATTGTAGACATCCTCAAAGTACTCCTTGGTGAGCTGGAACGGCTTTGCAGTGACGTTGGGGATGTATTTTCCAATAAGCTTTGCGGGGTCGATCGAGGACTGTACGATCTTCTTCTGGAGGAACGAACGGAACGGCTTGACACCCGAGCGAAGGAAGGTGGAGTGGAAAGGGACGTCGATGCCGCGGAGCGGGATGGTGGCGAGACCACGCTGAAGGTCGATGGGTCTCGGCTTGGACTCCGTCTCCTTCGCACATTGTCGGATGATCATGATCAGGTTCTCCTTGACCTTTTCGATGCTCAATTGCGCCATGAGGACTGTGATGTCGATCTTTTGCACCTTGAGGTAGTTGAGGACGTTGGTGAGGCAGTCGAGCGCGCGGAGGTCGCCGGCGCAGACGTATTGCTGGTTGGCGACGTTGAGGTTGACAATCTCGAGCAGCCAACCAGTCTCCTCAGCGATGTTATCGACCACGTAACGCATGGCCTCCTCGTTGAAGGTCTTGGACACACGGCTGGGGTTGACGGCGCACATCGAGTAATTGCTGCGGCCTTCCGCATCACGCTCGACGGCGACTTGCATCGTCAATCCACGGTAGAAGACGACCGAGACAAGAGACTCTATCGGCATGACCTCGGCGAGGGCAGCCAGAGCAGAGTACTCTCCGAGCGAGTGACCGGCGAAGACGGAGTCGCGCTGGACCAATCCGCGCGAGAGCATGTCCTCGAACGAGGCCTTCTCCATGAGCGTGAGCGCGGGCTGGGTGAACTGAGTGGCCGACAAGAGACCGGTAGGCGAGCGGTAGGTGTACGAGGTGGTGTTCTCGTTGATTTCCTTGAAGATCTTCTCCGACTTGGTGGAGCCATCCGAGCCCACAGTCTCGAAGGTCATCGACATGTAGTTCTGGCGGATCGCCTTACCACGAGGACCGCCGAAGTGAACGGTGAGCTCCTTGGGGTTATTGCGAACAATGTTGGTGATAGCGAAACCTGGTTATCCTAATCAGCGTTGTTTCACATGGTAGTAAGTAACAGGTTCTCTTACCGTAGTTGTCCATAAAGTGCTTGTCGGCACGGTCCCAGACCTCCCTAGCAACGGGAGAGGAGTCGTAAAGGTCCATACCCATACCCTGCTCCTGAGAACCTTGACCGGTGAAGACGTACGCAGAAACAGGCTGCTCGACCTCGGCCTCTCCAACAAGGACCTTCTCCTCAGTCTCGACATTGAAAGATTCAACTTTGATGATCTTCCGTCCGCTCACCATACCGACGTGGTGCAGCATGGTCTTGACATCGTCGTTGGGAAGCACCATTCCGACGAAGGAGCAAGTGAAGGATCGGACACGTCCAATGTTGTTCTCGGCAGCCCAGGTCTCCACAAGGGATCGCACAGCTGCGGATGAGAACATACCGTGGGTGATGGTGCCCTTGAGGTTGGCATAGCTGGCAAAGGTCCTCGAAACGTGGATTGGGTTGTAATCACCGGAGACTCTGGCATAGCCCTCGTTGCTGGAAGGAGCCCTGATGACGAGCTCGGTCTTACCGTGCAGAGGAATGGCGTTCTCGAAGTGCACAGGCTGCTCAATACTCTTTCCATGGCGCTGAAGGTAGTCGAGGACGGGGTTTCCGTGAGACTGACCGGCGTTGTAGTCCACGGTAGCAACCTGGATGACCTCCTTGCTGGGCAACTCGAGCAAGACCTGACCCATCGTCTGGACCGAACTGAAGACCGTCTGGTTCGTGTAACGGACAAAGCTGGAGAGACGGAAAGTCACAGTCTTATCGAGAAGATCGACTTCATCGTCATCGAGCTGGAACCATTCCTTGCTACGCAGAACAGCAACGTCCTTGGTGGTGGCCAGGTGCACATTCATGGGTGTCTCGACCTTCCTCTGGAAAGTGTTCTCGTAGTCCGTGTAGACTCCACGGTAAAGGAACTGAGAGATAACCTCCATGATGGGGTGACCATCCCTGGTGATCGTACCGCAAACCTCGACCATCTTGCCAGAGTCCTGGTTGAGAACAGCGTTGATGTGGGCCTTGGTGTCGACAACATCATCCTTCTGCAGGGGCTCAGCACCGGGAAGCATACGGAAGCCGTTGCTCAAGTGAACGAGTCTCAGAAGATCACCATCGATAGCCTTGGGGAAGATGGCCTTCATGATGGCCTTCCAGCCGACGACGATGGCAAAGTCCATGGGCGCGTAGACGGTCTTTCCGGGGCGTTGCACGAAAGCCTCTCCGTTGTTACCAACAGCGTGAACGAAGTCAGCGATCTGCTGCGCGGTGACAGTAGACTGGCCGCCCTCAAACACGTCGGTAACGGAGGTGTTCATGTCCATGGGCTCATCGCCGAACCACAGGCGGTAGTAGAACTCCTTGATCCTGTCGTTTCTTCCTTCCATCACCTCGCGAATCGGCGCATAACCAATCTCGGGATGGTACTTGAAGGTCAAGGGCATTCCGGTAGGCTTGCCGGTAGCAGAGCGATCCTCAAACAGGGTGACATGGATCTCATTGTCGACGATCTTCGCCTCGAATGTCTTGGTGTAAGCACCGGTAGGGTGGGTCTGATCTTTCTTGGTGATGACCGTCTTGCTGGAATCGTCGGCGTTGGCGATCTCAACGAGGATGCCATGGGCTGGAGCGAATATGCGCTTCATGGGGTTGTCCTGATACTTCTGCCCTTGAACAAAGACATCGGTGGTGAACAGAGCATGCCTCCAGCAGTACGAATCACCGGCGAGCAGCTTCAACCACGTGGCGGTAGCTGGCAAGGCACCCTGAGAAGCAGCCGACGACAGGCGGTAAACGATCTTGTCGGTGTCCTCAGCGATGGTCAAACCATCGATCTTGTCGACATCCTCAGCGGTTGTGAGAACCTTTCCTCCAAAGTACTCGATGACTGGGATGGTGCTCTCGTCGCCACCGTACACATCTTTGGTCAATCCCTCGATGTGGCCGTTGTGGATGCCATCCAGAATGTCCTTGATAGGCTCGTCCACGATCTTGGAGTACTTGACGGCCATGGGTCCCTGAAGAATACAGGTTCTGCCGACGTCCTGACCAACAACCGCCTCCAAGTCCTCAGACTGCCAGAGCGAGTCCTTCTTGAACCAGAACTCGAAGTTCTCATCAAGAGAAGGCACGAAGGGCACGGGCTTCTGGCCCATTCTCTGGCACAACAGCAGGAAGTGCTGCATATCCTGAGCATTGATGAGTTGAGTCTTGGCTTCAGGGTAGCTGTTGAGAATGCGCTCAACCGTGGGGGCGGGCTCGTCAAGCTCCGTGTAGCTCTGGAGGAGGGAGGGCTGGGCTTCGCCGGTAGTGAAACGCTCCTCGATACGCCGTATAAAGTCGCCAGTGAGACGCTTGAGCGAAACATCGATCCATCGCTTCTCGTGCTTGACAAACATGAGCTCGACCATGCGGTGAACAACCTCAGCATAAGTCATATCCTCAAGGTCAACAGCCTCGCCAGCACTGTTCTGTCCGAACCAAGTCTTGTGGAAATCAGCATTGAGTCGCTTGATGATGTATTCACGCTGCTTCTTGAGCTCAACGAGACGCTTGGCCTTGTCGAGTGAGAAGATTGTACGGTCGAGCTCAGCCCAAAACTTGACACCACGGGTAGCCAGCTTGTGGATGGGCTCGCCCATCTCGGAGCGGACAGTGATGATGCCACCGGCAGGTCCCTTATAGGTCTTCTCCCAGTCCTTGTCGTCCACACCCTCCGCTTCGCAGATAGCTTTCTTGGCCTATAGAATCATTAGTTACTGCATCGCAGAAGATTGTGGGGCTACTACTCACATTGAGGGAAGTATGCGCCTCCTTGGCGACCATCATCCTGCTACCGAAGAGAACACCGTCGAACGGCATGGGAGGGTATTGGTACTTCTCGGACCAGGTACCGGTAAGGTAGGGGTAGGTGTCCTCGGCACCACCGAATCCGGATCCAGCCACGAGAATGATGTTCTCGTGGCGGCGGATGCGTCCGTACATCTGAAGAATGGGCTGGTGGAAGTCCTCAAACGAGTGGTGACCACCACCTCTTCCTCCGGTCCATTGAAGGATGACGGGGAAAGTGGGGTTCGCCTTCGCAATGTTGATCACTGACTGGATGGCATCAAGGGATCCAGGCTTGAACGCAATATGCTTCAATCCGAGAGTCTCGATGTACTCATTGGCAACCTCGAGCGACGGAACACCAGCTCCGATGGTCATACCTTCGATAGGCACACCTGCGGCACGGAGCTGCTGCAGAAGCGGCACCTGCCAGGCCATGGCTCTAGGATTGACATAGATGAGGTTGACCGTGATACCAGCTCCGGGAATGGTGTTCTCCTCGATCTTGCGCAGGGCCTCGGTCAAACCCTTAGCGTTGTAGTATCCACCACCGCCCAACTCGATGTGGTAGCCAGCGTTCATAGTAGCGGCAACAAAGTCCCACGGAACAGTACAAGGTGTCATTCCGGCGACCATGACGGGCGCCCGGCCCAACAATCTCGAAAACTTGGTGTCTACATATGTCTTGCCCTCCTTGGTTCTGGCGAGCTTGGGTCCGTGCTCCTTGACCCAGTTAACGGCGTATTTGACGGCATGCTCTTCGTCACGGTCGAACAACTCCGGCTTGTATCCGACTTCGCTGTTGGTACCTTCGACGGCTCCAGCAAGGATTACACGCACGCCCTTTCCATCCTTGTTGCGGTGCGTGAGCACTCCGACACCTGAAACACCACCGGGGCCGAAGTCGAGGACGTGGGTAGCGCCCTTGAAAACTGTAGCCTTCTCCCACTCGACGGTAAGACTCGTAATCATGCGAACGAGATCGTGCACTATCGATGAACCTGTGGCAGATTCCCGCAGATCTTCACCGGTGTGTGTGTCGTATACGGGGATGGCCAAGCTCTCCTTGGTGAAGGTGGTGATGCCCTTGAGGTCCTCCTCGATGATTGGCGCAGCAGTCTCCAGGTAGGGGGAGTGGAAGGGTGCTGAGATGGGAAGGAATCTGTTCACGAACCGCTGCTTCCTCTCGGTGAAGGGAACACGGTTCTGGTCCAAACCGGTCGGGGCCTTCGATTTCCGCAGTCTGAGGTTCAGACCGTGTAGGGATTGGGGGGGACCAGTGACAACCATATTCCGCGCACCGTTGATGAGCGAAATGTGAATGTGACGGTCCTCGGGCAGATGGGTGTTGGTCGCATCGACGTGGCCTTGGACTTGTGCCAGCGTAAGGTCTCGTACCGAAAGCATGGGAGATGGGTGTCCCTCGCCCTCGTTCATCGAGTCCTGCAGGACACTGGGAGCGAGTGATGTGCGGGGGTAGGTTTGCTGAGATCGACATCCGATCCAGAAAAGCATGGTCAGGGCATCGTGCGAGACCTTCAGGTATGAATCCCAATCAGATGCGATAGCGATCGTTGCCGCCGTGATGACACCTTGCGAGTGACCGGTGGTACCCGCAATTCTCTCCCTCAGCTCGCCGGGCTCCTTGCCAAGAATCTTGCAGGTGACATAGTAATGTGACAGCTGTACCAATCCAATCAACGGGAAGGAAACGGGTGCAGAAACGAGATATGTGAGATCGGGTGTGGACTCCTTATCCTGCAACCAGCGCATAACGTCCAGTCCTTTCGAGTAGACTTTTCCGGCCTTGGGGTCCCGTGATAGCGCCGACAAAACATGGGCACAGGACACGATGAATTCCTCCACGAGCCCCTCGTACACATGGTACAATTCCCGCAGCTCATCGAAGTACTCCTCAATGTTTCCCTGGCCGCCGAAGACGGCGTACACACCGGCCTTGCCGTCCGCTGCAGCTCTGAAGAGTGCCGATTCATGAGCCTTGAGTGGCCGGTTCGCAGCCTGGCGGGCAGCATAGTAGTTCTTGACGACATCGAGCCGCTTCGAGGGAATGCCGGGCAGTTGTGCGGCCACGGCGTGGACCTCGTTGCCGCGCAGGAATCGACTTTCGAACTCGGACAAGACGAGCCGCAACACATCTTCATATGTCCCGGAAGCGTCGTCCTCGCCCTCTACTACCTGCTCTGCGACGTATCCGAGAAATCGTGCAACCAATTCGGGAACCGATGACGGCTCCTCGTCGAGAGCTAGCTCCTCAGTGGCCGTGGGTAAAACGGTCTGAAATCGCTGCCGAAGCTCGGAAGCGTGGTAGTGGATGGCCGTCGGCACGAGGAGGGCATGTTCGAGGGAGCCGTGGGTGAGGACCAGAGGTCGCAGAGAGGAAGCGGAGTGGGGGGTGGAGACACCGGTGGTGGTGCCCGCTGTGCCGTACATTGCTTTTTTTTCCTTCTTCTTTCGTGGGAGTGTGCCTCTGAAGCTCTGCAACGAAGCATCAGCACATGAAGCTCGAGACGGAACCGAGAGGGGTCAATTGGGAGGCACGATGGAATCGATAAACTTACGGAGCTTTGGGGAATCTAATGCAAGGCTGATCGAAGGAATTGAGATGGATGGAATTGAATTTCAAACGCCAATTAAAATTTAAACCGGTTGACAGTGATCGTGAAGCAGCTATGGTATTTCTTTTTGGGTGAGGGAGAGGAGAAGTATGAGGATGAGAGACACACCGCACGCACACAGACCAACTGAAATGGAGGGAGAGGGGAGGAGGAGGAGGGGAGGATGGATGGGATGGGATGGGAGGAGGATTGATGGAGGAGGAGCAGTAGTGGGAGAGCAACCAGGTGTCAGTGGAGGGGGAGGTGATGATGGAGGGGTATTGTAGAGCGCTCCTACTGGCACAGCGCTGTATCTACGGGGGAGAGGATGGTGGGGGAAGGAGGAGAGTGGATTAGATTCTTTTCACTCGCTCCCCCTTCCTTCCCTCCCTTCCCTTCGCTCCCTCTCGCCAGTCTCTCTAGAGTGTTTTCGCATTTGGACTCTTTTTCGTCCTCTCTTCACCTCCTTCCGCCAGAGCCAGCAGCCACTCGACGCCGTTCGCTCCACAATATTTTTTGCTGTGGTGGGTGTAACACACCGTTCCCGAGTTGTTGAGGGGCCACCGCCAAGCCGGACCCAATTTTCCCCACCCATCCCTGCTAGGGGCCGCGATAAAGAGCCCCAACGCAACACGGGTCCTTGGGGTAAAACTGTAAACGCCCCGACCACCCCACGGCGAAGCATGGAGGGGAGGGGACGGGCAAGCGGGCAAGGACGGGCTGGTTGTCTCCAAGGGTCCCGCTCCAGAGCGTCATCCACGCCTATCCGGTGAGCTCAAATGGAAATCGGAGAGTTTGGCTCGAGCATGCTTTCTTTTGCTCAGCAATACCGGCACCTCTACTACACTCTACATACAGCTCGGCTGAGCTGCATCAATCGAACCGACCCCACCATACGCCGCACCTCGACCTGCTTCGTGACAGCCCTGAGTGCATACCGGTACCATATACTACTGCTACACTGCAACACTGACATGCGTACGAACACTTATCTATCTCACCAGCTTGGGCTTCTCCTCCCCGCCCCCCGTCATCCCTTGTCCCCAATGGGACTCTGGATCTGTCGCCACTAATGCCTCGAGGTATTAATTGCCGAGACCGAGATATCACTGATGTTGGTGGTACGCGGTAGTGTTGGGAACGTTTGTTGTTGAAGTCGGAGGATTGCTGGGATGCTCAACGGTGGATGCTTACGGCTCGAATGGCTGAGGACGAGGAGGAGGAGGCGGAGGAGGATGATGGTGATGAGCGAGATGGTGAATTGGAAGTTCATGGGTAACGATGCATGGATGCATGAAATATGGCCTGATTGTGGGTAGAAGCTCGGAGAGCGTTATAGTTGCTTCTTCCGTGCTGGCCAACAGGCTGTATGCCCGTACTGCACAGCAGAGTACCGCATTCATGAAATCAAAGTTACAACCTCTGCACTCTTCGCTGTGCTCCGGAGTCTAGATACTCCATCTGCTCTACCGGCCCGTACTAGGCACTTCTATCCACGTACCTACACCAGCTCGGGAAACAGCTACGAGCCTGGCTCTAGCAGCAAAGGCAGCGAAGCTCATATCCCTCCCTCCCCTTTCTTCCCTTGTCCAAAACTTTCATTCAACATCCTTCTGACCGAGGGGCACTGTGGCTAGTGGGGTGGTGGGGCTGGTGGCGATCGGGAAGATATGTAGATACCCAGATTCCTTGCGGATATGGAGCACGTACAGGTAGAGATACAGAGATGGATTCCTTGCGGATATGGGCACCTACATGCTGTGGTCATCCTCGAGTCTCGAGTGCCGGTGGAAAAGTAGTTCCAACGGGTATCTCGAAGAATCCCAATAATGGTGGTGGTGGTGGTGGTGACCACGCCATGGCAGCATACAGTTCCTGGTGACTTGACGGCTACGATGATTGATTACTACTCCGGACCGACAGACAGACGGACGGAAAATGAGCGTACGCATTCTTCCCCGGATACGATAGAGAAGAGTCACGACCGGCACAATTGTTGTTCCTGAATTGAGGCTTCTCTTCCGTCTCGTCTTGTTGCCCGTCTTTGCCCTTCGATCCCAACATTTTTCTCAAGAGCAACCCCTGCCCTGTCCCCTCGCTAGCAACCCTTCCCAAAATTTCTTTAAACCTGGCGAGTTGGGAGCGAGTGAGCTTGCCAACCACTAGCGTCCCCCTCCACACCTCCCCTCCTCCTCCACCAACATCCCTCCTCCATCCTCCAGTACAGCTAGAAGGCCCGCTCCGCAAAGAGAGAGAGAAAAAAAAGGGAAGCGGCCATCCACAAACAATCAATTACCATCCGTCCTTCTCTCCTCCTCGCACTCGACCTCTCCCCATTCCTTCCTCTGTCCTCCGAGTCGTCGTTTCATCCATCAAGAACTCAATTCCGTCCACTCCTCTACCCCCCACTCCCCACTACGAGCTCAGTGCTATCCTCCACCATCACCTTGTCGTATCAATTGTAATCCGTCTCGCAGCTCAATTCCTTTCAAGTCGTATTTGCAAAATCAAAACGGCAACCGAAAACAGATAGCAATCCTCACACCCCGTGATACACCAAATCCTACTTAACGGCATCTTAATCACATACAACGACTTCACGATGAGACCGGAACAGGAACAGGAGTTGGCATACACTCTGCTGGTAGAGCTCCTCGCCTACCAGTTTGCCAGTCCCGTCAGATGGTGAGCGCCAGCTGCTCGGCCCTTCAATTTCCCCCCGTCCTCTACCTGCGATTGCAGCTCCCCCTCCCCCGCTTCATCCCCGAAAGAGTTCAATCAGGCTAATCATTGCTATCTGGATTCCGTAGGATTGAAACCCAAGATGTAATCCTCGCTGAGCACTCCGCCGAGCGGATTGTCGAGATTGGTCCCTCGGATACCCTCGGTGGTATGGCCCGGCGGACACTGGCCTCCAAATACGAAGCCTACGATGCCGCTCAGTCCCTGCAGCGCCAGATTCTTTGCTACAACAAGGACGCGAAGGAGATCTACTACGATGTTGAGCCAGTAGAGGAGGAGGACGAGAAGCCGGCAGAGTCGTCGTCGTCGTCACCTTCTCAGGCTGCTGCCGCCTCGCCGATTGCCATTGCCGCCCCCGCTCCCGGTGCAGGCCCCGCCGCCCAGGTGGAAGATGCACCTGTTCAGGCTACCGATATTGTGAGAGCAATCATCGCACAGAAACTCAAGAAACCGTTCGGCGATATCCCGCTGTCAAAGGCAATCAAAGATTTGGTCAATGGAAAGAGTACTCTCCAGAACGAGATTCTCGGAGGTGAGAGAGCCCCACCCCTAACCCTACAAAGTTCGTCTCCGCTCACCACCGCTTCATCTCAGATCTGCAGAAGGAATTCGGCGCCACTCCCGAAAAGCCCGAAGATGTCCCTCTCGATGAGCTGGGAGGCGCGTTTCAGTCTACTTTCAACGGCCAACTGGGCAAACAGTCGAGTTCCCTCATCGCTCGATTGGTCTCCAGCAAGATGCCCGGTGGATTCAACATCACGGCGGTGCGCAAATACCTCGTAGACCGGTGGGGTCTCGGATCCGGACGTCAGGACGGAGTTATGCTGCTCGCCATTACCATGGAGCCGGCGGCACGATTGGCTGGTGAACCGGATGCCAAGGCCTTCTTGGACACTGTAGCGAACAAGTACGCCGCTACAGCTGGTATTTCCCTGTCGGCACCAGCAGCTGGTGGTGCCGGAGGTGCCGGAGGTGCTGGCGGCATGATGATGGACCCCGCTGCTCTGGATGCTCTCACCAAGGACCAGAAGGCGTTGTTCAAGCAGCAGCTGGAGCTGTTGGCGAGATACCTCAAGATGGACCTACGAAAGGGTGACAAGGCGTTCATCGGCTCGGAAGAGGGCAATAAGGTTTTGCAGGCTCAGCTCGACCTGTGGAACGTGGAGCACGGAGATTTCTACGCTTCCGGTATCGAGCCTACATTCACACCCCTGAAGGCCCGTGTCTATGACTCTTCCTGGAACTGGGCGAGACAGGATGCTCTTTCGATGTTTTACGACATCATCTTTGGGCGCCTGAAGCTCGTCGACCGCGAGATAGTCTCTCAGTGCATTGGTATCATGAACCGATCGAACCCGATCTTGCTCGAATTCATGCAGTACCACATTGACAACTGTCCTACCGAGCGGGGTGACACCTACCAGCTGGCGAAGCAGTTGGGTGAAATGCTCATCGAGAACTGCAAAGAGGCCCTGAACGTGGCACCCACCTACAAAGATGTCGCCTTCCCTACCGGCCCGCAAACCACCATCGATGCCAAGGGTAACCTGAGCTACGCTGAGGTTCCTCGTCCTTCTGTCCGCAAACTTGAGCACTATGTCAAGGAGATGGCGGCCGGTGGAAAGATGAGCGAGTACGGCAACCGTACCAAGGTCCAGAGCAACCTGACCAAGATTTACAAGATCATCCGCCAGCAGCAGAGAATGTCCAAATCTTCCCAGCTCGAGATCAAGACTCTCTACGCGGATGTTATTCGCAGCCTTGCGATGAACGAGGGGCAGATCATGCAGGAGAACGGAAAAGCCAAGCGCAACCCCAAGAAGCGCGGCGGTGAAGGAGTCACGGAGTGTATTCCTTTCCTGCACCTCCGAAGAAAGGAGGAGCACGGATGGGAGTACTCGAAGAAGCTTACTGGCCTGTATCTCGAGTGCTTGGAGAACGCTGCTGCGGTAATTGAATTCTTCCCCCTAACTCCTTACCGGCTTTGACTGACTTTTTGTAGGAGGGTATCACTTTCCAGGGCAAGAATGTCCTCATGACCGGTGCCGGTGCTGGATCCATCGGTGCGGAGGTGTTGCAGGGCCTCATCAGCGGAGGTGCCAAGGTTGTCGTCACTACCTCTCGATTCTCTCGCGAGGTCACGGAATATTACCAGTCAATGTACACCAAGTACGGTTCGCGCGGATCTCAGCTTGTCGTCGTTCCCTTCAATCAAGGCAGCAAGCAGGATGTCGAAGCTCTGGTCAACTACGTCTACGACACTAAGGCTGGACTGGGCTGGGATCTTGACTTTATCATTCCTTTCGCCGCTATTCCCGAGAACGGACGGGAGATCGATAGCATCGACTCCAGGTCCGAACTCGCTCACCGTATCATGTTGACCAACCTTCTCCGACTCCTCGGTATGGTGAAGACCAACAAGGCTTCCCGCGGAATCGAGACCAGGCCCGCTCAGGTTATCCTGCCTTTGTCGCCCAACCACGGAACCTTCGGTAACGACGGTCTGTACTCCGAGTCCAAGTTGGGTCTGGAGACTCTTTTCAACCGATGGCACTCTGAGTCTTGGGGTAACTACCTGAGCATCTGCGGAGCTGTGATCGGATGGACCCGTGGAACCGGTCTGATGAGCGGCAACAACATCATCGCCGAAGGCATTGAGAAGTTCGGTGTCCGCACTTTCTCGCAGCAGGAGATGGCTTTCAACATCCTCGGATTGTTGGCCCCCGCCGTCGTTAACCTGTGCCAGAACGAGCCTGTGTTTGCCGATCTCAACGGTGCCTTGCAGTACATCCCCAACCTGAATGAGCTCTCCAGCAAGCTGCGTCAGAACCTCATGGAGACTTCCGAGATCCGCCGTGCAGTCACCTCCGAGACCGCCATCGAGCACAAGATCATCAACGGCGACGAGAACGAGAAGCTCTACCAGAAGGTTACCATCCAGCCTCGCGCCAACATGAAGTTCGACTTCCCTGTGCTGCCCGACTACAAGACCGAGATCGAGTCGCTCGCCGCCACCCGCAAGGGTATGGTTGACCTCGAGAAGGTTGTCGTTGTCGCAGGTTTCGCCGAAGTCGGTCCCTGGGGTAACTCGCGTACTCGTTGGGAGATGGAGGCGTACGGAAAGTTCTCTCTCGAGGGTTGCATCGAGATGGCCTGGATCATGGGCCTGATCAAGCACTTCAAGGGACCCATCAAGGGCAAGCAATACGCTGGATGGGTTGACGCGAAGACTGGCGAACCTGTCGATGACAAGGACGTCAAGCCCAAGTACGAGAAGTACATCCTCGAGCACGCCGGTATCCGTCTTATCGAGAGTGAGCTGTTCGGCGGTTACGACCCCCTCAAGAAGGAGCTTCTGCACGAGATTGTCATCGAGGAAGATATGGACCCCTTCGAGGCTAGCAAGGAGACTGCGGAAGAGTTCAGGAGGCGTCACGACGACAAGGCCGAGATCTTTGAGCTGGAGTCCGGCGAGTACACTGTCCGCCTGAAGAAGGGTGCCACTCTGCTCGTCCCCAAGGCCCTCAAATTTGACCGCCTTGTTGCCGGTCAGGTCCCGACCGGATGGGATGCCAGACGCTACGGTGTACCGGAGGATATCATCTCCCAGGTCGACCCTGTTACCCTTTACGTCCTGGTCACTGTCGCCGAGTCCATGATCTGCGCCGGTATCACTGATCCTTACGAGTTCTACAAGTACGTCCACATCTCTGAGGTCGGAAACTGTGTTGGTTCCGGTGTCGGAGGTACCAGTGCTCTGCGCGGTATGTACAAGGGTCGCTACATGGACAAGCCCATCCAGAAGGATGTCCTCCAGGAGTCCTTCATCAACACCATGGCCGCTTGGGTCAACATGTTGCTCTTGTCTTCGACCGGTCCCATCAAGACCCCCGTCGGTGCTTGTGCTACTGCGGTCGAGTCGATGGACATCGGTTACGAGACCATCATCGAGGGCAAGGCCAAGGTCTGCTTCGTCGGTGGATTCGACGACTTTCAGGAGGAAGGCTCTTACGAGTTCGCCAACATGAAGGCTACCAGCAACGCCGAGGATGAGTTTGCCCATGGCAGGACTCCCTCGGAGATGTCTCGCCCTACCACTACTACCCGTAACGGTTTTATGGAGTCTCAGGGATGTGGTGTTCAGCTCATCATGACGGCCAAGCTTGCCTTGGACATGGGAGTTCCCATCTACGGTATCGTTGCCATGACCGCCACTGCCACCGACAAGATTGGACGCAGCATCCCCGCCCCCGGTCAGGGTATCTTGACGACTGCCCGTGAGGCCAGCAGCAAGTTCCCCAGCCCCCTTCTGGACATCGGTTACCGCAAGAGACAGCTCGACCTGCGCAAGGCCCAGATCAAGCAGTGGACCGAGACAGAGCTTCTGTACTTGAACGAGGAGGTTGCCGCGATGAAGGCGCAGGGCGCAGAGTTCAACGAGAACGAGTACCTTGCGGACAGGGCCACGCACGTCGAGAAGGAGGCCACCCGACAGGAGAAGGAAGCCCTTTCTACCTGGGGCAACGATTTCTGGAAGCGTGATCCCAAGATCGCTCCTCTCCGTGGTGCCCTCGCTACATGGGGTCTCACCATCGACGATCTGGGAGTTGCTTCTTTCCACGGAACCAGCACCAAGGCCAACGACAAGAACGAGTCTGATGCTATCAACAAGATGATGACTCACCTTGGCCGTAAGAAGGGTAACGCTGTCCTCGGTATCTTCCAGAAGTTCTTGACCGGTCATCCCAAGGGTGCTGCTGGTGCCTGGATGATGAACGGTGGCCTGCAGTGCATGAACTCGGGACTTGTTCCCGGAAACAGGAATGCCGACAATGTTGACGCCAATCTGGAGCAATTCGAGTACATCGTCTACCCCAGCCGATCGATGCAGACGGACGGCATCAAGGCCTTCTCCGTCACTTCGTTCGGTTTCGGTCAGAAGGGAGCTCAGGCCATCGCTGTCCACCCCAAGTACCTCTTCGCAACTCTTGACGAGGCCACCTACAACGGGTACAAGGCCAAAGTTGATGCTCGATACAAGAAGGCTTACCGCTACTACCACACCTCCCTGGTCGAGAACAACCTGTTCCAGGCCAAGTCGCACGCGCCATACACTCCCGACCAGGAGTCGTCCGTCTTCCTTGACCCTCTCTGCCGTGTTGAGGCCAACAAGAAGGCTGGCTCGTACACCTACCCCGCCCAGCTCACGCGCAAGGCCGATCCTTCGATCGAGAGCACGCGCAAGATGGTCGAGCACTTGGCCACGCACTCGGTGACGGGCTCAAACACCAGGGTTGGTGTCGACGCCGAGCACATCTCGAGCATCAACGTGGACAACGAGAACTTTATCGAGCGCAACTTCACTGCCGCCGAGATTGAGTACTGCAACAAGGCGCCTAGCCCCCAGGCCAGCTTTGCTGGTCGCTGGAGCGCTAAGGAGAGTGTCTTCAAGAGCTTGGGTGTTCCTGGAAAGGGTGCCGGTGCGCCTCTGAAGGAGATTGAGATTCTGCGCGACGAGAAGGGCGCGCCTGTTGTCAAGGTCAGTTGACTCTCATCCCCCCACCCACAGACTTGACACGATGTTAACATTAGAACAGCTTCACGGAGATGCACAGAAGGCCGCCACCGCTGCCGGCGTCGAGAGCGTCCAGGTGTCGATCACACACAGCGACACGCAGGCCATTGCCGTTGCGATCGCTACTCTTAGCAGCTAGATGGGGGGGAGGGTCGGTTTAGATGCGGGTGGTCTGGTTAGATTGGGGATGCACTTGTCTACATATTGTTTTTTCCATCTTCCCTTTATTCTTTCTTCTCTTTCTGTTACTGTTACTGTTACTGTTACTGTTACTGGGTGATGGCTGGTTTTCATGGGTATAATCTTTTGTTTCGGGGTGTAATCTTTTTGCTGTTTTATAGGTTGTATAGTTTCATGATACATGATGACGGTGGAGATGAATGGAGGTAAATGGAGCATCGAATGGAGCATCGAATGGATGGTGGTTTGGTAAGGAGTCGAGCATATGTTCGAGAAGCTTCGGCTTCACTTCCACTTGACGGTGGACACCCCGGGGGGCAACTCCTGTTTCCTGCGCCGTCTCGAACCCTCAATATGAACCCATTTGCTGCCAACATGAGCCCCCGTCGGCTCTCGTATTCCATGTGAAGCACTTATCCCCCATCCCCTCGCGGCTGTCTAGGAACTCTTGTGTATGCCTCACATCTCCCAGCTTACAAACAAGAACAAGACCCCAACCATGCCACCCTCAAAACCCACACGCAGCGAAGCCCCCTCCGCCACCACCAGCTCTTCTCACCGCACCCACCACTCCCACCGCTCCCTCCTCAGCCGCCTGAACTCACTACTCCACCCCATCTCGTCCCTCTGCGCACGGTTCGACCGGAAGGTCGAAGCCGTTCTGCAGCAGAGGAGAGCTGAGCTCGCGCTGCAGGAGGAGCGTAGTGACGAAGAGGAGGTGGAGGAGGCGGAGGAGGGGGAGGAGGAGGAGGGGGGGGGGAGGCAGGAGGAGGAGGGGGAGGCAGACTGGCAGCAGGAGGCAGACTGGCAGGAGGGGGAGGGGGCGGCAGACTGGCAGGAGGGGGAGGGTGAGGAGGCAGACTGGCAGGAAGAGGGAGGATGGTAGCAGGAGGGGGAGGGGGGATGGCAGGAGGAGGGAGGGAGATTGGAAGAGGTGGAGGGGGGAGAGAGAATGGCCGGAAGAGGAGGAGGCAGAGTGGGAGGGTGAAGATGGTGGTGGTGGTGGTGGTGGTGGTGGTAGTGAAGCCAGGCTGCGCGCCACCGTTGCCACGGTTACTGCGCATATGGTCGAGTTGAGGGAGTTACGGGATATGCTGGAGTACAGTGCTCCCCCGCCGCTGCCGGTGCCCGCTGCTTCCAGGCCCAGGGGTGTAGTGTTCGGAAGCATGGCGAGTGAGGCGGGCACGGCGGGCGAGGCGGCAGATGTGCGAGGCGACGGCTACCCGCCATGTGAGTTCTGCGGCGAGAGGTATGTTATGCGGTTTTACTTTCCGAGGTCGGTTGGTGCGGGTTCGGTTGGTGCGGTCTGTCATGGCTGTTTGATGGGCTTGGTTAGAAGGCAGGAGGTGGTTAGGCTGCAGAAGGAGGTTGATGAAATGGAGCGGGAGAGGAAGAGGAAGAGGGAGCGGGAGCGGGAGCTGGTGAGGGGGTGGGAAAGGGAGAGGTGGATGGAGAGGTGGATGGAGAGGGGGAGCTGGTGAGGACTTCAGCTCGTAGGTAGGTATGTAGCTTACTTGATGCCGGAAGTGATGAGTCCTCGGGCTAAATGCTCGCAGCTGGTTCGAAATCAACCTCCCGTAGTTACTCCTTCTACTATTTTGCAACTCCGTGTGTGCGTGCAGAATCAAGATACCCACCGCTGTACCGATGACGGCCGTTCAGGTTTTCCGAACGACGGCGCAAGAACTCTCTACCTGGGTTCCCTGGCGTGATACGGTTCGGTCCGGCCAATATGAGGGCGGAACATCGCGGTGTCTACTCTATTACTGGTGGCTTGGAAGTAATAGCCGCTCATCGAAGCTCACTCGTGAATTCTGGTGTTTCGGGGTGGGGAATAGAGTAACTAGGCCCCGTGTGGGATGAGCACTGTTTCAATAACATTTAAGTGGCACAGTGACCACTGACAGTATTATTTTATGTATCTATTTTTGTCCGTGCCAAAATCGCCCACGCCCGTCGCCCGATCATAGCAATTTGGCAAATCATTTACGTTCCTTCCAATGCTGGATTTTATTGGGTCCTTCGGTTGAGAGCGAGCCGAGTCCGACCGACCCGCTACCAGGTACCAGTTATGAAGGTATCGGTGCGACGGTCCAGTCGTGCACGATCCTCCGCTCTCTGCCCTCTGGCGCGACCTCTCAGCGTACCGCATACCAATGATCAATCCTCTCAGCGCACATCAATCATCGCAGCGCTCGAGTGACACTACATGTCTCATACATGTCTCCTACATACATGTCTACTACTACTATACCCAGTAGTTAGCCTCCTCCCTCCTCGCCGCCGCCGCCGCCGCTCCCGCCGCCGCCACTGGCGGTCGGGCGATCTGGATTCTGGAGCTCATCGCTCTATGTGCTCCGCTCCACTCCAGTCCCTTCCACGAAACGGACACGGGACGGTGCGGTGCGGCGCAGCGCAGCGGCCCAATCGAACGGGCTCTCGAACACCTCTCCCCTCAAGAAACTCCACAGACCTCCACAGAACTTCAAGAACCTTCCGGAACCTCGCCAATCCCGACTCCAGGAAGCAAGCAGGCAGGTAGGTAGGTAGTTGATGAACCAGCACTATCGGGTGCGCGAGTAGTACTCCTATGTACCTATCATATGTATAGCATGTATAGTACCGGTACATCCATAGCCTGTAACCCCGCACGCTATGATTCGTCCCCCCGCACGCACGCACGCACGTAGGTAGGTAGGCAGGTATGTAGGCAGGTAGGTATGAGCGCGTGAACAGTGAGCGACTCCGCCCCCGGACGGAGATCGCGGTGTCGATGGGTGATGGGCGGATACCTGGGATCGATAGGTTGGTAGGTGGATGTATAGATGGGTTGCGGAGACGGAGAGGCACAGCGACAGAGGCACAAGAACAGAGAGAGCGGGGGTAAGTGAGGAGGAAGTGGGAGGAAGTGGGCAGCCTATGAGGCTACGATGAATGAACGACGATGATGATGATGCTACTTACCGCACATACCGTACCAAGTACTCTACATACCATACCTCATACCTCATGCCTGATCTTCTGTTCCTCTGCGCACGCAGCGCCCAGCGCCCCTTCAGGCTTCTATGCGTCGTCCACAGCTCCGCTCTGATCCATACTACGATAGCCACCACCACACTATGCGTCGCTATAGCAGCACACACTCCTGCACTCCCAGCTCCTGCACTCCCCAAAGGTAATCGGCATCGGAATCGCCCCGCCGCGCCCAATTGTCCCGCCCAATTGTCCCGCCCAATTGTTCACTTATCACCTGCACCCGCTCTGCCTCCCCTCCTCCCCCACCTTGCCTCCCTCCGCACATGCAAAACAAAGAAAGAAATAAAGAAGAAAGGAAAAAAGGGAAAAAACCCCCGTCGCCGGCGCCGCGCACGCCTCATTGTCGCTCTTGTCGCTCAAAAGTTACTCAACGGGCTCGTCGCTCAACAGGCTCGTCGCTCAACAGGCTCGTCGCTCAACAGGCTCGTCGCTCAACTGGCTTTTTCCCTTCCTTCTTGTGCGCAAGGTGCGGTGAGGTGAGGTGAGGAGACCGCCGGTTTCGCTCACACAGGTTGGTAGATAGTTGGCTCGCCACCTCACCTCACCAGGCTCGTGAGTGGGTGAGTATCCCGCCGCCGTCCGGTCCGGTAGTTCTCGTAGATCCAAGATGCTCTGCATGATGCCTTCTGCACCTTTCTTCTTTCTATTTTCTTCTTCCGATTCCTAGCCGTAGCTGGAGTAGAGTAGTGTCCAGTTAGTTATCGCCGTTCACTTCAGTTGACTTCACATCACTTTCTCCGCGAATCGCTCTGAGCTCTGAGGTTTGTCTGTCTGCCACTCTCAAATCCATTCTGCTATTCAACACCTCTCACCCCCCCCCCCCCCCCCCCTCCCTCCCCCCGCCAAAAAAAACATTTACGGCCCAGAAATTAATGGTAAAAAAACCAAAAGAGAAAGAAAAAAAAAAACTCCATGAAGAAATGAAAAGAAAAAACAAGACACCCCGATCGATCAATATACAAAAAAGCGCTCCTTCCCCGTTAATATCATAGAAACACAAATACAAAAGCTCCCTTTCCCAATAGAAATCCACGCTCGCTGAAAATGGAAGAGACGTAAAAAAAAAAGACATAAAAAAAGGATCAAATGAATGATGGTAAGAAAAAAAAGCATGAAGAAAACTTCTATACAAGATGCAAATGCAAGTGCGTCATCGTTCCGTTCCGTCTCTAATAATTCGTTATCGTGAAAAAGGAAAAGAAATGTTCGTGTCGTTAAAGTGGGTCGTAAAATAATCGTAATCGTTAAAAGTCGTCAACATAAGAGAAAAATTTGTAGTAAAGTCATTAAAACTCCATGCTCATCTTCCGCCTGGCACCCTTGGGAGCGGTCTCCCATGAGCGCGAGGACTTGAAGCCGACGGAGTTGCTGTCAGGGGTCTCGGACCCGCGACGAGCCTGGCGCTCGATGATTTCCTTGGCCTTGCCGGCAAGTCCCACTTCGAAACCGATCTTCATGCCGCGCTGCATGCCCAGTTCCATTCCCTGCTTGACATCGCTGATGCGCGCATCCAGGGCGTCGGCCATCACCACTTGGATCTTCTCCTTCTTCTCTTCCTTCTTCGGGACAATGCCGTGGACGAGCTCATCGTGGCAGGGTGTGCACACGATGATGCCGCACTGGTTGAGAAGCGAGCACTGCCACGCCTCGGTAAGGCTCTGGCGCTGGCAGCGATCACACTCGATGAGAGGGAAGAAAGGCTCGTAGGGGAAGCCTGGTGAGCGGAGAGGACCAGCCTTGGGGAAGAAGTGGCCGTGAACCAGGCAGTGGTGTTGGTAGCGTTCGTTGGACCGGGCAGAGGTGGTGCTGGTCATGAGGTCTTCTGGGAGAGGCGCCTCGTCCTCGTCGCTAGAAGTGTCGTGCATGGCAATCTGCTCGTCGAGGGAGACTCCAAAGCCGCCATTGCCATCATCGCTTTCGCTGTCGCTCTCACCGGAAAGGTAACCTTCGTCGGAGCGGGGAGGGTACAGGTGCTGGGATACTGTCGTTGGTGGAGGTGTGGGAGTCAGGGAAACTCCGCCCTCGGTGGGGGCGGTAAGCTCGATCTGAACGGTTTCCTCGACCGGTGTCACCTTGATGATGGGGGCGGCTGGAGCCACTTCCACCACGGGCACTGGCTCCTTCTCGACAACGGGAGCCTCAGCAGCTTGCTTTGCAGCCGCCGCAACGATCAACTTCGCGAACGACGGCTTAGCCGGCTTGAACGCCTCCAGGGCGATCTTGGCGGTGGGCGTAACTTTCTTGGCAATCTCCTTGGGAGGAGGAGTGATGGCTTTCGGCGGGGGAGTGACGGCCTTGGGAGCTGCGACGGCCTTGGGAGCTGCGATGGCCTTGGCCTTCCTTGACCTTGGCTCCTCGATCAACTCATCTGGGGGCGGCGCCGGAGGAATGCACTTCTTCAGGACATCGACGGTGAACAACACCTTCTTCGCCTTGAGGAACCGATCGCGGGCGTTCATTGTCGGGAAGTCCGGCTTGGGCGCATCGTTGGATCCTCGCGACGGCGGCGGCGAGTGCTCGATGATCTCTTCGGGCGACGGTGGCTCAGCCGTGTCGAGTTCCTCCTCCAGCTCGACGATGGTGATCGTCGGCTTCTCCTGAAGCGGGGCGGGCGATTGAGGATCCAGCGATGGGTCGCCAAGGTGCTGGATGATGTCCTCCACGGCCACCTCGTCCTCTTTCGTCTCCAGGAACAACGGCTGTCGCTCAATCTCGATTGACCGTCGTCGCGACGACTCCAGCTCGGCTTCCGAGACGTCGGCGGCTAGGGGCTCTTCGGCAAAGAGATCTTCGGCTCGGTTGATCGTTTCCTCCTCCTCCTCATCCTCCTCAACGATTGCCGTCCTCGGCAGCGCCGAAAAGTAATCCCTCGCAACCGTCTCCTGGACAGGCTGTGGGGTGCTGTAGCTGTAGCTATCATGTGTGTAGGCATCGTAGTACTCGTCCTCGTCGCTTAGCGACTCATCGTCGTCGTCGTCTTCGTAGTGGTTGAACTCGATCTCAATCGAAACGGTAGGCGACGACCATACCTGCTTTCTCGATGTGCCGTCCCATGTCGCAGCCCGGTCGGGGAAATTCTGCGCCTGGTATTCGGCCGCCTTGGAGAGGTCGAACGGCTGGTATTTGCCCTTCTCGCGCCATTCGGATATACTTCTTGTTTCCCGTCGTAGTGTCCGTCGGATAGATGCGGCCGGGGAACTGTAAGAGCGGCAGAGACCTTCCATTGTGCAACAGACAGGAGGAAATGTGTGTTGTTCGGAGTGGGTGGAGTTGAATGTGGTGGGGGAAGCGTAGGCGGTGGTGGTGGTAGTGGGATCCAGGATGTCGGTGGGTAGGAGAAGAAGATCTCCTGTCGAAAATGGGGGAAGTGTAGATGATATAGCTCCTGCTGACCGAGCCGGGGCTGGTGGGCGACGTGGACGTGGGTGGGTGTGGATTTAGGTTTTTTCTCGGATGCAGTTGCACGCTTGTGGTCTAACGCACACGCAGTTCGCAAGGCTTGGGAGTGGTGGGGAGCGATGTGCAGAATCAAGGAGGGAGCCCAATGTGTGTGTGTGCAATATACAAGACGATGTATTATAAACAGACGCAGGCGGGGGGGAAGCGGGATTACTGCGGACTTTCAGATCCCGTGGTTATGGAGCCTTATATGCGGATGGAGGGTGGTGATGGGGCGTGTATGAATATAGACGGTACCGACGGTGTAAGTAGCGTTTGGTTTCAGGTCGATGCGATGGGTTTGGGAGCGGGGGGGGGAGCTGTTTTAGTGCGGAGTTGGGCGGATGATGTGTATGAGGATTGATCGGGGGAAACAGAGGGGGAAAGAGGCATCCAACATGCGGACAGTGCACAGTATTATATCCGTGGCTTTGTCGGCCTCGTTCCCGTTCTCGTCTCGGCGGTGGGGTGTTGGATTGTCGCAGTTGCGGTGTTCCAGTGTTGGAGTGTTGGATGGACGAGACGAGACGGACGTGTAGAGTACCTTGTGCGCCTCTTTTCCGTGGAGTACCTTGTAGATGCGAGACGTGGTGACAGGTATTCGGAAGCGGAGAAAAGCAAAGAGGGAAAGAAGAAGAAAAAAAGGAAGGAAAAAAACCACTTCACACCACTCGTCGACCACTTCACCCATGGCCCCCTCAACGGCCACCATGGGCCCGACCAGTCAGCCAGTCAGACGGAGCTGTCTCGCAGCCAACAGCATCGCAGCAGCATCAGCACGAGCAGCAGCAGCATCATCATCGTCCGCATCATCAGCAGCACGGTAACTACTCGAGTACATGCCATGCGGGTAGAGTGCGACACTGCAACGACGTACAGAGGATAGCGAAAAAAGGCAGCAGCAGGCAGTGCACATCCGTTGTCGCTAAGTGCTAGTTATGCTAGTACTATACCCCCAGCAGCCGCCCAGCAGCAGCCGATGCGTTGTCCCTGGCTGACTGGTCGGCCTGGACGTGGAGGGGGTGGCTTTGCAGAGCCCTGGCCGGCCTGCGTGGGACGACGAGAAGAGACGGAGGAGGAGAGAGAGAGAGACAGACCCCCCCTGCGCCCTTTGCAGAGAATGCAACGATGTCACGGTGGGGTGCATCACGACACATGTGCACGGTGCGGGCGTGGCCTACCTAGAGCACCGTACCTAATCCCACTGAGGGAGCCACAGCAAGAAGCAGGGTGGACGCTCCGAGTCTCCGAGGACCAGCGAGTACCGGTAGCGTGGTGGATTGAGCCACAGGATTCGCCAATCCGCCGAAACGAAAGTTCCGAAACGAAAGTTCCGAAACAGCATGGGCATTGGGCAACGTCACTGGCAGACTGGCAGTCTGGCAGTGCCCCCCGCGGATCTATATCGATCGTTTGGCTGGTGCCAGTGTGCTGGCCAATCCGAACTGCGGCTATCTACGGGAGGGGGGAGGGTAAGCTGGGCGCTCTTATGATACATACGGTCGCTATTTTGCGAGCGTGTTTCTCGTCGAGTCGTCGCTTGGCTCAGCGATAGTTACCCATGATCGATGGCAAGCGCTCGCACGACAACGGCCGTTTCGCGGGGCGCGCGCGGAGGGAAGTGGGAAGTGGAGGATCTACATGCTCAGGATCTTCGTTCGGGGCGGTTGATCCCGACTCCCAGCAAACAGCCCAAGCCCGCCTGTGCTAAGCCAAGCCAAGCCAAGCCAGGCCAGGCCCGCCCTACTGCTCCAGAGTCCATCACCGCCTCAACGGTCCTTCGCGAGCATGGACAGCCGACCGACCGACCTACGGACCCGCGCACGGACAGGCCACAGGCCAACTGCACTCGCAACGTCTATCACCATCACAGTCGCTCGAGTAGAATAAGAGAAGAAAAACACTACCGTCTGATAAGCAGTCAGATCTACATTGGGTGCTCGTAAAGTCGCAGTCGCACATGCGGCCGGAACGTCGGAACGTCGGAAGAGATTTTTTCTATGTAGGTAATGTGTATCTACGGTATCTATCTTACGGGTCGAGACTCGAAGAGCTCTCTGGAGGTGCGTGATTTTTTTGGTCGCGATACGTGATAGGAGGTACGGATAGGAACTTGGAACTTGGAACTAGGAAGGGCCAATGCTCGGTGGCTCTGTGGACGGGAAACGGCGGTAATACTGGTAATACTGGTAATACTGGCTGGGAAACGTGATGCTGAATGGCTGGTTGACTGGCTGGTTGACTGGTTGACTGGTTGACTGGCTGAGGGATAGGTATAGTAGAGTACAAACGAGTGCGGTTGATGATCTATCTGTGATAGGTAGTCATCAACTACTATAGAATGTACTTACTTGGTATCATAGGTACATCATACCTAGTATCGATGTACATCCACGTACCTACCAGGCCCACCGATAGTCCTGCCGTATGTACCGTACCATATTGCCTCCGCCTCCGCCTCCGTCGCCGCGATTGGCACGGTACGGCACCGAATGTTTCCTCCGCCTCCACTGACGGTGCCAGACCAAGACCGCGCGAGACCGCGCGGCCACCTCAGCAGCCGGGTATTATCGGCCACCTCGAATCCACCTCGGATCCATGGTGATCCACGGTCCACTGACCTGGCGGGTGATTTGACACCCATGCCTTCCACATCGGAGCCACGAAAGCAAAGGGCCGATCGTCATCACGGTACGTTTGCGGCCGTCCGGGAAGCTTCCGGCACGAGATGGTCCTCCCACCCACGCTTCACGCCCCCCCGGCCGGGCACATCCAATCCCGTGAGGACATGTGACCCGAATACCTTACCGCCGCTGTCCAGTCCAAGAAATCGACGGGCCTGGGCTGGTGCCAATCGCGCTGGACGGACGTGTTTACCTCCATTACATACACACATACGTAAACCCCGTAGACCGTGGTGGAATGGTGTGATATGTACTATGTATCGCCATCCAGAATCGGAGCTCATCAGGTCGTCTGAACGTCGGTCCAGTAGAAGGGAGCGCGTATAGTGCTCTCTCTGTCAGGACCCTGCTTTTCAAGTGAAGGAATAACTGCACCGCCATCATCACCATCATCGCCAGCATCATCATCGGGCCTGGGTCATCACCACCATCATCGGGACTGGGCCATCGGTAGGGTAGGTACAGTACATGTGTCATATTCCCCGATGGAATGGATGGATGAGGATGAGAGGCTGGATGAGAGGATGAGGAAGGAATCGTTGGAACCCATTCATCCATCCCGATCCAGCCCTTCGGAATACCCAGCTAGAATATTTTCCGATTTGGTATCCGCAATCCACGGGAATGCTTCAGGCCCAATCGTTGCCCCCTTGGAAGTTGATCCTGCCTTCCTTCCTCTTCCTCTTCCTCTGCTTTTTTGGTGGGAGTCTTCGTGAGCATGAGAGTGGGGGGGGGGGGGGGGGGGGTGGTGGGGTGGTGGGGGGAGGAACGGGCGGGATTAGTTACATACCTGCTCAAGGGCTTACTGACTGATACAGTGACATTGATGGATGACTTGACTTGCCGGCACATCACATCACATCACATACCTACCTTGTACTCGATGCTTCGTTCATCTTGTCTTGTCTTGCTCGCCCTGCGTAACTGCGTTCTAGATGTCTGCACATGTACACACCTACTGTACAGACGGGCCGCCGATGCATGTAGGTACGTACCATACTCGGGGCCCTAACTAACTAACTACCGCCGCATCGACCGTCTCAAAGACACATAGGTACAGTACAGTACAGTACCTACATGGACGCCAGATACTCTATAGTAGCGCACCCGACGGGGTTCCAGATATATACATATCTACTGTAGTTAGCGGATAAGTCCTGATGCCTCTGGCGGCCGAGTGGGCAGAGTGCTCGTAGATCTCGAAGCCCCAAGACCCGCGCATCCCCCCCGCACAGGTGGCAATTGCAGATTGCAGATTACAGATTACAGATTGCAGATTGCAGATTACCGCCCAGGCTGATCCCTTTGATCCCATTAATCCCTTCGAGTCTTGACCAGGACAAATGGCCAGGACAAACGAACGAACAGGCCACAGTGGCGAGCCACAGACGGACGGTCAGCCGGCAGAATCACCGCACGAGTGAGGGTCTGTGAATATCCATTTCGACCAGTGCGTACACGTTTCCTCTCCACCCCGGCCTGTCTTGCGAGGTTGTCCGAGACGAAACGAATTGTGTAGGCGTTATTTAGAACGCATCGTATCGCAACGATGTTTGGTCCGCACTCCGCGCGTGCGTAGCAGCGAAGGCGACTAGAGTATGAATTGGCAGCACAGCCACCGACGTAGGTAGTCCGAGAGTACCCACGTCGCACCCGTAGCGCCAGGGTGCTCTACGGTATGCGAACGGAGTACAATACATGAGTAAGTGGTTATCCGCCCGCACCTCACTGGTCGCGCTGGCAGGCGGGCCGATTGCATCGCTTCAATCGCAGCAGCCGGCGACGGCCACGGGACGATGACCTATGAGAAGACGGGATTGTGTATGTAGAGTATGCATGCACGGCCCAAACACGATCGATGCTGCCATCAGTGCCATCACCATCACCAGTTCCGTCACGAGCGAGTAGAGTGTGTAGAGCAACGTGCCGCAGCTTCCCTCTTTCTATGTTGCGTTCTGCAGGCGGCTAACTAATCCAGTTCTGCTCTCTGCAACATATCGTGGCACTCGCAGCGAGAGCGTGCGCGTGTGCTAGGTGTGAGTGGCCCGACCGAAGGAGGCGAATCCTTCCTAGACACGTCAGTCGGTTGCGCGCTGCGATATGATAGGAACACGAACTTCTCGTTGCTGCAACGTACCACCCACGCACATCACGCACATCCCATCGGGCCAAACAGCTGCCGAGAGAGAGAGAGAGAGAGAGAGCTACTTGCGCGTGTCATGTACGTGCTGTGGGATCGGCTTTTCGGCATGGGAGGGTTTTTTCTCTTTCTTTTCGCTGCACGAGTATCTAGAGTGCGTTCATGACCATGCGCGCAGGGAAAAATCTGTGAGTGAGAGACGTTGCAACTTGCTGGGCAGCTTCCACATCCACTCCTTCCTTCCCTCGTTCCTTCCTTCGTTCCTTCCGTTGCGCATCGTTCACCGCGCTCCCTAATATGCACGCTTGCTTCCAGAGCATATCCCATCCGGTCGACGAAAGGAAAGCGATGCGCCTGCGGTCTTCGGCCCGTTTCTGTATCACAGACAGTTGGGTCGCCACTGAAGCGAGAGAAAAGTGTTGACCGACGACCAACGACCGACGGAGGGATGCATTGATGTTGGAACTCGGCCCCCAAAGTTCAGACGGTCTCGTCCGGTAGTTACCCCCCACCCCCACCACCACCACCACCACCACCACCACCCCCACCACCACCACCACCACCACCACCCCCACCACCACTGGCCCTGACTGCTGAGACCATTGATGTCACCGGAAGGGCGTCTAGAGTCGTTAGTTATGTAGCAGACAAGTCCCGAGCAGCCAGCGGGCTGGCTAAACTATCTACCGCGCCGACAGACAACGCGGAGAGTAAAGTACTCTAGATAAGCAGGTACTTACAACCTATTCCCTGCAAATCTGGACCATCGTTGTCGACCCGCCCCCAGTGTTCTGGACCACGGTGTATGATCCATCGTCTAGACTTCCCTTCTTCCTAGGCCTCTCTCCCTCCATGTGTACTCTACTCTACCGTATCCACGTCCATGTCTCTGCTCGAGGTTGAAGGAAGGAAGGTGAATTCGGTTTTTCCCCACCACGTGGCGGTTAAGCGAGCGACCCGGGCCCTAAGCGTCCGCCAGAGTCCGCTTGGGTGCCCCCGCCGTTTCGCTTCGCAAACCGAAGCACGGGAAAAACCAAAAAAAAAAAAGTCAAAAAAAACCTCCTGTTGCCAGCGTGAACTGAAATTTGAATTGATCCACCTCGTCATCAGGAAGTAACTAACCCGATCCATATCATATCTCCATCGCAACACCACCACCACCACCACCACATCCACAACCACCACATCCACAACCACCACATCCACAACCACCACATCCACAACCACCACATCAGCATGGCCGCCGCACTCACTGGACATGGCCGCCGGTTACTGCTACGTCATCTGCACCGAGCCAACCACCTTCGCCCCACCAGCGAGTTCACCCTCACCCTCACCAGCGCCATCTTCCTCCGGCACTCGACGGGTAGCGCTTCTACCTCCGGATCGCCCGTATCGCCCGTATCGCCCGCGCCCGCCAAACCACGCACCGCGGGCTTACTCGCAGCGAGTGACCACCGCATATCCTGCCTATCCATACCGGAGGGGCAAGCCGGCGGCGACCTCCGCTTCCCGTTGGCGGGCGCGCATGACTTCCGCGCGCTGCGCGCGGAGTCGCTGACGTTCTTTGATAAGACAAGATATATACCGCTGCTCACTCCCTCCCCGGCGGCGGAAAAGGAGCCGGGAAAGGAGTCGGGAAAGGAGCCGGAAAAGGGCGCTGAGGAGCCGGAAAAGGGCGCTCGTGTTAAGCTGTTGTGTCGGCCGGACAATTTTGGGAAGTCGCTGACGAAAAGCATGATGGCTGCGTTTCACGCGGTGGAGCATAAGCCGCAGTTCGATGAGGTCTTTGGGGGGCTGGATGTTGCTGCCGCGGTGAAGAAGGGGGAGGTCGAGAATGGACGGTATCTAGTGCTGGAGTTGGACTTTGAGCGTGCGGGCAGGGGCGTCGAGGCTACGGCGGAGAGGTTTGGCGAGTACGTTAATGGCGAGATCAAGGCGTTCGTGGAGCGCTATCGGCGCTGGGGAATGAAGCTCGAGGTCGAAGGGTGCGATTTCGAGAATCATGGGAAGATCGCGGATAATCTGAAGGAAGTCGTTCGGCAGGTCTGCCGAGAACTCGAGGCGGTCAAGGCCGGTAAGAACGAGGAGAGCCCGCTTTACAATGTCCGCGGTGTATGTACATTTCCACCTCCGCGACCCCACGTCGTATATTGACATGACGTAGATCTTCGTTATGATCGACGACTTCGACGCCCCTGCGCGCGACATCCTCCTCACCGAGAGCAAAGAGACCTGGGCCGCAGCCAAACCCAACCTCGCCAGCGCTTACACCTCGCTCTTCCAGGCGATCGCGGCGGGCATGCAACCCAACGGCGATGGCATATCGCAAGTGTACATGACGGGGCTCGCGCCGCTCCTTCTGAGCCACGAAGCATTCAGCACATTCGACGATGTCGGCATCACGAACCTGTCGTTCAACCACCGATTCTTCGGGCTGTGCGGCTTGACCGGCGGCGATGTAAACCACGCCCTGTGCGTCATCAATAAGGAAAACGACTCGGCCCAGCGCTTGTTCAGCCAATTGAAGTTCCGCGCGAATAACTACCACTTCACCATGGAAAAGAAAGTCCTGAAAACTTACAACACCCTCACGATTACTAAATACCTAACCGTAAGGCGAACATTCCCATCCCCAACCTTCCCCCCCTCGCGCTGAATAGCTGACCCCCATCGCAGGCAGTCGCGCAAAAAGCGACAGAAGACACGGAGCCCACCGCGCCCGACACCAGCTCGCCGTACCTCTCTCCGCTGATCCAGCACGTGTGCAGCATCGAACCCGCGGTGTTCGAGGAGCTAAAGGCCGCGCTCATCCTGTGGCAGATCAAGAAGCGCGTGCGCTACAGCGAGTCTCATTTCCCGAGCCTTATCACACCGGGGGACCTACTGTCCACAGACGAAAAGGGCGTGCATGCGTGGCGGCTACTGCTGCTATACCAGGGCGTCTTCCGCTACGACTCGCAGTACCCGCGGAAGTTCCTCGCGCTAGGGAATGGCGCGAGGTTTGGCGACGAGTTGAGAGCAAGGTTTGGCGAGGATGTGGGCAAGCCGAGAGATGAGACGGGCTTTGTAAAGACTATCGGTATGGCCGCGGAGAAGAAGAGGTCCAGGTGGGAGAAGAGGGTGGCGGCGAGGGCGGCGGCGGCCGAGGCCGGCGTGGGTAATGACGGGGCCAAAGTTGGCAAAGACGAGGCCAGCGGTAGCAAAGACGAAGTCACCGGCAGCAAAGACGAGGCCAGCGGTAGCAAAGACGAAGTCACCGGCAGCAAAGACGAGGCCAGCGGCAGCAAAGATGAGGCCAGCGTTATCACAGATGAAATCACCGTCAGCAAAGACGAAGCCTCTATTAGCACAGACGAAGTCACCATCAGCACAGACGAGCCCGGCGTTACCAGCGCTACCAAAGATAACTAATGTATATGAAGGCGCCATTATGGGAGACGACGATCACCTCTCATGAACTGAATTTTTTTTACATACTTGCGGAAGACGGAAAGGAAATAGAAATGTAGAAGATGGATGCGTTGGCTACCTACTTAAGAGGTATGTACTTAGTATGTAGGATGTATGATAGTAGGATGTATGATGTATGTGTGATAGATATGATTGGGGGTGCCGTTGAGCCAAGTCAAGAGCTTGTTTGAGTATCTTTGCAGTCGAACTTGTTGATTAGGTCATGGCATAGCGAGATGTGTGTACATATCATCCAGCTACATATCGGAAATGAAGAGTGTAGAGTAGGAGTGATGGACGAGTGATTGCTTGTGCACACCCGCGTGACCATCGGCGGCGGCGGCGGCGGTGGGGACCGTGGGTTCTATCAGCACTGGGTACCGGTCTCATCGAGCATACTCACGCCGCGCATCGTTTCAATGATGTACGGTAGGTACATTGTCCCTTCACAGAGCACTCGGGATCATACCGTAGTGCCGTAGTAAACAGCCGAGGCGGAAGACAATCATCACCAGCCCTCGCCAGCCCTCACCAGCCGTCACCTGGGCTCGAATACTGGTAGGTGTCACCGATTCTCTTCACCTGTAGACCCTGTGCGCACTTCGTTCCTCGCGGCCCAGCCCAGCGCGGTAAAACGCCGGAGCATCCCCAAGTACATAAGAAGTGTGTGCCCAATGTCAGAAAGCGAAAGCAAACGGAAAAAACGCGCGCTTAACTGCTTAGGTACACTAAATAAGGTATCGATTTGCTTGCACGGCCCAGAGGTCAAGTGCCTAACATTTAGCCAGCCAGCCAATCCGCCTGCGCAGACCAAGCCAGCAAACAGGCAATATATACTGCGTGCGTGCGTCCAGGCCCACTGCCGCAGCAGCAGCAGCAAGAACAACCATCTTTGGCAGTTCCTGCCCTCCCCCCCCCCCCCCCCCCCCCTCCCCCCCCCGCGTGCACCGCATGCGCCGCGCGCGCCGCTACCGCATCCTCCATCGGGTCGGGCGGGCCAGATCCTGGCCAGATCCGGGCTCTTGGTCTTGGAGTCTCGACTGTCGACTGTCGGAGTCTCGTGTAGTGAGATTATCCGAACCCGAACCCGAATCTGAACCCGATGGGATGGGATGGCGGGGAGGGGAGAGCCTGAGAGCCTGAGAGGCTGGGCCTGTTGAGCCCCCCTCTCCCTCCCCCTTCCCAGTTCTGGTACTTACTTCGCTGTGCTACTGGTATGTACTCGGGGTGGGAGTGGGAGTTGGAGTAAAAGTGAGAGTGGGAGTGCGACTTTGTACTCTACTATCCGCAGTTGGTGGCAGATACAGTTTTGGTGAACAGGTCGAGTGTACTTCTTCCCCCTGTATATATGCGCATACGTACCTGCTGCGCTGGACAGCGGCAAAATCAGACTCCCGACGCACCCCCATCATACATACATATATACACAGACACCCCGTTCTCCCGTTCTCCCCAGGCCAAGGCGAGCAAAGGCCAGCAAACAGCAGCGCCGCCCGCAGCCCGCAGCCCGCTCGGCCGGCTGCCAATCTAGGGAATGGCGTGTTCTGCTGACCCGACCCGACGGTATGGTCGACTAGAAATGTAGCCTCGGGGGCCGGGGGAGCGCCGGACAACCATGTACCCACTCTAGTGTGAAGGTATCACGCTCCACGCGGACGGTGGTACTCTAGTTACGCCGGAGGACTGGCGGTATGCACATAGGGTGGTTGCGGCGACGGTGGGCGGCGGGCGGTGGGGAAGTGTTGGAGCGCGTGATAACGTTGATGATGATGGTGGTGGTTTGTGGTGCCCGAGCACGGTATTCCTGGACGTCACGACACGGGTGATGCACCGCGTGTATGATTGGGTTGGAGCGGGTGGACCGTTCATTGAGGCGAAACGGCGTTGAAGTCCTGAGTCGGGGCGGCATGAAGTCCATACATGTTGATATGTTACCGTAGTAATGTCTCAGCTCTGCTTTTTTGAAGCTTGGCTCACGGATCATTACCCAAATCGGAAGTAGAATTCTTTTCCAGGACACAAGCCATAATTCCCGATGCGGGATGCCAGTTACCAGGTAAGGCCACCTCTTATTACGGTATCAGCACGGCCATAATGGTGATGCCCAGTGTACCGGAAGATACCTGTTTGCACAGTACGTACAGTACAGCAAAAGCGTGACGTCGCGATTGCCTAGGCAAAAGAGAGGACAGATTGATGGGACGGGTAATTGCGGCGATGTGGTCACTGGTCGGTCACTTGCACATGGGGGAGACCGGTGGGTGTTGTTTGTTTTTTTGTCGGAGTGAAAGCGGCGTACGAGAAATTCTATTTCGCCGTTTCTGGCTCGATCGCATGGAACGCCCTTCTCCCCCTGCACGTGTGTTTCAAATACGGGGCCTCTCACACCCTGGTCTCATGCGGGAGGCGCAACGGCCCGCCAAACGATCTTCGATTCGGTCTCAGCTTTTCCCTGTACGGGCGAAATCCGATGATCTCCAGGCAGCGCTGCTTCATCTACGTACAGGAGAAGGACCGGAGCGAAACATCTGGTCGCTTCTTGTCGCTTCTTGTCGCTTCTAATCGCTTGTAGTCACTTCGGAAGAGAAATGGAAGTAGAGTACGCATTGGAAATGACGGGTCGGTGCATGTTGTTGCAGCAGAGGCGGAAGAACGGAGGCCGGCCATCCTTGCATTGTGGGACAAACCCCGGATGCTTTTTCGCATCTTCTTTTATTCGTGCTCGGCGCCCGAGTCGAGAGAGAGAGAAAGAGAAAGAGAGAGAAGACGGCATGGGAATGCGATTGGAAGGTTCGCACAGAGGGAAGATCGTGCTGGCTGTGATCGGGTAAGTAAGTGCCGGCTCCTTAGTGTGGCTGATCGGCTGTTTAGCGGCGGAAGAGTTTGGCGGGGACCTCGGGCTTATTTGTACTCGGACCGCTCTCTGCACGGCTCCTCCTCGGGCTGCAGCAGTCAGTTTTGATGGCTTCAAATCGGAGACGGATCGGGCGGGAGGCCGGGCGCAGTCCGGATTGCGACGAGTGCGGCGAGTGCGAAGACGAGATACGTGCCAGAGTTAGGGCCCTATCTCTACGTTGCGAGCCGGACGCAGAGTGACGAGCTTGCAGAAATAAGCCTCCATTAGTGCTGATCCCGTGATGGCAATCACCATTCATCCGCCTGGCGTCTCTCCGATCTGCGGAACTTCAACTGCCGATGAAAGGTTAAGTTCGGCGATCTGCCATCCCACTCTAGACCCTCCGACAGGAACCACCGGCGGAGAGAGGGAGAGGGAGGGAGGGAGGGAGAGAGTGAGGGAAGAGCAGAGGGAGGAGAGAGGAGCGGAAGGCTGGGCGCTTATTCTGTTCGAAAGCAGCACAGTGTCCCCCCGGGGTGGGGTAAGCGCCACCGACTGGCATGAGCCCGGATTCTATCCATCGAACTTCGGCCTTCTTTTTCCGTTCTTCCACATTTCTGTTCCACCTTCGCTTTCTCACCCTCTTATCCCCCCGTTTGTGGCTTCGGGGTCCTTCCATTGTCGTCTCGTCCGTCCTCAGGCCCCGTTCCGACAACAGGCTGCAATAATAACAAACAACACCGTCGACAAACGGGAAACAGCCAGGAAGCCTGATCGGACGTCAAACAAGCAACAGCAAGCTGGGTCAAACAATCTCGCAACCAACAGGCTGTGACCCAACCCAGCCACATACTTCACCGCAATTCTTCTTTCAACTCCTCTCCTCCTCACCTCCTCACCTCCACTCCTCCCTCACATTCCCCATTCTCGTCCCCTTCTCCAAGGAAAGGAAAAAAATCACCCCAAGCTTGCGAGCTAGGAATCTAGCTGGAACCACCGACCGATGTTCGACTGCAAGACGACGGGCGGGCACTTCTTCGTGCACGCGCCGCAGATGCGATCCTTCAACTGCCAGCGGTGCCGCACGTCCTTCCCGAACTACAATCCACCGCTACCACGAACCCGAGCGGCCCAGCAATGGTACGGTGCTCTCTCGCCCGGCGAACCCGATCGCGTTAAGGCGCCCTGGCGCTGCATCGTCGAGTCCTGCGCCTTCATCGTGTGCGAGCCGTGCTCAGCGTACGCACAACTGGAACTCGGACGGCTGAAGGTGGAGAAGGACAAGGCGGATGAGGAGGGGGCAATGTTTGATTTCGACAAGGAGCTGGAGAAATTGGAGGTCGACGGGCTCATCGGGTTCTACGCTGATTCGAAGGTCAGCCAGTCCACCACCACCTCCACCACTACGAAGGAGAATGTGAAGCCGGGGAAGGAAGGGTTCCTCCCGGGATTTCAGGATCATTACGATGACGGTGACGATGACGGTGACGGCACCATCGAGGTCGATTCGAAGCTCGAGGTGGACACGAATCTAGAGGCCGACGGCGACGACACAGGGTACGCGGTGGAGTTCTTGCGGAGGCCGTTTACGAGGAGTGCTGCTGCCGCTGCTGCTTCGGCACGTGCGAGGGCGAGACGGCCAACCGTCGTCAAGAGGGAGCGCGATCGGGATAGAGACTCGACGGGGGATTAAGGCGGGATGGAGGGGGGATACGTATGGGAAGGCGGGCGTTTGGTCGGTCGGTCGGTTGGTTCGCTCTGGAGTTACTTGCGGAATTCCTTCACGAGGGCTGTTTGGTCGTCGTGCGTCGTTGCAATGGTGTTTCCCGGTCTTGCCTTTGCGCGTTAGCTGTTTAATCTGGGCCCGTCGTCGTCGCCATAATGATTTGCTGTTTCCTTCTCTTTCTTTTTTCTTTTCTTCAGCGGAACGCCCTTGCGGATTGAGGGAGTCTGTGTTTGTATCATGCGTGTGTCCATCCTTTGTGGAGGAGGAGGATGAGGAATGAAGTGAAAGATGACTGAATATCAAGATCCCCAAATTTGACTCTACTCTAGAGTACGGTACGATGGCCCCAGTGACGTTTCCCATCCTTAATGGTCTACAGATGTCTCAGTTTACGGCACTTCTGGATAATCTTCAGCAGCTGAGCACGAGCTCAGTACGGTACCGTACCTATTAGAGTAGCCCGAAAACGCCCATGTTATTTTGGACTCTGGAGGACAGAGTTGAGAACCCTGCACTCGCTATGTACGTATACAGTGGGGGCGAGGTGTGGGAGCGGCGGCGATTCATCAGGCACGGTGGCACAGTCACTTCGCCACTGCCACGGCCATTGCAAACATCACAGCTCGTCACACGAGGGGCTGGGGGGGGAGCTTGCTCGTTCTATGTACAAGGTACCAGTACGGCATGTATGATTGCCGATCAGGCCGGGTTTCGTACCGTACCGTCTCCTCCCAGGAGTTTCCAAGGAGTTCCCATCCCGACGACGACGGCAATGACAACGGCAAACATCCCCCCCCCCCTCCGCAACGCTCAACATAACATTCACCCTCGTCATCAGCCCTCGGCAGCATGTCCCGGACTCTCGGACTCCCGGATAGTTACCGGTAGGTCGATGGTCGGCGCGCATCGGCACCTCACACTGTCACTATCATACCTCACACTGTCACTATCATACATCACTCGGAACTGGGACATGAGAAGCACGGCACGGTACGCAACCTGCAACCTACTGCTCGTACTTTCCACAAAGCTATGTATGGCTCACCGTAGATCCTTTCCTAGCAGGGAGGTTCGTAGGGTTCGCTTTTGGGATTGAATCTGGATGCTAGTATTCGTCTTTGGGCACTGGCAGTGGCAGCATGAGTGCTCCTCTCCCTTCCTCTCTCATCCCTTATGTACATGAGTCGCCTGGAATAATCGAGCCTCCACCATCGCAGCCCAGAGCTCGCGGTTTTCTTATTCTATACAGAAGTCTTATGTACATACAAGATCACTAAGTTCCAACACCTTTGACTTGGAAGTTGGTTGGCCCGTTGGGTCTGCCGCGAATGTTACGGTAGAGTAAATTTATGGCTCGGAGCGTAGACGAGCACTATAAAACATGCTGCTGCTACCGTACATATGTGCGTATGAATGTGGGAGGCTGGCTGGCAGGAACTGAAAGCGGTGCCGCTTCTTTCCGCCCAACCGAACGCCAAACGTCATTTGGTGGAAACCAGCGAATGATGGGGCGTGAACACGATGACTGGGCTATCTAAACACGCATGGAAATGTCCCGTGCGGTTTAGGAACCCGATAGCTTGAAAAATTAGGATTACCCCACGTCGTTGAAAATTCACATACGAGTACATGAGAGATGAACGCGCCGAAGAAAGCTCACAGAGCAGCCTTTCAAGTGATCACGGCATACTCGCCGACTGGTTCTACATAACTCAGCATCCGCCACGGGTCCACGTCCTCACTCCCCACAGCCGAAGGCCGAAAAGGCACGCCCACGACGCGACGCTACTTTGAATTACAACAACTACCACGCGCATCTTAACATGTCATGTTATGCCCACCCCACCGCATCCAGCAGACCCACCATCTAGGCCGCTGGAGCAATGGGAGTACCTATGATAGATAACTCCGGCATCGGAAGCACTGGGTATAAGCCTCGCACACGCCCGAGGGCGCGGCGGCAGCTTTCCCCAAGCGATCCATTCAATTTCAGCACTTCTCGGCACAGCCACCGGCAATGGATTGCGGAGGGGCTGTAATTTGACATCCGTGCATTCGGTTTTGTTTTGGAGGGCTTCGGTGAAGCAATGCTGCATCTTGCATGCAAGTGTTCTGGTTGGTAGGGGAAGGACTTCACTGGTGGGCGGGGGAACGTGATGGGACGGGATGGTGATTGGATAAATCTGTTTCTTTATTGCTACTTTGGACGGACATCTGTTTGCGCGTGCTGTTAGCAGCCATTCCCTCTTGTCTTCTGATTCTCAACGCGGGGGTGTATCGGGCAAATTGAAGGGTACCGCTCAGAATTTTCAGTGTAATACGGAATCATCACCATGTCGTAGACATGGCTCCTCTTTTGAAGTGATCATCATTGGGTACGGGAACAGGGTAGGCGCCTTGCGCGGGAGAGACTTACAATTTTGTTTCGTTTCTGGTTGTTGGGCAATGTTTGGTGGTGTCTGGTGAGGTTGCGTGTGATGTTGTGAAGGTAGATGGTGGAGATTTTTTTCGCTTCGAAGATACCTAGGATGAGAGGCGCTAGGGGTTTGGGTTGGGTCGGCCAATTGTTAGTTAACTAGTGGGGTGTGCGACTTCACGTCGGCATGGTAGGTACAACGGATGACTCCACATGCACTTCCGAAACCAGGGAACCCGATGAAAACAGAAGGTGAGGGTAAGGCGCTGGAGCGCAGGGAAGCGAGAATACGAGTGACACGCGGACAGCTGATAACGTGTAATAGGCCTATCTTCGGAAGGCTCGTATTCCGCCGGCGGGCCGTTTATTTGGACGGTCGTGAGTCAGGGGTGGCGATTGGGGATCTTATATAAGGCCTCGATAAGGACATGCTTCGATCCTGAGTTGCATTATCAACATCAATGAGTGCTGCGAATACACTCGAAAAGCTCCGGCCAGTTGGTTTGTATCACCAGCCCCTCAACGCTCTCTACAAGGTGCTGATGGAACGAAGGCCTCCTCGAACGCTGGTCGACCCACCGCTATGAAATCGGCTTTTACACCAATGTCGCAGTTTCGGCGGAGTACACCGTCCCCGCCTGTACTCTATCGGACGTGAAGGCGCTGCTGTACTCGGCACTGGGAATCGTTGTGGGCAGACATCCAATGCTGTCGGCGGTACCGATCGATGGGGCAGAGGATACAGCGTACTGGGCTCGACTGCCGGTCGTGGATCTCGCTGCGGCGCTAGACGTTCGTGCGGGAATCGATTCTATAAAGGACATGGAACGACTGTTGGAGGATGAGCATAACAAACGATTTGTCTCTCCGGACGGCATCTCGGGCATCCCGTATTGGCGAGTGGTACTTATTCTTGGCCACGAGGAAGAGGCCGAGATTACCACCTTCTCGCTGGTGTTTGTCTACCACCACGCGGTAGGCGATGGTTTATCCGGGCTGGTATTCCACCGGGCACTGCAGGCGGCGATATCGGAGCTGCCATCCCCTGTGCCGGAGCCCGTAGCCACCACAGTCATCGCGCCATCAAGCCCTCCCCCCCCTGCCCTGGAAGACCTCCATAAATTCGCCGTATCCAACTGGCACCTCCTTCGCGCCCTCTACCACGACTGGTTTCCACCAAGCGTACCACCCGGCCTTTGGACCGGCGCCGTGATCACCACGCCGTTACGCACACGAATAAGGATTCTCCATGTCCCTGCGTCTACCGTCACTGCGCTCGGTGCGCGCTGCCGCGCGGGCAAAACGAGCGTCACGGCGTTAATGATCTCCCTCGCCGCAGCGGCGTTCTTCGATGCGCTCCCGGACTCGGCAACCGAGATAATCAGCAGTGCGCCCGTCTCCGCACGGCGGTGGACGCCGCCATCGCTGGATCTCGAGAACGCAATCGGCGTCTGGGTGACCGAAACCCCCGCCCAGCACCACTACAGAGGCGAAGACGTGTGGTCCACCGCGGATCGTGTTTTCACCGCCATCCAAAACACCGTGTCCTCGCGCGGAACAGATACCAGCGTAGCCCTACTCCCTTGGGTCAGCAGCTACAAGAAATTCTTCGATTCGAAGCCGGGATTGAATAGGGCGGCTACCCTTGAAATCTCGAATTTGGGGAGAGCTCCAGATCAGAAGGGACTCATGTTCTCACAGAGTGCGAGTGTTACTGGCCATGCGGTCGAGGTCAGTGTCGCGACTGCGGGCGATGGGATGAGGGTGACGTGGTGTTGGCAAGAGGGGGTGGTGGAGGAGAGTATTGTGGATGGGATGTTGAGGAGGGTGGACGAGAGGATCGCGGCGGAGGCACAGATGGCGGACAAGTAGAATGAACGGGACGGGAATGCTTGATAGTCCTATAGTTAGAAGACCGCGGTCAGTTTGTGCGATAGTTGAGAGTCATCAATGAAATCTTGCACGGCGATATTAATCGTCACTAATATTCTAGGTATGTACTCGCCATTGAGCACGAGCATGTGAATACCGGACCCAGCCCCTCCATTTGTCGCTCCGCTCCGTGCGTGCCTTGCTTTCAATTCAATTCAATTTGCATGGCGATCAGGTCCTGGTATGTATGCACAATTCGGCTTGCCACCGGAAAAACTCGTCGTTGGCCAGCTTCCACTCCGAGGCTAAACACCAAGACCTGCGCGAACCATGGTTCTCGGGTTATCCCAACGCTGAATCCGAGCTTGGCATGTCGTGTCGGTGTGTGGAGTGCACGAGCTTGCGGGTTTTTGGATTCGGGATCTGCTCTCCGCACAACGTGGGGGCCGTGGCTGGCAGGCACGTCGGTGTTTCGAGAAGCGGGCGAGCGCCGAGAGATACGGATAAATAGTGGCCTCTCGCATACCGGCATGGGATCCCGCGGTGTGGATACCAAGATTGCGAGCTGCTGGCAGGGTATGATGTTGATTGAACACGGCAGGCCGCTGTCGCCTCAATGCGAGAGGTGAATATGCCTCGGTTGCAGAGTACAAAGCTGGCTTGAACGGCGGGCTCTTTGAATTCGGACGCGTCCTCTTCATCTATGCGTACAATTTTGCGGGTTGTTTATGGGGTGGTTGGTGATGGTGACGGGTGATGAGTGAAGGGCGAAGGGTGTCTATATCCAGGCATCCGAATATCCGCAGCACTATGCCCGAGAGTGCAATCCAACATCTACACAGGACGCTTTCATCTATCTACCAATACAAGCTTCCAGCTAACGTTCGGTCTTCTCGTTTACAGGCACCGTCTCGCGTGCAAACCAGGGACAGAAGATACATAGATACCCCGAGCTCGGGCCAGGCTATATGAAGTAACTAGCAGCTTGCGCGTAAACATCCCTGAGCGGCTAAAATGCGGGGTGGTGGGTGTGGGGATTCTGGGGAAGCACCGTGCCGTTCGTCAAGCCCCCAGATTCTCCGGCTTATCTTCCTCCCCGCTTGGGTGGATACCGTCAGCATCGAGCGTTGACGTCGGCGCCCCCAACCTGCCCGTACCTCAAATTTCAATGCGTGTGCCTTTTTTTTGTGTAAATACCCTTGCCTGCACAACCCGAGTTGGGTGGACGGTTATATCCGCCCGCCATCTCGGTGTATCAAAACTCCTAGTTTCCGGGTACAGCGCAGGCAAATTGTATTCTACCATACCAGCAATACCGGAATTGCAATCTATAGCTCGCATTGCGTATCCAGCCTTGAGGACTGTTATAAACACCATGATCCCGTCCCTCGTTCCCGAGATGGCCAGAGACTTTGCTGCCTCCTCATCCTCACCCTCCTCCATCCAGATCAATCCTCTCAGTTTCCGTCCCGATAATCAATCATGAAGTTCAGCATCCTCCTCAGCAGCAGTCTGTTCTTTGCCGTGTCCTTGGCTGTCCCTGGTAGTCAAGGAAAGGGTAAGGAACGTGCGGACTTCGCACAGGTTGGATTTTCCCAGGAGAATGGCGGCACTACTGGTGGTAAGGGCGGTGCTACTGTCACCGTCTCCACTGGCCCTGCCTTGGTCACTGCCGTAGCTGTATGTTCATCCTGCCCGAGTGTGAGAGTGTCCGCGGCCAATTGACTGACCCATGATGTAGGGACACGCACCGAAGATTGTCTACGTCAAGGGAAGCCTTGTGATGTCTGAGCGTGCCAAGGTTGGAAACAACACTTCCATCCTTGGTCTCGGAAAGGATGCTGCGATCGATGGCTTCGGACTGCAGATTGACAAGGCCTCGAACATCATTGTCCGCAACTTGGGTATCCACCACTGCATTGACACCGATGCCATCTCGGCCACCTACAGCAACAACATCTGGATCGATCACAACGAGTTCTGGAGCGAGCGGTCGAAGGGCTTCGACTACTACGACGGCCTGGTCGAGTGCGTCCCTCTTCCTACCCTTCAATTTACTACCACAGCTAACAATACCCCAGCGTAACCAAGGGCAGCGATTTCGTCACCGTCTCCTGGAACTACTTCCACACCCACTGGAAGACGTCCCTCGTCGGCGGCGACCCCGAGGCGGGCGCCACCGAGTCCGGAAAGTACCACATCACCTACCACAACAACTACTGGCGTGATCTGAGCACACGTACACCCGCCCTGCGGTTCTCGACCGCCCATGTGTTCAACAACTACTACTACAACATTACTGCCCAAGGGTTTGTTCCCCCTTCATCCACTAAAACACATCAGCCGCTGACAGGAAACAGAATCCACCCCCGCTCCGGCGCGCAGGTGATGATCGAGGGCAACGTTTTCCGCGACGTAGCCGACGCAATCACCACCTACGGCAAGGTCATCCCCGCCGACTCGCCCAACAGCAGCCCCGACGGCGACTACGAGCCCGATGGCTTCGCCAATGTCCTACGTAAGCTGCCTCTCTCTCCCTTTCTCCAAATAACCCCACGGGAATGTAGTAGTTCTGACAGTGGGGAATAGCCGACAACATCTTCCACAACGCACCGACAAATATCACGCAGGTCGGAACCATGAAGAGCGTGCCGTACAAGTACAGGCACATCTACAAGCCCGCGAAGCAGGTGAAGGAGGCGGTCCTTGCCGGCGCCGGAAGGGGAAAGATCTAAAATACTCGTGCTGGTGATTCGGGAGGGGGCTGGTCGATGTTTATGCGTAATATGATACCTACATAGTTGAATGAGATATGTTTTGGCAATGTCGCTGGGGTTCACTCGTAATCAATGGCGGGATGTGTGATTACATGTGACGGTGACGTGATACACAGTGACGAACCAATAGCCCAGGGCAACACCACTACTAGAGTAGGTACTCGAACGCGAGGACAAAAGCGCGCTGAGGATAAACGAGGTGGAGGAGAAGCCACTTCGAGCCCGCTCGACGAAAGTTTAGTTGGACAGTGGACAGTGGACATGGAAACGGCGTGTGTGTGTATTGCCATGATATAGGTAGATGGGTCGCACCGTGCGCGTAATCATTGATTAGACAAGGAAAAGAAAAAAACGAGCACTCCAAGGGCAATGGGAATGAGTATGCCACCTCACGAGCCAAGCACCGCCCGCCCGTCGACTCGCGGAGATTGAATAATTCAGGAACGGCTCGGGGGAGGCGGGAATCGAATGTAATCCAGTGTTCGACATAGGTAGTTCAGCCCGTCCGTCCTGAGCCTCGGACTGGACTGGACTGGACTGTATCTTGACAGTCCGTCCGGGTGCGGTGTTCGGACGGACTAGGTAGGTAGTCCAAAAAATACCGAGGGTAGGAGTCAGGACGGACTGCAGTCCACGAAATCTATGGACTAGACGGACTACTTTGACTCGGTCCGTCCAAGGGGCTGGACAGGACTAGATCTAGACTGCAGTCCGGACTGGACTGTGTCGAACACTGATGTAATCTAACTTGCTGCTGTAAGCCGGACATGGCCGGATGCAGAATGATGAATGATAATAACAGATAAAAGAAGAAAAAAAACACTACTTAATGACACGGGTAGGCTCCACGGAGCCACGGACCTCAAGGACGAATTCAAACTGGTCAATGAGCCTTCAAATCCAAGTACTCCAATTCCGAGCAGGGTTAATCGGGCAGAATTCCTCTACGTATGGCTTACCGTGCGCCGACCATTTCGAGGGTTAATCGGTCACGGTTTATCGCGAATGAGACTGCCCACACGTAGTATCACTCGGAGCAAGACATTCCAGCTGGTAATACATTTCATTTTCCATTGGTTCACTCAACACAGTAAAGACCGACCGACACGGGTATTCCTCCCATCATCATCATCGTACATACAATCTTCTCCAGGCCCCGCTGAAACTTTTCTTCGTCTCGTGGACTATCCTACGCCACCATCTAACCCGAGATCGCCGTGTTCAGACTTCCGCTCTCGACGTACACACCGGAGAAGTACCAATCCTCGGGGGTCTGGTCGTTAGTGCCGCCCGATCTGTCAGGAAGACGCAGGATGCCCAAGTGCCAGTCAGCGCTGTTGCTGTAGGTGCTAGCGGAGACGGTAGCGCCCTGCTGCGTCAGTGCGGCGGCGCCGGTGGAATGCCAGAGGCCGACGGTGTTGGCGGAGAAGTCGATCTCGAAGGCAAAGTTGTGCCAGACGTCAGCGTCCCAGGCAATGCTGAGCTTGCGGGTGCCGCCAACGAACCACTGCAGGTTACTGTTGGCGCCGGCCGCGTCGCCGTTGACCCAGCCGAACTTCAGCTCGGTGAAGTGAGACTCGAAGAAGCAGACTTGGTGCTCGTAGTTCGGGTTGGGGGGGTTGGTCGTCGCCTTCTTCACTGAGAAGTGGTACCATAGCTTGCCGCTGCCGAGAGCTGCCTTCGTCTGCGGGATCAGCTCCGTGCGCCACATGTCGCTGTTCCACAGGGCCGTGGGCGATATCGTGAGCTTCGCGCCTTGGTTCGACGTCGTGTCCGCTGGGTTCTTGTATGACGGCGACAGGTTGAAGTAGTCGGTTGTTGCGCCGGTGCCGTGGATGTACCTGGACCGTCGTCAGTACCGTTCCTTCCTCTCGCGGGCAATAGAAGCTCACCATTGGTACGATCCGACCTGGTTGGCCCAAGACCACGTGTTGATATCCGTAGCCGTGGTGTAATCACTATCGCACATTCGCATCAGCACTCCTGTTCCCCCATCCCCTATCCGTACCATGTCGGAGAAGACATACTTAAACCGACCGTCCCAGATGACAGTACCAGCGTTGACCACGCCTACCGCGACGACCGCAGCAAGCGAAAAAAGACGTCCCAACATTGCAAGTTTCTCGTCTTCCCAAGTGAGTGAAGTGATTGAGTGAGTGGGTGTAGATGCCCACCAGTCGGAGGATCCAGCTGGGTTTGGGGTTATTTTATACCTAAAATGCCGGACCCACGGACCCGCTGTCAACCGTAAACACACCCCTCCCCGCAGGTGCCCCTCAATTGAACTGCCCGCAAAAGCTTGTAGCTATAGTGGTGACAGTCTACAGACGTAGGTAGGTAGGCGCGCCGGCAGTCCGGGGCCGCCGGCGGGCCGCGTAGTAGGGGGGGAAACCGTTTGGTGTATATTAAGCCGGGGTGCTGGCGGGGTGGATGATCGGGCCGGCGGAGTGAGGGACGGACTCGGAGATTATATGTAGGGTATATATGCATGCGTCTGATGCTTGTTTTTATACTAAGTACCAGTACTCTCTCTCCCTCGGAATACGAATACCCATGCGCGCGCGCGGAAACGTCATCCTCGTGGGCGTGGTTCCCCGACTCCCCGTGGCTGGGGTAAAACAAGAAACTGACGATGATGGGTAAAGAGACGGAAGTCGGCAAAACAGCAAGGCAAGGACATAGAGTAGTGACAGACGTATAGTTACGCGAGTGCATATAGTGGTGCCTACGAGACGAGGTAGGTAGGTGGAGCAAAAAGCAATGTGGCTGGACCGGACCGACGCAGTGAGTGAGATATTGTGATTGCGTGCACAGCTCACCACGGAACCCGGCTGCAAAGTCCCGGGTCCGCGAGTATGTACATCATGTGCACCACTTCAGTTCAGGTATTCTTATTTCTATTCTAAAAGCTGAATACAAAGCTCGTGAACTGATACAATATAAACAGCAAAGCAATATGTTCGGAGGGTTCTCTTGCGTCCTTTCCCACAGAAAGGGTAAAGGATGCCTTCTGTCTCCGCCCTACTGCTTTGGAGGCAGCAAAGGAGTACGTACTCTCCCAGAAATTCCGTTAACCACCACTGTAGAGAAGACTAAATGGCAGGCAAATTCCACAGTTCCCCCCGGCGAGGAGGGGTTCCGTGGTTCCTGGGGATTTCACAAAGCAAAAGAAACGAATGCATTCACCTCCACGTTCCGGGAAACCTGAAGAGCAACTGCACTGTTGTATGTTCGGAGGGTTCTCTTGCGCCATCTCCCATGTCCCGAAATTAATCAGGCACACGAAGCGGTGCCTTCTGTCTCCGCCCTACTGCTTTGGAGGCAGCAAAGGAGTATGTAATCTCCCAGGAATTCCGTTAACCACCACTGTAGAGAAGACTAAGTGGCGGGCAAAGTCCACGATTCCCCCGGCGAGGAGGGTCCCGTGGTTCCTGGTATATATATAGATGAAATCTGGAACAGAATGGCATGGACATTCTGAGGGCTGCAAGCGATCACTCATCACCGTCGTCGATATGGAAAGAGAGGAAAGGTAAGAAGAAAGGGAAGGGAAAAGAAAGAACATTATTATGTCATCTTTTTTGGGAATACCAACCCACATGGCGCCAAACTCCACTCTGTACCAACCCACGCAATTCAACCAAACAATAGCACAACATTCAGAAATCTTCTGCTCTCTCAATCGATGAAATTTTGAAACAACGCTGAAACACTCTCTCCTGTGGTGGGTTGGTTAGCATCGTTCTCCGCTCCGTACGGATTGTAAGAGAGCCAACCATTATGGTTCCTCCTAATAGCTTCACCCAAAAGCATGCTCAAATCAATGACAGTCAACTTTCCCCTAGTACCAGCACCACTCGGCGCGAGGCCATCCGTCTTTCCTCCGGGCAGCTTAGCTGCGTCGATGGGGAAGCTGTTGGTGACGACGACCTGGTCGATGTACTCGCACTCCTCCATCTCTTTCAAGCAGTCACCGCCGAAAACACCGTGGGTGGCCAGACAGATCACCTTCTTGGCGTCTGCCCTCTTCTTGCAGTGCTCCGCGGCGGCGATCCAGGTTGCGGATCGATCGATCATGTCGTCGAGAAGAAGGACAGTCTTGTTCTTAACATCTCCGACGAGGGTGATCATCCGCTCGGTTCCCGAAACAGCATCAGCCTCTTCCTCGTCGTCGTCCGAGTTATGAGCGTCGATGGTGCCGCCCAAGGCGTCATCTGCTGGGTTGTGGAGGGATCGCAGAGAGTGGATGGAAGCCAACATAGGATCCATGTCGGCAACAGCAGACTGCGCTGGCGACGGAGAAGGGTAATCGTCGTCGACGATGTGGCCCTGCACCAGACGACCATATGTGACGGATTGCGCCTGATCGTCTGTGTACTCGTCGTCAAAGTCATCCTGGGGATGAGGCGGAAGGATCATGCTGTTGGACATGGAGTCGGAAGGCCGCATGGATGGGGATGGTGCGCTGTCGATGATTCCCAAGCCGTTGACACCGTTAGTGATACCATTGATGTGGAGACCATTGGTAGGGCCCGGTGTCGTTCTCTCCTCTTCTCCATGTTCACTCTCGGCGGGCGAATGGCGATTCGACTGCACGCGCGAGCTCATCCAACCATCGTGGTTGCGACGACGATCGGTAGTGATGAGGGCGAAATTAAGTTTGAGCACGTCGGCAAGCGACGTGACCCTCTTAGTTCCACCAGGGTTCTTCGAGACCACCACGCAATTGCGCCAGTCGGGAATGTTGTAACGAATCCAGCGTGCAAGCAGAGGCTCGGCGTAGAGGTTGTCGACCGGGTTCGTGAAGAAGCCCTGCATCTGCGAAGCGTGTAGGTCGACGGTAACGACGTGGTCAACACCCGCGATGTGGAGAAGGTTCGCGACCACTACAACATCAGACAGTCAGTTGATGATCCACATTTCGCTGCAGTCGAGATGAGTGAGACCTACTCCTTGCGGTGATAGCACCTCGGTGGGACTTCCTCTTCGACTGCTTAGAATATGGGAAGTACGGCATGACGGCTTTGTCGTAGGTCAGCAATCGATTGTTATGCTACAACCTGCAAGACTAGGCTGCAGAGAAGTCGTACCGGTGATCTTGTTTGCAGACCCTCCCTTGCAGGCCGAAATCAAGATCAACAGTTCAATGATGCTGTCGTTGACACTGCAATTCCATCAGAAACCCTTCAAGTCATCGAAAGGGACGGGAGAACAGTGTTGTGCAAACATACCTTCCGCTTCCACTCTGAACAATGAAAACGTCCTGGTCACGAACCGAGCATCCGACCTCCACACTGGTCTCTCCGTTTGCGAACTTCTTCAGCCGACATTTCGCGGGCGTCGTTCCGAGACGTTCGCAGATCGAATCACAGAGGCCAGGATGCGAGGATCCGGAAAAGATTTTGGCACTCCGCATTGCTGTTGATTCTGGATGTGATCGAGGAAGTCGGTGGTTGTCGTTAGATTGTGGTGGGGGAGGGATGTGAAGAAGATGGGGAAAGCCGGGATTATTTTTTTTTCGGCGCGAAAGGTCTCAGGACTGGATGTAGGGTGATGGGTGGCTGACACTACATGCGATTCTCAATCTAATCGAGAATACATATACAGTCAGGGCTAGAGGTACCTGAGCGGGATCAGGAGAAGAGGCGAAGCGACTCGGAGAGAAGGGGTGAAGAGAAAAACAGCAAGAGAGAAGAGGGGACAGAGAAAAATAGAAAGAGAGAAGAGGGGACAGAGCAAGAGAAAGTCTTCTGTAGAGGCTCAAAAGTGCCGCAAGGTAGTGTATTTTGCTGTAACCGGTCTGGCATTGGATTGACAGGGAAAAACGGTTGGTGTGGCTGCCACGATGCCAACAGTGGGGCTGGTGTGACATTGGTTGACTAAATCCATGTAGGTTTGCATGGCTGGCGACCCTGCGTCGTGTGAGGGGTGACTTCACACAAATGAGACTACATACACGGAACGATGTCCATCTACGAAAGGTCGGTCTGTACGGTCGCCATAGCCCAGTGTGAATGGGCTGCCCGCGACAATAAATTGATGTTCTCTCTCACGAGTCACGATTTCTATCCTTCCGAGTCTGATTATCTGATGAGCGCCGAGCGAAAAGTGATTTCCAAGATGCCAAGACATCCACGTGACTTCTTTCATTACGCCACTATTTCTGCGCCACACGGTCCATGGCCGTTGAAATTCACCACAATCCTTAAGTAACATATCACCGCCCATTATTCTACTCGGAAACGAAAACACGAACACGCTGCACAAATCCAATCAAACAGAAAGCATTGATATCAAACGAGTCGCTGCGTCATCACGTACATCCTGCACCCATAGTGTACACCGTACAGTCCCAGGTAAGAAACAAAAAACACCCACCTGCACCCAGACAAAGACAACGAAATCATTCGCAAAGCATCCACAACGTCCGGAAAGCGAGCATGACGATCGAATCAGCCACTAATGAGTCTGTGGTAAAAACACCCATCTGCACCCAGACAACGACAACATCTTGAGACGACCGATGGCATCCCAAACAAAGACAACGAAAGCATTCGCCCAGCATCCAGCATCCGGAAAGCGAGCACCAAAGAAAGACGACGAAACCATTCACCAAGCATCCACAACGTCAGGAAAGCGAGAACGACGGTCGAATCAGGCACTGTTGGTGAGTCTGTGGTAGGCCGTGTACTCAGCGGGAGTTGGTCGATTTCTCGCGTTACTGAGGGGCGGCTGGCCGGCGTTGCGGACAAGCGTGAACTTGTAAAAGTCATGCTCTCCTGGTGAATCCCTCCTGGCGCGAACAGGAGTACGAGCAGTGACAGTGTACAGTCCATCATATCTAAAGCCGCACGAGGGATAGATTCGACTCGTCGGGCTGGGACCACGGCGGATGACCCTGACGGGGTTGCCGGTGCGAATCGACATGATGAGCGACTTGGTCGCGTTCGTCAACATGGTTGTTCCCTCGGGGCCAATATGCTGCGTGCCGAGGTACGATAGTCGATCGCCGGAGTCCTCATTTCCGTACTCCGACTCCGCAGAAACAACGATTGAGAAGGCCCCGGAATGAGCTCGTCCAGCAATCCCGCCCTGTTTCGAACCATGTGCGCCATCTCGGAGAGCACAGAGCTGATATGGCCACCAGCTACACACTGTCAGTTAGTGGGTAACGCAAAGAGAATGGAGAAACATACTCTCCCACGGTGAGGCCATTGTGTCCGAAGACATCTGCCCTTCTCTTGAGACCTCTCGGGTCGAGCTTCATCGTCATGTGGCCGCGGGCATTACGGTATCGCAAGATACCGTGCATTAGGGACTGCGAAAATGCCCCGAAACTCACCGGCTGGATGTTCTCGGCTTCCGACTCGGACTCAGAGGCACTTTCTTCTTCCTTCGAAGAAATCGGACCAGGATTGAAGTTCTTCTCCATCCAGCGCTGCCGAAGGGTGGTAGCCATCTCCACGGTATCGTCATCGAAGTTAGCCCGATTCGTAAGAAGACGCAGGGCCGACAAGATTCCGGTCTTGTCGACCCATTCGAGTGCGTCTTCTTCGAATTTAATATATGCCAAGCGGTCCAGACCCTGCTTAAGCATCGTAAGATCCTCCATCGTCAGAGAATCGGCGCCCTGCTCCCTGAGCTTCTTGTCGCAGTTTTGGAAGTTCCGGCGCCAGAACAACAACCGGAACATCTCGGGCTGGTCTTTCTTCAGCCTCGCAGCTTCTTCAAAAGTCATCTTGTACCCCCTGAATGGCCGGTCCGAGACCACCGAGCCTCCACGTGACGCGGCGTCGGTCGAAGGCGTCTCGGAATCTCGGGCCTTGATAAGTGCTTGTGTACCGCGCGAAGACGCTACAGGAAGAACTGATGTAGTCGGACCAGCCGGCTCGACTTTGGCTTGCTCTTCGATCTTCGCTGGAACAACCGCTGGGGCAACGTTCGGCGTCTGTGCGCGAGCCGTAAGACGATCAGCCCTTGACAACGGAGTAGAAGGAGCCGCAGCCGACATGGAAGCAACCGACGCTACACATGGCGGAGAGATGTCAGCAAGTTAGACCAATGACGGTGCCGAAAGGGCAAAAATAAATAACTAGGTATGACATGTAACAACGAACCTGAAGGAGCAGAACCAGAACCAGGACCAGGGCCGGGCGCAAAGCGGTCAGGTATTACTACGGCGAAGTTCCATCCGGCAGGAATGAGCGCGACATCGGGGTTCGTGGCTGGCGCTGGCGCCGCGGAATTGACAATGCTTCTGCTTCTCGAAGACTGGCGACTCGGCGACATCTTCTCGTCTTCTTCTTTCTCTTGTTTCACACCTTTAAACTCGGACGGCGGTGCAGACTCTCGCTTCAGGAAGGGTGGCATCGTGTGAAGAATGTGGAGGTCGAGATGGTTGAGATGGTATGGTGTGGTGGGAGCGGCGGTGAAAGTGTTGCTTTCGAGGAATGGTGGCGAGCTGGTATGTTGCGATGGTGGTGGTGGTGGTAGTGGAAAGGTATCGATGACGGCTGTTCTTATAGAAAGGACGGCTGTTCTTATAGAAAGGACGGCTGTTCGTGAAGGGCAAGCATCGCCAGGGCAGCAAGAGTCGCCAGTCGTGATCGGTCGAGCTGCAAGAGTCGTCGGTCGTGATAAAGTCGTCGGTCGTGATAGAGTCGTCGGTCGTGATCGGTCGAACTCGACGGCGGCGGTGATCGTGGTGGTGGTCCGTGAAGAAGGCGTTGGTGGTTACAGTCCTACTTCGTCAGGATTGGTGAATGGTGAATGGTTCTCCGCAGTGTCCGTCGTCGTCTGAAGAGTACTCTTCGCGAAGCGGCAGTGTCCCTTGATATAGCATCGACGATCAGGACACGCGGGGAAAGGACGCGTTCGTTTGGCGGACGGACCGAGTCTGTGACGCTAATGGTGGAGTCTATGTGAGTCTATCTACAGGCGGTCCAGGTCTCGACATCGTCATCACACAAGCGAATCCCCTCCGGCGCTTCTTACTCACACCTATAAAGCTGTTGCTATAGGCATGGACCCTTGGCCACCAACCACCAGCCATTGGTCGCGGCCAGCCATGGTTGTTGATGTTGGGCAAACCATCTTCCGCCTGCGGATTCTGCATGACTCAGCGAACGATACCTAGCAGCAGGGACCGAACAGTGGTGATAGGCGGGTACGAGAAGACACCACGGGAGCACCACATTCAATTACATACTCAACATAGAGACTCGGGCACCATTTAACCAGTGAGCCCGATTGCAGAGAGTCCGTCCGCGCGGGCCATGTGTGGCGGGCCGAGACTTGAGTACGGGAGTGCGTAAACCGAAGCCGGAGTATTTGCATTTATATGCGCACTTTATGGAAACCAAGTCTGTAAGCTGTAACGTCCCGTACCGTACAGCGTACACTAGTCTAGTTAATCGGACACGTTTGCGACTGCGGCTGTGGCTGTGGCTGTGGCTTCCCGCAAGTGAAGGTTTAGAGGGCCGGGGGCACGTCGAGGGGTTTACCCTAACTACGATACCTCGTGATTGTGCGGTGGCGGGACACTTGAAAGTTGAAAGTGAGCTACATACATGTGAAATTGAGGATTTGAGGATTTGAGGATCTGAGGGCGTATGTACTCGTAGAGCCTCAGGGGTGAGCAAAAACAGAAACCACACGGAATGTCACTGTTATGTAGGTAGGTATCTTTCCCAATTAGATGGCCATTGGCCATTGGATCGACGGAAACTTCTCGAGGATGGACACAAAGTTCAAACTGCACTTTTGGGTATCCTGTGTACTATACACACCACCGGTATCGCACTCCATCATGCCTACCTCTAAAACCAGTGAGCCCGATTGCACAGCTGAGTCCGTCCGCGCGGGCCATGTGCGGCGGGCCATGTGCGGCGGGCCATGTGCGGCGGGCCGGCGGGCCGGGTCGGGATGAGTACGCCGTATGGTACTCTAGTTAGTGCGTAAATCGGAGCCCGAGTATTTACATTTGTGCACTCTTTGCAAACCAGGCTGTATGTAAGCTGTAACATCGCGTACCGTACGGCGTACACCAGTCTAGTTAATCGGACACGTTTGCGGCTGCGGCTGTGGCTTCCCACAAGTGAATATTAGAGTGCGGGGGGAGGGCGGGGAGCACGTCGAGTCGTCGACCTCGTGATTGTGCGGTGGGGGGACACTGAGCTACATGTGAGATTGAGGATCGCAGGGCGTAGAGCCTCAGGGGTGAGAAAAAACCACGGTATGTCACAGCTTTCCAGATTAGATGCCTATTGGATCGACGAGAAGTTCTAGACTCTGGAGGAGGGACACAAAGCCAAACTGCACTTTCGTGTAGCCAGTATCCAGTATCCACACTACCGGTATCGACAATCGCACTCCATCATGTCTAGGACTCTAGCTCCCTCTATCTATGATACTGTTGTCTAAAACTATGTAGGTAAAGTGTTCATCGCCCGTCCGTCCATCCATCCGTGCCGTAAATTCATACAATATTGTCTGTCGGTCGTCGTTCGTCGTGCCAAAGTAGAGTAGGTATTGTACATCAAATGTGTGCGTGTGAGCAGAGAAGAGAAGAGAAGAGAAGAGGATTAAAGAAGAGGTGTAAGAAAGAGAGGTACCAACAATCCAAGCCAAACAAGTCCCCCCCCTTCTGATATAATCGTGTCAAGTCCAGTCCAGTCGAGTCGAGTCCACAAAAAGCGCCATCGAAATGAAATAAAAAAACTCCTCGAAGAATCCAATACAATGCCACCGACGGATATTAAAACAAAGAAGAAGAAGAAGAAGAAGAAGAAGCGAAGGCGTTGCTCATGCCATGTCATAAATTATACCATCACATCACAGTCGTCGCTGCAAGAGATTAGACCCACTTGCCCTTGCATCGCCCGCGCCCCCGGACACGAGCTGTTCGACACTGAGCCCGATGCCGTTTGGGCCCAACCCGGCCCTTACACTTCCACTTCCGCCAACATCCGCACTCTTCCTCGTCGCGCTGCTGCTCCTCGGCGGGCGGATGTACTCCGTCTGTCTCGGCGCCGCCCGCTCAGTGTTTGCCCTTCGCATCTGCGTGTGTTCCGCGACGACAACAACGGCAGCCGGCTCCTCGTCGTCGTCGGTGCCAGCCGCCTGCTGGAATGGCGACTCGACGGCTGGCTCGGCGTCTTCGAGGTCTACGGCTGCGATGTAGCGCTCGACGTGCGCCTGTTGCGACGCGGTCAGGAAGTTGCTGCGCGGGGCAGCAAGCGCAGGTGCAGGATCTTGCGCCTGCACGCGGGGCGGTGGAGCCTGCGCGTTGATAGGCGCAGCTTGTGGGGGGGCGGGACGGCCGGCAGCCGCAGCACCGTAGAAGGCTGCGGCGCCGTTGACCCGCGCAAGGCCCAGACCGAGGCCGGGGCCAGTGTTAAGGAGGCCCCGCATGTTCTGCCGCATTAGCTCACGGTCGTCGTTGCGCGCCGGACCCGCGGGACCAGCAACTGGTGGAAGCGGGTCTGTTCTCCGGCGGTCAGGGGCCGCTGGCCGTTCAATCGGCTCGGCATTGCCGGCCGCCAGACGCCGAATTCCGTTTCGAAGGCCCAAGCCGAGGGCCCCCAGAGCGGCAAACGGGTCCACTGCAGGGATGTCGTTGAGCGCGCGCGGGAGATCATTGCCAGCGGGGCCTGCGATTCTACCCCGTCCTAGCCTTCGGATGGCGTTTTCTGCGCGGAGTCGGTCCCTGTGGCCATGCGCACGGTGATTAGCACAATCCGTGGAAAGCAGGCTCACGAGGATTCCCAGTCCGGAACAACATACTCTCGCTCAGCTTCACCGGGCTCATAATTGAACCAGGGACAGTCACACGACTTCCATTTTGATCCACACACGTAGCAAAATTGCGCAGTGCAGTGACAGGTCCTTTGCGGGTATTAGCCCTCGCTCGTTTTTGAATCGGGGATAGAAACAGCCCGACATACATATGATTGCAGCCACGTTCGAGCTCCACCATCGCCCTGCAACTGTAGCACTTTTGAAACTTATGCTTCTCGGCAGTCTCGAAGAACTTGAGCATTTCCGGATCTTGCGGGCAATCCTCATCACCATGTGCCCTACCATTACACGTCACACAGACAGCGAATGCGCACTTCTGGCAATGCCCGACGTTGTCCTGGACATGCTTCGGCTGGATCCATTCACCGCAGTTGATACTCGGGCAGTATATCCGATTCGCTGTCGTAAACTCGAGGTACTTGGTATTCCACAGTTTCTTATTCTGGTACGACAGGAGATTCTGGACGTGCTTCAGAGGGATATGGTCTGGTGTGCAGCATTTCGGTGGCATGTGAGCAGGATCCGTCAGGGAAAGAATAAAGAGTCGCTTTAAGCACTCGTTGCAAAACCAGTGCCCACAAGCCAACTACAGACAGATTCCAATAAGCAAACATTTGAAGGAACATATTTATAATTTGACTGATTACCTTCGCCGCTTCCGTCGATGGGGTTTCGTCATCCATGCAGGTAACGCATACGATTCTGTCAACAATCATCAGTGTGTGGTCCAAAACAGTAACAATCATCGCAACAAACAGTTTTGGTGGTTTGGTCCCAAGTTCGAATTCCAATATTAGCCTCCCTGCTTGTGGTTGCGGTTGTGGCTGCGGTTGTAGTGCTCTCAGAACCGGTGCAGGTAGAACCGGCGCCCTCAAGCTTTGTCTCCGTGCTTCTGGTATGACGTCCACTTGTCTCGTCCGATCCAGTTGTTCGGATTGCGTTCGCATGTGCTGTCTCCTGGCAGGCCTTATCTGCATTCTCTCTACAACTCGCTCGCGCGTGGTCCTCTCTGCCGGCCGCGCTGGTGGCGGTGCTGGTGGCGGCTGTGGTTGTGGTCTCTCGACATTTCTTTGTGCCGTTCTTTCTGCCGTCCTGGCTGGCTGTCTCACGGGCTGCTGTCTCACGAGTTGCTGTCTCACGGGTTGCTGCCTTGGCGTGACGATTTCGACATGTCGTGCCGGCGCCCTCTCCGAGTTTGATCTTACTAACGCTGGTCTCGGCGGAACTGCCGCCATCTGGCGAACCGCTGCTGTGGCCGCCTGGGCCCGTTGGATATCCCTGGCTCTCATCAACTCAACCTGTCTCGGATCCCGTTGTGTTGGCGCCACCAGTCGTGGCGGCGAAGCACCGCGCGAAGTGACTGTTCGTGATCTTGATCTCCTCTCTGTTCTTGGTACTTCTACAGGTGCTGGTGCCACCTGTACCCCCTTGGCCCTCTCCAACTGCTCATCATGTTCCCTCCTGCGCCGTAAGTCCCTCGCCGCGGCCTGATCCCTCTCCCCCTCGGGTCTCTCCAACCTCTCCGCCAAATCCGCCTTCGCCGCGGCGTCCGTCGCCTCCTGCGCGCGCTTCCGCGCCCGCTTCACACAACGTCCACACGAAAGTTCAGACTCAGCGGACGCGTGCTCATGATGACGGTGATGACGATGTTCTTGTCCGTGTTGGCGAGGCTGGGCCGAACTGTCTTTAACATTATTTAGGCTGGTGTCTCTACTATGTGCACCACGTGCAAGATGTTTCGATCGAACCTCTCGTTTCGGAGACCCTGTCCTTTTGACCGTCACTATGGATTTCCTGCTGGGACAAACAAAGCTCGTCAGCAAATTGATAACTCCCCCCCCCGCCCTCCCCCCTCGCCGACAAGGGCATATATCGTGACATATCGTGACATTTCCAGGGATGACCCATACTTTCCCGTAAACCCGCTGCTAATGACATCTTTGACCGACACCTTCGTCTTCTTTTCCGCTTTCGATTCCGCTTTCGATTCCGCTTTCGATTCTTTGGGAGGTGGTGGTAGTGGTGACGGTTCGGCGGCGACGGCGGCGAGTATCTCTTTTCCCTTCGATTCGTCCTTGCCCTTATCCTTATCCTTTTTCTTGTCTTTGCCGCCGACCCTGTGGCGCCTCATCCTGGGTAGACCCAGGAGAGCCAGAGCCTCTGCTTCCTGCCGGGCCTGCCGATCCGCCTTCTTTGCGCGCCGCTCTTCACGACGCGCCTCCTTCTCTTCCGGGGTCTCGTCCTTGGCCCGAGCCTGCGAAGACTTCTCGCCCTTGGACTTTGACCTCTTCCGAGACGAAGGCTCGATCATGTCGCGTGCCGTGAGCATTTTGCGCATCCGGGTTCTTCCTCTTGCTTGTTCTTCTTTTCCTTCTTTTCCTTCTGCCTCTGCTTCTTCTTCTAATTCTTGGGTAGAGAGATACTCGCCGTAGCCGTGATCGTGATCGTGATCGTCGAGATCGTTGTAGTCGTCCGTCGTGAAGCGTGCGAGATCAGGCAGGTTTCTCAGGAGGAGTCTACTAGTATAGTCCTGTAGAAAAAGCCAGCTGTTGTTGTTATTGTCGTCGTTGTTCTTCGGCGCTGCGGCGGTAGAGCGGCCACGCACGTCCTCGTCCTCGTCGGAATCACTACTGTAGCCGTAGCCGTGCTCGTCGACGTCGGCGTCGTGGAACCAGGCTTCCCAATTGATGTTTCTTAATGGTGCCACCGCACCGATGAGCTTGCGCAGTAGCTTCGGAAGCGCGACAGCGAGCCCCCCGTCACCCACCACCGCCGCCCCCCCTCCCTCTGCCTCTCCAGGTACAGGTACAGGTACGCTTTTCCTCCTGTTGCTGCTGCTGCTGCTGCTGCTGCTGCTGCTGTCACGCACGCCCGCGGGCTCCGTGTAGTGTGCGGTCCCGCTGGTGGCCACGGCGCATTCCCTGGTCCGACGCCTCCGCCGAAAGGAGGGCCGGTGAGAGTCGAGACGTGGTGGCTGCGGAGTGGGTGCAGCAGGTGAATGGCGCGTTCTAGAAACGGGTTCTGTGGGGGGTGCTGCAGGCCGTTTGGTAGAGTGTGTGCGGTACGGTACGATATGGGGGTTTTTTTTGGCGTTGGCGTGGGCGTTGGAGAACGAACGAACGAATGGCTCGCGATTGCGGTGTATGTGTGTATGATCTAATGTATGTATGTGGAGATGGTTCGGTCGGTCGGCGGTATGTGTGTATGTAGGTGCGTACGGGGGTGCGAGGTATATGCTTCCGTTTCGGCGATAGAGAATCGCGCACGCAGGACAGGACTCGACGGTTTGGTTTGGTTGGGAGTGCTCGCTCGCTGGCCGATTAGCTATCCACGAGTATGGATGTACCGTAGGTACTCCAGTATGCAGCAGGCAATCCGTCGCTACCTAGCAAATGTGGGTATGTGGGTATGTGGGTATGTCCCTACACGCGATAGTCACCTGGCCTGGCGAGGCCTCGAAGAATCGAAGGCACGTCGAGTGCGGTAGAGCAGGGTGGAGTACGATACGGTTGGTATATCCTCGTAGCGAACCGAACCGCGAGGATCTCACTACTCTATGCGCGCCCTGGTTGGTCCTGGGATCTGTATGGCTCGCTCCTCGGTCGGTGGGGCGGTCAACGAACGCTGGGGGACGGGGGGAGGGGTTTGGACGCTGCTGCGGAAGAAGTCCACCGAAAAAAGTGAAAAAAATTCGTCGCAGCGAGGAAGGGTGAGCAGCGTGAGCTGGCACAAATAAAGGTGATGATTCTGGTGGTGATATGTATGCGGTCGGTATGTATCTAGAACCAGAGTAGATATGGTCCATGCACTCATTTCACAGGGGCTACTGCACAGTGCAGGCTGCTGCAGTGAACCAATGAAGCATGTTCTCGGTTGGCTGATGCGAGCGTGAGGGGTTTCGAGATTCAGGGAGGGAATGCCCAAATCTTGTCCGAGTGGAAAAGGCAAATCATCTTGAGCTGGAAAGACGACTTCCTCGAGCTCAAGAATGGCGTTGAGGAAATTGGGGGAAGGGGGATTTGGCGATGCCAAGAAAAGATCGGTACTCTGGGTACTCTATTGGGTCGCACAGCAGACAGCCGTGGGTGGTTACAGGTGAGCACTCTATCGCCATCGAGGGTGTCCTACGATGGTAATCGCAAGCGGCGATTTTATACGCAATGCAAGTCATTTCTAATGGTTACCGGTATCTACTAGGTAGATAACGACATTCATTTGCTCATGGACGGTCACTCGTGGTCAAGGTGTGCTGGAGATTTCGAGAGCTGTAGGCATAGTCTAGATAGGCCGTATGCGACGATAGATTGATATTCTACCTCTCACCTTTTCGAGATCTGTATGTAAAAGAGGAGAGGTTCAGTGAAGGTCAAGTGGGTACATATCATACCTCCGTTTACTCGATTAGAGTACATACCGGTACTGTCTAGAACGGCGATGCGGCAACCGACACTACATCCACAAGTTATTCGATCGTATTTATCGCCCATCGAACACCTACTTTAAAGCTTACACATGTCGCAGCCGCACATCGCACGAATCCGCTACATATTATGATGCTAATGATGATGATGATGGATCCCCGTCCGGTGCGGGGAAGCACTTAGGTACATGTGTAGCATAATTGCTTTTGCGATATTGGATAGATTCATACATATTGTCATCTCCACCCTCTTCGCACTAATTGCCTCAGTTTGAGCTACCAGCTAATGATAGAGATCTGCTTATATTGAAGTGAAGCGGAGAGGATGGCACGTGGACGGTGGTTGTGTGAGTGGAGAGAGAGAGGGAGAGAGGGAGGGAGAGAATATCGATTTATTATCGCATACCTTCGGCCTTGCCAGACTATAGAGACTGCACACACATAACATCCTTTCCTGCCAGCTCCACGTTGTGTGAGTGGGAACGGAGTCCGGGGGATTCAAGTGACAAAGACATTACGAGTGATCGATTACAGAAGATCGGCATCGGGTTATACCTAGCAGAGGCCAACATTGCTCTCGATCCGGACCCGTCTCGCCATTTCGCATGTCACAAGATCGGCCTAAAGGTTGAGCTCGACCGGGTCGCCGTATGTACAATGCAGTCACTGGAAGGGCCGATTGAGCGGCCGGTTACGGCAACATTTGGGTCCGTATGACAATGTCTACGGTCGTGGACCGCTCTGGGGGTTGCTTTGATGTGGCTTAACTTTCATTGGAGGACAGCAACATTTCTGCTGGACCGCTTTCAACGATCAAGAAAGCCCAGCCCTACTCCCGAGTCCCGCGGCGAAGCATCTATTCTCGCAACAGGCAGGCATTCTTCTCCCCGCTCTACATACGTTCATATGTAGCAAAACACGCGCAAAACACCGCAATATAGTACACCCCTACACAACACATTCACCCCGAATTCCCCCCGCCTACAAGCTGTTGATATAGCTCTGCCTCTGCCTCGACGAGAACCTCTTGAGCTCCGCCATGACCTTTGGCAGTCTGACCTCAGGATTCTTCTTCTCTGCTTCCGTCATCACCTCCACCTTCTTCTCGGCTATGTATCGAACGTGCACCTTCCTCTCCTTCGGCCTTGCGCCGGCGGCGGCAGCAGCAAAGATCCCGAAGTTCTCCCTTTCGTCCGCCTCGTCCTCGTCCTCCTCCTCGAGCAACTCCTTCTCCTGCGCCAGCTCGTCCCAGGCACGCAGTGTCCTCTTGACATCGCGGAATTTATCCATCCATCTAGACTCCTCGAAGCGGCCCCAAACGATGCAATCCCAGAAGACGGCCTTTTTGAGTGTAGCAACGAACAGCTTCGCGGCCTCGGCGCGGTCGCGCGGGAGGTCCAGCGAGCTTTCGCGCCAGCTGTCGAGGTTCGACGGTTTGGTGAACTTCTCGATGCGGAGCACGGCGCGCTTGATGATTTTTGCGTCCATGGACGTCAGCGCGACCAGCAGGAATGTTCGCGCGACCAGGAGTCCGGCTTTGCCGTTGTTCTCGGCTACCGTCAGGATTCGGTCGCCGCTGAGGTAGGATTGTTGCGGCCCGCCAGAGGTAATGCACGCCCGGAGTGCCAGTACGTAGTTCCACTCGGTGAGTTCAACACGGCGCGGCGGGTTCTCGATCATGTCCGCGGCTGCGGCGCCGGCGTGGCAGATGGAGGCACAGCGGAGGTAGAGGTGCGTGGGGATCGGCCCTGGGGTGACTCTGTGCGTGGTGGTGATCTCTTTCCAGATGTGGACCGCCAATGGGAAGTTTTTTATCTTTTCGGCGGCTCTGAGGAGAATACCCAGTGAGAAGTCGTCGGGAATGGGCCGCTCATCATCGAAGTCGTGTTTCCGCGAGATCAATGGCAGGAGAGGGTTTTTCTCGATGAAATCGGCCGGGAGTTGGATGCCGTACATCTGGTTAGCGATGACGAAGACTTCCCGCCAGTGCGAAGGAGATGTAGCCGAGCAGAGCATTTCCAGATATGCGTTCACCAGGTACTCGTCGACCTTGAGATCTCCGTTGGCCCAGCGACTCAGAATACCGGCCCACGCTCGCTTTCCGTCAGCGATCGACTCATCACCCTTTCCGGAGAGGCCCCGGATGAAGATGGTGTAGGTTGTCACGTCGGGAGAGCCTGGTCCTGCGTCGGGCAGTTGGGAGATAATCTTCCAGGCTTTGTCCATGTCGCCGCACTTGAGACATACCGAAAGTAAAGCGTTCGTGTGAATAATAGCCGGCTTGATCTCATCATTCTTATTGCAAAGGTGGTCGTAAATCTTGAGCGCTTCAGTGGCGTATACAGGCTTTGGCTCCTTCTGCCACGCAAACCCGCTGAGGAGGTGACTATAGGTATAGGAATCCGGCTTCACACCCCGCTTCTTCATATCATTGTAGAACCTCAGTGCCCTGGCAGGCTGTTGCTTCTCCATCGAGTGTCGTATGAGTGTGTTCCACGCCGCCACAGTGCCAATCCTCCCGGACGCCTGTTCCAGAATCCGATGCGCCCTGGCGACGTCTTCATGCGCCAGAAAACGTTCGACATGCCCCATCACCTCGCGCGGATCCCGCGTCTCGAGTTTGCGTCCCTGGTCATAGAGCAGCAGCACCCGCCGGTCCGGCGGACGGTTGAGAATTGATCTTGCTGTGTTGCGTACCGGCTCGTTGGACCGGTGGCGGGGTTCGTTGGACCGTGGGCGGTAGGCGGTGGCCGATTTTGTGACGGTGGATTTAGCACGCACTCCCCCGCGGTGGGGTGGAAGCGGTGTGTGGATGGAGAGGAATATGGTGAGGTTACTCCGCAGGCAGCTCTGACATTTCAGCATGGTGGCGAACGAAAGAGCTGGAGGAGGAGGCCGAGGTGGCGGCGGTGTGGGAGTGAGAGATTGAGGCCGTGGTCGTGGTAGATTGTTTGGGGTTGACGGTAATCTCAAATTTAGAGTTTTTTTTGGCAGACATAACCAGACCCTGAACCCTGCTCAGTGAAGTCTTGGTACTTGTCTATCAATACCGTTCGCCTCATCATAGTTAACGGCAACAACACACACAAGCAACCGCCCCAATCATTCAGGCTGCAGTCCCCGCCTGTGTATTGCATTCTGGAAAGCCACTAAACCTGTCGGTGCGCCCCGCTCCGTCAAAATCGGATTTCGATTCTGTATGATGGCAATCCGCCAAAGCCGATATGATTGGTCCGGCCCGAACCCAGCACCTTGTGGTTCGAGCGGCCCGAACCAATCATCGGAGAAATTGGACTAGCCAGCAAGTTCAAGGAAAGAAGCTCGCTGGTCATCGCCAATCAAGGTTGTTTGGTCCACGATACCTGTCTTGGTTGTTTCTTTCGAGACGAAGCTACCGGGCTTCTGAGGACGGAGGTTGTCCCGCCGAAATGCAAATAAAGGCAAGAAGAAGAAGAAGAAGAAGAAGAAGAAGAAGAAGAAGAAGAAGAAGAAGAAGAAGAAGAAGAAGAAGAAGAAGAAGAAGAAGAAGAAGAGAGTGTGCGAAATGCGTTCAGTCGTTGAGCTGAGAATGATACCGAGGAAGCCCAGATAAGTATCTTTACGTATTGCATCACGTTGAAGCCAAGGGAAGACATGCAGTGTTTCGGGAGCGATGTTGCGTCGTCTGCTAGTTACATACAGCGCATCCAGCGATCCCAATCAAATACCGGTATGTCCCACAGATCGCTCGAGGCGAACCGTCGGAAGCGATGAGATATAGATCTTGGGACGATAGGTACGGATGAAGATTCCTTCCACGACAGGTAGTTACCTACGCCACTCTTTCCTCGGATCATGCACCATCGCAGGTAGCAGGGGTGTTAGTGGGCTTCTCCGCTGTCGCCGGAAGGTGGGCGTACCTCCTGTTATAAAGGACAGAATCGCCTCAAGTGGCAGGAAGACATGATTATTGGCGCCTAGCATAACAGCATAACAGCATCTCTTCATGTCGACATAGCAAAGATGGAGACAGATTCCACCGCGCACGTTCGCAGGCTCCAGGAAGATGTTGACGCCCTCAAGGAGCTCCTGGCGGGAATCCACCAAACGCAGCAGCAGCAATTCCAGCTTTTTAGCGCTTTCCTGGCGGGGCAAACAACTGCTGCTGCCACGGCGACGGTGGTAGCGGATACACCGACCAAACAACAGAGACCGATCCTCAGATCGATCCAAACCACGCTCGCGGCCGACTTCCCATTTTCGCAAGATGGTCAGAATAATCTCGACAGCCCGATCGTTGATGACTTGGAGTCTCGCCTGCAGCTCGAGACGTTCAAGGAGGCACGTGATAGGTTCTTCCAGCTGCCGCTGGCGAGCCAACGGATTTCGATGCGCCAGTTCATGAAGTCGGATTATGTGGATGTTAACGACGAAGAAGACCCAGTGTCTGCATTTCTTGCGCTAGTTGGTCCGGCGAATAAGCCTGTGCACGTGAGGATCAGAGACTATTATTCCGCAAGGTCAGATAAGCTCATCCAGCACGATATAAGAGAGGGAGATGAGGTGCTTTGGAATTTCCTTGCAATGCCGGTAGGTTGGAGGTTGTTGATCTGAACTAGTAGGAAGATGTTGAACTAAAGATATGGTCAGAGAGCCAATATGACGGCAGAAGTTTCGAGCAAGATTGATCCGCTTACAGTCACGGCCCGGTGGGGAATGAAAGTGCATGTCATACCCCCAGAAGAGACGGAAGCGCCGACTTCGGAAGAAGAGGAGAGACCGCCTGTTCCTTTTGAGTACGAAGCGCTCGGACGAGATCTGTATGTCCCCATATATGTCCATGTGGAGATACATAACAATCCTCAGCTAACTTGATCCCAAGCTCCGTCAAAGAAATCACCCCAAACACAGTGTTGATTCTCAAGAGTGTAGCGTTCCAAAAAAGCGTAGACACCGAGCCCATCTCCAGTCTCTCCACAGTAATCGACAACACGCTCAGCCGCGAGCCCATCACCCTTCAAGCCGTCAACATAAACTTCAAGCACCAGACTTTCCTCTTCTCCGCGTCATTCATGGAGCATTCGAGTGGTGACAAGTCCGAGAGACGGAATCCAATCAGTTACATAAAATCCAAGACATCCAAGCCGAAAGTTGCGTTCGGCGCAAAACTCCGTGCCTCGTTTCTTGCCTCGCCGGATTCAGGGAATGGCACGGATATTGGCGTCCGGGAGTCCACCGCTTCGATCGTGTTTGATACCCTGGAGATGAGGAGTGGGACGTATTGGACTATTCATTCGATTGGGGACTATGAAGAGGCATTGGCCCTCAAGTGGCTGGATCAAGCGAAACAGGGGACATATACCTCACCACAGGAGGTGTTCTTGGACAAGCTAGGTAGGTGGGCGTGTCAGCTTCTCTCTAGCGATCATGCAGCTGACGTGCACAGCACGGATCATCGACTTTGCAGTCGACAAAGGAATGTCAGCAGTATTGAAGACGCTCGAATATGAGCTCGATGGCGACAGTATTGTAAGTGCCTTCACTATATCCAGGCCGTCCTGATAACCAACCATCTCCCAGCTCTCCCAGAAAGACGCAGAAAAGCTCCTATTCGACAACCAAACCTTCTCCAAAACCAAGAACCTCCAATGGTCACTGCAACTACTTCGGCGGATGCAACGGAGCATCTACAACCTCCTGATCCAGGTGGAAGACTTCGAGAAGACCAAACTAGACGTGCTGAAAGACGCCGCGAGGGACCACCGAATCCGAGCTCGTAGTGGCGTCAAGAATGGCCGGAACTTGATCTCTGAGACCGCGTTTAGGAGTAAGCTGCAGAGGGTCAAACAGGTCAATACGAGGATCGAGGCCAAGTATAATGAGTTGAAGGATTTGGTGGGTTGATATCTCACTCGTTCTGCCTGCGGATGCTTACAGTGGGGATTTTAGAGGGATGCGCTGGTGAGTACTTCGGGCGTTATGGAGTCGAGGGTGGCTGTTAGCCAGGTCAGTACCGCTTCTTGCCCGGGCCCAATCAATGCTGACCCAGTAAGGCGGAGACGGTCCAAGTCCTTACAGTTCTCACCCTGATATACCTCCCTGCATCGCTGGTGATTGGAGTGAGTCATTAACCAGATCCCTCCAGACTATGGCTTGCTAACCCTCTCTAGTTATTTGGAATGGAAGCCCTTCCTGCGGCGTCCCAAAACATGAAAACATTCGGTATAATATTAGGCCTAGTATTCATCTTCACCTCCTTCCTCGGACTCGGCATGGGTTCGGTGATAACCCTCTTCTCAACCGGAACCCGAAAACTATCCTATCACATGCAGAAGTCCATGGAGAAGTTCCCCGGAGCGTGGAGCAAGCGGTCTTCGGACCTAAAGGAAATGAACGAGGCGTGGCGGGTTCTCGAGCGTGAGCGCGGGAAGCAAGTTCCAGCGGTCCTCTACTTTGTATGGTTCTGTTGCGTGCGCTTCTTCATCGTCTTCCCGGCCTCGGAACTACGACAACTGGGCGGGCTGATTACACTCTTCCAAGCGACAGCGGCGAGCTTCCACGGCGGAAGATGGATCTGGAACCTCGTGCTGGTGCCATTCCGGATCGCCTTTCTACCATTCGATCTAGCGCTCGTCGGCGCAGCGTACGTACTTTTGGTCCTCTTCACCGGCTGGATAGTAGGGTGGACGCCGAACGAGCTGCGACCAGGCACCCTCAGCGTCGCCTCGCTATTCCACCCGAACCCAGACCCGAACTTCAACCCCACCGGGACCTCGGTCTACACGGTACGCGCCATCAAAACACCGCGCCGCAAAGTCACCGCCGGCGAAGCCCTCCTCCAGCGGTTCAAGCAGCCGTTCGTCATCCTGTGCCAGTACTCATCGTACTTCCCCAGCATCGTGGCGCCCGTCACCTCCTCCGCCGCGCGAAAATCTACCAGCAAAGTAGCCAGCGCCAGCCTCCAGCTCGGTGCCGCGGGACCGCGTCTGCCCCCAAAATCTGAGTTCTACCAGGTCATCGATGAGAGCTTGCACGCGGCAGGCGAGGACGAGGTTAGTGACAGTGAGGGCACGGATTACGAAGAGGATGATATCGATGTCGAGGAGCGTGCGCTGTCCGCTACGACTACGAGTGAGGTGCAGGAGGTCGTCGTGCTGGAGGAGGGGATTGGCGGCGCGAAGGATGAGGAGGAGATGGATGCCGTTGGACAGTTGCCGCCGCCGCTGCCCGCGCCGAGTAGGTTGAGGATGGGCATGAGGAGGGCGCTTACGACGCCGGATTTGGAGTGGGGGAAGAGGGGGAGGTGATGGGATGCGATGGATGGATGTATGAATACTGTATAATCAATGTCAGATTCTCGCTGCAACATGTGGCGAAGGGTTCTCTATTGTCCGGCGGTCTGTCCGTCTTAGGGTTTCATTAATAACTGACTACTGCTGTCCGCCCGTCTCATGAATGAACTGAAGATGGCGGCAGACACCTAATAAGGCCAGACAGCCGTCAGAAAACAGAAAGAACAGCATAACTATTAATATTTACATCGTAATATATTAATCCTAGCACTTGAAAATACATCAACCGACTCAGTAGTGTAGGGGTATCATGGGCGCTTGCCATTGCATTTAGCATTAGCATTCTGCGCCCGACCCGGGTTCAAATCCCGGCTGAATCACTTGTCATTTTGTTTTGCCTTTTCTTTTGCCGTTCTCCTTGTTAGCTCTGATCTCATTGTTGCTTCTTTTTCGTGGAGGTGTAACTCGGTTCCATGGTGATGGGGTTGAGCGACACGGCATCGGCGGCGGGGCAAGGTCGAGTCGAACAATCTTGGTGATGGTGTTGCGCGACATGACTAACCCGGGTGCAAGATCATGGCAGTCAGCAAAACCTCCCTTTCACGCTGCACCCACTAATCCTCATTCAGAACGGGCTGAAGTGCAGCTCAAGTGCGCACTTCATCTACAGAACCTCCCTAATGGTGCCCAGCGGTCGTGGGCAGTGCTCCTGATAGCGCAGTCCAGACTGCCCTCCGGACTGGACGGACTGCATTAGTCTAGGTAGTCTATGTAGTCCATAAAATTGGAGAACGATCCGTCCCAAAATTTTGCTACCTCGGATTACAGTCGACTGACAGACTGCCACTCTCTGAACTTTCTTACCTTACTTCACTATGGTTTCAACACATCCCTCCACCCACGTTGCAGAGCCAGACAACCCTCCTGTTCCGGTATCCTTCCTTCGAGTGCGCCTAGGTATCAACTTCGGCATCAAAGTCACTTACATACAACAGCAACCCGATGGTCTTGCAGCTGCTACAAATGGCGATATCGAAAAGATGGAGACTAGTTATGCTCAACGCACAGTGCGAGAAGGATCTGCAATGGCTGAACTAGGTATAGACGTGTACAAAAAGTTCATTACTGATTTCGAACATTTTCCATTCAAAGTAGGTACCAGTCCATTCAGTCGACTGCAGTCCGTCCAGCCCTATGATACCGGTTGCGCAGATTGCCCAGTCCAATCTGACTTTTGATGAAAAACGAACTGGACTAGACTGGATTATCGGAGGCACTGGGTCAAGACACCTCTGCTCCGAGTGTAATCTAGTCTAACATAGGCGCCGCGGGGAATCATATTTCATCAATCGACTCAGTAGTGTAGGGGTATCATGGGCGCTTGCCATTGCATCTAGCATGAGCATTCTGCGCCCGACCCGGGTTCAAATCCCGGCTGAATCATTCAATTTTTTGTTTTGTTGTTGGCATTGTTGCTTCTTTTTTTTTGAGGGTTGTGGGGAGGAGGAAAAGGGAGATGTGCGGGAGGGGAGAGTCACGGGCCCGAATACCGAAAATCGGAACGGTTGTCTATACCGGTAGGCCGAAGGTTGGTGAAAGTCGTTGGCCCCGTCCTCCCCGGCCGGGTCGGGGGACTATGTAAGACACCTCGGGCTCCGAGTATTCCCACACCGTGGTCCCCCGCGGGAAGAGTCCGATCCACGGCTTCTTTGGCGGGATGATGGATCGGACCCGGAGCACCGACCCCGTAGCCACTACCGGGACTTGCAGCTGCCTCCGGAGCGTGGGGCCTCTCTCACCGAGAGCGAAAACCACTAGTTCCCTAGCCACGGCCTACGGGCTGCGGATGTCGTGACTCGTGAGCGGTGCGAGCAGCCTGCAGGCGCTATTAATCGCCGCTGCCGCCATGGCTCGCTAACTGACTACCAGCGTACATCCGGGGGTGGAGGTGGGACGGCGGCGGTTCGATGATGGGGGTTTTCGGGCAACAAGTACCGGTAAGTACGTACTTGCCCACCGGGGGCGGTCTTTGTCTTTGTCTTTGGCGGGGGTCCAAGTACTTAGCAAGTTAGCAGAGAGTTTCCGGCGGGTGGGTGGTGTCCGCCGAGTGAGATCCATGACCACACTTCACGCTCGTCACTCGCCGCCCCCCCTCCTTTCCTCCCCGTTCGCTCCTCGGATCCGCAGTGAAACACCCGCTCCTCACCTGCTCCTCTCCATCCGCGATCCGCCTACAACCCCCGCTACACGTGCCCCACTCCCCACCCACTCCCCACCCCCTCGCCCCCCATCACCCCCCTCCCTTCCCCCCGGCTCCAGCTCACGCGGTAACACGAGATCTTAACCGCAACTGCAACCCCGTCCCTCTCCGTCGACGCCGACGTCATTGGTCAGCATCCTCAACTCGCAACTTGCCCCTCCTTTGATGCCCCTCATTTCATTCCCCCTACATACATGCCTCCTACAGCAGGTATCAACATCCAGGCAGGGGGTTGGGGCCCTGCATTACACATGCCCCTCACGACTCACGAGTGAGTTCTCTGCACACTAGTTTGCACACAGCACACGGGTTCTTACGGTTCTTACGAACACGAGCCACGAGATATATATCGCCTCCAATTTTTAATCCTCAAATCCTCAAATGACCGCTCATTCAACTACCTACAACGCTGAGTGAAACCACCCATCTCCCCCACTGAAGTAAACCGGACTTGACAGAAAGGAACGGAAAGTAAAAACGACAACTGATCGGAAACATTAAGAAAGGAGCGCGAAACAACGCTCGCTCAGCCTCGCAATGCATGCATGCGGGAGGGAGGAGCATCATCTGTCTCAATACCTTCTTTTAGCGTTCCTGCCAGTCCGAATACCCTCCCTTCGCCTGTCTAAGAAAGAATAATGAAAACAAACAAAAAACAAAGTTCACTAGCACTGCCACTGTTATCATGAAATCCCAACCCCGACTGCGACCCCATCACGCTCCTCAGACGAGGCATCACTTCCGAAGCTCTACTCGGAGTGCGCCTTCTCCTGTTGCTCCTGATCTTGAGGCTTCGTGCCCCAACCAAACAACCAACCGCCAGCGGGATTGATAGGCGGGACCGCGGCGTCCTCCCTGTCGACATGATCGAAGTCTCCCTCGTAGGCGGAAAGATGTCCCATGCTGTAGCTCTTGTGCAAGCCACCGTCAGCACTGGCAGCAGCAGTGTCAACGCCTCCGGCGGCACTCGTCTGCGAGGCCTGCAGGGTATCCATCTCGCTCTCCAGCGCGGCCATCACCGTCTTGAGGCGCTGCCTCTGCAGCTCGATGAACCGCGCCTTCTCAGCGGTGCCCTTGACATGCGGCGGGATCAAATTGCCATTGCCCGGTCTGCCGCCGGGGCCCGAGGTACCGGGCGCCTGCTGCAGCGCAGTAGAGAGGAACGCGTAGAAGTCCGTGGCCATCTGCGGGGCGTAGGGGGTAAGGGGCGGCACGCGCCAGCGGGAGAAGAGGGCCTGAGCGTAGCCGGCCGCGTCGTGCGGCATCGGGGTGGATGGGCGCTGGTCCATCGCCTCGGCGTGGGGGAGCCCACCGAAGATGACCTGCTTCGCGACTTCGATCATCCGCTGGATGTATTCGGCGCCGACGGCCTTCGCTTGGTCGTGCACGCGCGAGATGAACTCTTCGATATCGCCTTCGTGCTTGGTCAGGGTCGGGTGCACGTATTCGAAGTAGAGCTTAGTCGCGCCCTGGGTCTGCGGCAGGACGAGCCAAAGCATGAAGCAGGCGCGGACGTCTTGGTAGAAGGGAAACCTGTGGAAACGCGAGATACGGTGAGTTCAGGGAAGAGGGGAGAGAGAGAGAGAGGACGAACCAAGAGATGGCCCAGCCTACCCACGACTCAACGCAGAGAACGCAGGCGAGCACCACCCAGTACATCAGCCATGGCGTCAGCTGGGCCGGGTCGTTCGCTTTGAGGGCTTTGTAGGACGCAAAGATGGGGAATGCAAAGGTCGCGACGGAACTGTGTAGACGGGCAGTGTTAGAATTTCTCTCTCGGTCACCGACGCTGAAGCTCCGGAAAAGAGCAAACCGCGTGTGTGCGCGCTCCACGACGACTGAGAATGGGCTTACCAGAGGAGCTTAGCGAACAGATCGAACATGGTGATGACGATGATGGAGTGATGGGATTTTGATGGAGAGTGGAGTGATTCGGCGAGTCCGATTACTGAGGGGAGTTCGGTATGATGCTACGAGGGGGCGAGGTGGCTGATAAGGCGGAAGGAAGGAGCTACTGAGGTAGAGCTGGGAGCTTTGTTGCGGTGGAGCTTATGGTTTTAAGGCGGGGTGGGGGGGTAGTGGCGCAGGTGACTGGGGGGGGAGTGAGATCTAGAAGGTTGTCTCTGTCCGGCTGTCAGGTGTAGGGTAGAGTGTATGGTAGGAGTTCCCGCGAAGGATAGCTACTGATGATGGATTGAGATGGAAAGGGGAGATGAAGAAAGGAAGGAGAGGAGGTGAGGAGGAGAGGAAGCAAAGGAAGAGGAAATAAGGACAAGAAGAGGAGGAGGAGGAAAGTCTCTCACGCAAGGACTACCTATTCCCGCTCAAGCTCTAGATGTATAATGTGCGTGTCCCTGCCAACGTTGAGCGGGGTGGTGGGAGGGGCTCAAGCTCTCGATTGTGAGTTTGTGCTTCGTTACATTTTTTCTTTTCTTTTCCATCGTTTCTGCGGAGGGGCACGCTACAAATCTACGCTCACTTGCATGATGCACGTCTACTCTAGAAAGCGGGATGGTCGGTCGGTCGTAACGACGGGCCAGCATCGACTGATGACTTCAGAGGACCATCGAGGCCCTTAGTTGCTGTGGATACTTCCTCACCCACAACCGACATACTTCACGCTTACTCGTACGGCAGCAGTGAGCACCCGTGACGTGGGCCAAATAAGCCCCACTCCTTCTCAAGTGACCCACATGGCACTGGCACAGACGTCGACAGCCGCCACCGCCGTTGCGTTGTTGTTAATGCTGTTGTCGTTGCTGCTGTTGTTTGCCCCGCTTGCGTCCTGGGCTTCACTGGTTGGCCCCTGGATGGTTGGCCATGGACGCATCAGACTCCATTCTGCTGCTGCGGTGGGTGGTGCCCCGCCCGGTGGATAATCGCCGGCACACGCGGCCAAACCGTGTAAAGCCGTTCTCCTAAGCACTCGTCCGAGCAGGAGCTTGGGCTTGGGCTCGAGCTCGAGGACGACCATGACCACGACCACCACGACCACCACGACCAAGACCACGATGCAATCGTTCTGCAGACAGGAGGAAGGCAGCGTCGTGAACCCCGTTTCCGATCGATGGCTGTCATGGGTCCAGGCCAAGATCGTTTCGGAGACAGCCTGAAGCCGCAATCTTTTCTTCCCCTCGCCGCTGCATCTCGAACGACACCTCCTCTTCCTACATACCCGACATACATATGCCTCTCCCCACGGTCACGCCCCCACCTACCCCCGTTTCTGAAACCAGTAGTGACAGGCACATCCTCAGCCATAATGGTTCCTCTTGATAATCGTAATGGGGAACTGGCCTCGGCCATCCAAAAACATCCCAACGGTCGACAGCAAATATGTACATATCTACCGGTAGCTAGACAGCTGGCAGAAACACAGGCACGGGCCATCTCGATAAACAGAGTTCTTCAAGATCTGCCGGCCCGATTCCGGAGAAGAAACCAAATAGATCGCGGTCCCTGTCCTGACCCGTGCCCACCCATGGGATATTGCGCATGTCGTGGGACGTGTCTTTGGTCCGTGGGGCTATTACAATTTTCTTTTTCCCCGCTTGTTTCCTTTTTGAAATTTGGCAACTGCTAGCGAACCGAGGTTGGTTACCGCAGCAAGAGAGGCGTCGATCATGGATCTTCGAGCCTTAAACCACCTCACCCCACCCGTCAGCCATGGATGGCCGATGCGCCGCTCTCGGTGGCGGGGAGAGCATACGAAGGAACGGAAACATTCACAACGTACCACTTTCTTGCCTACACATACGGCATCGGGTGTTCCGGTGGTAGAAACAGGAGCGGCGAATACCGCCGATACTCGAGTCAGTGGCTTGCTGCTCCCTCTCCCAGCAGCAGCTGCCGATGAAGCCAGGTCTATGACCCGAGCTTGGGGCTGGCGGTGCGTTGGCCGCAGCTGCTGCTTGCTGCATTCCATAGAGGGGAAGTATTTAAGTGCAATTGGAGCCTGAGATGCTGATTGATCCCGCGCATCCTACTAACTGCCTATACCTATACCTACACTCCGTCACGCCTACCTGCCACCTACCTACCCATACACCCTACCGATCTCCCATCAAAAGCGCCAACTATCAACAAACGCAATGTGTATATTTCTAGTCTCTACCGCTCATCCCGACTATCCTCTCATCCTCCTCTCCAACAGAGATGTAAGTTCTTCTTCTTCCCTGCCTTTTCTCGGGGGATAATGGCCACGCAGCTTGCATGAGCCTCGTTGTTCGAGTTGCTGACGCGAACCTGTAATGTAGGAGTTCCTGCACCGGCCAACTCTGCGCGCCGCGTTCTGGGATCCTCCACACGAGAACCTATTCTCCGGACGAGACCTTGCCAGACCCGAGAAAGGTGAGCCCCCCTCCCCCCGATTGAACTCGCCGTACACTTCTCCGGAGGAGCGAAGCACTGACCGTTGATTGTTCTCAACATAGGCACCTGGCTAGGAGTCTCCAAGGAGGGCCGTCTGGCGATCTTGACCAACTACCGTGAAGCATCGTCGGCACTGGCGATTGGCGAGAAGTCGCGGGGGGCAATGATCACGTCGTTCTTGGCCTCGCCGGATCCCGTCGATACCCCAACGAGTGTCTGGCTCCGGAAGGTTCTCGACACCGGCGAGATGAAGGGCGTCGGTGGATTCTCGATGATGTGCGGCTTGCTGAGACCGAAGGGCGAGAACCTGGAAGGGCTGGCCATCATCTCCAATCGGACACCTTACCGTGACGACGGAGTCGAGTCCACGGCCCATTGGATCGGCGAGAAGAAGGGTGAGACCAGAGGCCTGAGCAATTCTCTGTTCGACAGCCCATGGCAGAAGGTGAAGCTCGGGGAGCAGCTACTCGAGGAAACGATACAGGTGTCGGTGGAGGAGGAGGGGGGCGTGTCGGAGGATGAGTTCCTCAAGAGATGCTTCGCCGTTCTGAGCCACAACACCTTACCGCTGATCAGCAATGACGACACGTACGAAATCGAGATGAATGCCCTCGAGCTCTCGATTTTCATCCCACCTTTCGACGCCGCAGCGGAACATGCCACCACTCCCCACGGACACCGAGCACAGACCCCGGATATACCGGAAGAACAGCTACCACCCCACCCCGAAGATATCGCTTCCGGCCGGCCGGAAAATCTCCGAAGCACGGTCGTCGACACGGGTGCTGGGTCCACGCGGTTGGACCATCTCTGCTGTGAATCGCCGGTGACGCCACTGGTTCCATCGATGAGCGAGGAGGACCTCACGAAATGGAGGAAATCCCCACGGCTTTATGGAACCGCACAGCAGACGGTGATCTTGGTCGACAACAGTGGCCGGCTTAAATATGTCGAGAGAACGCTGTACAACCGTGAGGCACGGCCGCTCGATGCGAAGGATCAAGACATTGTGGTCGAGTTTCAGATTGAGGGTTGGCCGACAGCTGCATAGGGCCGATTATTTCGGATGACTACTTGTCTGTCTTGTGATGATTCATGTTAGCGGGTATTGTTTTTGCCGACTGTATAATATTTGATACCACTGTGTTTTTTGTGTAGTCACCTGTCAACTCGCTTGGCTTTTGTACTGGCTGTCCTATGGGGTTGATTCCCTCGTACCGATACCCACCCAAGTACTTGGTTATCTACATAGCAAGTACTCACACTCTTTTTGAATTTGTGGGGGATCCGGGTAGATGTAGAGATTCCATGGTGGTGTGCATGGCGCCTATGTACCGGTGTACCGGTGGGCGTGATGCTTTGGCTTTCCCACTGAGCTGCATGGAATCCGGGTATTACCTGGAGTACATAGCCTCCATCTCAGCAAGATGCTCTTAACCTACTCCGGAGACGCCTCTCCATCCCTTCTGTAGTAATCAAAGCCCAGTTCTCCGCCGAAATCTGAAGGCTTCTTCACACTTTGGCTTCATTACCTCGCCGTGCGATAACCAAGTAAACAAATACCGTAACTACCCACTTTGTTTCCACGGTGTCCAGCTCTCACTGCTAGGTACTTGGTTACATACATCTCGCAAGGTCTACAATTTGCCTAAGTACAGTAACCAAGTACTCCACAGCTTACTGGGAATAGTCCGAGCCGTGGGGGCTATCTAGCGCTGCCGCCTTACCTGATTCGCGTCGCTCCTTTACGAAGCAAAGAAATGAGCTACATACGCTTCTTCAACTTTCCGTCCTCACATCCTCGACAACCTCTTCTTATACGCACCCAACCCTCTCCTTCTCCCGAGATCTCCAACCACCAACAACATCCTCCTCCGCAATCATGAAGGCCACCGATCTCGTCTACTACACCTTCCACCCGAGTCAATTGAGGTCGATCATACAATGGTACCACTCCTGTTCCTTCCCATCCCCCTTTTCCAAACCCAGTGGCGACGGTGCAACGACACGTCGTTTCCCAAACTCAAACAAACGAAACAAAGACTACCCCCTCACATCCCCCCTCCCGAACGTGTGAGTTGAGCGCCTGCTAACGCGCCTGTTTCGCTGTGACCAGGAAAGTATGGCACAACCCACTTCACGAGCGGAATCCGGCGAACGAGACCCCCGAGCTGCGTCGCTGCTTCGATTTCCTGGACATGACGTCCCGGTCGTTCAGCGCGGTGATCCAAGAGTTGTGTCCGGAGCTGTGCGTGTCAGTGTCGCTGTTCTACCTGATCCTGCGGGGGCTCGACACCATCGAGGACGACATGACGATTCCGTTCGCGGTCAAGGAGCCGCTGCTACGCGACTTCGATAAGGTGCTTGACCAGGAGGGCTGGACCTTCAATGGCAACGGCCCCAACGAGAAGGATCGCCCCCTCCTCGTAGAGTTCAATGTCGTCATCGCCGAGTTCGCAAAGATCCCAGACGTCCACAAGGACATCATCAGGGATATCACGAAGAAGATGGGCAATGGAATGGCAGACTATGCCGGCGACGAGGAGCACAATGTCAACGGCGTCAAGACGATTGCCGATTACGACCTGTACTGCCACTACGTCGCGGGACTCGTGGGCGAGGGTTTGACGCGGCTGTTCGTGTCGTCGGACAAGGCGAACCCGGTGCTGCTGGAGAAGGGCGACCTCTCCAACTCAATGGGCCTGTTCCTGCAGAAGACCAACATCATCCGCGACTACCGCGAGGATCTCAACGACGGGCGCGCGTTCTGGCCCAAGGAGATCTGGTCGAAGCATCTGGACAAGTTCTCGGACTTTGCGAAGGTCGAGAACGAGGAGGCGGCGCTCAACTGCATCAGCGAGATGGTCCTCGACGCCCTAAGACACGCCGACGACTGTCTCTTCTACCTTGCCGGTATCAAGGAGCGAAGCGTATTCAACTTTGCGGCTATCCCGCAGGTCATGGCCATCGCGACGCTGGCGCTCGTCTTCCGCAACAAGAACGTCTTCCAGAAGAACGTCAAGATCACGAAGGGAGAGGCGTGCCAGCTTATGCTCGAGGTCGGCAATCTTAGAAGTGTGTGCGCCATTTTCAGGAAGTACCTGCGGGTAATCAAAGAGAAGAATACCCCCAAGGATCCCAACTTCCTCAAGATCAGCGTCGCTTGCGCAAAGGTTCGTTATGTGTTCACCCCTCACTGCCGCGTGTATCGTACTAATCCGCCGTCTACAGGTGGAACAATGGATCGAGCATGTCTTCCCGCAGAAGGTGGCCGAGCCCCCGCAGCCGGGAGAGTCACCGGAAGAGCAGGCATTAGCGCGGAAGGAGATCATGTTGCTCACGGCCGCGGTCGTCACAACACTGTTCTGCATCTCGGGCCTGATGGTTAGTTCGCACGCATCCTCTTCTATTCCTGCCTACTACCTCATGTTTCTAACGCTTCGACCTAATAGTTCTTGGCGGCATGGCTGATGGGCGCACGATTCGACGTCGCGTGGGGAGAGCTCCTAAAGTCCCTCTTTGGCGCTGCAGGCGCAGCTGGTGCGCCAGGTGGCTCGGTACAGGAGCCGGCTGCGGGATTGATTACCCCGGTTCCCCATGGGGAATTGTAATCTTCCGTAGTAGGAGCAATAGATGGAAATGGAAATGGAAATGGATTATGTATGCTTGCATGACTAAAAAAAACCCCAGGGGTTTGGGGAGGAGGGGGGGGGGTGTGGCGGGGGGCTTGTTCTTTTCTTTTACCTTTTTACCTTTTTTACTCTTTTTATTTGTTTATTTGTTTAGCGACATTCAACTTGACAAGCTTGAACTTGACCTACTGTTACGGCATGGTAAACTGTTGACTGTTAATGATGCATGCAAATATCTAATGTTTTTTCTACCTACCCTTTTTGAGGATCCTTTATGATGGCTGTTACGTTACGTTTTGTTTGTATGTATACTGTGTGTAGGTTATGTATAGGAATGATGTGGATGCGGATGAAAATGTGATGGTGATAGTGATGGAATGTCTGATGTCTGATGTGCTTGCCCGCGAAACTCGCCGACTCGTATTCGGCTGTGCGTGTATGTGTGTATGTGTGTATGTGCGTGTGTTTGTTTGTTTACCGCCGTGAAGCTGAAGTGAAGTTGAAACGGTAGCCATCCGGCATCGCTGGCAAGCGGGTGAGCACAGGAGGGCAATCTCCGAATCCGGCCACGTAAACTCGTATCCCGACTGTCGGTCCATGAGCAGTCGTTTGCTCGCTCGCTCGGCGAGTCGGTGTTTGCCGGTCCGGGCGCGATCCAGTCCGGTCAGAGTCGGTCCGGTGCGTGCGGGGCTCGGTCCGGGCGCGGTCGGGCCGGGGTCGATCGGGGCCCGGTCCAGTCTGGGTCGGTGTTTGGCGGGGCCCGGACTCCGGGGTAGGTCTCGGGCGAGGTCGAAGTCGAAGTCGAAGTCGAGGTCCGGAGGAGGTCGAAGTTCGGACTCCGGGGTAAGCCTGGTCGTGGTTGAGGTCGAGGTCCGGTCGGGGCGAGGTCGGGGTGGAGAGCCGGGCTCCGGAGTAGGTCCCGTATCGATCGTCGGAGAGGGTGTTGTAATATCTCACTCGTTGCTTAGTCGCTTACGCGGTCACGGCGGGAAGCACTGGCCGCCTACCACCTCTTTTTTCTGTATTCTCTCGAGGCTTTTGAACTCTTAACAATACAATACTTGTTCTTTTTTTGTTTATTTATTGATTGTGTGCTACCTATCTAGATTATGGCAATATAATCTACCCGTGCGTCCCCCCGTTTCCACGCCACTGTCCAACCCAACTTATTGTTAGGGATTCCACCGGGGGCCGACGAGTGCGAGTGATCGTGTGTGAACTCTGCCACCGCCAGTGATGTTTGCCGTCAGATTTGGGTGGGTGGGGCAAGGATGCATTGACCGTGAAGCGGAAAAGGACAGGGGGAGGGGGTGATGCGATGGCTAGTTACGTTTAACACCAGCCGCAGCAGTTGTATCATTATGTAGAAAAAACAGTTTTAGCAGTAACCACCGTTTGGGGAGGAGATGTTTACTCCGTTATGGTGGCCCTCTATGTACGGTAGTCCTGTGAAATCCGTGAGAAGATCTTATCAGACGTCCGGACGGCGCGAGCGGTATGTATCGCCGCTCGGTGAGATTGAATAGCCCCCGCGAGGCCATTACTATAGTAGGCCTTCCCTCACCATCTGCAATTGAGTCTCACCAGCCTCAGATACCTATTGAAGCTTATCTCAAGCCTGAGGCATCAACACGCCTATCAAAAACCCCCCCACGCCCACCCACTTCTCTTCTCTTCTTCTCTTCTCCTTTTCATCATACAGATCTCACGCTCACAAGACTCTCGACGCCAAATTCAATATAAAATTTGAATATCGAACTTTGACGAATACTCTCTCAAGTAAGTACCAGGAACAGCCAATAAGTCGTACCGCACCAGCATTACGAATCATGAGCGCAAGGTGAGGCATCACTTACCCTTACACCGAGTACAACTCTATATCCGTCTTTTCACATAAACTCACTCGCAAATAACGAGTGCTAACTCGAGTACCTACCATAGATGTCTCCTCAGAAGCACAACTACAACCTCCGCAAGCGCGCCCCACGCGGCGTGGTGGTCATGAAGATCTCCGTCCCCGCTCGCGTTGAGGGCGGTGAGTGGCCCCAGGAGATGGATTTTGAGGAGGTCCGCGGGGAGGAGGAGGGATAGGAGTAGGGACAGGAGTAGGGACAGGGGGAGGTGCGCCACGATGAGATGCAGCACCAGGTGGAGGCGCAGGAGGAGGTGGAGGTGCGCCAGGAGGCGGAGCATGAGAAGAAGCTGGAACAGCAGCTATCAGAGCAACAGAAGGAGAAGAAACAGCAGAAGGAGGAGGTGAAGGAAGGGAAGAAAGAGGGGGAGAGACAGACGGCCAATAGCAGCCGCCTCAACTGCATCGTTATGTAGAAAAAAAAACAATTTTAGCAGTAACCACCGTTTGGAGCGGGTTTACTTTTAGTAAATCCCCCCAACGGTGGTTACTTCTTATTTACTTTCTTTTCCATCTTGCCTTTCTTTTTGCTTCTCGCGACGCACCCATCCGAAGCGGCTGCATGTGAGTAGTTGAACTGATCTATTAGTATTGTAAATAGCGAATATCCACCTACAGTGATTCTCGGCAGCGCACGGAATGAAAGCAAATGGGTTGGGACACAATCCCCCCACCTTCTATACGAGTGATGGCGAGACGTAGGTATGTACCTACACAGTACCTGCAGTACAAACCTGCCACAACCCCAACGCCTTGGTTCGGATCCTACTTGTAATTGTAGCTGTAGAAATGTCCAGCATCGACAAATTCCACTCCCCGTCGACATATTCCGACCTGCATCTAACCATCAGAATTGAGTGAAAAATGAGTGAAACGGCAGATATGTAACTGTACGAGTACAGTAGGTATCGGACATGGTCCCACTTGCACGTGGGAGTATCGGCACGGGATTGATACTTGTAACTAATACATAGCAACTTCGGAAGGACAAACCAATGGCGGACAAAATATAAATACAGGAACACTAAACAGCAAAAACAGTGATAATTGAGTAACTTGGAAACCCCCCACCAACCACCCAAAGCGACCGAAATCAGAAGCACGTCTTCCTCCTCCTATCCTCCTTCATAATCTCAGCTGCCAACTCAGCAATGCCATAGACGGTAGCCTGACTATGCGCTGAGATAAGGAGGGGGGCGATACTCGCATCGACAACCCTCAGCCCCTTAACGCCAAACACGCGTAGCCTGTCATCGACGACCTTCCCCATCGCGGCACTCGCGACCGGATGCCAAATACTCTGCGTAACCTTCTTCGTATACGCCCACAGCTGCTGATCCGTCAACCTCCCTGGCGGCAGGTCGACCCTCCGCTTTATAATCCCGCTCAGCGGCGCGGTATTCGCAATCTTATCCGCGAACTTCACACCCGCGAGCATGACCGCGCGGTCCACCGCCTCGCTGTAATACTGTGGGTCGATAACGGGCGGCACCAGCGGGTCGCGTGACGAGATGTGGATGCTCCCGCGTGACAACGGGTGCAACAGGCACGCCCAGATCGAAATGTACGACTTCCCCACTTCCCGTGGGCCGGGAGTCACTTTGTAGTTGCCGAAGAGGAACTCGAGTTGGGCTACTTTGTTGGCGTCGCGGTGCTGCGGGGAGTAGGGGAGTGTGAAGGTTGAGAACGGGTCCACCGATGGTTTGGAGAGCTTGGTTTCCGCGATTAGACGTGAGAGAGCGGGTGGGTCCATGACGTTCGTGAGAGGGACGAAGGACAGCGCTGAAATGCCCGAGGAGAGGATGCCGTCACGGTGGTTGGTGTAGTTCGCCTCCGCTGTGGCGAGGAAGGGCAGCGAGGTCAGGAGCAGGTCGCGCGTGGGGATGCCCGGCGTAATTTCGTAGACGAGGGGGGCGACTGTGGCTGGCTGTTAGACGTATCGCGGGATATACTGGGGAGAAGTGGGGGAGAGCCTACATAGGTGATCCTGCAGATCTTCACCGACGTTGTCGTTGCGCACGCGGACGGGAATCCCCACGGCATCGAGCACACTCTTCTTCCCGATGCCGGAGAGCTCTAGCAGCTGCGGCGTCTGCGTGCTTCCTGCCGACAACACCACCTCTCCGTCAGGATTGAGGAACGCCGTGTGGTTCCGCCCACTGCAGTCCAGAAACTCCATCCCAATCGCCCTGTTGCTCGCATCCAGCACCACACGAGCACCCGTCGCCCCGGGCAACACTACCAGATTATCACGGTGCGCGTTCGGCAGGAGATACGCCGAGACACTGTACGACCTCGTACTGGCGCCATTCAGGATGGACGCCGGAGAATCATATGTGCCGATTGCATCACCGCTCAGCGGGTTCGGATTGACCTTGACGCCAAGCTTCTTGAGGGTAGGCGCAAACAGCTCTGTCCCGGGGGTGACGAACTTCTGCACCGACAACTCTCCCGCTTGCCCGGTGAGGACGCCGGGCTGGATCGCCCTCCACGCCTTATTCACAGCGGCGGAGACGGTGCACCAGTTCCAGCCGGGGGCGTTACCGTGGGTGGCATACGCATCGTACTCTGGCGCCGACGGGACGTCCCAGATCATGTAGTTGAGCGCGCTGGAGCCGCCGAGCATCTTCCCGCGCGACCAGGGCATGCGGCGGTTGTCGACGTGCGGCTGCGGCTCCGTCCTGAAGCCCCAGTCCAGCGGGGAGTCGTCGGGGCCGTAGCCCGACGACCGCTGCGGGTACCCGTAGAAGCCCGGGATGTAGACCAGTGGGTCGTTGTGCGCGTCTGGGCCGGCTTCGAGAACGCCGACGGTTACGCTGGGGTCAGAGCAGAGTCTTCCCGCTAGGGTGAGCCCCGCTGTGCCTCCGCCCACGATTATGTAGTCGTAGCTGCGGGCGAGAAAGAGGAGCGGCTGGAGTGAGGAGAGGAGCATCGCTGCGGTAGGTGTACGGGGCAGACATTGTTGATATCGGGGTGCGCTTTATACGGGCGCCGGTGTCTATGGATCACGACATTGCGCCTTCTTTCACCTGCGGAAGGCCTTCGATTTGGGCTGGACCGTCAAGTTGAGGTCAACTTTGACGAGCGTGAAAAGCGTTATGGTTGATCGCAGCATTCGGCACATGCATATTAGGTTCTCACGGCCGAAGTTGAGGTTGAGTTTACCGCGCGCAATAGAGATACCGAGATATCGAGAGGATCTGGTAGTTTTGCCGGTTCCATTGACCTGCATCCAGAGATCGAATAAGAGTTGCTTCTGCTTCTCCGGAAAGATGGAGCGAGTAAGGTAGGTACATAAGTAAATGAGCATTCGTAACCCTTTCTTGATGCATTCGACCTGTTTACCGGTATCTAGATCGTTCCGGTATCATGTCTGCCGTCTGGGTAGTTAACCAGCTCGCTGGCAGCGACCCGCCGCCCGGGCTACCAAGAGAAGATCGCGCGCAAGGAAAGGACATATCATACGAAAGAACACAGGAATAACCCAAAGCCCGGAAACAATGACTGTGGCTATTCTTGCGTCGCCCTTTTCCACCCCCACCCTCCCCACCCTCCCACTCGTTCTAACCCATCTATACCCACCAGCTCTCACACAGCCCCTCCGGTATGGCCTAGATAGATAGTGAAGGGTGCTTTATCCTTCTGTAGCCCCGACACATCCATCCATCCATCTCTCATCGTGAGAAACCCGACACGAGTGATATACTATGACACGTATCCCAGCAAACCGAATCCATTTTTTTATCCATCGTATTGGAGATCAGAGATCTTCTATGTTTCACCCCCAAAAGAGGGGCTGGCTGGGCTCATCACCGTCCGAAGGGCTTGCCTGTAGCTGAACTCCATGTAGCACCACATGATGACCATGACGGAGACCAGATGATAGGTGGGAACAAGTAACAACAGCCCCCCACAGCAGAGGCACAGCAAAAGAAACTCCAAAAGTGGCAGTATCCATCGGACGTCTTCTCCGTCTTTCCGTCCATCAGCCATATTCCCCGCCCCATCCCATCCCATCCCATCTCCACATCTACATCCACATACGGTGTTGGTGTTACCGAGTCCGTCCGCCGTTCATCCCAACGGAGTCAAGGAATGGCATTCATTGGCTCTTGATCCCACCACCTCGGTTATGGGAAGCAGAGGGATGAATACTCTAGTTACTGCTACTGCATGTATGTCTTGGACGTGAGATCGGGGGGCTCGAACATATCGGTGTCTGGGTATCGCGCATCATGCATCTCCAGCATCTCCAGCATCCAGCCTCCAGGTCTGGATCCGTCATGCATGCACCGTATGCATGTATGATATGTGGGAAGTTATCGTTCATACATACAAAATCCACACGCCATCGAGGCGTAGGTGGGGGTGAGGGATGAGGGATGGGGGGGATAAGGGTATCTGCTCCGTATCTTTCTTTGGAGAGGCCGGAAATAAGAACAAGGTAACTAAGGCTTTTAAGATGGTTATTCTTGTCTTCAAAGGCATTCCCCAGTCGCACTGCGCAGAACTCTAAGCAAGATTTCCGTCCACGGATCGATCATCGCCGACGCAACCCAATCTCCAACCCAACCCAACCCCCACCGCCGACCTCGATCTCGACGCCGACGTTTCAGCTGGGGAAAAAAGAAAAAAAGAAAGACTCGTCCTTTGGTCCAAATGTGATGTGATGAGGTCGACGTCGGACGAGAAAATACAGGATGAATTATGATACTCCACCACAGGGGTGCGAGTGAGCAGTGGTGTGTCAAGCCCGTCAAGCCCTCCCCCCCGGTCATGTGGTGGTATGCAACCCGTATTCTACACTTTCGCCACTGCAGGTTTCACCGCCCGACGACCACGACGACGACGAAGAATGCTTTGACCCAAAGTCCACTGCGACACTGCAACACTCGTGTCGTGGGGTTCCTTTTTCTTTCTTTCGCCCAGCCGGCCAATTGCAACTACACAAACCCGTCGTTGACGTCGCCCCGATCGCGACGTCCGCCGAGTGCTTCTGCGCATCAGAGACATCGTCTAATATTAGCCTATTAGTAGTAGTAGTAGTAGTAGTAGTAGGCAGCTGGATCGAATTTCGACAACTACATACCTAACTGTCAGCCTATGCACAGGGAATCTTGTCAAGCAATCCACATGGAAATTCACGCCCCTCCTCCCCTGAGGTGGGCGAGAAATGCACACTCCACAGCAGCAAAAGAAAGCGTCAGATTTGAATGACAAGTGCATATTTCAGACATCGTCGCAGTCTCGCAGAAAGCCGCGAGTGAGTAGAGGCGAAAACTGAACCCCGAACTGCGGACCGCGGGCGGGGCCGGTGTTGGAACGTGGAGTTGGCTCCTTGACATTCCCGCAAACTTTGGACGGGGTATCTAGAGTACCTAATAGATACATCGCCGGTAACGGCTAGCAGAGTCCAGACAATAGTTCTGTCGTTGTATAACATGTATCTACTCTAGAGTACCGTACGCCGAACACGCGGGAATCGCTTCCGCCGCCCGCGTGTTTTGAGTTTCAAGTTCATCTGCGGCTGTGTCTACCGTCGAGTCTCAAGACTTAAGACTCAAAAGTGAAAGTGAAGAAAAAAACATAAGGTGGACACGCCGCACGCGCGTAAACCTGCCAGCCAGCCAGCCCGCCCAGCCATATCGCATCGGTCGGCTGGCCGGCATAATGGCATGTGGTTCTAACTCCCGCGATATGCGTGGAAGGGACTCTGTCACCGAACCAGGTGGTTTATGACTTCTTTAGGTCGGATACGGTACGGAAAGGTAGACGATTTCCGCCACGCGGAATGGAATACATACCTATCCAAAGCGTAGTGAGAGCGAAATGGAATATCAAAAGTGTATTGTATGTACATAGTAAGAGCGAGAACGAGAGCCCAATCCAACCGTGTAGCGCTGAACTTCTGCCTCTTCGCAGCCCTTCGCAGCCCTTCCCAAGCCCCAACGACCGGTTTCATCATTCATGACCACTGGTCTACTGACCACTGGCATACGCCTCCAACGCGGCAGCCCTAAGTAGAGTAAAGTTCCAACTTCCGAGTCACTTCCGAGTCACTTCCGACTGGGGGATTTTGGGGGTAGGGCATGACATATTCACCTACCTACCTACCCAAGTATGTACATACCTATGGTGGAGCACTGTTACGCAGACGTGTGGGTGTCGGTCGGTGGGGGCAACATGTTGTGTGCTTGGGTCGCTCACGGCAAAGTCTCCGAAGTTCCGTCGACGGACGGGCGTCGCTGACCAGTGACCAGTGACCACCTTGGGAGGGCGTGTGGAAATTTGCCTTGTCCTAATTACTACGTCCGTCTCCATGCAAACCGGTTTACCATACCGGTATGCCGTCACAGGATCATCTATCAATCATCAAAGTCCAACTCGTCACGGTTGGCCTGGCACTTCATGGACGATCACTCCCTACAACCCGCGCGAACGGCAACGGTCAGGACTCGATCCACAGGCAAAAGTGTCTCCTGGAGGTGCTCCTGGAGGCTGGCGGTACTCCATGCATTCTATTCGGATCATCGCCGTGGCCATGCACGCGCAGTCCATCACCCTCTCAGGCCCACCGCATACCGCATACCGCATACATGGTCGACTTCGCCTTTATAGCATGTATTAGGTAGCTGCACCGTCCTCCTTGCCGAGGCAGTGAGGTGAGTGAGCACGTACATACGGTTCCATGTACTATGTAGATAGGGATGTATGTAGCTGCAGCTGCATCTGCAGCCCAATGACGGGACGGCGGGAGCGAAGCCAATCCTTCATATGTAGATATTCCCAGTGCCTCGGAATCCTGTGTTGTACATATTTCTATGTACGCTGACGAAACGGCGGCCCACACTCACCTGTAATGCGATCTGGAAAGAAAGAAAATCGAAAGCGGAAAGAAATCATCGGATGTGGACCCGAATCGCCTTCCAGAACGTCTCAAGAAGCCCGAGACAGACAGCAGGCATGGAAAGGAAAGCAAGGAGTGGTGCCACCCCGGCCGGTCCCTCCCACTGCACAGTGCGACTCTCGTTGGTACCGGTAGATACTCTACATGCCTACCCAGGTAGGTAGGTAGGTAGGTAGAGTGCACAGGTAGGCTGGGTCGGTGATTGCCATCTGTGTGGAGCAGTACTCGTTGCTGGCCAGACTGCTGCGGCGTAGGGTTACCTGTGTATCTGCCGTACATACGGGCTTGCCAATTCGAATTCTCACTTTCCCGCAGCGGTCCTCGCGCCTCCGTCTGTCATCTCGAATTGACCTTCCCTTCGCTCCCCTTCGCTCCCCTTCGCTCCCCTTCGCTCCCCTTCCCTCATGGAAAGCCAACTAACTTTCTTGTCCGAAAAATTTCCCCCTTCCTCACAGCCAGCCAACCAACTTTGTTGTCCGAAAATTTCCACCCCTCACCTAGGTTTGTTTCTTCGTCGAATTGTTTCAAGTTGAAATCCACTCTATACGCCGGATGACTGGCTCTGCCATGTACTCTATCTCTTCCCCATCCGTCCACGCGGTTGTTTGATCCGTAGTAGATTAGTTGGAGGGTAGGAAGACAGAGAACCAGAGGAAAGGGGAAAGAGACAAGAGAGAGAGAGACACGAGAGAGAGAGAGGGCGCGCGAGGAGAGAGTCGACGCCAGCCAGGATGCTGGATGCGGTTAAACACGATTTTTACCGAGCGATCGGGTTCTGCAGTGTGAGCTGCATGCGACAACCCGCGATGCGATGCCATCACACTACATACATGGGAAACGAACGGACGACGCCGACCACCTCAGAGCCCAGCGCATGCGCTGCGGCTCTTGTATGAGCATACTTCAGCATCCGCGGATACACGCACATATACACGTGCACCCCTGTCGCGGGAGAGAGAGGAGGAGGAGGACGTAAAGCGAGGAATCGCCGAAATCTGCGGCGTCCACGTCCCCTTTCCTTCGGAGTGCAGGTTGGCCGGTGGGGAGGGAGGTGGGTTTGGGGGGTAGTTTGGGTGGGGGAGGGGGCGGATGGATAACCACCTACTCACCTACTTACCCACCTCCCTGATACCGTGAGGAGCGCAGGGACCCCCCGCGACTTGAGCTTGCGTGAGGAGTCGCCGGCGAAGCGGAGTTCGTATCGTTAGACAGACTTGAGGTCTGAATTGGGAATTGGGGGTCGTAGTTGCTGACGGTGTTGAATCCGCACCGTCGGATATCGCCTTCTCCCCGTCTCCCTCCCCCCTCCACCCCCTCCCCCACGTCTTCTGTTTCCTTGACAAGCTGCAGGAAGGAAAACAAAAGCAATCAAGGCTGAGGTGTGGGCTGCCGGCGAAAGGGAACATGCGGAAAAGAGAAGAACCGGCTTAGCTCCGTCGAAAGTGACGGATTATGGTATTCTTCACGAAAGTCTGAGGCGTGGGAAAAATATGACGCTCACGAGAAAGAATATGAGCCGGCGCCCTGGCATCCCACCATCTTTCTTTGCGGAGATGAGGCACCCAGTGGTCTCTGATTCTTCGCTGCGCTCAAAATGGTTTTACACCTGCGTGGTCATAATGCGATAGGAAGGCTGCTTCTGTATTCCCCTCCACTCTCGCTGGCTGCTTTTTTACGTCCTGCTTTTGGAGGCGTGCATCTCCGTCTTTTGATCGTCCGTCCGTCCGTGAGGTTCGGCATCCCTTCCATGGCTGGCCGCGCCCAGGCATTGGCCTCCTCCTCCTTCACATCCTCGTGCTCCTACTGCACCTCCTCCTTCTGCACCTCCTCCACATTCTCCTACTGCACCTCTTCCGCCTCCTCCTCCTCCTCCTCATCACGAGAAAGGCAGACAAAGTACGTGCCCCGAGGAGTAGGACATGCTCTAGGGTAGCGCACCCCTGCCTCACAGGGAACATTCCATGCTCGGTCCGGGGCCCAGAGAAAGCACTCTCGATGTCTCGACTTCGCTCTCGTGATTTTCACTCGCCAAGCGCGTTCCAGCGCTACGCCCCTTTGATTTGTTTTCTGCCGGGATAAATCCTACGAGACATGGCTTCAGACGACCGGGGGACTGGGAAAACCGTGATGGGGCTTGGACGACCGAACACTAAAACTCAACCAAAGCGAAGGGCAGCCAACCAGCGAGCTGGCGGGCGGGCGGACGCGTCGGTGGGGAGACCACCCAGATGTCCCAGGTCCCAGCTGTTGGATGTTCCACCCAACACACTAGCGTGCCTCTCGCTCTCTCTTTTTTCTCGCTGGACGCCTTATTTTCTGCTTTCCAAATATGCTTGCTGGGAGCAACCAGCTGTTTTCCCGGCAGATTGGGTGCGCTCGATCCCTTCTTTTCAAATAAGCCAGATGCTCACCGCACCGGGGCTCGTAGTGGCTAGCTGCAAGTCCTTTTTTCCCCTGCGGCTGGGTGCTGGGTATGTAACTCGTCAGGATATTTGTTTCGCTCTACTCGAGCTGGGACTATGATCGATCCAGCAGCAGACGCCGGGCCAAGATGTTTTGTAGTTGGTGTTGTTGTTTTGCAGTTGTTGTTTTGCAGCTATTGTTGCTGTTGTTGCTATTGTTGCTGCTATTGTTGTTTGGGCTTTGGAGAAACACTCCTCCGGCAAAGCGAATATGGGTTTTCCAGGTATGTAGTTAAGGCACATGCACGTTACGGAGCACCCAGCCGCGGGCTGTACTTTAGACGATACGAGGATCAGGAGGCCACAGGCATGCGATGGACCGATCGCGATAGTGGGTTGTCGTGGTATACGGTGTACGGCTATTGAGGCATCGCGGAACGGTACGGGGCGGTGCGCTGCAGGAGCTCCCCAGGGCTTCCAGGTCAAGGGAGACGGAGCACAACGAATAGCAGTGGGCTGGTGCCGTAAGATGTTTCCACCCGCGCCGGTTGACGTAGGTATCGATGAGTGGGCGGGTGCGAGAGAGAGGGAGAGAGAGAGAGTCTGAGTGTGTGTGGTGTGTGTGGTATGTGGTGTGTGTGTGGGTGTGTGTGAGCGCCGTGAGTCTGAGTCTGAGTCTGAGTCTAAGTGTTTCCGGATTGAGGGTAGGATGGAGACGGCGGAAGGGAGGGGTGAGGGGGAGGGAGGGAGGGGGGGTATCAAAAATTATGGCAGAGCTCTCTTGAGCTCGAGCCGCATATAGCTGATTTGCTCTACTAACATAAAAGGGCACCTTGGACCCATCCCTTCTTTTCTGCTGGAACGTCACAACTCGCAGCAACTGTCTCCTCGTCTCTCATCACCATCCTCCTCCTGCTTATACTCATACACGATCCTATAAGGATTCCGTTTGCCGTGCAAAAGGAAACTGCCTACGCCTACCGCTCCGATCCTACCGGCTCATCACTCTGACACGATATCTCCCAATCAAGCTCCAAGCTCAAGGTTCCAAGCTCCAAGCTCAAGGTTCTAAGCTCCAAGCTCAAAACTCCAAGCTCCAAGCTCCACGCTCCTTCCACCGACAACCTCCATATCCCCGTGCAACCTAGGCTCCGACCCATCAACACTCCCGCCGCCCGCCGCCTTGTAAGGATTCTACCGAGGAACAGCCACCGGTACCGATCCTCCGAGCCGCAGACAGCCCAAGTCACAAGCAATTCTCACGGCCGCGGCAACTCGTCCCCCGTATACCTCCGACGCAATGGCAATCCCAGGCTACTGCCACCACTCGTTTAAGATCATCAAGTCGGAAACAACACTGCTCCTGTGGAACTGTGGCATGTGCGGCTCAGGGCCCCACTGGTTCATCTTCGAGTGCAAGTACTGCAAACTGAAGACGTGCAGGCCTTGCGCGCATACCGCATAGGGTTGAGCGGGGCGGGTGGAATGCAATGCACGAACTGCATGGGTTCGCGAACAAGCGGGGGTGGGGGGAAGAGGAGGAGGAGGAGGAGGAAGAGGGTGGGATGAGATTGATTTTTTCGGACAGTTGTGATGCGGTTCGAGTTGGTCGGTCTGCCGAGGGATGCACGTTCATGGCAACCAGCAAGCAGCAGCCAGCAGCCACACACGACACACGACACCACACACGACACATGCTCAACCAACCTCCTAATCCCGCCGTCTCGTCCTCGACCGATTCCTCATCCGACATCTTCAGGCGTTCATCGGTCCGTCCGTTTGCCATCTGCTGCTATTCTTCTACCGGATCCGGACATGAGTGATGAATTGATTGTTCTGTTTTCGACCGTGACGGTTCGGACGCCGCTTGCATGTGGATATGCACGTTTTCTTCCCTACTTCTTACTTATCTTTCCTTTCTTCTTTCCTTTTTCCTTTTTCTTCTTCTATTGTAGACTCCATTCAGCAAGGCGGCTGTGTGTGCGCGTGTGTGCGTGTGTGCGTGTGGGTATCGGACTGGGTTGGGGCGTTTTTTCTTTCTTTCTTTGGAGGACAAATGTATTTAGACAGTTTTTTTGGTGTCTTCTTTTTTTTTGGTTTCTTTGTTTTTCTTTTCTTTTTCGTTTTCACTTTTGCTTACGGGACCGGACGGACTGGACTGGAAGGGGTGGTTTTTTGATTTGATTGCACGGGAACGGCGGATGGGCTTTTAGACTTTTTTTATCGTACCGTTTGTTTCCTTTTCTTTATTTCCTTTTTCCTTTCCGTTTCTTTTATCCTTGACTAAAGTTGATGCTCGAGACGGGAAGGGATGGGGGCATATATCATTTTTATGTAGTAAAGCGGAGTCTAAGGAGGAGGAGGAGGAAGAGGAGGAGGAGGAGGAGGAGATGCACGTGCGCATAATAACTCCATGAAGAAGAAGAAGATTAAGAAGAAGAATAAGAAGCGTCCTGCTTGCTGCGGTGTCGATCTTAACAGAATAGTAGCCCTGGTGATATCTTTTTCCATGCCACAGCTGTCCGCATCCTTTGCTTTCCATTTCGTTTTGGGCGGATTGTGCTTTGCCAGAGATGATAGGTAGATCCCTGGTTGAATTGGTTGGTTATTGCATGTATGTAGGCGGCTTCGATACCGGAAGGTGGTGCTGCGTTTTTGCGCTGGTAGCCTGGTAGCCTGGTACCATGGCAGGGAGTGAGTGGGTGTAACGAATTAACGGCCTGCCACCTGCGGCCTGCGGCCCATCCAACGGTCTGGCATAAAACACGTTTTTTGCTGTTTCAGGTGATACCGCTAGGTTCTATGTAACTGCCAACCACAACCAACAACCACCAACCAACAACCATCATGGCTGGAGTGGAATGCAAGCACACCCGGCTATTCTGGGTGTGGTTGGTGTGGTCGGTCGTCGGTCGTTCGTCGGTGGTCGTCGGTCGTCGGCCGTTGTAGGTCGTCGGTGGGCGGTGGTCCTGGTGAATCGTGATAGCCGGGGAGCGTAGGGGAAGCGTGGGGTGGGGGGGGAAGGTGGGAGGGTGCTTGTACTACCTGTCCAGCCCGGTCCGGCACCCTGTACGTACATACATGACTACATATGCCCACGTGCGTGGCATATCAAATTATCAATAACCTTTCTCCCGGATTGCTTGCTGAGTGCTCCATCCCTACCACCCCGAGTACATACCACCGGCCGCAGACCTGTGTCGACGCCTGCGGCGTCCTCGTCCTCGTCAGCCCGATAATTAAATCCATCCTCTGGGTCTGGGGCACAAAGGCGAAGGCAGTGGGCGGTAGGTTGATGTTCCGCACCGAGATCGGATCGACTTTGACATCGACATCCAGGGCAGAGAGTCCCGCAGTGCCCACCCCCCTTCCCCTCCACGGTCCACGTCATGAGCCCCCCCCCCCCCCCCGGCCACCGAATCCTACACACACAAGATTCGTTCTCCCTATTATCCGGACTCCGGGAGAAGCCCAGCCCAGCCCAGCACAGTTCAGCTCAGCTGGGCGACGCTCGCTCGCTCATCTCGGTAGCGACGCTGTCGGCCCTAGGTACCGGTAGTCTTCCCGGATAAGTTAGGGGCGAGGACGAGGGCGAGGGCGAGCGAGCGACTGGGTCGATCGGTACTCTACCTAACTATCTCGCGTGGGGGGGGGGGGTGATTGATTTGATTGGATTGATTGGTAGATTTGATTGATGATGCTAGTTAGCAGTGGTTATCTACCTACCTACCTAGCCGATCGAAGGAGATGACTGGAAGTCTGGAAGTGGACGAAGATGGTGAAGATGAAGATGAAGAGGTCAGTGATAACTAGTTAGCTGATCACGTAATGGGCAGGGTGGATGGGGCAGGCGTGACGGTTGGGTTGCGGGAAATCAGGGACCCGTCTCGTCACGTGATTATAGGGGACCGGGGGGGATATTATATTGATGCCATGCCAGCGAACCCGAGGGGAGATGAATTCCGTGAGAGTGGAGCCGTGGCAGCGGCGGGTGCGGAATGAGAAATGAGTGCATCGAGGGTAGTTATGACGTACTACCTAGAGTACTCTACCTATACGATACCGTAGTTGCGTCGTCAAGCCCTACCTACAATACTAGCATGCATGTCTGGTGGAGCGCATCGGCGATGATGCTCGTACTGTACATTATAACATGGAGTAGGGTATGTAAGGCTGCCCTATATTCAGGAACAAGGTTCGGCGTTTCATCGACGGCCGTTTTTTTTTCTTGCCTACACATTGGTACTGTAGGTATTGTAGGTAGGTGGACGGAACCACGCAATCTGTACTATATTGAAACACTGGCCGCGGGCTACCCACCTAGTATATGATGTATACGGACTGTCCGGTCCGACACCTATCGATGGATGGATGCCGGATGAAGGAGGGAAACAAATTTGCTTCCGGGCGAATCAGCATACGTAGACGAACGAGTAAACAATTCAGGCTCCGGGTTCGGGTTCGCATTGATAACCAAGTAACCGACCAACCAACCAACTGACCTGGGTAGAGTAGCCGCTCGCGATCGAGGCGCTTTTCGCTGCCAACAGTGTAGCCTTGTCGTGTAGTAGTGTAGTTCAGTGTAGTTGGTGATCCACCGCACGGCTGGCCCGGCACGGCACGTACGTATGGTACGTACGGTGCCGAGTACACGAGTCGATGGGTCAGGTCTTGTCTGGTCATGTCTCACTCCATAGGGACAGCCGTCCGGGCCGTGCCGTGCAAGGTTACGGGTTGCTTACGGGCTGGGGCTGGGGCAGCAAACAGGGCGAGCGGCCGGGCGGGCGGAGGGCGGAGGTCGGAGGGTGCTGCACCAGCTGTCGATGCATGCAGTGTTCTACGGTTGGAGGTTTTTCCAAGCTGCAGCCTGCATGCGATGCCGTGCCGTGGCGATCTGGTGGGCCGGGTTGAGGTTGGGGTTCAGGTTCAGGTTGAGGTTCAGGTTCAGGTTTCACATCCCAGAGTATGTATGCAGTGTAAATACAGTGCATACTCGTTGTCAGCTTGTCAGCCCTGATTGTTTTGGATATTGTGAGTTGCGGCGGATTGATGTGCTCCAGAGTACTATAGATTACATACACTCACTGGTAGTATGATAGCGGATAGTCCCTAACCTCACTCAAAACATCAACATCAATATTCACCACCACCACCACCACCACCACCACCACCAACGGGTGTAACCACCGCGACGACACTGCAATAACGAGGCGACTCCATATCCACGGAATCTATCTGCCGGACTAGCGCTGGCGTTGTGCGCAGTGCGAGTCCTAACGGCTATCTAGATAAACACCAGTGACCACGGCCGGGCTTGTGTTACGCTGCCAGGCTCCAGCCGGCCGTGGAGAACCTTTGTTTCCTACGTATGCGCCACAGGAGAGCACGCGGTGGTGCTAACTATCGTGATCACATCCGCGCACTCACTCTGATCACTCAGATCAGCCTACCAGATCAGCCAGATCAGCCTGCTATGTAGCCAGCCCCCCAGCCCTGTTTTCTGCCGCCGCCGTCGCCGTCCTCTCTCTCTTCGCATCTTCCCATTGTGGGGCATGGATACCCCCACGTCCTTCCATACCCATGGCTTTCCTCATAACAACCCACAACCCACAACCCACATCAGCTGAGAAACCCGTCTTCTGAAACAGCGGTGGGCCCCGGGGTGGGGGGAGAGAAACGAAACGAAACAAAAATCCCGATCCCTTGGTTCTGGCCGTGACAGCCGACTATTTTTTTTGTTGCATATTATTCTCGGTCCTCATATTTTACCTAGAGTACCTAGACTCTAGAGTAGGCATGGTGCTTGTAGCTACCGGTATCAGTCGGCTCATACACGTGTCTTCAAGGACGGCTAATTCGCAAAGTAGGTATGACACGAGACGACACGACAAACATCAGCAAGATCAAATGTTTGATTGATGGATGGATGATGGGGGTTGTTTCCGTCCAGCCCCGAATTCCGCCGTGGGATAGGTATTCTGCCGCGGTACCGACGGTATGATATGGGGCGTTTCGTTTCGTATTGTATCATTGTATCGTGCCCCACACACGCACGCAAGTACCAAGTAAGTGGAACATGCAGCGCAGTGTAGTTCTGTAACCAACCAAACTTCCGTCATAACATCGGAAAATCCTTCTAGAAAGAAATGGGTTGTTCCTGCATGCTGCATCTGTATGTAGGTAGCTGCAGGCTGCTGCTGGTGCTGCTGCTGGGGCGGGATGTAGCATGTAACTAGCATGTAACTATGGTTGGGGACATCTAGTTCCGGAATGAAAGCACCCCCACTTTTGACGTTCGGTTAGCTCACAACAACAACCTAATTAATAAAAAAAGAGCTCTTACAGCGATAGAGAAGAGGAAGGAGGTAATTTTCAAAGAGCCCGATTTTTTTAAGCGTTGTGGTTGAGTGGCAACCAAAATCCAAAATAAATAGACGAAAAATGATTTAGTATGGGGAGGCCCCGGGAATGTCCAGGGGCAAGGCTGCCACAGCCCAGTCTTAGCACGGCTGAGTTCCCCATTAGGCAGTCTTGGCACGCCTGATTACCCGATCTGGACATCTTGGCAGCACAATATGGTCACTAATTGTTGTGACAAAGAATATTATGTACATAAATAGAAAACAATTACCTACAAATTTGATACTATTCCAGTTGATCGCTAACCTGTTGATGAGCTTTGTATATCTGCGCCTTGGAAAATCGACAAGAACTGGCCGAGAAATTGTGATTTTCGGTCTCGGTGGGGCTGTGGAGCGCTGAACTTCTGAAGCTGTGGAGTGGGCTGCAGAAGCGCGGTTAATGGTGACAGACCTGTGGAGAATGGAATCGATGGAATGAGCGTGCTCGTGCGATCCAGAGGAGTGTTTTATCGAAGAAAACGGGCAAGAACTGGCGGAGATATTGTGATTTTCGGTCCCGGCGGGGCCATGGAGCTCTGGAGTTAGCTGCGGCCGCCTGGTCAGCGGCGACAGACCGGTGGAACAATCCAACTGATGGAACAAGCGCAACAGTGCAGTTCAGAGGTGTGTTTTATTGAAGAAAACGAGCAATAACTGGCCGCAATATTTTGATTTTCGTTCCCGGCGGGGCCAGTTGGCTGCGGACGCCTGGGAAAAAAAAGATTAAATAAACTTAATAAATGCTAATGTATTACCGCATTTGGATTTTAATTCCCCTGATCCGAATGTCCACTTACTCCAGCACTAGATGTCCCCAACCATACCAGGGAAGTTGGGATATGTACTTGGTTACCAACACGATCAGGGGTGCATACATACAGGCCAGGTACGGTAGCTATGTGTGAACTCCACTTCTTTCAGGCTTCTGGAAACCATCCGTGGTTACGTACTGGCACTGGGAGTCGGGACTGAGACTGGGACTGTGGGGGAGGGATCTCACCACGCCGCGCCACATGGCGGTTTCGAAGTGGAGGCAGAGGTCTCCTCTCTAAACAAGGCTGCACCCCGTGTATCAGGTCATCGCCATGTGTACCGGTCACAACGTAGGGGGGGGGGGGGGAGGAACGACTTCAAACTTCAAAGGACAGCTATGTACTTAAATCTGTTCCATATGCACCGATTACCTCACCGCGTGCTCACCGCTCCCTCGCTCAAGCCTGCTTGCCTGTGCCTCATCCGTGCAATAGGTGATTGCAGCGAGGATTTTCTTCGTGCAACATCATGGGGAGATGCGAATCAGCCGGAAGCTCGGCTATGATGATTGATTCGACGGTACCGAGCGAGCGAGCGAGAGGAAGAATAATCGGCCGTGTTTGTGCGTGCGTACGTGCGTGCATGACCGGTTTGGAGCCGAGGTGATCGAGGATGAGAGTGAGAGTGAGAGCACTCTGTACCGAGATATGCTATTTAAGTGACAGCTTGTGAAACCAGCCATGTGGATGGATGCACATTGCATGCAAGAGTGGACACGGTATCGATGTATGTAGGTAACTTTATTCCATACCTACCACTAAAAGTGATTTCCTTCGGCCTTGCAAAGTTGGATCCGGACCGACGCCGGCGAGTCGGAAGTAACCAAGTGTGATGTAGGTAAAAAAAGTTGAGGTTGAGGTCGTTCCTTCGACCTTACTGCGCTCAGCTCGGTGGACCGTAACTATCCGTTCGAATAAGTTTCCGCCCCCCTTCGATCGTCGATGCGGTCCACCGGTAGTTAGTTGTGTGTGAGCATATTATTCACTATTCATTATTTTGTTTCCCCCTTCCCCCGAAACAAAAGGCAGCTCCAGCCACTACCGAGAAAATCCTCCAATCTGAACTGCTGCTGCTGCTGCCGCCCGCGTTGTTGTCGCCGGTTGCGTCAGGATGCACACCGGGCGTGTGTTAGGTCATGGCCGCGGGTACCGATATCACGTCAGCCTCCGCAGTGTTGGCGTGCCGGGTGGGCGGAGAGTGGGTGTATAATGTATGTACCATCTACTCTAAACTTGGCTTTCGGGTCCGGTTCGTGGGGTTTGCGTGGTTACCGCCGCAAGGCTGTGGACCACCGGGCGAAGGCTGTGGAGTCTAGTGTTCTAAGTTCGCCCGCGCAATTGCCGGCATTCCTCAACCGTGACAATAGCCGGTTCTAGGACGTCGACGAGAGTCTGGACCAGGTGATTACGGTAGTTGTTGGTAGTAAGAATGGTAATACGATATGTACCAACTGGAGTACGGTAGACCTATGACATTAAAGGTAGGTAGCCCTCCGACGCTACTATGCTATAGTTGGAATGTCTCGAGGTAGCCTTGTTATAGTTAGCAACCATGGGCGCGGCAAATTTCAACATCGAATCGCCAGTTTCGACTTGCAGACGCCCCCGGTAGCCGCGCGGATGCTTGCGTGGGCGGTGGGAAGGCTGAGGCTGGTTCCCACGTGCGTCATCTACCCCACCACTAAAGTCTAGCATACTAAACTTAGCCCCACGTCTCAAGTGTCCGCTCACGCCGCAAGTGTCCGCTCACGTCGCCACGCCGCACGCGTCCGCCGCAATGTCGCTCCTCGCCGACCTCCTCACGCCCCAACTCACCAGCCCCTCCTCGCTCAGCCTCATCACCAGCATTCTCGGCGCCTCAGGAAGCTGGTACACCCAATCCCTCATTTCTCACCTCCTCTTACGTCCCACCAGCACCACCGTCGTCCACATCTCATTCCTCCACGACGCTACATTCCACCGCAAGGCGCTTCCGCGCGAGGATGCACGTTACGTCTTCGTCGATGGGCTCACGGGGTTGTTTCGACCCAAGAAGGGCGTGCTGGGTGTGAAGGGATGGGCGGAAGAGGTGCGTCACAGGATTGAGGATGTGGTGGAGAGCATCGGTGGCGAGGCAAAGGGAAGGGTGATACTCGTACTCGAGAGCCCGGATGTGCTTCTTGCTGCGGGAGGTGTAGGGGCTATGGAGTTGGTGGCTGAGATACTGGAGTGGCATCAGGTTCGCATCCCCCCTCTCTCCCAGTCCTTGCGTTTGCTGACGATTAGGCTAGCTCGTATTTGCGACAGCGATACTGGTGAATGCCGACTCCGCACTCGTCTCCAGGAATGCTTGCAGATTGGAGAAAGAGAACGCTGCGTTCGTGACGACGCTTGCGCACCAGGCGACTAACGTGACGAGTCTGAGGATGCTGGACACGGGGATGGCAAACGACGTTAGCGGGGTTTTGAGGGTCACGGGTGCCGGTGCTGGTGGGGAGAGGGAGGTACTGTACCATATCAAGGACTCGAGCGCGGAGGTGTTCAATAGAGGACAGATGAGAACCTGAACGATGTACAATGACTGGTCGCTGAGCGTGCCATGGTGGATGGGCCGTGAAAGGCAGCCTCAAGAGCGGGGCCACTGTGTCTGGGACTCCATGGTGCATTGAAGGGTAGAATAAAGAAGACGTAAGCAAAGATCTGATAAGAAGTATGGCGATTGATATGCATAGTGGAGGCCTCGCAGATCAGAACTCCAGCACACATGCCCTGCTGCTGCTTTATATACACTTCGACTTCCAGTTGGACCAATCAACTCAATTCACTCACTATCATTTGCTGCTCGCACTACTCTACAGCTATCATAGTAAACCTGACAATTGCCAGGCGGTTATGCACTTTCTGTGAAAGTTTAGAGATTGGGTTCATAACCATCCTCATCATCATCCCTGGCCTGGACATAACCATCCGTCTCTCTCTTCTCTTCCTTCTTGGGACCCGCACGAACACAACCGCCATAAGTCATCAGCAGCTGCTCCTCCCCCATCGACTCCAAATACATCTGCTTCCACCGCCAAATCGCCTCGTTAATACCGAGTACAGCGACATAAGTCTCCACTAGTCCGCAGACGATATGGAAGCGCATAGAATTCGTCGCGCGATCGAATTGCGGACTACGGGGTGTCAGTCATCGGCTTAGAGATGGGAATGGGGGATGCTCACCACTTCAGATTGGGATTATCAGCCGCAGTGATCACCGAGGTGATCGCGGGGATAGTGAGCATGTGCCCGGCCTCTCGGAGCACAGCCATCGCCTCGTCGGTCCGCTGGCGGTTGCGGTATCTGTTGATTTCCACTGCACATCACTCGGTCAGCCTTCCCGCTGTCGGAAGGGGGATAGAGCGTTACTTACAAAGGATGTGAATAATATCAGCAACCTTTCCCATAACCGCCGCCTCCTTCAGCGTTGCATACACCTGCTGCCGCAACGGCAGCGCGGGGTCGTCCTTGTTGGGGATGCACAGACGCCCAAAGGCTGCCAGGTTGTTGCACATAACCTGGTGCTGCGGCCGGCGCTGCTGCGGGAGGAGCGGCAGCGTGGACATGTACAGCTTTGTGCAGAGTTCGATGAGCTTGTTGAGGCGGTTGACCTCGGAGTCTAGGTAGGTGGTGTCTATCGATGTCTGTGGTGCGTCACGCTTCAGCTGCGGCTGCTGCTGCTGCTGCTGCTGCTGCTGCTGCTGCTGCTGCTGCTGCTGCTGCGGCTTCATCTTCTGCTGGTAATACGGCCGCTGGTGATGCTGAAGCTTCTGCTGCTGACCGAACTGCTGGATCTTTCCGACCTGCGACTGTGGACCATGGTGCGGCTGCTTGCGCTTGAGGTCCATACGCTGTTGATACACCTGCTGAAGATGTCCAGTCTGCTGCTGTTGTCCAAGCTGCTGCTGCTGTCCATACTGCTTCTGCTGTTGTCCAAACCGCTGCTGCTGGACGAACGCATTGGGAAACGACTGTTGCTTCTGCCGGTACGCATTCTGCTGCGCCGCATTATTCTGCTCCCGTTCCTTCACCCGTTGCTGCCATGGCTGGAGCGCCACCGGTGCCGGCTGCTGCTGCTGCCGCTTCCTTTAGCTGCTGGATTCGTGCACTCGCCTGCCGAAATACGCTCGCACTCACCTGTTTCTGTTGCGCCTGTGACGTTTCAAGCTCCGCGAGAAGCGTGCTGAGCAACGGCTGCTCCTGCTGCTGGTTGACGCCCAAAGGCCTCAACGCCTGCGGCTGCTGCGGATAGTTGTATGGTTGGTTGTAGGGCAACATGGTGCGGGTGGTGGTTTTTGCGGCGATAAGATTGGTGGATGGTGATAAGAATGGTGGATGGTGGAAGAAGATGCGGGAGGACTTAAGGAGGAGGGAGGAACGAGGAGGGAGGGAGAGGATAAATTGTTGGCAGCACTGAGGGTCGAACTGAGCTTCGCAGTCGCGATACTAGCTGCCGAGTTTGCGATGGCAAGTGATATTCTATGTTAGGGTTTATCACTCGGCCCCACGAGCGCAGCCGGCGTCTGGGAGCTTCAAGCCTAGACGCAAGTCACATCAAAGTCCAGCAGGCTAGGTCGAAATGGAGAAGTCTTTGGCGCACTCCGCTCGCGTCTTCGCAAGAATTCCAGACCTCGGCGTTCTCGAAATCTATCGATCCTGAAGGTTCTATACTTTTTATGATATCGGCGGAGCTGGCTATGAACACCGATGGACCGTTTGCGCATCGGAAGCCTTGGATCGCAAGAGAATTCTGGCTCGAATCGAGTGAGCATATGTGTATAAAGAGGGGCTTTTCCGCCCGACGAGAAATATATAGAACAGCCAACAGTGTTGTCGCCTATCTATCCATCCCCATGTCTCACTCTATATGTTTTTGACACCTTCGTATTTTGGTTTCTGGTGGTGGTAGATACATGTGGCTGCGGGCTGCGATCATGGATTGTGGCTTGTGAACCAGGGTGCAGATGATGCATGTCTGTGCATCGAAGACAGCTTTGGGGCTTGTATTATGCTCTCACATACCAATCAACTGGTGGTTCCAAGGAATAGGTAGTTGCCGATGTTTGTGACGGCAATTCCCAACTTCCAAGCAAACAGCCTTTTGAGTGGGCGGAAGTTGGAGCCTTTATGGGTTCCTCGACGTTATTGGCTTACGGTACTGGCACAGTTCTCGGCGGATCAGCGCGGAAGGTGCGGGAACCCAGTTGATCGACTTCTCGGCGGCGGGAGTATCGTATTCGGGAGCCATACGGGGGTATTCTTCCTTTCTATGGCGGGTTCATTCCATCCTACTCGCGCGGTGCTTGCGGACGCGTAGAGTAGCAGGGCCACAATGGAAAGAACATGCTGGAATACTTTGGAATGAATTTAAAACCTCTTATCGCCGGTGCCTTCCTCTCCACTATAAAACCCGCGTTCGTCCTCCTGAATAATCCCCTCCTTCTCTCCACACATACGCACTTACCTACCAGCCCACTGTGGCCAGCCATACATACCCGCAGCACTCTTTCCTCATTAAGCCTTGCCACAGCCACTCTCGAACTATCCAGAGCATAAGCCGAAGACGACGACAAGGATGACAACACTGCAAGCTCGATGAGATGAGCATAAAGAAGAAGCGCAAGGACTTACGGACTTGATTCGCATCCAGAAGATGACCGACCGAAAACCGCTTGACGAGCACGCTGCCGAATACCGCCGGCGGATCTCGCCAGCTATTTACGTTGAGACCAACTACCCTGTCGGTCGGTACATTCCTTCTGAAGGCGGAGAACAGTTCAAACCGACTCGCGAGAAAGTTGACTACCTCCTCTGTTGTCTTCGATACCTATTACAGAGGCGTAGTTTGTCCGCATGGACTGTGGATTCGGGATTCGGGATCGGCGATGGATCTTGTCGTCGCCGAGCGGGCCGACAACATCCAGTTACGACAGACCCTCTTAGTTGCCAATATTCAGTGGCTTATGTACCAGGAACAGCCAATAAGTCGTGCCTCACCACCTTTATAAATTATGAGCGCAAGGTGAAGCACCACTGACCTACCATCCTGGTACGGTACTTGTTTGCCGCCGACACCGCCATTCCATCGGTTGGTCAAGTGGGTTGTTCCGACCCCGATCCCATCAAGGAAAACATCGCACAGCTCAGGGCGACGGAAGCGCGATATGGACCAAGCCGATCGACAGCTCAACGACCAAGCAATCCCCGCTCTGGGCGACCAGCTGACAATTGTACTCATCCTCGTCAATTCGGGTCAGCAGCTCTGAAACTTGCTCGAGACGAGAATGAATACCATATCGAATGGGCCCGAACAGTTCCCCGACTCCCCTTCCAAATACAAGAATGCCGAGGACCCACATGATCTTCCTTGTACATATGGGGAGGCCCGACGGCTTGAAGAGACCTAGCTGCTTTAGTTAGATATGGAAGTTTGTGAGGATGCTTGGCCGGGCCGTATGGAGATCACCGCGAAGTGCCCGAACCGCAACGCCGCACTTCCTCAACTACCGGAACATGACACTTTACGGCCGGTTTACTTCCAGACTCACAGCCACAAACCCCAACAACTACCGCCAATTTTCTTGTCGTAATTTTCACCCTCACCAAAATTGAGTGCAGTCTGGGAGTCAACGACTACACCATTCACACTATTTCCACATTCTTCGACAAGAATGAATAATCAATTATTGTGGAGCACTACCTAGCGGAGCAATGGGGAATCTTGTAAAAGGTTAACGCAAGACTAACAGGAAAATTTTCACTTGGACTATGGTGTCAGTATTACCAGTCCAGCAACGGTGATGATGTTAAATTGACCATTATCTAGATTCCTCCACAAGAGCAATGAAGATCCTTTGAACTTCCCTCGAACTTCCCTCGCAGCGTGGCCCTTGATCGTATCATGAAGGTTGCTGCTGCCGATGGTCTCAAGGATGATTCTCTGTATTCGGCTTATGTTCTGATGCCGGCGAAGCCAACCAAGGCCAGGAGAACTTGGAAGAAGACCGATGTTGCGATTGAGAATGAGGTACCCGACTTTATGATCATCCCTGCCGCTGGACAGTAGTTGCTTACAAGTTACTGCTGGGGTACAAGATCATATTTCTATTGTGCGAGAGTTTCAGACACGGTTCTGAATTCTCGTGTTGTGGGCGTTGGGGTTCAGTTACCTGGTGTTTTGATCTCCGGTTCTTTCTGTACAAGGAAATATGAGGGTCTTACTGCTCTGCGCTTTTTCTCTTTCCTGTAATGCTCGACTGGCGGACACCCGTTCCCGATGTACCGATTGAATTTCGGTGGGAAATTGATAGTTAGATACCGAGGCGAGTCACAAGGTTTGCCCCAGAATACAATATAGAACCACTGTTCATTACCGGTATTGGCAAGCCTGCAGATGTGGAGATACCTAGCAGAGGACGATGAGAGTGCCGTAGGTATCCTTCTTTCTCGAAGGTTCCACAATTACGCCTCAGAACTTAGAAGCCATGACTCCCATCACCCACGAGGTCGGATACGGAATATTTATGATTTCCATCACAGGATTACGAGCGGAGGTAAGCTACAGTCATCATGTTCAAAAGATAAAACCAAAGAACATCACTCGATTCAGTAGTGTAGGGGTATCATGGGCGCTTGCCATTGCATCTTGCATTAGCATTCTGCGCCCGACCCGGGTTCAAATCCCGGCTGAATCATCTGATCAAGATTTTCTTTTGTCATTTGTTTTGCAAATGCCGTGTTCGCTTTTGTTTTGATGGATGGCGGGTGCTGAGGAGCTTTGGCCGTGAGGGATTGTGAGGTGGGGGTTAGGATGTGGGGCGAGGACGCAGCCGTGGTCTCCAAGTTGATAATGACATGTTAAGGCTTAATTAGGCCTTTGTGCACATAGACTCATAGAGCGTTAACTCGTTCCAACTTCCAAACCTGCGTTAGTTATCGCTACATGGCCCGTGAACCAGGCTTCTGTCAATGCGCACCCCGGAATGCTGCACTACCTCAGGCTACAGCAGGCTCCCCCTCCCCACGATTCCTCCACATCAGCCAACCGCCTCGTTCCACAAGTCACGGCTTGCTCTCGTCGGGCAGCGGGCTAACAAACACACTTAAGCGACGAACTGAGGAGGAGAGCTTCGCTGCTTCGGCATGGGCCGTTTCACTCACTTCTGACGGTTCGAATGTGTGCTGCTGCCATGCAGGCTGGGTTATGTGATAGGTACCGGTACGCCACTGGCCGGAATGTGTCAAAGGGGTGGAATGTGTAGATGCTGGATGGCTGGAGTCAGACTGAGGCAGTGGGAACAAGTCTACAACTACAAGTGTGATCCAAACCAAAGCGTTGGAGTTATGGCAGGTTGGTACATACTACAGGTACTGTGTATGTCTCGCCATCACTCGTATACCAATTCAACCACACGCCGCAGCAGCTTCGGATGCGGAGTCGCGAGAAGCAAAAAAGGAAAGGAAAGAAGATGGAAAAGAAAGTAAATAAGAAGTAACTACCATTGCAGGGATTTACTAAAAGTAAACCCGCCCCAAACGGTGGTTACTACTAAAACTGTTTTTTCTACATATTGATGCAGCTGAGGCGGCTGGTGTTTCCCGCTTGTCCCTCCTCCTGCTTCTCCTCCGCTTCCTCCGCTTTCTCGGCTTCCTCCTCCTCCTGCTGTTCTTTCTCTAGCCGCTGCTCTGGTAGCTGCTGTTCCAGCTTCTTCTCATGCTCCGCCTCCTGGCACACCTCCACCTCCTCCTGTCCCTCCCCCTGTCCTCCTCCCCCCCCTCCCCACCGATCTTCTCCTCCCCACCGACCTCCAGCAAATCCATCTCCTCGGGCCACTCACCGCCCTCAACGTCCGCGGAAATGGAGATCTTCAAGACCATCACGCCGTTTGGGGCGCGTTTCGAGCCTCCAGGCAGGCGGTAGAAGCGCACAACCTCGACGAGCGTGGTGTGCACGGAGAACTCCATCTCCGCAAGGCGTGCCATCGTGCTGGGCTTGGCGGCGTAGTAGATGTTGGTCAGCTTGAGGGCGGTGCGGGCAGTCTTGGAGATGCCGTTGCCAGTGGCCTTGGAGGTCTGTACGCCCGGTGTTGGTTGATGTAATGTGATAACTAGGAGTGCGGATTGTGATTATGTACCTTGGGGGCATGGTAGTAGCGGCCTTTGCGGCGCGCTTGAGGAGGTTGTAATTGTGCTTCTGAGGAGACATCTATGGTAGGTACTCGAGTTAGCACTCGTTATTTGCGAGTGAGTTTATGTGATAAGACGGATATAATCCTCGGGTATAACTAAGGGTAAGTGGTGCCTCACCTTGCGCTTATAATTCGTGACGGTGGTGAAGCGTGACTTATTGGCTGTTCCTAGTACTTACTTCAGATGGTGCTTGTCAACGTTCGATATCAATTTGGCGTTGGATTTGGAGCTGAGAGTTGTTTGAGCGTCGGAAGTGTGTGGTGAATACAAGAGAAGAAGAGAAGTGGGTGGGTGTGGGGGTTTTGATGGGTGTGTTGGTGCCTCAGGCTTGAGATAAGCTTCAATAGGTATCTGAGGCTGGCGAGACTCAATGACAGATGGTGAGAGATGGTCTAGTAATGGCGTCGCGCGGGCTATTGAGTCTCACCGACCGGCGATGCATGCCGCTCGCGCCATCCGGACCTCTGATAAGATCTTCCCACGGATTGCACAGGACTAGAGGGCCGCCGCCGTCATATCTGAATATTGAAGTAGTTATTGCTGTATAAAACACCCACCGAAAATAGCTCTCGTAGTGACGTACCGTAATAGAAGCTGTCGGATGGGGGCCTGCACATATCATTAGCATATGATATATCATAGGACCAAGCAATATAGGAACCGAGAACGGATGAATCTCACCGGGCAGCGATACATACCGCTCGCGCCGTCCGGAACTCTGATTAAATCTTCCTATGCATACAGATTGCACAGGACTACATAGATCTAGGGCCATCATGGCGGAGTAAACATCTCCCCAGCAGGAATTAGTGGACTATCCTACTACAGATGCAACCTGATCGGTGTGTTCCTTGGACCGTAGCTCGTTTTCGGTCAATGTATCCTTAAAATGCGGATTTTCTAGCTCTGACAATCACTCTCCTCCGCTTCCGCCTCCGCCTGGCGCTCCACCTCCTCCTCCCCGCGGATCTCCTCAAAGTCTATCTCATCAGGCCACTCGCCGCCCTCAACGCCAGCGGGGATGGAGATCTTCATGACCACCACGCCGCGTGGGGCGCGTTTCGAGCCGTCAGGCAGGCGGTAGAAGCGCACACCCTCGACGAGCGTGGTGTTCACGGCGAACTCCATCTCCGCAAGGCGGGCCATCGTGCTGGTCTTGACGGTGTAGTAGATGGTCTTTGGGGCGGTGCGGGCGGTTTTGGAAATGCCGTTGCCAGTGGCCTTGGAGGTCTGTACGCCCGGTGTTGGTTGATGTAACGTGATAACCAGGAGTGCAGATTGTAATTATGTACTTTGCGGGCCTTGCGGCCTTGCGGCGTGGCGGCAGCGGCCTTTGCAGCGCGCTTGCGGAGGTTGTAGTTGTGTTTCTGAGGGGACATCGCTGGTAGGTGTCTGGGTTAGCATTCATTATTTGCGAGTGAGTATTTGTGATAAGACGGATATAGTACTCGGGTGTAACTAAGGGTATGTGGTGCCTCACCTTGTGCTTATGATTCGAAATAGTGGTGAGGCACAACGTATTGGCTGTTCCTGGTACTTACCTGAGATGGTACTCGTCAACGTTTGATAATCAAATTTTGTATTGAATTTGACGTCGAGATTCTTGTGAGCGTGAGATCTGTATGATGAAGGGACGAAGAAAAGGGGAGAAGAGAAGTGGGTGGGCGTGGGGGTTTTGATAGGCGTGTTGGTGCCCCAGGCTTGAGGATAAGCTTCAATAGGTATATAAGGGCTTGAGGCTGGCGAGATTCACTCGTAGATGGTGAAGGAAGGTCTAGTAATTGCCTCGCGGGGCTATTGAACCTCACCGAGCGGCGATACCGTGCGCCGTCCGGACCTCTGATAAGATCTTCCCACGGATTGCACAGGACTACAGTCCACAATCAGGGCCACCCTGACGGAGTAAACATCTCCTCCCCCAGCAGCAATTAGTGGACTATGTCTCCTGCTATAGATAAAAACTCGATCGGTTTATAAAACATCCAGCCAAATGCGCCGCCGAGAACCACTCTAGGTGTGATCTGGTGGCGAGCCCGTTGTCTGGTGTTGGCAGACCGCATTTATTTGGAGTACTAGTAAGTCGAGAGTCAGTTTCGATAGGTGGTAATCTCATCGATTGAGGGGGAGGTTGAGGGGGTTGGAATATTGCCGGAGATAGTAGTTATTACCTGCAGTTTACTTTTTTATTTCAATACCCGTACATAATTGATATACTGCGAAATAAATTGAAGATCTCTCTCTCAATCGATATACCTAGACTATGGCGACATACACTTTTATCTCCGTTTCCTGTCTACATACAGTCGAGGTCTCTGGTTCAATGTGTAACCTGGAGTTCAACCACGACCGAAAACCACATGTCATAGCACTCACTCACCCACTCACGACAAAGCATTAAAACCCGCGATTCCAGCACTCGATCATCAAAGTATCCTACGGACTAGTCGGCCCCTTCTCTGCGGCGTCCCTCTCCTCTGCACCGACCTTCGGTTCCCCCACCGACTCCAACGCGCTCTTCAGCGCCTGCACGAACCTCCAGCACTCCTCGAACGTATTGTACATCGGCAGCGGGGCTACACGGATAACGTTCGGCTTCCTTTCGTCGACGACGATGCCCTGGCTATGCAGAAGCTCATAAACCGGCAGCATGAGGCCCTCTCCGAACAGCAGGCTGAGCTGTGCGCCGCGCTGCTGCGGGTCGCCGGGCGTGATAATCTTGAATGGGCTGGGTGTGGTGGGGGAGGAGAAGGTGGTCTGTAGAAGGTGCTCGAGGTAGTTGGTTAGGTGCACAGATTTCGTGCGCAGACTGCTCATCGACGTCTCTGTGAACACTGATAGTGAGGCGCGGAGCGCGGTGAGCGACATTATGCTGGGGTTTGAGACTTGGTAGCCCGCTGCGCCCGGCGTCGGGACGAAGTCTAGCTGGTCGTTAGTAATGTATGTATGCACACACAAGCCGTGGATGGAGCAGGTGGGCAGGGAAGAGCTACATACTGTTGTCCATCTTGAATCTGCTTTCCGGATTATGGCCCCACCAGCCGGCGAGCCTGTGTCGTCCGCCGGCGGCGTGCTTGTCGTGTACGAAGATCCCTGCCATGCCGCCGGGACCAGACGAGAGGTATTTGTACGTGCACCAGGCGGCAAAGTCGATGCCCCACTCGTGCAGCTCGAGCGGGATGTTGCCAACGGCGTGGGCAAAATCCCAGCCGACGGTTATGCCCCGCGCCTGTGCGTGCGCCGTGATCGTCTTGATGTCGAACGCCTGCCCGGTGTAGTACTGCACGCCGCTGAGGAAGAGGAGTGCCGCCGTGTCGTGGTGCTCGTCGATCGTGCGGAGGATGTGCGCTGTTGAGATGGTGTACTCGCCGTCGCCGGCTTTGGGGTGGATGCACACGAGGTGCTTTGCCGGATCCAGCCCGTGCCAGGATATTTGCGACTCTACTGCGTAGTGGTCGGATGGGAAGGCTTTGCCCTCGATGACGATTTTTGTCCGCGATCCTGAAGGCTTGTAGAAACTCGCAAGCAGCAGGTGGATGTTCTCGGTGAGCGAGCCCATCACTGCCACCTCGCTTGGCAGGGCGCCGACGATTTTCGCCATGGACACGCTGACCGTCTCCGAGGCCGAGACCCACGGCATGGATTGTGGATGGTTGAAGTGACCGGTTACCCCGCGGGTGGCCCAGATACTCAGCTCCTCGTTGAGGAGGGTGCGTGTGCGGCGGGGTTGCAGCCCGAGTGAGTTTCCGCAGAGGTAAATACATGGATCCGAGGCGTCTTCTCTCACACTCCATCAGCGATTCTCACTCCACCTCTTGCTTTCGGTGTACAAAAGACGAACCATTCTGCTCCAAGACAGGCTTCGCCTCCGGGTGCGGGTCCTTCAAGTCCGACTTCGAGGGAATTAGGAACTCGTCACGGAAGCGTCGCAGGGGATCGATACTGTCGAGATGCTGCGCGTACTCCAGTGACGTCGACTTGGAATCCGCTAGGGATATACGATCACCACGAAGAAAGCTGTCGAATTGCGTCGAGTCCATTGCGTGGTGTGTAGCTTTGTATGTATATAGTAGACTCTTGAGAGAAAGCTCCAGCTCGACTGCGTCACTTTTAAAGAAGTAGTGTAGAGTGGGCTGAGGTATGGCGGGGTGGATATCGCTTATCGTCGGATGGCGGGGATGTAGGGTGGGTGGGTGTGGTGTGGTGCCAAGTCCGACCACAGTGGCGTCATTCGCCGCCGGCGATGTGCATTGTGGATCCATCGGCTTCATCTCTCTCCCGCCGAGCACAACTTCAACATAATCACCCGTTGCCGCGCCGCGAACCACTCGACCTCACCGCATCTTCCACCACCCACCGTCCACCGCAAGCATGAACCCCTTCCGCCCTCTCCTACGAATACGCCCCCGGGTCCTCCCAGCCTACCGCATCACATCCCACCGCGCCCTCAGCCTCACCCCGCGGCTCCTCGGCCTACAGATTACGAACCCGCGCGCCGACCCCACCGACCCTTCAGCGACGATGTCGATCGTGCTGACCCCACGAGCATCCTCACGACTACAAGCGATCCAGACGAGAGACTCGAATCCCCTTCTGGCGCTGCGAGTAACGGTGGAGTCCGGCGGGTGCCACGGCTTCCAGTACACGATCTCGCTGTCAGACAAGGTGAATCCCGCCGAGGATTCGTTGTTTACCGATGAGGAGACTGGCGCCAGGGTTGTGCTTGACGAGCCGAGTTTGGAGTTGCTCAAGGGGTCCACGGTGGATTACACCCAGGAGCTGATTGGGAGTCAGTTTGTGGTCAAGAACCCGCTTGCCACAAGTAGTTGTGGGTGTGGGACTAGTTTTGATATTGCTGGGCTGTAGGAGGAGGTTGGATGGGGATAGTGGCTGCAGAGAAGAGATGGCTGTGGCTTTTTTTTCTGGAGGGTTTTTTTTTTCTTCCACGGTTTTACATAGACGGCGTTTTCTCTCTCCTTTTGGTCTCGGTCGTCTCTTGGAGGCGGCGTGTACTCTACAGCTTTATACCGTTTCGATAGTCGCCATTTCCAGGGCTGGAGGGATCTTTGCCGGTGTCGGCGTCGACGGCGGACGTCGAGATGGCAGTGATGGTTTGCTCGGTTTCCAACCACTCATCACAGATGCTCGTATCCCCATCACCAGACTGACTCCATTCCTTCCCCATCCGCCCTCCTGTTTCTTGAAACCTCCTCCCTCCGCAGTCTTTCCCCTAGGTACTCTCCATCAGAACATCCAGCAACCCAATCCCAAATCCTCAGCAATCGTGACCAAAAGGCCACCAAACGAAAGCCCTCCTCTGTCGAAAAGTAAAGCCCCAGGCCGAATAAACGAAACGCACGCTATATAAACAAAATCAAGCGAACTCCGAGGAAAAAACAAAACAAACGCATGCTAAGTAGACGCAAAAAGCAACAGCAAAGAAATGAAAACCACAAGAAGCCCGAGACCATAAACATATCGTCAGCTGACAGAAAAAGAAAAAGAAGAAGAGATAGACATTGAACCAGAACCAAAGGCAATGTAGCGCTTTTAAACACCCCCGCAAGCAACCCATCGGCCATCGGCCAGAGCACCCTAAATCTCGCGAAAATACGCCATGAGCTCTCCCCCGCGATCCCTGACCTCCTCCCTTCCACACTTCAGCAGCATCTCCATAACGCCTCTCTTCCCGGCAGCGCCCGCTGAGATCACCGCATCCCTAAGGCCCACACTCGCGCCCGCCTCCAGCAGCAGCCTCACGACCTCCTCATGTCCGGCACAGGCCGCGCAGCAAATCGCCGTCAACTCCGTGGTGCCGCCCATTCCATCGCCCGCATCCACATCCGCCCCCTTCGCCAGTAGGATTTTCACCGCGTCCACATGGCCCTTCATCGCCGCGTATATCAGCGGCGTGAGCCCGGCATTATCCCTTGCGCCCATCCCCATGCCCGCGTCCACCAGCGCGCCCACGATCCCCGCGTAGCCCTTGGCCGCGGCACAATGTAGCGGCGACCATCCGTCGGCGTCGGCGCGCGCGCCGTCCGCGCCCAGCTCTAGCAGCGCACGCACGTTGAGCTCCCGACCTTTCGACGCGGCCCACCAGATCGCCGTGCAGCCCGTGTCGTTCGCGCGGTTTATCGAGGCGCCGCCGCGGATCAGCAGGGGGATTATGGTGTGTCCGTCGGCGGCGGTCGCCGCGAAGTGCAGTGGTGTTATATCACCGAGGGCGGAAGCGTTGGGGTGCGCGGAGAAGCGTAGCAGGAGCCGCACTGAGGAGAGGTCCGCCGATATGCTGGCGTGGTGCAAAGGCGTGGCCCGCTCGGTGTGGTCGTGTACGTTCGGGTCGGCCCCGTGTTGTAGCAGTGAGTGCACTAGGCCGTGGTGGCGCCGGATTACGGCGCCGGTGAGGAGTGTCTCCCCCTGCGGTGAGGTGTAGGTGATGAGGAGAGGAACATAGGTTCTGCTCAGTAGCGGCGACGAGACGACGAAGGAGGCGAGGTCTTCGGGCTTGAGCTTGGTAGCTATCAGGAGGAACAGTTCTGGCGGGAGGAGGCTGAGGAAGGGGTCTATTGATGTTGCAATTTTCGATGGCATTCGCGAGACTTCGGGCGACTGTGTGGTGGGTGCTTTGCGGGTGCGGGTGGGGGTTGCGAGGGAAGGTGGATGGACGAGAACTCGGCGGGATGTGACTCTTTTTGTTGCGAGCTGCGCTGCGCCTCACCAGACGCGATGGGGGGGTGCACGCTTGGCGAGCGTGAGAACGATGCTTGGTGACCAAATGTTCCACTCCCGTGCCGATTTCTCGAGATATGTTGCTTGGATGGAATGTTTGTAGCGGGAGCCAAACACTGGAGACTTCATGTAATTAATCCTCGGTAGGTCTGAAGTCTGATCTCTGAGCGGGGGCTGCCCTGTCCGGAAATAGCACCTTTCTCGAACCCTGCCAAAAACGGAATACGCGAGTGATATCCCGTATCTTACGCCACATCTCATGACTTCATCAGGTAAGACGGAAGATACATTGGTACCTGGATCATGACCCGGAGGTTACAGGTGATATGGAGGTCAGAGGTTTGGAGATATATATCACATGAATTAGTGTCGTCAAACGACGTCATCAACTGTTCAAAGACTCACCGACAAATCGCCGACAGTTACTCCCGTTTCCGCACATCTGCACCTGGACTCGTACCGCAATTGCACTCTGTCGTTACTGTTCATTCTACAACATGCATATCACTCCTATTACCACTATAATGACAGTCATCACGGATCGATTACGCCCTTCTGTGGCTTCTTGTCGTCCCCTTAAGAAGAGTACTCCATCCTTCCCTCGATGGCGCTCCAGAACTCCTCCACGAGCTCCTTCTGGCCACTCGGGGCGGCCCTAATAGCCAGATAGCGTCTGCAATCCACAGCAGGCGTCCAACCGCCGGGGTTTCCATCCACCATAATCCCGCCCGCCTCAGTAAGAATCAGCCAGCCCGCGGCCACATCCCAGGCCCAGCATCCACCCTCCCAGTACAGATCGACCTGGCCCGCAGCAACAGCGCACAGATTCAACGCGGCGCTGCCCATGCTGCGTAGAGAGTGGACCATCTTTCCACCTTCCTCTATGGCGCCAGCGAGCTTGGTGAAGGTGCGGTGCTTCACTTCGAAGTTGTGGCCGGAACGGTCGGAGCCCCATTCTACGGCGCAGAGGGCATTCTGGAGGCCCGTGAGCGGCTCAGGGTGCTGCTTGCGGGGGAGACGGATTTTTCGGGGTGCGATGGGCGCCGGGGACGTAGGGGAGTCGGTGCGCACTGGCATCGTGAGGAATGAACCTTGGTTTTTGATGGCGGTGTACATGTGCGTCGTGTCTGCACCCCCATATCAGCCACGACTCGTTGGTTAGAAGTGGGGCGGGGGAAGAGTGCGAACATGGATTGTAAATCACTCCCACGACCGGCATGCGCATGACGCACAGGGCTAGCGAGATGCAGACGTTCGGGAACGCGTGGATGAAGTTGGTTGTGCCATCGATAGGGTCGCAGATGAACGTGGGCTTGTCCGTGAGCTGCTTGCCGGGGACGTAGGTCTCCTCGCCGAGGAAGCTGTACACCGTCTAAGTCAGCAAAGAGAGATATACAGCGAAGGACGTAGAGATGTGGGACGTACTCGTAGTCAGGATAACGCTCCCTGAGAGCTCCGATGACGAACTTCTCAACAGCCTTATCCGTCTCGGTGACCAAATCGGCCGCTGTAGAAAACCGAACCGTCAGTGCCACGCTTCACATCCCATGATCCCAACAACCTACAGTTCTTCTTGGACGAGCTGGTATTGATATGCGGCTGAGCAGTAGCGATCATGTCACCCGCCTTGCGAGCGACCTCGACGAGGAGATCATGCACCTCCTGGTGGTTCACGGACTCGGCCATTTTGCGGATTGTGCGAGATGACGTGGGGAGCCGAAAGTGAAAGTCCGGGGCTAGATTAACGTTGCAGAAGAGGGCTGTGAGCTTTTTCATTGTGATGGTAGTAGTATGGAGGGCAATTAGGATGGGAAGAGGTGTGAAGGGAGGATGAGGTGAGGCTATCGATTGCTATGGATGGGACGAACCTGTTGAATGGAAGTTTCTGGGTGAGAGCTGTTTCTTTGCTCGGGACGTTGCTGTCTGTCTGTCTGTCTGTCGTCGTCTGAATTGAGTTCGACGAGGTCTGATGCGGAAGTGCTCTATATAAGTGCGGGTCAAGTGCGGGACAGCACCCCTGCAAGCACGCGGCCAATTGCCACGGGTGATTGGACAGGCCTAGCACGGAGCTACCATCGGGACCCTGCAAGTGGACATCGAGCCCGAGCTCCAGCTCGTTCGTCGAGAGGACGGACCGGAGCTCGAGCTCGGGCCAATGTTCGGCCTTCTGACGAATCCAGATGAAGATTTCCAGTTCAATGGCTTCACCTGTGAGGGGGGAACTCCACTTTCTTCAGCTACTTTTCAGAGTCTCCATTCCAAACCATGCCTACTACACCCGAAATTGTCGTCGACGAAGGCAGTGTTCCCCGACGATTCCCGCTTCCATAGCCTTCCCAAATTCCTTGCGGAAGCCGGACGAAGATATCCCAGGTGGACGGCGCCCATCTCGGCCGCCTGGTGTGACAGCCCGACGGGGCGTTACTCAGCACTACGAATAAGTCGACTAGGACGGACTTGAAGACCATGCAGCCCTGGGGAACGTCTGTTCTTCGTTCGTCTATTGTTTCGTCCCATGATATTTCATATGCTAACGATATGTGCAGGCCCCTATCCGACAGCTTCTAGTACCTACGTCACTACGAGAGGTACTGTACGGCGTAGATCCCCCCCACGACGACGAGAACTTTTCTCGGTGGCTATTTTATATATACACACTAACGACTATGGCAATATCCACACATACGGCGGCGGAGGCCCTCTAGTCCTACGCAATCTGTGGGAAGATCTAATAAGTATCGCTACTCGGTGAGCTTCAATAGCCCCGCGAGGCCATTACTAGACAATCTCTCACCATCTCTCACCATCTGCGATTGAGTCTCGCCAGCCTCAGCTGCCTATTGAAGCTCATTCTCAAGCCTGCGGCACCAACACACATAAAAACCTCCACGCCCACCCACTTCTCTTCTTCTCTTCTATTCATCATACAAATCCCACGCTCAAACGACTCTGAAAGTCGACTCGAACGCCAAAATTCGAAATTCGGACTTCGACGACTCCGCCAACAAGCGCAAGTAAGTAGGTAAATCCGTGATATCACACAAACTCACTCGCAAATAACGACTGCTAATTCGAATACCTACCAGATGTCTCCCCACAAGCATAACTACAACCTCCGAAAGCGCGCCGAAAGGGCCGCTGCCGCCACGCCGCCACGCCGCAAGGCCTGCAAGGTACGTAGCTAAGCACTCTCCGCACCCCTACACTCCTACCGCAATCCACCTGCCAACACCGCGCTTGCAGACCTCCAAGACCGCCGCCAGCCGCAGCAGTATCTCCAAGACCGCGCGGGCCGCCCCAAAGACGATCTACTACGCCCTCAAGTTCAGCGCGATGGCGCGCCTCACGGAGATGGAGATCACCAAGGACACCACGCTCGTCGAGGGTGAGCGCTTCCACCGCCTGAGTTGCGGCGGGAAGCGCGCCCCACGCGGCGTGGTGGCCTTGAAGATCTCCATTCCCGCGGGCGTTGAGGGCGGGGAGTGGCCTGACGAGATGGAATTGGAGGCGATCAGCGGAGAGGAGGAAGAGGAGGTGGGACAAGAGGAGGTGCAGGAGCAGGAACTTGAGCAGCAGCTTGAGCAGCAGCTGCAGAAGGAGCAGCATCAAGAGGAGGAGGAGCAGGAGCAACAGCTCGAGCAACAGCTGCAGAAGGAACAGCTGCAGGAGCAGCAGGAGGAGAACGCGGAGGAGGAAGCGGAGCAAGAGGAGGCGGAACAGGCGGCCAATAACAGCGGCCTCAGCTGCATCGTTATGTAAAATAAAAGTTTTAGCAGTAACCACCGTTTAGGGCTGGTTTACTTTTAGTACATTCCCCCAACGGTGTTTACTTCTTATTTCCTTTCTTTTCCATCTTCTTTCCGTTTTTTTGCTTCTCTCGACTCCGCATCCGAAGAGTGTGGTTGAATTGGTCTACAGTATTGACAAGCAGATTTTATACACTGATCAGGCTTCATCTATAGTAGGATATTCCACTGATTCCTGCTGGGGAAGGAGATGTTTACTCCGTCATGGTGGCCCTCTATTTAGTCCTGTGCAATCCGTGGAAAGATCCGACCATAGGTCTACAAAACCCCCACACTCAGGCCCACTCACTTCTATTCTCTTCTCTTGTCTTCTCTTCTTCTCTGTGGGAACTAGTGAGTTCCTGTGAGTAGCCCACTAGTCAGTCGGTGGACTGGTGGTAGGTGCTAGCGACATTTGGTGGGTAGCGGTTCGAAGCTCTGTATTTCTTTCTCTCTTCCTCCCTCTCTCGTAGCTGTAGCTCCTAGACAAGAACACAACACTTCTCCCTATCACGATCGTTCCAGTGATCTCCACCATCGATCCCTCCAACATTCTCTTCATCATACAAATCACACGCTCACACGACTCTCTGTGACAACTTCAACGCCAGATTTGAATATCGAACTTTTCCCCGACTTTATCCCCAATCGCAAGTAAGTACTACCTATATCCGTCCTATCACACAACCTCACTCGCAAATAACGAATGCTAACTCGGATAGGATACCAACCAGAGATACATACAGGAGTCGTTCAACAATGCGAAGCGCATCATGGAGAAAAAGAAGAAAGGGGCGATGGAGATACCAGAGATGTCTCCTCACAAGCACAACTACAACCTGTGCAAGCGCGTGCCCAAGCCCGCTAGAAGCGGCAGCGGCAGCGGCGGCATCTCCAAGACCGCGCGCGCCGCCCCCAAGCCGATCTACATCTACTACGCCCTCAAGCCCAGCATCCTGGCGTTGAGGAAGGCCTGAGGAGATGGATTTGTAGGGAGACCTGCGTGGAGGGGGAGGGACAGGATGAGGTCGGTGGGGAGGGGAGGGACGGGAGGAGATGTAGGATGAGATGCGCCACGTGGAGGTGCGCCGCGAGGAGTTGTAGCACTAGGCGGAGGTGCAGGAGGGGGCGGAGGTGCAGGAGGGGGCGGAGGTGCGTCAGAAGGCGGAGCATGAGAAGAAGCTGGAGCAGCAGCTACCAGAGCAGCATCCGGAGAAGGAAGCGAAGAAAGAGGGGGAGGAACAGGCGGGCAACAGCAGTCGCCTTAGCTGTATCGTTACGTAGAAAAAAAAGTTTTAGCAGTAATCGCCGTTTAGGGCGGGTTTACTTTTAGTAAATCCCCCCAACGTTGGTTACTGTATTTTCTTTTCCATCTTCTTTCCCTTCATTTCCCCCGTAACGCACACATCTGAAGCGGCTGCGAAGTCTGGTACATAACCTGTGGGACGGCTGGGGAATCAGAGGATTCCAAGGGACTCTGTAGAGTTTGCTTCACTGGGGACCCGGCGGTATGTAGGTTCAGAGTTTCATTATCGTCGACTGGAAATCCAGGTACCTAATGTAGGGAATCTTGACGGTGTGACGGGCATGATGCATCACATCGCCCCGGGCCACTCATGAAGGGAAAGAAAAGGAAATCCTCGATGGGGCTACCTACAAGCAGCATCAAACAGCATCAAACAGCTGTCTCAAAAAAAAAACACACACAGCAATTACCCAGGGGCTCCTTCTATCGGTACAATCTGACCAAACACCCTATAAACACAACATAAGCAGAATCCCCTAATCGAATCACTCGACCAAAATCCAAGAAACAAAAACAAAACCCACGCATATCTGCGGGACAATCCGCTGTCTCGCCTTAATAAGGATACCTCTTATTATTCTCACAAAGCTTCTTATGAACCTTATAATGTTTCCTCTGACAGGCAGCCGAGCAATAAGTCGCCACGCCACACTTCGGACACTTAAACTGCTTCACGCCGTCCAGCTCCCCCTTGTGGCAGTCCGGGTTCCAACAGATGAGGTTACAGAGCTCTATAATTTCATCCATATCCTTACCTCCGTGGACGACTCCCACAGGCTCCATATACGAGACTCCAAACAGCGGCGAAAGCGCCACGCGAGTGACCCACGGTGCAAACGGCCGAAACTCTCTGTTGTTGGTGAAGGTTTCCGGTAGATCCTTCCCTAGGCCGCAATCGCAGATAAAAGACTCTGATGCGAGATCCAGGAGAGTCTTCCACGAGTTCCCCCCCGGTAAAGACTCCGGGAAAGGCTCCGGCGCGAGTTGAAATCTGGCTTTTCCGCGACGGTACTTGCAAGTGGCGGGATCGTGTTTCCACTCCCGACAGCGCTCGACGTAGGCTGGGAGAAGTCGGCTCCATAGTCTTTTCTCTTCCGGAGATATTTCGACCGTCATCAATGTCGAAAACGCTGATGATTTGTACGTTCCCAGTACCAGGAGATCGCGCCGAAGTTTCTCCGGAACCTCGGACGTCAAAAACAGCACACAGGCATCAGTGACGGCCGTATGAGATGCAAGATCCATCCGAATATCGGCCACAAAAATGACGAAGTCAAATCCTGGAAACATTGCGCCGTGTTCCACATTTACGAAGCCGAAAACTTTCGTTCCTGGTCGGTTACCTTGTGCGCCTACACGCCCGGTGAATAATGAAAACAATGAGTCTTTTACATCGATCAGAGGACCCTTCGTTTCCGACACCCACTTTCCACGGCGGCATCTCTCACGGATGAGCCATTCCCGATCTGAGAATTGCAGTGAAAAGTGAGGGACGTACCATTCCCAGGAGAGGCGACCGATAGTGTTGAGGATTGGTAGTTTGTTGAGGCCACGGAGAGAATGGATGTTCCATAAAGTCGGGTTCGGGGAGTCGCCGTTGGTAATTACCGGGAGCTGGTACATCGAGAAGTCGGCGCCTTCTCTTAGAGGTTTGAACGGAGTAACGACGATCTAAGTACGCATGAGTGGATGACTAAATTGTTTGAGATTTTCTGCAAGCAGGTCCTTACCTCGATGTACGCATTCCTTCGGTCTGTGTGGGTCCTTAAACTTCTGCCATCGACCGGGAACGGAAACACCACCTCCTTGACGAAACTCCCATTGGAAGACGTGACCTCCATGATGTGGGGGAAAGTTTGCCGAGCGGTAACCACCATGCCACGTAGAAGGCTTCGCTTTGCATTTTCCTCTTCAATGTCCACTCGGATGGTGAGACTTAACACAAAAGTTGCACCGATATCCATGAGTACCTTCACCGGTGTAATTGGACCCCGCGGCATTGGAGGCGAAACGGAGGGGACTTCCACGAGGCCGACCGGTCCTTTTGAATTAGGGAGATTCCGGCACAACATGACATGCATCGGGCTGAAAAGTTTGACTGAGAAAATGACAGAGCCATACCCTAAAAAGCCAGCCATCTCCCCACAATTGGGTACACTCTTTAGGCGTATAACAATATCTTCAGGATTGATCAATAATTTCCAGGTAGGCACTCGAAGAATTGCGACAAGCGGAGAGGTTCCTGCCCATCCTTCGGGGTCGTCTGTAAGTGTGATTCTGGCGTTGGCAGCTTTCCCCATTATCGATATTTTCGCAAAGACCGCGTGTACTGAGGAAAATATATTGTAGCCGACTCTCGTGAAGATCTCGGCCTGAATGATGGGCGTTTCCCATTTGCTGATGTTGGCTAAATCCTTCAGTAGGTACCGTGGAACCACGACTACTACATAAATGGATTTCGGTATTTCCTCCCACTTCCAGCCATGGAAGATGAGGCCTTCGTTTCCAGCACTTGGTGGAAGTACATTACGGCAAGCCACCGTTGGTTTTGAATAGAGAATCGGCAAGGTGAACACTTGGGCCAGATGAAGGTGATGGCAAAGGTCCTGATAGTGTTCCATGCCAGTGATTAGTACCTTGTCACTTTGCACAAGGTCATCAAATGACTCCATCGTCGTCTTCCAATCTGTATCAGGTGTGCCTGCCTTCAACAGCCGAAGGAGTTTGGCGAAACTTTCTCTATTATAGTGTATGATTCTCCTTTCCCGTTCGTCAGTAGCTTCGGGTAGAGTCCGCAAATCCTCGAACTCAAACATTTTCAAGTATAACTTATAGATGAACCTCGCGAACTGTTTCGGACCCAGAATCAGAGATGACGAGTTTGCATCCATGACAGCCCTTGGCTCCCCCAATGCCGCAAACCTCCACCCCAATCGTTCATAGAACCGACTTTTACGATGCTCCCTCTCGACAAATAAAAGTTCATGGAGGCTGAAACTAGAGGAAAATTCCGAAACGTAGGTTTGTGGAACAAGACCGAAAAGTACTCCAAACGTACCGATGTCGCCGCAGAGGCGGCTGGTGAAGGCCTTGGTCGGCTCCTGGGTGCTAGCTACCAACATATCGGTGTAAATCGTAGAGGAAGGCAACCTGCGTAGCAAAGGAGCCGTAGCGGTAATGATATTCAGAAGGCCGAGCTGGTCGAGCAAATTGGATGTCTCAATGATGTCGAACGGTGGCCCATGATGGGAGCCGCCTTGTGTGTCGTACTCCCCTCCATCGAGTATTAGCAAGTTGCTCTTCCATTGTGCAGAGTATGCCCTGCAATCAATCGAACCTGTGAGCTGCCAGTGATGAAGCCCATGGCAGAACTCGAGGACACCACCAATGTGGAACCTGATTTTGACCGAACCTGCAATCACTGCCGATCGAAATGAAACCCCCCAGTCATGGAATTGCTTCTTCGCCGCAGCAACCAAATGCTCGGCAGTCGTCTCGCGTCGGTTGGATCCCTTGATCGATGAACACCCCATTACATGGTGGAATCCGGCAAGAGGATCAGTTGCATAATGCACGCAGAAGTCATCAATGCCGTCGGTGAAAACAAAGGTTGGGTTGACGCGAGTGGCCTTCGCAATGACATTTGCATCCTGCGATGCGACGCCGTCTTTCCAGAAGTGTGTGATGATCTCCGTGGCTGGAGTCTCTGCTTCCGCCCAGCAAGGCCCTGAAGAACGTATATATGAAGAGGAGTGCGGGGCAAATCTCAGGGTACCCTCGATAATCGTTTGGAACATTTTCACGCGGTCCTTCTTCGAGACCTTGTAATCGAGGTATAGCTGCCAATGCTGCTTGAGCTGGGCGAGTGTGTCCTTGGTGCACATCCTCATGAACTTGCCGAACTTGGATGTATTCCAGCTGTCGATGTCCACCGCCACTTCGACAAGCTTCCTGCACTGAGCGTGTAACCGATCCAGCGACTCTTGGTCGATGTAAAAGTGATAGAATATTTGGAAGATCTTTTCGCTGTTAACTTTCTTCTTTCCGTCGGTGAAACAAGCGAAAAGTAGGATGTTTCGAGCTGTTGTCGACGGACTGGTCAGCAGGATCACGGGTCGAATGGTGTCCACAAACAAACGAACCCAACACGGCAGGCTCAGTCTCACAGCAAGTGAAGTCGATCGGCCTTCCGCCGTCCATATGGAGTGTGAAGAGGATATCCCTTTAGTGAAAATCAGTACCGTCTCCGAGTCAGCAATAGCACGGGCCCAAACAACGTACCTTGGGTCTCCACAGTTCAGTAGAAGGATGTTCGCTGATTGCTCGAGAGACAAGCTCTCGGTCAGGCATACTGCGGCTCTGTGCCCGATAGGATAGAAAAATTTCGACTTCTGGATGGTGCATGGATGTGCCATAATTCGATGCTGGAGTGAAGGGTTGGGGGGTTTCGAGCGAGGTTGATTGTGAAGGATGTAGGATGGTAGGTAAGGACGGGAGACAAGGTGGAAGGAACTTCTTCTATAATACCGGCAGTTTGGTCATGCAGAGTATGTAGTAGCTCTTACTAGATGGAATCAAGGATGAAATCAAGGTATGTTTTTTACCTTGTGCCACCACGGTGTCTATTCCCTTCTGAGCCTCTGGCGCGTTTAACGTTATGACCGAATATTGGGACGGGTCAGGTCTGAAAACAGTTGATGTATATAGCTCAAAGTCGGTAAAGAAACACCTCTTCTCAAATCTTCGGTCACCCCCCCTTTTTCACTGGCAAAAGCTGCATTCACAGGTAATTTTGACACTAACTGCACTCAATTCGCTGCAGAGAAATATGTACCTATAACACTTCCCTTCAGCTCTTCCTCTTCAACAGGCCCTTGAAGAAATCGAAGCTATTCCCATCACTCATCAGCGTCCACGTCTTCCCGGTGAGCCTTTCTTGATCCAACTCCTCCACCTTCAGCAGCCCCCAATCCCTCGTGATACCCACAACACGTCCCTTAACACTGCCCTCCATCTCCAGCGTCACCTGCTGTCCGGTATGTAGCCAATGGCGATAGTACAGCTGCTCAAATGGCTCCCATCCGCTACGGCAGAACTTGAGATACATCTCCTCGAAGGTCACTAGCACCCTGGCAAGCAGCTTTTCCTGGGTAAATTCCGGAAGTGACGGATTGAGAGCGGCACGTAGAAGGTTCAGCGATGTCGTTGGTGCTTCGTTGTGCGTGTTTATTCCCACCCCCACCACAAGGTGGAACTGATTACTCTGATAAGAAGAGTTGACAAGAATTCCGCCTATCTTGACGAAAGATTCTGTGGCCGAGGTGGGGTCGCGAGCGTCTACTCTCGTGTTAGATGGACTGGTCAGAGGTGAGAGAGATGGGGAAGGCGAACAAATGTCATTTGGCCATTTCAAGCGCACCGGTATTCCTTCGTAGCCTGGAGCATAGCTCTTGATTCCTTCCACGACGGCTAGCCCGACAAGGTATTGCACAAACATTACCGGGGCAGTGATATTCAGCTCCTGGGCGTGACGGATCACGGTAGAGAAGATCATGCAACCTTTGGGCGAAATCCAGACGTTGTTGCCCCTTCCCCGCCCGGCTAACTGGGTTGTTGCCGCGAAAGTGAGGCCGTTCGGTAGGTGTTCAAGGAGCTTGGGATTCCTGGCGGTGTCAGACAATGGCGGCGAAGTGGAGAAGCAGGAAAACAGACTTGTCCAGCATTGTGTTGGTACTTGTTACCGTCTCGCCGTAGAGCATGAAGGTTCCAAACTGCGAGGGCAAAGAACGTGACTGGTGACGGTAGGTCCAGAGGTTCTCGTAGAAGGACTTGTGGTCAAAGAAGGGAGTTTCTTCATTGGATGGCAACCCCGAGCTATGCGCGTGCAGCGATTTTGGCACTTCATTATAATCGACGATGTCATTCTCAGGATCATCAAGTGCGTCAGTCAGGTCCTTTGTACAAAAGCTATAGCTCCCATTCGAGCTTTCCTGTTCAAGAATAAATGTGTCGTTGTCGTCAATAATCTTCGTCATCTCTCCTTGGATCGTGATTATATCTTGCAGACGATCAACCAACTTTGCCACGTCAGAAGGGTGCGCTGCAGTCAGATGTACCCTACTGAGACGTGGAGGAGGCATGTTCGTCGCGGATGCCTCTATGCCGAGCTTTCGCAGCAAGCACTTCAAGAATCTGACACGCTTCTCCTCGTCTTCGATGATGGCGTCGACAACTTTTGAGTATTCCGGTCCTCCATTACTCTTGCGTAGGTGTGAGCCGATAAATCTAACACCAGTCAGCGGCTAGACTACCGACGAAGCCGAGAAATCAATACTCAGGATGAGGCCCCGTGAGAATCACACCGCCCTCTCCGATTTTGCGGTAAATCACCGCCGCCTTGCCATCCCCTCCATCAACATCGAGCTCACCCTCATAACTCGCCAACACCTCCACCCCTTGATCTTTGAGCTTCCCCGCATCCACAAACACTCCACCGCCGTTAAAGTAGCACTTGAAGCTAAATTCCTCCTTCTTCCCCTCCCCCATCGCCAGCACGCAGATGGTAGGAGCCCTCGCACCATTCTCACTCGCATACTCAAACCCGGTGAATGCTGCACCTCGGCAGGTGCCAGGGAAGAAAGCCAGCTCCCGACTCCCCACCACGGCGAGCTTCAGATTGTTGGGCTCAAACTCGCACTGCTTCGAAGCATAGTAGCCCCCGGCGCAGAACCCGATAAAAGACCCGCCCTGCCGCACATACTGCGAGATCCTCCTGTTACCCGCGCCGTTGAAAGTTCTACAATACGGCAAATCGGCACCGCCGGGAAGAACGAGAAGCGCACAGGTGGACATCCATGGCTCCTTCAGAATCGCATCGGCTGTAACTGTCGACACGGCAAAGTGCGGCGAAAGCAGGCGCCGGAACGAGTGTACGCAGTGCCGCACGGACTCGGCGGTGGTGCCGTTTCCTTTTAGGGACTTAGTCTTGCGCTGCTGCGTGGGAGGGCGGAGAGCTCGTTACCAGCATATATGAGAACATTCATGGCCTTTACGGGAGGCATGGTGGCTGCTGGCTGCTGGCTGCTGGCTGCTGGCCGACTCTGATACGCAGTGTTGCTTGCACGGTAAATGATGTTGTATGTAGGTTGGTTGGTTAACCAACGCCCTGAGAGAAACCCTGGGCAGAGACTTTCTGTTCCACACGAATAGATCACCCCCACAATTCACCCCACAATGTCACAGGCGCCAAAATCCGACAAGCCCAACACCCCGCCGGCGGTATCCGTGCCTGCAGAAGATCCCGATGATGAGCCCGATGACTGGTACGGGGTCCTCGAATGTGTGCGGCCGAAATAACTGGCTGACGCTACAGCGCAGGGACAAGAGGATAATCGACACGGGATGCTCCGGTGATTCTCCCAAGACTGGTTCCCGATGAGGATTTGAGGATTGCGAACTGATGAGGCGGAACCGCAGTTGAGAACGAGACGCTTCGTTTTTGCTTCGTCGATAAGAAGGATTGGCGTCTGTGTAAGGCCGAGGTCCGTCGTCATCCAGCCCACCCCCTCATCTTTGCCCCGCCATCGCACCATCCGACCACCCCAGCATAGCTTATTTCAACGTCAAGCCGCCTTGTGTATTGGGCGATGTTTCTAACGATTATCGGTGCTTCGGATCACAGATGGCAGCGTTTCGCGAGTGCTGGGACAAGCACGGGAATGCTTCTCGCACGTCGCAGACGGATGTTTGATCGCTAGCACTGTGAAGGATCTCTGGCATGTAGAGTAACCAGTAGACTATTCTCCATTCAATACTATAACTATTATGCTATATATCCCTCTAATCGCACCATATTTTATTTCCGTAGCGCGTTGTAAGTCCCATTTTTCAGAAGTTCTTTGACGCGCGTGGGACCGGTGACCGTGGGGGTGAGAAAATTTCCTAACTAAACGCGAGCCAAGTGCTAGTTATCACTACGTGCACTGGTTGTTTCACCGTCGACCTCCAACCATCCCCCACCACCCCCACCACCCCGCCTTCGTCCACGGCAATCCCCAACCCAAACACGATGGCGTCCGCTGTACGAAGATCGTTCCTTACCCTCGCCCGGACGCAGTCCCGCCAGCTCACTGCATCGCATCCTTCCGTTTTCACAGCAATCCGGCGCTTCACCAATGGCGATGACTTCCCGTCGTTCCCTTCCAAGTCGTCTTCCTCTTCTTCTGCTTCGGCACCCATCCCGAACACCCACAACATCCGCGACAATGGCCTGAATGATAGTTTTGAGATCATCGATGAGAAGATGGATTGGTCGCGGTCGTTCCACGGATTGTCCACGGAGGCATTCCCAAAGGAGACCGCGGATGTTCTGCTTGCGCCATTGGCTCCTGAGGAAGTTGAGATCAAACCTGGTATAAACACAGCGCGATCAGCATTAAAGGTGATTGGCTAATGGCAATGCAGATGGAATCCTCTACCTTCCCGAAATCAAGTACCGCCGCATCCTAAACAAAGCATTTGGTCCCGGCGGCTGGGGCCTCGCTCCTCGCGGCGAATCGATCGTCACTGACAAAGTTGTGACGCGCGAGTACGCGCTCATTTGCCACGGACGGTACTGCCCGCCTCTACATCTCCTCACTACGACAATCCACTGACGGATACTCCAGCCTAGTTTCCATCGCGCGCGGCGAGCAACAGTACTTCGACCCTAACGGCATCCCGACGGCTACAGAGGGCTGCAAATCCAACGCCTTGATGCGATGTTGCAAGGACCTGGGTGTCGCCAGTGAGCTGTGGGACCCTAGGTTCATCCGCAAGTTCAAAAAGGAATACTGCGATGAGAAGTTTGTCGAGCACGCCGTTACGAAGAAGAAGCGGAAGCTGTGGAAGCTCAAGGTTGACTCATTTGAATACCCGTACAAAGCGACCTGAGGGGGGAAATTTCATGATTGCGATGATGTACTATAGACTAGCCTATGAGCTTATAAAATACTACCCTCCCTGTACTATAATACGGACGGTTTCTTCATTCATATACCTATCCGATAGCATATGTGATCTCATTGCAAAACACTATCTACTTTCAAGCCGGTGCCAGGTGTGAAGCAAACAACCCGCACAAACGCCACCGTTGCCGCCAGTTCTAGTCAGTGATTTTGAAGGATTGCTGCCCTTCCCAGTGCGGACCACAAGAGCGTATCACTAGTTGCACCGACTGCCTTTGAGACTGACCGAACACATTCTTTCCGCCGCCACCGCCGCCACCGCCGCCATTCGTGAGCCACGGGAATCCTGGTTTATCGTCCTCTATGCACTCCGGCAAGGTCGAGCTCACAGGAGCAGCAGCATGCCCTTCGATTTCATACCGACCGGCCAGTTCAAGGCGTGAAAAACCTCCCACCGAGGGCTGAAATACCTAGTGAAGTTCTGTGTCGCAGACCATGGATGAGCTAGATGACTGTCGTTATCTCGCGGATGGAATTTCGTGGAAGGATACAACATACCTCTAGATATGTACTATGACTTTTCTGCGGACGAGGGCTAGGTACTCTTCCATGAGGATTATCGAATGTGCACCAAATGAGTGCTGAGCGAATCCAACCATTGATCGACCAAGTACTTACTTACTTGCGTGCTTAGGTAGCCACTACGACTTCGTTGTATCTGGCTCGAACAACAAAATCGATCGTTTGACATCATGATTCAGGATGGCGTTGGTGCGTCGCCTGTAAGGCTGTACCATCATCCCCGGTGCTTGTCCGGGTGGCAATTCCCAACCATCTCGATGTGGTATTACTACCTATCCCTATAGGAAAAACATCGTATCATACCCCCTTTTTCACTAGGAAACGTACTTCTCAAGTAAACAACCGTGGTACATATACGGTACTCGTTCCATGCTTGAGGTCACTCGGCAAGCCATCACTGTCTGCAGTCTAGAATGCCCTCCGTATCACTCGCTCTTCCAGACTTTGCCTGGAATGAACGTCAGGGCGCCTTCAGATGTTACTTTAATTTACAACCCCTCGCGATGAGTATAAGTACTAGTACAGTAGCAAGATACGAGGTGAAAACAATACCGGAGTAACGACGCTTCTATATCCAAATTCCGTAATGATTCGGCATCAAAGGCTCGGAGCGACATCGAAGCCATATATTATGACATCTGGGAGTGCGGTAAAACATTCCCCCCGCCTTTTTGCTACGGTGGTTGCATACATACCTAGAGGAACAAGTTGTGGCATAATCCAACCTCCAGACGTGCTGTAAACTAGATATGGGTTGAAAGCGATTATGTGAGGAACGGCAGGTAGCCAGGCTAGCTATGACTAGATCTCGAGAGCACTGAGATTATCATCTCGATCATTTGGAGTTGGATCACCACCACATCCAGAGTCCGTCCATCGGCAAGATACAGCAAGAAGTAGAGTGAAGTATATACCGATACCAATACCGTGCCGCACATACACAAAGAAAGAAAAAACAGATAAGGATGATTCACATCGTCAATCATACAACAAAGTAACCAAATAAATCAAACAAACTTGTATCCCCCGCTAACGTCATCCCCCTCCCTCCACTACCACCGTCGTGGTCGAAACATGACCCCTCCTTCCCTTTTGCACCTCAAACTCGTGACATTCCATCTCGTCGTCGCGATTCGTCAAAGCAAATCTTGGTAATAATAGTATAGTACACGGAAGAAAAGCTTTGAACAGAAAATACAAACTGGATGAAAGGGAAAATGCAAAGATAAAGTACAGCAGGAAAGCGAAAGGCAGGAAGCAAGGAGAGACGAAAAGGAAAAACGCCCAAAGCCACAAAGGATCTAAACCTTAAACCCCAACACCTTCACCGAATCTATGCTTCCCGTTCAGATCGAACCTACATACGCAAAAACTTTTTGGATTGTTCTTTTCTCTCATCACCTCCATCTGCCCTGGATTCTGGGGTCAGGACGATACCTATCGCCGGCACCAGCCCCAGCACCGCTATTGTTTCCGAATCCATTCCCAGGGGGGAGGGAGCTACGGACATCGGTGGCAGTGAACCTGCTGTTGGTGTTGGCGTTACGGGAGTCCGGGCGACCACTGCTGAATCTATCACGAGAGGACGGGCGACTAGGAGGTCCTCCGTATTTATCGCCGTTTCGAGACTCCGGACGGCTGCTGGTGGCCCATCTGTCGCCGGTACGCGAATCCGGGCGACTTGGGGGTCCGCCGTATTCCGGGCGACTTGGGGGTCCGCCGTATCGCTCAGACTCGGAGGGACGGGAGCTGCCCAGAGGAGGGAACCTCTCGCTGGTACGGGAGTCCGGACGGCTGTTGGTGGCCCATCTATCGCCGGTACGCGAATCCGGGCGACTTGGGGGTCCACCGTATCGCTCAGACTCAGAGTGACGGGAGCTGCCCAGAGGAGGAAACCTCTCACCGGAGCGAGATGGTGGGCGACTTCCGGAGAACCCACCAGCATCGGGACGGCTTCCAAGTGGTGGGAATCGGCTGTCGTTGCGAGAGCTAGGACGCCAGTTGTCACCTCCTCCGAAGCCGCGCGACCGCTCTCTTCTGATACCGGCGTCACTCTCCAGGACTTCCACGATGCCTAACGCAAAGGTTTCCCTCGCAGGGTCATCCGCCAGGTAGCCTGGAGGGCCGCCAGTAGAACTGCGCTTCGACAGACTGCGGAAAGCATGTGCTAGGAGCTATTGGAAAATACGTTAGCACTGACAACTCTGTGAAGTGACCACGCGACATACCCTATCGAGACATTTCTTGAACTCCAGTGTTATCTTCGCCTGGTTGTCCCTGGCCCGGAAAGGCAACCAACTATCGATCTCCAACGTGTTTCCATACATCCGCAGCTTTCCTCCAAAGAGCAGCGCTGCCAAGGCGGTGCTCTCGGTGTTCTGTCTAAGCAAGATGGAAGAACCGTCGTTGCTCTTCGCCTTCGTGGAATATGTCACAATCGCTCCCAGTGGGGTGGACTTGTCATCCCTCGCGGAATAATGAACCGAAGAGGGGTGGATCATCGTGAAGTTCTCGCTAACGGTCCTGAATCCTCTTCCTCCAGTGCAAACAGCTAGGTTAGGATACATTCCGGCCAAGGTCAAAGCCTTGATAAGGGGAACGGATTCCGAGTTGCCATTGAGTCGCGGGTGTCCAAACTGGGAGCCATGCCTCTCGCCACGTCCAGACCTAGGGACAATGCCGATTTCTCCGAGAACATCTTCGACTTGCTTGGCGGTCTGGTCAAGAACCTTCAAAGCTCCTCGGTGAAGGAAGTTTCTCTCGGCGAAGCCGTGGGCAGCGTACTGACCATCCCTGTCACGAACATCACGCCATGCCTTGAACGCGTTGATAACACCCATGTGGTCACTACGGGTGTTCCCAATAAACTGGTGCCGTGCTTGGTTAGCCTCCCGTCGTTTGTCCGGGGGGCTGACAAAAATATCACGCCCGCCAGCCGAAGCACCGAGAATGAGAATGGGATCCAAGCATCTGAAAATGACCGCAAGAAGGATCATCTTGCCAAGAGCAGGCTCAACGGGCATGGTGGCCAAAACGTGTCCCAGCTGGGTCAATTTCTCGTCCTGGTCGATAGCACCAAGGGCGAGAAGCTGGCGCAACGATGCCTCGATCGCATGGGGAGCAGGTGGCTCGATGGCCTCCGACAGGAACTGCGCGATGGGATCCTTGAAGCCCTGCAGCTTAATGTCAAGACAAATCTCCTGAAGGTCGGATCGCAACATCTCTGGTAGTCCTGTCGCACGGAGCGAATCGAATCGAGCACGGGAAAACAGAGCGTAGTAGTTTCCGTTCTGGACACGACCAGCACGACCGGCTCTCTGCTTCGAGTTCGACTTGCTAACCCAAGTACAAACCAGCTGCGTAATTCGGCGGGCCTGTTCGTATTGCTTCTCTCTGAGCTTTCCGGTATCCACGACAAACTTGACATCTGGAATGGTGATGGATGTTTCGGCAATATTTGTCGACAGAATGATCTTACGGATGCCCTTGGGCAGGTCCTCGAATACTTCGTTCTGGTTGGGAATGGACGAGTGAAGCATGTAGATCTTGTACTTCTCGGTTTCGTTGAAGTTGATGCCGAGCGGGCGACCGTTGCGGAGTGCGTCGTCAACCTTCAAGATCTCATCGAGACCGGGCAAGAATGCAAGTACAGCACCATCATCAGTTGTGTGCATAATGTGGGCCAATGTGGTCGCCACGAGGCCCGTGGGAACCAGTGCATCCTCCTTTTCGGTAGCTACGGAAGCCTGTCCATCGGAACGAATGTTGACCTCTTGCTTCCAGTTGATGGTTGCATCACCGCCATCATCAGCTTCAACGCCTGTTCCGGGAGAAACGGCCCTCGATGGTACTCGAGACGCGTCCCTCGAAACGGCGGCGGATGCAGGCACAGACAATGCTGGCGGAAGAGGCTTGAAGCCCTCTTCTGAAGTCAAGAAATTTTTCGTATCATCCTCTCGCAGTAGCGTCAATTGTTGTTGCGGGTAAGCCTTGAGCATGGTCCTGATGTCCTCGAGATAGAACTCTGTGACTGGGAAAGTTCTACCGGGGACACTCAGATGCGGGCATCCCACCCACTGTCCATCCGTGTTCTTGTGGCCGAAGTAACCAGCAAACAACTCGGTGTCCATAGTGGCACTCATCAGGACCACCTTAACACCAGCCTTTCCAGTTGACCTCCTCTGCTTAAGAACCCTCTTCAGGATAATCAAGAGATAGTCGATCATGATGTCTCGCTCGTGAACCTCATCAATAACAAGGTGAGTGATTCCATCAAGGACGTCGTCAGGGTTGTGGCGGAGCTGCTGGAGCAAAATTCCAGTAGTACAGTATGTGATACTTCCGCCGGTCTGGGGAAGCTTCGCGTCGAACCGCACCTGGTAACCGATCGACTTTTGAAGAGGCTCGTTCCGCTCAACTGCCACACGTTGGGCCACAGAGGTAGCTGCGATACGTCTTGGCTGAGTACAGATGACGTTGCAATCAGCACCAGAGCCGGCCTTGATTGCGTCTTCGAGAAGAATCTGTGGGACCTGTGCTATAAGGGTGTAAGCGTTGCTGTGACGAACACCGAAGATGTGGATGGTAACATACTCGTCTTTCCACTACCGGTGGCACCGATGATGATACTGACATCATTGTTGTTGACCAGCTCCAAAACTTGTCCGGTGTACTGTATCATTGGCAATTCAGATCGTTTCTGTCGGAGAACCGCCAACTTCTCGTCCTTCAGGTATTCCTCGTAAGCCTCGAGCATACTTTTACTCTTGACTTCTGCCGAAGCCGAATCCAGCTTGCGTTTAGCGTATCTCCGTCGATCTTGTTGTGCCCTGTCGTCCTCGAGTGCCATCTCTTCTTCAGTGGGCGGTAGCCCAATCCGTCTCACACTGAGCAGCGTATCTGTCATGGCCAATATGGAGTCCTGATCGACGTTCAACCACGTCGGCGGGATCGGCTTCAAGATTTCTCCATTGCCCATTCGCAGAGCCTCTATGAAGTGTGGGAATAGCTCGGGATCCCGCTCCTTCAATGCCACGGCAGCGGTCACCCAGGCTGCAATCTCCGCATTCTTCTTGCCCGCCATCTCGACAGGCTCACCAATAGGTTCGCCGTTCAGCATAACTTGTGCGTCGGTCATGTTGGCAGAAATTCTCTTCGCCTTTCCGCGCACCTGCTTTGCTTCACAGGTGTATACGGCGTTCGGGTTATGGACCTTGTAGAATTCGAAAAACTTTTTAGCATTGCGACTATTGAGCACAGTGGACACATCCTTGACTAGGATGTCTCCATCGCCGTTCTTCGCATGCCAATCCTCGGCTTGACGTTTGAATTCCACGCTGGCAAGAATATCCGCGACCCTCCGTTCAGTAGCTCTGGCCGATGCTTTGATTCCCTGTTCCGGCATTTCGATGGTAACTTCTACGATAGCTTTCCTATTTCCCGGGCGGGTCCGGTCTTGGGTCGAGAAGATAGGCACAGTGCCGTAGCGTGCACAGTAATCGTAGATGTCCATCTTGGCATCCTGTTCGTCGTTCAGGAGCTCCTGGTTGAAAGCACCAGTGTGGATTCCGCCGAAAACCAAATCCTTTAATTGACCGGTCTGGTTTAGTTTCAGGACTATATGCTGACAAGCAATCTTCTCGGCGATTTTCTAAGAGCACAATCAGTACGGATGTCTCGGTGACGTAGTGAAAACACGACTAAGATAAACAAACGAACCTTGTTTTGAGCTTCTCCTACCGCCTCAATCCGGGTGTCGTCAGGCAACCTGACAGTTACCGTGCAACGGCAGATACCGCCGCGAACGACAGCGTTGGACCGTGCACTTGTGTTGACACCGTCCCAGAGGAAACTCTTCGGATTCGAGAATAGTGCAGCCGGTGCGCCCGGGTAGTCCTCCTTCTTCAGCTGTTGGAAGTTACGTGCCAGATAAGCGTCATCGATCAGTTCGCCGTCCGGCCTAGGACCCGAGGCCATGACACCTCTTCCGCCTCGTCCGGTTTGGCCCCTGGCAATTCTGCCGCCCTGCGGTTGTGCCATCTGTTTCGAACGCTTCGTGGCCGGCTGGTGAACCGGCGATCCTCCTCTTTGTTGTTGGTTTGCTCGCTGGCCACCAGCATTTGCACCGCCTCTCCCGCCTCGTCCGTTCTGGGGCCCATTATTCCGCCAGTTACTGTCGAGTCTGGGGTGTCGCTGTGCTTGGCCGACGGGTCCTAAGCCGTCATACGGTGTCCATGCGTCTTCGTGTTGCCGAGCCTGCTGTGAAGGTAGCCCACCACCAGGAGCTGTAGTGGAGAACTGAGGCTGTGCCCGTGAAGTGAATGCGCTCGCAGTAGGATTCAGGAAGTTTCGAGGGTATGGCTGATTCTGCATAATGAGTCGTATCCTCGGTATCTGATGTAGAATAAGAAGTGAGTATGTAAGTGACCGAGTTTTTCGCGAGAATAGGGTCAAGGTAGAGGTAGAGATGGAAGGGTGTTCGTTGGGATCGATGGGGGTTGGGGGGTAGTGTTGTGTTAAGGGAGGCGAGGAAGATCAAAGGAAGAGGACAGAGAGCTGTGAGATAAAAAAATAGAAATGCAGCAGGGCAGTTGTGGCAGGAGTAGTAGCGGATGGAAGGGTGGAGGTGGTGGTGGGTGCTTGATTGCTTGCTCGCTGGGTGGGTCTTACCGAGAGGCGCTGCATGTCGTCGCAACAATCCGTCCCCTTAGCAACTCAGAGAGCGAGCGTAGCTGGCAGTCTTGAATGAGCAACTTACACAGGACGACTATCGACGGTGTGAAGGATTCGATGGTCCGTATGGGGAGGAGTGGAGTGAGTGTAAGTGAGTGGTTCAATGCAAGCAGAGTACTCGGTGGAAAAGCGGGTCTGATATGATGGTCCACGGGCAGCAAGCGCTTGTGTAAACTTTTTTCTGTGTGCAACTTTTTTTCTTCGGCGGCGTCAGTCAGCAGAGCCGCGCTACTCTTGATTTGGGCTGGGCGCTATCCATTATTCCGGATGAGTAAGCAGTTAAATACTTCGAGTGATTACATATGGAGGACCTCGCGATGGAAAGGCTCGCTGCAGTGAGACCATCGGGAGATATGGTGTATTCTTGTGTCTGATGAGAGAAGTCATAGGTATGTCTAGGTGCTTACCATGCGAGAAGTCGAGTAGGAAACTACAGTACCGAAGACATCACTACCTACGGGGCTCAATGTCACCAGCTGTAGCCACATATCACCGACCAAACGAAGAAGATCCGCGAATGAGGACAGCCCGCGATGGTGTATATGCTTATTTGAAAGTTTTAGAAGTATGGAAAACAGAAGTACTGACAGACATCTTCCGGTCATGCACCAACTAACCACAATTTATGACCATAATGACCTACCAAGTATACCTGGAGTAGATCTATCCAATTCCACACCTCGCTCGTCAAGAGCTTAAGTTTCCCTCTTTACTCTAATACTCCGCCAAATAGCGTTCCGTCTCCCATGGTCGGTGCTACGTTACGGCACGGGTGCACGCGGTTTAGTGAATATGACCGTGCATTGCTGCCAGCTCGCCAACCGGTGATAAGATAGCTCACCTGTGAAACCAGCTTCGCGGGATTCAAATGCTGGAATGTTCGGATACGTGACATCGGCCCAGACAGTCCAGGAGCTGGGAGCCTGGAATACCTATCCATTGACGTTAACTGGGTGATTAGAGTGACCTTTGATGACCAGGGTTTTATAAACTGGAGAGGCCGCCACCAACAAACATGCGCGCCAGTCTAGTGCACTTCCAGTCCGAGGCAGTCAAATAGTGGGTTTTGCTGATCGTTTTGCGCCTCACGTCTGCCTGGAGCCTGGAAAAGCAGTGACGACCTGGTTCACGCACGAAGTTCGTTTCTACAACTGCTCTACCGCTACCATGTTTTCTGCGGTTCCGGTTGAGACGTGATCAGATACTGTGGCCATTTGATGATACAAACACACCTGCAGATACATGCTTATTGATCACTTGATATGTATTCTTTTGCTCGCGGTAGGTTCATGCGAGTATTCCGCATGATAAATTGATACGACGTTGAGAACCTCTTCTGCTTTAGAGTACTCTAGACTCGGCAAGTGGACCCTGGCTTTGGCAAGTTGACAACAGACAGAAAAAAGAAGAACTGATCCCCGGCGCCCGACCCTGTTTTTTCGCCCGGCTCTGGGGTTGACGGCTTGGCACCCGGTACTCAGCCTTTTCGCTCCAATTTTTTCTTTCAAGTGCCGCCACCACAGTGTTAGAACGCGCGCTTTGGCTCTTCCCCTTTTCTCTGATAAACCCCGTCCGTACCCCCATCATAACTTAACCTTCGACCCTCAACTCTCACACTCATCCCCCCCTCACCCCACCCTCTCTCTCATCCTCCCTCTCTCACTCTCCCCCCTCTCCCTCGTTGCGCAAGGAAGGTCCTCTAGCGAACGAACTTTCTCTCACCACTTCATTCTTTTTGTGCAACTTGCAATCAATCTTTTCGGACACGCAAATCAACCTCATACCACTGATCATGTCTTACGGCGATAACAGAGGAGGTTACGGCGGCGGAGGAGGAGGTTATAGTGGAGGCGGAGGAGGCGGATATGGCGGCGGCTCGAATGGCTACAGCGGAGGAGGCGGCGGTGGCTACGGAGGTGGTGGCGGTGGCGGGTTAGTACTCCCTAGTATATTTCTCGGTCGCGTGAAGTTAGCATCGATCTCAACGAACGGAATAAACGCGTGTTTTGGACTTCATAGCTAACAGTTGCATTAGTTACGACAGAGGCGCTGGTGGTGGCTATGGCGGCGGTGCTCCCCGCGGCGGCGGCTTCGGTGGTGGTGGTGGTGATCGCATGAGCAACTTGGGTGCTGGTCTCAAGTCCCTGCAGTGGGACATGGCGACCATGCCCAAGTTTGAGAAGTCTTTCTGTAAGCACTTATCGCATGCAAATCAGCGTTCTGAACATGATGCTGATTTTGATATATAGACAAGGAGTCTCCCCCGGTCGCTGCTCGCACACCCCAAGAGGTCGAGGCTTTCCGTACCGAGAAGCAGATGCGCATCCAGGGAACTGATGTGCCAAAACCCGTTCTCACCTTCGACGAAGCTGGTTTTCCTAGTATGTATCCTATTTGTTTCTCACCTCTTGAGCGAAAACTAATATGTACCAGGTTATGTCATGAACGAAGTCAAGGCCCAGGGCTTCAGTGCTCCCACTGCGATTCAGTCTCAGGGTTGGCCTATGGCTCTCTCCGGACGTGACGTTGTTGGTATCGCTGAGACAGGATCTGGAAAGACTTTGACTTACTGTCTGCCCGCCATCGTTCACATCAACGCGCAGCCTCTGCTTGCACCTGGCGATGGACCTATCGTCCTCGTACTTGCTCCTACCCGTGAATTGGCTGTTCAGATTCAACAGGAAGTTGCCAAGTTCGGCAAGTCTTCGAGGATTCGCAACACCTGCGTCTACGGAGGTGTCCCTAAGGGTCCCCAGATCCGCGATCTTTCCCGTGGAGTTGAGGTCCTGATTGCTACTCCCGGCCGTCTGATCGATATGTTGGAGACTGGCAAGACCAACCTCCGCCGTGTCACGTACCTCGTTTTGGACGAGGCCGATCGCATGTTGGACATGGGTTTCGAGCCTCAGATCCGCAAGATCATCGGACAGATTCGTCCGGATAGACAGACTTGCATGTGGTCTGCTACATGGCCTAAGGAAGTCCGTCAGCTCGCGTCCGATTTCTTGAACGATTTCATTCAGGTCAACGTCGGATCGCTCGATCTGTCCGCCAACCACAACATTCAGCAGATCGTTGAGGTCATGAACGACTACGATAAGGTTAGTCACACCAACCCATCCCTCGGATAAGCATAGGCGCTGACATCTTATAGCGCGACCGTCTCGTCAAGCACCTTGAGAAGATTATGGACGATAAGGCCAGCAAGTGTCTGATCTTCACTGGTACCAAGAGAACTGCCGATGAAATCACTCGATTCCTTCGCCAGGATGGATGGCCTTGCTTGGCTATCCATGGTGACAAGCAGCAAAATGAACGCGATTGGGTCTTGAACGAGTTCAAGACCGGAAAGAGCCCTATAATGGTTGCTACTGACGTGGCTAGTCGTGGCATTGGTATGATATATGCGCATTCTCCCTTTACTCCCTTCCTTCCTAGTGATGCCCTCACCTTTTTTGTCGTGCGAACAGTTGCTCTGCTCTCCATGCTTGTCCGGACTGTTGCATGTCTTACCTTTCTGCCAGTGTCTGTTGGTTTTCGCCCATGGAAACTTGTGAACCCAGAGTGCAGCGAAGTTGAGGAACTTCACTGGAACCAAGCCACGATTGATCGCTTTGACTCTCCAATCATGTTGAGAGGGTCAGGGCTGCGTTGATTGATATGAGCGCTGCACTTCTGAGTTTCAGACAGCACACACAGAACTTTGCAGTTATGCATTGAGGGTACAAGGAGGCCAGTGAGACGGAGCCAAACGTCAAGCACAAAAAAGAGAGGAAACATGCTTCTGGAAACGTGCTATTATAATGCTTGAGATGCTAACTTCATATGCTCAAAGATGTTCGTAACATCACTCACGTTATTAACTTTGAGTACGTACTCCTTCTGTTAGTTTACATTTCGAAATACTGACCGGATTCTAGTTACCCTAATAACTCTGAGGATTACGTTCATCGTATCGGTCGTACCGGTCGTGGAGGGTATGTTCAATTCCATGCCGACGCACCGAAGCAGTGACTAACTCTTTTGCAGTGCCAAGGGAACTGCCATTACGTTCTTCACCACCAACGACAACAAGCAAGCCAGAGATCTGCTTACCATCCTGCGTGAAGCCAAGCAGCAGATTCCTCCGGAGTTGAATGACATGGGTCGTGGTGGCGGCTACGGAGGCAACTCCCGCTACGGCGGTGGTCGCGGCGGTGGTGGTGGTCGCGGCGGTCGTGGCGGAGGAGGCGGTGGTGGTGGAGGTGCCGGCGGTGGTAAGCATTACTAAGTCCCAGTTCGGATGTCGCGCTGAGCGGTCCCTAACTGTCGTCGTCCACCAGGCTACAACTCCAACAGCGCGCCTCTCGGCCGCACTCGCTTCTAGATCTGACGTGACTCCAAATATCTCGTGGTGTGCCGGATAGATTTCATTTTCCCTGGCGATTCATAGACTGGGTTTGCATGTGCCTTTTGCTCTTCAAAATTACTGGATGATGTGTTTTCTTTCTTTTGTCTTCTCGGGTCAGGGCGCGGTTTGTTGTCATCTGCTACGGGCATCTTTCGTTATGCTCTCGTTTTTTTTGCTGCGTGCTTTGGTAATGATGGGGGATGATGGGGGGTAACTTTGACTCTTGGCGAGGGGTATCTTGATTGTTTGCCTTCATTTTACGTAGTGGAGGGACAAGGAACAGATTGTTGAGTCGTTGATCTGTTCGTTACCGTGACCGAGTATCGAGTGAAAATCCATGCTCTATTGAGGAAGTGATCAACTTCTGTTCCGACGCTATGGATGATCGGCGTCACACCCTCTCTTCCCCCCTCCTTCTCCTCCATCTTGTTTCAACAAAATGGAATTTTCCGTGATCGACACGAACGGAAAGAAAACTCTTCATTCAGCCGGCTCGCCGTGGTTAGAGTATCTACCACTGTAATCGGGTGAGAACTAGTGAACCACCAAACTCCTCCCACCATCGCCGAAAACCGAGCGTTGCTTCATGATTGTAGATTGTCGATTGTAGATTGTAGATTTTACATCCGTTCCGGCCACGTTCCGACCAGCAGTGACGCGTGCGGCGTGCGGCGTGATGAGCAGCGAAGAAGCCCCAGGAAGTAAGCCAGCCAGCCAGACAGACAGCACCTCACATGCCACGCATACCTAGGAGCACATACATACCTTGGTAGGTATCTTCATGGTCAGTAGTATTCCACGGGGGTGTTCATCCCATCCCATCCCCATCTCCATCACATCACATCACATCCCGACGATCCAGCTGGTACCTAGAAGCAAAGCCGGGAGTACTGCGACCCGACGACGAGGCCGACGATATTCTAGGTACTTTCTTCCGTCCGCCGAGGTTCGTTTTTTTCTTCCTTTTTCTTACTTTTTTCTCTTCGGAAGGAAGACAGAAGGATAGACACAGACCCCACTCGCCATTTTCCATGTATGTAGTTGCTTGCGCTACGCGGGACGATACGATACATACGATACCGGACTATGTGTGTGCAAGACAAAACTACCTACAAGACCATGTAGAGTATCTACAAGACCATGTATGTAGAGTATCTACAAGTCCCCGCCGCTTGCGCCTACACTCACACTACACACACAGAGACACACAGGGACAACAGAGACAGGGACAACAGAGACAGGGACAACAGAGACAGGGACAACAGAGACAGGGACAACAGAGACAGGGACAACAGAGACAACCAAGGGGGGGCTGGGAGCTTCGGGGGCTCGCTGGGGGGAAGTGAGGTGAGACATTGTCACGGAGACGGAGACGGAGACGGAGGTGGAGCGGCGAAGTCACAGGGCGCGGGTATGCAATGCGAGGTTGAGTTGTTGCCTGCCTTCTAGTGGGGGGCCAGCCAGCCAGCTAGCCAGCACGAGGTCGATGGATCATGTACGTACCAGTCGAGGGTTCCGGAGGCCGAATCGGGGATCCCACTAGGTAGGTGGTAGGCACTTCGGTAGAGTACTCTAGGTGGGTGTGTTGGACTTGGACTGGACTTGGACTTGGACGTGGACGAGAGAGACGACGTCCGCGGCGGCGCGCGCACGGTCCCAAACTTTGCGGTGATGTGATGGAGTATCAATCTGGGCGTACCGAAGTACCACACAGACACCTGGCTGGATGTGTCACTGGAAAAACACATGTCGATGTGTATGATGTATCTGTGTGTGTATGTAGAGGACGCATCGACAGTACGTACCTGGAAACTCCGCTCCGCATGGACAGGATTGGATTGGATTCTGGATTCTGGATTCTGGATTCTGGATCTCGGGATCCCCGAGGCCCTCGGCGTTCTTGCCAGCTCCCTTTTCCCGCAGACAGCGGGAGAAAAAAAAGCCACAACAAAATTTTTATGTGTGTCGCGCGGTGTTTCGCCTGCTCGCTCGCTCGTCATGCGAGCGCGCGCGGAATTGTCCGACTCACAACTCCTAGCAAAAAAAATTAAAAAAATTCAATCAATAATCAATCAAGCAAGCAACCCAGCCATCCATCCATCCCTTGCAGGAGTGCAGGCGTGCAGGAGTGCAGGCGTGTGTGCGTGCCCGACGACGGCGTATCCGACGTATCCGGAAGGTGTAAGCGGACCTGATGGAACATCAGACGATAACGTGTTCTCCCCTACCCCCCTCCCCCCTCCTTCCCCTCCACGGCCCACCCCCCTCCTCCACGGCCTGCCCTCCCCCCCCCCCCTCCCCCCTCCACACCCCGTGCCCGCCCGCACGCGGCCAGCCTGCGGAGATGTGTTGGATGGGTGGATGGAAGGATGGATGGTGAGTTGTTCGGATTGCCTACTCACCATACGGCGCTAGATAGGCAGGTAGCCAGCCTCTGGGAAGATCTAGAAGGCGCACGCCCCCCCCGGCGGCCGTCGACGATATCACGTCGTTCTAGTGTGATGTGATGCTCGGTCTCTCCTCGTCGGTGTCGGGGTCGGGGGAGGGATGGCATGCAGAGCATACCTAGAGTACATACATACAAGGTTGAGTATGTAGCACACGTAGTTACGTACATTCGCCGATTGCCTAGAGGATGTATGTACCTGGGTGCTCTGTGATGTACGTATGGTACATACTGCGACGTCGGCGTCGTGCGCGCGTAGCTGGGATGGAAGGATGGAAGAAAGGAAGGATGGAGGGATGGATGAAGAGGATAGAACCTCCAGGTATGTAGATTGACCGGAGCATCATCATCATCATCATCAACATCAAAGCGGATTCGAACGAGGGAGGTTGCCGGACCCCATTGCGGCGGGGACAGCGGCGACGGCGGGAAGGTTCAGTCCATCCGTGCTCTTTCTCCCTCTCCCTCTCGTTGTCGTTGATCGCCCTCTCCCTCTCCCTCTCTCTCCGGTGGGAGCGACCTCTGCCTCTCCCTGGCTGGAGGAAAAAAACCCCCCGTAGGTACTTCCATACATACTTCCTGTAGGTTGAACCCTGCATAACGCGCAACCCCCCGACTTGACATCACCATGCAGCAGCAGCAGCAAGCAGCAGAGAAACGAACGAAAGAACGAACGAACCGGACAAGCCGCGCATCCGGAATTGAGGGTGGTGTTACCGTACCCACCGCCCCCCCCTCGTATGTAGAGTACTGTGCTTTCCGCGGCAAGGATTGCTTCTTGTCTGAGGCAAAAAAAATACTCAAAAAAAAGGAAAAGGAAAAGGAAAAGGCCGCCGGAATATATCGTGAGTGAGTGGGTGAGACGTGGAGTCCACCCTATGAAGCACGGCACCGCAGACACAGCCTGCACAAGTCAAGCCGCCGGGTCTCAAACCACCATGTGGCTGTGGCTGTGGTTCTGGTCCGGCGTGCGGGCGGGCTTCTTCTTCTTCTCCGTCGTCTTCTCCATCTTCTTCTTAACCCTCCCCACTTCTTCAGGTACTCTAGAGTAGCCCGCGGGATTCTCCCCAGGGTGGCATTGTCTACTCTACTCTACTCTGCTCTAGTTAGTAGTATGATGGCACAGTGGCATACTACTCTAGCAAGCTCGCGCCCAAACTAAACGAAACCATGCAGGTCACGGAAACCCCATGGTCCTTGGTGTCCTTGGTGTCCTTGGTGTCCTTGGTGTCCTTGGTGTCCTCGTTACGATTGGATGTACCACCGGACGTTGGCTCAAGCGAGAGCACGCCGGCGCCGGCGCTGGTGACTGGCGAGAGAGAGTAGGAGTGAGAGTGAGAGAGCTCCGGCAGAGATGTGGTTGTCGAGGTGGAGGAGGATTCGAGAATCGAGTCACTCGACGAGTTATTGCGGATCAAAGATACAATTGAACTTCGAGCTTCGAGCTTCGAAGCAGCTTCGAAGCAACAGCCGCACAAGTTACAAGTTACAACGGCACCATGCATAAATCCGCATGTCTGGCAAATCCAATGCTGGCATGGCATCGCAAGTATCTGCTTGGTAAGTAGAGGAGCATGCTTCGTTTCGAGTTCGATCTCTCCGCTCAAACTCAATGGTCTGGTGATGCGGTGCGCGGGCAGCGTCGGGACTCGGTGGTCGAGGGAGTCAGGCCGTGTGTGACTGACTGACTGATTACTTTCCTGCTTTGCTGCCTGTGTAGCCTGCCTGCCTGACGATGCGTGACGATGCCTGTGCTCCCACCGTCTCCTCATCCTTCTCATCCTCCTGGACAGGAGTCACCGAGTGGGTGAGAAGAGTGAGTGAGAAACAGAATATGCACCTCTTCGGATGGATGGATGGATGGATGAGTGGAAAGCAACCATGAGCCTGAATGTACTCTCTACATACACACAAATTCATCATGTCCGTCAGGCGACCGGCGACCGAACGGGCTCGCGTCCATTGTTTCAACGGGAATGATTCGCACGCTTCAGTTCTACTCTACTTTATAGATACCGGTAACTAACTGGCCTACATACACACATCCATACTGGCCTGTGTATGTAGGCACCTACCTATGCTACTTGCCTAACCAAACTGACCCTCGCTCTTCCCTTCTTGCCTGTCGTCTGCCTGCCTGCTTGCTTGCTGCCCTTTCATCCCAAAGGCCCATTGCCATTTGCAAACCACGGCACCGGAATCACCCCCCCTCCCTCCGATACGCACGTTTCCTCTAGCTACCTCACCTACCTACCTAACCTATGTAGAGTCGATAGAGAAAACAGGCAGACAGCCATATCTAGTAGACAGCCAGGCGGGCGAATAGGCAGCAAATAGCCCCAACCCAACCCCAACAACGGCTGGCTGGATATCGTAGATTCCTCCGCAAGATCTGATGATATTCCTTGTAGTTACATGAGTACATGTGTTTTTTTTTGTTGCCTTGCCGACCGAGACTCTGGAGTCTGGATGGAGGGATGCATCCAGCCGTCACTCTGTCCATTCGATTCATCCATTCTACCTACATAGAGTAGAGCATCTATCGAGCGATCGAAACATCTACTCTATGTACAATACATACTGGAAATATGCAGTTTGCCTCCCTCTCTCCGTGGCTCACCCACATCCAACATCTTCTCACGTCACCACGCCGAGGTCGGGAGCCCGGGTGGAGGTACGTCGGTCGAGTCGCTCCGAGCTCGCCGCCCGTCCGTCAGTTCACGATTTTAAAATAATTCAAGAATTCAGTGAATTTCGAATTTCGAATTTCGGATTAAACCCCCCCTCCCTCGACGATTTTTCGATGTTGCCCGGGCCACATGCCACCGAAGAAGAAGGGGAAAGAAAGTACGGTATTCCGACGACGACGACGTATCAGCATCGTATAATCAGCAGCATCATCAGCAACAAGCAGGAGCAAGCAGCAGAGTAACATCATACCTCTCCTCCTTCCCCCGAGCCTGAGGTGTCTGCTGTCTGCTGGCTGGCTGGCTGGCATATGTACATAGAGTGGCCGAGTGGGGTACTTCGAAGCGCTCTACCCGGAACTGCGCCTTCCTTTCCGTGTGTAATATCCCAGTCCAGTCCAGTCCAGTCCAGTGCGGTGCGGTACGGTCAGTCTTCCAGTGCGGTGCGGTACGGTCAGTCTCGCCAGCCACAAATCTCGGATGGCAAGTGACAAAGGAAGATGAAGAGAAGTTAAAAAAAAAAAGGGAAAAAATCATAATAGATAGAGGCAACGAAAAGGCTTGGTCGCACAATTTCGAGTCGGTAAATGTCACGATCCTTTCCTTCTTGATGATTCTCCACGGAGCAGAGCAGAGTAGATACCGCAGAGTACTCGGGTGTAAGGGTAAGTGCTGCCTCACCAGTTTTTCCCCCATACAGCTCAGCGTTCCCCCCAGGCCAGGCCAATTAGCCGAGCCCTGTTGCGTCGTCGTCGCTGGCTGCTGCCGTGCGCAAATTGAAGCATATCGGTATCGCCGTGGAATACGGAGGGGAAAAGGAGGGAGGGAGGGAGGGAGGGAGGGGGGTAAACAAAACAAAGAAAGGAAAGAAGAAAAAACGAGGGTCTCGATGCGATATGGCCATCCATCCATCCATCCATCCATCCACATCCACAAACACGGGCGGAGAGGAGAACGAGGCGTGAGGGATCTCATTCGGCACCACGGCATCTCGGGGGGCTTTTTGATTCTGGCGATGACTGTCGTCATGGGCCTCCACCACCACAACCCCCCTACATATGTTGGAACTTTTTCGGTGGCCGGCGGTGGTGCTGGTGGTGGAGGGCCGGTGGAATTTGCCATGTGAGCGTATTTGCTGCTGTGCTCCGTCTTGACTGGGTCCGGTCCCAGCGAATCGAATGAACGGTTCTCTGCTGCCCCTCTGCACGATGCACCTCTGACCTCTGATCTCTGCCCTCCGTTTTCTTTTTTTTCTCTTTCTTTCGGGTAGCCGAGAGACACGGAGACGGAGGGGAGAGGAGGAAGAAGAAGAGGAAGAAGAAGAGGAGAAGAGAAGGGGGGAGGGGCTGAATCGAGCGTATGATAGGCAGAAAGAACAGATCATGAGGGCAAATACAACTGTATAACTCCAGCGAATTTCTGGAATGGGATGTTCGCGCAGACGGGATCTAGATAGGTCTCTGGTGTGAGGCGTTCCATAGGCTGCACTGGCTGCCACTATGTTGCCCCACCGTTTCACGCGTGGGCGGAGATGGTGGAGGTAGTGGTATATAGTGGTAATAGTGGTGGTAGTGTGGAAGTGGCGGAGAACAAAGCTTTCGTCTGATATTATTATCTGCACACACCACACTCTCACCATCATCAAGATTCAAGACGCAGCAATTTACGGTACCAGGCCATTTACCAGGCCACTCGATTACCCTCACACACATATACATACATGCACACACACTCACGCTCACACACACACCGAGCAGCAATCGAACGCCTGCACACTACACAGTACACACCGCACTCTAGAGCAAAAGATGTATTTGGAACTCCAGGCGAAATGCACGGAACAAAGTAGGATTGAAAGAGCTGGCGACCGACAGGAATCGAATGAAGTTACAGGAGAGCAAGCGACCGGGGGAAGGGGTCAGGCTCGAGGGGTGTGTATGGGTGTGCCTGCACAGCGGGGAGGGGGAGGAGGGCGGCGATGCTGGCGGCGGCGGTGATGGTAATGATGATGATGATGATGATGATGATGATGATGATGATGATGATGATGATGATATGATGCTTCCTTATGCTTTATGCTGCTTCCGATGGCAAATGCTTACTTACATACAGAATGCAGGCTGGTAGAGTAGGTACCGGCAGAGTACGGTACTCTATGTACTCGAGAGTCGAGAGCGATCACTCGCGCGCAGCCAGCCGTTCGGATCACGCGTTTCTTCCGGCTGTCTTATTCCGCCGGTGGCTCTGGCTGTCATGTGCATTGTGGAGTACCTTGGGCACGTACGTACGACGAGTACGAGCAAGCACCGAATAATTGTTTTCCTGCACATCCATTCGGATCGCGAGATGCACGATATCCGCCACCACCACTATCTCGAGCTTCACCGGAGCCACCACCGTGACTGCCGCCACCACCACCGCCCGCGGGCAATCGGGCAACCTTCGATGGTTGTGTGGGTTTGGGCAGTCCAACGGGAGGGAAGGAAGGTGGGAGGTGGGCTCACGGGAGACAGCAGCAGCTCGAGAGAAAAGATGCAGGATTCCAAGGGTTCCGGAGTGCCGTTCTCACGTAACTGTAGAGTACACACTCTGGTAACTGGCAGCCGTGAAGCAACGGAAACCCGTACACAGAGGCGAATAATGTTCGCAACAGCACTCGTGAGCCGTTTCGATTGTTCTGCTCTGCTCTTCAGTGCTCACATCTCGATTCTGCACCCACGCAGTCGGAACTTATGATTGGTGAAGCGAGCATGTATGTGCTCTAGAGTAGTACTCTACTCTACGTGGGTTGGACTGGGGTTTGGCGTTCACCAGGGTGCTTCGCCTTTCCAGCCGGACTCACCCCCAAGACCAGACTTTTCCGTGGGTGCTCGCGCTATGGGAGTGGGAGCGAGGGCATCGAGGGCCATGTACGGGGGCAGCGAGGTCATCGAGGGCAGCAAAGCGCGTGGATGAGAGTGGCATGCACTCAACGGTCCGCTATCGCATGTAACTAAGAACGAAGCATAAACCATAGTTACACTCTACAACAGTACTCAATGTACGCTACTTACATACTCTGCTATGCGTGTGTGACCATCTGGGTCCAACCTCCCCCTTCTGACCTGCCTGCCTGTCTGCAACCTGCACGTTCTGCCTGCCTGCCTGCCTGTGTGCCGATTGCTGTTGCGCCCATCACCCTCTCCTATCCCTTCTCCGCCGGCCCACCGCAAATCGTCTGTGCTACGCTTCATCCAGCAACAGCGTCATTGCTCAGAGTGGTAGCAGTTTCCGCCCGCTTGGTCGCCCCCCTTTCCCCTCCCTTGCTCTCTCTCTGCTCTCCCTTGCTCTCCCTCGCCGTTCCTTCTGTCGCTCCTCTTATCCTTCCGCCCTCTCTCGCGCTCTCTCTCTCTCCCTCTCCCTCTCCCACTTCCCTCTTCCGGCCCCCCCAGCTGTCTCCCCGGGCCCGACGCTCCTCCTCCTCCTCCCCCCCCCCTCCCTCGCCCTCCAGTGCGTTCGCTGTCCCGCTTCGCTGCCCACCACCCCTACCCCCTTTTCTCCGGGCTCGCCGCAGCGAACATCGTCATCCGCCGTCCAGTCTCTTCACGCCGAGCTCTTGCCGGCAGCCGCTTGCCTCCACCTACCTAGAGCATCTCCGCCATCCGACCGATCTCGAAGGTCCGGCTCGCCGCCGCCGTTGTTGTTGTCGTCGTCGACCCAGACTACGCCTCTCTTGATCCCTCTCTTTCCCCCTGTCGTCATCCTAGCGGCGCCATTGCACACGAAAGCCGCCCTAGCTGCCCAGTAGTGACATAGCATAGCACGTACCTCTATCTCCCTAGCAGTTGCGTCTGTACTCTATCTGGGTAGTGTCCATTCGGAGATCTGGCAGAAGCTATCGTGTGCCAAACGCTCAACCAACGTCGACGCTAAACGCTAAAAAAAAAATATTGTCCAAAATTCGGACGAGGGCATAGAGGTATCGTGGGAACAGAAACCGCACTGGCCCGACTATCTGAATCCGAGCCTCACTCCCTTCTCCTCATCTTCCTCGGCCTCTCCTTTTACCTCCTCTTCCTCGCCTTCTCCCGTAACCCGCCCGAACAGCACCGGCAGCGGCGGCGGCAAAAAAAAAAGAGCAGCAGAGAGCGAGGAAGTGCCCACCACTGCCACTCCCACTCGCTCAGTCCCTCCTCCTCCTCCCCCACCACAACCCTCCTCCCTCTTGCTCTGCCGGATTCCAGAATATCCCCACCCCTCCAACCACCTCCCACTCCGTCCTGTCCGCTTCCCTCCTCCCGCGAATAACAACCCAATCCCACTTCCAAAATCCGAAGCGGCGCTGTGTGGTTGATATATCTTTGCTCTCCAGTTCTTTCTTACGTGCTTTCTAAGCCTCGCCCTAAGAATTTAACTAAAATATCGCAACCCACGCGATTTTGCCCCCCCTCCTCTCCCGCCCCCCGAGGCCACAAAACCCACACCAAAAACTTTCCGCCCCAATTCCTTTCTGGAATCCGCTCCACTACTCCCCAACTACCACCTACCACCAACCACCCCCCCTACCACCTCCGCTTGACTACCTTCCGCCCCGCCCCCTTCGAATCCACCACCCCCCTCCAAGGTTTCACTCTTCCCTTCCACGCAACAGACACACACACCACGCCGCTTCTGCACTGCACCAACAGGACCCGTCCGTTGGCTCTGGCTGGTCTGAGTTTATCTCACCCTCCCCACCACCATCATCACCCCAAAAAAAAAAACTACTACTACCAGCCCCAACACTATTCCAACCTACTCCTCCACCCCCCTACCCGCTCTCACTTCTCACTCCCTACCTCCCACCCCCCTCTCCACTATACTACTACCCTCTTCCGCCACTACCCAACCAAAGGTTACAACCTCGCTCCGACTGTCCTTTAGTCCAGTAACTCGTTCGTGTCACGAGAAAAGAAAAAACTTACTTGGATATCCTCCATCAACTACCTCTACCACCCAACAACCCCCGTCCTACACTCGCTATCGCAATTGGCACCACCCCAGAGCCCTTTAACAACAGCTCTATACCGATCGCCCGCCCTCGTCGCGTACCAGTCGCTTTCGATATAGTATGGTAGCTTATTCGCTGTCGGCTCAGTATCATTCACAGCATCAGCACCAGCAACAACAACAGAACGGACACGCGCAGAGCCCCCAATTTCGCCCCCAAAGTTCTATGGACAGTAGGCCAACACCTTCAGAATACCCATCTGCCGCTCTATCAACTTCCAACTCTTACCAAGGCTATCCTCCAGCTCACATCGAAAACAACGACAGCTCCGCGAGCACTCCCCAGCACCAGCAGTCAGCCCCTCAAGACGCGCGATCGACCTACTCGGCCTCCGCCACTCCCACTTCCGAGACCAGCGCCATCTATCAGAGTAGAACGCCCACCTTCGGTCCCGACCAGATCATCGGCGCCCCCCGTTACGTCGACGGTCACCGTTATCAACCATCAAGCACGTCAAGTGGAGGTATGGCCAGGACAGTTTCTACATCCAATTCTCCATCCTCAGCAAAGGCGGATCCTGAAATGTCTCCAGATTCTACCGTGGCAGCTCCGAGCCCCGCCTCCTTCTCCCCCGGCGCTCACTACGGATCGCAATATCCTCCCGGTGCGCACGCCATGAGTGAAGGTTACCAACAACACCCCGGTGCGGCCAACCAGGCCTGGAGGCAGGATTGGTCTCCCTACGGCCCGGCCCCTCATCAGATGGCCCCCGGCCCCTACGGCCACTCGCCATCGCCCACCACAATGGCCGGGGCTCCTAACATGGTTGCGACCGCGCGTCCCGTTTCGGCACAGAAGCCCAACCGAAAACGCTCAGGCGATGGGCCCACCAACCACCCCCTCTCGCAGGTTTACTCGTTCGTTCCAATTCCCGGTGCCACTCAGAATAAGCGTCCGCGTCGGCGTTACGAGGAAATCGAGCGCATGTACAAGTGTGGATGGAACGGATGCGAGAAGGCTTACGGAACACTGAACCATCTCAACGCCCACGTGACCATGCAAGGTCATGGTGCTAAGCGAACACCCGATGGTAAGTCTACTTTTTTTATATACATTTTTAATACTTTTTTTCCGCTCGCATGTTATCGCGTTGCTGGGGCCTCGTGTGCCTCTCGCGTAAGGAACGCGCTACTACTACTACCGGTTTTTTTAGTGTAACCCCACTATACTACACTCGTTCACTTCCTCCTCCTCCACTCACTACCTTCCACCTCCGCATCCAAGAATACTCTATCTCGTCCCTATTCATTCCCAACCATACTGACGCATATTCCTCCTGGTTTCAATAGAATTCAAGGAGATCCGTAAGGAATGGAAGGCTCGTAAGAAGGAGGAGGAAGCTCAGCGAAAGGCGGCAGAGGAAGAGGCTCGCAGAAGGGCTCAGGACGAGGGTTCGGCGGCCCCTACCGCCGAGAATCAGCCTCCCGCTTCCGGCTCGCCGTACGTGAACAACATGGCTCCGGGCCAGCGTCAGCTCCCCCCTCCGCTTTCGTACCAGCCCAACGTCTCGATGGCGGCCTCGAATGGTGTGCACTACAGCCCCACCGCCGCTCCTACCGCCCCGATGGAGAACATGCAACAGTACGCCCAGCAGCAGCCCATCTACGCTGGATACAGTGCCGCGCCCCAGTACGGCGCACAGCCACAGCAGATGTACGCTGGTCAGCAGCGTGCTGCGACCACACAGAGTAACGGTAACACTAGCACTACTACCGGCGGTGAGGAACCTGATGCGGATGCTGAACTTGATCCTGATGTTTCTACAGCTCCCACTTACAACCCATAACGACGCCACGAGTCGACCAGTACATATACCGTTCTCCCATCAGTTGCCACTACATACTGTTTCGAAAAAAAAAACGACGGGACGATTCTACGAGGTGCGAGTTGCGATAGGGGGTGGGGGGTTGCTTTAGGTGGTGAGGGTTTGCGTTCATCTCTCTTTTTTTTCCCGATCCACAAACATTTCTCTTCTGTGTTCATTGTTCAGACTCGGCTTTGTTCTTTTCGTGTGTTGTTAATTTTCTGCTTGCTCTGGCGTATCGAGCTGTTATGGGGGTCCGATCGCGACAGAGGGCTAGATCTCACGTTGGGGCTCTGCTTTTAGTCGTTTTCATTGTGTTGCTTAGAACGGGTTTAGGTGCATTCTTCCGGCGAGGGGCAGTGAAGTTCTGGGGAAACGGCGAATATTTGAGAAAGGAGAGAGAGGCGAGGCGAGGGAAGAAAAAGCGACTGCGCCTGTCTGTTTCTTTCTTTTCGTGATTTTATGCGTTGCAGTTCGAGTACAACTACCCCCCATCTCTCTTCCTAGGGTCTATCGCTTACGCATAGCTCTTGTTATCCTATGGGCTGGTTGGGTTCTGCTTGTTTTTTTCCTCTTTTCTATCCCTTTTTCCTTTCTGCTTTGATCTTTTTTTCCGTTTTGTTTGTCTGCTTGCTATTTTTACATCTCATTTGTCTACTACGGGTTGGGAAAGTGCGTTTTCAAGTTAACTGTAGCTAGACTCTATGTCTGCCTGCGATGTAATTACTTTGGTCGGCCAGTAAATAGTTAGGGTAAGGGGAGCTTTCGTGGGAACAAACATCGGCAATATCATACGGTTCCACATCAGCATTGATTCGTTCGGACTGAACTTTGTGGGGAGAGGGGGTGGTGATGGGGTCGGATGAGGGATGGGATGAAGGGTTGGGGGGAAACATGGAGGAGGAGTTGGGACCGGAATAGTGGTGTGGTCATGGTGATGAATGTTTGGGTTGGCATGGTTGGCGAAATTCATCAGGCCCATCCCACACATCCCATCCCACTCTATCAGAAACGGGCCCGTTAGATATCCTGCTTTGCTGGAGCTGCTGGAACTGCTTGGTTCGAGTGGTGGTGGTACAGCAGTGTGCAACAATTGAACCACGGAATTGGGTACAGGACTTTTACTTTACATGCTACCTGGCAGCAGCTACATATGGTGGTTAAGGTCGTTAGGTGGTTTAACCAGGTGGTTAGCGGGGTCCCAGGAAATGGAAATGTGCTTTTTGCTTTACTTCGCGTCAGTACTCTACTGCTCCATGGCTTTATTCGCGTCAGTAAGGTCGGTACTTTATTCGCGTCAGTAAGGTCGGTACTTTATTCGCGTCAGTAAGGTACTGCTCTTTTCGCGTCAAAAACTACCCTACAAGCACGAGTAAAAGCGCGAGCACCAACATGCTCAAGCCACAAGTGTCCGTTCTTCATAGCGCGCGGCCGCCGGACGGGGCGTTACTCTAATCCTACTCTCTATATACTACTATGATCGCGTGGGTATTCGGACAGCCAGCCTACTGGTACCGCCCAGCTTGTCCGAATACTAATGCAATATGCTTCCCCGCGATTTCGACTCGGGTCATGGCCTGGAAACATGATCATCGGCGTGGCTATGATAGGGTAGTATGCCTACATGCTAGAGGGATCGCGCTGCGCGCAGGCACACGGCGTTAAAACCGAAACAAAACAAAAAATAGGTTCTGTAACTGCGATTGAGCGGTTGAGAGGTCGAGGAGTTGAGAGGTCTAGCAGTTGAGCAGTCGAGCACCATCCTATGTAGGGAGAAAGTGTCGACGACGTTTCTCATCTCCAATGCATGACGACAGCTTTTCACCTCACCCTGCACGCGCTCCCGAGTCCAGAGTCCACCGTCGTCGTCGAGTCGTCCAGTCGTCTCTGTTGACGAACATATGACATGAGCGAAACGAACGAACGACCCATGCCCTCCTCCCCCCCTCCCATCCATCCCATCCATCCATCCCATCCCATCCGAGACGGCCATGCCGGGGAGGGAGGGGGATGAAGGAGAGAGAACAGCAGCAGCATGCCGGTTTCGGGGATGATGATGGTCTGTCTGTCTATATCGAAAAGGAACTTGGAAGACGCGGCATTCTCCATTTCGATAGATGCATCCACCAGACATCAGACATCAGACATCAGACATCAGACAAATGTACCTATCAGACATCGGATGCTTCCTCCCTCCCTCCCTCCCTCCCTCAGCCAACCATTCGGCCATGACTTCCCCCCCTCCCTCAGCCAACCATTCGGCCATGACTTCCCCCCCTCCCCCCGCGGAGGAACGGAACGATCAACGAACGGAATTCATGCCGAACCGGTCGGAGGGTTTTTTTTCTGGCTGTGGTTGTGGTTGGGTTGTGTGTGGTTGTGTGGCCTTTGCCGTCACTCATCCGACGATGGAAATCATCCGAAGGCCTAGGGGCTATGTAGGCACTTGCTGGGTTCCTCCGCTCCCCTCCACCTGCTTGCCTGCTTGTCGGTCGTCGGTCTCTCGGTCTCTCGGTGGTGAGCGAAGATCATGAGCGCCATTTTTTCTTCTTTTTTTTTCTCTTCATCTTCCGCTTAATTTCTCTCCCTCGCGCCATGCCTGATGCTTGTTGCTTGTGGGACCTGAGCCCTGAGGGGGCTTGGCCGAGAACTTGGCTGACTTACCTGGACCAGACCGGACTAGAGCGACTCCCAGGTACCTGAATAGTATCAGCTCCCCCGAACGGTGCGCACCGATAGGGGATGGTGGGGTCGCCAAGCTGCCCCCTTCCATCCATCACCCACCCACCACCACCACCCACCACCCAACCAACTGACCAGACCACACCTCCTCCTTCCGAGCATCTCGACCGCTGGCGCCAATCGAGCGTTGCGTGGATAGGCACCTGGCACCTGGCACCCCCCCGGCCATGCTGGAGTACCTACTCTACTAGTACTTACTCAATGTGGGTAACTCTACCAACCCATAATCGGCAGCAACGGGGTTGGTCGAAGAGAGAGGCCTTCGGATTGGACTGCTGGTGATACACGGATTACGGATTGGAGAACTGCTGGTGATACATACAGACATACATACATACGGCAGATGCCTCCCCATCCTCCCGCCTCCCTTCTTCCTTCTCCCTTCTCCCCCCTCGGAGAACGTATCGAAACAACGGCCGTTCCTCGAGAGGAGGAGGAAGAACGAGAAATTTTATTCCTGCCGGTATGTACGTACGGTGTTGTTGGAGGGGGGGACGGGTGGAGCAGAAGAGGGATGGGGGAGAGAGGGGGAACCATCTCCGCTTTTGGCAGTCCTTCTTCGTTCTTCCTTTCCACCCTCCCTCCTTCCGTTCGTTCGTTGCCCGTATCGTATCTAACTTGCGGCGTGCTCCCCGGCGATCAACCTCGCTTTTTTTCGTTTTTTTCTTACATACTTGCTTGCGAAAAGTTATGCTCTGCAAACTTGGACAGAGCACGGTATGTATGATATGTATCTTGCGGATACATATGGGATAGGGATGGATATGCGTTGCATACGGCCCCCTCCCTCTCCCTCCCTCCTCCCTCTCCCTCCCTCCTCCCTCCCCCCTCTCTCTGTCGCTCGACGACCTGCCGTGTCGGTATATGGAGCAGAGCAGAGAGCCACTCTCTTCTCTTCTCTACTTTATCCTACATACATATCGACGGTACATACGAAGTATGATATGCATTCACCTTTCGTTCGGGCTATGCTCCTCACTCTCCTCACTCACTTACATGGGGGCTTGGCTGGTCTCGGCTTGGCGTGGCTGATTATGCGTGGTTGTGTGTGACATTTCTGCCGGCATCCCGTCCTGCCGCATACATATCATACGGTATCATACTCTACCGATTGGGAATTCCGATAACGCAATGAATGTGCAATTGTATCGGGGCGGGCGGCCGAGAGAGGGAGCGGAAGTCTGCGGAGTTGAGTGAGGACTGCGAAGAAGAGGAGGAGGGGGAGATGATCTCGAGATGGATGAGGATAAGCAGGAGGAGGCGGATGAGGAGGAGACGGAGGAGGAGGAGGAGGGCAGAGGGCCCGCTCTGGTCGGTCCCGGATAAAGAAGACGGCACACATTTTCACTCACACATCACACATCACAGATACCGGTACACACATCACACACATACACACACGTACGAAATGGCAGAGTCATTTAGTAGTGCAGAGTGGGGGCGCGCTTTATTTTTTCTCTCTCACTCACTCTCTCTGTGTTGCACACGAAAAGAACAAGAAGAAAGAGCGGCCAAAATACTCTGGGGATTTCCGAGGTGAGCCGTGAAGGAGGAGAAAAAACTATCAGGTGGCTTTTCCCGTCGGAAGATTCGGGAGTCCCACGGTGGACACAGAGATGGATGCAATGCACGCTGCTGCCTCTGCTGCTGCTTCTACTGCTGCGGCCCCTCGTGATTTATTCGGCGAGAACACTACCTATGCATCCATCCTTCTTCCTTCCTTACTTCCTTCCTCGAAGAAACTCTCGATATCGATGACGATGACGATGGAGAGTTGCCAGGTTGTTCCAGCCAGCCACAGCCAGCGAATCGACTCGATTTGCACTTCGAATTGAGCGTTCCCGCGTAGCCCAGCCCACCAGCCAGCATAATTACACACCTACATATAAGCGGGGGTCGACCGTCGGACATGGCAGAGGCGCCATAGTGCGGTGTAGTATAACCAACTAGTATGGTTTATGTATGTATGCAGGCCGCTCTGGCCGCAGTAGTTAGTTACTTGCCTAGTTGGTAGGTTGGGAGTGTGCTGTCTCAGCGATTGAGGAGAAGGACTAAAGGTCGATCAGAATAGCGTCCTGCGTTGGTTGGTTCGTTCGTGGCTTCCGTTTCGATGGAGGCCTGCGGCCACTTTGGCCCTTCAACTTCCAGACTTCCAGCCCGCCCGTCGGCTCGCAAGAGGCCTGAACTCGGGCCATCGACACCGACACCACCGCCGCCGCCTCGACCGCCACCAGCACCAGCACCAGCACCAGCGCCAGCACCAGCACCACTGCTAGAGTAGGTACCAGCACCACCGCCAGCACCACCACCAGCAACACCTCCATCACCACCAACAAGCTCTCGCTTGCTTAGGGTTGGAGGACATCAAAGTGCTTGCTTGCACCTCAAGCCTCAAGCCTCAAGCCTCGACAAGACGCCCTCTCTCTCTCCGTCTCTCTCTCTCTCTTTTTCTCTGTGTATGAACATGTGCTGCAAAAGCCTGTCTGCCCGTCTTTCTGTTCCCACCCCTCCACTCCGCTCCAGAGTCCACCTTGGCGACTCCCAACCTGCAGCCTCCCCCCTCCCCCCCCCCGCCAGCACGAGGGGGATGTCAGAACAAACCCGACCCGAATCCACTCCACTCGTGTGACTGGCCTGCCTGCTTGCTTGCAGCAGTTAGATTTTCGCCAGCACACTTGTGATCTAGGTGATCCAAGTCTCGCTCGCAGGCTCGCAGCACCTCGGAAGGACTTTCTCTGCGGGAGGAGTGGCATTCTGAGTGTAGGTGGGTGGGTGGGGTGTAGAGAGGTGGGTGGGTGGGTGTGTAGGGTGGGTGTGTAGAGCGAGAGAAGCGGCCGTCCCGTGGGCTGTCGCAGCAGCAGCAGCAGCAGCAGCAGCAGGCAGCGACATGGTGTGCGTTGGCGGAGCTGTTGGAACTTGGAAGCGCTCGCTCGCTCGGGGGGGGGGAGGATAGTCGGGGCAGGGGGATGATAGTCGAGATGGTTCGTCCGGTGTTGTTGTTGTCCCTCTTTTTCAAAAAATTCTTTTATTTTTTAATTCCGTTCAATTCCGTCGATGATGATGACGATGATGATGAACCGCGACTGCGACTGGCAAAGCAGTGCCATGGCGGAGGTTGAAGAATTGAAGTTCGAAGTCGAAGAGTTGAGACGAAAACCGAAGTTGGAACCCATGGAGCCATGGGGCCAACTTCGAAGTTTACATGGAGTCTGGACTTGGACTCTGTATATATCTACCGGTATTCCGTCGCCGGTCGACAAAGACGAGGTTAGCCTCGTCTCTGTCGTGTCGGTCGGTCGTGGAAATGGGGACGGGGGAAAGAGGGGAGAGATCTCTACCCAGATCTACGGTTCCGAGATCTCCTGCCCACCACCACCTCCATCACCACCACCACCACCTGGCCCACCTGGACTGGCGGCCTGGCCTGCCTGCCTGCCTACCTGGCCACTGTGGCTGCGCCCCTCAGGCGGCTTTTCCCTTTCCTTTGCTTTACTTTTCCTTTTCCCCTCACATGACCTGCTTTTCTTCCGTTTCTGGTTTGAGGCATCTAGCATAGAGTGGCTACTCCACCTATATACACATATGATAGGTACATAACGGATTTGGGCAAGGGCCAAACCCCAATCCCCAATCCCAATAATCCTCTGTCCTTTTGTTTTCTTTCTTTCTTTGTTTCGTTCGTTCGTTCGAACCGGATTCGGGTTAGGCGTGGGATAGCTGCCAGCCATCCCAACTATGATATGTATCATAGCAACCCTTTTTCTTCCGCTGTTTCTTCTGCGTCCTTGTACTGCTTGTTGCTACTGTGTCGGTCGTAGCGGATTGCTGCTTTGGGGGGATATCCTTGGGTATGTACCTATGCGGAGTATGTAGATACATGGCCTCCGCGTATCTGTAGAGCTCGTGGAGCGCTGGTATGGTAGGTAGAGTACATGGCGCATAGGTGGTTGTCCACGACTCACGAACCACGACTCACGACACACGACATGACATGTCCATAACAACAATCACAACAGTAACAATAGCTACAATAACACTACGGTATCTAACTACATCACAATAACAACTACAATAGCAACACAATAACAATTACTACGGTATACTACAATCACAGCTACAACACAATAACAATAACAATAACAATAACAATAACAATAACAATAACAATAACAATAACAATAACAATAACAATAACAATAACAATAACAATAACACCAACACCAACAACTACATACAACTACCTACATATAACACAACAACAATTCCCCAGCTCTAGACCCTATCATAACCTGAGTCCTCAACCCATCTCCTCCGGCGCCTATGTATGTACCCGATAGTACTCCACCTAGTATGCACCACAGACACGAGCCCCTCAACGTGGCCAGCCAGCCAGCCAGCCTTGTCCCTCCCTCTACATAGGCGACGCGCACGGACGTCCGTCCAGCCGACCACATGTGGCATACATATCGTGGCCGGCCGACGCTGCAAGTGCTCGAGTGCTCGATCCCCGCATCCAACACGATCGTCATTTGCGGATTTTGCGGGTTTCTTCTTCTTATTCCTCTTCCTCTGCTTCTTCTTCTTCGGATGAGTTGCCTGCCTGCCTGGGTGGCTGGTTGTCTGGCCGTCTGGCTGGTTGGTTGGCGGATTGGTTGTCCGCATGATCATGAGGTCTAGACTTTTGCTTTTGCTGTAGAATACCTATGTAGGCACTCTATGTTACGATGCTCCGCGTGAGGACCGGCAGCAGCAGAAGCAGGGAAATAAAAAAATCCGCATGACGGTATGTATCTATCGAGCTTCATAGAGTGAGAAGGGCCCGCTGTCCAGCAGCTTCGTCGTCGTTGCGGGCTGACTTGACTCCCTTGACTCCCTTACTCATCAGCTGTGGCCGTAGCCGTGGCCGTACTCTAGCCATAGCCGCAGCCGTAGATCGTGCGTCTCGGTGTATTGATGTCTCGGACACTCGGTGTCTCGGCGGCGGAGGAGAGAGTCGATTCGATTGGAGTGGAGTGGAGTGGAGTGGAGTGCTCAGTGGAGTGGACTCTAGAGTGGAGCCGGCAGTTGAGGATCAGCCTGTCCGTCCTCCCTTGAGTCCTCCGCCTCCCCCGTTTCCTCACCGCTTTCCGTTTCCACACCGCTTTCCCCTCGATCGAGCATGGAGCATGGACACCGAGCATGGACACCGAGTATGGAAGGGCTCGACGGGATTGACGGATTGACGGATTGACGGATTGACGGATTGACGGATTGACGGATTGACGGATTGACGGATTGACGGATTGACGGATTGACGGATTGACGGATTGAGTTTCTTTTTGGCCTCTAGATAATGGATAGAGTACCCAGACAGGACAGGTGCTTGACTCGATCGGGCGGACGTGAATGATCGTATTGGGTACCGTAGAGTAGAGTCGCGCTCGCATGCAGCCTCAGTGCTCCAATCCACCCAACCTACCCAACAGTTGTTTCCCCCCCTCTCTCTCTCTCTCTCTCTCGCCCCGCCCCCACCCCCCATGTAGAGTACCCTCCCCCCTCCCCTCCACCCAGTGACCCCACCGCACCGCACCCCACACCGCCCCCTTACGCATGCATTTGCATTTCCATTCTTTCCAGGAATGTAATCGTTTCGGCCTGGCCGTGTCTTGTCGTGTCGTTGTTACGTGATGTGATATATACTCTCCTCTATGTTGTGATATGTGATGAGGACAGGGGCATGGATAATCACTCGGTGCATAAGCGAAGCGAGCGAGCGAGAGGCTGCGACGGAGAATTCCTGGACTCTGGGGGCGGAGTGAGGGAGGGGGGGCGGTATCTAGTATCCGTTCATGTACTCTAGGTATGTAGAGGGAGGGTTCGTCAGTCGGGATACGCTACGATAGGTACTCTATGGTAGTGGTATACCTATCGTCTCGTCTCGTCCGACGCATCGCGCCGGTGCTCTGTCTCTTGGGATCGCGAAATCCTGGATACGTCTCGGCCCTGGGGTCGGTTGGAGTAAGCGATTACGAGCTGTCGGCCGGCCACCGCAACCCTTCCGTTGCGCCCTCACTCCTGTTTGTGGCCGGAGATTGCCGACGACAGCCAGCCAGACGGACGGGGGGAAAGGTGGGACGAAAACAGCCCAATTCGAGACCAGGTTTCTTGCTTTCATGGGGGCACGGTAGGTAGAGTACTCTACGGTAGAGTTGGTACTGCTGATCTGGTGCAGAATAGTACCTATGGTATGGTCGGTATGGTTGGTATGGTATGGTATCATGATGGTATGGGGGTAGAGTACACGGCTCCCTCCTTCGAGCATAGTTGGACTGAAGCTTGATCTTGATCTTGTCGTGCCTTTGATATGCCATCATATCATACCTGTGTATAGGTAGTACGGTGGAATAGAATCGAGTAAAGCGACGGCCACCTTTCGAAGCTCGACTCAGCACCGAACGGCACAGAAAGTACTGAACCGGACTGGCCTGGACAGTGGACGTTGGACACCGTTCAGGAATCAAGACTCGTGAGCGATGTGCTCCGCGAATAGCCAGAGAGGAGCACACACTGGATGCACCTCCCCACACCGCAGACATCCCCGGGGAAAACTCGCACCAATTACAACTTACAAGGGAACCAAGCGAACGATCGCGAAACGGAACCCTGAATCTACGGTATGTATAGTAACTATCGCTGAACTCCGCCCACTTGCAAGTTCAGTTCCAACAATCACACTCGCGATCTCCTGCTTCCCCACCATCCATGTATCTACTCTAGATACTGGGTAGTAGGTACATACGTTGAGACGATAGGTACCTATGAACTAACAACTCATCCGTCCCATCCATCCATCCCATACATACACGCACATGCTGTAGAATGTACCAATGTTACACGGTTATTCGCCTAAACCTGCACCCTCCAATTTCCCTATAACCACATACCCCCCCTCCCTCCTCTTCTCCCCCCTTCTCCCACTTCTCCCCCTCCCCGACCCGGTGGCAACGTACATACTCTATGTACGCATGTATACATCCGTACAAGATACCAAGGGGAAGGGGGGAAGAGAAGAAGGGGGAGGGGGAAGAGAAGAAGGGGGAGGGGGAAGAGAAGAAGGGGGAGGGGGAAGAGATCGCCTCCAATCAGGAACGTGAGAGTGGAGCAAGAAGGGGGGGATCGATAAGCAAATGCTGATATATCCCGCCGCGCGTACTGTACCGTAGAGTGCTCTGAGTACTTACGCGGGGGGGCCGAGAGGTTTGCTTTTTCGTTTTTTCGTTTTATTTCCTTTTTATGTACAGGCTTGAGGATTCCGGAAATTACCACAACAGCAAATTATGTATGTAGGTAACTATCTGGTGCGTGGGGGATACATGCACATTTAGAGTAGAGTACATGTATCTACATGGACATGGCATGGACATGGGAGGGATCGAATCGCTCGATATGTACCGGTGTGTACCAGTGTGTACGGTATGTACCGGTATACACAACTTCCACGGCTGAGCACAATGCATCACTCGGCTGCACTCAGCTAGAAACTAGTAAACCTACCTAGTTCCGCTTCTCAACCAGATCAGATGGGTGATTAGGCAGCCAGCTAACTAACTAGTAGGATAGTAGTAGTTGGTGATCGCCTGGTCCGTGCAAGAAGCGGGTGACGTTAGAATAGTGCGGTGGACAAGCACCAACCTTATTCTTACCCCGCCAATGCTAGAGCAACTAGAGCCCGCCGGTGGCGGCGGCTGTGACGCCCAAACGAATATGTACCTTCGAGCATGTACCTATGTAAGCCGAAGTACCCGCCTAAGTACTTACCTACCCACCGCCTCCTTTCGACTCCTCGACCATTCTGACCATTCCGACCATTCCGCTAATTCCACCCATTCCTACCCCTCACATTCCGAGTGCGCGTATAACCTCTATTTCGGGCACGGAGGGTTTCCGCCACGAGCTCGAACGTGCCCATTCCCACTCCCATTCCTCCCATCCCGACGTTCGAGAACAGTCAGTGCAAGCGCAGCAGGCTCAAGTTGTGCTGGCCAGTGGCCACATACACCGATCGACGAATGCGCACGGGCACGGAATCGGAATCGGAATCGGTAGTTGCAGGAATCCACCCGTCCGGTCGAGGTGGTGAGCGGTAAGCGTCGAGCGGCTGGCGCGTTTGTCCTAGCGTGGAAACCTCGGATACCGGGCCGCCGATGATTCAGTCCCCCGTCAGCGAGCAAGAATCCCCCCCCGTGCGTGGGGATCCCCTTCCCCCTCTATCCCCTTCCCCCTCTATCCCCTCCCCTCCCTCTCCCGTCAACCTATGGGAGCGATTATGCGTGTGCGTGAGCGAGGGCGTGGGTGTGGTGTTATCGTTGTTTGCTCATCGCAAGTGAGGAGCAGCAGGAGCAGCAGCAGCAGGATTCATCACGGAAACCCGCGGGACCGCCGTTCGCCGTTCGCCGTTCGACGTCTAGATTTTTTCCTTCTGTTTTTCTTTTCTTTTCTTTTTCAGCTTCGCCGGGATTGGTGCACTAGGTACTGTGGGGGGAGGAGCGGGGCTAGAGTACTGCTGCTGCTGCTGACTGAGGAATATGCTTAATTCGAGGGGGGCCGACGGTTCTCGACGGTTCTCGTTGCGGGGTGATGATATGTAGAGTATGATGGTCGCGACTCGCAACTCGCAAGCCATGTGTTGTGTTGGCCTTGATCACCTCATCCTCACTCCTTCTAGACTCTGGATTCTAGAGTACCTACATACTCCGCTCCGCGCATTATGTCATGGACGGTCTCGTCCGCTTTGAAGATCCGATCTGCCGTTTACACGACAGGAGCATACTCTACACGTACCGTACGGAGATGGCACGTAACAACGGCAGATATGTAGCCAGCCTAACTCCTCGCACCGTCCAATCCCGAGCGCAATCCCACCAGCTACCCCGCGCTGTGAGTAATCTATGTTTGGCCCGTAGAGCGTCCAGCTGGGCTATCGTGGCGATAGGTAGGTGGGTATTCTATGGCGTAGGTGGGGGCAATGGGAACGGGAGTGTGACCTACCCTACCTATCCACTACCGCTGCCGGAAGATATCCTGCATCTTTCGAGAAAGAGGAGAATTCTTTCTAGCCTATACACTACCACCTATACCGACCGTCAACATCACTGTGCAGTGCATACACACGATATATAGAGTATACCGGTACACTGCAGGGACTGGCCACGGTCCATGGATCGCTCGCCCTATCGGACAGCCACCATCCGGGTTCCTGAATTGGGGTATAATACCCCCGTGGTGTTCCCTCGCCCGCGAGCCGAGCGAGCGTGTGAGCGAGAGGGGCGGGCGCGGGGGCGGGGGGAAGACGGTGTTTGTTAAGCATACATACGAGCACGGATCGAGGCCGCGATCCGGCGGGTGGGGATATGTAGGAGAGGACGGGACATCGTTCGAACTTCGCGTCGTCGGTGGCGTGGGTGCGTGGGTGTATGTGCCGCGCGGGGGCAGCATCGTGCGTGGGCGTGGCCGGGCAGTACTTGTACGTACTGGAATCTTCTCTGGTAGAGTACGTATCTACAGTGTTACACTCTCCCACTCCAAGTTACGTGAGTATTTCTGCGAGGATCGGATGATGGCCGGCCGGCTGGCGAGCTGGCGGGTGGGTGGATAGAGAGGAGGGAGGGAGGGCAGATACTCTACGTACGTGTGGCATGTCGGATCTTGTTTCGGGTTGGAGTAGTTCCATCCGACGAGGACCCGTCGTAGAGTCGCAGTGGAAACCGCTGCGGTCAGCGCCTATCACGTGCCCCGCCGCCGCCGCCACGTCTACGGCGCTTAACAATGTAGGTGCCGAGAGCTTCAATGCGTACTGTACTGCAACCCCCACTCAAGAATCAACGCTCCTACATACATACAAGGTAGGTTCGTGCGTGCCGACTCCACTGTGCGAGCTGGCAGCTGGTAGCATCCTTGTCGGTGTGCTGGAGCCGAGTGAGCGCCGATGAAGCGTCGTCGACTTGCTTGAACCGCTCGAGATGTATCGTGTATGCGCAGGTATCAACATCTCCACCGGCTCCTGAGGAATCGGCTGGCCGGGATGGGGGTGTGCAGGCACGTCTTTGGCTTGTAGTAACCGTGGATTCTCATCATAAGCAGGTACGAATAAAAGGTAAACAAAAAGAAGTAAGTACACAGCTACATACATTCTAGTATCTATCCGTAGACTTGGAACCCCTTCCCCCAATAAGAAACAAGCAAATCTTGAATTCCAATGTAGATGGGTAGAGTACCTACGAGATGGCCCCGCCTCGAAGAACCCAGTGCGTCCACAGTGCTGCTGTCATCCACCGGCTCCCATCCCGGCGTCAACCTCTGACCCTCCCGCCCCCACAACGGCGGCGGCGGCATAGTCTCACCCGCCACGACATATGCCATCATACATACCTATCGGCAGAACCAACCCGCTCGCACGTCACGATGCGTTAGTTCTTGGAGATCGCGGAGGGAGGGAGGGGTGGTCCTAGGTCCAGGTCCAGGCCGTCGAGGACCGAGAGCCTCGGAATGGCACTGAAGCCGCTGGCCCCCCGCAGGCTCCCAGGAGGAGGAGGAGGGTTGATATCAGCCACGCTTGGGGCATTCCACGTACATATCATACATATGATCATACACAGCGTAGGTAGACCCACAATCCCATCAGAATGTGTGGCATGGTGTGGGTCGCATCCTCGGAACCTCGCACCTCCCGCGTGCGCTCTGCAACCGACCGGGCTGGCTGGCTGGCTGGCTGGCTGGATAACCGAGGAGTCTGTCCCTGGTGTCCCTGCTGTTCGTGCGTCCAGTGTCTACCCCGTAACCACTACCCGCTATGTACCGACATGTATGTATGATGTATGTGCTGCTTCCTCGCGCTAGGCGGGCCGCTGGCTGCACACCGGCCCACTCCCTCCCTTTGCGTCGGACTCGTGGCCAATCGTGCAGCAGGTGCGAATGATGATCAGTGATCGGTGCCAGCTGGCACGCCAGTGGTGAAGGAATTCGTAGTTACTTAGATATGCGTTGCGCGGTTGACGGCCAATAGAATGCGGCAGGTAGAGGGGGGTGGGGGTGCCCGTAGGGAAGCGCTTTGAGCCACCCCCACTCGAGAACACTTAGGTATTCCCAACACCGGAAGTCTCAGTCCGCACTAAGCACCGTATGTAGGTGTTCCTGCCCGCGTCCGAACCGCGTCGGCAAGCTCTGCGATACTACCTGGTAGAGTATAGAGTAGTAGTCAGCCCCGTCGCTGACTGGGTGTGCAGTAGATACCCTACACACTCTACGTTATCAAGCGCAAGCGCAACAACCTCAATACTCTCAATACCGCTCAAATTGAGATACGAAAAGTGCCGAAAGCTCGAGCCAACAATACCACGAGCCACGAATGCACACGTTTAATCACTCTCCGTGGGGGGGTGGGGGGAGGGGGAGGGGGCCACAAACTGCGGGCGACGAGGGACCTACCTATCCATCTCCAACACTTTACTGCGAGCCGTGTCGCGGCCCATGTATTACATGCACGGCGCCGATGCCGCTCACGGATGCACTACGCTTTCGTCCGTGCATCCGAGAGCCAGGTACTACCGGTATATAGTACAGTGACGGTCGACAGCCCCCCCAGCACGCCCGACGCCGATGGGCGGGGAGTGATGGAAGCGCGCGCAACACCGGAGAAAGCGAGTATCTGACGCCATGGAGGTGCAGACGTGCGCGCGGCCATACGATTGTTTGGTTTGCTGTGGATCGGTTCGGAAGTGGGCTCTCTTTGTCGGAATGGATGATGTGTCTGTGTAGTTTCCACACGCTGTTTGCACCGGCCTCCCTTCCTCCTCGTTGCACAAACGACCGTTCATAGTTGATCACCCTCGCACTGCAAAACTCCAACAAGAAATCAAAAGCCCGATTGACCTCTTGGAGATTCGAACTTCTATTCCACTGCCGGGTTCGCCTGACGGGAGCAGACTGCACGTTATAGTCCCACAGTGGTAACGGCCATTGAAGGAACTGTCCACTTTATGCTTGCCGCGCGGTTCTGCGTGCGTTTCGATGGCCCGTACAGTGTCATCGTCTCGAATCGATTCCTTCACCTACCCACGCCAGGGGATTGCCTTGCAGTTGTCTGGCTTCGGTGTATTAATGATGGGGAAGGACGATCGAGGGATCCCATGTACATATAAACGTGGTATGATCGTGTCTCTCCAGCCCTAGACGGACTCCATGTGGAAAAGTCACAAGCTTCCACCACGAAAATGATCCTGCGAGCAAGGCTGTGTTTGTCCGAGTCGACATTCAGCGGTTCATTCGTAAACAGGGTAAATTCAGGAGCGCCTTAATATCGTCTTCATCGTCGTCTTTGTTATCGAGCGGATCATCGGCCCTTTCCTGCTCCCCCAACATCAGCCGGTTGTGATGGCCAGACATCGGCCTGAACTTTGATCTGTTCTGGAATGCAGCGCGGCTTCCCGTTGGTTAATCCGAGGAATTGTTTCTGCAGATGAGAATGCCAAACCAACCCGGCAGCACGCCGTGATAGATTCGCCGAACAGATAAAATGCAACTTGAAGGGTTCAAAATCTTTCGGTTTTGGTGAACTGTGAGATGATACCAATCGCGTGAACGAGAATGTGGTAGTAGGCTTTGGGGATGGATTCTCTGGAGGAACTGCTCGTCCATGTCCTCACTCTTGGAAAGCTCGAGGAATTGCTTGATATGACTGACCGTGTCTTCCGATCTCTTGCGATGCTCTGGCGAACCGGAATCCCATGATGGCATATCATTGTCATTGATGAACCACGGCTCCTCTCTCGGCGTCATGCACGTCATTCCCATCCACCCTACAAGATAATCGTCCGGGAACCGACGGTGCACGATATCGGCGAAAAGTATTTGGCCAAATCTCTGCCGGCATAGGTTCTCCAGGATCTGCCAGTACTATAGAGTGGCGTGTCTCCATCGGTGTCCGCCCGCGGGATGTATTGAACTGCGCCATATCTTTCGACCACATTCTGCATGGATATATAAAGCCACTCCTGGGCTATGTACCAGATTTGGGGTTTACACCGGTCTCCGTCGAGTTTGAATAGCAAGCGGATCGACACCGCCTCCGGGTCGTAGCGTGACTCGAACGATATGTTCCTGCGATCACCAAGGATGTCAACAGTGGGTTCGGAACAGGAAGTGGACTCGATCGGATGACCGGCTATCGTACGCGTGCTTTAGGGTCTTCTCTCCGGAACTTGCGCGTCTGGTGACGATTCATGCACGGGAAATTTTGTGGTGTCAGCACTGCGATCGCGCATCAGAAACCCAGCAGTCGGCCTAAATACACGGCGGAGGTGAGATGGAGCATACTCGTTTCTGCTGCTGCTTGCTAGGTGGATCAAGCCGTTGTCGTAGTCATTCCGGTCGATGCGGTCATTGAGCTCGACACGGCCATTCCCGGCCGTCTCCACTCGCGTTGGTGATCATAGAGAGGGTACCCCCAGCAACGATGCCGTCAGGAACCACGCGTGGGCGAAGGATGCTGCTCCAGTCCCATGGTATGTATCGCACGAGGACGAGCGGGATCTGGCGGAGGAGGATCTCAAGCCGGCGGCTCCCGTGGCTGCCAGGCTCCGGGAAGTCGTAACTACTCGACGACGGCCACGTTGTGTACGGTACGGTAGGTACATTAGGTAGGTACGCGACTGCCACGGAACGGAGAGGGATCCTGCAGGACATGCAATAGGTACTGTAGGTAGCTTCGTGATGCCGCAAAGCTCCCAGATCATCCTTGCGAGCGTTGGCCTGGTCCAGGTCCTGGTCCTAGTCCTCGGTATGTAGCAGCGGTGATCCCATCACAGCACTTTGCCACGGTGAGGGATGGGGGATGGGAAAGTTGCAGCAAGTCCACAGTTCGTTCATGGATAATAAACTGGTCTCCGGGTATCAGGCGTTGTGATGAGCCGGGCTACGGTAGGGCGGGAGGTTCGGTTGGATGAGTAATGTAGCATCTTTTAGGTCTTGCCACCCGAATATGTACTTGTGAAGTGATCTAGTGATCACTCGGTCGAACGCCCAAGATCTTCAAGGGATTAAAAGTTTGCCTTTGGCCTTCCGGTAGAAATCCCTGCATGAGCTCCCAGTCGCCAGTGGGGATGTCGTCCATCACCGAGCATCATTCACCATCTTCTCCCTTCCTCACTGTCACTTTGAGGAAAAAACCCTCGCAATTTACTCCGAACAATCCACTTTTTCCATTTATGCTTGTACCATTGCACAAATAAGCTTAAGCACATTGTGCCAGCGTGAGAAGACATGATAAAACCCGTGTGTCCGACCGTAAAAAAAAAGTGAACGAAAAAAACAAGTTTATGAGAAAGCCCCGGAAGAAAAAAGAAGAAAAGAACAGGAGAAAAAGAGAACTGGAAGAGGAAAAGAACCGCAAGAACCACTTTTGATGATCCCATTTATATAATTCCCCTAAAAAAACTACGTCTTCATCGCTCCCCCGTGGAAGCCAGACTGTTGTTGAAACTGAACACTTCTCTGCGGTCGCTGTTCGCCGCTGTCTCCCCGTCCACCACGACCCCTTCTGCCGCCACGACCTCCGCGTCCTCCGCGTCCACCTCCTCGTGGTGCACCGCCCTCCTGGAAGCCTCCTTGTCCTTGCGTCTTCTGCTCGAGGAAACGCTCGTTCATCTCCGTCAAGCCGCTGGCCTTGTCAGCGAGCGTGAGCGCCAGAGTCTGAAGTCGTGAGAGCTCGACACCCTTGCGGAAGATGATGGCGTTGTTGACCTGGTCCAGAGCCGCGGCGATTTCCTCATGCGCGATCATCTTTGAGACGAGTGCGGAAACTTTGCGGGTAGACAGGTCGAACATCTCGGTCAGCCTATCGAGGGAAAGTGTGTCGTAGAAGGGCGCGTAGGTGAAGAGGTAAGTCCGTAGACCTTCCTCCTGGACCTTCTCGCTCAGCATGTCCTTGATCTTTTGAGGTTCTGGCAGGAGGTCCCAGATCTTGATGGCGTGGATCAGCTCGCTCGACTTCTTCCACTCGCCGGCCGCAAGGGCTTTAGCTGCTTGCATTACGTGATCCCTAGTGTTCTCCGGAGGACCAGTGAAGATCTGTCGCTCGTGGTATTCGAGCATTCGGCGGAACGTCTTGCTAATGACACGCTTCTTGACATCGGGGCTTGAACCAGAAGCGGCAAGCGCGGGGATTTCGAGCAACATGGAACAGGTGAGGTAGGCACACTCCAAAAGCTCCAGGTTGATGTGCTGGTGGAACGGCAGCTGGCGCTGACGCTCGAGACGCTCCTGCTCAGGAGTGACCTGCATGTATCTCTGGATTTGGACACCTTGGGCGAGGAGCTCCTTCAGCCTTCCGGTTCCACAGATCTCCTGCATTGCCGTCTGGGCCTCGTAGATCAAACCCGCACGGAAGGCGCAGAGACCGACCTGGACAAGAGTGCGGTTGTACATGATCTGCGTGCTGACGTCCGCAGAGTGGATGTTCTCCTGAAGATGCGACATGAGCAGCATGTCACGGGCCTTGAAGAACTGGTTGTGGAGGGCGTAGTGGTAGATATGGCACAGCATCGCACGAGTGCGCAGGACTGTGGCATCGTGCTGGTAGAGGTAGGTGCACAGAACGTGGAGGAGGTCGCTCGCAGATCCGGTGGCCTTGGATCGTGGGGAGATGACAGAGTCGAACTTGGTGTCAATGGCTTTCCACGCATTCTCCTCGCCAGTCTTGATGACTTGCTCGGGCTAGATAAGGACAGGTTAGAAACACGAACCGTATAAACGATTGATGGGATGAGACCGTACCTTGAAGTAAACATGGTCCAATCTCCGCATGATGACGCGGTTCAAGGCTTCCTCGCTCGAGACTCCTTGCTCGCGGTGTAGTCTCTCCAAGTACAGCTGACTTCGTAGAATCGAGGTGTAGAGAGTGCCCTCGTCGCTGAGGCGCTCGATGTACTCGGTGGTGTGGGGGTCGATGTGTTGCAGCGAGCGGGTGAGCTCGTCGTCGAGTCTGTCGACAATCGACACGACACTACCGGGGATTTTGAAAATCTCTCCCTCCTCAGGCTGCGGTGGCTTCTCCTCATCATCCCATTCCTCCGCGGTCTCCACGACGACAAACTGAGGGCTGGCCTCGAGAACATCAACTAAAACGTTGAACTCCTTCTCCGCACTATTTGCACCATGTCAGCCTTCTTGTACCGGAAGCGCCGTAATAAAGGGATGGCGAGACCAACGCTTTCCACTGTTCGTTCGACATGTATGACTGAGCTCCGGTTGTAAGGTCAAATCGAGTGGAGATCAATGCCAGAAGGACCTTGATCTTTTGGTATGACGACTGGGCGACCTCCAACAACTTCTCCATGATCTTGATCTGCTCATTCCTGTCGGTGTTCTTCTTACCACGACTCTCGATGATCACCTTCAAGTGTTTGAAGATGCTCTCAGGTGTGAAGGTAAGGGTCTTTCCGCCGCGGCCGACAGTAGCGAAGCCATCGTCGTTGTCCTCATCTTCAGGCGCCACACTCCTTGCGACAGACTTCAACCTTTTGGGCTTCACGGTCTCCGTCGCCTCCTCCTCTACCATAAAGGCATCCTTGTCCTTACGGTAGGCCTCGATTTCCGTCTCGTATGTCCGGTTGTTGCGCTTGACCTTCTGCTTGATGGCGTTGAGCGCACGGGCGTTCGCGGCATTCATCTTCTTAGTGGCAACCTTGTCCTTGACGGTGTCGTTCATGAAATCCTCGAGCTCGGCGATGGACTTGATGTAGATCTTCGGCATCGTGGCGCTCTGGGTGCCCTTCTGAACGACTCGATTGAGCTTGTCGAACTCTGCAATCCTCCATTAGCATCACAATATCTCATCCATAAGCATCCAAGCTTGCCCCGCCCCACCCCTGCTCCACCAGTACAGCCCCACCAACGAAGGAAAGAATTAAAAAGAAAAACCCACCAGCGGAGATGGTAACCCAATCATTGATCTTCTGGGCATTCTCGATAGCCTTGATCATGCCCTCGATCTCATCCTGTCGCTTATCCTTCGCACTCTTGACGGTACGTTTCCCCTCCTCGTCATCACTATCATCGCTCTCGGCACCCCTCAAGAACCGCGATCCTCCCTCCTCATCACTGTCCTCATCCTCGGCTTCCTCCTCCTCAGCGGACCCCTCCTCCTCGCTGGAGCTCTCCTCAGATTCCGACTCCTCAGCTTCGGAGTAGAGTTCCTCCTCATCGGACGAGGACGACTCGCTATCGCTCAGACCGCCGTGGAAAAACCGAGACATGATGGGTGGTGAGCGGTGTCGATTTTTGTCGTAGGTCGCGGGGTAAGGTGGTAGTGGTGGTTGTGGTGGGGGATAGTGCGGGTTTGAGTGGGGCCTCGAATGCGGGCTGGGCGGGTTCTGCGGGTTGATCGGTTGCCTTCTCTTTTCGCTGCACTCTTTCGTTGATGTCCAGGCGGCGAATAGCGTCCCTCACAAAGTTGCGAATTTTGTGTGAAAGAGGGTGAGCCCTAACAAGACGGACAGCAGGGTAAGCGCTAGAGTAACTTTTTCGGGTTGATCGCTTGTCACGGACCACCCCGCACTCTGGCTCTATGTACTGGTAGAGGTAGTTGAGTACAGCACTTTCTATGACGAATCTCAGCTCAGACAGCTGTGCAAATACTATGGTTCTTTAATACATACACACGCCACCAGCGGCGGCAGTAGCAATTGAATTGCCACCATGGCCTCATGAAACATTTCTGCTATGATAGAAAATAAAAAACTTTAGAAAGTAAGAAGCATCCCACCCACCCACCCACCAAACTGTAAACACCGGGTTGTATAGGTCTCGACGACGCAAAACACTTTGCTCCCATCAATAAATTCTGCCCAAACCTTTTTTTTGGATCATGGTCACCACTCATACCACAAACCACCCCCCTCCCGCTCACATCAAGATAAACAAGTAAACCGTGCCATAAAAAAAACGAGACCCAGCATTTGTGAGGACAAACAAAGAGGAAGGGAAAAAGAGAAAGACAGACTCGAATCAGATATACGGCAAAGGCAAAAAGTAAAACATCAAAACACGGACAGTGAAGATAGATAAAGGAGATGAGATGCCTCTGGGACAGCACCTCGACAGTGTTTACTTCCCTCACCCACCACCCGACCACCCCACTGAACTACCCCCAATCATCATATCGTTCCACTGTAAGGCCTCCGGGCTGCCGGTATCTGTGTCGTACTGGACCGATCTTGTCCAAAGCCTCATCATCTTCGGAGAAACGCTCCCGGACCAAGTAATCAGCCGAATTCATCACGGTCGAACCAGCCGATGTCACTTCCCCGCACAAAGTACCAAATATCGTAACAAATCTCACTACCGTCGGAATATTATGCACCTGATTATTTCCACCGTTGGTTATTGAAGAGGCCCTCCTCCATAGTGCGATCCTCGAGATTCCTTATTACATCTCGTCGATACGGACCACCGCGGCCCCGTTGCCGGTTGTTTCCGCCATCGTCAGGAGCTCCTCCTGGAGGAGGAGGGAAATATGCAGGACTAGGCTGGAGTCGAATGGGATGATTGGGATCCATCATCGAAGCTGCTCTCTGGATTTGTGGAGGGATACCGTCCATCATTGTTGCGGATCGCTGCCGGTTTCGTGCATTCTGCTGGTTGTACATGCCTGCTGCTTGATACTGACCGCCGGGTATCTGGGGAGGTTGTTGACCATGTTGCTGAGGAGGGACCATTCCACCGAACTGATTTCCACCCGTCGAATACGATGGTGGCGCAGGCTGCTGTTGCTGTGGCGGATTATACATGTTGGCACTATTGTATCCGGTAGGTTGGGCTTGAGCTTGGGCGTGATAGCCGCCAACGGATCCATAACCAGAGGTAGCTTGGGCCTGCACCTGGGCTTGTGCTTGTGCTTGTGCCTGGGCCTGGGCTTGTGCCTGGGCTTGTTGTGCTTGAGCCTGGGCTTGAGCTTGAGCCTGGGCGTGAGCCGCCTGTGCCTGTTGCTGCTTCTGCCGAGCCGCCTGCTCTGCTCGCTGTTGCTGCTCCATTGCGGACATGGGCGACTTCTGGAGCGGCGAGCTGTTCTTGAGGTTCGTGGGCGGTACGAACGGTCCGGTATATTTCTGCTGTGTGATGAAAGGGTGCATCTTAGCTTGCTGTGGCGACCATCGCTCCATCGGGCTGATGCATAGGAGGCCGCGCACGAAATCGATGAATGCCACTCGGTTGTTCATTTCTGGCGAACCCATTAACAACGGACATCCAGGGGAGTTTTTAGGACCAACCTTTCTCAATCTCGATTGGTTTCATGTTCTTCCGAGGCATGGCATACTGCCGGATAATTTCTGGCAGTGTTGTAGCCTGAAAGTACTTCTTTCCGGGCTGCTCCTTGGTGTTGTGTTCTTTGGAGTACTGTTCCATACTCTTCAACCTGTATGACTTTCGTCCGAATTCATCTGTCACCTTCTCGAAGAAATCCCCAGCCTGCTTTCCCATCTCAATCATCCAGACCGGTGGTACTCCCAGCATATCGGTAATCCGAGAGACTTGATTGTATTCGGAGCTGCCAGGGAACAGAGGTAGTCCGAGGAAAAGCTCGACGACGATGCATCCGAGTGACCACATATCAATCGACGACGAATAACTTGTAGGGATGCATGAGTTTCAAGCCTTAGACAAGAAAAGACGAGGAGGGAATTAGGAAACTCACGGGAGACCGAGTAGTACTTCTGGGGATCTGTAAAATCGGGACTGAATGTATGTGTAAACGGTTTGCCGTTCGTCACATGCCGAACCAAAGTCGATAACCTTGATGATGGGACTCTCCAAGCTGGAACTAGTGTCAGTGCACGCGAACTAGCAGCAATGGGGTATTGATTGACCGACTTCTTCAGCAAGATATTCTCAGGTTTCAGATCGCAATGAATCAGTCTAGCTTTGTTCAAGAGGCAAAGCGCATTCAGGAGCTGCTGGGCGAACACCCGTACAAGGGTCGTGCTCAACCCCCGGAACTGGTTTTGCTTGATGAGCTCGTACAGGTTCACACTGAGCAGCTCGAAGACAAGGCAAAGATGCTGCTTGTGTATGAAGGTGTCTTTCAGGCGCAGAATATGATGGTCGTCGTTCTTGTCAAGTTTGCTGTTGAGCTATGGCACATACCAGGATTAGCTTCCGGTCAATATTTAGGGTGGGGAAGGGAACGTACCAGATCCAGCACTGAAACCTCCATCATGCTCTGGTTGAAATATGCAGTCCTGTTCTTCACAACCTTGACTGCGACCACCTCTTGCGTCTTCATGTTTTGACACTTGACAACTTGGCCGAAAGTCCCTTGCCCGAGAACGTCCAAAATCAGGTATCGATTCCTGTTTGGCGTCTATTAGCGCATTCAAGAGCGGATAGATGAGTTGAAGCTACTCACTTGGTCTCCTCCGAACCCAGAATATCATTCACATAGAGAATGTAGTCACTGTCCTCATTGTCATAACCATCGTTCTTAACACCTTTGCTCGGCTTCGTCAAGACCCGCCGGGGGTTCCGCGACGACTCGTATTTGAACTGGGGGTTACAGATGCGGTATGTAGCGGGAAGATATGTGGTAAGGGCTTGTACGGGCTATCCATCTGTCCTTCAGCAAGGTTACCTCAGGGAAGAGGGGACGAGTACGTACGCTGATAAACCCGCCCTCGGGATTTGCTCTTCGGTGTGCGGGTTGGGTGTTTATTCGGGGTTGCAGGTCACTCATATTAGTAACCCTCTGCAATCTTGGCGCGGGATCTCTTGGGGGTGAGGGCTGAGGGGGAGACGTCTCAAACATGAGAGCTGTCTGTGATGCCGTCGCTGCCGACTGTGGAAAGTAGCGTCCCCCACCTCCTCCCCCGCCGCTACCACCGCCGCTGGAATCTTGACCTGCATCTGGATCTAAGTTTCGTCGAGCAGTGAGAATGGGGGGGCTGGTGTCGGGTAGCGGACCTGAATGTTGCATTGAATGTTGCTGATAGTTTTGGATAGGAGGCAGTGCGCCCGTACGCGGTGAGCTACTGGAAGCATTCTGATTGTAGTAAGATTGTGAGGCATTCGTGTAATTAGGTCGAGACGGCGACTGGCGGTGTTGTGAGTGTGGATATATCGGGGGAAGATTGGTGGATTGCGACGATGCAGAGGTGGTGTATTGGCCTTGTTGAGGCATTGGGGAGTATCTCTGGGTCTGTTGCGGAGACGTGAGTTCGTCGTTGAGAAACGGTTGCCGTGGTTGCTGTTGCTGCTGAAACTTCCCTCTACCATACGAGTCCGCGTCCTGCATCTGGATGTCCATGTACTCGTTGGGATTCTCGGGACGTGGATTCGTCGAGCCTGCTGCTGTGGCAGTCCCCGCTTGGCCGTGATACGCCTGATATCCCTGTTGCGTGTGGCCTTGTGGCTGCGGCACCTGTTGGGAGGCGTACTCCCGGGGGTGCTGCGGGGAAGGATCAGAGTTCGGTGGCAGTGCGTTGTACCGTGACTGACGATTGCTCGCTGGATCTGTAGCGTAATTAGACCACGATTCCATTTCGTCTATGAACGGCGAGCAGGCGAGAGCTATCGATTGCGGGTGATCTTTTTCGGAGGGGGTTTGGCTGAGCTAGTGGACAGTTTATCGAAGCGGGCCGTGTCGTCGTGGTCGTTGTCGTCGCGGGGAGTGATAGTGCCGAAGCGGACTGTTTTAAACGAAGCGCAAGCAGAATGAGAGCGAGTGACGACAACGAGGGGTCGATGCGCCTGGGTAAGAAATGGAATGAGGTGCGGGAGAAAGCGGTTCTCGTAGTCAGAGTAAGAGGGGTGGGTTGGGTGATGGGTTGCAGTGGGATGGTTGGGGTTGGGGTTGGAGGGGGTGGTAGTTGCGCCCTTCAATCGCTGCGTGCCCGAGAGCTAATAAGGAATGATACTGTAGCGGCTGTAGCGTCTTCACGGGGGTGGCCGACGACGTTGTGAAGGTGGTGATTCAACTGCGATCTCGCCTCCTTGCTGAGTGTTTGATTTCTTGCGTGCTGGGAGCTGGGTGAGTTGTCTTTCGCTGGGAGGAGAGGTGGTGGTGAGTAGCAGCGCTTAGTGGTGGTGGTTGGTGGGCTTGGTAGACCTTGGGTGAGTGTACCAGCCCTTCCTTGCGGGAAAAGAAACAGACTACCAAGATGTACCTAGTAGGTATGATAGCAACGACAACAAGCACCACATCCACTCTTCTTCATCATCGTGACAGAACGGGGCAGGAGGAAGGCATTTTTCTGGGTGGAAATTTAGAACAGGGTGCTCGAGTATAATCCAGACCCATCTGTATTTGCATTTACGGACCCGTTATCGTTTCATAGCTCTACCTTCTCCACATTGATGGCGACCATCCGAAGTCCTGATATAAAGCAGTATACGCAAGGGGAAGACGATAGTGGTTATTGCCCGCAAGCCTTTAGTAGTTATGGCCCCGATCAACCCGACGGCCGAGTTAAGAGGCGACGATTTTGGCAGCCGCTGGGTTTACCTGCCAGTGAAGTATCAAAGAACATTAGGTATGTAGACAAGTACTTGCATAAGTAAGAGGTACGTACCTCATACTCGTGCCAATAACCCCTCCTTTTTTATACTCCGCACCTTTCCTCCTCTCCTCCACCCACCAAAACTTTTCAATTGACACACGTCACACATCACGCATCAAGTCGCCATCACATACCAGTCAAGATGTCGTCGGAACCCAAGTCACCGGTGTATTTCGTGCAATATTTCAAGCGTAGCTCCCCCGAACTGAAGAAGCCGTCCATCCGACTCACCGTGCTGCCCCCCGATATGGAGATCACGGTCGTCGATGACGTTTACCTGCTTCATTCGACCACACTTAGGGAATGTTCTCGCTTCTTCGAGACGAGCCTCTCGGTGACTTGGTGGAAACCAGAGAACACGCACAGCGGTCCCGATGGCATCAAATACCGCTACAACCTTGATTCGAAAGACATCGGAGCAAATCTGTTGTCCGCGGTTTTGCGGCCGGTGCCCGCTACGGCCACTTCGAGTACGATTGGGCCGGAAGCTGCTATGCGCAGCGAGGACCATTCAGAGCCAGAGACAGAACCCGAGCTAGAAGACTCTAACAAGATGCTCTCGGCGGTAACGCAGGCATACCAACGGTTTCTTCGCCTCCTCTGCCGCAAGCGCTGCGATTTCAGGCAGTTCCACGAATTCAGAGAACTCGAAGACCTAGTCCAACTTGCCGATCTCTATTGCGCCCTCCCAGCTGTTTCCGTTGCGATCGAACAACTGACGATCCTCGTCTCGCTGAACGTCGAAGCATTTCAAATCGATGCACCGTCATTGATGTGTGTCGCCCTGAAGATTCGCTCGAAGCTTCTGATCAGTGCACCATTTGTTCGGCTCGTTAACGACATTATTTACACATACGATGAACAATTTGATGAGAAGCTGCAAAGAATGGGGTGGCCGTGGCTCGAGGGGCCGGTGAAACTCCGGGATTACGCGATGCGCGAGGCGTTTCGAATAATGCAGCTGCGAGCCAGGATTGACAGGGCAGTGACAAAGTTTGCGGCGCGGTCCAGTATTTCGAATGGGTTTGGCACATCGGCTGGTTATGTAATGTCGAATAGTGTTGTAAACATTTGGGAGAGTTCAACACCCAGGAATGAAGGGACGGCATACCGAGCCATCTACGACCTCATCAACCCCCACCTTACGACGGGTCATGAGTTGGAAAAAGACCTCATTTCTATCATGGAGAATAATATTGGTGTTATGGTGAGCAGCTACTCATCTAAGGAGGAATTATCTTGTGCCAAGTTTCGTCACGATATAGATTATCCATGGGACGACTCGGAGGATTGGTGAAAAGCCAAGTCGTTTCTTCTTTTCTTGCTTTGGTCATTCTTTCTCATTTTATCTTTCTTTGGGTAGTTTTTTATCGCTTCTTCCTTTGCCGTAAAGCGCCAGCCAAGTACGCGTAACGACTCCATTTGTTTTGTCCAGCAGCAGATACTTATTTGTCATACAAACAGTTCTCTTCGTCTACCGTTAATATTTTCTTACTATGCTTCTGATGCAACTTACTTCTATAGTGATCGTGTTGAGTGTCGTACGGAGGGCTTAGGAGCTTACTGGAACACGAGCTCAAGCGGACTTTCCAGGTGCTAATTCTCACACGTAAACTCAGTTTGCAAGCTGCGTGGGTCTCGACCGAGAGAGGTGTGTGTCATCGTCTGCAGTAGGTTCGTACTTACAACTCGTGAGCCAATGTAATGGGAGAGTACCTGATTCAAATGTCCGTTCAGGTCTCCTAGTTGATGGCGATAATGAACTAGGTACATTTATCAGGCGTCAATGACTTGCTTAGGCGGGACCGTCTTTCTATGACTTTGTCTGTCTGTTTGTCTGTCTGTTTTGTTTTGTTTCTTCATCGATCGCATGAAGCCTATTCAGACTGTAGCGATATAGGTAGAGTACACACACTTCCTGATCCTGTCTGCAGTCCCCCACTTCCCCGCCCTCTACCCAGGCATGTAGTTAGTGGTAGAGTTTTAGTTCGATAAGGCTCTATATCCCGAGCTGGGCCCCATCTGTTTTTTTTTTGATCACCATTGCATTCGATCTTATTAGATCACAGCTGGGTCCCGTCATCCCACGCCTCGGACGAGGTTGACTGAAACGCCGAATGATAGTCGATGATGCTTGTGTAACGCGCCGGCGACATTAGCCAAGTAGGTACTCTCCAACCATATGAAGGTCCTGCACGGCACGAGATTGTAGTTACTATTCATAGATGGTCCTGGGGGACTGTCAGCTCAAATATCACCGGAAATAGCTGCATAATACCGCTCCGATGACCAATTGGCCGATTTCCTACCCCTCAGGAGACATGCCAATGGTGGTCGAATATGGGCGCCCAACATTAGGCTCATTTCCTTCGCCGTCATACCCCGAATGTCCTGTTCATCCTGGAGCTGCTACCGAGATGGGCCGGCGTGCTAGCCATGGAAGTATGAGCGGATTATTGCGAACCCCGATCTGTTTCGACATGTGGTGCGTTTCTGCGTCTGTTAGTAAGTTGCCCGCGATTAAGCGCAACCGCGGCGACACGGTGCTAGGTACTGTTGAATTAACTAATGGCAATAGTAGTAGTTGATAGCCGAATAGGTTTCCTTAGTCTGGTTTGGTCCAGCAACATTCCCAGACTAGCCAGTCAAGTTTTCCCAGATTTCCATATTTAGGTTCGAGTACCTGCTAGGCACTTGGAAGTTGGTATCCATTTCACCATCAGAGGCGATTATCAATGATAGACTGCAGTCCGTCGGCTCTGTTGACCGAAGGGTCGGATTTGCCATAGTTATCCTTTTGGATGAACGGCACTTTGAGTCCTGTCTGGTCCGAGGCAAAAAGACGGGCCGGACGGACCATGACTTACGCTGGCGAAGGAACTAGCTTCTACTAAAGCGATCTCGAGGAGAGTGGAACGCCTGGCAAGGTCAGTTAAGCCCTACGAATCCACAGTTGAGGGTACATATCCGCCTGTTGAAGTCTTGGGCCGTGCTCTGACCTTTGCCATTTTCAGCAGAGTTGGCAGCTTCAATTGCCGCGAATCTCGCGTATGGCGCGTCTTTCAGGGATGGCGTAGGCGGCTCGAGTGAGCTCTAATTCAGTAGGCCGATTTACGGCAGAATAGCGGAACAGTCGTGCGGGGGCGAAAAAAATGTTGGTGCGCTCGCCCTGTTTCTTATTTCGAGCACCTATTTAGCTGGAGTACCTATTCGCTACGCCTGAATCTATGGACCGCCGCCCTCGGTATGCCTCTTTTATTCGAGTGGAATTTGCCTGATTGCTTCATCTGCTGGCTGTCTCTATGGGTATTCAAGCCGATGCCGAATCTTTGAGTCGCAGCGCCAAGCATTGTGGATCACATGTGGGGCATGCGGAGGTCTAGGAGTCGTGAACTTTTTTGCGTGTTGCCTCCCACTCTAGCGACCGCTTTTTGTCAATTCGAAGTTTTTCTTTTCACATCGGCCGACGGACGAATGCCTACAGTAAATTCAGTCATCCGTTTGATTAGTAGAACAACTTTTCGTTCATGAATTGTGCTCTGCGTCGTGCAAGAGGGGGACTCCGTTTTGGCCGGGGACTGCTGCTCCATCGTCCGGATCCTCAGTGCTTGTATTTGATACCCTCCAGGGCCACAAGCTTCTCCCGTTCCTCCTCCTCCACCTTATCTTCGACTCATAAGTTTCTCTCCCCCGTTTCTCCATCGTCCTCCTCCTCCTCCTCTTTCTCCTCATTCTCTCACAACCACCGCCACCTGACTGCATTGCGCTTGCAACCGCAGCTCCAAAACCTCAACCCAACTCACATCACGTTACACCCCGCTACACATCAACCCCACCAACGCCCCCTCTTGCACACGACCGTCATCGGCTCCTCGCGCCGCACATTCTCCTTCACGTCCGCTACTCAAGCCTCAAACCAAGTCGCCATGGCCGAAGAGTGGAGTGCTGAGCGTGTCAGAGACACCTTCATTGGGTACTTCAAGAAAAATGGCCACACTTTTGGTTCGTTGCGTCTTGTCTTGCCTTGTCGCGTGTGGCTGTCGTCTTGCAATGAATGCTGAGTCAATCTCATCAGTGCCCTCCTCGCCGGTGGTTCCTCATTCGGACCCGACCCTCCTTTTCACGAACGCGGGAATGAACCAGTACAAGGCGATCTTCCTTGGAACAGTCGAACCCTCCTCGGATTTCGCTACCCTGAAGCGCGCGACCAACACTCAGAAGGTAGGTTCTCCTTCTGTCGCAGTGGCGATGATTTACCGTTCATTTGGCTCATTTACTGATGTTGTCAACAGTGTATCAGAGCAGGTTTGTCGACAATAGCATTCCCGACCAAAAATGACCACATCTGACGAGTTTTCAAAGGTGGCAAGCACAACGACTTGGACGATGTTGGAAAGGACTCCTACCACCACGTTCGTGTGTCCCGATTTTAGCTACAGCTATCCGGACTGACCGCTGATTGTTTCAGACTTTCTTTGAGATGCTGGGTAACTGGAGTTTTGGCGACTACTTCAAGAAGGAGGCCATCCAGTACTCCTGGGAACTCTTGACCAAGGTTTACGGAATTGACCCGGACCGGCTCTATGTGAGCTACTTTGAGGGCTCCAAGGAAGGTGGTCTCGAACCCGACGACGAGTCCAAGGAACTGTGGAAGTCGATGGGAGTTGCGGATGACCACATCTTGCCGGGAAACATGAAAGACAACTTCTGGGAGATGGGTGATCAGGGTCCATGTGGTCCCTGCAGCGAGATTCACTACGACCGTATCGGAGGACGAAACGCGGCGCACCTTGTCAACCAGGATGACCCAGATGTTCTTGAGATCTGGAACAACGTCTTCATCCAATACAACAGGGAGGCTGACCGCTCACTCCGCTCGCTGCCCAACAAGCATGTCGACACGGGAATGGGCTTTGAGCGCCTGGTGTCTGTCCTTCAGGACAAGCGCTCCAACTACGACACGGATGTTTTCACGCCGCTTTTTGCTAAGATACGTGAAATCACCGGAGCACGGCCCTACGAGGGAAAGTTCGGGGACGAGGATAATGATGGTGTCGACACCGCCTACCGTGTCGTCGCCGACCATATCAGAACTTTGAGTTTTGCGATTGCAGACGGCTGTGCTCCTAACAACGACGGTAGAGGATACGTCATCCGACGAATTCTCCGTCGTGGTGCCCGTTATGCTCGTCGTTACTTCAATGTCGAGATCGGTAGCTTCTTCGCCCAACTGGTCCCAACTCTGACCCAGCAACTGGTATGTACTCTGATTGCTAAATGCTCTACCCTGAGATCGACAGTTAACATCTTTGTAGGGTGGCATGTTCCCCGAGCTTGCAAGGAGGGAAAAGGACATTCAAGAGATTCTGAGCGAGGAAGAGGAGTCGTTCTCGCGCACTCTTGACCGTGGCGAGAAGATCTTCCAGGAGTATGCCGAGAAGACGAAGAAGAAGGGATCTTCAACATTGAACGGAGCCGACGTTTGGCGATTGTACGACACCTACGGCTTTCCCGTTGATCTGACTAGGATTATGGCCGAGGAAGCTGGACTCGATATCAGCGAGGATGAATTCGCAAAGGCTCAGGCGGATGCCAAAGAAGCTAGCAAAGCCAAGAAGACTTCTGGTGGCGTGGAACTCGTCAAGCTGGACGTTCACGATCTTGGAAAGCTGGAGGGCATGACTAACGTTCCCCAAACGGACGACCGCTACAAATATGGTATGTCCCCAAGTATCGATTCCCGGGGCTGCTGCTAACTGTATCGCAGGACGAGGTGTGATTAGCAGTAAAATAGTGGCTATCTACCACAATAAGGTCTTCGTCGACACTACCGAAGGTCTCCCCGCGGACGCTCAGTTAGGAATTCTGATGGATAAAACCAACTTCTATGCCGAGCAGGGAGGCCAGGAGTACGACACAGGAAAGATCGTCATTGATGGAAAGTCTGAGTTCGATGTTACCAACGTGCAGGTTTACGGAGGTTATGTCCTTCATACGGGTTTCATGAACTACGGATCGTTGTCAGTCTCTGACAAGGTTATCAGCGAATACGACGAGGTAAGCCAAGTTCCACGATCTATCAATGACTTTCAGCTGACCTATTCAGCTACGAAGATGGCCTATCCGCAATAACCACACCGGAACACACATCCTTAACTACGCACTCAAGGAGGTGCTCGGCAATGAAATCGACCAAAAGGGATCTCTGGTCGCTGCGGAGAAGTTGCGGTTCGACTTTTCACACAAGGCGCAGGTTACAACACAGCAATTGGCCGAGATCGAGAAGATCTCTACCGAGTACATCCGGCAAAACCTCGAGGTTTATGCAAGCGATGTCGCACTCGCCACTGCCCGGCAAATCGAAGGTGTCCGTGCTGTCTTCGGTGAAACGTATCCTGACCCAGTCCGTGTGGTTTCGGTTGGTGTGCCCATCGAGGACCTGCTTCGGGATGTCAAGAATCCTAAGTGGAGCAAAGTCAGCATCGAGTTCTGTGGTGGAACCCACGTGGCAAAAACCAGCGACATCAAGGAGTTGATCATTCTTGAGGAGTCCGGTATCGCCAAGGGTATCCGCCGTATCGTTGCGGTTACCGGAGAGGATGCCTACGCCGTGCAGGAGGTCGCCGCCAACTTTTCTAAGAGGCTTGATCGCCTTGAGAAGATGGAGTCTGGTGCCGCTAAGGAAGCCGAGATCAAGAAGACCAATGTGGACCTCAGCAACCTGTCGATTTCTACCGTCACCAAGTCGCAACTGAAGGACAAGTTCTCGGCCATCCACAAGAAGATGATGGATGAGCTCAAGACCAAGCAGAAGGCTGAGTCCAAGACTGCGATGGACGCCATCACCGAGTACTTCGAGAAGAATAAGGATAGCAACGTGATGGTTGCACGCCTCCCCATCTCCGCGAACGGAAAGGCCATCGGTGATGCCCTCAAGTTCGCCCAAACCAAGAACAGCAACAAGGCCGTCTACCTGATCGCTGGCGACGAGTCCGAGGGAAAGATCATCCACGGATGCTACGCCTCGCCAGTAAGTTTCCTTTCCCAACCTCCCAACCTTCCTAAATTCTAACCTAGACCCATAGGAACTCACCAAGCAAACCACCGCGCAAGACTGGGCCAGCGCAGTGAGCAAGATTGTCGGTGGCAAGGCTGGAGGAAAGGGTCCCACCACTCAGGGAGTCGGACTCGACCCCACAAAGGCCGACGAGGGTCTTGAGGCTGCACGGAAATTCCTTGAGCAGTTCAAACTGTAGTGTTACATTTTTCTCATTTTTTCTTTTCTTGTTCACTCATATCCTACGCGATTTCCTCTCTTATGTCATTCTGTTTTTTTTTCTGGTTGGTCGCGGGATTTGTCGATGAGGTGAATGGTATTTCGGGAATAGAATTGTTTTCATGGGGGGTGGTGAGAAACTTGGGTTCTCAATACTCGTCTGTGTGCAATCAGGCCTTTTTGCCCGTTTATGGAAGATCAAGCACGGTGAACGGTGATGTAGAGTACATACTTCGTATTATCTTGGAGGGTTGGGTATACGGCGATGAGAGAGAGAGATCTTCCTGTTTTATATACGGCGATGTTTTGAACGTGGTCATGTATGATTACTCGGTGGTGACAAGTGTTTTTTTGGGTGAGAAAATTTCTGATAGATCAAGGGTTACATTATGCCCCCAATCGTGTCTCGGAGAGCGTATGCGTGGTGGGAAAAGCCGCGGGATATCCTCCTCCCTCTCCCTCCCTAGTTCGCTCTCCTACATACATGTCACAGGGAGCGAGATCTTGACAGGTGGAGAAGGGGACACGAATACGGTACATATGAACATGCCCAAGCTCCTCCTTCGGCCTCCCCACCAAACATCATAACGCCTAAATTCCCCTTCGTATGTACATGAGATCAACCACTTCCTTCCGTCGGCATCCCCCGCTCGGTTGTTTCCACCCTCGACCCTTCGTTAGGACGCCTATCGGTAGTTACTTAACTACCGTGGCAGAAAATGCCGGGGGAATGGTTTACCGCACTCCCAGAAGATGCCGTGATAAGACGGTATTGAGGTACTTTTACCGGTATGGCTTCGATGCCGCTCCGAGCCTTGGATACCGATCAATCATTACGGAATTTGGATATAGAAGCGGCATTAATCCGGTATTATTCTCACCTCGTATCTATCTAGCTACTGTAATTATACGCATCTCTAGGGGTTGTAAATCATTCTAGACAAAGTCTAGAAAGGCGAGTGATATGGAGAGCATTCTCGACTACGGACGATGATGGCTTGCCGAGTGACCTTAAGCATGGAACACTTATCTCACGGTTGTCATTCAGCTCTCCAATAGCCTGCGACACAAAACTGCACTACCTATTCCAGCCCTCTGCGGGGATGTTTCTCCCAGAGTCCCGTTTTCCCGTTCAAGTGCGGCTTGTTTCCGAAATGTCTGCCAAGGCCTAGTAGTTAGTTGAGGAATTGGAAGGCGTGCCGCCGTGAAGAGGGTAACATTTTCGGTTCTCGGTGCCCGTGGCTCATTACACAATCGCAGAGGCCATTGCCCTTCCGCGAGACAAGGCCCGAATCCGTACGAAATCGATGACATATGGGGTATGGAGGTGGGGAATTCACTGCTATGTAAGTGATCCGCCAACCCCTCATCGAAGCGTCATTGAGATACCAAGGCTTAGTGCGAATTAGAACTTAGGCGTCGTCTACGTAGCTGTTACACTTTATCCTCTTCTTACCCAATGGACGACAATCATCAATTCACCGTTCGAGAGATCTAGGTAGCAGGCTTTAGATGAAGGAGTCCTGGCACACAGAAGAAGGCGGTATGACGACGGCGACGACAAAGTCACGCGCGGAAACAGCATCGACATCCGTTACATCCTTGACGAAGAGCCCCCTACAGGCTATGGACCACCTTGCTACAGCGAGTCGCTCGAGGAAGTGAGGCCATACCGAGTTTACGACCACGGAGTTGCCAACATCGGCCAGACTCGCACTTACAAAACCAGCCAGCTATAACCTTTTCTCCAACCGCTTTTCGAGCGTCGTATCAACGGACTGGAGGATTTGATCCGCCGAAATGGCACCAATGCCAACGTCTACCTGGGTGGCCTTGGACGGCCATAAAGCCGGCGGCCCAAAGTTCATCGGTAGAGACGAGATACTCGTTAGGCGGGTGGTGTGGTCATCAGGCGCACCAAAGACGTCGGAAGCATGGACGATGAGAAGCAAGACAGGCTGGTAGCGCTGGCTCGTTCAGATCCCCTTTGGTTCGAGGATATAAGTGCCTTGTATATAGGAGTTGCCGTTAGGCTACTAGCCTTCATTGACCTAAAAGGCGTGTATATCGGATGATAAGCAGGCGGAAAGGACACTCAGGGTCCACGGTGATGTTAACGGAAGATCCTTCTACCTGGTACACTGTACCTACACATCAACTCTCATAAACTTTGCTCATCTCTCACGGGCCCAGTTTCTTTGAGTCCAAATGGAAGCAAAGGTATGTTCTACAATACCGTCAAGCCGCTTTCCCTCCGTGTAAACCGTACAACTAGGAACAAACAAATTTCCCATCCATAAAAACCTTCCATGAAATAGTTATATCAAGTGATGTTATGCGAGTGAGCAGAATGCAATCTAACGATGCAAACCAACTTATTTCCCCTCAACGTAGAGTGAAATAACTTCAACCCTGGTGCCATCGCTCTCATATCCGATTGACACGGGATGATCCCCTTCCCCTGGATCTATGGGGACATCTTGCGGATCACTCTCGTGAACCCCAACACAGACAGGAACGGGATCACGCTCCATTATTGCTGGCTGACGATTATCAGACAACACGAGACTTCTACGTTGTCCATAGGTATTTCGCACCGTGGGTGGCGGTGAACCTCCTCCTCCTCTTCCAGGCCTTCAGCTGTCCCATCCATTGATGCCTACCAGAAAGCCAGACTTATCCAGCATGTGGAACAAAAACGCCAAAAACAACATCACAGTAGCGTTTCGGTTCATTGGGCCGACTCACGGCGAATGCCCACCTCAAGGCTCAAGGCTCAAGTGGGAGAGAACATCACCTCATTTTACATACAGTCCCACCAAGCTTTCCTGTCCGTTCCGCTGGTCCGGGTCCACCTCAAGTGCATCTATGTACGAAACCAACATATCTCGACTCTCCCTCGGCCAATGAGTACCGGATGCATACTCACGGACCAAATTGACGATACCTTGTCAGCCTCCGGCCCTACGCCGCATCGTGAGCAGTTCCGGCGAGCTCGAGTCGAGGGCTGAGTTGATAGGGTAGGGAGGCATAGGGCATAGAATAGGTACAATGTACATACTTTGAAGTTTTTCCTGCCGCTTGTAACCGGCGTATGTAGCCATGCTCTCGGAGCATTGAGTTCCCGCTGAGCTCGTAAATTCCGAAACAAACGAAATTGAAAACGTTGTATCTACATACTAGAGTAGTAGTACGTGGTACTGCCCCTTGTGATGTGTGTGTGTGTATGTGTATGTGAGTCTCAGCATCTGGATCCTCCCTACCGGACTCCGGAGAGTTAGCATCGGGATCATATCGGAGGGATACTCTGACTGTCTGTCTGACATCCCAGACGGGCGTCACGAGATCTTCTCCAGGACTCAGATGTCCGATATATACATATAACTCAGCCCAGTTGCGGGGTGCCGGTCGACCGAGATTCCGCTAACTACTCATGTAGTAGTAGGCCGCGCGACGAAGCTTGGTTTCAATGGTAATCATGTATAAGCTTTTGCGTAGTTGCATATATCTATGCTAAACAGATGGTCAGTGGGCAACTCTGTAGCTGGTGTTATTACCTATCCCTGTTGCTGTCTCATGCATCTCCCTACATAATCTCCAGCACAAGTTCTGAGTTACTAGTAATACTAGTATTCGCGTGGGGTCTCCGACCATCCGACAACGCCTTGTCGGTGGCATGTACGGTTTGTACGGTATGTATGCGTGTATGTAGGGACGTTGCAAGAGCTGACGTTGTATCGGATGTGTGTAGGTCCTGGATCCGAGAGCTACTCGACTCGACTCGATATGTGGAGTACATACGGTACCGTAGGCAGCTTCTCTACTCTAGACTGCCCCTACGGTAATTACTTGTTCCTCTCACAGTCTCACTTGCCCACCTCTGGACGGACGAGACCAGGTAAATAGTTCGTGGTCGCCGTGATCGATACGAGATCTAGAGATCTTCTGGCGAAACTTGGGACTGGGGACCGGGGACTGCTACACGGCACGGACAATCGGTGTGGGGAATGCGGTGCATGTCGACGTAGGGATAGGTATAATTACTAGGTAAATAGTAGAGTATGGTCTCATGGAGAATCTACTAGTTATACCCAGTAGTTAGTTAGCAGCGTGTCTCGTCTGTTGAAACTGAGCGAAGAACTTGACTTGAATCATTAGTGAGATGAGATGAATGAGGGAAACAACGAGCACGTGTACTCTAGACAAATGGATGAAGCCTCAGAATCTCAGACAGAGGATGCTACGATACCTAGACAATGCCGGACTGGGCTAAAGACTCAAGAGGTTGATTCTGGTGAGATGCTAGGGACAATGCTGAGAAGGCTGAAACTACAAAGATAAAGGCTGCTTACGGCGAGTCTGCGACGATATGAAAGGTCAAAGAACACTGCAAAGAACCACTGACAGGAATAGTAGGCAAATAGACGCCTAATAACCAACATCGTAATTGAGAGGATGTCGAGTGAGCGTGTGTGGATCACCGGAACCTACTGGCTCCAAGTACTACATAATTACGGTACCATAGTTAACCCCCACTCAAGAGGCAGGCAGACACTTCTCTCAGACTGGTTACTTACTTCTTACTATAGGTACCGTATTCGGTGAAACATAGGCGTGTCTAGCCCGGCCTTGTCAGTCAGACATTTCTGAGACAAGCCACACTGCTCAGAGAGAAGCGACTCCTGGAGAAATATATTGCTACCTGTCGAGGGTTGGAGCTGCCTATCGTCACGGGGATACAACTTCATATGTAGGAGGCTATAGGTGCAGCCTACCTACTTTTCGGTGTATCCTTCGTTGAAATATGCATAGATATCACTCTTCCGAAGTCCCGCCCTCACATCGGCTTCGGCAACCAACCGGGTGCACTCACTCGGATTCGGATCCGGGACGACTGGTTGGTTGGGTTGGTGGGCGTGAGTCCTGACGCAGCGGCTTTGTGATTTTTCCGCAAGCCGCGTTTCGAGAAGCGAATGGGGTGTTCACCCGGAGTCTCGGAGTACCTACTGTACATAACTAGCGCATCAGCCTGGGCCGCAGCCCGTTTTGCATGTCTGAGATTCTGAACCTCGACTTTCCGCCGCTTTGCCTTACTTACCAGCCTCGTTGGGGGTGGCGGGAGGATGGCTCGTTCCTAAGCTAACGTCCGGACCGTGGAAGGGCCGACGCAAACGTATGTAGAATTGTAATACGGTATTTGCAACCATGAAAGGGCTTATGTCATCCTTTCCTCCCGAACAGAAGGGAAGAAAGGCCCACCGGCCACCGGCCATGCACAGGTACTCATCTTTCCCGGCAGGAAACCCCCCGCAAATCGCAGGGTTGCCCTCCCCCATCCCAGCGGCGAGGAGGATGGCGGCGAGAGATGTGTACGATGTGGTAAGTGCATACATAGGAACCATACTCCCTCCGCAAGAGGACACGAGGACAGGGTGGCCGAAGTGGGCCGCACAATGATGACCGACCCGATCCGACTTGTCGGCGTGGAAAGTGCAGAGCTCCGAGCCACGCCATTAGCTAGGCCAATCAGACGGCTCGAGAGTCGAAGCTGCAATGCTGCATCAATTCCCGGGGCTGATCAAAGCGGTACTAGGCATCATAGAGTAGGTGTAGGTACACCAGGAGCAATCCCATCCCTCCAGAATACGGTACGTTGCAGCATCAACTTCTGTGCGCACGTGGTGCTGCTTCTCCGTTGCTGCTACTCCTACTGCTACTGCTGCCGTAAGCTCTTAGCTACCGTAGGTATACCTAGTGCTCTAGCCGTACCCACCGCCCGGTAAACGCATCCACTTCCCTACTTGCTTACCTACTCCCCTACTTGCCCACCTACCTGCCCACCTACGGTACATACCAGTGTACTTCCAACCGCTGATACTATATATCCGTCAATAGGTACTCTAGACTGCCGGCTCCACACCGCACCGCGCACGCGCGCGCCGCCGCCGCACAAGGCCTCGTCGAGTCATCGGGAATGTGGCCGACCGGGGCCAGGTCGAATGACGTTCAGTGAGTAGAGTAGAGTAGAGTATGTAGAGTAGCGCGGGAGGGCGGGTCAGGGTCTGGAGCAAAAACATGGGGGAAACAATCTCGCTGTAAGCCCCGATAGGTACTCTATCTACACACATGGAGAGCACCATACATACATTGGTACTTGCGTAGGTACTTGCGTAGGTAGGCTGGCGGTAGGCTGGTAGGTAAGGTAAGGTAGTTCATGCTCATATGTATTCCTATCGTTTTAACCGCCTCCTAGTTACCTCCTACATATATAGAAATATCATTCGATGGGAGTTTCGAACTTTCGATAGGGCCTACTACGGTCCACTATACCGTACTAGTAGATCTAGTCTAGCACATAGAGCATTCCCCCGACATCCGATGATACGATCGTACATATGGACCATCTCGTTTGCGTTTACTAGGTATATCTACACACGGCATGGAGGAGTCCGGTCACCGGTGGGCCGTGGCTTCAGTGCCGCAACTTTGGCCGTTTCCTTTGGGCTTTGTCGTTCGGTCGGGGATAGAAAGCAAAATCAGCCTGAAATCAAAATCGGAAATCAAAATCAAAATCAAAATCAAAATCAAAGTCAGGTTGAAATCCCTTTTTTCCTCTTCCATTTCGATGCTTCTTTTTTGTTTACCTACCCAAGCACCGTACTCGATCAAACCAGAGTACGGCATGTCTCATACTTGGTTACATGCCCCTCTTCCCATGCTCCTCTCATGCGTAAATACATTGTAGCGAGCCGCTCAACCATTTCCATTTCCATTTCATTTCATTTATTTATTTCTGTTTCCCATCCCATCCCACCCCATCCCATCTCAAACATGACACTCACACCACAGTGCACACTTCCCCTCCCACTGCACACACACACACACACAGGCTGCAAGGCTAACCAGGTACAAGTCTGTAACTGCGTTTGGTGGACAGGGGAGCACCATGAGCAGCTTGGTAGTGTAGAGTACTCCCGCGCGGCTGTAAGGGGGATGACGGGGGTGACGGGGGGTGATGGGGGGCAAGGGTTCAGCACTAGAAGGTCGGATCGGGTGTTCCATCAGCCTTCGGCCTCTACCTACCGGTCCTCTAGATCTCCCCCACTGCGTATGTGTGCACTGTGTGTGTGGCGTGAGGGGGGAGGGAGGAGGGGGGGGGGGAGTGACGGGGGCAATGTGAGAAACGGGGTATTATTGGATGTTAACATTGGCAACTTGGAACTTGGATGTTGCTGGAGTGGTCACTGGTGATATCTCATGACTCGCTATGGCGCTGAGTATGATGCTATGATGCTGGATATGATGTGTATGTACCTGGATGTTTCACACCCCCCCCCCGGTTAGCCCAAGCACTTGTGGTACTGGTGGTGCGCATAGTAACACCGTCAGCTGACCGGCCGCGAAGCCTGTGGCGGGATGGAAGGGAAGGAAGGGAAGGGAAGGAATGCTGCAACACGGCGGAGCGGCGTAGCTGATCTAGAGTCAGGAGCCGACCGGTCGGTCTATCGGTCGGCGCCTTGTGCCTCTGGGCTGAGTTACACCAGTAGCCAGTAGAGTAGCCAGTAAGAAGTCCGCAGCTCCCAACGGTATCTTACCTACCTCGTATATAAAACCAGGCTCCAGGCTCCAGGCACCCGAACGTCAAGATTAGCTATGGTCTATGGGCCTACGGTGGCCAGTGGCCACTGGCCACCAGTTCACCACCGCAATATAGAATATGTAGAATAGAGTCGTGTAGCACCAGCCTCAGCTTCTGCCGTCGTTCCATGCGCACGTTTTCAGCTTTCCACCTGTGTATCTGTGTATCTGTGTACATATGTAGGAATAAATGAAGGGAAAAAAACACTTTGGAATGCTGATGGTCGCTGGTGGTGTGGCTCCAACCCACAGTAGGTACTGGGTAGGTGCTATGGGTCCTGGGGGGTAGAGTATCATACCCAAGTAATGTCATAAGTACCTGGAGTAACTTACTCTACCTACATGTGTAGAGTATGTACACACATACACACTCTACGTATCCCCATATGTACTGTACGTTTGACACACCACCGCCACCACTGGGATCATCAGCGCTTGTAGGGGAGAGTACCAGGAGCTGCCAATAAGTGGTGCCTCACCACCATTACGGATTATAAGCACTAGTCAAGCATAGAGGTGCACTAAGCCGGATACGATGAAATGAGTGAGTGGTTGTGACTAAGTTGTTATGGGGGAAAAGCGCTAAGTTGTATGGGGGAAAACCTGGTGAGGCAGCACTTACCCTTACACCCGAGTACCTAGAGTCCGCAGTGTGCACTACGGTACATGGTATAGATACATGGTGTTCATAGTCGTTCATATTACGGAGTGTACATCATAGTGTGCGTAGTGTACGGGTGTATGTACTCTATGATGTTAGGTACTTTGGTACTGATCTCAGTACCGTACCGTCGCAGTGACAAAGTGTCTTCCACAGCTGCTGACATCGAACCCCCCCCTACCTCCCCCCTCCCCTCCCCCAACGCTCCGAGACACAAAACCCTTTCTCTCCAGCTGGCGCCTACCCACGGAACCGTCTTGACTCTTTACCACTAGTAATTTCTTATTTCAGGTTGCGCACATCCATCTCGAAGGAAGAAAAGAAGAAACACGTCGGGGGTTCGATCCGGGGGGCCAGAACGAGACGTTCCATGCGGGTTCGGGACCGGGGTAGGGATGGGACGGGGGGATGGAGGGACGGGGGATGGAGGGACGGGGGATGGAGGGACGGCGCATGGGGGGATGGGGGATGGGGGATGGGTGATGGGTGATGGAAAATAATACTTCTGATACCCATGCTGCTACATACATGCTCTACACGCAGACGCAAGAGCTAGGTAGCTGCCCTACCCGGTAGGTGGATGGGAGCTGGGGGGGGAGGGGGGGGGATAGGATGGGGGAGGGGGGGGGTGGGGAGGGGGGTTTGATAGGTGCTGGTGCTGGTGGTGGTGGTGGTGGATGATGGGGACTAACTATCATTGGGGCAATGGGGTCGGGGGGGGAGGGGGGGGGGAGGGGGGGGGGAGGGGGGGGGGGGGAGGGGGGACTCGGCAGGGCGTCTCTAAATAATACCTCCGATCCGCTCGCAGTGAAAAAAAAAAGCCTATGTAATGTACCCGGGTCCACCCAGCGACCAAGCGGAATGTCGATAATGGAGTCTACGTCCACCATCCTCATCTTTCGAATACCACCGATGCCCACGGACCACCTCTCGTTCTCACCACCACCAGCAACACCCGCCCATGCGTCAAAAAAGTCCCGCGGCGGTCGGGGCCGTTCGGCCACCACGTCCAGCCCATCCGTCGCGCCCTCCACCGCTAGGTCCCGATCCAGAAGCACGGCTACAGCCAGCAGCACGAGCGCGACCGCGACCGCATGCCTCAACACGAAATTCACCAAATACTCCGTTGCGGCGCTGCAAGCCGCTCTCGGCAACGACATCGAGCGGCTGCACTCGTTCGCGGCTAACACCGAGCTGTCGGGCGAGAACATCCTATTCCTGAAGAGCGTCGAGATCTGGAAGGCCAAGTGGCGGCACCACGCCGCGGGCGGGGCCCCCGCCTCCGAGAGCGAGCAACGGCGGCGCCGCGAGGAGGCACAGAAGATCTGGCGCCGGCTCGTGGACCGCGACACCGCCGCTTTCCCACTCAACATCGAGGACGCCGTGTACCGGAGCCTGGAGCGGGTATTCGGCGCGCCCACAGCTTCGTGCACCTCTTTGTCATCATCGTCATCGTCTTCCGTGGCCGCGTCCTCCGCCGAGGAGAAATCGTGCATCGTCCCGTTCGCGGACGACGTGACGTGCGGCGGCGGCGGCGTGGGGCTCCACGCCCGCCGCAGGACAACAGGGAACTCGGATTTCGCCGCGGCCACAGCGGAACTGGTGCTGCTGAAGGAGACGCTGGGGATCACTGTGATCGCGCCCGCGCACTCGTCGTCGCCGCCGTCGGAGCACGAGTGGATGTCGCCGCCGCAGTCGCCCACGCTGCTGCCGGTGCGGATGGAGGCCGTCGAGATCACCCTAGAGGTCTTCGATAAGGCTGAGGCTAGCGTGAGACAGATGGTCCTCGAGAATACGTGGATCAGATACGTCGACTCGCTGGCGGAGAAGTGTAACGATGTCAGAGTCTCGGCTGAGTCTCCGCCACCGGCGGGTTGCTCCTCGTGGCGTTGGAAGAGCGTCTTCCGCAAGAAGAGTTACACTAAGTTCTTGGGTGCCGGCGAGCGCGACTGATTCATTTTTCATTTTTTTTCATCCGATTTCCTTTTATTTTTGCTTGTGTTTGCTTCGGAGCGGGTGGAGTTTTGATTTTTTCCATGGGTTGGCTGGCTGGGTTCTGTTTTTGGTTCTGTTTTTGGTTTTGGTCTTTGTTTTATCTGCGTTCACATTGATCACGGGCTGGGTTCTGGAGTTGGTGGTGGGTACTTTTTACATACTACCTGGGGCAGTGGGATCACTGCTTTTTGCATGCACGCCGTATTAGATTTGTTTTTTGTTTTGGGCGATATGTTTTGGGCGATACTTGTTGGGGGGTCATGTCGCTATGTCACTTGCATCGTGGGATCTTAGGATATTGGGGTCGCGGCATATAGAATAGAATAGAATTCTCTACATCTACATCTATCTACATCTACTGTATCCAGATACATCTACTATACACCTACATGCGCGGTAATTGGCATTGACGAGTAATGCAACTACCACGAGCAAGTCCTTACTCAGGCACTCTATTGTTATGTACCGGCGTCAGCATTCCGTGGCTGGGCCCAGCACAGCACAGCACAGCCAAGCGGGGGTGGCTACACAGTCTCGGAATAGCGATTGCAGTCAGCCACCATGACCACCAGCACCACCAGCACCACCAGCACCACCAGCACCACCAGCACCACCACCAGCACCGTCGCCGCTGCCGCTGCGCGCCACCGCCACGGAGGCGACATCCCAACATCCTAGTATCCCAACATCACAGCTTCAACTTCGCCCGAGGCGTGTAACTAGAACACAGCAGCTGACGACCGTTTTCGTGGTATGTAACAGTATGTAGCGGTATGTACCCAGCCAGCTACCGTGCAGTGGAGGCAGCACGGGACGCATGGGTAGCATGGGCATGGTCAGACACGCTTGCGCCGTGCAGTCGGGAACGGAACGGACGCAAGGCAAATGCAAAGGTCAGGGACTCAAGGAGCACTGGAGCAGTGCCTACCCGTCCCCGTCCGTCCGTCCGTCCGTTTGTCTGGGGGGAATGATTACTCTACACTGGCATACTCGGTGGTGGCGAGTGCTCCGTGGTGCGCGTCCTCGTTCGATACCTACCAATCCCAGATTCCCAAGACGGGCCGCGCGCAGCCATGTACGAGTATTTTCGGACTTGGGACTCTGGACTCGGGAGTCGGGGGCCTGAGGGAGTCGAGGGGGGAGGGGCCGCGCGTGACGCCGCCACACTGCAGTGACTGACTGCGCATGCCACAACATGATCAGTCGTGAGCAGCCGTGAGCAGTCGTGATGATAGCATCAGCTTCAGCAACTTGTTAGTTTGGCAGTTGGTAGTTGGCTGGAATGTGCATTGTGCGCAGCGTTAGGATACGGATCGGGATTCGGTGGTTTAAATTGCGATCTTTGGTTCCGGTGGGCTTTTGGGTTCTGGAGGGGGCCTGGAGTAAACGTTTCTACATAATACGGTATGTGTAGGTGCCTATTCTACGAGTACGTGGCCCCGCTGTGCGGATCGTGGGTGGTTGGATGGTGATGATGCTACGGGCGGTCCGGTGCTGAGTCGGCGCTGGGTCCTCCACGTACCGGTATGTATGTGGCTGGTCTGGTGGGCGAGGCTGCGAGGCAGGCTGGCTGGCAGGCAGGCTGTGTTCTGGTTTATATTTTGTTTTGCGAGATCATCATTCGCATTCGATATTGTTGGAGTAGAGTAACCAAGTAGATCATGGCCTCTTTTGGCAAGACGAGTGCTTCCCGATGTCTGCGGCTCTGGCTCCCATGGATGATGGATGGCACATGCCGGCACCGGCGAACTACGGAGGGCACGGCGTCATTGGTTGCGCCGAAGCGTTTCTTGGTTAAGCTCCATCCGAGCATAACTTCACCACGCCGCATGGAGTCATAGAAGTAATTATCCTAACCCCCCTCCCCCTATGGCTGTCCTCCTGTCTTGATCCTACCCGTCACGACTCGAATAGATAGCTACCGTAGTAACTGTAGCCGCGCCCTCCCTACATACCCCGCCTCGAATTGTATCGAATCGAAAACAACGCCCGCTTCAACAGACATGCGAGCTGTCTTCCTTCGCGCTCGTACAACACCTCTCTCCTCCCCTTCCCTGCACATCCTCCGCCGCACAACTGCAACATGGAGCTCCGCAATACGTCATACACAACATCGCAGCAGCGCCTTCGGAACCGCGACGTTTCAGCAGCGGCTACCAGGGCAGCAGCTTCCTCCTCCTTGCAGCAGCAGCGGTAGCAATTACACATTACGCGTCGTGGGCTTAGGAGCTTTAACAGCACTCGGGCTCGCGCTCACGGCGCCGGTACTCCTGACGGAGGCGGAGGCGAAGGCGGAGGCGGAGTCGGCGGAGACAGCACCGCCAGCGCCAGAGAAGACGACGGAGCAGCTGATGCTGGAGGAATCTGAGCGGGAGCGGCGGGATCGACACCACACGCCGCGCGACCGGCCACTGGTATACCGGATGCTGCGGCGCACGCGGCTGTTCCTGATCGACTACATCATCGAGCCGATCGCGACGGGGTTTCGGTTTATTACGCTCGTCACGATATTTGCGCCGCTGATCCTGACGATTCCGTTGATCTATGTGGGCGAGCGAAGGAAGGAGAGGAGTGGTGAGCGCTCAGGCACGCTATGGTGGTACGCTTTCTTGCTCAGGAGCTTGGAGAGGGCTGGGCCTACGTTTATTAAGGTTGGGAATCATGCTGCGGCTGCTGCTGCTGCTGCTGCTGCTGCCACCATCACCACCATCACCCGTCCAGGTTGCGGATTGCTGAGCGAAAGAAAAATATATTATAGCTAGGACAATGGGCGGCTTCGAGGACCGATATCTTCCCGACCGAGCTGTGCGAGATGCTGTCGAAGCTCCACTCCAACGCGAAGGCGCACTCCCTGCGGGCTACCAAGCGGATAGTCAGCCAGGCGTTCGGCGGCCGCAAGTTCGAAGACATCTTTGAGGAATTTGACGAGACGCCGCTGGGAGTCGGTGCGATTGCGCAGGTCTACAAAGCAAAGATCAAGCCCGACCTATTGCCGCCCGAGAGGAAGGAAGAACGGAACTTTCGGCGGAATCTGCGCGAGAAGGTGCAGGGCCTGGTAAAGAGTTCGCCGCCAGAGGGACCGCCGTCGTCACATGTCGCCATCAAGGTGATACACCCGCGTGTGGATAAGATTGTGAATCGTGATCTCCGGATAATGCGCTTCTTTGCTACCCTCATCAACGCGGTGCCGACGCTGGAATGGCTGTCGTTCCCGGACGAAGTGGATGTGTTCAGTGGCATGATGCGGTTGCAGATGGATCTACGGATCGAGGCCGAAAATCTGGCAAAGTTCCGCGCAAACTTCAAGGGCCGGACCACCGTGACTTTCCCCACCCCATATCGCGACTACACGACGAGGGATATCTTGATCGAAGAGTTCGCACACGGCATGCCGCTCAGCGCTTTCCTTGAGTGCGGCGGCGGAAACTACCAGGAAGGAATCGCTAATATGGGCCTCGATGCATTTCTGGTAAACTCAGCACTCTTGTTTCTCTCCGCTCTCTGGGAGCTGAATATTTTTCTGGTGTAGCACATGTTGGTCCTCGATAACTTCATCCACTCGGACCTCCACCCGGGCAACATCATGATTCGGTTCCTAAAACCTAGCTCACAGCTACCTCTATTCTCTCGGATCCCTTTCTTCTCTTCGGCCCCTTCCTCCAAGTCCAATCACGAAGATGGCACGGCAGATGTCCGCTCCCGCCTCACTCCCCACCGTAGCAATCCGACCGCATGGACAGCCGAGCTCGCCGCGCTCGACGCAGAAGGCTACCGGCCACAGCTCGTCTTCATCGACGCCGGCCTAGTAACAGAACTCAACAGCACCAACCGCCGCAACTTCCTCGACCTCTTCCGGGCGATCGCCGAATTTGACGGCTACCGCGCAGGGCACCTAATGATCGCCCGCTCACGGTCGCCGTCCACCGTGCTCGACGGCGAAGTATTCGCGCTGAAGATGGAGCACCTGGTGCTCGCGGTCAAATCGCGCACGCTCGCGCTCGGTAACATTAGTTTCGGCGACATCCTCGGCGACGTGCTATCGATGGTGCGGACGCACCACGTGCGCATGGAAGGCGACTTCGTCAACGTCGTGCTGTCCATGCTGCTGCTCGAGGGCATCGGCCGCGCTCTCGATCCGAACATGGATCTCCTCAAGAGGTATGTCGCTTCGGACATGTTTGCCGAGTCCGCCGCTAAGCTGCTCGACGCAGTTCTCTGCCCATGTTGAGGGCTGTGGGCGCCGGCGCCGCTATGAGCCCCGTCGCATCCGCCGAGTCGCCCTATAACCCGGGCGCGCTGTCACTGCTCAAGGTCTGGATCGCACTGGAAACTAGACAGTTCGTCACTAGCTCCATCGAGATCATCGAGGACTGTGTCAAGTATGATCTGCTGAGCCCGAATATTTAGATGGTCTGGTGTTTTGCTTTGTTTTGCTTTTTGTCTTTTGCATAAGACGGCGGTATAAGTATAGTACTCAGGTAGGCGTTTGAATTTTGCATGTACATGTACTCTACATATGCTATATTTCGAAGATTTTTGGTGGGGGTGTATATTACGATGAAGATATTAGGAATAGATTACAGAGGCAGGAGTGATCACCCAGACTCGAACTCGAACGCGAGTGATATCAATCGAACCGTTCAACCAGCCAAACAACCACCAATTCCTCATCCTCATTAACCATCGACCGGATCATCAGTGAACACAAATGCAACGCTTCAACTAGAGATGTGGGGTACTGTACACGTGCAGAGAAGCACCAAAACATGACAAAACAAAATAAAAAGATAACGCGAAAAACAAGTAAACAGATGATCCCTAGGTAGCTGAGCGAGTATAGTAGAGGGCTTCGCTCAAGTAATGAAGGTGAACTGAAATCGAAAACCGCGTCACAAGTCCGTCACAAGCCCGTCACAAGCCGCATCCAGCTACAAGTGTATGTAAGTTTTCCCCCCTCCCCTCCCCCCGCCGTCCCACCTCACCCGCACCCCACTACTGCCCAAACCCCCTCCCCTTCTGCAGCAGCGCATCAGAGTACATGGGCGGCGGCTTGAGCCCGTAGCGGCCATCCTGGAAGTGAATATTCTGCTCACGGCGTTTGCGATCCGCCTCCTCGCGCTCAGCGAAGGGATCCCTAGACCGCACCAGCTGCTGCATCTGCTGCTGCTGCTGGTGTTGCTGCTGGTGTTGCTGCTGCTGCTGCTGGAAAACCGACAGCGAGGCGACGGGCGGGAAGTTCTTGAACTGGACATGGAGCGTGCGGCCTACTACCGTCAGCATCCTCGCCATCCTCCTCGTCGTCGGGGGGGTGGGTTGGGGGAGAGAGGGGACAAACCATCCGCCTTCTGCCCGTTATACAGCTGTATGCACCGATCACCCGCCTGCTTAGTCTCAAACACGATCTCGGCAATGACGCTGGGCGACACGGTGAGGATGATGCAGCTGAGGATCTTCCCCAGCGCCTGCATCGCGTGTCGGATATCCTCAGCCGTAGTCCCCGGCGCGAAATTGCTCGCCTGCACGACTGATGGCCCCGCTGCGCCGCGGATCTGGAAGCCGCCGCTCGCCGCCGCCGCCGCTGGCTCAGCAGCCTTCGGTCTCTGCGCTTGACCCCGTCCCTGCCCCTGCCCGAGAATACTAACCCCCCCACCACCGCCGCCGCCCCCTCCCCCTCCACTACCTCTCCCCGCGCCCCCTCCCCCCCGAACCTCAACCTGATCCCCATGCAACGCCGCAAACAACCTGTTGCCCTGCAACTGCTTCGCCACAGCGGGACTAACCCTGGTACCCACGCCCTTCCCCACTCCCACACCCTTCCCCACTCCCACGCCTACACCCTTCGACTTCGAAACGCGGCTCGCATCCGGATTCACACGCGAGTGGAGATCATGTTTCCACCTGCCTGTCGCTGCCACAGTCGATACAGCTCTAGCGCCGGAGCCGGAGACGGCCTGCGGGTCGCCGACGCGTACTGCGCTGGAGCCTATGAAGCCGGCACCGGAACCGGCGCGCGGGTTGGGGCTGGGGCGGCCGTGGGGGTTGGGGTGGGTGATGTCGTGGCTGTTGGCGTGGCCGTGGGTGTTGGCGTGAGTGACGCCGTGGCTGCTGCGGCGCGCCGCAGCGCCCATGATCTCCGTTGCTCTGCGAGAGGCTTCGGCGCGGCGTTCTGGGTGGGAGGAGGGTCAGTCATCGAACTACGGTGCAGATTCCGTGACGGGACGGGGACGGGGACGCGAGGGGGGGCGGAGGGGATGGGGAGGATGGGGCGGGGACGCGAGGTACTCTTGGTCAGGATGTCGTCGAGGCTAATTTCCTTCTGCTTTGGTTTCGGCATGGTTGGGGTTTGGAAGGTTGGAAGGTTGGAAGTTCGGAATTTGGGATTTGGAGGGTGTGCGGTGGTGGGGTGTTTGTGAGAAGCGGACGAATGGAGCGCGATGGGCGAAGGGGGTGGGCGACGGAGGGTGGTAGGTGGTGCGTGGTAAGGTGAAGCGGAGGTGCGAAGGTGGTGTATGTTGTCTATGCTGTCGTGTCTGTCGTTCGCGATGTGCACCGCGAGACTCCGGTGCGACGTGAATGAAGCTTAATTGGCTTGGGTGCCGTGCCCGGTCGTTTGTTACCCGGTGGGCTTGGTGGGCTTGGTGGGCTTGGTGGGCTTGGCGGTAGGAGGTAGGTGGTCCGTGCATGCTACATGCGCGAGTCATTTCTGGTGAACTTGCAGATAGCGGGTTCTTGGAGCTTGGCTTCTACCTATGCTATGTACCTGGAATGAGAGGCACTACTATACAGCAACTGCAGAATGTTGAATTCGAGTCTTTGCTGGCGTAGACTGCTCTGTTAGACGTTGACCAGGTCGGTATACCGGTACTACCAGTAGTAGCATCGACATTTCTAGGTCTACAGTAGCTGCCGTCTTGTCCCCACGCGAAATGGCCTGTTTCATGTGCGATCACCCGGCCAGCGGTCCAGCTGTCGACTCCAGCTTCACTGGGGAGTGCACGGCAATTGGTACTCATATGTACCCGTCTTCATGAACTGCGGTGGGTACGACACCACTCTGGCGGACGTGACAGCACCGAGCACCTCACAACAGCCACATCCAATCTATCATATGTAGTGGATCTATTATTCCTGATGGATTTGTGAGCATCAACCGCCGAGAAGAGAAGTCGAAGGCCCAGGTACACGTGACCCACACAGTGTAGAGCACATGCGAGATAGTCTATTGCTGATAGCAGCCCCATCCGGCGTCCCTTGCGGCCCGGAAGGTGAACGGAGCAGTGGTGGATAGACCAACCGTACCGTGCCATTGAGCTGGTCTTCGGAGTTACGAGTGAGCACCGATGCGATGCGATGCGTCTCCGCCTGTGTGTACCACCCACCACGCACCGCCCACCACCTACCGATCTGGCCACCCACCTCCACCTCGCCTTGGGGATCAGCGCTCAATGCGCTCACTCTAGGAGCCGGAGATAATTCCGCATGCCTAGCCATGCCATCACTTCACTTCACTTTGGAAACTTCTTTTCGTTCCGTGGCAATGTTCCGTGGCAAAGAAAAAAAAGGCTCCCTCCCACCCTTCCAGCTTTATGCTCGATGACGATATGCCCCCATTGACCTCACCACGGGTTTGCTTTCTTTCTTGCTTGTGCTCTGGAGGGTTTAATCGCCGGCGATTGGGTGCGGTCAATAGCGGGTGGCGCTCTTCTTCTTTTTTGCTTTTTTTTCTTTCGGGAGGAGGGGGGTTACTTTTTTTTGTTGCAACGGCTGCGGCGAGGGGATGGAAAGAAGGATGGAAGGATGGGAGGGAGCGAGGAAGGTAAGGGCAGCGATGGATGGTGATTCAATGGGGAGATGGTTCAATAATCCAATGGGGAGATGGTTCAATAATCCAATGGGGAGATGGTTCAATAATCCAATGGGGAGATGATGTTGGAGCTGGTGCGTGGAAGTGATGTGAAAGGCTCAACAGAGTACCGTACTCACTTACGGCACTTGTGTGCTCTACATGCTCTGGAACGATGAATGGCGAGAGGGCTCTAAGGTATTAGGGTATGTAGAACACCCAAGTACGTACCGGTACTAGTGCGCAGAGGGGATAAGCGGCCTACACACATGACATGGTCGAACGATGTTGGAGCAGACCATGGTCTGGAGTCTGGACGGAGGCGAGAGAGAGAGGGTTTGGTTCAGACCGACGATTTGCGTTCACCATCGAGCGGGAGCCTCGATCGTACTCTACATACAAAGCGCTTGGCGTGCGGACTTTGGCTCTCGCTCCGTGTTCTGTTCTCAGCAGCAGGTCTCGGCCTCTCTCTTGCCTCTTGCCTGCTTGCACCTTCTTCGCTGTGGCTGTCTGCACGACACTTCACCCCTCCACCTCTACTAACATCCCAATCTTCACATGCAAGCGACTACCCCCCCTTGCCCTGGCGGCGGCTCGTCCACATTCGACCCCCGCCCGCTTGCCCGCGCCCGCTAGCTTTGTAGAGCACTCTACATCCATCCTAGGTATTGTAGTATTGTACGTCCGTTTCAATCCGACGACATGCACACCGCTCAGCTACGGTATTTTCCCGTCTATTTTCCCGTTCATTTTCCATTTATTTTTGCGGTTTTTTTCTTCCTCTTCTTCCGCTTCCATGCATCCACCATCTGTTTTGTTTTTTGTTTGCAAGCGAAAGCGAAGGCTCAAGGGTGTGCACTGCACGAACTGCACGAACTGCACGGTGCGCCGGTGACTGTCTTTTGCGATGGGGCGATGGGGCGATGGAGGCGGTGGGCGGTGGGAGCTGGGGACTTACTCTAGAAGCCCTGATGCAATGCCGGATCGCTCGCTCGGCCAGAGCTGGAAGTAAGAGCGCACGGCGACGGGATAGTTGCTCTAAGTCCGGCTGTCCCCGAGATGAAGGGAGGTGGTGGTGGAGTAGTATGTACCGCTACCGGTACTCAGTCATGCCTACCTTTGCAGAGTAGATGGCTGCGTGATGTGTGCTTACTTGTAGATTTCGACCCTTCTCCGTCTCGGTGTGTATTACCGGAGAAGACGATCGTTGCCGTTTGTTCGTCCGGCCTTCCCGCCCTTCGCTTCGCCTGGAGAGATTACATACTTCATGCGAGCAAAAGCATTGCCAGTCCACGTCACTTGAAACCATCACTAACCAGTAACTAGAGCAGAGACGCAGGGTGCGGCTCTGTGTCGACATGCCTGCTTCTGGCGAAGAAGCAGGCGAGGAAGAAGAAGGCGAAGAAGAAGGAAAGAACAAGACAAATCCATATGTATCCTCGAGTGTGCACGGACTGGCGGGCGAGGCAGCAGTTACCGGTACCTAGCTTCACGTCTTATCGGCACATCATCCAGTCCGCCAGAACTATTGCGGACGGGCCGTTGGTGTCGTGTATGGTACTCCACATAGGCACATATGATTACTCTGCTTCTCACTGGGACGTCGATGGGGGCTGCGAAGTTGCGAACCAACGGCTTTGAATGGAGCTCGAGTATGTGGATGGCAAATCGAATGCGGACAGAACACAGAACACAGCTCCGCCTCCTCCTCCCTTCTATGCTACCTGTGTCCTGTCGTTCCAATGGTTCGACTGGTCTCTTTGCCGGGCTCCAATGAACGGGCGGACGGACGGGAGAGCTTCTCTTCTCGATCGAGGGGGCTGGGCTGGGGTCTTGGATAACTATCCCCGCCGTTGGAATGCCCGAGGCCGGGGTCGCTAGCCAGCGAGTGGTTCTTTTTTCCCTTTTCTTCTTTCTTTCACTTTCGCTTCGTGCTTGCCTTCTTTACGGAGGGTAGAGTAGAGCTATGAGTTACTGGCGATTGCAATCTTCCGCCGACTGAGCACCGCTGCGTATACTGCGTTTACCTTACCTATGATATAGCCCCCAGCTCCGTGTGCGGTATACCTTTGTATGATATACCTACTCCACTTGGCTGGCCGCTGGCATGCTGGCCGGCTGCGGGGCTGATGGTCTGCCCTGCTGGGGACCCCATGTACCGTAGACACTGATACTCCATGTAGAGTCTACGGTATCCAAGTAGGTGCTCTGCCGTCATAAGAGCTGTGGACTCTGAGGGCGTCTGGAGATATGTAGAGCACACGAAGTGGACAGACTCTGCTCTGCGCAGCCTTTCGAAGGAGAAGTTTAACGCTATGTGCAAGTACTCTATGCGTCTATGTACTCTCTACAGTCATCGCCTTCGTGTTGCCTCGATTCACAGTTCCTTGGCGGGAGTCTATTATCGCACGCCCACCGCTAACTAACCACCAGAGTCCAGCGTCCACACTCCCCACTCCACACGCACACGCACACACACACACACACACACACAGCATACCCTGTTGCCTGTTGGCCCGACCTACCCTACCACCAGCAGCAGCAGCAGCAGCACCACCACTTCCTTCTCTTCTTTTTCCTCTTCTTTTTTTTTTCCCTCTTCTTCTTTCTCTTCCCTTCCTCCTCCTCCCTCTTCCCCTCCTCCCACCCACCGAACACCTCCCCCCCTCCCCCACCCCACCCCACTACCCAGCGGACCCTTAGACTAATCTAGAGGGTGATCGCGTTCGAATACACAGCATCTCTGCTCAGTTACGCGCGACTCGGATATTCGACATCGGAAGCGTTCCCTTCCCTTTTTTCCGTTGCCAGCTCGCGGCAACTGCGAGCGGTTTCCTCGAGAGAAACAGACTGACAATTGTCGTCGACCACTCCACCACTCCACCCCGCCATCCCGATCTCGTTCTCGATCCTACGATCCTACGACCCCGATAGACCGTACGTACGGCTTCGCCTTCGCTGGAATAAGGACTTCATTCTTTTTTTTTCTATATTAAAGGTGAGCTGAGCTGCGCTGCGCTGCATTGAGAGTGCATGTATGTTGTGTGCGTGAGAGTGAGAGTGAGCGAGTGAGAGAAAGAGAAAGAGAAAGAGAAAGAAAGAGAGAGAGAGAAAGGAAGAGTGGAGAGGAGAGACCGAGAAACACAGAGGAAGAAACAGAACATGGGGAGAGGAGTGGAGAGCAAGAGGATGCTGTTTTGCTGTGTGGATATATTGCATGTGTCGAGCGAACGAGAACGGTGTCGATATGCGCTGTATTCTCGTGGGACTCCACATGTTTCTCGCCTTAGTTTCTATTCTACTTATCTATCGTTCATGACCATACCCAGCCTCCACTGCTTGCTTGCTTGATACCATGAAAAATCCTCCTTTTTCCTTTTTCCCCGTGTTCAGTCTTTCGGTTGGTTGGTTGGTTGCTCTGTCCGCCGGTGTGGTCGGCGGTGATCGGTGCGGCCTGCGGGCGATGACGGCACTGAAGCATGGGTGCAGACCAGACCAGACCAGAGCCGCACCAGCGGTCGAGAGCGGTCGAGAGCGGGCTGGGTGGGAAGTATGAGAGTGAGTGAGTGTGGCCGAGCTACATGCATCGCGCACAGCATACTCTCTCAGTCTCTCCTCCCCTTGCCCTCTTACTTTTCAACCCTCTCTTGCCTGTTCCTCGACCCTCCTCCCTCCCCACCCCCCCCCCTCTCTCCCACAAGTTGAATGCCACTTCTTTGCTTTCCGCTTTGAATTCCCCGGCTTTCACCCACACCTCTAGCTTAGCTTACCCACTCTCACTCGAACGCTTTCAACTTCAAAAGCCCTGCCTCGCTCAAGCTGTTCCTGAAATCATTCTAAATCTCCTCCTGTTCCTACTCTTCAAGTGTTTGCTGCTCGTATAACCGCCCCCTTCCTCCCTTCGCCCTCTTCGTTCCTTCTCCTCTTCTCACACCCTAAACTACTCCTCCTAATTTCATCACATTCATAACTTCTCACTCTGCACCTATTTCGAACGAGGCTAAAAATCTTCTCGAGATACAGTTTGAATCCCTCTGGCATCCAGACAAAATCCCGCCACAAGACAAAACCCTATCCTTCTCCCTCGTCCTCCTTATCTTCTCCTTCCCCCTCCTCCTCTTCTTCCTCGACAACTCGTCTTCCGCTCTGTTCCCAACACACGACACCCCCCGCAGCAGCCTCGCTTCGAATTTACCCGCCACAGAACCAAGGCCAGCAAAAAGTCACATCGGAAACCCTTGGTTTCCCCCTCCCCACCCCACCACTTCCGATAACCACAATCCGCACTAACTCCTCAACCCTAACCAACAACTCCCTCCCACCAACCAACAACCCCAGTCCGCCAAAGAAAAACATCAACCCCCCTCCTTCACAAAAGCTCCAACACTTCCACCCTCCCTCACCTCCTACCTAACCACCCTTTCCCACGATTACCATTCACACACCTAATCGAATGACAAGCATCGCCGTAAACTCTTCCTCCGCCGCTCCGCAGAATTCCACGAACGCTCCCACTTCGTCGTCTACCGGTCCCGCACGCTCACCTTCAACAAGCGGTCAGTCTGCATCTGCCGCCGTGCAGACCAGCGCCCCCGCCCCGCGAGCGACGTCGTACGCCAACGCCGTACTCAGCTCTAAGAAAGTACCGTCTGGACCCGGTGGCAACGCAGCTAGCTCTTCAAGCACTGCCCCATCCCAAGTCTCTGGTGGTGCCGCTGGACAACATGCCCGGTCCGCTTCGACTACGTCAGTACCGGTGAATGGCAAATCGATAACTCCGGCTGTTCCTACACTCGGTAACAGTGGAAATTCCAACGGCGCTTCTACACCTTTCAGTGGAGGACACCATAGCCGCAAATCCTCCATTGCCACAATGCCAAACGGTTCTTCACGAGGAGTTCCGAACATCAAGTTCGGCACCATCAACGAGTCCGGAACCGGACCGCAAACATCGGGGTCCGCCGTCGCAGCAGGAAACAACAACAACCTGACTGCACCCATGGCACAGAACCCGAGAGCAAGTTCCCCTTCACCAGCTGCCACCCAACCCTCTGCCAGTGGAGGTCTCCCACCTCCCCCCGGAGCTACCAAGCCTATCCAGTTTGGCGATACTATCCCCCAACAGAGACACGTACAGCCTCATTCGCACAATCCGCCGCAAGGGCCAGGCTCGATGGGTCGTGGTGGTGGTGGCGGTGGTGGTGGTGGCGGTGTGGGAGGACACAACCGGCAAGATTCTGCTCAGTCCGAGGCTCCCATCAACATGTCTCACGGACGTGGAATGGCTCCGGCGGGTCGAGGCCGCCCTCATTTCACCCAAGGTCCATACCAGAACCAGCAGTACGGAGGTGGTGGTGGAAACCAGAGTGGATACGGCGCTGGACGGGGTTACCAGGGACAGAACCAGCACCAGCAACGCAACGGTCCGGCAAACATGGGTGCTGCTGGCCCGTACCCGCAACAGCAATTCTCCAACTCCCCTCGCGTTGTCCCGAGAAGTCCGGCGTTGTCGCACGTGTCCGCCCACCAATCGCCTTCGATGGCACCCGCTATCCCTACCACTCAGCAGCTGTACCCTCAGCCCCACGGCCAGCCCTTTATTCCCCAGGGCAGCCCGCAAGTGGTAACTATACTCCTCGCTTCCATGTCTCCCCATAGCTAACGTCCGATAGCAATACATGCAGCCGATGTACCCCTCCGAACCCGCTTACTACCCTCAACAATACGCGATGGGCTACCAGCAGTTCACACAGACCAGCCCGGCGCCCGGTTATTCGCAGCTGGTTCCCCAGATGGGTGGAGGCGGATTCCCGTACCCTCAGCAGAATACAGCCATGTCTCGCTCCTCGAGTCAAAACCCTGAGATCCGGCCGTCCTCTAGCATCGGGCAGCACGGACAGCACGCACAGCACGGACATCCCCACGGGCCTCACGGCCAGATGATGATGGGTGCCCCGCCTCAACACATGGCCCCCCCTCCCCAGCAGAGTGCCCCTCTCCCACAACAGAACGCGTATAGGGTTGTTCCCAAATCATCCAAAGCCATTCCGATCAGGGACCCAACCACCAATGCCCCCATCGTTCCCCAACCCACTACGCCGGTGGCGGCTGCATCCAATCCGGTTATCGTTCAGTCGCCGAGTCCCGCGTCTGGCCGCACACCTTCTCGTCCCGAGACTCCTCACAATCGTTCTACTAGTCGCAGCAACAAGACTGCCGAGGATAAGAGGCGCGAGATGCGTGAGCAGGTCAAGGCCAGGGCCATGTTGACGGATAAGAGGGCCGAAGAGGACAAGGAAGCTGCCGCCACTGTTGCGAAGGCGAAGGAAGAAGCCGAGGCCAAGGTCAAGGCCGAAGCCGAGGCCAAGGTCAAGGCCGAAGTAGAGGCCAAGGCTAAGGCCGATGCGGAGGCCGAAGCCGAAGCCGAAGCCAAGGCCGAAGCCGAGGCCAAGGCCAAGACCGAAGCGGAAGCCAAGGCAAAGGAGGAACAGGAGGCCAAGGAGGCTGAGGAGGCGAAGGTAAAGGCTGAGGCCGAGGAGAAGGCAGCCAAAGAAGCCGAGGAGAAGGTAGCCAAGGAAGCCGAGGAGGCGGCCACCGCGGCGAAAGCCAAGGAGGAAGCAGATGCCAAGGCTAAGGAGGAAGCAGATGCTAAGGCCAAGGAGGAAGCCGAAGTCCGGGCTGAAGCCGATGCCGCTGCGGAAGCTGCCAAGGCCGCGGAAGCAAAGGCCGAAGCCGAGAAGGAAGCACCCTCGACTCCTTCGGAAACCCCCATGGTTTCTACTCCCGCAGATGGCGAGTCCATGCCGCCACCGTCGCTCAAGGCTGCCGAGAAGCCCCGTAGCAAGCCAAGTCCCCTCAACCTTCAGATTCAGACCAACGAGTCGGGCCTGCCATCCGCGCAGCTCACCCCACAGCTCACCGCGCTGCGCAGTGCTCGACCAGTGGACAACCTGAAGGGCCTTCAGTATCCCGAGGGAATTGCGTCCCCCAACCCGGCTCTGAACCCTATGGCCACGGCTACCAAGTTCAAGTACGATAAGGATTTCTTGATGCAATTCCAGACCGTCTTCACAGAGAAGCCTTCCCCCGACTGGGACCAGAGGATGCGGGACACTGTCGGCGACTCCGAGCCCGTCCGTCCGAATGGTCCTACGCGCACTCCTTCCGGATTGGCTCCCCGCTCCTCGTCCTCTCGCGGTGGCCTTTCCATGTTCTCCGGTGGTGGTGCGATGGGAAGCTTTACCGGTCCTCCCGGCGCTGGTGCTAAGGCCGCCAGCATGAGTTCGATGGAGCGCTTCAAGCAGTCGACTCCCATCCCTCTCGCCGCAAATAACCTTGGATTTGGCCGCTCTAACAGCAACATGGCGGGCCGCACAAACTCGAGCACTTCTCTGTCCGGATCCGCGTCTGGTGCATTACCTCAAAGCCCCCGTACGAGCAATAGATCTGCTCGTGGAAGTAGCAAGCGAGGCAACACCGGCGCAGCTCCCTCCATGGAGAGATCCGACTCCCGCCAGCAGGGTTCGCAACCGACCATTCCTCTGTCTGATGTCAAGCCTCTTCCAGTTTCGGCCAACAGATGGACGCCAGGAAGGTTTAAGGCTGTCGACACTCCGGTAGTAGCAGCTGCTGCCCCCGGCGCGGGTCCTCCCGGTGCGGGTGCGACCGCGGTTGCGGATGGTCTCATGTCGCCCGAGATGGTGCAACGTAAGGTCAAGGCCGCATTGAACAAGATGACTCCCGAGAAGTTCGACAAGATCTCGGACCAGATCCTCGAGATCACCGGGCAGTCCAAGCACGAGAGCGACGGCCGTACCCTGCGCCAGGTTATCCAGTTGACCTTCGAGAAGGCTACCGACGAGGCTCACTGGGCTTCCATGTACGCAAAGTTCTGCAAGCGCATGTTGGAGACTATGGATCCTAGTATCAAGGACGAGAACATCAAGGACAAGAACGGTGTTGTCGTCACCGGTGGAAATCTTTTCCGCAAATACTTGCTCAACCGCTGCCAAGAGGAGTTCGAGCGTGGTTGGAAGGTTAACCTCCCCGACCAGACCAAGGGTGCCGGTGAAGAGGTCCTCATGCTGTCGGATGAGTACTACATTGCCGCCGCCGCCAAGCGTCGTGGTCTCGGTCTGGTTCAATTCATCGGAGAGCTCTTCAAGTTGGGTATGCTTACAGAGCGCATCATGAATGAGTGTGTTCGCAAGCTTCTGGACTTCGAAGGTCTTCCTGAGGATGAGACCGTTGAGAGTTTGTCTAAACTTCTGCGTACCATCGGAGGACAGCTCGACTCTTCCGAGAAGAGTAGACCTATGATGGATGCTTACTTCGGTCGCATCACAGCCATGGTTGAGAATAAGGAGCTGAACAGCCGTATGCGGTTCATGTTGATGGTAAACTTTTTATTCCCCTTTTCTCTGTTTTCGTTTGACGTAACTAACATTTTTCTTTTCTTCCTCCAGGACATGACAGATCTGCGTAGGAGAAAATGGGAATCGAACGAGCAGGACAAGGGCCCCAAGACCATCTTGGAGGTTCGTGAGGAGGCCATGAAGGCACAGCAAGAGAAGGAGGCCATCTCCAGGGCCAATCGGAACCGTCCTCAGCCTAGCCGTGGGCAGAATCCGGGCGGCTTCCAGCAGAGTTATCACGACCACAAGACCTCTGGTACTGTGAACACTGATGATCTTAGCAAGTTGCGAAACAGGCCTAGGCCGGCAGCAAACATGAGCCAGTCATTCTTCCCCCAGTCGTCGTTGATGGGCCCCCGCAGCAATAGCAGCAGGCGTGGAATGCAAGACTCTGGATCTCGCACTGCCACTCCTCCCGCTCCCGCTTCGACTTCGTCGCCGAACATGTTCAGGTAAGTCTTTTTTTTTTTTACCTGGTGGATGTTTTGGGTTCATGCTTGCTAACCTTTCCATAGTGCCCTGTCCGGACAAGATGGAAACGATACCACGTCTCCCCCTCCCTCGAACAACAACTCGCCACAGGTATCGAACGCAAAACCTGTCACCGAAGAGGCTTAAAAGGTAGGTTGTTGGTTACTCTTGGGGGAGGGCGTCTGGGTATAGAATCTTTTTAGAATGGTGTTTTTCCGTGGGTTTGCATCTTTTAATTGCCGGGTCTGGGGGTATTGCACTTTGTTCTGTGATTTCTTACTATTCGTCTTCCATTTCTCGCTGTATCTGGATGAAAAGTTGGGGCTGGCATCTTAATTTCTTGTTTCTCTTCTCGTCGGGCGCTTTGGGGGAGGGGGGGATAATCTTTTTTTTCTCTTTGGTTTCTCTTTTTTTCCTTCTGGTATATTGGGTCGATTTGGTAGGGGCTGGATGGGGAAATGGTTATGGGATGACGGAAAAGATGGTGTCATGATGGATGATTTGGGATGATGGGAGTGCTCCTTACGGAGGGTACGCGGAGGATCAAGGGGAAGGCAGCACGGGCATGAATGGTTTCTTCTTTCTTTTCTTTCTTTTCTTCATTGCGTATTGGGAGGGTTTCGGTTTTCATCAAAAGTCCCTTTTTTCATCCTTTTGTTTTGTATGGCGTTTTCTTTTTTTTTCTTTCTTTTTTCTTTTTTCGATTCTTGTTGGCCCATTTTATTATGGTGGCCATTGATCACTTACCACTTACCTATGGGGATTCTTCTGCCTGTTGACAATTTTTTCTGTCAGATGCTCTTGCTGAAGAATAGATATGAATGCAACTGCTTGCTATGACTTAAGTTCATGTGCGTATGATACATCGAAGGGGGAGAGAGGGTGAGGGAGAGAGGGTGAGGGTGAGGGAGAGGGTGAGGGTGAGGGTGAGGGCGAGGCTGAGGCTGAGGGAGCAGGGAAGAGGTCGTCGTAAACATTGGACACATGACGTCGCACTCGGCCCAGCTATGGGACCCCCCCCTGGACCGGCTCCATTGCTGCTATGGTACTACATACTACTACTACATACTACTACTACATACTACTACTAGGTATTCATTCCCTCCTCACCCAGCCCAGCTCATCTCATCTCGAACCTTTCGAGACTCGAGATGTGCCTCTGAGCCTCTGACCCACCCATCCACGCACCTATTTTGGATCCCACGGTACTCTGAACAATCCCAATCCCATCCTCTTTTCTCTCTTCTCGCGAGTCTTCTTCTTCTTCTTGTGGTTCACAATTGCAATGGCAATGGCGATGGCTCCCTTCGGCTTCGGCTTCGACTTCGGCGGCAGCTTTGGCAGAGGCTTGAGGAGCATGGAATGCATGGCTTCTGCAGCCTGGAGATTCGTTGTCTCGCTGGCCCTGCTGATACTGCTCGTGCCGGCTACGCTGCTGTCGGTTGTGTTGTTTACGTACGTGAGCACTCTTGGGGTTTGGTTGCTGGTTGCTGGTTGCTGGGTACTGGCTGGGGTGACTGCCTGGGTACCTGAGTACCTAGGTTGGCTGGAGGGAGTGTGAGGAAGGAACTGCCTAACTAACGAACTACGTCTTGGGACGGGGAATAGAATTCTACTCTCGCCCCTCCTGATAGCGGGCCTTATCTACTACCATGGCGTCGAGCATTTTCGGTTCTTCCGGTTCTTCTTCAGGTTTGGGACGGGGACTGTTGGGACTGGCAACGGTGCTGTCGACGGTGCTGTGGCGGGGATGCTGGCTGGTCTGGACGGCTTGGACGGTTTGCAGAAGGCTATGTTGGGGTGGGTTATTCCCTGGTGCGTGGTGGTGCTGGTGGTGGCTGATGGTGTGTACACAGGTATTGTGAACGTGAGCGTGAACGTGGGCATACGGATGTCACTACGCCGCAGAGGACGGGGGCAATCAAGTTTGGGAATGGGGGCTTTGCAGCTGCTGGCTGCGGTGGTGGGGAGGGGCTTGGGGATGTGGAGGTGGAGGATGGGGAGGAGTCGGAGGCGGAGGGTGAGGACGGAGAGGACGGGGAGTCGGTATACAGCACCGCGCCCGAAGTCAGCACTCGCCTTCGCATCGACACGCAGGTCGAGATGCTTACGGTGTCCAACTCCAACTCGCAAGAGAACGAGCCACGCTTCGACCTCGACTTCACCACCGTGCCGTTCTCGCCGCATTGGTCGGCCGGCACCCACTGGAGTCCGAGCCCCAGCCCGCTGGATATTTCCGTGTCCATGAGCCCGACTTTGTGGCCCTCGCCCGCTACGGATCTCGAGAGGTGGAGGGGCGCAAGTCCTACTAGTACTGTGGCCAACGAAGGCTTTAGCCCCGTCAGGATTGAGGTCGCGCTGAGGCAGGCGATGGAGGAGGGGTTGGGCTCGCCGGTGAGGGGGGGTGCTGATAAGGGGATGGGGAAGGGAAAGGGAAAGGGAAAGGAGAAGGTGGGGATGGAGTTTTCTACGGAGCTCCCAAGGGAGTTGCGGAATGTCACCGGTTCCATGCTGGATGGTGGAGAACACCAGTCGTTTTCTTCCGAGGACGACAGTCTGGACATGATGATTCCCAAGCTGGAGCTCATCCGATCAATGCCGGATGTTAGAAAGCAGGCGTTGATCGAGCGGTTCAAGCACGTTATTACCGAGTTGGAGGCTACGCTTGGCCAGCGCGAGGAAGAGCAGTACGCCAGGGAGCAAGTCGCAATCGTCGCCACCCCTCCTCCGCGCCCCTCCGCGGTGCCCAGAAACAGGGCGGTGGGCGCACGCTTCCGTGACCTCGCTGGTCCACTCGCGAATAAGTTTGTCTTGCCCCCACCCGATCTCAGCCCGCTGTCGAAGGGACAGACCTCTCCCGCTGCTGATGGCCTCTACGGCGCGGAAAACGTCGACCAGGACTACTGGACCGGCTTCGACGAGGCCTATGACGTCCCCCACAAGTCGTTCGATAACCTGCCTGGTGAAGACTCGTCGCAGCAGAAGTGGAGGAGCAAGGGTAAGTGGATCGAGAAGGGCGTTAGTGTGCTTGGCCAGCTCAATGAGGAGAGCTTCGAGAGCGGCAGCAGCATCAAGGGGTCGCCGGCGTCAAAGAAGGAGGTGCGCTGGAGGGATGAGGTATGCTGTTTTTTTCTCCAAATGTCATGGTGGTGGATTTTCTGATGCTGTGTGTGTGGTAGGACCCGGCCTCGCCCGTTGCAGAGATCATCCCGAGCAAGCCAACGCCGCCGGACTCGGCGCTCGGGAGCCTAGTGTCTCCCAGCGGCTCCCCAGCTCCCCTCCCCTCGGCAATATCCTACGGCGAGAACGCAACCCCCGAAACCAGTAGCAACCCCGCCGCCGCCACCGCTGCCGACACCACCGAGCCGCCGGAAACGCCTCACCGCCCAGCACTCGTGCCGCTCCTCACCCGCGTGTCAAACAAGGAATTCCACCACATCATCACCACCACCACCTCGCCGCTCCCGTCCCCGTCCGGCTCCGTCTCCGGAAAGCTTATCAAGCTCTTTGAGGAACTCAGTAAGGCTGCGCCCAGGAGTGCGAGTGTCGAGAGCTCGCCCACGCACTCCATCGCTCTCCGGACTGAGGGCGCCGCCGCTGAGAGGGTGCTGGAGCGCGCTGGTTTTATGGATGGTGCCGCTGATGAGGGGGTTGTAAGGGAGGGTGGGGTGGGAGAGGAAAGCACGAGGGGGAAGGAGGTGCTAGGGCTGGAGCTCGAGAAGGAGAAGGAGAAGGATGGTACGGGTGATGGTGTGGGTGATGCTTCGGTGGTGGAGGAGGATAGTCTTGATGAATGTTTTTAATGGGTTTGCATTGCTGTTTTGCGGCGAGGGGTTATGCGTTTAGTTTGGGAGGCTGGAGGCGTTTTTATCGTTATGGCTGGACAGAGGATGGATGGATGGATGGATGGATGGAATCGTTGTTTTGTATGATACTATGATACCCGCTTGAGCAAATTTTTTATTTTATTTGGTTCGGAGGCTTCCTTTCCTGGTGGTTTTATTGTTTACTATTTGCTAGACTGGACTGGACTGCGGAAGGGAGGACTGGCACGGTGACCGATGAACGATGAATGATAAACGGCGCCCCACTGCTGTTTTGTCCATGTCTGGTATCAATTCCACCCCTCTATATCTATATCTAAATTTTCTTAACCCCGCCCACACTCCACTGTTCATACTTCCATCTCATCGCCTGCGTGATCTGTGGGACCGCTTTTCCCACAGCCATGTCGAAATGGCTAGTGCCGACGGCTTCGATATCGAAGCTCTCGCGCATCGCGTAGTGAATCGCCTCGTCGCAGATGTTGACAATCTCGGCGCCCGAGAACCCGTCCAGTCGCTCCGCTAGCGATGATATGTCCACCTCAGCGGAGATCGCCATCTTTCGCGTCTTGATCTTGAGGATCTCGATACGTGCGGCGAGGTCCGGCGGCCCGACGTACAGGATCGTGTCCAGTCGGCCGGGGCGCATGAGGGCGGGGTCCTGTGCGCGGGGTTAGCTGGATGGGTGGGTGGGGTGGGTGGAACGGGAAGGTAGAGTACGCACGATGATCTCCGGCCTATTAGTAGCCGCCAGGATGACAACATTCTTCAATGTCTCGATACCGTCCATTTCGTTAAGCAGGGCGGTAAGCACGTTCGCGCCGCCACCTCTAGAGCCCTCACGTGACGCGGTGAGCGCATCGATCTCATCAAAGAAGATGATACTCGGGCTTGCGGCGCGGGCCTTACGGAACACCTCGCGCACTGCGCGCTCCGACTCGCCGACGTACATGCTGAACAGCTCTGGGCCCTTGACGGCCATAAAGTTCAGGCCGGCTTCCGTCGCGAGCGCTTTGGCAGTCAGCGTTTTGGAGCAGCCGGGTGGGCCGTACAAAAGCAGCCCCTTGCGGGGCGTGCCGCCGAGCCGCGAGAACACCTCCGGGTGTGTCAACGGCCATTCAACGGCTTCCCGCAGCCGCTGCTTCACTTCTTCTTGTCCGCCGATGTCGCTCCATCGGACTTTGGGCGGCTCGATGAAGATTTCCCGCATGGCTGTGGGCTTGACTTCTTTCAGTGCCGCTTCGAGGTCGGCGGGGATCAGGGTTACGTCTTTCTTCGGTGGCGGCAGCGGGGAGGAGGGGGTGGCGGTTGGTTCGTCTGGAGGTGGGGCGGCGATGGCGACGGCGATGGCGGCAGCAGCGGCGGCAGCATCTCGTCGTCGGCGGTTCAGCGCTAATGTAAACCCGCCACGTATAACGGCTTCAAGATCGGCACCCACGTATCCGTGGGTTCGTGCAGCCAGGGCGGCCACAAACTCGGCCTTGGTTGTTTCAGAATCGCTCTCGAAGTCCAGTTTCCGTGTCAGAAGAGTCAAAATTTCCCGGCGGGCATCGACATCGGGGATTCCGATCTCCAGCTCCTTCTCGAACCGACCGGCTCGCCTGAGGGCCTCGTCGATAGCATTGGGCCTATTCGTAGCGGCAACTATGGCAACCCGCATGCTCCCGTCCTCCGCCGCCGACTCCATTCCGTCCATTTCCGTCAGCAGCGTGGCCACCACTCTTCCCTCGCTGCCCTCTCCGTGCGACCGCTTGGGCGCAAGACTGTCCACTTCGTCCATGAAGATGATCGATGGCTGGTTTTTCCGCGCCTCGGCAAAGATCTTGCGGATGGCCGCTTCCGACTCGCCGAGGTACTTGCCCATCACCTTGCCATCGATCACGTAGGCGTTCGCCTTGATCTCGCTGGCCGCCGCCTTGAGCATCATGGTTTTTCCGGTGCCGGGTGGGCCGTAGAGAAGGATTCCCCGCGGCGGAATGAGCCCCTTGCGCGAAAACTCGTCAGCGTCTTCGAGCACCGAGACGAGGAGCGTGCGCAGCCGGTCGATTTGCGTCGAGAGACCGCCGATCGAGCTGAAGGTTACGTTCGAGGGCGTCGCGGCGCTGACTACTGTTGGCGGTACTGAGGATTTTGTGGCTTTGGCGGGGATGGGGGTTTTGGTGGGTTCTATGGCCGCCGCTGCGGGTTTTGCTGCAGGCTTCTTTTTGGTGGGCTCCGTAATGGTCTCGGTGAGGAGCTTTATCGTCGTCGATTCGCTCATTGTGAACGCGGGTACTGTGGGACTGGACTTCTTGTCCGCCGCGAAAACTGTGTTTGGCGCATCGGCCGCCGCTATGATCTTTTCCACTCGGAAACACCTTTTGCGCCCCTTGAACTCGATATCCGTAAACGTCAGGCCCTCAAAGACAGTCTTGGTCTCCACTATACACCTGGTATCAGTGCCGGGCCGCCATAGTCTGCGGGGGTGCATCTTACTCAAGGTATGCTCCAAAAAAAACCTCCAACCATCTCTGTCAGCCGCCCTCATCAATGCGCCACCACCCTCGACATCCACATCAGCGTCGCCCGGCACCTCCCGCACGGTCACCTTTTCAGCGACTCCGATATTGCCCTGATACCGTCGCAACACGACCTTGTTCTCAAAACCCACACCGACCAGCGCGCGCACAGTCTCCGACACCAGCACGGCATGTCGCTGCAAATGCGGATCAGCGGCCAGCCAGATCACGGCGGGCCACCACTTCGCTGCACCATCCTCATGGTCGCTGCCCTGCGCCGAGATCTGGCATATCTCGCCGGACTTCAGCTCCAGCGGCGCGAGGACACTGCGGTGCACATTTGCGCGCAGGAAGGATTTATGGTTGACGGGGCTTGGTAGGGGACGGCTTTTTGGTTTGTTGCACCATCAGCTCCAAAGAACGGCACAAAAAAAAAGCGGAGAGGAGTATGAGAATACACTGTGAAAATATCGCCGTTTTGTGAATTGCGCGGGTTTAAACTGGCGGCTTTGGGGGGCATGGTGCTGGTTTGGTGGGGTTGCGATTGGGTCCTGGTGGGGTGTCGTGAAGCGGCAGGGTAAAGCAGAGTTTAATTATTGATCATAGACGGTCACTCGCATAGCTGCGGACGAGACACAATTTGGACAGCAAAGAAACGTCCCGGAGAATGACGGTTGGCACACTAGAATTGAATTGAGACTCTCTTTCGATAATTTCTATTGGAATCGACGAGACTTGTTGCTCTTTACCTTCAATCGCAAGGGCAAAACCCTCGTCGTTCGTTAGCGGAGGCCAAGATTTTCACTCCAACTTTAACAGCCAGCCGCCGTTTACCCTATCACGAAAAAGTGCCCCACCATCTCCACAACGTTGGTCTAACGAACGAACGGCCAACGAAAACGAAACGATTCACCCCGCCCGCTCGACCTCCACCACCTACCGAATTCCTTCGAATCGATTTTCATAAACACATCCGCCCGCCAAGATGATGAACGGAGGTGTTGCGCGCCTCACGCACGAGGACGACAGTGATGACGAAGTTCTGGCCACCACGCTTGTCGAGGCGATGCAGGAGGACGATGGAGACTTCGATGACGCTGGAAGCGCCTCGGGCGGAATACAAGTTACAGGCGATGACCTGCAGGCGCGGTTAACAGCTGCTGCCACGCCGCTCGAGTTCCAGGCTGGATTGCCCGCTCGCTTCCTGAGCTACGACAACTACTGCAGTCTCTTCCATTTCATCCTGAACTCGGATGGGCCTGTGGATCTGGAGCTTCCTACCGTGAGTTGGATTGTCGGTTGGTTGGGAACTGGAGTGGGACTGATGTGATGGGCTTTAGTACTACTGGGCATGGGATGTCATCGATGAGTTCATCTACCAGTTCAACAGCTTCTGCACCTACCGTCAGCGCGTAGCGAAGAAGGCCCAGAACGAGGAGGAGATCCAGGCGCTTAGGGATAACCCCCAGACTTGGGGTTGCTACAGCGTCCTGAACGTTCTGTACTCGCTCATCCAGCGCTCGCAGATGAACGAGCAGCTTGCTGCCATCAAGCGGAGTGAGGACCCCAAGTAAGCAACCAGAAGCCACCAACCCTATAGGAAACACGGTGTTAATAGGGTGCTGCAGCTCTGTTGCGGGAGAATATGGTTCCCGGCCGTTGTACCGGATGCTGGGTTACTTCAGTATCATCGGACTCCTCCGAGTACACTGCCTGTTGGGAGACTTCACACTGGCATTGAAGACACTCGATGACATTGAGCTCAACAAGAAGGCCGTATTTGCTAAGGTCATGGCCGCCCACTTCACCACGTAAGTTATCGGCTCTCTACCCGACGGAGGAAGCAAGCTAACATGCAATCATAGATACTACTATGTCGGTTTCTCCTACATGATGCTCCGCCGTTACGCGGATGCCATCCGGACCTTCTCCCACATCCTGGTCTACGTCTCAAGGACAAAGAACTTCCAGAAGAACTCCCAGTTCGACTCGGTAATCCCCATTGCTTCCTAGATCCCCCCTCTCCTTACTTACACCTTACAGATCACCAAGAAGAACGACCAGATGTATGCGCTCATGGCGATCTGTGTAGCCCTCTGCCCCGTCCGCCTCGACGACACTATCCACGCCACTCTCCGTGAGAAGTACGGTGACCAGTTCACCCGGATGCAGCGTGGCGGAGCCGAGTCCCTCCCGATCTTCGAAGAGCTCTTCCTCTCTGCGTGCCCCAAATTCATCTCCCCGATTCCCCCGGATTTCGACAACCCCGAGAACAACGTGGACCCGTCGCAGCACCACCTGAAGGTGTTCATGAACGACGTCAAGAACACCATCTCCACGCCCGTCCTCAAGAGCTACCTCAAGCTGTACACCACCATGGACATCAACAAGCTCGCCAAGTTCGTCGAGACTGATGCCGAGACGCTGAGGAAGCAGCTTGTTGTCTACAAGCAGAAGAACCGACAGCTCCGATGGACCGAGGGCAGCCTGCTCGAGGGTGAAATGACGCATACCAGTGACCTCGACTTCGCCCTCCAGGGCGATATCGTGCACGTCTCTGAGGCAAAGGTCGGAAGAAGACTCGTGGACTGGTACCTCAGGAATCTGCAGAGGGCGTATTAGGTGCACATCCGATCGGAAAAGCTACACCAGGATCCTTGGAAGGGGAAGCCAGGGACCGAGGTGACTGGAATGACTGGGGTGACTCGCGGTGAGGGAAGTCGATTGGTTTGGGAGAGGCCGAGTAGGGCGTTTTAGGTGGTGGAACGAATTCTAAAGCCTGGTGGCGGGATCATGAATGCGTTCTTACCGTCTGGTTTTTTTTTCCGTCCATTTTTCTTCTCTTTCGGTATTCTTTTTTTCTCTTTCTTCTTGCATGCGGGTTTGGATTGGGTGCTCGTGTATGTTGGGGAGGGGCATATTGTAGGCGGAATAAAAAAAGGTTTTTTTCGTTGTCCTTTGAAACTTGAGTGACTGCACATGATCCAAAACCCCCCGTTCATCATTCATTCATACATGCAATTACACGTCCGCCTTAAGCAAGAAACCCCCAAAATCAAACCAGGGAATCATCTGTTCCATCCATCTAATGCCAAAACTCCAGACCCTACACCGTCACAGCCGCAAACCCAAAAATGTTCTGCATGCTAACCCACTGGCGACCACACTTGTCCAGATACTTCCCGACGCACCCCCCAACGATCGCAAAACGCTGCTGATTCTGTATAGCCAGTGTGTTGATCGTATCTATCTCCTCCGTTAGTATCTTATTAAAAGTGTGAAAGCGAGTGCGGGCAAGAGAGACAAACCTTTATCAGCACCCTTGGCTTTAGTCTTCGCCTTATCGACATCAAACAAACTACGGAAGTACAGCAGCTGGTTGTACAGCATTTTGTCCGTATACTCGTACGCCATCTTCCCTTCCTTACACCCTTTTGCCAGACCATGTGGGCCGAGACAACATTTGCCGTATACACTCATCTGCCGCGTGCGATTTCCGCAGAGGTCGCAGACCAGCCATGCATCGTAGTATTTGGCCACCGCCGAGCGGATCTGCTGTTCTATCTGCGCAACGACGGAGGGGATGGCGAGAGTTTTGCCGCAAGTGGGGTTGGCACAGACGATCCCGTGCGGATTGCACTGCGAGAGGCCGGCGAAGTCGAAGGACTGTTTGCAGTGGCGGCAACGGAGCGAGAGTTTGGTGGTTTCTTTGAAGCGCTCTTCGTCCGGGATTGTGGACTCGAGTGGGTGGATCTCGCGGTCTTCCTGGCGGGCGGTGGTTGAAAGCTGATATTTGCGGAGGTCGAGGCCGAGACATTCGGCGAGCCGCAGGGAGTCGGTGCCTTCGATTGGTGCGCATAACCGCTCGATTGGTGGGAAGATTTGTTTGGCGAGGTACCATTCTGCGTCGGGCTTGAGGCCGGAGTCGGGCTTGATCACGTCCTGTGTGGCATGCGCTCGCTCGGCTGCGTGGGAATCGCCGTCGCCTGTGACGATATAGGAGATGACATCGCCCGACTTGACAACATCACCGCGGGCGCGTTTCTTCAGGGCGACCTGAACTTGCGGCATTGTTTGGCCGTTTGGATAGTCCTTCGGGTCCTTTCCGAGCCGGGTATAGATAGTATACTTGACCAGAGGAAACTGACCAGCCCGCATCTTCTCGGCGAAGTCTCGGAGGTAATCGTGTATTTTTTCCACTACAACCTCGGTATCTTCGCCCGTAAAGACTTCGTTGAGGATGTTCGAGGACGCCTCCTTCGATAGCTGGCAGTACTCCCTTCGCCTCATATCCAACCCCTTGACCTCCATCTTCACGTCCAATTTTCCGTTGATCAGGATACAGTTTATTGCCGCGTACTTCTTTTTAGCATGTAATAGCAACCGTTGGAATACGTTATCGATATCGATCTCGAGCAGCCGGTAGCGCTCATTGACCTGTTTCTTGAAGTCATTACCGATCTTGATTGCATCCGCGTAGTTATCGGCAAGTGTATTGATCATGACAGAATCGGTGTCACCGTAGATAACCTGCAGCGACATCGACTCGGCTAGATTCTTTGTGCTCTGCAGAATCTCACGGCCTTTGAAGGTGGTGAGCATGGCTAGCGGCCGGGCGTAGAATCTCGATCGCGTATAACCCAGACAACCGTACATAGAATTGGCGGTGAGCTTCAGAGCTTGTTGCTTGATGTCCCATTGCGTCTTTTGCACAGACGTGGCGTTCTTGTCCTTCATCAGTCCCTTCACTTGCCGTCGCCTCTGGACCAATTTCGAAATCAAGCGAGGAAGAACTCCGAGAGTTTGTTCCTCTGGGACATCTGGGACTTTATCCCTATCCGAAGAACTCCTATCCACAGTTGTGAAGCAGATGTTATACTCCTGGATGATACTAGGGTAAAGAGAATTGAAGTCCATAACCACGATGTGCTTGTCGTATAGACCTTTCTCGGGATCAAACACAAGACCACCCTTGAACTTATCCTTCTTCTTGCCCCCAGCCGCGGCATCGTCGTCATCGTCGGGGTTTTCCTCTTCGGCTTTGCGCATGGCATCGAGCTGTTTTCCAGATAATTTATCCGGACAGATGTACTTATTCCGGTAGAACTCGTGAAGCAGAATATATTCATTCCGTTCTGCTCTAGTACCACTCAACGTCCTGGCCCAAGAATTACCAGCAAGGTTGGTCAAAATCTTGGTGAGAGGCAACATCTGAATCTTGAGGGCGACCGCTGCAATGAAGTGTGTGTCGACCTCGCAGTGGGTCAAGTAATCCAGGTATCCCTTCGCCGTGCTAGCCCAACTCTTGAGAGCCTCGTCATTGTCGAGTTCCTGCCGCTTCTTCCCAAGAATAAGCTCGCACATTTCTGTCAAGCTCCACGACTGGCACTTGGTCATCAGCGATTTCCCCAGATCGTTCGCGAGATCACAGAGCAACCGTCCAGCCGCCATCTGACGCTCCATAAAGAAGCTGCCCGCAAAATTTCCACCTTTAGGCCACGCAGATCTCTTCAGGCGCCCCACCCTGCTCCAGAGTGGAACATTCTTGTCCTTTAACCTATGCAGGAGTACAGGCCAGTCCACATTGTCCAATGAATGTCCCATGCAGACGTCCGGATCTACCTGTTGCAGCTTTGCCAGGAACGACGAGAGAAGCAGGTTTTCGGTTTTCTCGAGCTTCAAGTTTCCGGGATGCTGCTCTGCAAGCTTTTCAAATCCCGCTGGGAAGAGAGATTCAACCGGTCTTGCAACGGTAAATACTTGATGTGGCATCTTCTCGATATCTGTGGTGGCATCGGCAAGAGATACATTCTCGTAGATTCTGGCACTGATGGCAATGATCTCTTGTTTGTTGAGTTTGACATTGTGGACCGTTCGTAGGGCAATGCTCATGAGTGTCAAGGGCGGCGCCTCCGATGAGTCGGCATCTCCAATGGGAGTGATCTGTTGTGGTTTATCGACTCTCATCTCAAGTTTGCACCATGATGCCTAGAGACTGGATTAGAACACGCCGGAGCACGATGAGCATGATAACGGGAACTCACATTTTGAACACTAGATGAGCTAGCACCATCGATTTTGAGCCAGCACGGACCCATAACGTTCCTGCAGAGCACAAATTGCTCGAATAGAGCAGTGTGCGTTCCGAAAACGGTCGAAAAAGTCTCGCCTTGCAACTCCATGGGCAAAGGGTCCTCTGTTACTAGTAAGCGAAATGGCTAAATGCTAATATCAAATGGATTACTGACTCGTGTACGGGTACAGAACTTTCAAATAGTCGCCTTCTCGGGGAATATTCGACAGCTCAAAAGCATACTTTCTCGAGGTAGGCTTCGACTTGAACCCAGTGATCCTGTTCCTCTCCATCAAATCGCTGATTTCCTGGTGCACGTCCTCAATCTGGACCTCTTCGTCTGTTTCCACCTTTTTGCGCATCTTGTGTTCCCGTGGCAAAAAGAACAAATTCCTCATAATTCCCTCAACCTTCAAAAATGTACTCACGTATTTCCCAGTACGATTATCCTTCACCTTTCCGAAGAGAATCAGATTTCCAGCAGCCTCGGTGTAATCCATCCAGAACATCCGAATACTCCCGTCTGGTTCGACGGCGTCTTGTAACGACGTCTTGCCAACCGACACTCTGTCCGTGGCAGGCGAGCTCGGAACGACATTCAACCCTCCGCTGACATCTGTCCATGCTGAAGAATCCATTATTTGGGCGGCTTTCTTGGGCATGCTGGTAGAAGCTAGTGCAGGCTTCGTGGGGCGAGAGGAAGTGATGTTGACTTTTGAGGTACGTATATTCTTATTGCCTTTGATTTCAGCCACCAAGAACTCATCGTCGTCGTCGGCATCGTCTTCGAAGTTCTGATTGTCTGGGGCCTTTCTTAGGGCGGCTTTCGCGGCGGGTGAGGACGGGGCGACCGGCGCATCGCTCATCGAGATATCGTCGTCGCCTCCGGTGAGTGGGAACGTGATATCGTCGCCATAATCCGATTCGTTATCCACATCAGCGGCGAGCGGAGGGGAACTTCGCATTGCCGCCGCCAAATCCGCCATAGCGAACCTCTTCGCCCCCTTCCTCGGCGGCGACAACTTCCGCACCTTCCTCGAAGACGCCAGCTCCGTCTTAACCTTCTTCATCGGTTGCCCCGTCCTTCCCGCGCTGGTATCGAACTCCCCCAAAATATCCTCCAAGAACTCCTGGTCCTGTACGGTAGCCTTCACGGTCTTCGGCTTCGCCGAGGCGGCACCAGACTTATGAAAGTATTTCGTAATGGCACCCTCCTGCCGATCCCGTCGTTCCTTCTCCTCCTCCCTCTTCCTCTTCAATTCCTTCTTCGACAACTTCTCATCACCCTCCTCCCCTTCCTCGTCAGAATAGTACCTCCCCTCATCCCCCCAATCGTCCATGCCATTGTCGACATACCCCTCGCCGCCATCGTCGACAACGAAATCATCCTCGTCCAGCCGTTTCCGCACGACCTTTTTGTATTCGTCCTCGTCGACTTCTTCGTATAGCTTTTCGCCCTCCTCGACCTCGTACGTGGACAGGCGCGTCTTACCTTCTTCGCGCAATCGGCGGAGCTCCGCGAAGCCGACTTTTGCGTTTGCTTTGCGACGACTGGACATGGCAGGTATGGATGGTGGTGTGCTGAAAAGAGAGAGTGTGTGAGAAGGAGAAGGTGAGAGTCGCGTTATGTTGTAGTGAGATGTATGGATCGCAGGCACGAACAGGGTGTGTTGAGGGAAGGGTTGTGGTTTCCGTGACACGCTGCTCAAATAATTTACGCGTGTCGGTCACCTAACCAATCAAGCCCGCGTTTTGGCTCCAATCCACAGTTCCACTAAATTCAGCGCTACGCCCCACTCGAGCACGGACTGAAATCACACGTCTTGGGCCGCTAGGGACGGTTCGGGAAATTCTCAGAGCACATGATTGCCGTTGGCCGTATGTAATGGTAAATCTACGTAGAATCCTAACGGGCGCGACAATTTGACAGTTGAAGCCGCGTAGGAGTGCCGTTTCTTACTACTTCTCATATTTACGGTACGCTCTTCCAACAGGAATGCAAGGCAGTCACTTCATGAATCACGATGGCAACACAGTTTGAATGGTAAAAAACAATCGCTACCAACTCCGGATAACGCCAAGCCGAACTTTTATTGTTCCCAGAAAATGCCCATCAGAAATTTTCTTCGGCTACCTAACACCAATTACAATCCCAAATTACCAACTTAGTTCATCTTGCGGATGAGGTTGTTGATAAACTGCTCACGGTCACCAAGGTCACCACCCTCGATGAAGTGCTTGAACTTGCGGGTGCGGAAACCTCCGGTAGGGGAGGACAGCTTGAACGGCCACAGGAAGTTGGCGGCCTGCTTGAAGTTGGGGCCGACGGTGAAGATCTCGTGGATCAAATCCTCAATGGAGATGATACCGTACTGTCCAAGGTTGGCCTCAATGAGGGAGTTGTCGGTCTGAAGAAATTATTAGATTGGGCGCAAGCAGAAAGTGTAATAATATGGAAACATACCAGGGGGATGCGCTGACGCTCGATCTTTCCGTAACCACGCTTGTAGATCAGCTCGCGGACGGACTTGAGGTTGGGCTCTCCGTAGGCGACCCAGGGCTCGACAATGCGGAGCATCTCAGTGGTGGCCTTGGAGAGCTTGACGAAGACACCGTTGTTGATCTGGAGGAGACGGAGCAACTGGAGGATCTTGCGGGGCTTGGGAGCGATCTTGTTGATACTATTGCGCGTTGTTAGTACATGAATCACTGGTCATTTGCACAAAACAACATACCCCTTGATACGGACAACAAAGACAACCTTGGCCTCAGCAGGAACGTAGTAGGAGCCCTCCTTCTTGGCGTCGCGGGACAGACGGATCTGCTCACGCTCGGCATCGCGGTACTCCTTGACGTACTTCTCGGCACGCTTGAAGATAGTCTGACGCTTCTCCTTGTTGACCTGTTTATCAAAGTCAGTATTTCTGCTCACTATAGTAACAGTTCGATTGCAAAAGAAGCACGTCGAATTTTGTCAGACCCGAAAGATGGTTAACTACGACAGCATCGCCTTGTAGGGCTAGTCGCGTTGGGTTGTTATGCATCATGTAGATTCGACGTGCTTGCAATTGCAATATGGGGAGAGATTGGTGGATGCTAACCTTCTTGCGCTCAACAGCGGCAGCCTTGCGCTCCTCAATGGTCTTCTCGGAAGTCTTGCGCTTCTTGAGGAGGGTCTCGGGGACCAAGACCTGCTCAGTGGTGGGGGTGGTGCTGTGTCACTTGTCAGTCCCGCAGTTAAGTAAAGTGATAGCGTCGAGTATGAAGAGGAAGCCTCTTCTGCTCTGTAGCTAAAACCACTCGACGAATGGATTTAATCGGTGTAACTGGCTGTGTTCTACTAGGCAGGTCACGACCGAAGTCGGATCAAACTGTTCGAGCAACGGCAGATTCATCCGACAAGACCTCGAAGACAACTTCAAGAGAGACTTGCACATGCAATCCACATCCTATGCCCGAAGGCACGGAGTGGATACGCGCGGCAGTTTGTATTTAAAGAAGGAAACGCGAAACGAGCGATTCCATTCTCAAAACCCCAGACTCTTCATCGGAAGAAGTCCAAGAATAATTGATCGAGCTGGCTCGCGAGCGCAGCTGAGCGGGAGTGACCTCGTTCATTGACGCCGAGGAGAATCCGAGGATTGTAGCGAGGATACATACGAAGACATTTTGCTGATGGGCGATAGGCGACCGGGTATTGCTGGGCGATTGGTGTTGTTGGCGAAAGTCGGTTGCAGAAATCCTACGCAGAACTTTTGGCGAACTCTAAGGCAGGCTGTTGTGGGGGGTTTTTTCCACTGGGGACTGTTTTTTAGGGCACACACACACACAAAATGTGAGTCTGTGGATGGATTAGCCGCTGGGAGCTGCGCTAAACTATAAGTGCACAGGATCAGTGAAGTAAGCGGAGCCTCATTTAGCGCACACACTACTCACATTCTATGAGCTTTACTTCAGAGCGGCATCTCAAAGGTTAGAGCAACCTACAACTTCCCCACATGCAACTTTCCACATGGCTCATCGTATGTAACTACCACTGCGGTGGTCTCCGCACGTTGAGCCGCGATTCCAAACACGCACAGTTCTAGTATGCCTCCCATGGCGAGTGACTGCAACGCTCATACGTCGATAAGCTTAACACACAGCTCGAAGTTTTCCAGGCGGCGCTCGCCGAGTTCTCACACATTCAAATGAAATTGATCCAATCCCGCCTTCCGCGCGGAGTTTGCTCGGATGTTTGGCGATCGGCGTGAACCCTTCCCCAAGCTCGAGTTGCAAGAAGGACTCGTTCTGGGCAGAAATGCTTGGGGCCAGTGTGAACTACTTTTACTTGGAGCTGACTTTTATATGGGGTCTTTGAAGTGTGCCAGCATACTAGGAATGAGAATGGCGACTTGGTGGTCAAGGCCAAGGGTCGTATCTCGAAGCAGGATGAGAAGATTCGAGCCATTGGTGATGTCAGTGGATGTATCACGTGGTCTTGGGGCGGCGGATACCTAGGAGTTAACGCAATGCTTCTCTGCTGAGACGATATGGCTCAAAATTATGTATGATATGAGCATTCACACTATGTATGCTGCCGTGCGCTCTAAGCCTGGATCTTGTTTAATCGTCATTGCATTCGACCTTGGTTGGTCATGGCTGTGTACAAATCCGTGTCCTCCCCACTGCCTTTCGGCCGATGTGGGTTTGCTTGCTGCTCTCCGCCCGGCCTCCCCCTTGAACACACCAAGGACATTCAGACGCAAGGATTAGGAAATTAAACTATTGGCCTAATCCCTTCCATTCCCCACTCTCGCGTCCGCTGCCTCGCTCTCCTCCATCCCCCTCATCTCCAGCATTAGAGTGAATCAGCTTTAAGCCTAGACGGTTACTCGAACAGAAGCGAGTGAGTAGCCATGATCCTCCAGCGATTGGAGCTTCACAGCGCGCGCACTCTTGTGAGATACAATAGTTGACCCCCATATTTTATTCGGTAACACCCTCTCCACGGAAGCCTAGGTTTAAAGCGTACGGGCACCATATAGGAACATTAGTCTATGAAGCACGTGCCGGAGGATGTGCCGCTCAGGCGGAGTAAAGTAGGTAGGGGCTTGATCGCAGAGATCACCATCGTGAGTCTGCAGCAACCTGTAAGGCCATACCTATGATGCGACTCGGATTTCTACTTTAGCACATGTAGTACTTTTTGCCTTAGCATGGAATAACTCCACTCTCCGAGACAAAGTGGTTTTAATCTTATCATGTACGTGAGAGAGAGACCTTCAATTTATTGCCGCAAACGGCCTTTCTATACTATGGCGACCCGCCTTCCCGACCTTTCCTGCTAGCCCCGCGGCAGTAGAGACGAAGCTCTGTCACCGCCTGTTCGTTTCTGCGCCGTATTATGCACGTGCACTAGCGTTTGAAAGCTGGTTAATTCCGCTAATCGAGTGAGACCTTGTGTAATTATGACGTTACACAGCTAAAGGGAGCCTAGACTAGTGCACGCTACCCTAACTTTACGCGGGTTCCCGAGTCATCTCATCGCGTTTCCCCAACTTCTACCTTCAACACACAACTTTAAACTCACCTAGCAAACAACGTTCCTAATAGCACTCGTCGGTATCTTTCGAATTTCTTCTATCCTTCCTACTACAACTGCCTACAACTATTCAGACGCAACCCCGACAAAATGAACACCCCGAAGGATCCTCCTTCACCCTCACAGAAAGTCATCGAGCTAAGCTTCCACGATTCACTCCACACCCCCACCAAGCCCCAACCTACTCCCCTTGACACAGCTACCACCACCACCGCACCCACCACCCCCACCACCATGGACAACCTTGTTTCTCCAATAGATTCTGCTTCTGGGGACGACTCCGAGGCGTTCGGTGTCTTCGGCGCAAGAGCAGTCGACCAGGCGGAACTAGAGAGGGAAGTCGCTACCAAGGTACGGGTTACCAGGAATTAGCCTTTCTCGACTCCACTCGTCTTTTTCGATGCTCATAATTTTCTCGCTCGTGTACAGGCCGATCAGGCGATGCTCGAAGGTGCAAATGAAGACGACCAACGAAGATTAGATAAAACAGTCACCGAGAAGGCGTATGGCTCTCCAGTCACATTTGAGTTTAATTCCTAATTTTTAATATGCTGAACATCCTCCCCTGGTTGCTTAGAAAAATCGACTACATGCTCAGTGTCGCCGAAGAGCGATATTTTCTCCCACAGACTACTAAACTGAATAAGACGTCTCTTGAGATCCAGATCAAAGAGCTCAAGGAAAAGCTCACACAACTCAATGGCGATATCAAAGATATCACGTCTCGCATGGCAGCGCGAGAAGCACAGGCGATGGCATTGCTATCTCAACAAAAAACCAAGAAGAGCGTTTCTGACCACCGATTGCCAAACGAATCAGATCGCGAATTCCTCATCCGTGCGTACCCGTCATGTCATGATGTGGAGTGAGAGTACATTTTCTTATGGGCGGTGCAATTTTAGGAACCGGAAAGATCACCCCCTTCGATAATATCCCCGGATTGGGACAGCCGGGTGCCAGTCAGGAAGACGCCGCCGATGAGTTACCGCATAATGTACTCAGTGCGCAAAACCTTCGTAGACCTGGGTTCGCAGCTGCTATGGATCGCACAAAACCGGTTCATGTATCCTCGTCCGGACTTTCGAGTGCCGAGAGCAGCAATCCCGAAGAAGACGACAGAGAAGAAGATGATGAAGAAGCAGAGAATGGTGATGTAGGCCGTGGCACCAAGAGACGCAAAGTCACCGATGACGATGACGACGATTACACACCCGACGGAAAAGAGAAGAAAACTACTCGACGGAAAGTCGTCCGGAAATCGGCAGTCCGTGATACAGAAACTGAGTCCTCGGAAGAAGAGGATAGCGATGACGAACACACTGTTGTCGGACGGCGGAAGCGCAAGAAATCCCCCGGAAATGCTGCAGGCAAGGCGAAAGCGGTCCGACTGGACGACGGCGACGAGAAGCTGTTTCAGAAGAGGATACATGAATGGGTAGAGTCTCGTAGAAGTACTCGGGAGCATGATAATGGCGCAGATGCCGAGGATGACAAACGGGAGGAATGGAATAAGCCTCATCCAACTATACCTGACGAAGGCTTCTCGAGCGGTGTTGAAGCATTACGGCTTCCGGGAGACATCCATGCTTCTCTGTTTTCTTATCAGAAAGTTGCTGTCCAGTGGTTCTGGGAACTGCATTGTCAAAATGTTGGAGGCATCCTAGGAGATGAGATGGGAACTGGCAAGACCATTCGTGAGTGTATATTTCCTCCACGAGCACAGACTCGTTGCTAAAATCTTCTAGAAATGATAGCCTTCCTCGCCGGCCTCCATTATAGCGGGTTGTTGGACAAACCGATCATCGTAGTGGCGCCTGGCGCCGTCCTGGGTCAATGGGCCTCTGAATTTCATGTCTGGTGGCCTGCTATGCGAGTGGCGATCTTGCACAAGAGCGGAAGCGGCATGCTTCTTAGTAGGGACGGCGAGATAGATTCCGATGACGATAAACCGCCCAAGCCATCCAAAGTTGCAAAGTTTGCGGCAAAGAAGATTGTCGACCGAGTCTTCAAGCACGGCCATGTTCTCATCACGACCTACGAAGGATTAAACACCTATGGTGACCTTTTAGTGGAGAAAGGTGAGCAAGAGGAGTGGTGATGATAATTGGTGGCAGGCTAACAGGATTCGCAGAATGGGGATATGCAGTCTTGGACGAGGGACATCGCATTCGCAATCCCGATGCCAGAGTTTCCCTTAATTGCAAGCAACTGAAGGTTGGATTTTTCTGGATCTGTACAGTTCTGTGCATTAATTAACAACCGACCCTTCAGACTCAACATCGCATTATTCTCTCCGGCACCCCAATCCAGAATAATCTGGTCGAGTTGTGGAGTCTCTTCGACTTCGTGTTTCCTGGACGGCTGGGCACTTTGCCAGTCTTCAAGGAGCAATTCGAGGTCCCCATTCGCCTCGGAGGATTCAAGAACGCCAACAACGTACAGGTACAGACGGCAACATCGTGTGCGACGGTCCTACGTGATTTGATTGGACCCTATCTTCTGCGTCGGATGAAGACCGATGTTGCGAAGGACCTCCCACCTAAAGAGGAGAAGGTTCTGTTCTGCAAGCTCACAAAGGGACAACAAAACATGTATCTTGAATACCTAAGGAGTCCCGAGGTCATAGCCATATTGAATGGAAAGAGGGAATCATTCTCCGGCATCTCGGTCTTGAGGAAGATATGCTGTCATCCCGACCTCGCTGCTAATGAGCAAAAGTTTCATACAGAACAGGAGTACGGCAGAGACATCTACTCAGGAAAGATGCAAGTTATGAAGAAGGTATGGGTACTCCATGGATTTTCGCAATACGGTACTGACTTGAACACAGATGCTCTTTCATTGGAGGGAACAAGGCCACCGAGTCCTACTCTTCTCCCAGAGCGTGCAGGTCCTCAATATCATCCAGAAAAATCTCGATAGCTACAAAGACTTCAAGTACAGTCGTATGGATGGAGGCACACCAATCGATAGGCGACAGCAGCTGGTGAACGAATTCAACACGGATACTAGTATCGACGTCTTCCTCTTGACGACTCGTGTCGGTGGGCTTGGGCTGAATTTGACCGGCGCGGATCGGGTCATCATTTTTGATCCTGATTGGAATCCTTCGACAGATCTCCAGGTGAGTATTGGATGCATACGATGGGATATTCTGCAATTGATTAACATCAATAAAATAGGCCCGGGAACGGTCCTGGCGAATTGGCCAGACCAAGCCAGTTCACGTCTTCCGTTTGATTGCCGCTGGAACGATCGAGGAGAAGATGTACAATCGCCAGCTTTTCAAGCAGCATCTTTCGCAGAAAGTGCTGAATAACCCGGAGCAGCGGCGATTCTTCGAGGTAACTAACAGTCCTACGTTCGCTGCGATGAAGTAGTTGCTGATGTGTACACAGATGGAGAATATCCGAGACCTGTTTACATACGGTAAAACAGGCGGCGGCACATCTACCGGTGCCATGTTCCAGGGCGCAGAGACGGTGAACTCGAAGTCGTCAGCTTCGGCGGAGGATTCTGCCCTTCAGGGCATCAATGGTGTAGCCGGTCTCGAGAAATAGTATGCACTCCGAGAAAATAATCCAATGCGCATGCTAATTCCAGAATCTAGTGCGATAAACGACCAGTCGGCTGAAGGTTCCGGTGAACGAAAGTTCATCGAAGAAATCTTCAGCCACAATGGCGTTATCAGCAGTCTCGAGCACGACCACGTCGTCAATGCCGGGATCAACGACCGGACCCCGACCGATGCCTACGCCAGGAAGATCGCCGAGGAGGCAGCGAAACGCCTGCAGGAATCCGTCGCGGCGACTTCGGGGGCAGCCGTCGGAACGGTCACCTGGACGGGCCGAAACGGATCCGCGGGCAGAGACCCACCGCGCGCCACTGCTTCGGGATTGCTGCAAACGATGAAGGGGCAGCAGGGCCGTGCTACTCCTACGGGGAGAAGAGCTGGTCCTGTTGTGCCCTTGCGCACCCAGATGCTCGGTCTCTTCGAGAAGAACGCAGGGAAGCTGCCTACGGGCGAGCTGAAGAAGTGGTGCCGCGATGTGGGCATCGACAATAGGGCCCCGGAGAAGGCGAAGGAGATGCGGGCGATATTGAAAGATATCGCCAGGCTGGACAAGGAGACTCACGTGTGGAGTCTGAAGAAGTAGATTCTTCTTTTTTTTCTTTTTCTTTCTTTTTCTTTACGAATTTACTTCCCCCCCCCAAATCTCATAGCGGCAAGGGATGGCGTTTTTTCATTGTTCATTCGGGTTTCTTTTCTTTCGGCATTTCTGAGCATTTTCTAGGCGTTATCATACGTAGAGGGAGGAGTGGCGAAGGTGTAGATAGATGTAGATGTTAGGTACTTTGTCCGATCTGTTGACGGAAATACATACATAGATGGCTGTTGCTTGTAGATGGATAAATAGAGTACTTCATGTGCAGGTAGCCACTCACCGTGCGTAATGTTAATGTTTACACTGGTGGTTGCAATTGTTATGATGATTTTCGCGTGTTGCCAAAAATAGCCATCCGTCTTGGTCCTACATGACCACCCCCTATCAGGAGAGCGATGATCCCGGCCAGTTCTGTTTCTTCCTTTCTCTGTCCGCTTGCAGCTCAAGATCTCGTCTCTTCACAAACAACGAAAACAATCAAACGGTCCTAACCATCGCCATCTTTATACCAGTACGCCCGACATTTGATTATCATACCGACTCACTCGCGCGTCCGCGGCCCGTCCGTCTCTCGATCTCGTACACGCGCTCGTTCACTCTTGTCAGGGGGGTGTTTGTTTTTCGACGCAGGCCCGGATCTACACGGGAACGAAAGGCCCAAGGGTCTTAAGGAATTGCAACCACTGCAACTGACCCTTAATCGTTCACTCCACCCTCCACCTCCTTCTCCCTCCATATCAACAAACAAAACACCAGCCAACCAACCACACATCTACAATCACAATGAGGAGCACCAAATTTCTAGTCGCGATAGCTCTCGCGCTGTCAACCCTCGTCGCCTCGTCGCCAGAACCAACACCAACCCCCGTGCCCGCCCACGTTCTCCCACGACAAGCCTCATCCGCGACGGGGCGTCCCACAGCCGGCAGCGGCACCGGTGTGCGCGGGTCCGAAGCGGCCGACCCCGATGCTGCCTCGGAATCCGGCACGACGGCCAAAGGGTCCGGCTCCGGGTCGTCCAAGAAGGCCACCTCGACGAAAAAAGTGTCGATCCCCGCGACGGCACAAGTCGGGCGAGTGTCGATGGTTACGCCCGGTGTGTATGACGGATACCAGATCTACAAGATCGGCGAGACAATCACGTTCGCCTGGAACTACACCGATGTCATGGTCACGCCCACAGCTATCAACGTCGTCGCGTACTGCCAGGACAATCAGCACGATTTCACCATCACCGGGAATGTCAGCGCGGGGCAGACGAAGGTCCTCTGGGATACCGGCGAGTACCAGAGCACTGCTACTGTTAAGCTGCTGCTGTAGGTCCCCCTTCCCCTCCATCACGAGAGCACGAGACTGACGGGATGACACAGCGCGACGTACACGCTCAACATTTTCGACGCCTCAAAGGCCAAAACCGCCGCGCCCACGGCTGGATACCTCACGACTTTCCAAGGTTACCAATTCGGAATGTACTCGCCCAAGGCAGCCGTTGCTCTCAAAGGTACCCCATTCACCCACTCACTCACCCACCTATACCCCACCATTGCCATACATAACTAACCACCAATGCCGCAGACTTTGTCTGCCCGACTTGCGATCCCAACGACGCTAGTAGACTGAATGCCTACGCCCTTAAGATGTCAATCGGCATGGGCTTCCTCGCCGTGGCATCGTTCACGTGGTTCTTGGCCGGATTCCGACTGTAATCAGCTAATGTGAAGTCTTGTTTGTGACCTTTTTTTTTCTTTCTTCATCTTCAAATGCATCATGGAACTGGCGGGATCGATAGGAGGGTGAGGGGTGGGTGGGGTGTAGACTGAACGGATATTAATTTGTGGTATGTCGGGATGTGACGTGGTGTGATTCACCGTTTTTTTTTCGTGACTCTTTTTCTTTCTCGGGAGCTTTGGTGTTTTTTTTTGTAGCATATAGCATTGTTATGTTTTAAGAGAGAGAAGTAAATGAGATATTTCGTCTGTTTTTACATACGCAGGTGTCGCCATTGTTGGCGTGAAGGGTGCACACTGCAGATGGTTACGACGACAATGATGGATGGATGGCGGATGGATGGCGGATGCACGCGGGAACTAGAGTAGGTGCATGAGGTTTTTCTCAGCCGGCCGGCAGGAACGGCATGGCATGGCATGTGAGCATTTGCCGGTGCGTGAGATGTGGTGAAGATACAAATGGTGACATGAGTGGACGGGGTGATTACTGGTGATGGGTGAGATGAGGAGGTAGGGTAGGTACCTCAAGAGTCGGGAGTCGAGATGGAGGAAGAATAGGCAGTCACTCCGGGAGCCATTCGTACATGCGCATCTCAACGTCAGGATTGACAACCCGAGCTCTTGCACTCAGTGCTCACTCGGCATTTTGCATTTCTAATGACACCTCCAACCTCCCATTCATGAACTTGGGGACCCCTCGTGCCCGCCGCTGCCGCCGATCGCTGAGTAGAGTATCTACCTACCCAGGTACCCAGCATGTGACGAAGCTATCACCACGAGTACTTAACTGAGCAGCCCATACCGGTAGACGCTGGGTAAACAACCCGTACTCCACCCCCTTGGAATCCAGAGTTCAGAGTCCAGACGTCAGAAGCCGCCTCGGTGCCCGAGACTCGAGAGCAAAGCTGCGTCCGACAGAAGCGGGGCTGGTCCATTGGCCACAAACCAGCACTCGATTCCGTCAACTTTCCTGAAGCTTCCCAAGCTTCCGCCAGGTAGTTGACGCGAGATGGGGTCTTGTAGATATTGAGTTTTCAGCATCCATCCCGACTCCGACTCCAGAACCGTACATAAGTAGCTATTTGGTAAACTATAACTAACCGTCAGCCGGATTTTTTCTCCAAGACTGCGTCAAGAAGGACCGTGAATCTCAAACCTGTCTAGCCTCTGGAGGATGGGGGAATGCAGCTGTATGTATGTATAGTAGAGTATGTAACGAAGCTGCAGGAATTCTTCGAATGCACGATGAACGAGATCTGAATCCGCCGAGACATGACTGGATGCTAGAAATGTTGTCGTCCCCCGGATGGTAGGTATGTTATGTAACTGTCGCCACAGCGAAAGTTTCCCGGGTCTTCACTCCACAGTCGGTAGGTATTGTATCCCACGTGGACACTCGCTGGACGGTTGCAGTTACTTCCAAGCTGCGTGGGACTCGAGGTGCTGTCTTTTTGTTCCAACCTTTGGTTCCGTTCGCGAAAGGAATGGAGCTTGAGCTTTGTAACTCCTCGGCGCTGCAGCTAGGGTAGCTGTACCCTTAGAGTATCTGCAAAGACTAGCCGCAAACATGCGATTCGATCCCGACGAGTTGTCAGCGTCTACCCTCATTCGTCACGAGGACCGAGACTCGCATGATGCTTGGGGACAAGACTGAGCTGCATAGCTCCTGAGACTCTCCTTCTTTCTCTCTCTCCTGTCCCATCTCATGGTTGGGGGTGTATCTTGGAAGTTTAAGTCGAGAGCGGGATGTCACAGCGGGACTGGGTCGGTTAAAGCGCGGGTGAACACAGCGCAGCGTGATGGACTAGGTACGGTAGGTAGTTGGGTCATAGATGCATCTCTTTTTTCTTCACGTCTCCAGGCTTCGGTCCGCGATGTCAGAGTAGAGAGCAGTGGTTGGAGGTGTGTCAAGCCGCCAGAGAATCTTAAGCTTCAATGCATGCGAGGTCTCGGTGTAGTTATGCATGCTCTGAGCAGCAGCTGCTGTGTTGTTATTGGTGTTGTTATTGTTGGTCTGTGCAAAGCAGCGAGCAAGCAAGTGTGTTGTGATTTCCCAACTCGTTAGGCTCGTCCCGATATCCCGCATATCACCCAAACGACCCCTCCAAAATTCCACATCGCCTTTCCCTTCCCCCTCCCATCATCATCATCATCATCATCACCACTTCCATCTCCACCACCCGCAACCACCCACTCGCAACCACATCTCCAAATCCTTTCGTGTTTCCCATCACACATACACACTTAATCCAAAATGTCGTGGCAAGGTAAGACAGAGCTTTCCCTCCCTCTGGAACAGAACCGTCTCCCCCCTATCGTGTCGTACGAAACGGAAGCTGATGATCCCCGCCCCCGCCCACAGCATACGTTGATTCGAGGTATGTCAACCACCCCGCCGCACGGTGAGGGACGGAGCGATGGAAACGAAAGCCCACGCTGCGGAGCCCGACCGGGTTGAGTCGACAAGGGAAGGGAACTGGATGACTGACTATTGCAGTCTTCTCGGCTCCGGCAAAATTGATAAGGCGGCTATCTTCAGCGCTGCCGGCGACAGTGTATGGGCTGCTTCCGCTGGATTCACTGTATGGCTACCACCACCACATCTATCATCGAGCGGGCGAGCTTTGGACTGACGGCGGCGTGGGGGAATAGCTGTTACCGGAGGAGGTCAAGAAGGTGGTCAACGGCTTCGTAGACCCCAGTGGTCTCCAGGCGAACGGACTTCACGCGCAGGGAGAGAAATACGTCTTCCTCCGAAACATCGAGGACCGGAGCATCTACGCAAAGAGGGTTCGGCCTTCTCCTTCCTTCCATTCACGCAGGACACAGCTGACGATGGGCGGTGATAGAACAAAGAGGGTATCATCTGTGTCAAGACGAAACAGGCGGTGCTCATCGCCCACTACCCCGAGAACGTCCAGGCCGGTGAGGCGACAAAGATCGTCGAGGCTCTGGCGGACTACCTGATCGGTGTTGGGTACTAGACGGCTCTCCATCCGGCCGCTTGTTCCGCCATACCCTTCCTTCTTCTTTCCTTGAATCTCACACATGCCCGCACCCACCCCGTCCGACCTCAATAAGTAGCCTTGTAGTTTCGTTCTTTTTCGTTTGGAGGGAGGGGCGAGAAGGGCAGTGGTAGTGGTAGTCGTAGCGGGGGTGTCGATATCGATGGATAGCCGTTGGATGATAACCTAGCTGCGGTTTTCTTCTTTCTTTCCTTTCCTTGTCTTTGTGTCGTGTTGCGGAATGCGGTGATCAATAGATGAGCGAGTCGGCCACCTCGTGGGTAGATACTTCCGTGAAGGGCTCCATCTCCAGTCATGCTTGCCTAATGTGCACCGTCACAGTTAAGATACCCGCTCCAGCCTTACCCGCCTGCCTCCTCCGCTGCCATATCGAACTGTCCGTGGAAGGAAGTGCTCAAGTAAGTTTGTATTCTATTGCGTTTATTAAACATTATCGTCGTATATCCCGTCCCAGCGTACGCCGTTGGTATGTATCCGTACACTATCCCGCCGCGTCCATATCCCCCATTCCTCACCATCCAGATCCGAAAGAAATCTATGATACACCCCTACACCCGCACAGTTTACACGGGCAACTGCTGCGCCGCGCCTACACCTTTCCATCAGCTCCTGCTCTCTTAACACACCCTCACAGCTCACTCACCTGTAACCCTCCTCAACGGGCCCTCGAGATACGGCCCGACAACGGGGACGGCAGCGACAAAGCCCACAATGACGCCAAAGAAGTCCGCAAACAGTTTAAAGATACCGTAGAGCTCGAGCACGAAGCCGGTGATAGTCCAACGCATCAAGATCGCGGCGATGCCAAGGAAGAAGAACGCGCTGCCCTGGTACTTCTCCTTCCGCACGAAGAAGGACAGCGTGCGCCGCGGCGTCATCAACAGCGTTATTCCGCACAAAAGTAGCAGGTTCGCCATAGACAGGCACGCCCGGTCGAAGAATAGTGTCAGTCCCAGAATGAAGAAGAGCAGGGACGCGCCGAGGAAGGCTGCGCCGAATTCTGGTGGGGGTTAGCGCCTGGATGGAACGATGGAACTATGGTACGATGGATGGGGAACACACTTTGCGTGTCTGAGAGCCACATCGTGGGAGTGGGAGTGTGAGTGCTGTCGCTGTCGCTGCGTCGGGGGAGGGTCGGGAAAGGGGTTCAATTGTGTAGAATCGTGAGTGTCGTGAGCAGCGATAAGTACGGTATGTACGGTAGGAAGGAAAAGGGAGCAGTTGATACGGGCCACAGGGAGCGTTCGAAATCAGATTTGCTGCACATGCAGGCCACGGAATGTTCAAACGGGAAGGTGTTGTGACCGGGGCCACGCCACGCACGGGTAGTTCCTGGCCCGCAGGCTGCAGTCACGCGTCCAGCGAACTTTACGCGTACCAACGCGGTTCGCACTTCGTGGTTTCGCCTCGCCTCGCCTATAGATATTTTAGATATACTACCATACCCCGCAACATCCACCCACAAATACCCACCACAATTGCCATCCATCGACAAAGCGAAGCGAAGCGCAGATGGTGTACGGCGACTTTCACCGCGCGCTGGTGCAGGCGTTTCTTTCGCGCCGGGTCATGACGGTCGATGAGGCGAAGGCTGCCATCGCCATGATTCAAGCCGTCGAGAGTACGTTTTACTTTCATTCACGGGGGAAGGGGAAGAAAGAGCTGACAGGGCGACGGGCGATAGGTGGACAGGAGGTGAGCCCGACAAGTATCACAAGCAACATGGTAAAAGGCGCGATCGAGGAAATCAATCGGAAACTGTTGCAGTTCGATTTCGAGGTTCGCAGTGGACGGGATCAGACGGATCGGAGTACCATTTACGCATTTGTCTGTCCCCTCCCTCCCGTGTACATACTTGGAAGTGGTTGGGGGATCGCTGACCCACGAAGGTGAACAACACCCCCGACCTGATAATCGAGGGCGCGACACAGCACACGCCCGACGAGATTGCGTTTTTCCGCCGGCTGCTGGACGCCATCTTCGAGACGAACAACACGCTGCACGCCGAGGTGCTGGCGATCAGCCACCACGACGCGATCCACCTCAACAAGAACTTAGCCGCGGAGGGCGGGGCTGGGGCCACGCAGGGCACTCCTGCCGGGAAATCTACGCCGGCGAAGAGCGGGGGGCTCACGCTCAAGGGCGCGGAGGAAGCGCTGGCGACATTCGTGGAGGACGGGTGGCTGGATAAATCCTCGTAGGTCACCTTCCCACCTTCCCGCCTACTATCTATCCAGAGGGGTTATGCGATACTCACAGCAGCAGCAACAACTGGTACACGCTAGCGACGCGGGCTTTGATCGAGCTATCGGTGTACCTGACACAGACATACGAGCACCAGCCTACATCCGACAACGAGGCCGGCGCGGACGCGCCCCAGCACCGCCGCGCAATCAAGAAGTGCGAAGCGTGCTCCGACATCCTGACGATCGGCCAGCGCTGCGACGACCTGCACTGCGAGGTCCGCATGCATAACCCGTGCGCTACGCAGTTCTTTACCCTCGGACGGAGCAAGAGCTGTCCGAAATGTAAGAAACCGTGGTCCGGAAAGCAGAAAGTCGGTGAGGCCGCCGCGGGTCAGCTTAGGAAGAAGATCCGTATAGGCGCCCCCGCGAAGAGGACGGGTGACGCTGCTGGCCCGAGCTCGAGTAAGAGGAGGAAGGTTGCTGGTGCGAGGGCGAGGTCCGAGGAGAGTACGCCGGCGCCTCATGACGACGAGGAGGAGGCTGAGGAAGCGGAGGAAGCGGAGGAGGAGGAGGAAGAGGCGGCAGAACAGCAGGAAGATGACGACAAGTAGCTCGCGCTCCCTTCTCCACCCACATCCATCCCGCATTCTAGATTGTGTACGAGTTTCTTTTGGGGGTTTCTGGCGTTTCGGAAGCGGTGGCTTGCCTCGATATGATCAGTGTATGTACAATATACCATAGTATACTTTTTAATTCTCCCCTGGCGTGGTGGTCATGGGGTTTCGAGTGATATCGCCGGTGAACTGTCTCGAGGAGGAGGAGGAAGTTGGGAACTGTTAGTTTCTTACTCACTCACTCGACGTACGTTAGTCTCGAGCTCATGGTATATAGTGGGTAGATTTCCAACCGATGGATGCACACCCCTAGGGCCGCAGGGTGTACGGGATTGCAGCGGCGGAGCGACGGAGCTCCTCCATGATATCCCGCACATCGGCCCGCCACCAGCCACCCCGCATACAATCCAATCCAATTCCAATCCAAGCACCGCCCCCCACCGACGGAGTCCGGAGTCCGGAGATGGCAGCAATCTGCGCCCTATGTATCCCCCTATCCCGTGCATGCAGAGTATTGCCGTACCGCCGTACCGGTACGCTTGTATGCGGACGGACGGGTGGATGGATGGCTGACGGGTGGGTGGCGGGCCGTCCCGATGTTTTGCATTACCGGTATGCTGCACTCGTATCTACCGTCTCTTCGGGGTTGAGTTACCGGGTGGATTCAACTTTCAACATTCGGTAGATACATTAGGTACATACGCTGGACATCCAGCCCGGGAGAGATAGAGAGATCTTCAGTTTATTTCGCACGCAGCCTACCGGTATCTAGATTCCTGACTATAGCGAACCGTCACTCCTTTCCTACGCACTATGGCCGTTACCAGCCAGCATGAAGTGGCGCCGCTGCCTGCTTGCGGCCTGCCAAACAAATACCTAACAAAAGTAATCGCACCAAGAAAACATCACCGCATATCCTCATTTCCTAGGTCCTTTTCTTCCCCGCACCGGCCGCGCGCAGACACAGTATGCATACCTACCCTGCTGGGCAGTGGGCACTCTTGCTCTGCCCCGATCCTCCTCCTCCAGGTCTGCTGGGGCTTTCCTCCCCCACATCCGTCGTTCCTATGCATAGAAACTCTAGGATTGCCTCGCCACACCGTACCGCTCGTCGCCGAACAACTCCGCTAGATACCTATCGCCCACCTCTCTTTCATTCTCTTCGGCTCCATCCTAACCTTTGGCTACAAGGGGCTGGATATCTATGTAGCCCGGGAGATTGGCATAGGCTTTGATTGCGAGTTCACCGAGTTCACTGACTGGTATGTACCTGGGTAGGTACATACTATGATCGCAGGACTCGAAGTTTTTGCTTAGATGATGATGGTATTCGCCCGGCTCCTTTTCCACCTAGGTACAAACATTCCTCCTCCCCCTCCTCCCCCTCCTTCCTCCTCCCTCCTCCCTCCTTCCCTTCCCCCTCATACGCCAATATACAAACCCAACAAAGGAAAACAAATGTCAAGTCAAAATCTTAAAAAATCTTGCAAAGATGATATGCAGAACGCAGAAACCAAGAACCAAAAAACTCCAAAGATTCCCCCCGGTGCCGTGCCGTGCTATCCCATCCCATCCACCCCGTTCTCTCCCCACCTACCTACATCCAGTAGTAGGTATCCAGTACCCGATCCCCCTGTGTGAGCGCCAATACAAAAAAAGACAAACCAAACGTCCAGAAACCCCCCTTCCCCCCCCCCCCCGCGAGCCTCCAAAGTTCAAACAAAAAAACAAAAGAAAATGGAATGAAATCAGGTGAAATCAGATGACTGGTGAAAACAAAGTAAAAACTCCCGTCCGTTCTAGATGTCGCATGTCTGTGCCGAATACCCCCCCCCCCCCCCCCTCAGATCCTCACCACGCTTCCCGCCTCTCCCAACTCATCGACCGATCTCAAGCCCTCAATAACCGCCCTCTCCGGCGGCCGCTTCGCCGCAGCAGTACTAGTCCTGTGCTCGACGAGACGGGGCTTCATGATGCAGCTGGGATCCTTAATGCTCCTTCTGCTGACGAGCATCTGGGATTTCGGCACGATCGGCAGTAGTAGCTGCCGCTGGCTGAGGCTGATCTGCCGCGCGATGCTGATTTGGGCTGCTACTGAGATTTCGTCTGGTGCAACCGATATATTAGTTTGGTGGTGAGGGAAAAAAAGGAAGGGAGGGGAAGAGGGGGTACACACCATCGTCCCGGTAAGGAGGCCCGGCGGTCGAGGGCCGGGTGACCATTTCCCACGCGGGCTCGGCGTCGTCGCAGGCGCTGCGCGCCATCCATGCGCCGTCGTCGCCTTCGTCGTAGCTGCCGGGCGGCGTGGAAATGCTGGAGACGGACTCCTCGGAGATTTTGGAGCAGCGGCTGGTGCTGCGCTCGTCGCTGTCCTGTTGGTCGTGTGCGGCGAAGGGATACTCGTTGGGCAGTGGTGTGTGGGTTAGTGGTGGCGGCGGCGAGAGCATGTCGTTCACGGTGAAGGCGTATGCGCGCGGTGAGGGTATGCTGCCGGTGGTTTTGGAGCGCATAAGGCGCGGGGAGGGGATGCGCGGGGAAGGCATGCGCGGCGAGGGCTGAGGACTGAGCGTGTGCGGGTGGGGGGAGGAGGAGAGGGAGGGGGAGGAGGAAGTGGAGCGGCGGCTTTCCTGGCTGATGCGACGGAGATCGTCGCCTAGGCGGGAGAGCGGTGACCGGGGTGATATGGCACTGGTTGTGGCGTTACGTTTCAAGGCCTGAATGGAAATCTGTGGGACTTCGGGTGGAGCCTGATATGTTCCCTGAAGTTTCGACAGCGCGTCATCTTGGTTCTAGAGCAAGGTCAGTATTGGGCTATATTCGGGCCAGAGTTTGGAGACAAACCTCAATCTGCTCATCACTGCTACTCTGCCCACTCGCCGAGTGGGCACCATACACATCCCTCGATCTTCGTCTCGCAAACAGCGACGACTTCTCACTCGGCGGGAGAAGGTTTCCAAACATGACCGAGTACCTCTCCATCTCGACGCATGGGATATTTACATCCAAGCACGGCGTCTTAGGGTCCCTGGCAGACTTCCATTTCTTCAATTTCGACGCCGGCGTTTTCGGTGGTTCGGGGATATGAACCGGAAGTTCCGGTACCGGCTCTTTCTGCGACTTGCCCTTCCTGCTGCCAAACAACCCACGTCCAAACACCCGTTTCCACCCAGCCGTCTTGGGTGGCTCCTCGAGCTTCTCCCTTGAGCTGGACCCATGGGACCCATTGCTCCCCTTCCTCGATCGTGATGTTGCCGGCCGTGGCACGGACGGCGACGCAACAACGAATGCCTCGGCCGGAAGCACGAATGCCGGGCTCCCGGCCTGCCCGAGCGCCTCCATGCTCCGGAATGCCTCCTTCCGCTGCGCGATCAATCCCTCCGACGGGCTCCCGAGGGCCATCCCGATATAACTCTCCTCTCCGATAGCCACGCCCACAGTTGCATCCTCCACCGGAGGCGGCGGTGGTGACGTCTGCTGCTGTCTCAGCCGCGGCGGGAAAGCGGAGAGCTTTACCGGCTGCGGCGGGTGCGAGTGTGGCGCCTTCTTCGGCTGCGTTGAGGACGCTGGTAGAAGTGGCGATGCGAGTCCGAAGAATATCGAGGTCCTCTTCTTCCGCTCCATTGGGTTCGCGGATGAGGGTGGGTTCCACGTCTCCGGTAGACCGAGTGCCATCATGGATTCCCGCGTGCTGGAGATGCTCTTTCTGCGGCTCAGCCGGAATAGATTCGACGTTCCAGTCGATGTTGTTTCCTCCTCTCCTCCTCCTCCTTCACCATATAATCGTTCGGTACCAGCCTTTCTTCTTCCAAAGCCCGATGGGGAACGGCGCAGTATCGACGGCGAGAGTAGAACCTCAGCAGGAGTCCTCGTTGTAGCTGCTGTAGTGGAAGTGCTAGTAGTAGCGGTAGTAGCGGTAGTAGCGGTAGTAGTAGTATCCTTCGAACCAGTCGTAGTCTTAGGCGGAAGCGGAAACGGAAACGGAAACGCAAGCGGATCGTCCTGATGTTGGTCTCTATGGAATGCGGGCCTCGAGGTGCTCCTTGTATCACGAGTGCTTTTCGATCTCCTCAGGAAGTTCGCCATCTCGGTCCGCGTGTGGGATGATATCCGTATATATATCTATGGGTATATGCGGGTGAAACTACTGGCTTCCGACCTTTCCCTTCCCTTCCTAGGCGGTATGGATGGATTGGTTGGTTGGCAAGATCCCGCGGTAGATGAACGAATCTAACCGAATCTCCTGGGCTGAGGAGCTGGGATGGGGGGTTTTTTTCCTTCTTTTCTTTTCCGTTTCGTCTGTTGGGTGGAGCGGAGGGAAGGGAAAAAAAAAAGCAGTTGGGGGCCCGGACGCGGGTCGGGGCAGGTGATGTATATGGGTCTTGGACTCTCCTGGCGGCGGGCGCTTCTTAACGTGCTATTCTACTCGACCGAAATCCTTTTTTAGCAGGCCATCCGCATAGCAAAGTAAAGTGCTGAATCTGTGCGGGTGTACGTCGTGTGATGACAGGCAGACGGGCGATAACGTAGTCGAGGGTGAGGGGGGAGAAAGAGAGAGGGGGGCAGTTCTTCCGAAACAAAATATAACTGAATTCAACCCAAGCATGTACTTACATGAATGGTGATGCTGATGCCGTGTACCAATATATATTCACCGCGCCACACACCTTTCACTACACCAGCGATAAATAGTGCTCGCACAGCCGACTGCACTTGTATGCTGTGCTACGAAGAGAGAGTAGAGTGGAGTACAGTGCTAGTAGAGGGCAGCAGAGGACTCCTTGGAGGGCCTCGATTTCTGTCTTGTGTATATCGTGTATCGTATTGTATCGTACCTGACGGGGGAGGGGGGCTTCACCAGTGGAGCCACGACTGCCTTGACGGTGCCTGGGTAGGAGGTATTCGAAACAGGGGCGCCGCTGCTGTCGAGAGCGGGGTACAATGGGTGGTCGTCGGCGGCGGCGGTGGAGACCGAGAAACAACGAAACGCATATGCCGGCCGTGCTGACCGAATCGGAGCGGATGGGCTAGGTGACTAGTCGCAGGGCAGGCCAACCAGTGGACCGCTGGGCGCAACGCGGAAGATTGGAGGCGAAAAGTGGCGTAAAGGAGCGACTGGAGGTGAGGGCCAAGTGAGCGAGTGCGCAGCGAAAGATTGGTTGTGGTCGTGGCCGTGGTCGTGGCCGTGGTCGTGGTTGTGGTGGGGTGGGGAGAGACAAGACAAGAAGAAGAAGTTATGGCGGCAAGGTCACTGGAACTCAGCAAATGATACGGCAGAGAAACCTCCGCGCGCTCAAGATTGGGGCCGGGATGTGGGAGTGGTGGGTGGGACAAGCGGTGATGGAGGTGGTGGTGGATGTGGTGCCTGGATAAACAGCTGCATCAAATACCCATGGCGCAGACAGACGGTACGGGAGGCGGTAGTTGGATGGAAGCCGTGGTGGACAGAATTGTCTATTGCTTCGGCGGAATACGATACGAACGTCAACCATGGTATGTGCTTACTTACATACTACTATATAGGTGGTAGAGTGGTGCTGGCACTGTACCAGGTATACCGGCATGTCCACTCTCCACGACCTTGAGATGTTCAAGGGGAGAATAGGTACTCAATTTACTATGCTCTAGTATACCCGAAGACCGGCCGAGAAACCATCACCATGACATTGTGAAGACAACTATACTTGGGCGTCTCTCCTCCTCCTCTTCTGCGTCTCCACGTCGTGTGAGCAGAGTGCCGAATCCGGCATGCCCTCCCCCCACATCCAATCCGTTCGTGGCCATTATTCAGGACCATTATTCAGCGCTATTACTATCGACAAGTCTTCCCCTGCGGAATATACTTCTTGCCCTCATCTTGCGCATCTCCCATCTGCCATCGGCGGAAACTCGCTCTCCCATGGGATCCATGTTGACGTGCCGTTTCAGAGTTGCAGAAAGCAAGGTTGTTGCGTGTGTGCGATATGATACCTGAGACGAGCCAGGCTTTTTTTCTTCTTCATCTTCCCTCTCCATGACCGGGTATGATGTACCAAAGTAAGAAGTATGTACTGCCTATGTACTCTAAATACTGGAAAGTACCTACCTCGCGACGCAGCCGGCGGGCGATCGTCAATAAAACACCGGGGAATCCGGGTGAAGATTGGGATTTCGAGTATGTATCGGTGCTGTACTACTCTACACACGCCGCAGCAGATTGCTCATGTACTAGTACTAGTACTCTACCCTATGGCAGGAGGCGACGGTGGTGATTCGCGCTGGCAGACGGATACCGTACATAGGGCATCTGGGTGAAGTTCAGCGGCTAAACCTCCCTATGGATTTGGTCCTCTCTAAGGCTCAAGCTCTGCTGGATCAACAACTATTGACGGACGATCCGAACCCGAGCCCGTGCCTGCTAATACTCACTTGGGTACTATCTACTATCATAGCTAGTATGGAAGGCAGCGGCTTTCCTCCCGCCCTTCTTTCCTTCTTCTTTGCTTCTTTGCTTCTTCTTCCATTCTTCTTTGCTTCTTCTTCTTCTTCCCTCCTCCTCCTCCTCCTCCTCCTCCTCCTCCTCCTCCTCCTCCTCCTCCTCCTCCTTCAAACGCACATGCGGGCAGACGTCAACAACCAACCGTCAAGACTCAACTAACGCAAGAAAAAGGGCACATCTATCTGCCTTTGCTAGTTCAAGATTCTTCCTGACATGCCAGAGGAAGAAAAACGCAGAAAAAACGCAAAAAAACGCATAAGAAACCGCATGCACTCTCTAGTATGTACCTAGAGTAGCCGAGAAAAAAAAACATGCTGTGGCGCGTGCGGCGCCCCTTTGACGTGCATCAGCCATGAGCCCTCAGCCATCAGCCATCAGCCATTCACCACCGCCATCCACATGCCTTATGCCCTCCCCCTCGCTCTCCAGTCCCCCACGCGCAACACAGAACTCTTCAGGAGCGTTTGAGACTTTGCGTGGTTATGTAGTTAGAGTACAGGACGGGCTAGCTCGAGCTGCCGGATGCGGGGTAGGTCCGACGTCGACGGCGACGGCGATTGCGGCGTGAAATCTCCGGTGCATAAGTACCTACTAGACGGTAGACCTGCCAAGTGACAAGTGCCAACGGACGTTGGCGCCAGCCTGCAAGAGTCCAACAAAACAACGGAATAACGGGCAACTGGATCGATGCACGGCTCGGGCCAGCGCTTCAACGTTCATGGGGAACATGGAGCGGAGGAGGGGAGGGGATGGGAGGGGAGTTGGTGGCGTCGAGGGCGTCGCGGGCGCACTTGGGCTGAGCTGGGCTGGGTGATCGCTGGTCTGGGCTGAGCTGGGGCTGGTCGACGACAACGAAGACGAAGACGTGAGCGTGCGAGTGAGCGCGGATGAGTGCTGGTGATGGCTATCGATAGTTATCGAGCCCAGCAGCAGCAGCGAAGTTTCGAGCGATCACATACGCCTTACTTCCCCATGCACAGTACGTGCCCAAGTATCCAGATATATAGTAGAGTGCAGAGCACTGACTACTCCCCATCGCCGCAATTGCACCCCACGGACCATTCGCCCGTGCCGCTCTGGGGGACTGTCCAAGAGTCCAATATTTTCCCCAGCCGTTTCTCCATCTCCATCTCCGACTTCAGCCCCAAACCCGCGCCGCAGACCCGCAGAGTTTTCGAACGAACCCCAAGGGCCAACGTGACATTGTGCACGATGGCCGTCGCTGCATCGCTTCGATCTTCACTTCTTCATGCGTGTGTGCTGCGTGTCTGGGCTGGGTGTGTGGGCTGCGTAGTCCGCATCCGGCGGATAGCTACATAGAATATACACGATGTGGGCACTGGGCACTGGATTGTGTGGGTTGTGTATACTGCACACTGCAGGATAATATCATAACAATAACATATGGCATCATAACACAACTTCAACTGACAACTGAACTGACAACTATATGTAGACTGTAGCACCTGAAGACTGTAGTACCTGTATTCTGTAAGCAGTGTAAGGTCCAAAGATAGCAGGAAACACTGGAACTTAGAAACCCAGCTGCACAGCTGCACAACTTTACAGCTGCATAGTGCACGGGAAGTTGGAACATGTGCACTGGAACATGTGACATGAGACAAGTAAGACGATGTACAATACAATGTATGACATACCCACTTACCTACGTTGTTCGTCCACGGTTCACCAGCGCAGTCATCATTCATGCTTATTTTCCACTTCACACTGCCCGTCGCGCTGCACTTCTATACTGCCCACTCCCCACCGGGCGAAAGTGACGGTAAGTTGGTAACTATTGTCGGCGGTCGCACGCCGGTTCGGATGCTATCTTTACCTCTTTACCTCTTTACCTCCTCACAATGCTCACATTCACAATGCTCAATGCTCACAATGCCCACAATGCTCACATTCACAATGCACATCTTCCATTTCCGTTTCTGTTTCTGTTCATTGCAACTTGCAACATGCAAATCCCATTATCCCGTCACTGCCGTCTGCAGTCTGCGGCTTCTGCTCGGTCATCACTCATCAGTGCCACGGGTCGTCCCACGGGTCAACCGAGTAGATGGGTACCAGATGTATCCAGATATATCCATTGAGACAAGTTCCGACGGCAAGGCAAGGCGAGGCACGCAAGGTGCATCTAGATTCCACCGAATCACTGAATCATTGGCAATGATCCTTATCTGCACTCTGCACTCCGCACCGCACCGCAAATCGCACTCTACCTGTAACATGTACCGTAACTCCTTCCGGCCCCGTCTGCCTGCCACACCTCTCACAACCTCTAAAGATCCGCCTACGCTTACCACCCACCATCCCCGCCCCTCGCCCCGGCCACCGCCCCCCCACCGCCCCCCCCTCCCACAGCGGCACCCCACTCCTTACTCCCCTCCTTAACCCAGCCCTCCGCGCCGACCGTGTCGCCCACAAACCTCTCGGCCTCGACACCGATGTAGCCATCGCTGATGGCGTAGACATACAAGCCTTTCCTCTGCTTCGCCTCGGGCGGCAGCTCCAGGGTGACATTGACGCTCACTCTGCCCGCGGCCTTTCCCCGCTGGTTGCCGGAGTTGCCGGAGTTGTTGGTGGGCCACGAAACGCGCTTGAGCGCGAATATCTCGTCGCTGTCTTTGTCGCCCGCGAGCACGAAGAACCCCTCCGTCTGCGACTTTGGGAAGCGTGGGGCGTGCATGCGGGTGGGGTGCCAGCGCGAGTTGCGGCGGGTGAGGGTCAGGCTCAGCGGCGTGCCCGTACTTGGCTTAGAGGTAGTGTTCGGCTTAGTGGTATTGGTGTTCAGCTCGAGTTGCGGAAGAGCGGTGGTGCACACGCGGGTGAACTGCAGCATGTCAGTGTGGGAGATATTTTCTGGCGAGCCGGGGCACGGGTGATATATGTCAGACACTCGATGGGACCTACTTCGTCAATTCTCCGCACGCCTAGCCGACGGGCGAGAGATTCCAGATCCTGGTTGGACATGGATGCGACGTCGGCCAGAGTGGTCTTCTCGGCCTCAGTCTTCGCCAGCTTGACGTCCACGCCGGGCAGCTGCGCAAGCGGTCCGTCGTCGAGCCAGCGCGCTTGTTTGATACACTGCATCAGGTTGATCATCGTCCGGACGGAACTTAGGAATCCCAGTTCCGTGAGCACGTCGATGGATGCCTGCATGATCCGTATCGCCTGATCGAGAACCGAGTTCTGATCCGTGATGTAATCCGCAATCGGCAGTTCTAGGCGCGACATGAACGCCTGGATGAGGAGAAACGCTTTGACATGGGGATCCCACATCGGCACACCGAACGAGTTGGCCGAGACGGGGAGTGCTTTCGAGAGCTCGATGTTGACTAGGTCTTCGTTGTGTCGTACGGGGAGCTCGTTGTATTCGGTTGCTGTACTCATCCACTTCAGTGCGTCGGCGAGTGTGGCATTGCGCTTGGCGTGCTTGAGCAGACTGCGCATCGTTTTGTGCGAGAGGTAGTAGTAGGACGCAATCTTCCCCAGCGGCGTCGAGTCGACGTCGCCATTGGAGTGGGTTATCACGCAGCCGGACTTTGTCAGCTCGCTCATGCTCGTGTCCACGATGTCGACCATGAAATTGTTAGCCTCCTCCTGGGCACTGAGCGAATCCTGCTCTTCGGCGGGGATGTCGAGGCCGTAGTACGTCGGATTCTTGTGCAGTCGCCGGAAGAAGAACGTCCACGTCAAGTAGTCCAGAGCGTCTTGCTTGGTCGCGATGGTACCAGCAGAGACCTCGGCACCCAGATGGTCATCGACAACTTTGTGAAGACTGCTCTCGACCGGGAAACCCGTGTGCAAAAAGTACTTGTAAAAGCTCTTCTTCGAGTCCTGCGTGAAGATCCTCGCGATACCGGACGTGTCGAACTGCGGACGTCCCGCACGACCCAGCATCTGTAGCACATCCGTGAGATCCATATCACGGTATCCCTCCACCTTCGCATCAAAGAACTGCGTGCCCTTGACTATGACCAGATGCGCGGGAAGGTTGACACCCCAGGCAAGTGTCGCAGTGGCGACCAGTACTTGGATCTTGTTAAACGTAAAGAGTTCCTCGACGATCTGACGGTCGGCCTCAACGAGACCTGCATGATGCAAACCAATGCCGAATTGTACCGCCTCCTTCAGACTGTCGTCCTTGATCTTCGTCAGAATACCCTGCAGTTCATCCTCCTCCATACCCAAAAACCTCCTGGGATTATCTTCCATTCCACAGAAATTGGTCAGATCCTTCGCCGTAAGTCTCGTCTGCCGTCGAGACGCGACGAAGATGATTACTGGTTTGGTCGGCGAGTGATTCTTGATGGCTAGAAAGGCGGGCCGATTCATGCTCTGCATCAACGGACAGAACCCGGTCTGCTCGGGGAACCCGTCGATATAGATCTCCAGCGGCACGGGACGGACCGAGTGCCTAAAGTTGTACAGTCCTTCCTTGACACCGAGCCAATTCGCGAGGTCCGAAGCGTTCGCGCACGCGGTGGACATGCCCATCAACCTGACGGAAGTATCCGATTGCGAGGCGATATAGTTCATCCGGGACACGATAATCTCGAGGATCGGACCACGGTCGCCACCAAGCAGATGGATCTCGTCGATAATCACCAGCGCCACCTTCCTCACATAGCTCCTGGTCTGCCAGCTTCTCGAGATACCATCCCACTTCTCGGGTGTGGTGATGATGATATCCGCGTCCCTGATGGTCCTGGTATCGGGCGTATTGTCACCCGTCAGTTCCACCAACTTGAGCCCCATCTGCTTGGTGAGACGTTTGCCCCAGTCTTTGACTCGCTCGCGGACCAGAGCTTTCATTGGCGCAATGTAGACGACTTTCGATCCGGGCTTCTCGCGGAATGTCCACCACATGGCGAGCTCACAGGCGATGGTCTTTCCACTACCAGTGGGAGATCCAAGCAACACATTGGCAGGGGTGTGGTAGAGCGTGTGGAAGATCTGAGTCTGCATAGGGTTGAAGTACTTGAATCTCTCACCATAGATCTTCTCAAGCCTCGGATCCTTTAGAGCCGTGATCGGAAGCGGCTGCAGATTCAGCAGCGGAGTGTACACAGCCTCGGTATCGGGCCTGATTAGGTGCTGGAACGACACGGCCTCAACCGTTTCCGCGCCCAACCACCGATCTGATATGGCACGGACATAGATCTGCGACGGCAGCGGATCCGCCAGCGGGATAGTAAAGTTGAGTTCGTGATCATCGTGTAGCTTCCTGCGACTGAGAATGAAGTACTCGGAGTGGTAGATCTCGAGTGTATCCGAGTTCTCGACCCAGATCCAGTAGCTCTCGGATGTGCCGTGGATACGATCGTCCCATTTGAACTCGGGCGTGACCCAGAGTTTTATTCTTAGAACGTCGCGGTTCAGAGGGGCTATCTCGACTTCGATGTTGACGGTAGGGAAGCGATCCATTGCCTTGGCTACCTCTGGACCCATCCGCTGATTGTTTACCAGGGCACTGATCTCTCCGATCTCCATCTCCTTCAGCGACTCGACATACAGGTCTTTTTCTTCGAGCTTCTGGATGATATGGCTAGGAAGCGGGAACTGAGCCAGGGGATGCTGGAATGGCCACATCCTGATAACTCATCAGTAAAGGTTCATTGCAGAAACGAGTCGACTCACCTCTTCTCGATCGACTTGCTCAGCGACAACAGCACCTGGCAGAGATTCCCCCAACGCCTGTTCATCGCAATCTGGAACAATGCTCGACATATCCTGCCCGCATTCTGGGCCACATATGCAGAATCCGAGACCAGAGCGAAGTCCTCAATATTGGCCTTCGAGATATACGCCTGCAGCAAGATATTGACCTTTGCATGGGACGTAACGATATTCCTGCCGTCATCTTCCTTCGCCCCCTTCTTGCCCTTAGTATCCTCCGGCCCGGTCTCCTTAACCTTCGGCTTCTTCTTGCCCTCATCCTCCTTCGCCTTCGGGATCTGACAGGGACAGGCTTCATTCTTTAGTCTGTCCAGTTCCATTCCATCGGAGTCTCGTATCTGAATATTGTCAAACTCTCCACTCAAACTGATCATAACCAGCACGTCGGCCTCCGTAGCGTTAGGCTTCATCATATCGTTGAAGATTTCTATACTATTATTAAGAATATAGAAATTGCTCGCGATGCGGCCGATATCCTTCGGCATGAGGTTCTCGGTGCGTTCATCGAAGACGATCATCTGCGTTTGCGAGAGGCGGCGGGCAGCTCTCAAGATCAACTCCCGACGCTTCCCGGCCAAAGTGGGATCATCCATTAGCTCCGACCAATCGATACCGTAGTGCAGGGGATTCTTCTTCCAGCGGACAAAGAGGTAGGAGTATCCTAGCCACTGCACGGCCTCCGTGACCGTAGTGACGGTTCCCAGCGCGATCTCGGCGTTTAGATTGTCGACTATTCTTTCGACCAGGCGGGACTCGATCGGAATTTGCTGAGTCACGGCCGCGAGGTAGTGGGCCAGCTTATCGTGCGTAGTGCAGATATATCCAATTCCGAATTCCTGGAACTGCGGTCGACCGGCACGACCGAAGATCTGGAGGACATCGAGAATACCGAGATCCATAAATGCACCCTTCTGGGCATTATACACCTGCGTACCTTTAATGACGACTGCAGTGGCGGGCAAATTAACACCCCAAGCGAGGGTAGCAGTACAGCAGAGGACTTTTATAGCACCAGAGGCAAACGTCCGCTCGATGAGATTACGATCGGACCTGAGCATACCAGCGTGATGGATTCCGAATCCCTTCTTGAAGAGATCCCGGAGCTCCCGACCCTTGGATCGATCCATATCTCTGGCAGCAGATTGGTACCGGGGATGCATTTGGTTATCGAGGAGACTGGCATTGTCGTCATCAACCGCCATCTGGTAGAGCATCTTGGCCGTCTTCATGGTATCTTTTCGCGAGTGCACGAATACCATCACCTGGTGGTTTCGCAGGAGCATCTCCTTCACCTTCTCGTAGGCAGCCTTGTCCAGGTTGTCGTTCGACGTCCTAGTCCCGGGCTTTCCCTTGACACCGACGAAATTCTGCGCCAGCGGCACGGGTCTGAACGACGCATCAAAGTAGAAAAGTCCAGCGTACGGGTTGACCCTCAAGAAATCGCCCACATCGACATAATTCGGCAGTGTCGCGGAGAGACCCACGATACGAATCATGGACTGGGTGGATTCCACCTGGCGCTGCGTACGGGCCACGAGGGATTCGATGACGGCACCACGCTCATCGTGAAGCATGTGGACCTCGTCAAAAATGAGCAGTCGCACCTTCTGCACCAATTCCGTATCGCCAACCGACTTCCGTGTGACTACATCCCACTTCTCGGGCGTCGTGACGATGATCTGTGTCTTGACGATTTCGGCCTTGGTCAGATGCATATCACCTTTTGGAGTATCAGCATCGCCCGTAAATTTTGAGTCAGTGGCTACTACCTGTCAGTTCCCGCACCTGGATCCCGAGCCATGCCAGGCGCTTTCCCATCTTCTCAACGATTTCGGCGGCCAGAGCTTTCATGGGTGCTACGTAAACAATCTTGAAGTCGTCCTTCTCGCAGAAGAAGTTCTCGGCTTCCGTCGTCTCCCAAGGTCTCGGGACGCAATTGAGACCGATCGTCCGGAGCATGGTGAGCAATGCTGCATCCGTTTTACCCTATCATCCGCCACCATCAATACCGCAATACAAAAAGACCATTACCAAGAAGAGGAAGTGGAATCCTCACAGCACCAGTAGGAGCACAGATAAGCATATTCTCATTCGTTCTGTACGCCACAGGGTATACTAGACTCTGCATTCGATTGAGTGACTTGTATCCCACGAAAGTCTTCTGGCAGAGGTGATCCATATCCTTAATTGCGACCAACTTCTCGTTGACTCCAACAGTGCCAACCTTCGTCGGCGGGATCTTGATCTCTGTATAATCCTTCTCGACGATCTCCTGACTCCCCTTGGGCAGCGAATACTTCTTTCCGAACGTACTCAGCGTATCACCAGCCGCATACGCGCGGTAGATATGCGGATACTCGACCTCCTTCCCGGCGAGTTTCGGTCCTAACGGCCGGGATTTATGGTCCAGATCAGCCTGGCGCAGAGCTTCGTCCCGCTGCTCTTTCGACATCAACCGGAGAATCGCATCCTCGCCACCACCAAGTGCTTCTGGCTCCTCAAATATAATCTCGCCCCGGTGTTGGATCAGCTCCGAGGTCATAACCAGATCCTCATCCTCATAGCCCAGTATATCCGCAAGCGACATCTGCAGCGCATCGTCGTTCCTATCGCTTCTCAGAACCTTGAGGATATTCTCTGCGAGCTCATCGGCGGACTGCCCCGCGAACTTCCGCGCACAGTACTGCCGACACTTCCGGGCGAGCCACTTAGCGTCGAACGCCGCGCCCTCCTCCTCCCCCTCCTCTTCATACTCGGAGTACGAGCCGTAGCTGTCATCGGCGTCCTCGTCGTGGTCGAAAATCCCATCCGACTCCTCCGACGTTAAAAAGTCTTCGTCGCTCAGATCAAGATCGCCGCCGTACGCCGCCTCAGACGGCGAGTCGTTGCCCGGGTGCGCCGCAAGCGCCTCTTGCATTCGCGCCAACTGGACTAGCCAGTCTTCCTCGTTGGAGAGGCCGTCGACCGTCATCGTGTTGGTGCTTGCTTATCTTGCTTTGCGTGCTTGTTTTGCCTTGCCGTGCGGATATGTGTGTATGTGTATGTGTGTGCGGATGTGGTGGAGCTCAGACAGATGGAGCACCGGATATGTAGTGGGGTCGCTCGCCACGGCGGTGCGCTAAAGACTCATTGTGCATCATAGGTGGGACCCATTGAAATCACGTGTTTGTCGATTGCATTGACGCGCTCCAGCCCAGCACGCAGCACGCAGCACGCAGTACCCAGCAAATTCACGCGTCAAGCTCCACCTTTGCGGCACTTCCCCCACCTCCACCTACCACTTCCACGCCCCTCCATCCATCCACACGAAACAACCACAACTACAAACGAAAACCCCCCTCTAGAAAATGGCAGACAACGAGAACCCCACCGTCCTGCTTGAATCCAACGACGGCTTCCAGTTCATTGTGCGCAAATCGGCCGCCATGAAGTCCTCAGCCATCAAGGGAATGTTGAACAAGCGCAGTATGATACATGCTTTTCCCCCTTCCTCCCCCATCCCCACCACACACCACATACGCACACATACCGAAACTGAAACCTACACTCAAACCTACCCGGCAAAGTTGAAGTTGAAATTAAAGTTATAGTTGAGAGAAGCTTGCTGATCGGGTCGGGTGTGGGAAATAGATAATTTCACCGAAGCTATCGAGAACCGTATCGTGTTCCAGAACATGAGGTACCCTACCCTCACGTCCTACAGCCTACCCCAAACTACCACGACGAGGAGCTTATGCAAAATAGCGGCGCGATCTTGGAGAAGGTGTGCCAGTACTTCTACCACTACGAAAAGTACAAGGGTTCCAAGGAGGAGATTCCAGAGCCCGACTTCATCACGCCCGAGCTGGCGCTGGAGCTGCTGTTCATTTCCGATTTCTTGGATTGTTAAAAGCCTCGGCGGTCTGAGTGGATAAATACTTGATACGATGGTATGGGAAATGTTTACACGAATACCTAGATGTTTACACGAATACCTAGATGAATAAAGAAGGGAAGCAATTGCTATATTTTATCCTTCATATCGTCCATCCGTCCATCCCGCCAGAGAAAGAAAAAAAAGAAGCCCAACAAAAGTACAGACGCCCCTTCCACTTGAATCCACAAAGCTAGTAAATCTACCGCACTTTCCTCCCTCCCCCCTCCGCTCCTCTGCAGGGAAAACGATCGTTGTAAAACACAGACAGAGCCAGAACTGAACCCCAAATCCACCAAGCAAGACGCCGCTGCGAGAGAGAGACGAGACGATCGCTAATGTGACAAACAAACTCACAATCAATACAACACAGCAAAACCATCTACTTCCTCCTACCTCCTCTTTCATCAACCATCATGATGATGTGTGAGACAAGTCGGGAAAGGCTAAGGGAGAGCAGAAAGAAGAGCGATGAAAAGAAAAGGGAAAACCCCGAACCCAGCCTTATTTTACCCCAGAACTATCAGTGATACCTCATGAAATCGTAACAAGCCGTTTGTTCGCATCAACAGCGCTGTCGTTCGTTGGTTCGGTCATGCGCATCAACAGCACATGCCCTTCTTCCTCTCAGTTTCCTGCGCCGCATCGACGTTGCCCTCGCGGGCTCCGCCCCTGCCACCACCACTGCCGCCGCCGCCGTTGCTGGCGTTGCCGCCAGCCGGACCATACAGCCTCTCATTCTCGATCTCCTGACGCCTCTCAACTAGTTTCCTAGCGATGACGTGGAAAACCTCGTCGACTCCCGTGTCATCCCTGGCCGAGATTTCATGACACGTATCCATCCAGCCGAGGCCTTCATTGTCGCCCAGGTGCTCAGCGGCATACGCAACGCATCTCTCGAATGGAATCTCGCGCTTCGATGGGTCCGCGTTGACTAGGTCCGCCTTGGTGCCGACAATATGGATTATGATATTATTGTTGATGTTTTTCTTGAGTTCGAGAAGCCTTTAGACGGTTTTGCTTATCGTTAGAGGGGGAGGGGAGATTGGGGGGACGAGCTCAAAGAGGTTACGTACCATGAGTGCATGGCGAGGAATGAGGCTTCTGAAGTGATGTCGTAGCAGAGAATTCCTGCTGCAGTTAGCTTCCATTGAAGATGAAACGAAGATTGGGGGTAGGTACCACAATTGGCGGACCTATAGTAGAGCTTCGATATGCTACGGTATCGCTCCTGTCCAGCCGTATCCTGCGCGCGCGAGATCTTTAGCCACCTTTGCTATGCCGATAATCGAAGGAAAAAGCGCGTACCCAAATCTAGTAGTAGCACCGAGTCAGTTCCAGCAATTCGTCACAGCTCCGACACCAACTCAAGGTCATACCTGCAACCTGACAAGACAATCGTCCACAACCACTTTCTTTGCCAGAAAACTGGCACCTATTGTCGACGCCGACGCCGGGTCGAATGTATTCTTGACATATCTGGAGGCGAGAAAGCGTAAGCTAGAGTTTGGACGAAAGCGAGGAATCGAGCGCAGTTTTTTTTCTTACCTGACTACAAGCGAAGTCTTTCCCACACCTGTAGACAAATCCCCGTCAGTTCGAAGATCGTGACAAAGAAGCCCCCGGGGTGCAGAACGAGCTACACGAAGCCCGTGCCCAACCCTACGGAGGTCGAGCGCACTGTGCAGTCAGCGAACGAGTGGTCCGAACGCACCTTGGGTTCCAAGGACGACTAGTTTTGCCTCGAGACTCATAGGCGCTGTTGGATCGTCGCTATGGTGTTGATGTTGCTGCGACAAGTGTAGGTTGACAGATCTATCTCTAGTAGATCTATAACGTTGACGGTGACCCGGGAGAGGAGGCGACGGGATGAGCGCGGGAGTGGGGGGTGGTGCGAAGTTGGGGAGGAGAGCGTGTCGTTTCGTTCGTGGATCGGTGACGGGAAGTCGCGTTGAAGAAAAAGTTGAAGTGGTAGAAACTCAACTTTACTTATTCCGAGCTGCTGTGGTCGAGGGGCAGCTTGGCTGGTCGCTGGTCGTTGGATGGGAGGGGGAAGGTCTAAAGGTGGCGGAGGCGGCGGCGGTTGGTGGTGGGCGTTTGGGGGGGAGGGCAGTAACTAGTGCCGCTGTTGGTAACGACAAGGAGATAAGGGTCAGCAACCGCGGAACCACAACTGCGACACAACTGCTCTACGCACTTTACTGGACCACGACAGGAGATGAGACTGGGAGGAAATTTCAGTCGCAAAGAATAGGAGAAGGAGAAGAGGAGGGGAAGGAGGCGGTACAAAGCTGAGAAACGGAACAAAAGTCAGGACATAAATACGGGTGTCCACACGCACAGCAACTCAAAAGCTGTTTCTAGAGTACCCTCACCGTTGAGCCTACTTGCATCACGAGGCGAGGCCAGATGGGGCACTCTGTCACTTGCGAGCTGATTATGATGCCGATGATGCATGGCATCCATACGTGCATGGGAGGGGAGAAGGGGGGGCTTGTGTGCGGAACAAGCCGCCGTTCCCGATGACCAGGCAGACAGGACGTAAGCTGCAAGACATGATGAGACAGGCGAGTGATGGAGCGAGTGGAGCTCAAGCACAAGCCACAGTGGCACACTGCGCTTCGCGTTCGCTCTTGCCGCCGTGCTAAAGACAGTCTTGATTTCGCGATTATCTAGCCGCCTACATGTCTCCTCTTTCCCCTTCTTTCACAGCAACAGATTCCGGGATCACTCCAAGTCGTGTGGAAGCCATTCACCTACCCACCTAGTCAATCGAGGACATCTGATACGCGATGGCTATCGTCGGCTGTGGCGCCGGTCAGCGTGCGGTGCAGTCTCGTCCGGTCTCGCAACATTTGAGTGAATCACGCGAGATACGTCCCCGATTGCCACAGGAATACATAAGAAGGCTGTAAAGTTGGACGCCACTTGCCGCCGAGAGTATTCAAAGATGTGCTGCAGTGAGTCCTCCCGTGCGCTGGGCTCAACAGAAACCATCTACCTATGATGCGTGACATGAGTAAACGCCCTATCAAAATCCTCCGGAAAACTTACCACCTAGTAGGTCACCACTGCTTTCGCTTGAGGATCCCGATCTCTGTCACGGTTGTATGTATGTGAATAACTCCGGTGAAGGATTGGTCACAATGAAGGAGGATGGCGATTGTGACTACCTACCGTGTGGTAGATATTAGGCGTCTGGATTCGCATGATGCCCACACGCCGTCTCCCTGACCGGATGTCCCGCACTTTGCGAAACGGGCCTTGGTCGGCGGTGATCTGCCTGGGAGACTGACGGTGAATCGTTAATGTCGGGTTAAACCGGGAGTGCAGTGGGATTGGACCCGAATACCAGTGTTTCCCACCGACGCAGCTCCTTCCCAAGGCAGCGTTCAACGAAGCCAGCTTTCCTGCTCTGATACCGGTAGTTATGTAGAATGTAAGACCTGCAAAGCGGGTTGGCACGAATTTACAGTACATATCGGTATAGGTACCGGTACTGCCTCGGATCGATCCCGACTTCGAGGTCCAGGCGTCCCTAGTTGTCCCCAGATACCGCGGGCGTCTGTCGGGCCTTGGTACGCCATAGGTTCAATAGCGGCTGTCGGCGCTAATCACTGTCCCGTCTAGGTGCCGGTATCAGTTGACTGGGACACTTCATCCAGCGGGGGGTGCTAATGACTGAGCGGACGGAGCACATGCTTGCCGAGCTTCAGTCATCCAGTCGTTCTTCCAATTTACGACTCGACCCTGGTTGACTGTGAGTCGGATCGCGTGGTGGTGAGTCAGGCCTGCAGTCGGAAGTCGGGACGTCGACCGGGCTGGAACATGAATCGATCGGAGAAGCCTCAGCTTTCTGGGGGGATACGACGCGGTTGACTGGTGGTGCTGGTGGCACCTCAAACACCTACAGCCCCCGTAGTTGGTACGGTATCGGAAATGCCAGTGTCCCGACTCCCCGGGTGGAAACTTGAAAGATAAACTTTCGCTTAGAGCCACGCCCACGTGGGGGAACCACAAACCCCTGTGCAAATCCTTCGAGAGCGTGTCTTGGCTCGCCGAAGGCTCGACGAAGCAGTCGTCCGGCCGGCGGCGTGTGAGCTGCACGCTATGTATTGCAGTTGGAAGTACAAATTCAAGTTCTGGGTCAACCGCTGGTGCGCGGAGCTACAATAGTAGTATATCCGTGGTGATTCAGAGAACCCACTGCCGTTCCCATTCTCTCTCGATCAACAGCCACAACGACAGCATTTGATTAGCCACCCTTCATGGCTCAACCATACGTCTTTCGTCATCACCACTCGGCGGCGAATAACCTCGCGACACTCGAAGTATAAGCGCGGGTTGCCGTATCATAAGCAGCTGGGGGAGCAAAAGCCCAGGCGCGAAAAGTTAAAACCGATGAAAACCTACACCGCCCCGTCTACATACCTCCGGGCCTCCTCTTGGAATGCAGCGTTGGAGAAAGACTCGACTACCGAAGTGCAATGCCGACGATGTTCTCAGCAGATCTAGTGCCAGACGATACGGTACGTAGTCCAAGCGGTCACAGACTGGGCGAGAGCCATGCTGAGGTACATATCCACGCGATTTACTGGTTCTTGACATTGAATCGGCACTAACTAGCTTCTGGGACCGAAGATCTACGTCTATATACGGTCATTACTCGGATTGAAGGCCAACACGGACCTTCAAGCTTGCGCCGTCTTCGGATTCCAAGGCGAATGGATGTTTCTTAGTCTGCAAGTAATGAATTCAATTTATCGTTGGATGACTTATTCGACGGTTCATCAAAATCTCAGATGAACACAAAGGTGGTGAATGGTGACGGGCAAAGTTCGGTGCATCTACCGTGTAAAGCCCCCCCTCCCCCCTATATGAGGACTACATAGAAGGAATGGGAATACTATTTCGTATTCGGAACGAGTTGATGACCAATCCAGTTCGATGCATCAGCTCTACGGGCCCTGGCCTGATCCGAACCGAATACATTCGAATTTCGAAGCAAGACTGACGAGCTATGCGAGCAGCTGCAGAGCATGACCGGGACCGTCGCTACATATCTCGACGGCTTATAGGATAGCATGGACACCAAGCACCAGCAATATCACTGATATCGCCTTCCACCCGGAAAATCCGCCCTGTATGGTGTTTTGGGATCGGAAGAAAGGAGAACACCCAATTGCCGGTATGTATGAAGAAGTTATTTGGCCGAGCTCATACATAGCAAGCAGTATGTACGTCCGCGCCAACGCCACAACTGAATGCCTCTTCGGGTTGCCCAAATGCTTCAGTGCTAGTCCTGACATGGCAGCTTGAGCGCCGGCTCATACGCACTGGACAACGCGGAAGGCAGCCGAGCGTGCGGATGAAGCGGCTTCTGCGGGTGCCGTTACTATCTCGGGACATGAGCTCTTCAAGAAGTTCATCCAAGGTGCTCTTGGGTTTCGGCAATGCGGAAGAGGCAGAGCGGCTCCTGTGCCGAACTGCCGTACCTATCCCGTCATTCATCGGAATGCGGTGATGGAGTCTGGAGGATGCAGTCAGAAGGGCTCTGTGGGCTTTGTGGTCCTTAGACCGGTCATAGGTCAACCGAAACATTGTGAGTACGTATGCTCACTAAGAAGTCCAAGTGATATCGTTCTCGTATGTATCCAGATACTGATGGTTATGTAGTTGACGAGTGAATTCCGCAGGAAACGTCCGAGTCTGTGAGTCGGAGAAAGTCATATGTACCTAGTGAGCCTTGACCCAGCGAGTCCCCAGGCTCAAGATATCTATCACTCTTGTACCTGCTCGTAGTTCTCATTCATCCCAGTTTGGGTTGGATAACCTCCAAGACCGTGCGATAACATTCGGAAGCTACCTATGATAGGTACCGGATGTATGAAGCCGATAGGTATTCGCACAGCTCCGACGCATCGTCAACATGAGCTTCCGACATAGATGATAGGACTCGAAGCGATCGAGTCATTGCAGGATACCTATTCGCGAGAAACACCAATGAGCTTCGACGGCGACGGCGAAATCGGGTGCGATGGAGGTTGGCCGCGCAGAGGCAGAGCGAAACGGCCCGTGGAATTCCCACAATCTGTCGGTCTCTAGGCTGTACGTAGAGAAAGTAAGGCCGCGATGAAGGCTGTGGCTGGGTTCAGATGAAGGTGCATACACTGTACCAGTACAGACCCCCAACGTTTGCCAACAAGAGTAACACGGTAGGGAGAGCTGACGTAGATTTGACATTTCCTAAGAGGGGTATATAGTGGCCTATGTACGGGCGTGAAGGCATCGTCGGCGAGCTCATGAACGCTGCCCGTCCGCTGTTCCGAACTGGCTCGTGAGGAACGCATGTGGGCGCTAGAATGGGTAGAACCCCTCATCCTTTTTCAAATGGGGACTTCCCTCCCTTCGCCTCCTTCAGGCTTTATTCTTTCTGCAGCCGTCAACATGTCTGATGTGCATTTGCTTTTGGCACTTGGCCGGTCCCACGGTGCGGTCGACAAATCGAATCGCTTTATATGCATTTGTACCCATCCCGACCCCACATCTGCCCGGCCGCATAAATAAAGATCCCCTCGTCCTCGTCCTCGTCGGCCACCCCGATAACTCCCCACCCCCACCACCAGCCCCTCTAGAGGACTTTACAGTGGGCCATCTTCCCCACGGGGAAACCTCCTCCTCATCATCCTCATCCTCCTCTGGCCCGGACTTTGAACACCGCCCGCTCGCCCCGGGAAGGGCCTAGACGGAGCTAGCCAACCCCGCGAATCTCATCCGTTACTGAGCAGCCGTTAGCTTCCCGCCGTCCGGTCGTTTGTCATGTCGATCACCAAGTGCTACATATGAAAGTAGTGGCGTTCTCCATGTGAACAGTGAACGAAGCCGGGGCAGATGGGGATACCGGTACATATGTAACTGTGGCACGGACGAGGGGATGTGGCGAATGCGATTCCTCTAGTTATCCTCGGGAGTCGGTACCTATTGCTGTTATCCACTTTCAGACTTTCAGTCCCATTACGGGGACCAATTCCTCAATGGTCACCGTCGGGTATCCAGTGTGCACTCGGCGTCTCACTCCGCATCCGAGTTACCGGTATCTGTCCAGGTACTCTACAGTAGTTACCCACTAGATAAAGCCAGATATGACTTTCGTCAGCAGCGTTGCAGGCAGGCAGCGATTGCACAGTTGCCCACAGTGTGGATCGGCACAGTTCCAGCCGGAGGTGCCGGTGGTTCCCACCGGCCCCCGTTTTTTTCGCGCAAATACTACTCCGCATTCCTCCACACTGGGCCAGGGAGAGTTAGCGCGGGCTTCCCATCAACCGAGGCGAGATATATGAACCGTGCAGCTTTCCCGGCGCATTGGACGCGGCGGTCAACAACTCTTGCTTGATAAAACCTGACAGCTCGCCCACTACTTGCACCTACACGAACGCACGACCAACAGAGAAAGATCAAGAAGGAAAGGAAGAAAAACAGATACAGATACAGATACAATGGCTAAATTAACGGGAGTCGACATAGCGAACCATAACACCAAGGAGTCGTGTTGGGTCATCGTCCACGGAAAGGCTTATGATGTCACCGAATTCCTACCAGAACAGTTTGTCTTCCCCCCGTCCCTTGAGCGTGTGTGCGTGTGAAGGGAGAGATGAGAGAGAGAGAGAGCACTGACAGACGATAAACAGTCCCGGAGGATCCAAAATCATCCTAAAATATGCCGGCAAAGACGCGACCGAAGAATTCGAGCCGATCCACCCTCCAGACACACTCGACAAGTACCTCGACAAGAAGTTCCACCTGGGCAAGGTCGACATGAGCACGGTCAACATTGAGGAGAAGCAGGTGGACCCCGACGAGGCGGCGCGGCAGGAGCGGATTAAGCACATGCCCGCGCTCGAGCAGTGCTACAACTTGTCGGACTTCGAGTACGTGGCGAAACAGGTCATGAAGCGAACCGCGTGGGGCTACTACTCGTCCGGTGCGGACGACGAGATCACAATGCGGGAGAACCGGACTGCGTTCCACAAGATCTGGTTCAGACCAAAGATCTTGATCGACGTGCAGCATGTCGACATGTCGACCACCATGCTGGGCTCCAAGTGCGATATCCCATTCTACATCACTGCCACGGCGCTCGGAAAGCTGGGACATCCCGACGGAGAAACGGTGCTCACCAAGGCCGCCGCGAAGCACGGCATCATTCAGATGATCCCTACACTAGCGTCCTGCTCGTTCGACGAAATCGTCGACGCCGCCGACGGAAAGCAGACGCAGTGGTTCCAGCTGTACGTCAACAAGGACCGCGACATCACCGCGCGCATCGTCAAGCACGCCGAGCAGCGCGGCTGTAAGGGTCTCTTCATCACCGTTGACGCGCCACAGCTCGGACGGAGGGAGAAGGACATGCGTTCCAAGTTCTCGGACGACGGCAGTGACGTGCAGAAGGCCGGCGAGGGCGATTCGATCGATCGGTCGCAGGGTGCCGCCCGCGCCATCTCCTCGTTCATCGACCCGAGCCTGAGCTGGAAGGACATCCCGTTCTTCCAGAAGATCACGAAGATGCCCGTCGTGCTGAAGGGCGTGCAGCGTGTCGACGATGTGATGAAGGCGGTGGAGCACGGCATGCACGCCGTCGTTCTCTCCAACCACGGTGGACGACAACTAGACACGGCGCCCACCGGAATCGAGCTGCTGGCGGAGGTAATGGCCGAGCTGCGCTCGCGGAACTGGCAAGACAAGATCGAGATCTACGTTGACGGAGGAGTTCGACGAGCATCCGACGTGGTCAAGGCGGTGTGTCTCGGAGCGAAGGGTGTCGGTATCGGCCGGCCATTCTTGTACGCCATGAGCTCGTACGGAGAACCCGGTGTCTGCAGAGCCATCCAGCTGCTCAAGGACGAGTTCGAGATGAACATGCGGTTGATCGGCGCCAGGACCGTGGCGGAGTTGACGCCCGATCTGGTGGATACCCGTGGTCTGCAGGTGCACACTGTCACCACTGGCAGCGACGTCCTGAACCAGACTGTGTACTCGCCGTTGACGAACCCGGTGTTCAAGGCGAGGGCGAACCTATAGGTGTGGGTGTTGGCGGGATCGTGTTGATTTATGACTTTTGTTATCGGGGAAGCGTTGGTTGGTTGGCTGGCATGTAGATGATATCCATGAGAAAGTTTGAATGTAGCATGTACCGGTAGCAGTGGGTGGTTACTTGTGTGATAATAGAGCGGGATGCTACTAGTTACGAGATGAGATGAGATGTGCCAGTCTGCGGTGTTTCTAGAAGTATTGGAGAGCGTTCTTTGTTTTCTGGAACGCTGGAAATACATAATTCTTGAATTCTAATTCTACATAACCATGGCGTGGTTCCACGCGCAGTTCCACGCGCAGTTCCACGCGCAGGGACTCGTCCACAGCGCTGCACGTGAAGCTTGGCGAAACGAAGACAGAGTACAGAGATCTCATCTCAGATGAGGATTGTACTGGAGATGCTCGTTTCATAAGTGGGATTATTCGATTGGAATCTGAAGCCCTCCGAGCGAAGTGACTGGCGCTATTTTTCTGGGACTGTATGATGCGCTCACCGCTCTTTCCCTGCGTTCCTTCCCCATAACTAGAGCCGCAGAGCGAGAGGAAATTCCCCTCTGTTTATACTCGATCCATTTCCCCTTCGTTTGCGTGGTGGTAGCTTGCAGCGTTCGGAATGGATCTCTACTACTCTCTGTAGCATCTATGAAATAGTTGACTATGATGCTTCCACAGTTCTGCGTCCCAGAATCTAAAGTGACGGGCCGCACCCGATGAATTGCTGGTGTCTCTTTGCGCAACGCCCCCACCAAAGTAACATCCCCACAGATGCAGAGCAATCTACTTCATTTCTCCGCTCTCATCATGGCTCTTCTCTTCCTGTCAACCTCCTCCCCCTCCATTCTCGTGTTGAAATGTCAGCAGCCTCGTCATCGCATTCCATCACATGTACCCTCATCGGAGTTCGCCGTGATCCCCAGCGGCGACGTCTTAGAAGCCGCCCTAGTTCCGTTCGCTGGTGCGTGTTTCGTAACAAGACAACCACTGGCCGCCAGGCTAACACCTCGTAAACCTACCTCTTCTGGCCCCCACTTCGCCTCTCGCCATCTTAAGAACCCACATACCACCCCGCACTCTTCTGCTTCACTCATCCATCACACGTACGCTCACCGCCGCGACGGAATAAAGAATATACACCCAGACCGCCAGATAGGATATCTACAGACAGAATGGTGCAGCGCAAGTACATCACCTACAACCAGGTTCGTCTCTCCCCCCAGCGGCTGAAATGTGGGACCGCTATGGCTGACACCACGACAGGTCCACAAGCTCTGCCAGGAGTCCGCCCAAAAGATCCTGAATGAGTTCAAGCCCAGCCTCATGATCGCGTTTGGCCCCCTTGCTCCCCCATTCCCTCCTCCAGGCCTGACCGTATTAGCATCGGCGGTGGCGGCTACGTTCCAGCGCGCATCCTGCGCTCGTTCCTGAAGACCAAAGACAGCGCGAACATTCCGATCCAAGCGATCGGGCTGTCGCTGTACGAGAAGCTTTCGACGGGCAACAGCTCCTCATCGGGGCCCGAGGAGAAGGCGGGGCACACGGTGACGCGCACACAGTGGCTGGACTTCAGCGCCGTCAAGAATTCGGACCTGGTCGGACGGAACATCCTCATTGTCGACGAGGTCGACGACACCCGCACTACGCTGCAGTACGCCGTCCAAGAGCTGCAGAAGGATGTCGAGATGGCCGCTGAGAAGATGGGCCGCAAGGGCGAGGAGACCAGGTTCTTCGTCTTTGTGCTGCATGTAGGTTTTTTCTTCACGGGGGAGGTGGGTGGGTATGTGTCGCGGCTGACGTGAGCAGAACAAGAATAAGGACAAGAAGGGTGTGCTCCCCGAGGACATGATGAGGGAGGGCAGGTATTTGGCCGCCGAGACCGTCGGCGACGAGTGGTGCTGCTACCCTTGGGAGGCTACCGACATCGACGAGCACGACCGACTCGCGGCCGAGGCGGAGTCGAAGAAATCCGCGTCAAAGCCGAATGGAAACTAGATGGGCCGAGGACAAAAGTTTTATGTGCTTTCTGGGGAAGGATGATGGACTGCAGGTGGTTCTGATGTCCTTTTGTCGGCTGGAGGGGTGGATACGTACTCTACATGGCATACAATAAAAATAGAACTCTGATCTGATGCCATTGTATATGGCGATTTGATTCTGTGCCCGAGTCCCGAGTTGCTTAGACTAAGTATTCAGGATCCTTGCTATAACGATAGGCCCAGAATCATATTCCCTTTTCGCTGCGGGTGACGATACATCAATGCTATGGAAACAGGTAACTCACCCATATCTGGGGCCGCCGGCCGGCTGGGCTGCCTTCTGATCACTCACAGGACACCTAAAATCGTATTGCAATGATCACCAAGACTTGCGAGCTCCCAACCAGCGAAGGGAGGTCTCCAAGCCAACCACTGGGTTACTCTAACGAGGGTTTCCCGGTCACCCGCCGCCGCAGCGGTGCACGCAGTATCACTCGGTGGATAATTGCACGAAGTCGGAGCAAATTCCGGTCGTGTATCTGCGGTTTCCTGGAGATCGAAAGCGCATACACTTTGGATGTCGAGCTGTTCAGAGTGACATTCAAGGCATGTACTCTCGCTACATACCAGCGAGGAGAAGGAGGAGGCGGAGAATGGCGCGGCGAATGATAGATTGCCGTCGGCCTCGGTCATTGCCGCCAGGGCAGAAGCCTTCAAGCCCTCAAGCCTTGAAGTGGCGGTGACGCTAGCCAGTGTGATTAGGGCTTCGCTACTATGACCTAGAGGCATTCACACCCATCACTCGGAGGATTTCACGAATCACCTCGGCACTTCGGGAGAGACAACACCACCCGATGAATTCTCAGCTTCCTCCTCGACCACCACCCCACCAACAAACCCCAACCACTACCGCTCCCATCCTTCAGGGAATTCCTACCATCTCGACTCCTCGCTCAATATCTCCGCCAACTCAACTTCGACCACCGCTCACTACCTTGTGGAAATTCGTACCATCTTGCCAGCTCACCTTCCGCAACACCATTTCAGCTCATCACGTCCTTTGGAAACACACTCTCATCAATCCTTACACGAATTCCACCACTCCTCGAGCCTTACATACAACATTCGAAATCTCACATAGACCTACAACCTCGCGAAACACTACTTCTGGACAACCTCCCAGCGCCACACATAGGTAACTCGATTTCCGATACTCTCATGCCTCATCGCTGAAGGAACCGACCGAGAAAACTCTCAGTCGCTTCACCGAATCATCGCTCAGCACAGCGCTCCTCGATTCACATTCACAATCCAACTTCCAACCGCAGCACACCACCCACAGCACACCACCCACAACAACACACTCAAAATCATGCTTAAAAAACGGCAGGCCGAAATGCCACTGGGGATGCTCGTGGAGTTCTACACGTGGCTATGTGTTTGGTCCGTGATAGTGCTGTACGCCTTCGTCCTATTCTTCTGGGTGCAGTACGCGCGCCTATTGGACGAGGAGCACGAGCTGCTGTGTCCTTACGAGGTGCTCAAGGCGCACTACCGAGACTGCCGGCTCGAGGTGTTCGCTTACGAGTTGGACGAGAACGCTATGCAGCCGGAGGAGACGGATTACAAGCAGGAGGAGGGTGAAGCGAAGCAGGAGGAGGAGGATGAGAAAGAAGGGGAGAACTTCGCCGAAGGATCCACCACCACGGCTGGAGACGACGAGGGCGGGGGTGAGGGTGAAAGGAGCTTCACGATCACCGGGCACTACAGTCTGTCGAGGTCGGTGGCTAGTCGCTTCAGCATGGCGAGGTCGGCGGCCGCTGAGAGGAACTTCCCGTCTCCTGGGCGCTTCAGCATGTCGAGGTCGGTGGCCAGTCGCTTCAGCATGTCGAGGTACGCGGCCAGTGAGAGGTCTACGGCCACTGAGAGGAATGCCGCAACTGAGACGGATGCGGATAGTCAGAGGACCCAGGTGGAGGCGCTGTTTCACACGCCGCCTTCCGTTCCACGGCAGTTTTCTTAACTGCGTCGAAGGGGATGCATCCAGAGGCCCGGGAGGGAATCGCTGCTTTCAAAAAAAAATCGGATCCAGGTTGCCTTTATTGCGGTTACAGGCAGCAGTGGATGAGAAGGGATGGGGAGGGGATTGTGGGATACGGGGAGTGAAGATTGTTTTTCATGTTTCCGTGTTTCCTTGTTTCCGTTTGTCTAGTGTTTTTCTTTCCGTTCTTTTGTCTGCTAGATTGCGAATACAGGCAGCGACAGACATCTTACATCTTCATCTACAGTTACAGTCTCAGTTACAATTTCATTTCTTCTTATTTCCGGCCGTCAGTTATGTGCTAGTTAACTTGCATGTTATACGTGTAACTTTAACTTCGTCTTCCCCACGGTTCACATAGATATTAAACCTCATCACCACTTCTTCCCCCATCACTCGCACAGAACTGGTGTCTTTAGCCTTACATACCGAGAAGCACAGCGTCGTCCATGATCTATGGCGAATGCCAATCAACTCAATACAGAAACCTAACCCGTTCAACCGTAGTAAAGAGCGTCGAACGCCGTGTCGTGAAAACTCATGAGTAGGTTTACACGAAAACTGGTATCTACTAGATATAGTACCAACTCAGACCGGCAACTCTTCCTCGGACATGGGGACAGAGGCAGAGTGGGGGATCGTAGAAACGTCCCCCTCCCCCCGCCGGTAGGTGACTCCGGCGGTGCTGAAAGAAAGACATCAAAGTCGGGCCGGGAGAAGAGTATGTACTAGATATCTATGCCTAGGCAGTTACCCCACAAGCCACTGGGCTGAGACACTTTGGGGTCTGGCATTTACGAATCACCAACACTTTTACTCATGTAGATAGTGACTGTAGTTATACAGTTCCCTTGGCTATGTGGCCAAACAAGTAACTAACTCCCCTCGACGCCAGGACGTCAGACGTCTATCTACTTGACTATGGGGAATCCCATGGTACATAAGCCGCCAATTGCTCTACCAGTGCTAGTAGTTAGCTAAGGATCCTGGGGTAGAACCTACCTGTGTTACGTCGGCGACAACACTTACCGACCTTCAGATCCCGTACTAAATACCAGACCATCGACTCCTGAAACTCCATGTACTTGGCATTACTTCTCGTCACCACCGATGGCGCTCGGGAGACTTTGGTGGCGTCTTGGGTGTCCTTCCTCCCTCAGTGGACGTTTCGAATCCAACAAGCAGCAGCAGCTCGGTGCGGACTGCACGGCGCACGCCAAAAGAAAAACTGTTGGAAGCGAGGCCGATAACTATCGGGGATTGTTGTGACCGACTGCTGGCGGCCCCGTTGCCCACAGGTCACGTTTCTCGGCGCTGTTCTGGGGGTGGGAGGTTCCAGTTAAGACTCCACGACACTCGGGTGGAACGAGGAGCTTCTGAACCGAAGCCTGATCCTCAGACAGACAAGCATAGGTACCGGTATTCAGCCTTCCGGCGATCGATCATTGGTGGTCAATCCGTGGTTCACTGCTGGGAGCATTTTATTCTCGGATCTCTCCCGCTGGTCGCAGAGCTCTGATCCCATTCCCGCATCCAAAAGATAGGTAGGTAGTTCGTCTACGGTACCGGTACTGCCATGAGAACCTCGATGGATCATAGTTCCGCCCTGCACAGGACCTCGGCCACAATCCGAAATTCCGAATACGGCAGCTAGGTAAGTAAGTGTCGGCTCCAGGCGGCAGGCCCTGGCACTCGCGCCTGTCACTGTCACTCACTGTCACTGTCACTGTCGCTTTCGCTTGATTGCTTTTTTGATACCGTAGCCGTCCTCTGCCGCTGAGCCCATGACCCCGTAAGAAGGGGGAAGTCGCTTTGGACAGTGGTATCCAGTATGGTGCCGCCTGTGTACTGTTCAAAACGGCTGTAACTACGGCCAAGCACTCCATGCAACTTCGAGGCGCCACCGAACCGAACCGAACAATAACCATCTAACTACATAGACCGGAGCATAAACTGCCCGAAACCCACCAGCACAGTCCTACCTTCTACGGGTATGTACCGAAGACACGGTGGCGGAACGTGACGTGCGATCAGTTACCAAGGTACATACACAGGACCTAGAAACGGCCCTGATTTTTTCTGTGGCTCGGAGATGTGGTCCAGAAAGGGTTGAGTCAAGCCCGGCACCCACAGTCACAGAAAGCTGGTCGGAAGCTGGATCCTCATGATCTTTATCTTCCCAGCCCAGGATTCGATGGATGGATGGACGGGCGGCCAGCGATTTGCGGTGCATGCTTGGTAGCGGTATGCATCATTGCACCGTTGCACCGCCAGATGGCATGATACGATGATGATGCCGTCCCCATTAGTATTTGGAAATTGGAACTCGTAGGACAAATCCTACCGAGATGTGATACGTACAGTATAGGACATGGGAATGACTGATCACCCATGAAAGTTTCAGATACAGAGCGGCCTCGGCCTAACTTGCTCAGATTATAGCTACTACATACATATGTCTATATGCCAGAAACCCACCACGTCCTCCCACCATCCCTCCCTCCATCCATCCTGCCCGGTTCCCCGGCAGAATGCGTAGAACACCGGCTGGAAGACTAGGTTCGAAACCTGGGGAAAATCCGAATCGGAGGGTCGGTTGGTGCTATGATCCAAGACATGGAGTAGAGTAGGTAGGAGGTAGGCCTAGGTAAAGGTTGGAAGGTTTCTGATGATGGGAGTGTAGGGGCGGGGGAGTAGATTTATGTAAGTAAGTACTCACTCTGGTTAGTTACTACTGCCTCGAACCCCCAAAGGCGAATAGGCAAATACAGTACCAAGTATTTACTTACATGCTAAACTATAGCTAGCCAGTGGATGAAGTGACAAACTTGCAGTACCGTATGTAGGTACGTCTTACTGCTACTACCGTACCTGCGGCCCCGCCGAATCGTTCTCCAGGGTGTGCCGCCGCCGCCGCCACAGCTTGATTGCTTATTGGTTTTAACGGTGTGAGAGAGCGCCCAGGTTGCACGACGTCGTCGCCTCAAATGTCCATCGGTATGTCGGCGTTTGTTGATCTGCGGAGTCGCTCGTTCCTGCAGCTCGCAAACCCGCCGTATAAATGTTGATTTAAATCCATACTCTGGATGGATGGATGGATATAGGTAGTTTCCACCCATGACTCTTTCCTTTCCGCTGGGAAAAGAATCTCGCATGTAGCCCGGCCAGTCGTTAACCACAGTTCGCAGCGTCATTCTCGCAACTTTGGAATCCCCCCGTCCCCCCGTACATAACCTTCTGGCCTGGCCCGGCCTGGCGTGGATAATCCTCTATGATGCATCATCCACCGGCACTCTACGCACGAACGGCCACAGCCGCAGCATCGGCAACAGCAGCCGCAGCATCAACGGGAAACTCCACCACGATCCTCCAAGGCACCGACTTCGACATCAGTGACATCAGCGCGAACAATGGCGACCGCCCACAGGACTCGTACGGGCCGACACTGTACGCCGTCACTGTCTCGCTGATGGTGGTTTCCGGCCTCGTCGTTGCCGGAAGGGTTTACTGCAGAGCGTCCATGCTGGGTTATATCGGGAAGGATGATTATTGTATTGTTTTGGCCAGTGTAAGTGACGTTCGTCGGGGAGGAGGGGCCTGGGGGGGATGGGAGCCTGGTGGTTGGGGGCTAATGGAAAAGAGAATAGGCACTGGCTGTGGCTATTGCGGTGCCAATGGTGTTGTCGGTTCATGATGGGTTTGGCGCGCATATATGGAATATTAACTCTTTGATGCTGGGGAAAATCCTGATGGTATGTACCTAGGACCATTCGGACTTTTCCAACCAGCCAGCCAGCCACAAAGTACGGTCGTTATTGACACGCATTGTATCCAGCTCTCAGTCGTGATCCAGATCCTCTACATCCTCGCCATCGGCGCAGTCAAGCTCAGCCTGCTCTTCCAGCTGCTGCGCATCTGTTCGCCGCTCTCGCGGATGCGCACCACCATGTACCTGATCTTCACGCTCAGCATCGCCTTAACTTTGGCCAACTTCTTCGTGACTGTATTCCAATGCGTCCCGCTATCGTACACCTGGGACCGCGTGGACCCTTTGAAAGCCGCCAGTTCCAAGGGAAGGTGTCTCGAGTACGCCACGCTGCAGTACACCGTGAGCGCAACTAACATCCTCATGGACGTGATCGTGTGGATTGCCCCCATGCACCTGGTGTATATGCTGCAGCTGCCGCGCGCGCAGAAGTGGGGGCTTGTGGGTGTGTTCTCGCTGGGTGCTGTGTGAGTGCCGTCCCCCAAATCTTCCCGGAAACGTTTTTTTTGAAGCTGATATCGCTGGCCAGAGTCATTGTTGCGGCGAGTGCAAGGCTAGCCGCGGTCTTTGCCGTCGCGAATTCCAGAGATGCCAAAATCGACGCCACCTGTCCGTCCCTTCCCGTCCCTTCCCGTCCCCCATCCCGCCCCGCCGCCCCGCTAACACTCCATCCCCTACACAGACCACACCGCCATCCCCGCCATCTGGCTAATGGTCGAAGTCAACACGGCCATAATCTGCAGCTCTTTACCACCATTACGGCCTCTGATAAGGCGGACGTTCCCACGGCTGCTCGGCGGCAGCAGCAGCACGCACACCGGACGTCCCTCGCGCTCCCGTTCGCACAGCCACAGCCACACGATTCCGCTCGGAAAGCTGCCGTGCGTCCGCGAGCACCACCACCGCGAGAGCACGTCGTCGTATACGGAGCAGTTTGCCGCCGAGGGGGGGGTGTATGGCAGTGGGCATGCAGGGGGGGCGGTGAGGATCGATATTGAGGGAGGGGTTTGTGGGGATGGGGGGAGGGAGTGTAGGCAGGGCGGGATCTTTAAGACTACGGAGGTTTGTATAAAGGTTGAGAACGGTAGAGGCGGGGAGACGACGGTCAGAAGGGGTGTGTAAGATCGTACTGTCTTTGATCTCTCTTGGTCTTTGTCTGTGTCTTGGTCTGGGCTTGGGGCTAGATGGCGTTTGTACTCTATATATCGATACGGTGATACCTGCCTAGATTATCTTTCGGGTTTTGGTTCCGAGGGACGATGACGGCGCTCGAAACAGCACCAGTCTTGCACTTGTCAGCTGCTCTTGCTGGGAAGCAGTTGCTTGGGATAAATCCAGAATCCAGATAGCTATCATAGTTATCGTATTGGATTTAAGCCCCAAGGACCAATCCCCGAGCGGGGCGAACTATGTACTCGGATGGAAAAGGAAAGGTAATATACAACGGGGCTATGTACGCAGGTCTGTTGCACAGCGTGTCACTTGTGGTTCTCGGGCAGTCCGGGGGGTTCTTGTTGTGGATTATAGTAGATCTTAGACTATAATGTGGATAGGATTTGAAAAAGAAAAGAAAAAATAGTGCACGCTCGTCACAACTTCCTCAGGTTTAAGCACGAGATATACTCCAGGTCCCTAGTCGAACGGATAAACCGGTGGACTGGAATCATCAGAGAATCATCTGATATTTATCTAGAGGGATAGGTAGTTGGGATGAGATCCCTCCCGCGACGACGAGAACTATCCTCGGTGGCTATTTTATACACTGAAGACTAGGTATGGCAATATCCACACATACGACGGCGGAGGCCCTCTAGTCCTATGTAATCTGTGGGAAGATCTAATCAGTATCGCTACTCGGTGAGATTCAATAGCCCTGCGAGGACGTTACTAGACCTTCTTTCGCCATCTCTCGCCATCTGCCATTGAGTCTTGCAAACCTCAGATGCCTATTGAAGCTTATCCTCAAGCCTGAGGGCGCCAATAAAACCCCCACGCCCACTCACTTCTCTTCTTCTCTTCTATTCATCACACATCCCACGCTCAAACGACTCTGAAAGCCAACTTGAACACCAAATTGGAACATCAAATATTCACGAGCCTACATACCATCTGAAGTAAGTAGGTACTTATGTAGATCCGTCTTATCACAACAAATGCTAACTCGAATACCTACCAGAGATGCCTAGCAACAGATACAACCTCCGCAAGCGGACCACCAAGCCCTCTGCCGCCGCCACGCCGCCCCGCCGCAAGGCCAGCAAGGTTCATAACTAAAGTACCAGGTCAAAAGTTATCGCCACTCGCCCCTACGAGACCACCACACCACACATGTAGACCTCTCGAACACCACAACCACACAATAGAAAGTAATACAAACTTGCATACAGGATGATTAGATACATATCCAGCTTCGACAAAATTTTCAGCCAAAGAAATCAAATTTTTTTGCGAAGTTATGCGGCTAACCCAAATCCCATTATCTCAAGGCTATCCATTTTCAACCACAGATTCTGCGTCCCAAACACACTGTAAAAAATATTGGGCAATTGGAAGTCCTTGCTAACCGGGTAGGAAATCTTATAATAAACTGGCTCGCAAATATAAGCAGCTGTGATTCAGCAATGCGGCCCAGGAGAAAAGTTTGTGGTTTTCGCTGGTTGTGCAACTTTTTGTATGGGAGCCCCATACAAAATGCGAAATCACTGTTCAAGTCATGTACAAACCACCACTAAAAACCATCAGTCTTGACTAAAAGCGGTCAACTTTTTTATATATGAGAGGTTTTATGATTCTACGGCGTCTGTGAAAGACACAATATTTTTCCGTCAGACGAAAGATGAGTTTTAGTGGTTTGAAAATGGCCGTTTTTGGTGTAAAACGGCCCCCTGGCGATAACTTTTGACCTAGTACTTTAAGTAGGCTCCGAGCTCCCACCTATCACACAGCATGCCAAGACTGCGCTTGCAGACCTCCAAGGCCGCCGCCGCCAGCAGGATCTCCAAGACCGCCGCCACCAAGCCGACCAACATCTACTACGCCGTCAAGCCCAGCACGATGGCGTTGAGGGCGGCGAGTGGCCCGATGATATGGACTTTGAGGAGATCCGCGGGGAGGGGGAGGGACTGGATGAGGAGGGACAGGAGGAGGTGGAGCGCCAGGCGGAGGCACAGCTGGAGAAGGAGCAGCGGGAGAAGGACAAGGATGAGAAAGCGGAGGAAGAGCAGGAGGAACAGGCGGGAAACAGCAGCCGCCTCAGCTGTCTCGTTATGTAGAAAAAAACAGTTTGGTTACTTTCTTTTTCCATCTTCAGATCTTCTTTCCTTTTTGCTTCTCGCGACGCACGCATCCGAAGCGTCTGCACCGTGTGGTTGAATTGATTTATTAGTATTGACTAAACAGTCCGTCTCGATAATCCGAACCACCGGCCAGAGGAGCGACGCCGAGCTTGCTCGGGTCTTCGACGAGTTAGCATTTCCGATGTCCTCGGAGGAAAACAGATAGGAGCGGGCTAGGAAGGAAGACGGTGAAAATAAAAGATGAAAAGTAAATGGGTTATGTATGACCCTCACGCCTGCCCCTCCCTCAGCGGGTGTTTTATACACTGATCGGGCTTCATCTATCGTAGGATAATCCACTAATTCCTGCTGGGGGAGGAGATGTTTACTCTGTCACGATGGCCCCCTACGGTAGTCCTGTGCAATCTGTGAAAGATCCGACCAGAAATCTACAAAACCCCCACACCCACGCCCACCCACTTCTCTTCTCTTCTCTTCTTCTCTTCTTCTCTGTGGGAACTAGTAAGTTCCTGTGAGTAGCCCACTAGCCGGTCGGCGGACTGGTGGTGGGTGCTAGCGACATTTGGTGGGTAGCTAGTCGAAGCTCTGTATACTATTTCTTTCTCTCTTCCTCCCTCTCTCGTAGTTGTAGCTCCTAGACAAGAACACAACACTTCTCCCCATCTCGATCGTTCCAGTGATCTCCATCATCGATCCCTCTAACGCCTCTGTACTGGATTCGCTGCTTCATCATACACATCCCACGCTCAAACGACTCTCAACGCCAACTTGAACGCCAAATTTGAGTATCGAACTATTTCTCGAGTCCACCAACAATCGCAAGTAAGTACTACCTAGGTATGTCCGTCCTATCACACAAACTCACTCGCAAATTATGAATGCTAACTCAGATAGTTACCTAACTACCAGCGATCTCTGGTTACAAGCACAACTAAAACCTGCACCCATGCCCGCTGGAAGTGGCCGCGGCAGCGGCAGCGACGGCATCTCCAAGACCGCCGCCTGAAAGATGGCCTACCTACATCTACATCATCAAGCCAAGCACGATGGCGCGCCTCGCGGCGATGGAGTTCTCCGTGCCCGCTGACGTTGAGGGCAGTTAGTGCCCTGAGGAGATGGATTTGCAGGAGATTGGCGGGTGGAGGATATCGGCGGGGAGGGGGGTGAGGGGGGAGGTGCAGGAGGAGGTGCGCCACGAGGAAGTGCAGCACCAGGCGGAGGTGCAGGAGGAGGAGGAGGTGCGCCAGGAGGCGGAGCATGAGAAGAAGCTGGAGCAGCAGCTACCAAAGCAGCATCTGGAGAAAGGAACAGCAGAAGGAGGAGGAGAAGGAAGCGAAAGAAGAGGAGGAGGAGGAACAGGCGGGAAACAGCAGCCGCCTCAGCTGCATTGTTATGTAGAAAAAAAAACAGTTTTAGCAGTAACCACCGTTTGGGGCGGGTTTACTTTTAGTAAATCCTCCTCCCAATGGTGGTTACTTCTTATTTACTTCGGATTTTAACTATCCCCCAAGGACCCCTCTATCCTCAAAGGACCCCACACAAAAATTTTATATGGTGCCTGCGGTTTTGGAGGCCCATCTTTTTGCGGTGCCTAGTTCAATCCAGCTAGAAGCCGGCAGCAGATTTGAAACCCATGGTGTGGAAAAGTCACAGGTTATGGTTGAGAAGTAAAATTTTGGTGACGAGTCAATCCATCTTAATGACAAGTCACTAAGTACCTAGTTGGGATAGGTAACTACAGTGGCAAAAAGTGGGGTGCAACTCCTTCCGCAGGCCATGAGTAGAATCACCGTATAGGTAGAAACCTAGCAATTTTCCGAAAATACAGATGTATTTTGAAATTTCTTTCTTCTCATAGTCCCAACTCTACGGTATCGAAAATCTTTACGTAGGGTTGTAAAGATATGCATACCAAAAAGTGGGAAGAACCACTGCAGTTCTTCTAGACTCAAAATCTTACGTGGTGTCGGGAATACTAGAGACATACCAGAAAACTACCTTGTATGCACAACAACGTGGGCAGTGCAGAGAGCACCGTTGTCATGTCAACCAAATGGTCCCTGGACTGTAGTAAAACTACAGCTACAAGAGATCTACGGAAGAAATGCGTAGAAACCCTCTGGCTTCAAAAAAATACGTACTGTGGGTAAGACGTGTTGTACGCAAGCAAAAATGTGCGACATTCTGGCAGTTTTCAGGTATTACTACTACTACTACTACTACTACTACTACTACTACTACTACTACTACTACTACTACTACTACTACTACTACTACTACTACTACTACTACTACTACTACTACTACTACTACTACTACTACTACTACTACTAATACTAATACTAATACTAATACTACTGCTACTGCTACTTCTGATTACTGTAGGCGGCCCATGCTTCTAATCGAAGCACCTGCCAATTGACCTGGATAGCGCGCTGGTCTCGCCGCAGATGGCACACTGTCGTCGCCGCAAATAACCCGCTGGCATTGCTGTTGTGGCGGAGTGATGGAGGAGCTGTTGGGAAGAGAAAGAGCTATCAGCGAGGGGAAGAGGAGTGGTCAGCGAGGGGGGGGGGGATTGTCCGTCTATTCTGTAGAAGATGGTCAAGAAAGAAGGAGAAGAAGAAGAAGAAGAATAAACGCCGCGAGACCCAGCTTAAGTAGCCTCCTCCACACTCCCATGCCCGCCATGCCCGCCATGCCCGCCATGCCCGCCAACGTTGAAGACCACTAACCAAATTCGTTTTCACCCGCCGACAGACACAGTGTCTCCCAACTCTAGTTCTATGGTTCACACGCGGCCAGGGAGGCAGTACTTGCATCGCCCAGGAACCCCCTCCCACTCGGTGACTAGAGTCATTCCTGCTCAGTGACGAGTCATTCCCCCATCCTGTCTGAGGTATACCTAGCCCAGGACGAACTAGACGGACGATTCCCAGGCCTGCCTCTCGCTGGCAGCTCTCCCATAGCTCTGCAAATCCGATGTTCTACTGCATACCAAACCCCATGATACTCCAGAAGATCGTAGTGTACGGATCCCAAGGAACTGGTGAATACCGGTTTCTGCAAGTAAGGAAGTCTTTCAGTAGTGATATCGCAGACATCTGGTGAATATCACGTAGTACCATCAAAGTTAACCCAATACGAAGTTTTATTTACCATATGGTTCTAGAACTATTTAGGTTTTATATTGACGTATTGTACAGCAGGTGTACTGCAACACTGAATAACTCTCGTGGTCTGTAGCAGACGTATTATTTTTTGATACGTAGTGTGGGAAAGATGGTAGGCCTTTTTTCTATGTGGAAATACGTGCTGTCAGGTTCTTTTTAAAAAGTAAAAATACGGGTTAAGTAAAAACCTGGTAGTTCTTTGGTATTGTGATAACCCTGCTATTTTTCAGGTAGTAATCGCACCCCACTTTTTGCTACTGTATCACTCGATCGTATGTTGGTATGTATGATATCGTACACTGGCGGCTAACTATTGGCTCCGACCTGCCGCTGCCGCCGTTCGACAGCTGCCGATGGAGGGGATGGACATCAGAAACGCCGTAGTCCGTAGGTAGTCCATAGGTAGTCCGTGTTTGGCGGAGCCGGAGCCGGAAGTCATCCATCTCCAAGTTTCCGCCCCGGCGGATCTGCGCTAAAGGCTACGCCTAAGTGTATACCTACTAGGTAGGTGGATTGGAAGGCTTGTGAAGATGGTTTCCCACTGGCTATATTATACCGGAAAGCAAGACTTGTACTTCTGTTGGCTGTTCAAGAAAAGGTGCACTCGTATCACATATATCTGCCGGTATTTCCTAGGTATCTGATTGTACAACTTTCAAAGCTGGAGCTTGGAGCTTTGTGGGTAAGAATGGTGATCTGGAAGAATGTGCTTGGGGGAATACTTGACGTAAGTAGCCATGTTGAATAGAAATACCGTAGCTTCATTTCATCAAAACACCGAACACGACCGCATACCCAAGCCAAAAACAAACCCACTCGTTGGCGCTTCAACAGAATGTAAATCATCAAGAAAACTCGTCACCAGATCCCCCAATACCTATCCAGAAAAAACGGGAGGTAGGTACGATAATAATAAAAACCAATAATACTCCGCAACACCGAAAATCACACGCAAAACTTCACATTACAGCCCCCTACCCGCAGCGGGTACTCTCGCCGGCTGCGGAGTAACCGGCGTCGCCAGACCCAGACCCAGACCCAATCCCAAGCCCAACCCGAGTCCCTGCGGCTTCGCGGCGGTCTTCGCGCGTTCCCTGGGATTCGGCGCGCCGCTGCGGTCCTCAACGACGGCGTCCTCGATGCTAATAGTCGAGTCGCGACTCCTGCGCCGCTTCCCGCTGCCGCCGCGGAACGCAACCGGACTCCCCAGCTTCCTCCGCTTCAGCATTGGCATAGACTTTGACGTTTCGCCTTCCAATACCCGGCTTGCCAGCAGCCCCAGCGCCTTCAACCCTTCACCCCCGCCGCCGTCACCAAGTCTTCTCCGAAGCTCCGTGTTCTCGGCCACACAGTCGGCTAGGCGCCGCTTGGTCCGGCGCAGTCGCCGCTTGTAAATGTCCACCTCCGGATCGGGCGTGGATACTGGCTGCTGCACCTGCACCTGCTGCTGCTGCTGCCGGAGGACGGAGACCTGCGCGGCGGAGATGTCAGCTTCCACCTGGTGGCGGGCGCGGAGCTCGGATGTGTCGAGAAGGAGTAGGGAGTGTGCTAGACGCTGGTGGGCGGAGGTGCTGCGCAGGTGCGAGATGAGATTTTGCGCTTGAGAGAGCGCTGTGCGGAGGGTGGATGAGGAGGCGGTGGAGAGGGCGCTCGGGCTGAGGGGGGTGAATTCTGGTACCGTGGGTGCGGGCGGTGGTGGCGGCGAGAGAGGTGTGTGCGGTGCTGTGAAGGAGGATGTGGCAGAGGTGAAGGCTGCGGAGGGGGAGGGTCCTGAGGGTGTGCGCGGCGCTGTGAAGGAGGATGTGGATGGTGGGGTTGGCGTGCGCGGGAGGAGGTGCGCAGAAGTGGAGGTGGAGGGGGCGTGTGGTGTTGCTTTTGCTCGCGAGATCATCATGGTGGCGGCGGTGGTGGGGAGAGGAAGCTGGTGAGCGCACATGCTGCTGTCGCCGGCGAAGAGGCGATGACGCAAGGAAGTGAGATAAGACGGGCGGGGATCTCGGATCTCGTGTGCAGCGCAACGCCGGGTATCCGCCGGTTCGCTCGGGAGGGCGAGTAGACTGAATGAGAAGTGGCGACGGCGAGGGCGACTCGGGGGGGTTTGTAAATGATCCGCCGGAACCGGAGGTGCGGTCGGGTGGGGTGGGGGTGGGAGAGAATGTAAACAAGCTTGCGATGGGAGGTCGTCATGGAAACCGAACGGCTGCGCTTGCAGCTTTCGCGCACGTGACACATGTTTAGTTAGGCGAGCCACGCAACCCAAAGTTCGATTACGATTTCAGGGGGGACCAAAAACGGCAAGAGAAGGTCAAAGCGTCAGGGGCTAAGTCTGCAAAAGCTCTTGCGACGAGCCGTCGACACTTGCGGGCTGGCGGGGAGCCACTGCGATTCCGGTTCTGGGAGTGGTTATACCGCTTCGGATCGTGAGAATAAACGCATGGGACACGGGAGCTCGAGTCCCCCGAAACGGGTCTCTGATGGCCGGAAGAGGAAATTCCGGGCTTCGGCACCCGAGCATTAGTTACGATGAAGGTAGGGCATCTTGATTGCGCTGCGGATGCACGAAAATCCTTCGTCAGCTCTTTCCGGGTGCACGATGCGGCCGAGACTCGAGAGTGAGCCCGTTTTCGCACTTCCGCAAAAGCTGCACATCTGCGTAGCAGTAAGGCCAGGGCACCACGACATCCGGGCCGAACACAAGCATTGACCGCCGTGCAGCTCGTGATGATTCCGTTCTGCCCAGTCGAAGGTTGTTCGGGCATCAGCAAGGCTTCTGTTCCTTCTCGCCACCAACGTTGTCCTCAATGAGATGGTAAACGAGGGTTCTGGAGTGTCGCCGGGCCAGCTTCTATTCGTGCAAAAATCATCCGATACGTAGTTGGGACCAGCGGTGTAGGACAACGGAGTGCTCTTCTCGCATGTCTTTTCCCGTGCGGATAGGGGCCTCGAGTACTATAGCAACAGTCATTGCTTGCGGTTGAGTTCCCGGTGAAGACAGCAAGATCTGGCAATGCAAGCCCCAACGGTCCCGCAGACTGTCAACTCGACACAAGTGCAGCCGCCAGCGACTGCCCTAGCAGTGGAAAGCCAATCGTCGACATGCGCCCGGCGGGGGACGGCACCACAGCCCATCGGTATGTGCGATTGGATGCCTTTACTGCTGAGGCGGGGTGTGGCGACGCGGGGGAGGATGTTTCGTCTCGGCATCTGGCGCATCGGGGGGCGATTCATACTGGCGAACTGAAAGATGTTGGTGGAACAATGGCCGGCGTGAAGAACCCAGACGCGGATGCTCAGGGAATGAGTGGTTGCAGCTTCATTCAACTATTCCGTCAGAGAAGTCCATCGATCTGAATGGCATTCCCGCCAAGCGGCCGGCCCCCTGCAACCAGTTCATCTTGCCTCCTATATATTAATCCCGATTATTCATTTATTCTGATATTTATTACTCTTCTGCACTCCGGCCTTCGCTTCTCTGTGTTGCCTGTCCCTGTTCCCTGCCCTGCATATAAACTTCCGCATCCGCATCCGTTCCTTCAGCAACTTGTTCGTGCATCCGCGGCGAAAGGGAGACAGTCAAGCTTGCCAGAAGGATTCCCAACGATCCCATTTCACTTACCAAGCTCGCCAGATACACGCTCGATATGGACGACTCGGAGAATATGCCGCCGCCGCCGATGGAGCGGCAACAATCTGCTCCTCCGAGGGTCAGGACTTCCAGATTGCCCATTCCTCGAAAGGTGTCGGGCACGCTCTCCAACCAGACAGCCAACTCCCTTCGTTCCCAATCGTCGCGAGAGTCGGTTGGTAGCTCCGTTCAGTCTGCCAGAACAAACCCAACATTAACCACGAGAGCCTCGTTTTCGCGGCTTCCGAACGTCTCTGATCAAGGGGGTATGTACGCCCGTGCACTACTTTTCGATTCTTGCTCCTTTCTTTTTCCAGCGGTGGAGTCGCGCCTGATTGAATGAATACATTACTTTGACAGGCAGCTTTGACTCCCGCATGGCTAACCAGAGCTTCCATTGCTGCTTTTAGATCGGAACTTCACTGATGCCACAGCCTCGTCAGCAGCGAAAGCAATGCCTCGGAAGATGGCCTCGAATACCTCTTTGAACGGAAACGGAACGAATGGGCCGACACCAACACCACCACCAACCAACACCCTCAAGGGGAAAGTGTCGTCTACAAGCCTCCAAGCAAGGCCTGCCGGCATCAACACGTCGATCGCCCGGAAGGCGTCGGGCTCTCTCGCCAGCACTCCCACGCAATCTCCACAGCTACAGGCTCCCCGAATTTCCCTGACACCGAAGGGAAGACGGACCTCAGACATCAATGGCGCCGCAGCACCTCCATTGAACCGAAGGCCCTCAAACACGCAGCTCAAGCAGCCGGCAACAGTGTCCAAGAGGCAATCGATGTCCCAGCTCACGAGCAAGAATCTAGCAACCCTTGGTGCGTCTAATGATGCCAGTCCTACTCCGCTCCGGCGACAGCCGGTCGTCGGATTCACCGCGCCTCGCACTCCCACAGCTACGAGAACAGTAAAGCCGCCGCAAACGGGTCCGCGACAACTCCGTGCGCCAAAGGCCTCAGGGTCTGCTGACGCGGCGAAGAAAATTGATCCCAAGAAGACATCGCAGTCATTACGGGACACCATTCGCCAGGCCCGCATGGCCAAGCAGGTTGTTCCCAACGGGGACGCGAGCAATGGCCTTGACGGCTTCGATTTTGGCACTGCCGACCCATTTGGCCAGTCCATCTTTGGGGAGGGCGGTTCTACCAAGGTGTTGCAGCAGCGCATCAAGTCCGCCCGCGTTGAAGGACGACTCAATATATCCAACATGCAGCTAAAGGAGATTCCGGTGGAGGTGTACAAAATGTACGAGACTACTGAGGATGACCTCGCGGACACGGACGACGACGGGCCAAAGTGGTACGAGAACGTTGATTTGGCCAAGATGATTGGCGCCGACAATGAGATCACAGAGATCAGTGAGGAATTGGCGATGCAGTTTGCGGGCTTGTCTGTGATCGATGTATGTACTAAGGTCTAATTCTCGAGCATCACTAACGGAGACTCAGTTGCATAATAACCTCTTGACGACGATGCCAGCAAACCTTGCGCAACTGACAGAACTGACGGTGCTTAATTTGGTGGGTTGCTACTGGACAGGCTTGATGTGTGTATCTACGGTCGCTGACATAATTTCAGGCTGGTAACAACCTCGGAAACGAGGCTCTCGATATCATTTTCCAGATCTCGGCACTAAAGGACTTGAAGCTGTCCAAAAACAGCCTGGAGGGGGAGTTGGATGCTTCGGTGTCTGGACTCATGGCGCTTGAAAGTATGGAATTGCATGACAACAAACTCACAGCACTTCCCTCGTCGATTGGGCGATGCTCACACCTACGAGTACTCAACATTGCCAGGAATGCGATCGCAGAGCTCCCGATGGAAGAGCTCCAGCACTGTCCTTTGACCGAACTGGACGTGTCACAGAACAAGCTGAGCGATGTATTCTTCCCTACTTCCGTAGAGCGATGGGACTCGATCCAATCGCTCAACGTGGGTTCGAATCATATCACTTCGATTGCGATATCTTCCATCTCACTTCCGGCGTTGACCCAGCTGTTTGCATCAAATAATCAGCTCAGCGCATTCCCCACGCTCAGTGGCTGCGCAGAGCTGTTGGTTCTCATTATCGACCAGAACCGGATCACGACGTTGCCTGACGACCTTTACAATCTTCGGCGGCTGCGAACCTTGGACTTCTCTGGCAATAACGTCAAGGCCATTGATCCCCGTCTGGGCGCAATGGAGAGCCTTGAGGTTATTAACTTTGCCGGTAACCCACTCTCCGATCGTAAGCTGGCGGGCATGTGCCCTGCCGACCTCAAGAAGACGCTCCGTGGCCGACTGGCGCCGCCGGAGATCGTTATCGCGGAAGCGGATGACGACCACGGCTTCCCCGGCATGGGATCTGGTATGGACGGCGAACAGGAGCGCCGGGGCTCTCAGTCGGAGGCGCTCGAGATCGGCCGCGGCGGTGTGCTCGATCTTACGAACAAGGGTCTGTCAGAGCTCTCGGAGGAGCTCATCGACAACATTATGGGCTCGCCATACACGATCCTGCTGACGGCCAACTCTTTCAACGCGATTCCCACCGTCTTGGATCAGTTTGCGTCCCTGACCGTGCTTGACCTCTCCAAGAACCGGCTCTCGACGACGTACCTCTCGCAGAAGCTCGTCCTGCGCTCACTCGAAACGCTGAACCTACACAGCGCGGGGATCCAATCCCTCGAACTCCTCTTCCAGAATCTGGACTCGCCCAAGCTGCAGACGCTCGACGTATCCGCCAACCGCATCAGCTCGATCGAGGGGCTCCGGGGGGCGTTCCCGGCGCTGTACAACTTCCACGCGGCGGACAACCAGATCTCGGAGATCCCGATCGCGAGCGTCGACGGGATCCGATCGCTGGACCTCACGGGCAACTCGATTCACAGCCTGCCGCCGAGGCTGGCGCTGTGCGAAGGGCTCCGCGAACTCCGCGTCCAGGGAAACCTCTTCAAGGTGCCCCGTTGGCAGGTGCTCGAGAAGGGTACGGATTCGGTCCTGGCATGGTTGAGGGATCGCCTGCCGGTGGAAAATGGCGATGACGATGACGATGACGAGCAGGACTGACTAGATGAAGTGAACGACGACGAAGATGCTGTGGCTGCTACTGTTGCTGTTGTTCCGGCTGCTGCTGCTGCTGGTGTTGTTGCTGTGGGTGGTAATGTGTCATCTGTTTACTATGCGGAAAATAATAATGGCGGCGTGCTAAGTTTTGCTGTTTCGGATTCGGATTCAGCCTCCTCCTCCTCGGGCTTGAGGGGGCAGACAGTTAGACTATTTTTCATTTTTTTCGTTCTAGGCGGTGTATTATATTATTCTTAGTCTGTTGTAATGATTTTGGTTTGGAGAGAGAAGATGGAGATGGAGGAGGAGGAGGTGCAAGATGTATTGTGCATGTATGATATGATACATACCTCATAGCTGTACCGTACTCTACTGATGAAGGCGATACATTAATGTTGTTTTGGAATTAGTGCGATTGGGGATGTTTCTTCAGGTTATTACTAGGTTATAGAAGGCTGCTGCTGCCATTATTGCGAGAGAGAGAGAGATATAGAGACTGTGGGCTTGTAATTTTTCGATGGCCGAATCCGTGTCGAAAGATGGTGATGAGTATTGGATGCCCGTCTCACTGATCATCATATGGCCCGAGCGCCCATCAGGCAAGGTTCTATCAGCGCTTGAATACCCTTGTAGATAGCTTGGCTAGCTAATTTAGCCCCATGCCAGCCCAGCCTACATTAACAGCGCCGCCGCCCACCAACGCAACTACGAAAGTCGCGTTTCCCCACCATCATCAATCACTACAGCCACCGTCCACCGTCCATCACCCATCACCACCGACGCCGAGTGTTCCGCCGAGCATTTTGCTTCCCAAACCCACACACAACTACGAACTTCACGATGTCGGATCGCGATATTACAAGCTGTGCCTACTCCCCCCTCCTTCCCTTCCGCACTTTCTCCACAGCAATAACAGAAACTAACAACCATGCGCCGCAAAGCCGACGACCTCTCGCTGCCCAAAGGTGTGCACCCTACCTCTCCCGTCACCCGCCCCGTCCCCGCCCCCACCCAGCTAACACACCCGCCTATTCCTAGCCACCGTGCAAAAGATCATCGGCGAGATCCTCGCGTCAGACGTCGCGTTCGCTAAGGACGCACGCGACCTCCTAATCGACTGCTGCGTCGAGTTCATCACGCTGATCTCGTCGGAGGCGAACGACATTGCGGAGCGCGAGGCGAAGAAGACGATCGCGTCGGAGCACGTGATCCGCGCGCTCAAGGACCTGGGCTTCGAGGAGTATGTCGACCAGATCGATGAGGTCGCGAGAGAACATAAGGAACACCAGAAGGTATGTGATCGGAGAGGGGGGAGGGGGGGCGGATGGGGTGAAAGTGGCTGATCGGCAGTTGCGACAGAGCCGCGAAAAGAAGCAGACGAAGCTGGAGCAGAGCGGGCTTACCCAGGAGGAGCTGCTGAGGCAGCAGGAGGAGCTGTTCGGTAATGCCAGGGCAAAGTTTAATCAGCAGGGCGTGCCAGAGGCGTGACTTGGTTATCTGCCTAGGCCGGAGCCCAGCTGTTGGAAACTACTGTGCTTGTATGATCTGATAGCGATGGGAGGGTGTGCGGGGTAGTCAACTTCTTCGCTCTCTCTGTTTTATTTTTCTCTGCGCGGCTGCGGCTGCGCACTGGGTCTTTTGTTTAGTTTTTGCGGTATATGTAGTTGGTTACTTGTTGGGGCTTGCGTTATCTTCTGAAGCCTCACTCTACCGGCGTGATGTGTGATGGCAGCTTACGATTGGGCGATTGGGAGTTTCTGTTTTGAGTTGGTTGGTTGTTTTTCCGTCTTCTGCTGTTACTTTGTACTGGGATCGGTGGGTAGTTGTTCTTCTGTATCATTACTCCGTTATTCACCGCTTGCGTGGGTAGGCTCATGTCTTGGGTGATATGGGAATTTATCCTTTCTCTTGTGACAAGAGAGAGAAGATTGGACAGTGAGAAGAAGGCGGATGCTCGTGTTTCATCGGTGGTAAACTCCGATCACACTCCTAGGTGGATGCTACTATGGTCTTATATTGCTGAAATGCCTATAGCAAATATCCTCCAGACGAGCGCTGAAGAAGTTTGTTTCAATCGGCATTTGAGACCATATGCAGCCTCAAGCATCTCACTCGCTTGAACGCACGGACCAGCCTCGTGTAGGTACCCTAGCCAAGATGCAACGCACGCACGCATTCACGTCCTCCCACCACTCTGCCACCACCACCATAGTTACCACCCCCACACCAGCACCACACCAGCACCACACCAGCACCAGCACGATGCCCGCCCCGCCACCCACGCTCATAATCGACAACGGGGCGTACACCCTCAAGTGCGGGTTCTCGTCGCCCACACCGTCCCTCTCATCCTGCCACCTAATCCCGAACTGCATTGCGCGTTCTCGCGACCGGCGATCCCTCGTTGGAACCCAACTGTCGACATGCCGGGACTTTGGCGGGATGTCGTTCCGGCGGCCGGTCGAGAAGGGCTACCTCGTCAATTGGGAGGCGCAGAAGGAGGTGTGGGATCATACGTTCCTGTCGGATAGCGCGGATGGCCCAGAACTACGTTGCGATCCCCACGATACGAGATTGATCCTCGCGGAGGCGCCGAATGCGCCCCTCTCCCTGCAGAATAATGCAGATCAGATTGTCTTTGAGGAGTATGAGTTCATGGAGCTGTTTAGATGCGTAGGTGCTCCTTTGGTGGTTGGTTGGCTGGGGGTGGGCGTGGGAGGGTGGGCGTGGGGTGGGAGGAGGGGAGGGGAAAGCGGAGATGGACGCACGGACGGGCGGACTGACTGACATCTAGCCAGGCCCCAGTGTGATACCATGGCATGACATACCCGCCTTATTCTCGGGAGCGCCAGCCTTACCACCGCCCACGAAACCCGCCGAAGCGGTCATGATCGTCGACTCCGGCTTCAGCCACACGCACATCTACACAACCTTACTCGGGCAGCCGTGGAACTCCGCGACACGGCGCATCGACATCGGCGGGAAGTTTCTGACCAACTACCTGAAAGAGCTGGTGTCGCTGCGCACATGGAACATGATGGAGGAGCCGTACCTGATCTCGCAGGTGAAGGAGGCGGTCTGCTTCGTGTCCACGGACTTCGAGCGTGATCTGGACCGCTGCAAGCGCCTCAAGGACGCGAAAAATGATATGGTCCGCGACTATGTCCTGCCAGACTACAACACGGGGAAGGGCGGGTTCGCGAGAAACCATCTTCCGCGCTCAGCGAGACCAGGGCCGGCCGCAGATGAGGAGCAGGTCATGGTCCTGGGGAATGAGCGGTTTACTGTGCCGGAACTGCTGTTCAACCCTGCGGATGTGGGTCTGAAGCAGGCTGGCGCGGTCGAGTGTGTGCTCCAGGCACTGGAAATGGTCCCGGAGCGGCTGAGGGCGGTGCTGCTGGCGAATATCGTCCTTGTCGGCGGGAATGCGGCTATCCCCGGCTTCAAGGAGCGGTTCGAGCTGGAGCTGAGACCCATGGCGATGGATGAGGCGACGGTTAGAGTCGCGGTGCCTGAGGACCCCGTTAAGTATATCTGGCTAGGCGCGGCGAGGATGGCGCTGGATGACGAGTTCATGAAGGCGAGGACGGTCACTAGGAAGGAGTACATGGAACATGGCCTGCTGTGGTGTCAGAAGAAGATGGCGGGCGAAGATGTGAGGGGCGGTGGCGAGGTCAGGGATACGGCGCAGGAGAGGGAGAGGAGGGAGAATAGGAGTCATCGGAGGAAGTGATTGGTGGTTGGTGATGGTGATGGGTGATGGACGATGATCTGCAATATGTGTACATAGCATTCTTTTCTTTTTCTTTCTTTCGCGAAGCGGCGGGACAGTCCCGTGTTCCCACTTTCAAGTTTCCAGGCTACAGACTCCCATCTACCTATGCTTCGTATCCACACTGCATTCCTCCAACTAGAGTACCTACCTAGTCGACTATCATGACGTCCGGACTCCGGTGAAGAATTAAGCCATAATCAGCCGGACATGTTTCACAGCACACCACAGGGTATGTGTAGAATAAGGTATGTGCGCTCGACCAACTACCAGTACCAGTACCAGTACTACCTACCTGGTATGTAGCAGTAGCCCTCTCGCCTCGCCTCAAGCATAGTCGAAGTTTGTTCAGACCTCACTCCTCAGTGCACATTGCACATTGCACACACACACATCACATTCTGATTCGGCGCCGTGCATGGCCGGCTATGTATGATATGTGTGTGTGATACTCGGGCTGCGCAAGGCAAGTACCGAGATCTGGGGGCGGCTGCTGTAGCCTGTGGCCGGTGGCCGGTGGCCTGTCGCCTGTGGGTAACCGATCCCATTGGCTGGCTGGCTTGGAAGGGGTGGGGTGGATCCTGTTGGGGAGGGGAAGCAGGCAGGCAGGTCTGGAGTGTATGTACAGTAGGTATAAACGCCCGTCGGCGATGGGAGGAGACATCGGCACGCTGTCATTGTGGTGGTCAGATGGAAGCTAGATACGCAGGCTGGATACTTGAGCCTTATGTGGTCATCCACGGTGGGTCGCCTTTGACGCGGAGACGTACATACGGTACATACAGAAGGATGAACTACTGTAGTTGGGTACGTAACTACACGACTACCGTATCGACAGTCTATCGACGAGGCTACACTTTCGTGCGCAGAGAGAGGGCTGCAGTGATCCGAGCATACACATCATACACATCATACACATCATACACATCATACACATCATACACATCATACACATCATACACATCATACACATCATACACATCATACACATCATACACATCATACTTGTTATATACTTGTTACATAGTAAAAAATCCCTCAATCAGGAAGCCTTCTCTACACACGCTCTCGACACACATCTGGGGCGCGCACCTCTTTGGGGCGCGCACGAAGGATTGATGTTCATGCCTCCAGCGATGGTGGTGGTGGAGTTGGCGGCGGCAGAAGTGCGCGCAGTGTGCTTCCTCCGCGAAAAAACTGGGGGTGGATCCGCTCCGCTTGCTCGCTGGCTAAATTCTGGTAGGCTGCAGGGCGTTGTTGTTGCCGGGGTGAAGATGAGGGGGAGGGGCCGGCGTCGGATGTTTTGCTGGTGGGGTGAGGTGATCAGATGCATGGATGTGAGAAAGGATACCTAGGTGGGCGGAAGGATGTATGGATGGTGCGGAAGGGAGTGGAGTTGGATTGGCAACGCTGGATAGATGGGCGGAAGGAAGGGATAGTCTGGTCTGGTCCATGGTCTGGTCATTCCTTCCCTCCCCGACCGACCGACCGACCGACCGCCGACTGACGACTGACGACTGACGATCGACTCATCATCATCTCATCTCGTTTCTCCCACCCGCGCGCGCAAGCAAAGAAGAAAAAAGAAGCAGAAGCAGAACCGTTCGTACTCTACATATGCTACATAAAAGATCACCGGCGATGAAGAAGAGCTCTACAAGTTCCACTCCTAGACGCGTGGGCAGCAGCGCCGGCGCCGGCGCGGACACTAGAGCGAAGGGGTCGGATGCCGACGGGAAGGTTATTCCCTTCGAGGTGGGGTGAGTACTTACACACATGTCTACGGTAGCGCTCTTGCTTGTTTCCCGCCCTCCATCCCTCCCGACATCACGCCCTCCCGCACTCCCGCCCTCCCTCGGCCCGAGATGTGGGCGGCCGGGCGGGAGGGAGGGATATGGTGGGATATGGAGATTAATGGCTTGCTGGCGGGCTGGCTGGATGGCTGGTGCGGAAATGGGCTGATGAGTTGAGAGCAGATGCGAAAAGTGTAGGAGGGGAAAGAAGCGGTGTGATAGGTTTCTTCCTTGCAAAACATGCGAGGTGAATGGAGTGGAGTGTGTCTATCCCGTGACGGAGAAGAAGAGGTATGAGTCCACCACCTATTCCGCTGTGAGCTGTTGTTGTGTTGTCGTTATTGTCGTTGTTATTGTCGTTTTTTATTTATTTTTGTTGACGAGCGAATGAATCGCCAGACCCGTCCCGAAGGAATATGTTACAGCGCTGAAATTGGACCTGGCAGCGCGCAACGTCAAGATCGAGGCCCTGGAGAAACAAGTCCAGGATCTCCAGGGCCAGGTCGATGCGCTGCGAGGATTGGTGAGCTGGTGGGAGGGCTTTGTCCGGAACATTGCCGGCTCCAGTGCGGGCGAGCGGGACATAATGCTCTCGGGCTTCCGGAGCGGCGACAATCCCGGTGGTGGTGGTAGCGGCGGCGGCGGCGGCGGTCACTTCGAAGCCACCACCACCACCACCACCGCGTCGCCGGTTCGGGCACCAGGCAGTTCGGTGGAGGAGCGTTCGGAACTCCCGTCTCCTTCGGCTTCTGGCCGCGCTTCGCCGCCGCCAACGCAACATCCCTCGCCCGGCACGTTGGCGAAGACGACGGGGCAGATCCGGACGCGTGGAGCTCTCTCGAGGTTCTACGGACCAACGAGTTACCAGATCGCCACGGCGTCGGTGGACCCGACGCCTCCTCCGCCGGCCGCGGAACGTAGGTGCCACAAACCAGCTGCGATACAAGTGGACGGAGAATACGACTACGCGCACTCCCTGCTGGCACCGCAGAGCGAGGACTGTAGACGGCTCATGAGCCTGTTCTTCCTGCGACTGTATCCGTACCACATGTACTTCTACCGAGAGTTCTTCCTGCGGGACCTGCACGCCGGCAATGGGCCGTATTACTCGGACCTACTCATGTATGCCATCTGTGCTATGGCTGCGCTGGTCAGTAAGGATGCCGCCGAGAGACAGAGGAGCGAGTTGTTTGCGCGGAGAGCCCAGGAGTTGCTGTACAACTCCGGCATGGACTCGCCCGATATCACGGTGCTGCAGGCGCTGCTGCTCATGAGCCAGAGGGAGATCGGGCAGGGTAATGGATCGAAGGGGTGGTTGTTTGCAGGTATATTCTGTACATCTCTGTGTCCGCATCGTCTGCTAAAGACCTCTAGGGATGGCGTTCCGACTGGCTCACGATATGGGGCTGCACCTTGATCCGCGGAATTGGGATTCTTCGGAGGAATCCTCGATTGAGCGGGAGATTCGCCGACGCTGCTATTGGGGTGCTTTCGTAGCAGACAAGTAAGCTTTTTGACCTAATGTGTAGTACTTGTGCGTATCTTTACTCACATTTCCATCCAGGTGGATTTCCCTATACTTTGGGCGGCCACCCGCGCTTTCACCGCGCGAATCCGACGTGCGCGAGACAAAACGGATCCAATACCCAGCGTGCTGGCCAACAACAGTGGACGCCATCCTCGAGCCGGGTTTGATCAACGACCTGTTCTCTGGCAAGAAGACGCCACAGGACGAAGACGGCGCGGCCCTGGTGGGCACTCTGCTGTGCGCAGTGGATCTGACCAAGATCGTGCACAAGATGCTCACGAACGTGTTTGAAATCCGCGATCAGAGACTGGACGAGGCCAGCATGGTCGCGAGGGTCACGGAGATACATCTGGAGCTCACTAGTTGGCTCAGTAATCTCCCCAAGAAGGTCCACTGGAATGAGTGGAGGAGCGATGTTGAGCCTTACACCCTCGTTTTGCAGTACATACCTCCCCTTGCCCCCCATCCTCGTTTCAGGCTAACAGTAACCGCAGCATGATGTACCACACCGTGCTAATCGTGCTGCACCGCCCACCTCTCTCGCTACAGTTCACACGTACCCCCGCGATAACCCCCGACTTCGCGATCTGCTGGTCTAGCGTGACGGCGATCATCAAGCTGATAAAGCAATACTCACGGGGCAACGAGTACCTCTACCTCCCGGTAACCTTCGTTCACACTGCGACCGCCGCCGCGTCCATAATCCTGCTGAAGCGACACATCGTGCACGAAGCACTAGCGGACGACGAAGCCTCTAAATTCCTGAACGTAATCCTATCCGCGCTGGGCGGCTGTGCCGCCACCTACCCGGCGGCGGCGCAAGCGAAACAGGCGATCCTTATGGCCGACGAGGAGGCACGCATGCGCATGGTCAACTTCCACGCGAAGGAGGAGGACGCGGATGTCCAGGCCGTCGGTAGGGAGCTGGAACAGTTCTTTGATCTGGATTTTGATAGTGATATGGGCGGCATGGGCGGCATGGGCGGCATGGGCATGGGCATGGGAATGGGCATTGGAGGTGTCGCTGGCTGGATGGATCCCGAGTGGTGGGATGCGATGGATGAGGGCGCGTTGACGGTGCCGGTGCCTGCGGCGGCGGGGATTGGGAATGGAAATGGGGGCGCGGATGGTGATATGGCTTATTGAGAACGATTGGACTCGAGGACGCGAGCGGGTAGCTTGTATGTTGTTTCTGGATTTTTATATATACCCTTCGTACATAGGTACATACGTTGTTTACAGTTTTACTGCGAAGATTGTCGTTCGACAGGATTCACTGGAGTTGCTGCACATCGTGTGGGGGTGTTGGCAGTTGCAAAGCCGGCGGGCGGGCGCGCGGGCGGGCGTGGTCACTGCCTATGGTAGCCCAGTAGGCGTAGTTCGTCTTCGGCGCATATCCGCCGGGTTGGATTGGAAACCTGGAGATGGACGACTCCCACATCCGCCGCCGCCTCCGCTGAACACGGACCACGGACCATGGACGACGTACAGCGTTTCCATCGTTTCCATCGTCTTCATCGGCGGCGGCAGCGGCAGCCAGGCAGGTTCGCCACACGTCGGAGCCAACAGTTAGTTAGCCAATACCTAGCCGCCAGTGTACTAGATGTACTGGAGTAATTGAGACAGCTTCGTAAACGTTGCGATCGAGTGATAAGTAACCCAACTATCGCAATTAGGTAGGTGCTTTGTACCAGCTACGCTCAGAAGAGTTCTAATCACGTGCAATCACTCGCGAACTCGGTTTTTCGTTTTTCGTTTTTCGTTTTATTGATGTCCTCTCTCTCTCTCTAAGCACACACTTTGGTAAACCACCACTACATACCATAAGAACCATATTCACCACTATTATAGCTAACCATAAGCACCATATAAAAGTATCACCCGCAACCCCGGGCCCTATCACCCCCCATCCAAGTTCAGACCCTATGCATCCTGCACCTTGTGCACGCCAGCACCGAGCAGCCCTCGCAGCTCCATATATACGCCCTCAGCCTATCTCCACACATTTCGCAGTTATGTTGGCCGTTCAAGACCTGCCATTCACCATCATGCTCGCACACGTGGCGCTCCTGCAGGCGCTGCCGGATCTCCCTGGTGCGGTGTGCGATGCGTGCGGGCACGGCGGGGCGGTCCGCCAGAACCTCGCGGATCGCGAGCTGCTCTGCCCGCCGCTCCAGCGCTCGCTCGTCCCAGTCGCCGCATTGGCACGTTTTCCACTTGAGCCCGCAGCGGTAGCAGAATTCGGCGCCGCATTTGCTGGAGGCTGGTTAGTTGTGCGGGGGAGGGAGGCAGGAGGGGAAGGGCTTACCAGCTGATGTGTTGGCAGCCGAAGAGGCGCTCGACCAGTGCGTGGCAGGTGTAGCAGCGCTGCCAGCCATTGGCTGCGGCTAGTTCGAGCGTCTTGTTCAGGTTTGTGTCGGTGGGACAGTCGGTTTTGCCGTGGTACCGTTGTTTGCAGCTGACGCACTGGGATGGTTAGTGGGGTGGAGAGGAAGGGGGGTGAGATGGGGGTGTGTTACGGTTCGCATGGCACACGCATTACAGGTTGCACAGTCGTCCACGATGTTCTTCGTCAGGATGAAGACACCGCACTGGCTGTTGTGGCAGTAGACGCGATTGTGGGAGGTGAATTCCTCCCGCTTCGCCTTGAACTCTGCAATCTCCTCCTTCTGCAGAAACGGCTGGGCGAGGTACAACGGAATCTCCTGTTTGTGGCAGCGAGGGGGAAACAGCTCCTCGTCCCAAGTCGCGTTGTGGAATACCTTCTTGAGGCAGTTGTGGCAGTACGTGTCCCCACACGGTGCCGTGACGCAGAAGTGATCCTCAAGACACGAACAACAAACTGCCTCGCATGGGAGGCTGGTGGATGAGGATACGCCAGAGGACGTGCCAGAGCCGGTGGCATATCCCATGGGCAGTCTCGAATCCGCGCCAGGCGTGTGCATCATCCGAGGCACAGAAAAGCCCCGAACCGGCTCATCCACATGCCCAGACAGATCCATCGCCAATTGGCGATCCTGCAGGAATTGCAGGGCCTCGCCGATGATGAACGCGTCTTCTTTCAGCGCCTGGTCCATACTTCTCGCCAGCTTCGCATCGGCCAGGCAAATGGCTTCCTTACTGAGATAGTCGCGGTAAGCTTGCAGCGGGTTCTCGGCCGCCGACACCCGCGGGGACTCAGCGCCTACAACGCCTTTGCCCTTGCGGTTGCTGAGCGCCAGGGCTTCGTCGAGGTCCGCCAACTGCACCGCGATAATGGCTTGCAGGGTTTCCTCGTCCGTTATTCCGCCGGATGCGGCGTGCAGGTCGAGCATATTTTCCGTGAGTATCGTCATCTTGGATTACTGATTCGCTCGGTGACCCGGTGTACACACTTGATAGACGGTAGTCGAGTTGGGCGGTGGGTGTTGCGGTGCTGGGCTTGTTGCTTGGGACAATTGAGAGGAAGAACTGTGGGGATCGAGGGAGAGAACCGATGAACCCCGCGTTCGCTGAGTAGGGGTCAGTGGTGGTTGGTCGCACAACAGGATATCGACTCGAGGACGGGGACCGAATCCGAGTGGTGAAGGCAGCAGTGACGCGTGCAGCTTAATTCGGCCTTCATGCTTTCTATGGCAATGATATATGGAGCCATTCTAAAATCCTAATAGCATCGGACAGGAAAATTTAATTGAAAGGAGAGGGTGACCACCGCCAGTCCTACATAACTATATCTCAATCGACGCACCGGTACAATACCTAGACAGGTATCCACGAGGGCTGGGATCTAGAGTCGTGATAGTCACTCATAACTATAGCCAAGCCATCCCGTCAGTCGAGCAAATACTATGAGTCCAGGATTGGCTGAATGCGTGTACCTATGATCGAACGAAACAAGCAAACAAGCGGATGCCATGGGTTTCTTCAGCAACATACATAAGAATGCTGTCTCCATGTAGTTCCATAGTACCGTACACTACGAAGGATGATCTAGACTAGGATAGGGCCGGTGAAGAACACCGTGACGGGCCGTCCCTAAAGTTCGGACGGACGACCACTGACCAGGATACCTACCATTCCAGAAATTGGAGCTAGGTTCATGCTGAGTTGCTGACTATGAGCGGCGTCAAACTTTTGGTCGCCCGGAGATCTCGGCACGGGTTAAGGTTTGGCGGTGGAAGAGTCTCGACGGCCACGGCGGCGAACTCTGATGAGCGGGCCCGGCGAAGTCTGATGAGCGGCCAACTTTGTTCGGCGGCCAACCTTAGGTGGCCTCTCGGTCTTAAATAGAGGTCTTCGCCGTGGACGATAGGTTCTTCTTTCGGTATCGAATAGAATATAATCATCTGTCTACCCATATATTTTAACAAGCGGGATATAAATATTAAAGAGAACAATTCCAGACACCGAGGCTGAAGGTTTCCACGATCCGCCGAGTTGTCGATGCGCGGGCCCTTCCATGGATGCATGGAGTGGTACTTTGAATGGAAATTTTGGGATCAGTGATGAAAGCTTCCTACATAGAGTCTGACATCTCCATCATGTAGCAACACCCTCGATTTGGTATCCATGCCATTCCATCAAGTTCCGGCAGCCATATATAACTTGAACGTGTTTCAAACCCGGCTTCCTTGCTTCCTTGAAACACATCTGGAACCGTAGAGCCTTCATTGGCACCGGGCCAATGGTTTCATTTTCCACAGCTGTGTACGGTACCTAGTACGGAACCTGAATATCGGCGACTTTATCAGAGGTTTGTCCGGAGTCCGGCAGTGAGATCGTCACTGCAGCTGTACTATAGTTAGCCTTGGTATCTTGTATATAGTTTTCTTCTCTTCTCAACACGTGGTCGAGGCATCGATGTGACGGATACGAGTATCTTGATATACAGCTGTTGAAAGTGGTCCTGAAGTTGATAGGTGAACTGCTGGAAGGAAGGATATAAGACTGTTGTTTGCAACAGGAGTTGCGGTGATGTTGCGTCTAAAGGATTTGGCGGGTTCTAATCGGTCAGCTACATATTTTGACTGCAGTCCGGACTGTGCTATCGGGAGCACTGTAAAACCCCCCTCACCCCCCAGAAGAACTACCTAGCCAAAAGCCGGAGGCATTGGCCCCAAAGGTGCAACCGACCGCTGTCCTCTATCCGGCGGAACACCTACTAAAGACATCGGAGCCGTATATATGCTGCCATATACCTTAGGCACCTATACCTATGGGCATTGGGCGTTGGCTTTTGGGATTGGCTAGTTAGCTCTAAATGAGAAAGAAGAAGAGCTAAGGATATGTATAGGGAGTTCAAACGCGACGCGATGCCGTTCAATAAATCCGGGAAATAGATGGAACGTCATTAATTTGGAGAAGAGATTCCGCGAACACGAAGCTCTAATTTCGTATCTGTGTGGCATGGTGAGGTTGTTCGTGTCGCAAGTCGCGGCAGAGGTACCATGCATCATTGTTGGAGCCAAGCCCGTACGGAGTCGCACCGCGTTATCGAATAGATAGAACGACCTAATCAACCAACCCCCCCGCACTTCCCCCACCTCTCTGGATTAGCTTCGAGATCCCACGATGGATTTCCCCCTGGCCCCAATCCCGAGTATTGCCGTTGGGGAGCTATCTGTGGGCACGGCCAGCACCGTCAACAGCCGGAGGAAGAGAGCAGCAGGTGGAGCCCCGCCAAGCCCGAGATCCACCAAGCGCAGTACGTACTCCGAAACGGAGCGGTCACCTCTTGATCGCGCCGGTAGCGACACAGCGCGTTCTTCCGAGCCGAGATCCCGCCCGATGTGCTTTCGGATATCGAATGTCCCACTTACCTGGGGAAAGGAGGACCTTGTTGAGCATCTCAAGCGTGTCGGCTTTGTGGACAAGGGCCACAACCGAGTGTCGCTGTACCCGGCGTGTAGTGGTGACGGTCAAGTGGCGCTGCTGAACTTGGTGGAATACTTCGAGTGGTTCCGACAGCTCAGCATCACTGGTTCGGATACTCTTCCAGGTTGCGGTTCGGAAACGAATCTTCAGATCGACCGACATTTCTATGGCCTCACACCGTTGAACAATCCAAAAAAGAATATCGCTGCTGAGTTCGTGACGACCTCCCTTTCGTTCCTTAGTCACTTGGAAATACTGATTGCCATTCGGGGTGTCCAGTGTTGTTGCTGTAACCGGGCTCGCTGGACATGCGTATGGGTCGTGGAAAAATCGGACGAAAAATCGGATGTGGCTCCACGATTTCCTTCCCTGCGAGTTCAACAACATTCGGATCATGACCTACGGTTACGATACCACCCTTCAGTCTGCCGACGACACCGATCCAGCGAACGTAAACCCGGCGAAGCGTATCTTGGACCTTCGTAGGGCCTTCGTTACCAGTTTGACAAACGCGAGAAGTTCTCCAGAAGTACGTAAACTTGGCCGTAGTTATTGATCAGTGAACGACTCGGTCCTAAATGTTTCAGGAGAGAAAGCGTCCGATAGTTTTTCTTGGACACAGCCTGGGTGGCATCCTTATACTACAAGTACATATAACTGCCAGTTGAAGACCACGTCGAAATGAAGACTAACCGAGCCCCCCAAATCAACTATAGGCTTTGCTCCAGTGCAAACTCCACTCGATGCATCAGGATCTCATCGAAGCAACCCGGACGATATGTTTCTTTGGAACCCCACAAAAAGGCCTCCGGACGGCCGAGCTAGAGGAGGCAGTTAATGAAGAACCCAATAAAGTCGCAAATTTGTTGTTTCAACTCCGAGTCGGTTCGGAATTTTTGGAAACCCAGGCAGATGACCTCGTTGAAGTCTTGAGCCAATGTAACGTTGTGACCTTCTACGAAACCGTGGAAACGGCAACAGTTACTAAGGTGCAAGGCTCATTCCTTACATTTTTTATATCTATTTACTCATCGGTTACAGTCTTCGACAACGGGAAAATGGACGAGAGATGGACCACCGGCGATTATGGTGACCAAGGACTCCGCCCAACTGTTTCTGCCGAACGAACAGCGTATCCCCGTTTCAAGTAACCATAGCGACATTGTCAAGTTTCCCGACCCTTCAAACGAAACGTATAGAAGTGTGGTTACGCAGATCAAGATGTGCATAGATATGGTTGTTCGGCAGCGAGGTGGGATTCCTTTCATATAAATCAGTTGGGTACGACCGTCCACTAAACCTATACAGAGATTTCAAGAAAGATTACGCGTAAGTGCACACGTTCTCCTTACAATCGTCTTGAGCGCCCCGCTTGTGGATATGCAGCGTTATATTTACAAAGCTAACCTTAGACATCAGTTAAGGAGGTGGTAAGCTGTTTGAAGAGCTTGAAAGGTACAGATTGTGAAGCTCAGCGCGACGAAATACTTTTTACACGACATCGCGATACCTGTGGATGGTTGACAGCCGACAAACGCTACAAAAATTGGGCACGGAACGACGGAAAGACGGTACTTTGGATACGCGGAGATCCAGGATGCGGGAAAAGTGTTCTGGCTGCATTTCTATCGGCACACCTTGCTATTGAAAACGCAGCCGAAACTTTCGGAAAGCAGTATGTAGTCGCCTATTTCTTCTGTAACGATAAGGATGAACGCCTGAGGACGCCACATGCCATACTGGCGAGTCTCCTTGCGCAAATATTGTGGCAAGAGCAGGATTCATTCGTACACTTTTCAACGGAATCACAGTATGTGATGCACAGGGGCTTGACGGTGTGGGATTTTCCCATGCTTCTGAGAGTGCTTGGACGTATCTTGAAGGACGACCATATCCGTCCTTTATGCCTGTTGATCGATGCCCTCGGTATGTAGGCCCAATTCCTACTCGTTGTTCTTCGATTCTACCGCCGCACACGCATCGATGTCGCTATTCGAGCCTGCTGAGCGAATAATGCATCTTGGCTATTGCTTTCCCCCCTCTACACAGAATAATTACGGTCCACCCAGCTGATTCTTACAGACGAGTGTGATGACCAACGAATACGGTTTCTCGATCATTTACAGTCCCTCATTCAAGAATCGGCCGCCATAAGTCACCCGAAACTGGTCGTAACCAGCCGTCCTCACATACCTGTGTTACTGCACATGACCTCTGTTACCTTAATCCCCCTGGATGCCGCGAATCTGAATACCGACATTACTACATTCGTCACCGCCGAGGTTGGAAAGCTACGACAATTCTGTGGGATGGCGACCGAGATCCAGGAGACACTGATTCGCCGTGCTAATGGAATGTTCCTGTGGGTTTCATTGATCCTCGACGATCTCAAGAAATCCAAGACCACAAATCGTCGGGCCATCCTCAGGAAGCTGGAGGCCCTACCGATGAATCTCGAAGAGGTGTACAAGCATATCCTGAGTGGCATCGAACCCGAGGACGAAACGATAGTGGGATTCATCCTTCAGTGGGTGCTCTTTGCCATGCGTCCCTTGACGGTACGCGAGTTAACGGTCGCAATCGCTATGCGACCTGACTCTACGTGCATAGCCTCCCTGCAGGACGAGATGGAGCAGGATCTCGAAATAACCCTTCGGTCCCTTTTCGGTCCCATGATCAAGATAGAGGCCGGCACCGTTCATCTTGTGCATCAATCGGCAAAGGACTTCCTTCTTTCCGACTCGGCGAAGACGTTCTTTCTATCCAAGTTTGGAGCAGAAACTGGCGGAAGAGTCAGTTTCAATGAGCACCTTTCAACAGACGTGGCCAACGTCGAGCTCGCTGCCAGCTGCTTGCGGTATATGTCGTTTGATGATTTCGAAGACGGCCCCCTACCCGTTGATTATCTTGCGCCGCACTCAACAGTGTTGCATGAACTGAAGACTCGATATCCAGAAGCCGCACTGTTTTCTTATGCTGCCATTCATTGGGTAGACCATGCTAAGCGGGCAACGAAAGAGTCGAGAGAAGCCCGCGATTTGGCGGGGGATTTTGGGAAATTGGTGCAGTACAGAAGTAGAATCGAGCTATCCTACCAATTTCACAGTTACTTTACGCATTCTTTCTTCCATCGATCGCCTCCGCCGCTTCATATTGCTGCGTACTTTGGCTTCACAGAATTCGTACGAGGGGTGTTGGACTCGGGGGTTGGTGTCGACGTCCGGGATTCAACCGGCCGCACTGCACTCTTCGTCGCCGTTGAAGCGGGGCACCAGGAAGTGGTCCAAATGATCATGGATCGGGGCTCCAATATCGGGATACAAGACAACAAGGGGTGGACGGTGTTGCACCAGGGGGCATCGGATTGCAAAGAGACCGCAGTCCAGCTACTTCTGGACCAGGGCGCCAACATTGAGGCCAAGAACAATGACGAAGAAACGGCGCTTCACATCGCGGCAACGATCAGGAACGAGGCTATAGCCCGGTTTCTTCTAGACCGCGGCGCCAACATCAAGGCCAAAAACAACATGGGACGGACGGCATTGCATTCGGCAGCACAGAAGGGCAATGAGGCCATAGTTGGGCTGCTTCTGGATCGAGGCGCCAACATCGAAGCCAAAGACCATGGCGAATGGGTGCCGTTACACTCGGCGGCATGGAATGGAAACGAGAGTGTAGTCCGATTGCTTCTGGATCGGGGAGCAAATATCGAAGCCAAAGAGCATGACGGATGGGCAGCGTTGCACTTGGCCGTACAGGATGGAGACGAGGCCACAGTTCGGCTGCTTCTGGACCGGGGCGCCAACATCGAAGTCAAGGACACTGAAGGGAAAAGCACGTTGCGCTGGGCGGTAGAGAGTGGAAAAGAGGCTATGATTCGGTTGCTTCTAGACCGGGGCGCCAACATCGAAGCCGAAGACAATGACGGGTGGACGGCGTTGCACTCGGCGGTACGGAATAGGAAAGAGACCATAGTCGGACTACTTCTAGACCTGGGCGCCAATATTGAGGCCCAAACCTATTCCGGGGAGACGGCATTGCAAAAGGCGGCACGAAATGTTGACGAGGCGACAGTCGGGTTGCTTCTGGACCGGGGCGCCAATATCGAGGCCGGAAAACGTTCGACAGTATTGCACGTTGCGGCATTAGCGGGAAATCAAGCCATGTTCCAGCTACTTCTAGACCGGGGCGCCAACATTGAGGCCCAAGGTTGGTCCATGAAGACGGCATTACACGTGGCAGCAGAAAATGGTGACGAGGCGATAGTCCGGCTAATCCTAGACCTGGGCGCCGATATTGAGGCCAAAGACCGTAACGGGTGGACGGCATTGCACTCGGCGGCACGGAATAGGAAAGAGAGCACAGTCCGACTACTTCTGGAGCGGGGCGCCAACATTGAGGCCCAAACCTTATCCGAGGAGACGGCATTGCACATCGCAGCTCTAGATGGTGACGGGGCGACAGTCCGGTTGCTTCTGGATCGGGGCGCTAAAGTTAAAGCCGAAGACTATAAGGTGTTGACGGCGGTGAACTCAGCGGTACGGAATAGGAAAGAGACCACAGTCGGATTACCAGCGAATCAAGATACCATTAGGGGTTAAACGACGGGCTGACAGCCGCCCATTGCTCAGTCTGGTTCGCCAGTGTTTGCGCTTACAATGTATTATGTAGACACGAGTCGTGGCAGCGTACGGCCGATTTCCTATGGCTCATTGGCCCTCCTTGACCTTCTGTTCCGCTGGCATAATATCAGGCTGGATTTCTTTTCCGTCATTGCGGGGCATCTTGCTTTTATTTCCTTGCAGAGTTTCACAGCACGATAGGTGTTGCAAGTTGCATTCGTGATGGCCTCAAACTATAATAAATTGCAGTTGCATTGTTTTCTCTTCCGAGTCCTCGCACCCAGCAGAATATGCACTCGCCACACCCTCCGCCGACCTTCAACCTTCGCCACCATACCCGGCTCGCCTGTATGTATATCTTGAAAGTTGAGCTCGCAGGTCCCAACAACGACGGGATGATACATCGGCTAGCGGTAGCACACTTCTAGCATATCCGCAGGCACACATCACATCACATAACATCACGTCAAATCGATCGCGGTCCACGAGTGGTGCGACACGACTGCGGGCGTTCGATTGCGGAGCCCTGAGATACGGGGTGTGGGGGTCTATTGGTGAGTTCGGACGACAATAGTAGGGTAGAGCGGGCCCAATCGAGAGTGTATGTGTGTGTGTGTGTCTGCTTGTCATTTCTATGTGTTTCTGGCCCGAAGAAGGATGGGTGGGGTGGGCTGCATGTGGTTGGTTGACTGTGTGCCTCATCACAATATATCACTCGCGGAACGTATCACTCGAGCGTGTTTCCGCAGCAACGGAAAAAATTGCAGACCAAGATCGAATAAATGAGAGTATAGAAGAATGGCATCATGTTCATGACGCATGATGAATCCCATCCCGCTCAAGCAGCTAGCTAGCATCCCAACTGCAACCCATCACATAAAAAAAACCAAATACTCTGCTCCTCCTCAAGAGTCAAGACCGCACCGCGCCAGGACGCGTGGTGGTCGTCGCGATCTACTGCTTGACGAAGACCCACTTCTCGTTGACCGAGCTGCCCTTACGCGCGATGTGCACGTTGCACTTGCGGCTGTGGCCTGGGTCGGCAACCAGGACGTGGTTGTTGTTCTGCACGGACTCGATGTACTGGCTAGATATTATCGCACCAGCGTCAGCGACACTCTCCAGCGCGATTCCCTCTTCCACCCATAACGATCCCCTCAAGACGAACAAACGAACCTATGATCGTCATCGCCAGTCTCGGTGATGACCCAGCGCTGGTTATCGGTGCCGTTGCCGTTGATGGAGTAGAGGATAACGTTCGGCCCCGCGCCGCCCTCGCAGTCCAGCACGTTCTCAGAGTTCTTCTCCGTGATGGTGGCATCACCGCTGTTGGACCGCATCTGCACAGTCCAGTACACCTTGGCGTCCTCCATCGTCACCACGTTGTCGTGCGCGTCGTCGTCGAACGTCAGGTACCGGTTGCGCCGCGCCTCCTTGATGCGGTAGCTGTTGTCCTGGATGTCGAATCGGGGGGCTTCGGTCGTCATTGTGGTGAGTGGTCTGGGAGGGTGTTATGTTCGCAACGAGGCGGGGAGGAGATGGGAGCAGGTGGAGAACCTGGTAGGATTGGATGAAGACGTGCGTGTGTGTGGGTGTGTGTATGGGTGAGTGTCTCGAGATGGTTCTAGCTGTGGAGAGAAAGGGAAGGGAAGAGATGAAGCGTTCGACAGCCCTCTATTTATCCTTTGGAACTCTGCCACGATCTTCTGAAGATACTAGTGACCTTGGAGGACGATATCTCCATCGGTGATGGCATCTCCAAGCCAACCTATCAAACTGAACCTTCGTGACCACCTGGATCGTAGCTCTGTTCGGCCGTCGACATTCTCTTCAGCTCCCTGAGTTCGATACAGCAGCAGGACGACGTGGAGGGCGTAAATCCCTCAGCGGGCGTGAAGCTGAAGCTGCGGGATACTAGATGTGGTGGTGATAGTTTCGACACGGACATGCCTGGTCCGGGTGAGTGATAGTGGTGTGGACGGATTTGCAGTAACCAGTTAGATTCATGGACGCCTCGAACACGGAGTCTGCATCGTCGTGGACGTGTGCGTGTAGGCATGCAGTGATACCGGTCTTTTCAGCTGAAAACGAATTCTGCCTGCCTGCTTGTCGGTTGGAAATCCTGGATCAACCGTTGCCAACTGCATCACCAGATCAACGATTGCAATGGCAGAGCAGCCTAAATCCCGAAGCGAGTGCTCGAGCGTCTCAAAATCCGTGCTGTAACACCACCTATCATTTCTCCACTGTAAGCCATTCATTCGAATGCCTATTCACTATGCAAGTCCACGCCCGGGCAAAGCAATCCGTTATTCAGGAGTTCATACCAAATATCCCATTGACTCCAGAGCATCCGCGACGCCTAGGGCCTGGGACCTAAGGAACCGGAATCGGATCTCGCGCACCGTTCAGTCGAAATCCAGGTTCCAAGTTCCAGCTCCAAAACAGTGCCATATTGATCTGAGCAACTCCAGGCCAATCGACACGGTGTAACTCGAATCTCAATGTTGCATGTGTAACCTGCCGCGTTCCCGCACCTTGTGCTCGGCCCCGTTATGCAGGATTTCCGACGCTCTTACGTACACCCTCGCCCCCCACATGCAGCCTTCCCGCATTCCCGCTGAGTCTATCTATCCATCTACCCCGCGACCCGCAATGCCTACATACCCTACGCGTAGCAAGGCTTGTAGGTATTGTAGGGCTGAAACGGTCGCGGCGGCGGGGCGACGACGCCTACCTACGCAGAGGCCACGAATGATGCCACTCGGTCGATAGGCATTGACTGGGCTGCTGTGTCGACGACCTCCGCTCTGTTACTTTTCCGCCCGCGCCCTCTTACCGTGCCGAATTCCGTCGGCTTCGGCGGTGGTCACTGGTGCGTGATATCCAAAGTCCGTCTCCCCGCCTCCCGAGGGGGTGCGGAACCGTAGAACGTCGTACTCCGCCTGCCCCGCCGCCTGGAGTGGAGAGGGTTCCTTGCGGTCGCACCGCCGATGTCGGCTGGCCTGTGTCCAACCGTGCACTCGACATCGCACCTAGCGAATGTCTCGGAACGGATGCCCCAGCGGGTAATCCAGTGGGCCCCTCAATGAGGTGCACGTGTAGACGTAACTATCCTGGTGATCGATCGCAGCACAGTTCCACAGCCCGGTTTCGGCAACTGTTTTCATGGAGCGAGACTGGTTAGAGCCTAGAAGTGAATCCATGATAGTTATGGCGATTCGTGAGATTCATACTCCGGAGTACAGAGATGCAGCCCGCTCGATGCGTATGCGAACTGAACACCGCAGTGCACATCGATGCCGCCAAGGTGAGTTCAGCTGAGATTCTCAGCTGTGGTGAACGGCGATATTAGGGCTCGCGAGGAGGGTGGACCGGGTTGGCCGTGGAATAGTTAAAACGATGGCCTGGGCTTATATCCGGAAAACACCAAGTAGCGGGAAAGTAGTAACGCTCCTCTCTGCAACCAGCCGCAATGCGAACCGGGACTGTTCTCGCAGCAAGTTTGTTTCGCCGGTCGGTTAGTTCGCCAGACGCGGAAGCTCCACCCGTGTTCTCAACTGTGCGGAATGATTGGCTCGAATCGTATTGACTGAGGATTTCAGCGTTCAGTTTCACCTTTCCTCCCGAAAACTGGGCTCTGCATCGCGGCGACCGGGCAGGGTGTGAAGCCTTCGCTATGGCTAACACGGGTGCCGGCACTGGTACGCAGGACTGGAAGTGGATCACAGGTATTCCTCGGACCTTCAGTAGCACAATTGATTTCGCTGCATGAAGAAGGGCGATATGGAGTCGGAACGACATCTGCTCGAGTACAGGTTTCTGCTACCATAGATAGCGCTTCCTTCGCTGTGCACTATACACCGTTCGCTGTGTGCTGTGTGCTGTGCGGGCTGTGTATGATCGGCGAAAAAGCCTAAACTCCTTCTGATTTCATTCTCGCCGCTCATGGCTTCCCACGCATGGTCAAACCAATCATCAACTCCTCCCACACCTGCAATCCAAGAACGGAACCGCCAGCCATCACATTCAGGTTATGGCTGACGCCCAGATTCCTCGGACCCGGTCCCCAAAGCTGCCTGAGTGAGGCCGCTTGAAGGATCGCAACGGTATGGGAATATATATGGGCACGCCTAGTGCGGTCATCAGACTGAAAGGAAGTGAGGCCCCGCACGAGTGGTTGTCTGATTAAGGTTACCGATGCGAGCCTGCGCTAACCGGCTCGATTCCGGAAATAACATGTGCTCGTGAGAAAGATAATATCAGCGCGGTCGGAGATACATGACAGATGTTTGGTTGTGCACTGGGTGGAGGGCTGGAGATATGTAGGTGAAACATTGTCGTTAGATAGTGCCGGTAGGAGGTGGAGGGGAAAGATGGGGATGGGTTTGGTTGGCGCAGTGGCCGATGTGGACAATGTTGAGCTAGATTTTGGAACGTCGACGCTTGCTCCAAGAGGCATGGTGCCCGCGGTCAATAGGTTCTCGAAGGCACATCTGTCGATTACATATGTACGGTAGCTCTGCTCTAACGTATTCCTGAAAGTGAAACGGCGAAAATGAAGGATAATGGAGACGTTGAGGTTTTATTCAACTTCGAAGAGCCATCTACGGTAATATGGCTCTCCTCCACTGCCTACAAAGTTATGTGCTACCCGATTTGGCTAGTTCTGCCATCACCACCATTCGGATCCACCATCCGGCTCCACCGTTCTTCCTGCAGGTTGGGTTTCCTCGCATCACAACTTCACGGTTCACGACAGCCGATTCCTCCACGGAAAACCAGCGTCGGCTAGGTACCTACCAGACAGACAAACTTCCAGGCTTTTCAGATTCAACACACGCTGATGATTGGAATATCCCACATCCGCTCGTTGTATCCACCGCTGCCAGGCGAGTGTGTGTGAATTCCCATTGCTGTCGACGGTATTATGAAGTCTGCCGGCAAGTGCCGATGACTGCTAGCTTCCCGGACATTGAATCCAAGCAAACAATCACATCCGTATATATACTAGACTCCCGAGCGGTTTTGTTTTTCGGATAGGTTCAATTCATGCAGCCGGCCGGCCGGACACGAATGCCCTCACTTCAAGTTCTTCAATTTCCGGAATCTCTGGTTTGGACTCGATTCAATTTGAGACGAGCGGATCCGTGGCTGGTACTCCTCTTTGGTTGCGGGGACTCCGCACTCCGCACTTGAGTATGATTGATTTCCTGTTGACTCCCGTCCCCTATGTACAGAAACGCATACAGAGCGCATAATCCCATCCCATCCCATCCGTTGGAGAATCGTAACGTAGTTATGTACCAACACCGGACCAACACCGGACCAACTTCGAGGCCATCTTGACGACAGTTCACGCTGCCTTCCTCCACTTCTCCCTCATTAGCATCCGTCGTCATATGCCTTTCTTACCGGTGCCGACTCATAGCTGGCTAGCCTGGCATACCGTCATAGCACTGACAAAAGATGTGCCTTCATTGCCACAACACCGGGGAACACTCACACTGTCGAAATCTACTATATAGTGAAGGTGGGGGGTAAAAAGCGTATTTTTTACCCCCCCCCCCCCCCCCCCCCCTTCACTATACAGTATGTATCTTTTATGTATTACTATCGGATTGTCTTCTCACGACACTGGTTGGAAGGTTCAAGGCGGTCGTTGAACGTGGAATGGACGATGCGATATCATTGCCACTCAACCACCCCATGATCCCGAGATGGTGTAGGTACGGCGTCAGAAGCTCAGTACACATTGGCAGTAGTTCTAGACAGTGACACGGTTGGATTCGCGATTTATCCGTCAACACGCGATACCTCCAGTGGTACACAGACATAGACATAAAGTCAGTCCCGACGACCAGATCTCCAGCGGAGCGGAGACCGCAAGCAAGCACCAGGCCCTTTTCTTCTTATATCAACACGTACTGGACGTTTTGCGTGACTACCGTATCATCAAAAGCAACCGCGCCAGGTATCTTGCACTCTGCATTACATATCTTTCCCCCTTCCGCTACCTCTCCGCCGCAGGAACACCTTGATACCCCCTCATGCCTCGCCTCGCCTGCTCGACCCACCTGTTCGCGCACGGCCTAATGACGGCCCATGCCAGCAGTCCCACGGTAGCAAAGATGAAGACGCAGACGACGACCTGATCTTTGAGGGAGTCGCGCTCTGCAGCCCAGCACATTATATCATCAGCCATCCATCTCTCCTCTTTGTTTTGTTTTGCGCGGCTATGAAAGGAAGGGGAGGGGGGGGGGGGGCGCACGAAAGCAGGTCGTAACCACATCCGCCTCCTTGGCCGTCTTGCATATGGGCAGGTTATAGTCGATGCAGAACTGGCGATTGCAGTCGTTGCAGTTGCCCGTCGCGGGCAGCGGGATGATGGTGCTGTTGGTGAAGCACGTGCATTTGCAGAACAGCAGGGAGCTCGAGGCGGCTGAGGAGGGGAGGGAGAGGGCGAGCAACACGAGCACGATGAGGAGAGCTACTGGTAGCGGGAACGGGGACGTGGAGAACATTGCGGATGGATGGATGACGTGCGTGGAGCGGGAGTGGGGGAGGGAGGGGGGTGGTGCGGATAAGGTTGCCACAGCCACACACACACCCGGCCCTGCCAAGGCGCGCCGCGCACGCGGGAGTGAGATTCGCGTGCGTGGTGCGATCAGGCTGCAGGGGGCCCCAGTGCGAGATCGACCTCCCCATGAAACCCTGCGCAACTACTAGGCAAAGGAGAGGTGCCAAGGAATGAATTGCGAATGATCACAATGCGATATGTTTGAGGGCGATGGTATCACGATTGGGCCTGCACATAGTTGAGGCTTCTACACTTCAATTACTCGTCTGTCATTTACTATGGGGTATCATCGTCATCATCGTCATCATCACTCGTCAAGATCGTCAAGATCGTCAAAAGCACCCCTATGATCGTCTCGGCGGGGTCCGTGGCTCACCTCCCTTACCCTCGTAGCACGCAACATTTCCCGCCCTCTTCCACTTCTCTACGTGGTTGAGGTCCCTAATCTTGAGCTTAATCGCCTCCGCATCTGGCCCCTCCTCCTTCTCCAAATCACCCAGGTGGGCGAACTTCGTCTTCCCCTTTGGCCGGAGGCTGTACTTTGCATGGATGGGATAGAAGTACGCTCCACGGGGCCCTCCCTCTTTGTCGCCGGCCTGCAGACACATCGCTACCTCATCGGGCTGCGTATCGAACGCCGTGTATCCAGCATCAAACGGATCCCGCGCCTCGTAGCGGCGGACGTACTTGTAGAGGAACTTGCGGTCGTCGTCAAATTCCAAGTCCTCTGTGTCGGCGAGTTTGCGCTTGACGGCTTTGGCGGTGCGGTTGGAGTGCGGGACGTACAGATCGAAGAAGTATGTTCCCTCCTCGCTGATGCAGTCGGTGGGCTCTGCCGGCGTGAGCAGGCCCACGTCGACCCTGTAGTCTCTGCAGCCGTCGCGGTCCTCATCCGTCGGCGACGACTGGAATATGGCGAGCAAGTACCCGCCCGAATCGCTCATCCCCTCGAGGTGCGGGATCAGCGGGAACGTCTCGAGCGGCTTGAGGCCGTGTTTGACCGGATGTTTCAGGGTCCTCCAGCTACGCTCCGCGTCCGCCGCCTTGCTATCCTCAAACGCGGAATACGTCACGGCACCATCTACGCCCGGATTCGCCACATCAAACCCCCTCAGCACCGCGGCGAGGATGCATACGGGGTCATTATCCTGGGGGCTCGGCGCCGGCGCCGCCACCGCCGAGCGCCGCGCCCTCCCCGAGAGCGCAACGAGTTGTCGCGACGTCGTCGAGCGAAACGACGACTTCGCCTGCTCGGACGAGATGTACTCCGTGCGCCGCAGGAAGGAGACGCTGCTGCCGCCGGTGACGAGGCTGTGCGCAGGCTTGCCGAGGGAGGCGGGGGTGCGCAGCAGGGCGCGGTCACGGGGGTCGAGTGCCTGTGGGGGGAGGAGCGGACACAGCGGGGTTAGGTCCCCTGACAGAGCGCAAGAGAGGGGGAGTAGGTCCAGTGGCATGCCGAGTTCGCAGTCTGGCTCGATGTTGATTGGCATCGACCGCGCCAGCTCTGAGGCGAAGGCGGGAGAGGTGTATTGCGAGAAGGCGGTGTTGGCGATGTTGAGCAGCTTCGGGGAACCATGAGGGGCGGGGAGAGTATTGTTGAAGCGGATGCGCGCGATGTACTCTTGGGGGTGGGTTCTTGAAGCTGCCGGCCGCTTCGAGGAGGAGAATGGCATTGTTTGGAGTTTGTGATGAATTGTCGTGGAGCTGGCAGTAGCCACTGTGATCGAGATATATAGCAACAGCACAGATAGACTAGCCCTAACTCACACATCCCGAGTGACACGATGTAAACAGCCACAACCATCTGCGGCTAACTGTACGTCCAACTTGCAACAATAAAGTACACACCTCTATTCTCTATTAGTGATATCTAATCTATATACTGTCATCGTCACCGAAATCACTATCAGAGCACAACATCCCAAACGCCCTCGAAAAAATGCCGCCAATTAAAACTCCATATCCCTTTTATATGTGCACGTCCCCGTCCCGACGTCCCGACCGACTGCAGGCTTTCGAGGAAAAAAAAAGATCCCAACGCAACGCACTCGCGAGAGAGATCACTGAAGTCCCGTCGGGATACTTTCTCCAAACAGCCTCATAACCTCGGCCAGCCCGCCGTCCAGCCTGACGGCGACATTTTCGTCCGCGACCCACATGTTCCAGAGCTCGGAGCAGCTTTCGAGCCACAGCGGATTATCGTCGAGGAACAGGATCCTCTCGCCGATGCTCATGCTCTCGGCGACGCCCTCCATGCCGTCACCGATGACCTTCATCACCTCGTCGTCGGCGACACACTCATCGATGTATCTCAGCTGAGCCATCCAGCACGTCTTTCCAATCTTGCGCAGGGTCTCGAGGGCACTGCGTTTCGTCTCGTAGCTGCTATCGTCGGCGACCTTGGCCAGGATATCGTCGCGGAGGATATCGAGGACGGTCTCGCGGACCTTTCCGGCGATCGTGTAGAGCTGGGAGTCGCGCAGGCCCCTGTAGGCGGAGTTGATCTCGTGCCAACACGTCTTGGCGAGCTCGTCGAAACTGAGATGGATCGCCGCCGCCTGCCGCGCCGCCTCCTCCGCGCGCGCCGCTACCGCGAGCGTGTAGATGTCAGGGTGCATCTTGATCGCCGTCAGCAGCAGCGTCTGCTGCACCGAGGCCGGCAGCACGCTCAGGAACGCGTGAGTGATCTCCGCTTTCGCTGGCGTGCGCAGGAGCTGCGGCGAGGGCGTCGGCGTCGCTAGCGAGCCCGGCATCGAGACGGGTGGCTGCGGTGGCGGCGGCGGCGGCGGCTGCGATGCCTGTGGCTGCTGCTGCTGCATCATGGTGACCGGCGGTGGAGCGGTAGGGGGGGAAGTGGGGGTGGGCGCCGCAGGATAGCTCACGAACGCCTCGAGGGGAACGCGCTGATCGCCGCGCGTATACAATCCCAGCTTTGCCAATCTGTTCTCGAACTCGAATTGTCGCTGCTCTTCGAGGCCGTACGGAACGCCCTCCGCGTTCGTCATAATGACTTCGAGGCTGCCCCATTGCAGACCGCGTGCGCGAAGGAGCTCGACTTGCAGGATCTGCCGCGTCTCGATCTGCCGCTGCACGAGCTGCGACGTCGCGGCTTGCTGCTGCAGGCACTGCTGGTGGTATAGGGCCTGCTGTTGAGGAGTCGGGCGTTGCTGCTGCTGCTGTTGCTGCTGCTGGTGTAGCTGTAACTGGTGCTGTTGGTGTAGCTCTTGCTGTATCTGCTGCTGTAGCTGTAGCCGTTGCTGTTGCTGCAGACGTTGTTGTTGCAGCTGCCGTTGCTGCTGCTGCTGCTGCTGTATCTGTTGCTGCTGGAGAACCGGTGATGGCGACGGGGGTAATGGGGGGTAGTCATATTGCTGCTGTAACTGTGCAGCCGCGACGGGTGGAATCGCAGATGGCCGACTTATGTTGTTGCTGTTGTTGTTGTTGTAGTGGTTGATGGGCGGGTGCTCGTAGCTACTCACGGCATCGCCAATGCCGCCGACGCCGCCACTGGTCGCGATCGGGAGCGCTGGGTTGAACGACGACGACAGCGGCGGCTGGAATTGCGAGTTGTAACTGGGCGGCATGTAGGACTGTGGCTGGGGGATTTCGGCGTAGGACGTGTCCGATCGCGGGCGTTTGAGCGTTGGCTGTTGCATGTTTGGAATCGCTTTCTTTTTTTTTTTTTGCGCCGCGCGAGAAGGGGGGGATGCGAGTTGGGTTTGAAGGAGTTGGGTTTTGGGGAGCTGGGGTAGTTAACTAACAGAGTACCTAGTGCAGGTGTGTTGTTCGAGAAGAAAAACCCGATGTAACACGAAATGAGGAAACACGCTATTAGTGGCGCGACGAAGATGAGCGAGTGAGAGTCGGTGCGTCCCGGCAGGAGACGGTAGGAAAGAACAGACGAATGAAATGATGCACGAGAAGACGGTGAGGTGTTTATGAGTATCAGGATGACAAGGGATGTGTAGGTACGGCTTTGCACTAGATATTTCGGCTTACACGAGCACAGATGTCAGCGATTACATCCCCTGCCATCTACCATGACCTATCGATAGGAATGTGGAGGGGAATGTCGATTTCGATAGACATAGAGGGTTGTCGATTATGCTATCTGAGGAGGATCTTGAGGTTGTAGAAATACCGAACGAAGGCAGTTTAGGTACATACCGGTACAGAGAAACTAGGGGATTCATACTGTTTTGTTCTGTGTTTCGGCTTTGTGTCAGGTACACCGTAGATGGCTATTTGGATATCCAGCAAGCTAATGCCAATGGCGAGAGAACGGTGGATGTCGGGAAGACGATACCCACTTGAGTAAGCATGAGAGGACGATCGCCAATTAAGCAATTTGGGGTGCTCACGAGTCACGGCAATAAGCTCCCGCCGATTCCTCCTTCACTGTCAACGGTCCAGACCCGGCTAAAGTCCGGCCTGCCCGGCCGTGAACCGTTATCACCCCCCTGCCCTCCGGAGTCCGCCCTGGCCATTCCCGTACCGGTAGATATATGGAGCGCGCCAAGGAACCCCACCCCGCGTTGTCCCCCCGCCAACGCGCACCGAAAACTGCGGAGCGGCCGAGGAGCGGAGATCCTCGATGAGTGATACAGCATGACTCGCCGCCCTTGCCCCGCGTCCGTAATTGGCAATTTGAAGCACTCGTCTTTTCCGGCGAGAGGCCTCCGACAGGTAGCAACGGGCAACTGGCGAGACTGATTCAATTGACTGGAAAGCAACAAGAAAACAAAGCAGCCTGTGTTCTTCAGGCCGAACGACCTCACAGTACCTCCGCGATGTTGAACTACTAATAATGCCTGATGGTAGTGATAATGTCTCTTGTCTCGTATTATGTAGAGGCCAACCGACAGGACGAATATAAACGTAGCAACAGAGGACGTTTCAACGCTGAGCCGACCGGATCGGGTCTGGCCCCCCGAATCCAACACCGGGCACCTAACTATATGGGCACCGACCACGACCACGACGATCGATGGGATCTTTCGGATGACAGATCGGAGACTCGGAGAGACATGCGTGAGACAATCCCGGACTGCACGGGGGCTCGCCGATCTAGTGGCAGTGGCAGTGGCAGGCAATGCACGCACCTTGTCGTCCCCGCTCGGACCGTAGCGAATCGCGATGCGGATGCTCGCTCGGGACGGGGAGCAGGGTGGGGTGGAGTGGGGAGCGGGGGGGGGGTGAGGTCGGGAGGGGTGGGGTTCATAGGAGCAGGGCCCAGGCGGGCCGGTGAGGGTGGGGGTGGGTGCGGGTATTGCAGAATGCAGACCCGAGACGTCCTGCAGGCCCGAGACGTACTGTGGGCAATGGCCGCTACATACTTACGCAGCATCTTCAGTCTTTAGTCTTCACCCACCGTCGTCGATGTGAGCTTTGGGAACTTGGTGGCTGTGGGTTTGGGGTTAGATCCGGCTTTTAGGTGAGTTGCAACCACTAGTCCAAGCTGTTTCTACGTGAACTCATTCCCATCTCCAGTGTTACGAAATCTCCAGTGTCATGTAAGAAGAAATCTCCAGAAACATTCGAAAAGCATCAATTCGTCTGTGACACTCCGTACGAAGATATATACATAAAGCAAGGCCGTAACTAAGTAACCAGCAACAAGGGCAGAATAGAACAGAGCAGAATACTAGAGAGTAGAGAGGACCGTAGATACACACCCACAGGCCGAAGCAACCCAACCAACCAGAAAACCAAAAACCATAGCTCCAGTAACAGTAATAGTAAAAAGAAGTAAGTAGAGTAAACCGATCCCAAAACTCCCATAGGTAGTCCAGTAGGTAGTTCAGATCGCCAAACACAAAACACAAAATAAACCAGTCCCAAAATCACACCGACTCCAGCTTCCCAAGCTCCCCAACCCAATTCCAGTCTCCAAATTCCCAAGCCCCCCGGTGCATAACTCACCTACAACGTCAAAAGCGAGCACCGATTCCTCACGATGGCCTCATCCTTGAACCGTGCAACGCCAAGGCTGCTCCTGATAGCGTTGAGCCGTGCGAGCGTGCGGGCGCGCTGCTGCAGCGTGTACTGGTCCGTTCGGTTCCGGTGCCTATTCACTCGTGCGGACATCTATTAGCACTCGGCTTTTTGATTGAACTGAAATGGGGAGGTATGGGGCTGGGACTGGGACTGGGACTGGGGCAGGGGAGGTAGGAGTTGCATGGGAGTTAGGCGGGATATAGTGGGGTGAGCTGGGTGGGGTTAATTGTCGCGACAAGTCTGCAAACTCTACCCCGCCACTACTAAAGAAAGAAAGAAGCTGATGAAAGATGAAAGATGAACGATGAAGAACAAGAGATGGAGGGAGTATTACAGTTCTCTTAGTCTTCGCTCCGGAGAGTTGCACCATTCGCACTGTCGTCGTACCCAAGTCAGGTCAGGTCCGGTCAGGTCACACTTGTCACGATTGGTTTTCGAGATGAAAGAAATAACAACTGCAAAAGAGAGAGAAGCGCCAAGTGTCCCACATGTGCGAATAGACTCCCCTCCCGTGGGGTGGGGGCCATCTGAATCCATGTAGAAACGAATGCAACGTCATCCATGAAACAACAACCTGGATGGACGATGGACGTCACGGGGTCATCCTCGGCCGTCTATCCAGGCATTGCTCCAGAACAGACAAATGCAGCGCTGGCCAGGAAGCACAAAATTCGGAGGGTTAAGACGAACCCAGTTATTATCCGCTCCAGTGTTACTGCACGTTCGTGGTGATGTCAGCAGAGATCTAGGTAGGACAAGGAGGGGGGGAGGGAGCCACGTACTGCACCACGCAGTACTCGCCGCGACAAGACTTGCACGTGCGACTCGTGCACCTCGTGCAGTCGGCGCAAATCATCCCGCACTCGTAGCAGTCGAGCGAGACAAGTTTCTGTAGCGGGGAGAACACACGGGGTCGTCGTCAGCTCTTAACGTTCTGTCGCGGGGTGTGGGGGGCAGCAGGACATCCTCCTTCCCCTACCCCTCCTCGCGCCCGTCCACAGGGACGGCCGGAATATCATCTGATGGAGGGCCAGTCTTCGTACCTTGTCGCCGTCCCTCGCCCCGCAAGCTTCGCACCACCACTTCCCGCAGCGCTCGCACCACCGCTCCTTCGCGCAGTCCTCGCAGCGGAGAACATCCCCCTCGCGGGCCTCAGCAGCCTTACACGCCACACGAATATCCGAGCTCAACAGCGGGACCGGCGGGTACACGACCCTTGGCAGGGCGTCCGCGCCGCCCCGCCGCCGCGCCTCCGGCGAGGACCCGCAGCCCGCGCACCCGCCCGCAAGCCTAATATTCGCGACCCTTGGCTCGAGGAAACCGTCGCCGTCGCCGCTGTGGCGCGGCCCCGTGCACAGCCGCGTGTCGAACGCGATCGTGCCCTCGCACGCCTTCAGGATGCCGACCCAGTCGCGGCTCAAGATGGCGGGGTTGATGAAGCGGCCGCGGGCGCTGGTGTCGCGCGGCTTCAGCGCGGAGGGGAAGATCCCGCCTGGGGAGTCCATGCTGCCGAATAGGTAGCAGCCCTTCAGCGACGGAGGTGTTTCCCGTGATGGTCGCACCAGGTATTGGAATAGTAGCATTAGCTCCCGCTCGTTGATTGTGCTGCATTCGCGGATTGAGAGTAGTTGTAGCCGGCAGGTGCTCCCGTTCAACAGGTCGTGCAGTAGCTCTACAGTCGCTGGTAGACCGTCGAGAACGAGAGTCTTGACATCGCGGAGGACGAAGGGCTTTTGCAGCAACGTGTGTAGCTCGGACTGATACCGTGGTGTTAGTGTCCGTTGTGCGATCGCTGTGGATGTGAATGTGGCTGTCTGCTGCGATGGCGAGAGGGACAGGTTCAGGTGTCGCCACACTGAGCGTGAGTGCGTTATCAGAGAATGGTAGCTGCGGGAACAGAGCCCGAGCGCCAGCAGCTCGGTCGGTAGTAGATATGGGGTGGTATGTAACAGCAAGTACTCGTTAGAGAGGATATCGATCAACGTTAGTGGTGCCATCGAGGGTCCGGTTGGTTGGTTTCTGGTATGTAACTTGGGCGAAGAGGAGGTTTGGACGGTATGGGAGATGAAGATGTTCTCGAGCCTGGTGCGTGCGCCGTCGAGGACAGTTATGTACGGGTAGTAGTTATATTAAAAACAAGTGTTGACACGATTGGACGTCTGTACTTATGTACGAGTAGATGCTTTGTAGGTATTTCCTTCCGTTCCGTTCAAAGTTGGCGGTCGACCTATGCCTTGAATATCCGTCCGGCCAACACACGTTGCAGAATCTTTCCCAAGAATTGAATGGTGGTGTGTATGTAAGAAGTGCAGCAGATCGAGGAGGTTTGATCGAGCTTTGGGAGTCGAGGGGGAGTGTAGAAAGATATAGGCACATATTGCACATCTACATGTTATCATGCCATCATACTTGATATACCCTGCATACCACCTCCCCGGCTAGGGATCTCTAGCCATATCTATCTTTCGTTTATGGCTAGATTCAATTCCAATCAACAGCTGTGATTCTTCCATCGAGCGTCCTCGAGTGGAACTCGTTTATCTGTCCACCACCTCCACCAGCACCACCACCACTGATCGGTGATGTGAATATGCCCCATACCGCCCCGTCGCCTTGATTCCTACGCGCCTTCTGCGCGCCCTCCCGCCCTCTCACCCCACTCACCGTGGTGGTTCTCCAGCTGTGATTGGCACATCCAGCCAAGCCAACCTTAATGTCCTTTGTGCAGCGTGGCCACCACCACCACAGTCCCCACGTGCACTCCAGTGGTTTATTGAATTTCGTAACGCGTTGTCGTCGGTCGTCGTTTCGTTATCTCCATCCTGTCGGCACACACACCGACAACCAACCCCATCCTATCCAACCAGACTTCACGGATAGGTATCCTTGCGTGGAGCGTGGAGTGGAGCGTCACACTAGCGGCTCAGTTAAGGTCGCTGGGAAGCACATCTGCATGCCCACAATCTAACTCCCTGACTGCTGTGGTTATGTGTGTGTGTGTGTGTCGGCATCCAAGGATGCAATTCATCTAGTATGGGGGGCCATCCTGAGCTTCAGTTAGTATGTACAAACATATAGTACCGGTATGGATGGATGCTCGAGAACAAGAGAAAGTGTGGATCGCATGATGCTTGTTCTATCTACCCCGCGATCTGTCCGCGTAGTCATGAACGATATATGATGGTGTCGACGTGGCCCTACCAAGTATGATGTAAAACATCGGCGTCAGACAAGTCGTATGTAACCCACAGAGAGTGCCATTGCCAAGTCACAAAAGGCGAACAGGAAGTTAATTCCTTACCTACTCACATACCACGGCCCATCTCGCCTTTCTGGCGGACCCACTGCCCAGATGGCAGAGATATGGAATCGCCGATACCACGACCCGTCCACGGGGTTAGGGTTTCCAGTGGAATTCGAACTCCGCGGCATGAACCAGCAACCACAACCACAACCTGGAAACTGCCGAACCGGCAGGAAGAAGGCCCGGATAAAATGAGTTCCCTCTTCACCCTTCCCTCCTTCCCCGCAGAGGTCGAGTCAGAAGTTAGAACAAGGCGGGAGGTGGGGGGAATACGAAACCAAACCAAACCATTCGACGTCGGAGCCGGCAGTCCACGCTGCCGAAGAAGAAGAAGAAGAAGAACATTGCCGGATGCGGAAGACTCCGAATAGCGCTCCAGTGTCCAATGATCAATCGTGACCTGACTCTTACGTACGTACTTGATCTCATGGATACCTACCTGCTCTTTAGGTGGATAAGTATGATAGTTCCTCGGGTCCTCAACAAAGACCAAGCCGTGGGTTAGAACTGTCGATGTGTCCCCAGCCTCCAACCTCCAACTTCCAACATGTGTTTCCCCCACCTCCCACCAAAGCTGACTGCTTCTGCAAAACTGCAACCACCTAGATCGCTGCCGTACACCTCCCCGAAGGCTGCAGTTCCACGGTGTCCAGTTGGCTGTCGAACGTGCCGGTTTACCACATCACGCTTACCATGTTGTACAGTTGTAGCATGCTGCACGTCGAAGCTGTACGGGAAGGTTATTATGCTGCGTATGTATATCAGGTAAGCAGGCCGACGATATCACCAGATAACCAAGGCCCAACTTTGTAGCCTGCACCAGTAATAGCAAGCCAGGGAGGCCTTCCGCAAAACAATATTGAGTGAGGATCCGGAGGTGAAGTGAACTTTTGGCCCTCCATGTGGAGCTCCCTGGTCTGGACTCCGCAGAGCGGGTTTCAAGTTTGGACCTTATGCTACACACTCCGCTACCGGTACTGGTGTCGTAGGTAGATGCCTCGACTCTCGAGCCCTGAGGGTGATCTATCGCTTCCCATCCCAACTGCCGCAATGTGCAGAGTGATATGTGTTGTACCTCCGACAGCTACCACACCTTGTATGTATATCGTTCTGGGCCCCGTACATAGTTGAAGCCTCGAAGATCGTCTCTGCCGGAGGGTGTGCACATGGCCACAGAAACTCAGTGAGAGGTGACAAGAATATCAATGCCGATGCTTCCCTTCCTGCCGGAGGCTCCCTCGCTGCCCGCGGCAGTCCGTCCAAGGTTCAAGAGGAAAATATTTCTAAACAAGACGGTTATATGACAAGAAACACAAGAAACACGAGAGAGAGGAGAGATAACAGCTCGCTCGCTCGTCAGGAGAGACGCGGCGGCGCATGATTGATGAGCTGGCGTGGCGCCAGCTTGGACGCAGCAGAAGATACATATAGGGATGGAATAGAGCGTACGTACGTTGATGTGTGTTCTTTCTTGGCTGTCAAATCCATTGAGTCAGTCCATAGAGTACCTACAGTACCTAGAGTAGAGTAGAGTTCTCTTTCCTCACAGGGCGCGCGGCACGACATCAGGAGAGTAAGTTCGCATTTTGTTCAATATCCGAGTTATGAATTGTGAATCGTGCACATTCCGCTGATTGGATCGCGGCGACGGGCCGCGGCAGAGCTCCGGCTCGCCTGATTGGGTCGCATCGAATCATCGATATGATTTTCCCAGACGTGAGTACTATCCGCGGATCTGCAAAGTAGAGTGCATGCAAGCACTTATCCTGGGGATCGGATCGCCCGATTGCCTGCTAGGTATCGAATCGTGGATAGGTGCTGTCAGTCTGCCGTATGTAGTTGCTGTGACCACTGTCGGCGAGGCTCGAAGGGCCAATATGTCTGTCTGTCTGCCGGCTGTCGTAACTATCCCTCCGCTGAACTGAACGATCAGATCTGGGCGGCCCGTTCCCCGCAAGCCCACAGTGCTTGAAGCTTCTCGTCCGGATTCCGGAACCCGATTGATGATCCGCAACTGGCACTCGGTGTTGTATAGTTATCGCCGGATCCTCCCAAGCCTTCGTCGCTCATGATAATCGAGAGAGCATTTAATTGAGCGGGTCTCGAGAGTGGTAGCGGTCGCTGTTTGTTTGCTGAAGGAAAGATGTATGCAGATAGTTGTGTTAGAGAGTGGGAAGACCGCCAGAGTTATGAATGTTTCCGCCTATATACCTATCCACCTATCCGAGGAACAGCCGCTGAAGATGATGTTCCGGCTCGGCGCGGCGCACGCGATCTTTCCCGAGGCCCAGGAACCTATGTAAAGGATCGGAAGTAGTCTGCGGTATTTATCGGAGCGTTGTGGGGTTGTGTGGATGTTAAGGTAGAGAACAGTGCCAGTATATGTAGAGGTGGTAGCGTTACCCGCTGCAGAAGGAAATAAGTGGATCATCTCATGGCATTGGCCAGTCACGGCCATAGGAAATAGTTAAGTGCTGAGAGACCCAAAAACGGGCGAAGATTCAAAAACGTGATCAATTGGAGTAAAGAGGTTTTCTTGATGATAACATGATACAAGGTGATCATCTGAAGAGGACCAGACACCAACGAGTCGACGACAGGAAGACAGAAATATGTAGTGACAGCAGAGACGGATAAACGTTGAATGACCGCATCGGGTCTGGACCAGGTCCCACCAGGTCTTAATAAGGTCTCCTCTCTTCGGCGCTCACCGATGATTCCAAGCCGCCTCTCGCCTCTGCCTTTGCGCCCCTCAGTGCTCATGGCAGATAACTCGGAAAAGATGCCTCCTGTGGGCTTGCAGGTACGGTGGTCTGTAATATAGCTGCTGGTACTAATTGAAAGGCACCACAGTGAATAAAACATCACTGAAACATAACAGGTAAATTAGAATGGATTTACGTTGCTCTACAACCGTTGTTCTCGTCATACCTAGCGTCAATCTGGGCTGGACCAGAAGAAAAACAAAGCTACGTCTTACTCTACAGTTTCAGGCATACTGGGTACTCAAGTACTCATTCACTCGTATTTGTGCTTGTATTAGTCGGCTCCTTGGAACATCGCCGCTTCACTCGGATCACAGGTTATCACTGTGCCCTGGGCTGTCCCGCCACTCCCAGAACAAGCGAAATCCACCTAATCTACCGTAGTCCTGTATCTGAATAGCTCCACCAACCTCAATTCTGCCCCAGTACCCTCATCCTCCTGACCACCTTCATCGCCCTAGCCTCATACGCCTCCACTCCTCCAGTCAGCACCTCCAGCCTTCCCTTCTCCAGCAAAAACACTTCTCCCCTCCTGTTCTCATCCCACACCCTCCCCCCATCCTCTCCCTCACCAACCGGATTCTCCCCCTGCACCACGGCACGTATAAAGAACCTGTCATGCGTAACCAGCAACACGGCGCCTTCATAAGCGTTCAGCTCTCTAGCCAGCGCCACGATCGTGTCCGAGTCGAGGTGCGTAGTGACCTCGTCGAGCACGAGGAGGTGCGGCGGGGAGCACACGAGTGTTGCGAGGGCGAGGCGGACCTTCTGGCCGCCCGATAGCAAGGCGAGGGGAATCTCTGCTGCAGTGCGCCCCTGCAGTCCCAGCGAGCCGAGGAGGCCCCGCGCTTCTTGCTCTGTAAATAGGCCCTCGGTGGCTTGGAGCAGTACTGACAGTGCGGTGGCGGAGCGGTCAAGGTCGCCGAGTGATTGCAGGTCTTCGACAATCGATTGGCTGAAGTATGCGACGGCCGCCTTGGGGTGCCGGGTTATCGCGCCAGTGCGGGTTCCAGAGGGTTCCCGCCCCTCGACAATGTGCGAGAGGAGCGTCGATTTCCCTGCGCCGTTGAGGCCGAGGATTCCGATGCGCGCGCCGGGGTGGATGGCGAGGTTGATTCCGGCTAGGACGGGGGATTTCATGCTGTTGTATCTGAAGCTGAAGTTTTCAAAAGCCACCAGGACCCCCGGAAACCGCAGTGGCGGCGGAGATTCCGGGAGGGAGATCTTGACCGGAGCGTCGTCAACCGGTACTTCAATCTCGTCTCGAGCCTTTTTGTGGTATCCGGGCAAGTCACGGTTCAGCTTGAATCGTGTCCCCTTTGCACTGACCTCGAGTCCCATCCGCTCATCTAGCTTCTTCTGCCGCGAGGCGGCCTGCTTGAGTTTTTTGTCGTCGCCTGACGACTTGGCTGCCCGGATGTTTCCTACGATCGTTTCCTTCATGTGTGCCTTCTGCCGCTCTTGTGCGTCTTTCATGCGTCCCAGACGTAGCTGGTTCGCTCGTCGTGCTTTGTCGTAGGATGTCAGGTTGCCGTTGAAGTGCTCCAGCTTGTTGTCGCGGATAACGAGGATCTCGTCGGCTACGGCGTCAGCCAAGGATCGGTCGTGGGTAACCACCAAGACTGTAGAGGAGAGGGCTTGGAGATAGCCTTGTAACCAGAGCATTGCGGCCAGGTCTAGGAAGTTGGTAGGTTCGTCAAGGAGGAGGTAGTCCGAGGGCTGATAGAGGATCCGGGCCAGGCTGCAGCGTGTTTTCCAACCGCCCGAAAGAGAACTCAGTGGGCTATCGATTTTGGACAATGGAAAACCGAGGCCAAGAAGAAGCGTGCGAGCTCGGGAATCGGCGGTAGAGGCGGACATCTGGGCGTGTTAGGAAGAATTACCATATCCAATGGAGGATAGGTAGTACGTACCGCTTCCAGAGATGCCTCAAGGTCATGAAGCATTTGCACTGCGACTTCAGTTTCCGCAGCAACTGTAAGTTCATCGAGCTCTTCGTCCAAGTCTAACCTATCCCACTCCCATCAGCAAGATAAACAACCAAACAATTCCTAGTCTCCAGAGAACACTTACATTTTCAAAAACGCATCCAACTCCTCCTCCAGCAACCTCAACTCCTTCCGAGCCTTCAGTCCCCTCGCACCACTGCGATAAGCCGCCAACTTCTTAGCCTCCTCAAGCTCGCAAACACGAGACTCATGCTTCAGTTTCCGGACCGCCTTTGCAGCTGCCGAGGAGTCGGAGGAGCTTTCCAGCGCGACCGTCAACACTGCCCTCCATGTCAGCGTTACATAGCAACCCAAGCTCCGGCTGAGAGGCAGGTAGCCTACGCTTTGTATCCCGTAACGCTCGCTCTCGGTGCGTATCGCTCCTGACAACATGCTGCAGAACCGTTTCGGTATTGTCACTGATCACTTCGTCGCCCCCCTTTGGGGTGAGCGTCTGGCCCAGCAGTAATACCCGCAGGTTGATGGGAATCCCGGGTATATATTTCTCGCCGATAGCCTTTAGTAGTGCTATCATCTTGCATCAGTATACAGCCCTCAACGTTTGTATCCGTAGGACAGTATATAGTACATACTCGACTTCCCCACGCCGTTCCTGCCCACCACAGCATAATGCGTGCCATACTGCAGCTTCAATTCAGCGTCGGAGAGGATCTCGCGCTTCCCGAGGGCGATGGTGAGGGTGCGGATATCGAGCTGACCCGGCACTTGTGTCAGTTCGAGACTCGAGAGCAAGTACTGGATAACTAGGGGGAGGATCGGCATATGTAAATACGTCTCTCGATGCCACCTCGGCCGGATTGGTGGCGTCCGCATGGAATCGGCTCTGCTGCGAGGTTGCTACTAGCTGTGGCTCCTGGGCGAGGGATTTGGGCTTGGGCTTGGGCTCTGGGGAGGTCTTCGCGCGGGGCATTGGGTTGCTGTTGAGAGAGTACGATTGTTGACAACGGGGCAGTGGGTTTTATCCATTGTTAGTACTTGAGCACCAATGTGAGCATGAAGTGAGAATGAGTCGACATGGAACACAATACGAGGCCTCACTGATGCTGGTTGGGTCGGTGCTTGTGTAACATATGCTGTGCCACAGGAAGCTTTCTTCCAAGGACCAAGTTCCAAGCTCCAAGTTCCGGTTCCAAGTTCTTAATCCCAATGTCTGATACGAATGAGACGTGAGAGGACCCACACACGTGTAGTGAACACCAATCCAATGACTTGTAACTCTCCACATCCACCCGTCTACTCACGAAAATCCCCATACACTTGTGAACACCAATGACTTTTAACTCTCCACACGCCCCGTCTACCGTCTATTACTATACATCTACTGCCCCTCATACCCGAGCCCATTCCACCACTCCGCATGAGTATCAACCTGCACGACGCCGGTCTCCAGCATACGCGCATACTCTACGGGACTATCCAAAAACTGTCCCACATCGAGATCAAACTCCAGATTCAGGGCATCGGTCATGAGGACCTCCGGTTCCGGCTGCGGCGCGGACCACGCCTCGGCACACTTCTTCGAGATGAGGTAGTGGCCCACTTCGTTGAGGCGCCGGGTGATCACCTCGAACCGCACCAGCCCCTCCGACGCCCGGCTGCCGCACCAGTCGCTGATGGTCTGCTGCAGCCACGTTATCAGCGCGAGGTCGCTATGCGCCGCTGTGAGGTCTTCGGTTACGAGAAGGTTGCAGAAGAGCGTAAAGAAGGGGATGAACGGGAAGAGACAGACGAAGCTGGAGGAGTTAGCGGAGTATGGTGTGTGGGGGTGGTTACATGCGTACCCGATGTTCCAATGTCGCTGACTAGGAATAAGTCCGTAGAGATCCCGCATCATGTTTATCGCGGCGCGGGCGGAGTGCAATGCGGGATCTGGCGCACACGGTCCGATGGCGGAGTAGTAACCCGCGCGATATAGCAGCGTGAGGGTGGTGTGAAAGTTGAACAGTATGTCACCGTAATACCACTTGTGCATATCGTCTGTGGCCGAGTGATATCTTTCGACGAGCAGCAGATCGTCCAGGATCGTCTGGACCTCTGCCACGAGTGACGCCAGTGTCGCCTTCAACTGCTCGGATATGTCGTGGCTGGGCGACCGTTTCCTCGCAGCCGCATTGGCAAGGACAACGTTCATTTTCTTCTGCACCAGCGCCAGCCGCGTGGTGGCGTAAAAGACGATATGGTGTTCCGGCGTGAGACGCAGTTCTTCGTACATCCATGTGTTGAAGACGGGCATGTCGACCTTCCACGTGCCGTCTTGGATGGCTGAGGGTGCTCCTGCTTGCAGGTTGAAACCGCTGTCAAACTGGTAGATCTGCCAGAAGAGCAGCCGGTTCATTGCTTTCCTGGTTTCTGTGAGAGGTGGGTGGTGAGTGAATGTCGGGTCATCGATGTGGAACAGGCCCTGATCACGTGCTACAGCGCAGCCGTGCTTGAAGATGGAGATCGCTAGGTTGTTGTCCAGAAATTTCCAGGAGAAGATGGTCTGGCCAGCCTGGGTTAGATCCTCGACACGAGACGGAAAGAGTACGGAAGGCTGACCATCGACAGAGCAGCCACAATATCAAGCGTCGTATATGGCGGTTTCTTGTTCTTCCATGGTTCCAGAAGGTTTAAGCACGCCTTGTACAGACCCTGAGAATAAGCGAGACGATTGGGAATTTCGGAATCGTCAAGCGCCAGCCCTTGTTGAGCAAGGGAGTAGCAGCTGATCAGACATGCCTTGTCGAGAGTGGTGTCCGGACTATCGATGAGTTCGGGAATCATCAACATGAAATCATCGGGGATAGTCGCGCGGAGGGAGAAAAGGTAGTATTCAGGTGCCTGCCTGAAGAATACTGCTTTGGTCAGCATAACCACTCCAATACAACCGGACTTGGCAGGAAGGGCTAAGTGCATACACTGAAGCCATGCCTGGATCTCTGCCGTGGAAGGCATGAGGAATTGGTTGCCGGTGTGAGCATTGTTTGGCACTTTAACGGTTTCCGTCTCGACCTTGTGCAGGCTATCAAGGACAGCCGCTTCTTCGTGGTGACTGGGGCTCGACGCCGTCTCGGGTGCCTTGACCGACAAAACTGCTCGAGCGAGGTTTGTGGCCTCGGCGACAAGCTGCGTCAGAGACGGCGATCCGGGCTGCATGGCTTCTTCCGCCTGCACTGCCGCCGAAGGACTACGGGTTGCCGGACGCTTAAAGGTTCTGTTTACAGCCAAGGTTTCGGTCCGCGAGAACGGGCTTCCCCTACTGCTGCTGCCAGCAGACGCTGCACCAGGCGTCGGAGTGTTTTTCGGCTGATCATCTTGCAGCTCAATAGATTGCTGCGACTGCTCCGCCTCCTCCTTCTCCTGCTGATACTGCTGCTGCTGCTGCTGCTGCACGGTCCCATTTGATATTGCATTTGCGACAGTAGTCTCCAATCGTTCCAGACGGTCAAAAATGTTCTTCAGCGCTTCTTCCGTGCTCCTGCCCAGCCGCCGAGTAATCAGCTCCACGACTTCGAGCGGACTATTCGCCGGATCGAACATACAGCGCGCGCTTCGACCTCTGCTTCCTCGCAGGATAGGCGCAATTCAAGCCAAGGGTCTGGCATTTGTCACAAGCCGGTCTTACACGGTTGCAGCGAATCTATCGTAGGTATCACCAAGCGGGTGGCGAGTCAGCTACGACTTTGCTTTGCTTTGCCGCAGTCGGGACCAATCAGCGATCGTCAAAACATGGCATCTACCTTTCTTTCCCTGCAGGAATTGCACTAAAACAAGGTCAGAACCCTTCCTTCCCTCCCCCAATATCGCGGCTGGACCGGGGTGGTGGGGTGTGTTCCTACGGATATCTCTGCTCGGTCGTCACTTTCTTGTCGCGGCATATTGGGACGATTGCGCTTCTTTTTTTGGCCGTTTAGATGTGACTGGTGTGGGAGAACGGGAGAGCTCTCTCTCACTTGCGCGCGGACTTTCGGACGTTTATGAGTCCAGTGCTGCGAATCCATGCTGGGAGCAACCCGGACTCTCGGACTGTCGTAAGTCCGGCCAGGGCTGACGACAAATAAGCAAAACCACCGAATGATGAATCTGAGACTTTTGTTATGCAGCCGCCGCCAGCCGAGAGGTTGCATATTCTTCGGACTTCCGGATCGTGGGATGCTGAGGATTGGTCAGTGCGTGTGTATGCAGATTGCCAGCAGCGAGCCAGCAAGCGGAGCACCGGCACTGTGCTAGTAGTTAAGGACCAACGTTCACCGTGGACAGATGGAAATCATTCGTGCACTGGTAGGTTTGTAGAGTGCATATAGAGTACGGATTACGTATGTACGATATGTAGAGTACGGATTACGTATGTACGATATGTAGAGTACGGATAGAGTACTGGTACGAGTAACCATTTACGAGCGGGAACCACACTGACAACCTCCGAGCTGAAACCACGGCCAAATTGTCGGTCCGTGGCTCTTGGCACCACCCGCAAATGCCCGCCCATCCGGCAAGCTCGAAATTCCTTTGGCCGAGGGCACAGTCAACTCGGGACCGGAAACTCGGGCATCCGACGGGCATGTGGGCTGCCTTCGTCCTCTACTCTGTCGGTCCATCTGTTGCTCCATGTAGACAGCTACCTAGGCATTCCGGCTTCACCTCCATTCGGAGTCCGGACGCATCCCATTCAGCCCCGATCTGACTAAGTAGGCCCCTTCCTCTATCGCTACATCCGAACACTCAATGAACCCCGCTATGTATCATGCCTAGAGTACACTCACCAATCCTGATCTACACCTTATCGTCTCCGGGACCACTGGCTTTCTTCGCATCAGGCTGGTAAAGGCACCGGCGAGCGCCTCTCCATACCTGTTCGCACACTCTCCGATTCGGCAGCAATGTCTATCGGATGTCTGTGTTAGTCCTCATCCGATTCGCGCTTTCAAACACCAACCCAAGTAAACATACTGGAAACACCACGACCAATCCACCATCCCCCTCCACGATGACGGCGACATAGAACCGCACCTCCATGCCCACAAAACCCTCGTTGACGACGACATCGCGCACCTTTTCGGTCGGAATAAATCTCGTCCGCCGGCCCATGCCCCAACACGTGCCGGCCGTCGTGCTCGTCTGCAGCCCCAGCGAGCGGATCACTAGTAGACTCTCCTCGGTGTAGCCGCGCAGCGAGATGATCCACAGACATACGAGCGAGACCGGGTATAGGAACTTTGGATCGATAGGTGGCCGCTGCAGGAAGCGGAGCTCCGCCGGAAGCAGCGAGTGTTGCGATAGCAGTAGTATGGCGATGGTGATGAGCGCCAGGACTCGCAGGAGGTTGGTTAGCACCGTGGTGATTGTGCGGCGGAGACTGGGCGGCGGTCGTGTAGTGACGGTGAATTCGGTCGTCGTCGAGGAGGGACTGCGGATATGCAGTGTTGAAAACATTCTGCTGGCCGGAGGTCGGTCGGTCGTCGTGATCGCTGGCTGCTCTTCGAAGCTTCGGGGGGTGACGCGTCGGCACAGGCGAGACGCGAAGAAGGGAGCTGCTAGAAATCTGAGGACTTTACCCGGCCGGTATTCGATTCTGTGAGCGAGGATATTTATGCGTCGCTTGATTCCTCCATCGCGATCATGCTCCCACAACGGCAACTGCTGCGTTTCGCGGCACCCTTACGGCCCCGCAAACTCCTCGTCCCAATCACCCCGTCAGCATGTCGCTACTCAATCGCTGGGCTCCCTGCAACCCCCGCCCCGGAGTCGAAAACGTTCTCGACCCCGCTCGCGAAGCAGCTCACGGAGGCCATCAAGACCACCGGTCCCATTCCGCTGGCAGCGTATATGCGGCAGTGTCTGACGTCTAGCTCCGGTGGCTACTACACGACGCACGCCGACCCGTTCGGGCGGCGCGGTGATTTCATCACTTCTCCGGAGATCTCGCAGTTGTTTGGCGAGATGCTCGGGGTGTGGCTCGTCACCGAGTGGATGGCGCAGGGACGGCCAAAGTCCGGTGTGGATCTGATAGAGTTGGGACCTGGACGCGGGACGCTGATGGATGATGTTCTAAGGGCACGCCTTCTTCCACCCACCTCACTTACAGGAGCGCACCAGCTTACCAAAGCGGCGTAGACAATCTCCTCCTTCCGCGCGCTCACCACCGCGATCGAATCCATCCACCTGGTCGAAGCCTCGCCCACACTGCGACAAACGCAAGCCTCGCTGCTCTGCGGGCCGTCCACCGAGCTCTCGGAGCTCCCCAGCGGCGTGTTCACCGCCGTGAGCAAACACGCCAACATCCCAGTGCACTGGCACAGCAGCCTCTCCACCGTCCCAGCCGGCCCCTCCCGCACGCCCTTCATCCTCGCGCACGAATTCTTCGACGCGCTGCCAATCCACGCATTCGAGTCTACCGCGCAAGGCTGGCGGGAGCTCCTCGTCTCTCCCGCGCCACCGACCGCGAAGCCCTTGGTCATCGGCGGCGCCGCTCCCGAATTCGCGCTCACCCGCGCAACGCAGCCGACGCCGCACGCCCTGCTGCTCCCAGAGCTCTCGCAGCGCTACAGGGCGCTCAAGAAATCGGCCGGGTCGATCATCGAGGTCTCGCCGGAGAGCCTGACGGTCGTCGAGGACATCGCGAAGCGCATCGGTGCTGGGAGCAGCGGCGCCGCCCTGATCGTCGACTACGGCCCGCTCGATACTGTCCCTGTCAACTCCCTGCGCGGGATCAGGGCCCATCGCATAGTCTCGCCGTTTGAGCGCCCCGGCGAGGTGGATGTTAGTGCGGACGTGGACTTCCATGCGCTTGCGGAGCGCGCGCTGGTCGCAAGTGAGCGTGTGGAGGTGCATGGACCTGTGGAGCAGGGGGCTTTCTTGCTCACTATGGGCATGAGGGAGAGGATGGAGCAGCTGGGGAAGAAGATGAACGACGAGGAGAAGAAGAGGATGGACACCGGGTTCAATAGGCTCGTCGAGAGGGGCCCCGGTACTATGGGGAAGATCTATAAAGTCCTTGCTATTGTGCCCGAGAGGGGAGGGAAGAGACCTGTCGGCTTTGGGGGGATGGCGGCGTAGATGGCGGGGCTGAGGGATAGATGTATAGTACATACGGAAACTCATTGATAACCTTTCGATTACTACTTTCTCGTCCGACAGTTATTGCGGTGCAGTGCACCTTTCTCATACCGCCAGTTACTAAACCCGGGCCGTCGGCAGAGTAAAGTATTTCGTGATTCCATCAGCAAAGTCAGGCCCCCAGCCCGGAGCCCGGAGCCCGGACTACAGTTCGGACCGGAAGTAACTAACTAGCGCAGTCCGGTCGGGCAGCTTTTCGGGGCTGAAAAGTGCAGTCCGCAACTGACTAGTGGCGGGCTGACAGCCTGACAGAGAGAATATCAACTTTGCCGCATCCGGCATTTCTGGACTACAGTCCTTTTTGTCAGCCCCACGGTTGTTGCTACGCCCCTGCCTACACACAAAATCGAAGAGGGAGAGAAAATCTGATTGTGATCTCTATACGGCGTTTGTCTTCCCCTACGCACATAACCCACAGACCTAGGTACAGTGTACACAGTACCCGCCGGGCACGCCTGTAGTTACATGTTCGGCTCCGGCAAGTGAGTGGCTGACCGAATTGACAGTGTCATAGCCACATCGCAGCAACTACAAGTGAGTGGCCCATTGTGAAGATATATCCACATACCTAGCAGATACCAGATATCTTGCCGAACCTCCTTCCACGCTGAAGACATTCCGTCGTCGTCGGGCGTGTCACTCAAAGAACCAAGGTCCAAAATACGGCTGGATATGTTTCCCGAGCTGAGACTGAGAGTCGCCAAGTTTGAAGTGACTTCGCACAGATGCCGTGTAACTGATACCTACGGTAGAGAGCTTAGAGCTGGAACGGAGATGGAGACGGAGGAGACTGCGCGGCCTGGATGTATGATCGGTGATCAGCATACGACGGAGGCCATTCACTACTCTACCTACGCTACTACCACATCCCCCTCCAGGCAGGCAGTAATACATGGGCAGTAGTGAGCAGTAATTCAGGCTTGGTTACAGAGACATATCTTCAGCCATGGAGGTTACGTTGTACTTACGGTGGGGACGGTTGTGGAAACAATCTTCCCGTGTCCACGGTAATGGGCATGAAACATATGCGCGCATGATGAGCTCACCACTCGAGAAGGAGAGAGAGAGATCGTTCTTTGAGCCCACTGGATACACTCTCTCGTGATGTAATCTGCTGTTGTGCCGATGTGGGTACCAATGCTCCAACTGATCCCGCAAATCCCACCGGGGGGGCGCACGAGTTGAGTTGACCTGCTCCTATGGTACGGTGTGTGTAGGTGTGTGATGTCTTCCTGCCGGACTTCCGAAGTCTTGTCTTGCCTGGGCGATTTCTCGTTGTGCGTGGTTCCGATAGGATGTATGTAGGTGGGTACATGTGATGGGTACCTACTCGCGATAGGCAGGCAGGTAGAGTAGGCAGAGTGGGTAGAGTAGGTATCTAGAGTAGGTATGCAGGTCCGTCCATTCGGACCGTTCCGATCATGCGAAACATGGTGATTAGATAACCATGATTTGACGGTTGCCGAATAGCAGGGCACAGTGGAGTTGCCACAAACTTCCCTACCATCTACCATCCACCTCACCTCGTCCGCCGAGACACTTTCATGCAAAACATGCATTAACTTCCTATTTCCCCGAGCGACGCCCGTGTTCCGCTGCCGCATTCTGCGTTCTCGAGCCTGTTTGGCCAGGCAGGTACCACCACCACCACCACCACCACCACCACCACCACCACCACCACCATCGTTATATTGCCATCACATGCCCTTCCACCCATCCACCCAACCAGCACACAACCTTCCCAACCTTCGCAACCTTCCCTACGCATCTCCCATCGCATATCGAGCATACCCGCGACCTGCTTCTTCTCGCCACATGTTTAATTTCGCCCAGCTCGGGTAATGAGCCGGGGCGCGTGCGAGCGAGCGACTGGCCCACAAGCGACCGGGTGGTTATTAACATATTAAGCGCACGAGAAGCTCCGGGATTATAGTAGGTATACGGTAGTATGGAATGGAATGCCTCTTTTCGCGGCGTGATCGTCAGGAACACAGAGGGTCAATATAGTGGCGGTCGCGGGGCACATTGGGAGGGGCGAGAGGGGAGGGGACGGGGAGAGGATGGGAGTGGGTATAAAGCAGCAGCAAGTCCGGTGAAGATGTAGACGGGGTTGTTTTTAAGGATCCCAACCCCGAAACGAAACGATGCAGGCGCTATACACTCTTTCCTCCTTGCTGCTGCTGCTGCCGGTATTTGCAACGCTGGCGGCCGCGAATTCCCCGCTCCCCGACGACCTGGTACAAGCGTCTCTCGCCTCGCCGTCGGAGCGGGGTCTCGAGCTTGCCATGGCGAGCCGACCGTTCGTGCCCTCCCCCCAACCCCCCCACCTCCGCTCCACGCGCTCTCACTCGCCTCCTCTAACCCCCCGTCTCTTCACAGGATGTGGCACTTCGCGACCATGCGCCCGCCATTCTACACTCAGCGGAAGCGCACGTGCTACCCAACGTCGGCGCTCAACTCCACGGGGCAGCAACACGGCACGCAGCCGCAGGCGTGGCCGAACGCGGGCGATAACTGTGTCGATCCCGGCCCATCAGGACAGGGCAGGCCGTTCCCGACATACTGGAATGTAAAGCAGTGCACGCACGATGAGATACGTGTCATATATAGTCTGTACTCTCAGCATGATGGGTTCAGTAATGTGATTGTGGCGAAGGGGCATAGTGAGTTTTTCCCACTGATGACGAGTGATGAGATGTGAGGAAGGGGAGGGGGAGGGGGCGGGGGAGGGGCGGGGGAAAGGTAGGGGGAAAGGGTAGGGGGAAAGGGTGGGCAACGGCTGACAGAGACAGTGCACGACTGGGAGCGGATCGTAGTGATCTGGAAGCGCGACGCCGGCACCTCATCCTGGACCCGCGCGAGCGTTCTAAAGAGCATGCACAGCGGGTACGAATCGCGGTCATGGTCTTCGATCCAATCCACATTCGACCACGCCAACCCTGGCGAGAGCGGCGGGAAGAACAAGGACGGCGCGAAGATCTATAGCGGGTGGGCGAAGCATCCGTTCTTCGACACGAAGGAGACCAAATGGAGGGATAGTATCTCCCAGGGCTGCCAGAGAGAGTTCAGGAATGATGAGTGGTGGTACATGCCGCAGTTTGAGGATATGGTTTGGGCGGCGAAGGAGAGTCCTGAGGGACAGCGCCTGGCTGGGTTTAGTTGGGGCGCGGCGACCGGAGGGCCCTGGGTCGTTGAGGAGGGGATCTGTGCGAAGGGGGAGGGCGGGTTCGTTAAGTGCTGAGTGATGATCGAGCGCGAGGCTGTGTGTACTTGTATGATCATATAGTGTATGTAGTGTAGGACCGGTAATTAGATCTAGTAGTTAGTAGTTCCTCAATGTAATACAATCCCATTCATCGCCGTAGGCTGTAGCCCTGGGAGTAACGGCGTCAGCAGGTCCATGGTCCATGACGGCGCAGTGCGTGCTCTCACTCGTCCGCACGGGTTAGGATCATTTCTGATCACCCATCTTGCTCCTCCGTTCTTGCATCCGACCGCTTCCGCGGCAAGGATGAGCCCGGGCCCTGCGGTGGCCCGATACCGTACAGTACCTATTGGCAGTCCGTCGGTCCGGCGAGTCGGAGGACGGACTAACTGGCCGAATTATTTGGAACCAACCGTGAGGCCCTGCACCCTCGTCTTTCTGCCATTCACTAAAACGCCTGTATGGAACCACCAACTACTCACAAACGAAACTCGTTACCATTTTAGGTACCTATACAGTATACAGTATGCACAAATCCCACCCGCATGCACGCCCAAAATGTCTAAAATACACCGCCTTTACGCATCATACTGCCAATCCCACTCCAGAGTTTACACAGCCCACAACTCCTCCGCCTCCCAATCCGGCGGCACAACGTGATCCATATCCAGCACGAACCCACCATCCTTGTCCAACGCGAGTCCCGCATCACTAATCGGATGTACCTTCCTCGTCATCTCCATCTCCCTTTCCGCGACTCCCGCTTGATCCCTCGGCACCCATATGACGGGCTGCGGCGCGGTAACAGAGGGGTGCTGATACACGTCCTCGTCGAACTGCAGCTGCGGCGGCGGGCCGTCAAGGCGCGGCACGAGCTTTTCGAGCACGCGGTGGTCGAGATAGAGCTCTGGGCGGAGGAGGCGGCCCCATGTGCCCGTACCGCCGCCGTGTCGGGAAAGGGGCAGGGTCGCGCTAGAGGTCTTTGAGAAGCTGCTGAGCGTGCGCTCGGCGAAGGCGATGACGCTTTTTTCTTTCTCGCCCGTGGTTGGGGCGAACATGGGGTCGGCCTCGAGGTCGCCGTGGCTGGCGGCGGGGACGTCGGGAAGGTGCTCCAGCAGCGTGGTGACGTTCGCCGTGAGCGACTTCTGGAACGCCACCGTGATCGCGATGAGGATTAGCTCCAGGATGACAGGCCCGATTTGTGCCTTGAGCGCGAAAAGACCTGCGAGACAGCCCTGGCACAGGTACACGCCCACCAGCGTCTGCTTCCATGCCCGTGGGTAGGCGAGCCCTTTCGTGTCCACCTTGGTGTTGTACACGAATAGGAAGTTGTAGCGGTAGGCGAGGTAGACTAGCCCCAGGCCTGGCGTGGCGAAGAGGAGGACGAGAGGCGCGATGATCGAGTAGGTCAGGCTTACGACTACCAGGTTCGAGTAGAAGGGGAAGAGACTGCCCATGCCCGGGTCAACTAGGGAGGACCAGCGCCGCCAGGTCTTGCGCGGCGTGTTGTCGAAGTAGCCGAGGATCTTGTAGAAGATCAAGGTGGCTAGTTGGAGGACGATGCTGGAGGAGACGGAGAGTCCTTGTAGCAGCATGTAGGAGATATAAAAGTTGGACGCCTTTGGGAGGTTCTCGGCCAGCAGACCAGTAATGGATGTAGGATCTTTGATGATCTGATGCAAACGGTTAATCAATGGCAATGAGATGTATCATGAGCAGTAAAGGAATACCTGTGTGGCGGCTGGGAGATGTCAGTGAAGCTCATGAATGGAAAGGCAATGAACATATGTATCATACCTGCTGAGGCAGCCGAGGTGATGGTCGTGACCAGGAAGACCTGAATGACGAGGAAGATGAAGTACCAACTCTGCAGCTTGAGTTCTATGCTAGGTCTTGAGGCTTCCCCGGAGAGTGTAATAAGCCCTATCATCCATCAGCAGGCGTCTCTTGGTTACCGTCAGCCATCGCAACCCACATCTCAAGATAGTCGGCACCAGCTCCAATAGTAGTGACAGCAGCAGCGGCGGTAGCAAACCCGTAATCGCACCAACAATGAAATCTGGCAGATACTGAATGATTTCCAGAAAGGGAAGATATGTGGCGAGGTATTCGAGCTGCGATAGTGTTCCAACGAAGGCATTAGGTATTGACCAGAACATTGTCATGAACGCGAAGAACGCCGTCGTGAGGACGACTCTGATCTGGCGCTCGAACCAGCCGGTGTTGAGATTCTCCCAGACCACTTCGCTGGGCGATACTCCGATGCTGCGGGGGGCCATCTGGATTGTCAAGTCGTGGATCACGACCCGGAGAGCACGTTGTGCATTGGATTGGCTGGTGAACGAGACGAAGGCCGAGTTGCACCTGTTCGGTCAGTGAGAAAGTACCAAACCGAATGGTGAATACGTACACTTCACCACTATCTCCTGACCGCTGCAATTCCTGAAGCCCGCTCACTCGCCCGTTCAACTTCGCCAGTTCTGCCCGACACCACTCGATAGTATCCACCTTCTTCCCCCACCTGACCCGATGCGTCGGTCGCTTCAACCTGGTAAACCACCTCTTGAACAGACTCCCCCCGTCCTCACTGATCCCCCAGCGAGCTATCCTCAGTTCGCGGTGGCAACTCCGCCTGATCAATGCGACCTCCGCCTCCTCCAGCTTCATGGCGGTATAGTTCCTTCTCTTAAGCAGCTTATCCAGCTTTGGATTCTTCCTGTTGACGCGGACATGCTCGACGGTCTCGCCAAAGACGGCCTTCAACGCCTGCTCGCTGCGGAACTTCACGGGTATCGCCGTGATCAGAATCGTGCGCGCCGACGATCGCGGCGCGTACATGTCGCTGTGCATGTATGCCTGCCGGATCGCAACGTAGAATATCAATTCGCGGTACACGACGAACAGCACGAAGCTGAAGTAGATGTAGCTCACTAGGACGTGCGCGTAGAGACTGCCGCCAACACCATCATCAGTCTTTAAAGCCCCATTCGGACCGTGAAACATACCGCTTATCGTTCGATTTCCCCAGGTTGCTCAGACTGAGCAGGTCCAGCCCTGCCTGGCCCGCGTTTCCCGTCGCATTGATCGGAAACAGTATGAACGTCATGAGCACGCCTACAAAGCATAGCATCATCGATTGACGAATGTACCGAAGGAATAGGTACCCGTCGAGGCCATTCGTGCGCAATACGGTCTCATCTCTATCATCATCATCATCATCAGCGCCGACCTTGCGAACAGAGGAAAAAGGGGGGCGGAGGGCTTACGGAAGCCTCCAGACATTTCTCATCCACCCCAGCTGCTTCGAGAATCCATCCAGTCCCTCGACGACATCGACGACGCCATGCTTCGATTTGTCGGAGTACTTGAGCTGTCTCCAGGACTCGATGCCGGGGACCTTTTATCCTCCCCCCTCCATTAGCGCAGCTCCCACACCCAGTGGGGCAGGGCTTACACACACAAGTCAACGGAGCATAGACACGCCGGTTGTACCGCCGCAGCACAAAGAACAGCGCCGTGATCCCCACAAAAATAAGTGAATTCACCGTTAGCGTCGACGTGAAGGCATCTGTTGACGTTCCCCGCGCACTACCGATGTTGGGATCGTTGTCTTCACCCCCCGTCCACAGCTGATTAGTTTGGGATCAATCTCATCGTGCTATGTATCTATGGATGGGATCTGGAACAAACCTTGCGAGAGGAGGTCCCGGCTGGCCAATCGTTTCAGGTCCATTGCTGAGATGCCCATTCTTTTGTCGAAGACTGGGAGACTCGAAGACGGAGACGAAGGACGACTATGACCTACCTACCTAGACCAGAAATCTCAATCCCATCCCCTGAAGATGGACACCACGGTCGTTATAAGCTCGCTGCCAGTGGCAGCGCCAGTCCGACCGTGGGGCCTGCAAGATCTACAGAGCATGGGGTTTTTGCCATTAGCCTATCGAGATCGCCGAAGCGAGGACATAGAGTAGGTAGGTATTGCCCTACTCCTGCTACCTATATAGTAGTACATACAGTTCCCATTTTGCGCATTCTCCTGAGTCGCCGCTTCAGATATCTTCCGCGTCGAGACACCTGTGGACCCGAGATTCGCAGCAAACAAGCGGGGGCCGTAGGGCGGCGGGCGCAGGACCGAATCGAACCGAAATTCTGAAACCCTCATCGCACTCCATCTCCACAACGACGACACTCCGGCGCGGGTACCTGACGTCGCTCCAGCATGCCCCCTCCAGAGTCTACATAAACCCTAGCGTAGCGTGCATGGAAGGAAATCAGGTTGACAGGTGTTCCATCTGCGCCGTCCATGGACCGCCACTGGCACTGGCACTCGCACTGGGGTCTCGGAATCCAGGAACTTGGAACTCTTTTGCCTCTGCCTCATCGTGAAGAAGTCTGGACCTTGTTCGTTCTCTTCCTTTTCCTTTTCGCGTTCCATCGCGGAGCCACCGCCGCACGCCGCAGGACTCTAACGAGAACTAAAGTAAGAAACTATAGGCGCACGGACCTACGGAACTCCCCCGCCTAGTCGAACTCAGAAGCGATGTGTAATCTCGGCGAAATGCTTGAAAGCGTAGTGCATTTTTTCTTCTTCTTCGCTCCTTCCGCTTCTTTTTTCGTGCATCCGGTCGGTCGGCAGATAGTTATGTGGTCAAGCTAGTTAGCAAGCTCAGCAACGAGAGATGGATCATGGATCCGCGCTGCACTGGAAGGCTGGAAGTGGGGAGCGCATGCGGTGATTGGAGATGTTCCAGCTGAAGCGGCTGATGCGCGCGGTGAACCGGCACTGTCACAGCTGTGTTGGGTACGAGATGCTCTCACTCGAGGCACACTAGGTACTCTAAGAGCTGTATGCAGAACTCTGCTATGCGGAAAAAGCGAACATGTATACTCATACTAATCATATATAACACTTTGCCTTGATATCTGTTATATACCATCCTCCCAGTGTCCACAGCTGGCGATAGAGGTATGCATCTTTCTGTGCTGCCCCTTGGTCACTGGTTGCCAGCGAAGCACAAACCGAGCCAACTCATGCGGATGAGTGGATTGCGACCGGCAAAGACACAGCTCAACAATCGGGCCGGGAGAGCGGCACTCAGAGCCTCAGACTTGCATCTCTTCATAAGGGTGATCAAGCTGAGCCAGAGGGATCGTCGTCTCACAAAGCCCACTGAGACAGTGGGAAGACGGCTCACCGCCTGGCGAGGAGATCTGGAGAAAAACGAAACCACTGGATTCCAGAAAGAATTGGTCCTGGACGCTACCACGAGTATCCAAGATAAGGAAGCAGCTGCAAGACCGGGACTAGCATTGTAACCTGTGGGCGGACGGATCACGACTTGAGAATGGTGCCTGTGGATATGCGCTCGTACACCTCAAGAGACGTATAAGTGACGAGAACTGGAAAGAATCTAGAGAATGGTCAGAAGCGCACATAATACATGGGAGTCACAATCCACCGAGGAAGACCAAGACAGTCGACCCAGTTCCAGGGAGAGCCCCAAAGCGCCCGGCCACCAGGTACTACCTACTAGCTGAAGACAGGACATGCGCTCACGGCGACCTATCTGGAGCGGATCAAGCAGCGAGACGATGACCAGTACGTACTGGTGGTGCAAAGAGTCCAAGCAGACAGGGGAATATCTGTTCAAGAACTGCAACAGGTGGCGAGCCTAACAGAGAGCGCTGTGGGAAAAGATCAGAAAGCTCCACCGCTGCTGACACAAAGTAGGACCTGTTTGCTTCCCGTCGTCAGTATGTATGCACCGATATCAGCTCCAGCCTCCAGCACACCTGCATACCTGCAGGCTGCAGCCCACCGTCACTGCCCGCCCGTTCCCCGTTCCATTATCCATGCGTCGGGATCGCCCACTACACCATCAGTGCCAGGGCCCGGGCCGGTATCCATGTCTGCGTCAGTGGTCACTGCGTGCCGCCCGCCGGCGGCTAGTGTATGTATTGTACAGTAGATTATTGTTGAGTACACTGTCGTCCAGCGTCAAGTGGAATTGTGGAAGTGCTTCCCTGATATATACCATATTGAGCCGTGTACTAAAGTCAAAAGCATTATGGCAGCCACATATGAGGGCGATTTTGACACTAGAGTTTTGGGGGGAAAATACTAACATTTATTTTCCCCCCAAAACTCTTGTCGTAAAATAAGGCTTAGTCAGGGTTTTCAAATTCCAGCTCTGATTGTTGAATATGGCTTCCTCAATCCTGAGTGCAGTGAAAATCAGTCCCGACTCGTAAGCCTTCGGCAACCACCATGCGCCCGCCCGCCTTGGAAGTTCATAAGAGTTCTATATGGGCTCTGTAGGGAATCTTGAAAAATAAGGATTAATAAGGCTTATACGCTCATAAGTATTCCCTAATGACTTCTTCTGCAACAAGCCCCATCTCAATGTCATACTTATCGCTTATCAATGCTCTTCACTTGGCGATGACTATCACTTGTTCCGTACCCTTATATACCTAAATTACTCTCCTTCCCCGCTCCCCAGTCAGCCCGCTACCATTCCCATACATAGTACCCTCCCCCATTCCCATACCATCCCGGCGTCCCCCACTCACATGTCCCCTACTGCTCCTCGCCGTGGATAACTTGCTGGCTCCGCCGCGGATATAGCCCTGCTGCGTTGTGAAAAGTTAGTAGTACCGTGCCACTGCTCAACGCCGCAAAAGCTGTGCTGGCCTCGCCGCAGTGGATTCTCCCGTGTCGCCTTGGATCTCATTGCCCTATAGCTAGTCAGCATAGCCGTTCAAATTAGTGCTACGGGTGTGGTGGAGTGAAGAATGAGTTGTCTGTGAGAGGACGAGGAGTTGCGGCGAGAGGAGGAGTTGCGGCGGCAGTAGGAGCTATAAGACAGAGAACCATCAGTGAAGTTGTAGTTGCGGCGGGAGCAGCAGTAACAGTTGTGGCGGGAGTAGGAGAGTAGGAGTTGCAGCCAGAGTAGGAGCTGTTAGAAAGAGGAGGGGGCTGTTGGCGAGGAGGTGCCGTGGGCTCGGGGGTTTTAAACTTCAAAATAAGCTTCATCATATCTGTCCTCAGAAAACTCTGTAGGACATTATCTGGCGGGTTTGATGCTGCCCGAGTTGCCTCTCTCTCTCTCATCATCATCTACAGAATACCTAGACGGCCAATCTCCCATCTCCGCTCTCTCCTCTCGCCCCGCCGCTGCCGGTGTCAAGCAGGCTGATTTTCGTATATGCACTATTAACTCATAAGAATAATAGAACCCATAGGTTTGAATAAGACTCATCGGAGGCTTGTATAATGCTTTGAAGAAATCGAGCGTGTGGCGCCCTAAGGATTTTCTGTGTCGAACTGGTATATCCCATAATGCTTCACAAAGCCTGCCAGTTTCAGTCATTATTGTACGCCAGGGCTGTGCATTTCAACAATGACGATATAGGCCTGACGAAAGCCATGAGGCTTACAAAGTGAGAAGGCTGATGTATGTGATGGTGGTTTTCGCTGCATGGGCATTATGTAGGATTGACGACAATTTTAGGGAAATGTGAACATCAGCCTTAGTTTAACACAGCCCTTACTGAGGCTTCACGAGCTCAACGCGCTTATAGCCGGCTTATACGAGGACTGTTTGTCTATTCAAACCCTATATAAGGCTAACGACATTAGTACACGGCTCAATATGGTACCTACCTAGGCGATCTTGTAGGTACGGTAAGTATTTGATATCCATTGATTCTCACTCGTCAGCTAGAAGCCACGAGGGGGATGACAAGTACTAGTAGAGTACTTAGGAGCGGCCGGGCAAAGGCGAACCCACGTCGAGCGGCCGGTCAGTGGGGCGGCAAATGATATGTGACAATATGACTGCCATGCCATGATGACAAGTTCGAATGCAAGGATGATCAAACCACAACAAAATATGAGCGGCCGACAGCGAACCGGTTGGCCAACGGTGAATGTTACCTGTTACCTCGTTTTTGCACTTTCACCTATCTACTCGTGTTAGGCATGAAGTTTTCGAACATGCAGCTGATTCCTTGGTCCAAATTCCAATGCCTTTCACCACGGGCCCATTTGGATAGCCTCACTTTTCAGTCCTAGTTTTATGTAGAGCCAAATTCAGTTCCCCGTCTGGAGACCGAATACCTACTGTTCAGTTTCAGTTTCAGTTTCCGGAAAACATTGAGGTGGACAGAGGGTTTGGCAGTTCTCAGTATACTCTGCCACAAGTCCGAATACCTAATAGGCTTCGCCAGAACTTTAATAGTAGACACATACTTGGTACCATGGTACGTAGAGAGCTTATTGTCCGAGCTCGCAGTTTGGATGGTAGGTATACATTATTTCAACGCCAAATCAATTCCAAATGCGGTATGATATATATTCCGACTTCGCCGACCCTCCACCACTATCTTCCCATCCTAAGCGCGAACCCGGCCCCGGCCGCCTCCTCCTCGACGCCGGTAAACACGCCTCCCTCGACGACGCCCTCGAGCACTGGCGCATCGCCCCTAACCGGCGCACTAGGGCTGAACGCGCGCCTTCGCTTCTCCTGGCCGGCCTTGCTGGGGAACGTCGGCAGCATCTCCTCGCGCTTCGGCCGGGGCTCTTCGCGGAAAAACTCGTGGCCGAGAGCGTCCTCGGCGGTGGTGCGGGCCTTGGGGTCGAGCTTTAGCAGGCCCGCAAGGAGGTCGACGCCGGCGTTCGTGAGCAGCGGGAATTTCGCGCGCAGGTGCGAGCCGGTTGTGGATGAGTGTTTGGGGAACGTGAGGGATTTGGCGTTGGGGAGGCGCCGGTACCCCGGCCAGCTCTCGTCCGTGGGGACGCCCAGCAGCTCGAAGATCTTCGATAGTTGGTCGATCTCGGTTTTGCCCTGCAGGAGCGGTGTGCGTGTCAGCAGCTCGCCGAAGATGCAGCCGATGCTCCAGGTGTCTATCTCGGTGCCGTAGGTTGTCGCGCCGAGAAGCAGTTCCGGCGCCCGGTACCACAGTGTCACGACGAGCTGCGTGAGTGCCGGCGCTGGATCGCCCGTGTACCGCGCCAGGCCGAAGTCGGCAATCTTGATCTGGCCGCGGTTGTTGAGGAGGAGGTTGGAGGTTTTCAGATCGCGATGTAGGATCCAGTGAGAGTGTAGGTAGGCTGTGGCGGAAAGCAGCTGGAGGAGGAGGGTTTTCGTTTCGGAAAGCAGGAAGGGTTCGGACATGTCATCGCACAGCGTCTTCAGGTCGTGTTCGATGAAGTCCATCACTATGTACACGCTTTTTTCCCCGCCGTCAGCATCATCTCGTCGCACTGAGCACGGGATGGGGAAAGAGTGTAGAAATCAACTCACTCTTTCAACGTATCTCCCATCACCACCTCCCGCAGCCGAACGACATTGGGATGTTCCCTCGCCGCCATGAGCGTAGTAACCTCCCTAAGACCAGTTATTGGGAAACCATCGATCTCTCTCTCCAGCTTCAACCGTTTCAGCGCCACAATCTCGCCCGTCTCCATATCCCTCGCCCTGGAGACGACACCATAGGACCCCTCCTCGATATGGTTCAAGCGTTCGTAGCTAGTCTCGACGTGTCTACAGCTACCGATCGTGCCAGCGGAAAACCTCAGCAGCTTCGGCTCCTTCTTCGCCTCTGCATCGGGAGCAAGCGTGTCGTCATCGTCGTTGCGGGTCTTCTGGCGCTTCGTGGGTGGGGGAGAGACTTGGGCGGCCGCCGTCGCAGCTTTCTCCGCCTCGAGGCGTTTGCGCTCTTCTTTTACGGCGCGTTTGGCGGCCTTTTCGGCTTTCAGGCGGGCGGCTTCGGCTACGTCTTCGGCGGTGTCGGACCAGCGTGAGGACATGGTGGATTGAATACCTATGTGGGAATGAGTAACGCGCGCGGTGACAGCTGGGATGGGAATGACGGAAGAAGCCGAGACGTCAGACGCTAGTCATCTCGTGTAACCATGTAATTACGGCCAGAGTGAGAAAGCATGATGTTGGCTATGCAGTTCTCTGCAAGATGTCTAGGCCATTTCCAGTGGATGCTATCGCCCTACGTAACTAAATACACTTGAAGGGGTTGTGATATCAACTACTAGGTAGGAGTTATCGATCGAAGTTCATCCATTTATACTGTGTGGTGGAAAAACGCAGCAATTCGCCTTCCTACCACTGCACTCTCTCAACTACTTCCCACTCGTCGCCGCCAGCCACCACACGATCTCCAAAGCCAATGACCTTTTCGACCACAAATTTCAGTCCCGTAGCCTCCCTCCAATACCTTGCTCCCTGCCACAGGGCCTTGTCCGCAGCCTCATCGCGGTCGACACATGCAACCCCACAGGGCAACCACGCATTCCCAAGCCTCATCACCCTCACCCACCTGCCATCCAGCTTCTGCCACCTCTCGGCGGTGATCAGCTTCCCCTTAACCAGCAGTCCCTGGCACCAGGAGCCGACCCGCACCACCACGCCCTGTCCGTGAGTTCCGCGATACGCCAGCACCACGGCGAGCCTGGGCTGCACGGGAGACACCCGCCAGACAGCCTCGTAGGTCAGATCTTCTGTGCCGCTGCCGGGGTTCGGAAGCACGCCCGTCTCGTATATGTCACCGTTTGCCTGGCACCGCAGCGAGTGCAGGTGGTTTTGCGGGTGCGGGTCAAGTGCGTCGAGGGTGTAGGCCCGCATACCGGATGTGCTCGTCCGGATGTAGGTGCCGGCGGTGCCACCGACGAGGCGGGGCGTGATGGAGTTGCGGCAGAAGCGTAGATCCAGGAACTGGTTCTGAGGAGTGATGAGGACCAGCGTGGAGGTCGGCTCTTTGGCGAGGAATGGATGCTGTGGGTGTTAGTAGTCTCTGACGAGGAGGGAAACGGGGGATGTCACCCAGCGGCAATACAGCCGAGTCAGAATCAGTGGGTGAGTGGGTGGAAGGCAAGGGATCGGGGTGACAGTGGTCAAGGAGATCGTTGAGGTTGGCGAGGAGACACATCCATGGTTGTCGTCGTGGGCATGGAGCGTGTCATCGATCTTGCAACGGGAGATGAGTGAGTTCATGATACCAAAAAGGACGGATGTAGTGGAGTGGATGTAGGAAGAGAGGAAGAGGAAGAGGAAGATGGAAAGGAAGAGGGAGAGGGACGGGAAGGAATAGAAGGGACTGTGGCGGCAGCGGCAACGGTGGATGGAATCGGATAGAAGCGTAAACAACGGCTTTACATCTAATGCACAACAACAACACACTCCTCCGTAAGTACTCGTTCCGGAATGGGGCGCTCCTACGAACACCAACGCCACTCAAGCGGCCGGTCGGCCTGTACCCGTCTACACTCGTTCTTCTGTACTCCGTGTGTGAATAACACCGCCGTGCATTCCCTTGCAACCCTTCCCGCGTGGGAGTGAGGTTACATGCGTACTATATCTGCCGCAGCTGTCCTCTGCAGTTGGTGCATCCGGGCGATCCAGATGGCAGATCTCCGGGAAGTGTTAAGCATCATTTAGAGTACTATATTATCTTGATTGCCGAATCAATAAACCCGAGACGTTTAATTCTGTGTATTGTAAAACACGGACCCTGGTTTTGTGTTGCATCACATACAGATTCGAGATCTGCTTGCATAGTAGCTCCTGCAGCTGCTTCCCGCTTCATCCCTCCCTCCCTTCACCTCCCGTAACAATAATGCCACATCTCCTATTCCAAGCTGCTATTCCAAGCTCCTATTCCAAGCTCCCGTACTGTGCTCCATCCCTTCGGCAACGGCAGTTCCCTACCTATCCCGGAGGTCGGGTTACACTGCCGACCTCTCCTCCCGAACTGTTGCGACCCTTCCGCTTGTGTGTAGTAATGTCCCAGTACCCACCATGGCCTCCGCGGCTGCTGGGGGCCCGAGCCAGTCCCATTCCGACTGCCTTTCACAGTTCCACCGGAATCCGTGAGCATTCGAAGTGACAGGAAACTTCCGTCGAACATTAGTTTGCAGAGTGATATCGAGAGGATAGAGGATGGCGGGAGAGGTGGGAGAGGTGGGAGAGGTGGGAGAGGTGGGAGAAAGGTTTGGAAACGCCAAAAAGATTGTGGAAGCATCGGGCTGTCGTTCTGTTGGCTTGACTTTTCTGTTCTTCGTCTCTGTATAAGTATTCTTTCTGCCGGTATGTATTGTATATACTCCACTGCACCTACATTAAGTGCGTAAATTACATGAGTTTTGTCCGTTCGTTTGTACTATACCGAGACTCGTGAGTTATGCGTTGGGGGTCTAGGATTGTATGTGCACGAGTGTTTATTCACTCTTGTGAATGGAGCGTACATAGCACCGCCGCTTGAGAGCGATGGACCATGCCTAACTCCACTGGTTCCTACCTTCCAAGTCCCCTTACCAGCAATATCGAGACTAGAGTACCCATACTCTCCCACACCTCCTGCTCTTCCCGCTCACCCACTACTTCTCACTCGCACTGAAGCAGCCGAAAGAGAACGAAAATTGAAATCCTCCTTCTCAACGGACCTCTTCTGCAGACAAAGCTGATGGAGCATCGAGACCACATGAAAAAGCAAATCCATGGCGGAGGAGTGAGATTGGGAAGAATTTTACGCTTGTATTGAGTGACATCCTATGCATCCACCTGCCAGCGACCTTCCACTGTCCAGACGAAAGCCGCACGTCTCCGGAATCACCTATGCACATCCGCGCTTTAGATATTCGTATTCTAAAACCTACAATGCCCACGCAAACAAACAAAAAGCCCATAAAATAAACAAATCAAACGTCATAAAGAATCAAGTAATCAAGTACAACCCGAACACCAAACGAAAAGTCCTCGCGCTACCTAGTCCACCAGTCTCCTCCTCTTCAACTCCGCAACAAGCGTCTTGTACTCCCTCAGCAAGCCCTCGACATCCTTAATCCTCAACTCCCGCACGTCCATGCATCCAGCAAGTCCCTCGTCGACTTTATAGTCTAGTTTACTCACCCCTCCATCCGCCGCCCCTGTTCGTAACTGTGAAAAGTCCTTCGAGATCGCCAGATCCGGAAATGTTTCGAGGAGGTCTTTGACCTGTTCCTTCTTCTCTGGGGTCTGGGCCTGGGGAGGCGGCGGGAGTGTAGGCGCCACTCGTGCCAGTCCCCTCATGCCGATATTAGCGAATCTTCCGATCGAGCTGCCGATGTGTCCAATATGCTTTAGCGGCTCTAGACTCGCGGCGGCAGCAGCAGCGGCCGCTCTCCCAGGCGAAGGGCTCGGGGCCGGTGGAGGAGCCGGGGATGGTTCACGGAGGGACCTAGGCCTCTCATCAATACTACCCATATCCGAGTCTGCTCGTTGGAGCGCGGTGATGACGGGGTTGCTGGGGGATTCGACGAGTTTGCGTGCGTCCTCGAGCGTCTTTGGTGCGATTTGCGTGCGGTCAAAGAGGAACTTGTAGCTGCTTTCCAGAGCAACCCCAATACCGCGGATGCCTTGGTCTGCGGTAGAGACGGCTGTATTGGCCGCGGTTGTCGCGATGTCGATGGGGGTCAGGTATGAGATTCCGCGGGCTCGGATTGCGGGTGGGGAGGTGTGTGTGGGCAAGGCAGTGATGTTAGTGGTAGTTGTGGTCGTTGGAAGGGTGTGTGGCTTGAGGGTTTGGTTGAGGGAGCTAAGGGAAGACGCTGGCGAAGAGGTGCCGTCGATGTTGTCTGTTATGCCGATGTTGAGGGTTGCTAGATCGACTGTTTCGAGGAAGGATATGGCGGCTTCGAAATTGGTGAGGCAGTAGGCGGCTTCGCCGTCGATGAAGTTGGCGGCTCGGAAACGCTGCGTGAAGTGAAGATTCGAGATGGCGTTTAGTTGGGGTTCCGGTGGGGAGAGGATCAGGGTGTAAATAAGCGTAGGCAAGAGGGAGTCGGCATCAGTGGTTGAGATGTGATTGGTGAGACAATCTGCAGGTGTAAGTAGGATGGGAGTTATGGGACAGTGCTGAACATACCAACGATAGCCTTGTGTGCCTGTTTCAAGAGCAACAGCTTCCCAAGAGGATACTTCTTTCCGTTCATCGCGGTTAAAGCTTTGATGGCCCCTTGCAGCTCGTGATCCACCAGCTTCGCCTTCGCCTCCGAAGCCAGCTCAACACCGAGATGTCCTAGGTTCACACCCACCACCTTGAGTGCGGCTATCTTGCTGTGCAAGCTATCGTCCCGTGCTTCGTCTTCCGTGCTCTTGTGTCGCCATATCTTCTCGTACATGCCCTCAGTAACCCGCTTCTCGATAGCTTCCTCGAGCGCTATCCGGCGAATCTCCAGCAGCTTCCTGTCACGCTTCTTCTGCACCATCTCGGCCTTGGAGAGCATCTGCGTCGTTGGGGTCCTCGATCCCGGCTTCTTCGAAGCTAACGCCTGATACGACTGCGAGACGTACTTCCCGATCGCCTGCTGCGCAGTACCATAGAACTGCTGAAACAACTCTGCCAGCTGCGCCACGTTGACGGGTGCCGGATGCACGGGCTTCGTCAGGGAGTCAATGAAGCTGCGTGATTTAGGCTGTTGCTCAACACGGCGTAACAGACGGAAGGGAATCCACAAACCGGTCGGCCAGCGTCAGCAGATCCGGCGGCAGCTCGTCAAAGCCTTCCGGCAGCAGTGCGGAGCTGAGCGGATTGCCATCCTCATCTTCGGAGGAGGCGGGGTCTTCGTGCTCTGGGACCGGCGGTTCGCCTTTCAGACGCGAGAGAGAGTCTGTGAGGGGGTCACCGGTGCCATCGGTGGACTCGAGACGCGTAAATGAGCGGGCAACGCGGAGGGAGGGGCGAGTGTCGGGTGAGGCGGAGCGGAGGGACGAGGCGGACGAGGGCAAGGGAGTTCCTGCGGGGCAGTCAGAAAGCTAGTCGATCGTGAATCGGACGGGGTAATTCGGTAGAAGCGGACCTTGCAGTGATGATGACATTGGAGATTTCGGGGAGGAGTATGTAGTGGTGACTGTAATTGATTCCCTCTCTTCTTCCTCTCGATCTCTTGTGTTGTTCGTGTTGAGTATCTTGTCTCAAGCTCTCCAGCCGTTCCTTCCCACGGCGCGCTAACGACATACCCTGGATAGATAACTCGCACATGCCGATGATCCCTCACGTGATAGCTTGTGCTTGGCTTCATGGGACCTCGACGCTGACTGGCTGACTGGCTGAGGTGGCCCGCATGACGCTACAGCGCCACCCCTACGCTATTTATCCAAGCTTCGGGACTCCTCAACAAGTCGGACTGAGTGACTGACCATCTGCTCTGCAAGAAGGGCCCAACCACCAATCCCTACCGCGACAGCTCCCAACACGTCCTCTACAACAACAGTCTCGCGACACACACATAAATACACACAAACAAAACAATAGCTAGGAGCGACCTATCCTCATGGCTCCTTCACACCCCTCCCGACCCACTTGCAGCTCGCTTGGGAAGATCACGGCCAAGCTCTTGCTCTCCTTCCTGGTCCTGTCAGCTTTCGCAGGAGCTTCAGCGCGACTCGTCGTCGACACCGACATACTCGCACCTGGCGATGTTTTGGCTCCTGGACCGGTGATAGTGGGAGGGGAAGATCACGAGAAGAATGTGGCGAGCGAAGGCGTCCACGAGTTTGTATGTGCTGCTGATAGCTCATGTGAAAACGAAGCTTGCTGACAGCTCCGCTATAGAGTCTCCGACACATCCTACACCACGGGACACACCAGTAAGCTCCATCACGTCTCCCCGAAGCTCTAATTTAGCTGACCACGTTTATGCATTAGATACCCGCGGATGTTACGGCGGTTAGATGTCCACCCCGAATCGCTTGTCTCCACTGAGGAGTTGCCCGAGTTCCACCCCCGACCAAAGTACACAGCGCTGTCGCAGCACCGGGCTATCAAGAGACTTTCGGATCGCTCGAAAGACAATGTCGAAACCAACCTCCTGAACCACCGCTACGGCGTGGCCACATCCTACACAGCCGAATCCTGGACGAGAGACGAAATTCCTCAGCCTAATATCACCGATAAGGCTACGGTCTTAGCACTCGCAAAAATTGCAGCTGATGCATACGTCGCTGTCGAACGCACAGGGGACTGGCTGGATGTTGGGTCGCCATACAATCGTTCCGATGACTTCGGGTGGGATGGTGATGGGCTCCGCGGTCACATCTTTGTCGACCAGAGTAATGGAACCGTTATCATCGGGCTCAAGGGGACGTCTGCAGCGGTTTTTGATGGTGCAGAGACAACGACTAACGACAAGGTAAACGATAATCTGCTGTTTTCATGTTGCTGTGCACGTGTCAGTTACTTTTGGTCGACCGTGTGCGATTGTTACTCCGGAACTGCCTACACCTGCGACAACATGTGTCTCAAGCGCGAGTTGATGGGAGAGAATCGGTACTATCGTGCTGCTTTGAACCTCTACTACAATGTTACGACCATGTATCCCGATGCAAGCGTCTGGGTGGTCGGACATTCGCTTGGCGGCGCTCTCTCGTCGCTCATCGGACAGACATACGGACTTCCGGTAGTTACATTTGAAGCTCCTGGCGAAGCGCTTGCCGCCGAACGACTCGGCCTCCCGATGCCTCCCTCTGGCGCTCGTCAGTCTGCAGAAGTCGGTATTTACCACTTCGGTCACACCGCTGACCCTGTCTTCATGGGCGCCTGTAATGGTCCCACTTCCGTTTGCGCCATAGGGGGTTACGCGATGGAGACGCATTGCCACTCCGGAATGGAGTGCGTCTACGATGTTGTTGGCGACAAGGGCTGGCGAATGGGACTGGGCTACCACCGCATCCAGGGTGTCATTCGTGATGTCATTGAAGTGTATGACGACGTGCCAGAGTGTACTTTTGAGCCTGGCTGCGTCGACTGCTTCAACTGGAAGTACGTAAGCGGTAACGATACGCACACGACAACTACGAGCACTACTGCTGTATCCACCACGACGTCGAGCACAACTACATGTTTCACGCCGGGCTGGTGGGGATGCAGAGACATCACCACCACAGCCACCACAGGAACCCCGAGCACTACGTCCTCAACCCAGACCGCGACCGAGACCTGCACACACTACGGCTGGTTCGGCAAGTGCTTAGACTCCACCACGACAACCACCACCGGAACCTCGACCACTACTCCGGAAAAAACATCCACCCCGACAATGACCACCATAACCAAGACTTTGATCATCACGACATCCACAGCGTCGGAGACATGCTCACACTACGGATTTTTCGGGAAATGTCTTGACCCAACCTCCACCATCGCATCTTCCATCGCCACGGCCCAGCCGACAACGTCAGAGACGTGCTCCCGCCACGGCTGGTTCGGTGGATGCTTAGACCCGGAATGGTCCACCCCCGCCCCGGGCGCAACCACATCTACCCAGCCCGAGTCGAAAGGCGGGTGCCAGAGCCGTGCACTCTGGGGCGTCGGGTGGTGCCGTGAGTGGGCAGAGGAAGAGTTGTAGCCGACCACATTTTTTTCCATTTGATTTCTTGGAGTTTTCTGTTTTTTCCTACGTCATGAGTCCCGTTATTATCATGCTATGCTATGCTATGCTATTATTCCATCCCCCGCATGTGGGTGCAAGTCAATGTTTTTGGTGTTTTTGATTTTTGATTTTTTTTTGTTTGTTTGGATCTGATTGGAGTAGACTGTATGATTTGCATGGTGTAGGAGGGGAGCGGAGGGGTGAGGGAAGTGGGGGCTCCTTTGTATACAGTATATGTGCTAGGACTGAATTGAGTTTTCCATGGGAATGTGATGTGAGAACTGAACGGTACCTATTGGGAACTGTGATCCCCCTGTGATCCTCTGTGACTTGAATTCGTATTCTACATCCCCAAGAAACCAAATCCCGACAGAATCAGGTATCACCATACTATTCCGGTTGAAGGAGTATAGAGCATAGTATGTATGTAGAGTGCTGGCGTGGATTGAAAGGTAGATCATCTCATCTGTCAAATAAAGTGAGTGACATGTATGTACATAGGCCATCTACGAGTACCAGATTTCTAGCAGCAGCGCCACAACGCCACACATCCACGGCATGGGCCATGGCCAGCGAGAGCGCCACATTGACCGCCACAGCGCCACACTGTGGCTGCATAATAATCATGAGGAACTCAGTCAGATTGTTTTTCTCGTCTTCCCACCGTAAAATTTAGCTGATGTACATGTTCATGACAGACTGCCTCACCCATTATGACTTCATGGAGCATCGAGCTCGGCCACGGTTCAGCAGCAAAGCGGGAAGGGATTCGAAGCCTCGGCTAGTAGCTCTCTCCTTAAGCGTCACACGCCAACTCCTCCCCCAGTTTTCTGCAGCTTTCACAAGACAGAGAAGGAACCCGTACCATACTGCCGAACAGCATCGCCAGCTCGTAACATCCCCTCAATACACCCCCTCTCCCCACTTCGAAACTCTCGCCTCCACTCCATGGTCCCACCTATATCGGAATTCCGCCTTAATCTGAGCGTCTCTGTGCGGCGAGAATGTCCTCTACAACACCTGTCGCCTACCAGTCCATCGCCGGCGACGATAGCAAGAAACCCTTAGGCCGCCGGGGGTCAATGAGCTCGACCGGTTCCAGACGTTCTCGGTCGTCCTCGTCCTCTCGCTCGTCTAGACGGAAAATCGTCGTGACGGAGAAACGCCGTCTCCTCATCCTAGCGCTACGCTACGTCATTTCCCAAAAAGAATACGCCTTCGTTCGTCGCCAGTTCCTCCTTAAAGCTCCAGCTCCAGTTGCCGCCAACACGCCCACTCGCGCCGAGTTCGATGTCGTCGTCAAGTCAGCTACATGGGACGATTTCCTTCCCGCTTCCTCACGTGCCGGGTTGCGCATGTTCCTCCTATACGGCATCCTTCTCAATGGCTTCGAGTACACATCCGGACGGTTACGAAGCCGCAAGCAGGGCACTGCGTACGTGTTGTCGAAGCGGCACTCCCACGAAGAATCCTCTGTTGACTAACAGCTGCATGTCTACAGTCCTCCCCCGGCGCGGTCCCTATTCTACAATAAATCGAATGTTCTTCAGTCGTTGTCGTTATCGACATTGATTGTCCTCCACCGACTGCTGTATCGGTTCTTCTACCAGCTTAAATCCAATCTACAACTTCCCGAGGCGAAGACGTTTCGAGAGAAATACCCCAAAGCTTCGCAGGTTTTCCTGTCGCCAAAAGCTCCGCCACTTGCAGCTTCGATGGCGGGGCTTGCGTTGCTCATCCACCCTGCGACCGATCGAAGGGTTACGCTGTCAGTATACACATTTGTCAAGGCGCTCGAATTCATCTTCAACAGATATGAAGACGAGGGATGGTTTCAGAACCGCCCATGGGTATGGTCCCTGCTCTCCCGGAGGTGCCTTGTCATTCACTAACCCACTCGAATAGTGGTTTGGCTCCTGGCTTCTCTTCCCTTTGACTTCAGGACAGCTCTTGTACTCATTCCTCTTCGACCGCGATGCTTTTCCCCGCGAATATTGTGACTTCATCACAAAGTATTCCGCCGAGTACATACAGCCACGGCCGGATGCCTACCCTTCGCACCTGCCATGGCCTGATTCAACCACGGTGGTCGATGCGCTCCCCAAGATTGCATCCTTACGTTTCCCGCCCTTCTCCTCGCCGATTCTCTTCCCCAATGCCAAAACCCTTCCGGAAGCCCTATACTCCATATCTCCCATTGTATCGCCCGCGCATCCAGCCATCAAATCCCTCCAATGCGCGCTCCTCCACCCCGCCGAACCTAGCTGCCTCAAAACGTACATTCACTTTTGGGCCTCTGAGCTTCCGCGGATCGCCAAATTCCTTGCCGCAATCTACTGCGTAGCCTGGCTCCCGCGCTACAAAAAATTTCTAGCGAACCCGGTGTCAGCCGTAAAACGCATTTCCAGCGCAACAGCCCTAACAAGTCTTTTCATCACAGGCTCCATCGGCTCCGCCTGGGCAGCCTGCTGCTTCCTGCAGTCGCTCCTCCCACGCACACTCTTTCCCAAATTCCGATTCTGGATCGCCGGGTTCCTCGCGGGCCTATGGGCGGTCGTCGATCGCGACAGCGGCCGCGCTAACTTCCTCTACTCGGCCCGCATAGGCCTTGTGTCGGCATGGAAGGTCCTGCAGAAGAAGGGCCTCGTCCGTCCCGTCAAGAACGGCGATGTGTACCTCTTTGTGGTGGCGCTCATGGCGGTGAATTGTGTGTATGACCGCGACCCTGGCGCCGTCAGTGGTGGCGCCGCTCGAAGGGTACTCTCCAGTCTCCGTGGCCGCGGGTTTAGAGACTACGTCGTGGAAAAGATCGAGAGGGAGAAGAGGACGGAAGCGGGGGAGTGCGCCAGTGCCGGTGAGCACCAGCTCACCGCGGCGAAGCTGGCGGCGGTCGAGGCCGCATAGATGGAGCTGCGAGGACGAGGATCATATTTTTAGATGTAAATATCGGGCAGGGTGCGAAGGGTAGTTTGGGAATTGGGACTGGGCTCTGGGTTGGGTTGCTTTTGGATGATGTTTCTTTTGTGTTGTGGCTTTTTCTCTCATTTTTGCTTTGCTTTGCTTTTGGATGCTTTTGGACTTGACTACATAGCGGATCGGACTGACGGGCTGTTATGAGGTACGTACCTAACCTATTTTTGATGACAATGAGAACAAGACGTAGATATGGATGGATGGAAGTTGTTTTCTCGTGGTAGCAATTCATGACGTTGTGAAAGTGTGGGGTTTTGCTCGGGGGTACATCGGGACTTACCTATTTCAAATTTGTCGGCAATGAATCACGAAAAGCGGGGCCGCCTCCCTTCCCTTCAGGCTTCCCTGCATCGGCATCTGTATGTCGACGCTGTGGTTGGACGCCCGACCGACGAGAGTGCGGCGCTCGCTTCTGCTTTCTAGATTCTTCGGCGCCGGTGAGCTGTACATCGTCTGTCGGTAGTTGGAGGCATGCCGTAGTAGTTTATGGATCATGGCATGTCATTCGCGCATGCTTGCCTTCCTGATGTAAAACTCAAGTAGGTACTGCCCGCAGTGGGATCGCTATGGTCTACCTGGTAACGCCGTAGGCGACAGTAAATCGGTTATCTCTCTCTCTCTGACCGCAGTGGAAACCACAACAGAAGACGTTCAGGATCAGCGACCTCTTCACGGCCACAAGGTGCAGCACGGCGAACTTCCAGGCTCCAGGTTTCCAGGGCTATATGCGGGACAGGCCAGGCGGAGGGCAAGGGCAAGGGCGCGTGCCCCGCTCACACGGGAAGGAACAGTGGCGAGGAAGTTAGAACCAGGTTGATAGCAGCCACAATCTACGGTACTATGCATACTAAGGTTGAATGCTATGGTGGTTAAACAAAAAGATAAGCAAGCAGTGAAGTGGACGGTGTATTGGCTGCATGTCCAGAGAATGGCGGCGTCAGACTCGATAGCACTTGTAGGAAAACGCGTGAAGGCCTGTGCCTTCTATCGTGACTAAGCAAGGCAGTCGAGTGACATATTTGCAAAACCCAATACTGAAATATGGTGGTGAACGATGTGCTATATTGAGTGATTGTACTTATGTACAGGAGACAAAGGCTGAAGCCTTGGTAGTGTAAGAAGAAACAAAGAGTGCAGGGCCCATGCCTTCCAAAAGACTGAGAAACCGAGTGATATATTGCAAACACCAAAGAAACGCATCAATTCCCATTCTAAAGCACCCTTGCTTTCCCGAGTAGTGACCGACGAAATGCGAGAGCGACGACAAAAGCTGCGTATTGTCGGAATGAGTTGGATCAGTAGCTGCGAGCCGTTGATAGCCTTTATGTATAGTGAGTGATGAACTAGGAGAGGTTACGGTGGAGATTGAAAACATCTGCGAGCGAATGGGTACATAGCAAGAATCCCCCTGAAGAGACGTGTTGCCGCCTTTGGCACACCGCTGATCTGTTGATCTTCTGAGCAACTACGCAAACTCTTTACTACATGCTGTCCGAAGTGACTACATGATAGAACCTTTGGTAATGGTGTGTCTGACGGCTTCGGGAATGACTATGGTCATGTTTTATCACTCATACGATATTGTCCTTTCTCTCGAAGATTCTGTTGATAATCCGGCTGAACGACTACCTGTTACCAGTCGGATGTAGAGACTTGCTATTTTCTACGGCAAGATTAGACATAGCATCATTAATGGAAAAATAGGGTTCCCGAGATGCCACGCAGTCTCGCGCATACTTTCCTCGTCGACAGGAACACCAGAAGGTCGATCAGAAGATCGGATGTGCACTCTACATTGAGAGCAATACGGAACCGATATCGAGCTCGTGGCCAGCGACCGGTGACAGTGAGGTGTAAACGGGCATATAACCTGCCATGAGTTACTAAGGTTGAATGCAATGATAATTGAACCCCAAAAAACCCTGGGCAGCGCAAGGGTGTCACGTGATGTATACGAGTGATATCCCGTGCTCCATCCGGCACGTCAAAAACAAAAACCATCCCCACCCCGGTGGGTGGCTTGGAAACAAGAGCTGAATACGTAGGATTTGCACCCGGGTTGAACCCAAAGCTTGCCCTCAACTTCCCTCGCTGATTGCATGTTTCGACCACTGGACTACGCGGGTTTTTTCCGTGCTGGTAACATAAATTCAATGCTCATCAAGTAGTAGGTGCCCCGCGATGGACAATAACAACGACCGAGTATGGTGCGGCGGCGAGGGATCTCTTAGTCGGCCGCGCAGTCGCCTCACCATACCACTTGACACCAACCCGGCATCATAACCTACACACTAGTTGCCTCCACCCACCTGTCTCTCCACGCCCCCCGTGCCGTAGCTCGACACGGTGGAAACAATCAAGGGATGTTGTTTATTCTCTAACAAGCCACAGCGCTCGCCACAGCACTCGCCACAGCACACACGATCAGTCTGACCTCACACGATCAGTCTGACCTCACACGATCAGTCTGACCTCACACGATCAGTCTGACCTCACACGATCAGTCTGACCTCACACGATCAGTCTGACCTCACACGATCAGTCTGACCTCACACGATCAGTCTGACCTCACACGATCAGTCTGAACTCAAACTTACGGACTCTCGGCTTGGCGGCAAATGATGGTATAAAACCCCACTCGTGGCATAACTTTGATTGCTTGATCTGTACTTTCGACATCGTTCCTCAAAACATTTGGTCCCCAACTCCGCGCATAGATCATGCCGACTCCCCAACGGGCTGCCAAATCGCAGGCAGCGCAGAAGATTCAGGAGATTTAGACGCTAGCCCCGAGAAGACGTGTAGAGACTACACCTCGCCCTCATCCTCGTCCTAAGCCGGCTCTATCGGCCATCGCGGCGGGCAAGAGACCATGTTCGCCTAGCATCGAAGAACCTCGCAAGAAGATCCCCAAAAGAAAGAATGCTGCTGCTAGAACGCCGGAAACCCCGCGAGAGAGTTATCACTCACCCCCAGCAGCGTTGCCACCTTCAAATGTTCCCTCGGATGCTCCGACACCAGCCGTCAACGCGACCTCATTTTCGGTGAAACGCGAGCCTATCTATATCCTCTCTTCTCCACCGGATACATCTATGTCTGATCTGTTTTCTCCCCCTTCCTCGCCGCCACAACCTCCCCCTTCCTCGCCTCCACGACCCCGCCCTTCGCTTCTACAGCCACCGGATCTGGGTTCGGTGGCCTCCTCTACGGGTCACCCTGGCCCGCGAAGCGTGCTGTATTCAGGGAATCTAGAATTGACCAGCGTGCTGGAAGTAGTGAAGCGGCTCCTCGAGCGGTACTGCTACAGAGTTTGCCCATTTATCGCTTCCGCCGAGGAAATGATAGATGTGAGTGCTGGATGAGATTTTAGGCGTTGTGTTCACTTCTTTTGCTGACATCACCGTCCTATAGATCATCAATCGGCTGTGGCCGGAGGCCAACAGACAGAAACGCTTAAATGTTGACTTTAACTTGCATAAAGTGCACAACATTAAATACGTATGCAGTGATCCGTCCTCCAAGGGTGCTTTGAGGAAAATTTTCTAGCTGCTAACACTACGTTGCGCTTGGTTCGTACAGATCAAGTCTGGGTACTACAGCATGCAATCGAGCTGGATCTCGAGTGCACGTAACACCATCGCGGACTTGTACGATCTCAACGAGTATAGAAGCGCGGCTGATCGTCTAGCCGCTGTCAATGAATTGCTTGATCACGCATTCATCTACCGGGACAGCGATCGCAGTTTGCCACTTGCGGCAAGTGCTCCACACCATTACACGTGTATATTCGATTGCCCTCAGATCGCCTAACGCACTTTGTAGCGGCGTGTAACCCCGTTTTTTGCGAGCCAAATTCCACGATTCATCCGGCTCCACTTTTTCAACAAGTCTCGTATTCATAATGCCGGACTTCACGACTAGTTGCTTGACGAGCAACCTCCTGCGTTGATAGTTTACGTGGTGACAGCCCTGCATCACGCATTGCAGGAGTGGCAGAAGAGCGATGGAGAGCCCCCATCGAGGCCATCGACAAAGCCTGTCAAGGGTGCCATGGGTAGTCGATCAGCAGGGTGGACGTATTACTTCAACAAGAAACATGATGGCCGTAAGTACTTAGGCTTTAATACTGTAAGAGCATTGCTAACTTTTCCTCCAGCCGCGTATGACATGTTCATGTCTTTGTGGAACGGTCTTGATCATCGGTTGCGGGAAAAGGCCGTGGCGTGGATACAAAGTACACTGAAGAGCGAGATCCAGTCCTCTATCGCAGCGGACGAATCGGTACCAGTGTTGAATGCGGCGCCTGCTTTAGATTTAGACCCGATCTATTGGAAGCATTCCTTGCTGAGCCTGAACCTCATGAAGTCGATTTGGGACTAATGATATCCTACGGGCAAGCGTCTGCATCCGGCACGAGGCGGGCATCGAAGAGGGAGCCCTGTTCTCGTGGATCTTCACGACTTGCAGAACATTGACGGCGATGGAAACGATGGCATTAGAGTGGGCGAAGACGGCGTATACGGGGATGACGGGGTAGATGGGGTAGACGGGATAGACGGGATAGGCGGGATAGACGGGATAGACGGGATAGACGGGGATGAGGATGGGTTCAATGGGCTGGGCTCGGACAGGAAAGGCGGGGAGTATTCGGCGCAATGAAATATAATATAAATTATAATGTCCATTTATACGAGCTTTATTACATCTAAATGCTAGATATTGCGTGCTCAGCAGGGTTTCTCGTGTCCTCACCAACGAGTTACGAGAGGCTACATTGATACGTAGCATTTTGCGTCTGCGTTCATACGGGGTAGTCGCGTTTCGACGGATTTGACTGTGTATCGGGTCGTCGGCCGGGGATCATTTTATTGACGTACATCCATGGACCGCAGCAGATCACGACGTCCACACCAATGAGAGCCACCACCGCGAGACTAGCTATTAGCCGTCTCTCGCCTGCCCGCGAGAGAGAAGTACATGCAAAATCGGATCGTCTTAAGTATGGTTTCGCGTTGAGTGCGTTCAGGAGGCGTTAGGACCGCTTACACATACATTTACACGTACTTAACGCAAAATTTGTTTTTCCCGATGCGTCGCCATGACTCTGGGATGTTAGATATCCGGACGCATGTCAACTTGGCCCAGGGTTCGGAGGAGGAGGAGCTAATCGCATTGTCGGTGAATTGATCGATTGGTGGCCACTCCCTTCCGGCAGCCCTCATTCGCCCCGCGGAGTGTGGGCTCGATGGCGCTGATATCTTGTCCGGCTGCTCGCAGAGACAGCCGGGACAACGCCCGAATTCCGTATGTGGAGCGAGATGGAATCCATCGCGATGAGCGGTGTAGGTGATCTCGCTTGGTTCTGCGGCGACCCGACAACCGTGGATATAGAGTACGTACTCTACGGTACCTACTGTCGAGGCACCGCCCAGAATCGGCGCAGAAGGCAGCCCGTGTCAATAGATGGTCACTCGCACTTCCGTATGTAGTAGGACCAAGACGTGTGAGTGTGCACACATCTCTGTGTGCACGTATTCGCCGCCGCGCATTGACTCAGCTGATAGTTACATGTGATTATGTACAGTGCTGTCGGATCCTGGCCTAATTCCCGGCATCATCTCTCACTTGCGTGGGTACCGTACCGGTAGGTCCGCATCACAGTCTAGCACTCGTCATTTGATAATTCCCCAGTTTGGCCCTTCGTTGGCCTGAATGGCATCAGATCCGGTCGAACATGTTACTGGAAGCGTTTCGGCTTTATAAAGGCCATTCTTATCCCATAAAGTTCTCTGTAGAACCAACGTTTCGGGTTTGGGTAAGGTAGTAAGTACAAATAGATGCTTTCCATCTAGGCCTCCCGATGCTCGGACCTACATATCGTACGCCACGGATACTATATAACCAATGCAGTACAGCGGAATGCCGAAGATGTTCAACGTCTAGCTCGGCAACGTGGGACGGTGGGAGCATGTGGATTCCGGAAGCGGGCCACAACTAGTAGCTGTTAGGGTTCTGCGAGACCTAGGAAATTTCGGTGCGGTGGCGGCCCTTGGTGTCACTGCCTTTTCTCCTGCACCGGTAGTTAGTTTTCTCTTCCGCACAAACCACAAACCATAAGCCGAGCAAGCATCATCGCCCACTGCGGCCAACAAGCAATGGGTCGTAATGAAGACCTGGGCCTCTCATCATACACATACGAAAATCGGATGTGTATTCGTCGCCAAGAATAAGTGGAGGTCGACCTGGAGATACTACATCGGGGCCTGTACTCTGCAAGCACGATCGAGAAGGGAAAACACGGTTTGAAAGCCATTAAATAATCCACCGAATAACCGGGTTGCCTACTCCAGATCCCAAAACGCCAGATGATACCAAAATACGATGCGGCCCGAGCGAAACAATTGAACAATAGATAGATCAAAGAAATCAGCCGTAGGCAGGAACCGCGTCTTTGTGTGCATCAAACCGATAACTGGCGTAGTTGTCTTAACAACTACCTAGTGGGTGTCAGCTCCAACAGTGGTCTCTCCCGGTAAATGAAGTTCGGCAACTGACCGTCTTTTGAGAGGAAGAAACATATGGTAGACGGTGCTTCACAAATCCCTCTCATCCCCACCTCCTGATTGTGGCGCCCCGGTTCGAAAGCAGCTGGACTATGGCCTGTTTGCCATTCTGTGTAGCTAAATGCAACGCCGTACACTCGTCAATGTTATTGGCTGTAATGTTAGCGCCCCGGTCCAGAAGTAGCAGGACTATGGCCTCGCTGCCGAGTGCAATGCGACTTGCCCGTCATTCGCCTGGGCCTCAGTGTTTGCGCCCCGAAAGAGAAGCAGCTCGACAACGGCCTTATTTCCATTCAAGACTGCCAAAAATAACGGCGTCCACCCAAATTTATTTTTCGCTTCGATGTTTGCCATGCGGTCTAGAAGCAGCCGGACTGTGGCCTCTTCATCATGGTCTGTCGCAAGGTGCAACGCTGTAAACCCAGCATTGTCTTGGGCCTCAATATTGGCGCCTCGATCAAGAAGCAGCCGGGCCGTATCCTCGTTTCCTTCCCAAATCGCAAGGTGCAGCGCCGTCTGGCCGTCATTGTCTTTGGCCTCGATGTTGGCGCCGCAGTCCAGAAGCAACTTTACTATGGCCTCTTCATTCTGTACCGCCAAGTGCAATGCCGTCTGACCAGCGCGTGTTTGAGCTTCGATATTGATAACTCGGTCGAGAAGCAGCCGGACTGTGGCCTCTTCATCATGGTCTGTCGCAAGGTGCAACGCTATAAATCCAGCATTGTCTTGGGCCTCAATATTGGCGCCTCGATCAAGAAGCAGCCGGGCCGTATCCTCGTTTCCTTCCCACATCGCACGGTGCAACGCCGTCAGGTCGTCATTGTCTTGGGCCTCGATGTTGGCGCCGCAGTCCAGAAGCAACTTTACTATGGCCTCTTCATTCTCTACCGCCAAGTGCAAAGCCGTCCGCCTATCGTTCGTTTGTGCTTCGATATTGGCGCCTCGGCGTAGAAGCAGCCGGACAGTGGCTTCATCTCCATACCGTGCCGCACGGTGCAACTCAGTTCTCCCGTCCTCATCTATGGCGTCTATGCTGGTGCCGATGTCGAGAGGCAGTTGGGGAATGGTCTCATTTTCATTTATGGCCGCCGGAAGCAACGCCGTCAATGCATGAGTGCCTTGGGTTCTGATATGGGCGGGCTGGTCTAGAATTAGCTGGGAAATGGCCACATCTCCAGCTGAAGCCGCCACTTTCAACCTTGCCGTCAACTCGTCATTGTCTTGGACTTCGATATTGGCCCCCCGGTCTAGAAGCAGCCGGAAGATTTCCAAAGATCCAGTTAAAACCGCTACTTTCAAAGCCGTACCCCCGTCCTTGTCTTTACCTTCGATGTTGGCGCCTCGGTCCAAAAGCAGCTCAACTATGTCCTGTTTGCCATTACCTACCGCCAAATACAACACAGTCCGCCCATCGTTCGCTTGGGCTTCGATATTGGCGCCTCGGTCCAGAAGTAGGTGGATAGTGGCCTCTTTGCCGTCTTGTACCGCTAATCGCAACGCCGTCTGCCCATCGTTCGTTTGGGCTTCGAGATTAGCGCCCCGGTCCAGAAGTAGGTGGATAGTAGTGGCCTCTTTGCGATAGTATACCGCTATGAGTAACGCCGTCCACCCATTGTTCGTTTGGGCTTCAATGTTGGCGCCTCGGTCCAAAAATAGCTGAGATATGCCCTGTTTGCCATTCAATACCGTAAATTGCAACGCCGTCCACCCATACTTGTCTTGGGCATCGACACTGGCGCCCTGATCCAGAAGCAGCTGGACTATGGCCTTATTTCCTCCCTTTGCCGTCATGTGCAACGCCGTCTCGCCGGCATTGTCTTTGGCCTCGATGTTGATACCTCGGTCGAGAAGCAGCCGGACCGTGTCCTCGTTTCCTTCCGACACCGCAAGGTGCGACGCTGTCCTGCCGTCTTCATCTGTTGCCTCAAAATTGATACCCCGGTCGAGAAGCGCCCGGGTTGCCCCTCCAATTCAACCGTCTCTCGCTCATGCTGCAAGTGAATACTGACCGCAAAATGCAACGCGGTTTGCCGTTTGTTGTCCGTAGCATTTAGTTTGATGCTCCAGTCCACACGCATACCGATCGCGGCCGCGGGCGCAGGTTCGGCCGCAGCAATGTGTAATCCGGGCGGGCCGTCCTCGTCTGAGTTCTTTGAATCTGGTACTGAGGCCAACACGACTTCGAAAAATTCTAGGAATCCGAACGACAGAGCAATGTGAATTGGCGGCAGGTATCTCGGATACACATCGTCTCCAAGACTGCGCATACTGTGGGCTTGATTTAACCTCCTTTCGTATTTCGCCAGATTCAGGAAATCCCTCGCAAGGTGGTGCTTTTGTCTCGCCTTCTTACTTGACCTCCTGACATGGCCTGCCCACTGTTGAGTAGCATAATCGTAGAGTGCGATCTCTGGTCTCCGCACATTCGACCGAAACAGTAGCTCAGAGCGAGAACAAATTATGGTCCCATCGAAGGGTACAGGGCCATCTTCGAATTCGGAAAACGACATATATCGCAAGCAGTCGGCAGCGAGCTCGACATTCACCTCGTCCGATGAAAGGTGCCGGCTAGCGGAGCCGACCTCTTCGCCACTGTCCGACCTAAATTCAGAATGGAAGAATTTCTTTGCAGAGTCCGAAAGAAGGAAATCATTGGCTGAATGATGCACAAGGTGAACAGTGTTGTCAGCCTCAACCTTGAACATAGGACCGAAGAGAGATCGAAGTGGGGTTTCCAGATGCAACTGAATATCGTCTTCCAAGGAGGCCATGGATTCAGCACCAGGCCGTATAGCAATTGCTATCGCCAACTCGCCTATGGTTAAGGGACGCATGGCCCAGAGCACCCATCGAAGGATGGTTCCCGCTAACTCTCGGTCGTCGGGGTTGATGCGGCGTAGGATATTCTTGTAAATCTCTTCGATATTCGCCGGCAAAGATTTCAGTTTCTGGCGAATGGATCTAGGTGTTGTCGAGGTGGAGTTTCTGAGGTCGTGCAGAATTAGTGAAACCCAGAGAAACATCACATTGGCGCCGTTAACGAGGGTCTCCTGGATCTCGTTCGCCAATCCAGCGAGATGATTTAGCTTGCCAACCTCGGTGGCGACGACGGTTGTGATATCGCACTTGAGATTCGCTGCCTCCAGAGGTATTACGGCGACAGACGTCATGTGTGAACACACTTGGATGTGAGGGCGGCTGGTGAGGACCAGTTTAGGCATGATGGCTGAGTGTTGCAAGAGGCGCTGTAGGGGAATGAGGATCATTCTGTCCGGTTCTTCGCATTCATCTGTGAGAGTGAGCTACGTGAACCACAATTCCTTATGCGAAGGGGGGAGTAATATTCCACAGGCATCATGTCAAGCTTTTGGATCAAAAAGTGAAGATGAATACCCTGTAGGCTGGCGCAACGGAGAGGGGAGATATAATAGGTAGCGCTTATGATATGGAATAGGACAAAATAACGAAGGGTCTATATGGGGAAACATACCGAGAGCATCGATAATTAGACATAAAGGCGTATTGATATGCCTCATAATAGTACGAAACAATTTAAGGAGCATGAAAAAGGTCCATACTGTTTTCTCTTTGTTCATGCGGTACTCCGATTGCGCCAGAAAGTGTACCACCGTATCCGGCTTTTGCGCTAATAGCTGTGCAAGGAGGTTCGCCAACACGGCACGCGGCGTCCTCAGGCGTTCGTCCTTATCGTTACAGAAGAAATAGGCGACCAGATGCTTCCGTCCAAAAGTCGAAATGGTATCTTCAGCAAGGAGTGACAATAGGAACGAAGCGAAGACACTCTTTCCACATCCGGAATCTCCATGTATCTAGAGCACTGGTTGGTTATCGTTCTGAGTCCGCTGCCTGTAGCGTTCGTCGGCTATCAACCATTTACAGGTATTTCCGTCTTCATCTCTAGCGGAGAGTATTTCGTCGCGTTGGGCCTTGCAGTTGGAGGGGTTTAGAGTCTTGCAACAGACAGTCATATCGCTTCTGAAAGCTTCTGTATGAGTATATTTTTAGCGCCATCGCTCGCTCCGCTCGAGTGAACCATATCTCGCTGCTCAAAAGCCGCCTGTTCTAGAGCCTCTATATGAGCGGATGTTCAGCGAATGCGTCATATCGTGGCATCGGCAGAATTAACCGCATACCTCGCTCCGTCTCCACGCACTCCTGGATTTTCGTAACCACAGTCCTATACGTTCCGTCCGAAGAATTAAGGAATTTGACGATATCGGAGTGATTATGCGCGATGGGAATGCGTTGTTCGTTCGACAGGAAGAGTTGGGCGGAAGTTTCGGTTACCACCATGGCCGGCGGGCCAATCCGTACATAATACCCCGTCGTTGGTGACTGCACTGAGTTAACAATCTCCCTATGTACCAGATTGTACTAAGAGTAAGGAATGAGCTCTAACCCTTTTGACCGTTGGCGTTTGCAGCTGTGCTGGTAGTAGTCACGGTTTCTACCAGTCAGACACGGGTCCCAAACACAGTCATGTTGCAGACGGGCCACCGGCTCTGCTACTACACCGAGGGCGGCGGCGGACTCTACTACCACACTGCCAAATGTTTAGAAAACTTCAGGAGGAGGCGAGTGGGAATGTACAATACGCCGCCAGATACATGGTGGTAGAAAGCCTGTTTCTACTAACGTACTTTACACAAGTTGCTCTGCGGAAGAGTCCACTCGCCGAAAGCTTTTTGATATCACTCGTTACCAACCTTTCTGCATCGGTCCAGATTGGGCCAAATTAGTGAGGTGCAACAAAGGCCGAGGGAAGAATAGGTTTAAGATCAGAGACCACTTTGCCAACCAAGAGTGCAGCAAGGCCGTCCTTTACTTCCTCACCACCACTAATGTGGGCCGCCGGGTGCCCCCCCCTTGGGGAAGAGCAACACGAATTCCTGAGCCAGACTTCTGATTTGGCAGCGGCAGCGGCAGATCCCACCTACCCCATAGCAGGAGAAGTGAGAGAAGGAGCAAGAGCGGCGGCGGCGGAAAGAGTAGTGGCAGCAGAAGAGAGGCGACAGGCTGGGGAATTTCTCTTTCTCCCCACCCCCCCCGAACCTCGCACCGCCGGCACCAGACACCCCAACCCCAACACCATCTCGGACCCCGGACAGAGTGATAGACTGGGAGGCGGTGAGAGCAAGAGCGGAGGAAAGAGTACGGGCTAGTCGGCCGGAGATTCCGGCATATGCGGGAAGAGATGAGGCGTTAGACAGGCTGGAGGAGTTAGCTAGGAGGCTGTGAGGGGGTTGTGGAGAAAAGACTGACATGTTTCCTTTCCGTTCCTTTTTGTCATCTCATTGTTACTTCTTTCTATCTTTCCCTTTGTTATGCGCAGAGGGGCCGGGCGGAGGGCAATAGGGAACCCACATCGGGCTCGCGGCCAGCGGTCGGAGACAGTGGGGTGGAACCGGTCGTGTACACAGCCATGATCTGCAAAGGTCGAATGCTACTATGATAAAACAAAAAAAACAAAAATGAGGTGCAACAAATTTACAAGCTGCGGACATGTAGGGGATCGGGCTTCTATGTCATATATTACTCCGCAGTGACGAACTAGTGGAAATCCATCAAAGCCTTTGAGCCCGTATGGAGACTTAAAATCGGATAGTTCACGATGCAGCAGATAGCAATCATTGACACACCCTCTACCCAGTTCTACAAAAGTGCCTTCGCATCCAAACAGTTAACCAGTGCGCCCCCAACATGTGATTATACTATTGTAGGTAAATTACATCCCTCCGTCCCCTCCGTCTAGAAGTTCCACATGCACTTCAGGGTCAGCACCCTGCTGCCCAGCATGTCATACTCCCTCTGCTTGACCCAGGAGTCGTTAGTATGCCGCAGCTTACCAAAGACGCTGGCCCCCTTCCAGGCGATGACCTGCATGTCGAGCTCTCTCGGCGGGACACCAATCAGGATGTTGATGTCCCTACCGGCCAGGCCACCGCGGATCCTGTCCTCGAGGGTATCTCTAAACCCCGGCACGGCCCCAGCGCCACCGACGACCATGATCCCGGCAAAGAAGTCGCGCATCTTCTTCTCGTCGCCCTTGGCCGCATGCGTGATGCTGTCGATGACAGCTCGGTCGAGGGGCATCACGGGCACCGTGCTGTCGTACTCCTCCCACACACGCATGGCCACCTGGTGAGGGGTGAGTCCACCGGACGCGGCGGACGCACCGCCAGCAACCGAGCCATTGGCTGTGGCCTCACCTCCTTGCCCTCCTCCTTGTCCGGATGGAGTGGCGGCTCCGGGCACGGGGGTCGTGGTCTCAGGGACCGGCGAGCCTGCAACGGACGAGCGGGGGGTGATGTCCGCCGGGTTGAGGTGTGCGCCGAACGGACGGGGAGGAGGAGCTTCGGGGGCACCGTTGGCCACTTCGGTGAGCTTTGACGATAGTGACTGGTATAGTGCTTGCTGTGCACCAGACATCTGGTCATTCGGCATGTTGTCGTAGATGTCGTAGCTGCGTTCCCACAGCGAGCGACGGCCGGCGAGTTTGTGGGAGTGGTCGGTGAGCGCGGGTTTGAAGTGGCTCATCGGAGCCAGATACACCTCATCGTATACACGGAATGTGTATTTCTGGGTGGCCTTCTCCGGCCGACGAAGATAAAAGTCGTGCGTTTGAACCGACACGTCGCCATCGTGAAGTGTAAGGTACTTGCACTTCAGTTCCTCGGCGATCAAGAAGTCGTATCGGCACCGGAGATTGATCTTGCTGTACGGGAATGAGTTCTGGAGAGAAAGTCGGAGCAAGAGCTCGGTGACATCGTGTCCGCCGTACTTGATGTTGATCCTGCATCATGTGAGCGAAGGTAGTCGTATCGGAGGGCTGAGTTACAAACCGTGAATCCGGAATACACATTCCTTCGTCGACACAGCACACGGACGTCTTCTGCGCTCCGACATCTACGATGCATGCCAGGGAGAACCCAGCGCCGAAAGATGCAGCCATGGACTCCTACGGTATTGTCAGCACTAGCCAGCCACAATGATCAGTATGTGCGTACCTGGATTATACAAATCTCCGAGAATCGCATCTCCCTCATCAGCATCTCCACCATGTCCACCACGTAATTCCTCTCGTAGAGGTCAGGGATCACTAGAACCGCACGGTAATTCGGCAGCTCTTTCTTATCGAGTTTCAACTCGTTCTTGATTCCCTCTTCAATGATGATTTGTATATCCTCCATGAGCCTTCTCTTGGACTTGTAATCTCTCTCATTCAGCCAGCCGTGCCGAATTGGCCAGAGTAGTTTGTACCGTGGGGTCGATGTGTCGGGAATCTTGAGCGCCTCATGGCCGATATAGTACTCCTTCGGTTGATCTTTCGAAACTTCGGTCCACTCGACTCGATGAGGGTCATTATGTTCGTTGATTGTTTCCGGCACGGTTCGTCGATTGTAGGAGATCGTCTGCTCCTTAGAGCTGGGGAGTAGGCGTCGCTTGTTTGAGCGCATCTTCTGCTTAAGCTCGACCGACATGGCATTGATCTGCGAATCGAACTGCATACCAATTAGCCACCTGCGACGTACAACACGACGATGGATCATACCTCAGGATCCTTCTCAACGGGTCTAGCTTTCTCGTCATCCTCGTCGTCCATGTCCACATCGCCATCAACATCAAGTTTCATCCGTTTCGGCGACCTCTCTTCAAATTCAAACTCGGCCTTCTCCGCGATGCGCGCGATCACGTTCGGAATACTCTTTGGCAGGGCGTCGCTAGCATATCCAATGCGCAGGTTCTGCGAGCCCGGGTGGATCACGATTATCTTGCTTCCGTATCGCGTCACCTCCTCGTCCTCGGCCACTTCGTCGGGACCCTTCTGTTCGTCGGTCGCCATAGGGTCTTCACCACCACCACCGCCTTGACGACGTGCCTGCTCCTGCGCTGCGGCTAGTCGTAGCGCTTCTTCTTGCTCGCGCACTACCATGATCTGGTCGTCACGCTTGAGGTATTCGGTGTAGTAGTTTTTCTGGTTGATCATCGGAATCATCGGCCATGAATGTGTGCGCATGCTGTTGTCGGTGCGCTCGAGACCCTCCTCTTTCAAGAGGGTCGTGGTGGACTTCTTTGGTGGAGCCATAGCTACTGTCGCGGTTGTGATGACGAGTGAAAGGGTGCTAGGCGATCTGAATGGATGTGCTGATGTTCAGAGCAGTTTGAGTCTAGTGCGATGAGAATGGGATTGAAGTCGCGGCTGGGGTATTCGCTTCTCGTAGCTCGCTCACGTCGTGGTCGTGGGATGTAACGTTATTATGGGAATTGGTGTCAGTTACTTATGTTGCGAGATGTTGCGTAGAGATGTGGAGTGGAGAAGCAAAGTAGAAATAGTGGATGGGTTGGTGTGGATCGTGGGGTCAAGAGCTTGGACGTGTTTCCCGTGGGTCGTTTTCGTGTTGAGGCTCTATGGCTGCTCCCTAGTAGAACTCTACTCTAGTGTCAATAGCTCTCTCCGCGCGACAGCTTTGTCTCACAGGCGATCTGATGACTAAACGCCAATCACCGAAAAAGGAGGAAGCGTCATTCCTCCCCTCGGTGTCCCATGAACCACCCAAAACCCAACTCCACGCCTGTACAGAAGCTCTCTCTCTTTGCTCTCGCTCGACCGCCAACCGCCCACACACATTCACGTACACCCACATAGATCGCATCCGAAATGGGCGCTTTTCAGAGCATGTTCTCGCGGCTATGGTCGAAGAAGGAGGTCCGCATCTTGATCCTGGGTCTTGTATGTCCTCTCCACCCTCCTCCCCTCTTAGATTCTTTCTTGTTGGACCACGTTCTGATAATATTGGTTGTTCTACAGGATAACGCCGGAAAGACGACACTACTCTACCGACTGAAGGTATGGCCGAACCGGTCACCCAGGAAGCTCTCTACCTGCAACCGTGTCGCCTCCGCGCCGTCGTCGGATACCCGTGGGCGAACACGGCTAGCAGATGACATGATTTACTGAGACTTTGGGTAGATGGGAGAGGTCGTAACGACGGTACCGACCATCGGCTTCAACGTGGAAAGCGTCACATACAAGAACCTCAACTTCAACGTCTGGGTATGCAGTCCTCCAACCGCGCCGCGTTCCCCACCCCGCAGCAGCTAACATCTCGCGTACACAGGATCTGGGTTCGCACTTCCCCGTACTTCCGCTCCCCCTCACGGCAGCGAGCTGACCCAGCACGCTACAGGTGGCCAAACCTCGATCCGACCGTACTGGCGCTGCTACTACGCGCACACGGTAGCGGTAGTATTCGTAGTTGACGCGACGGACCACGCCCGCCTCGAGACGGCCGCCGAGGAGCTATCTGCGATGCTGAGCGAGGAGGAGCTGCAGGAAGCTGCGCTGCTGGTGTTCGCGAACAAGCAGGATCAGCCCGGTGTGCTGGGCGCGGCGGAGATCTCGGAGGCGCTGAGGTTGCCCAGTCTCAAGGAGAGGAGTTGGAGCATCTTTGGGTGCTCGGCTGTTACGGGGGAGGGTGAGTTTTGTACCTCCGGTCGACGACCATGGGGGGAGAGCGCTGACGCGGCCGTGTGCGTGTAGGGGTCACGGATGGTATGGATTGGCTAGTGGTACGCACATCCGCATTCCTCGTCACACTTACTTTACTTGTCGCGTTCTGTGGTTGCCTTGCTTCTGCGCGTCGTGGCCGGACACGCTGTGTCGCCTCTGGCTATGCGATGTTCACAGCATGCGCCGAGTGCTAGCTAATTCACTGCACCCCATTCACGCATTTCAAGTCTAGATCGGTGCTTGCTGACACAACCCCGACGTGCAGAAAACAGTCCAAGACACCCAGTAGACAGATAGATACCCCGACGATCATCTCTCTCAATCAACGGGTAGATAGGTGGGCGGGTGCCGCTGTGGGGGGAGCTCGGGGGACCATCGGAAGGGCGGGGAATCCTGGCAGCATATGCACACTCCACTCTACCTTACTTTCTACGAGGTCTTGTGCGTGTGGCATGTCGGCAGTATTATTTCCGAGTCTTTTTACTTTGTGTTGTGTCTTTCCATTCGATGTTTAATAGCCTCCGTTTTTCTGTCTGTCTGTTTCTTGTTTTTGTTGCGTGGCATGATCGGAGTCTTCTGACAACTGCTGTGGTATGATACTGGTGGTGTTGATGTTTGCGTTCAAGCCGAGGTGTCTGTGTGGTAATACTTATGAGTCGCTGCAGCTCTCGATCTCCATCTCTCTGTGTACACTGTACACACTGTCGTGATGACAGAAGCGCCTCCAAAAGAAAAAGGCGAGAACCATCGTGCTTGGAGAGTCGAGACCGTGGTAACTGCTAGTAGCTTCGCTACATCCATTCGTTGGCGAGAAAATAGCCGTTATCCCCGCGAATTGTTCGGCCGCTGCCGAGCGCCGAATGGCCGACCGACGGGGGGGTTGATAACAATCGAGTAGCAAGAATCAGTCTTGTTGCCGCCGTCCCACTCCAGATTCGGGGGACCGTGAACTGGGACACATGCTCGAAGCTCCATCTCTAAATCCATGACGATTCGAGACGGAAACGGAATTCAACGTTGTGTTCATCCCACGTGCACGTGCGACACCACAGCGTGGAGAAAGAAGCTCCAGGCTCAAAGCGGAAGTGGCGGGTGCCCCACACTACGCTAGTCGATAGTTAATCATTGCTCGTCTCGGCTGCGGAAAGACCAGCGCGAGCGCGAGCTGAGGTGAGGTGAGAGCTCCGCATACCGGTAGGTGGATATATGAACGACTGATCGGTACCGCTATCAGCCTGCTTAGAGTACCGTTGCATCGATTGGGGAGGCGGTTGGTGATGTAGGTACTCGCATTTCTGCACGTCCTCTCGAGCGCCCCGTGGCCAGACCGCGCGGGTTATGAAAGCGAGACGTACAATCGATGCCAGATGGGGCCCGGCTACCAGCGGGTGACCCGCCACCTCTGGAGGGGGGGTCGAGGGGGGGTATATAGCCTGTCCATTCCCTAGCCTGTCCATTCCCTGGCACGTCCTCCTCCTTGCTCTTCTTCTTTGCTCTGTCTCCTAGCTATTCCTCCTTGTTTCCCCATACGCCTCTTACTTCCACCGAACACACGCACAATCATCACACAGCATAGCAACAATGGTCAAGGAATACTCCGACTCCCCCGTCTACACCGCCAGCAATGGGTGTCCAGTAATGAACCCGCAGGCGTCGCAGCGCGTCGGCGAGAACGGCCCGCTGCTGCTGCAGGACTTCCACCTTATCGACTTGCTGGCACATTTCGATCGCGAGAGGATACCGGAGCGGTTTGTCTCCAGCGTTCTCGGGAGAGTAGAGTAGCAGGTACCTGTGTTGTTGAACTAACGATGATGTCAATACTATAGCGTCGTTCACGCGAAGGGCGCCGGCGCTTTTGGCGAGTTCGAGGTTACCGATGACATCAGCGACCTCACATCGGCGGACATGTTCAACGGCATCGGCAAAAAGACACGGTGTCTCGCGCGGTTCTCCACCGTCGGCGGAGAAAAGGGATCGCCTGACTCGGCAAGAGATCCGAGAGGATTCGCCGTCAAGTTTTATACCGAGGAGGGGAACTACGATTGGGTGTTCAATAACACGCCCATCTTTTTCTTGAGGGACCCGTCAAAGTTCCCGGTATTCATTCACACGCAGAAGAGGAACCCGCAGACTAATCTGAAAGATGCCACTATGTGAGTTGACATAGGATGTGAGGGGAGTGAGTGAATTGAGGCAGGGGGCTAACAATGGACAGGTTCTGGGATTACCTTACGCAGAATCAGGAGAGTGTTCACCAGCTGATGCACCTCTTCTCGGACCGTGGCACGCCGTTCTCGTTCCGCCACATGAACGGATACTCCGGTCACACCTACAAATTCACGAAGCCAGACGGATCCTTCCGCTACGTCCAGATCCACCTCAAGACGGATCAAGGTTCGAAGACGTTGACCAACGAAGAAGCCGGGGCGCTCGCCTCTTCGAACCCCGACCACGCAACGGAAGATCTCTTCAACTCCATCGAGAAGAAAGAATTCCCGTCATGGACCGTGTACGTCCAAGTGATGACGCCAGAACAGGCTGAGAAATTCAAATACAGCGTGTTCGATCTGACCAAAACCTGGCCACAAAAAGAATTCCCCCTCCGCCGCTTCGGCAAAATGACGCTCAACGAGAACCCGCAAAACTACTTCGCAGAGATCGAGCAAGCGGCCTTCTCCCCTTCGCACCTAGTCCCTGGCGTCGAGCCCTCCGCCGACCCCGTGCTCCAAAGCCGCCTCTTCTCATACCCCGACACGCACCGCCACCGTCTCGGCGTGAACTACCAGCAAATCCCGGCCAACTGCCCCCTGCGCGCCTTTAACCCGTTCCAGCGCGACGGCGCAATGCAAGTAAACGGCAACTACGGCGCAAACCCAAACTACCAGTCGTCGTTCCGCCCCGTGACCTACAAGACCACGTGCACATCGCACGACGCCCACGAGAAGTGGGTCGGCACAGCTACCAACTTCGCTTTCCGCGTCTTCCCGGAGGACTACGAGCAGGCTACCGCCCTCTGGAACGTCCTCGGAAGATACGAGAATCAGCAGAAGAACTTTGTCTCGAACGTGGCCGGTCATGCGTGTGGTGCGAGGAAGGATGTTAGGGAGAGGGTCTATGAGATGTTTGGAAAGGTTGATAAGGGCCTCGGTGAGGCCATCAGGAAGAAGTGTGAGGAGAATGTGGGCGCCCTGGAGGAGGCGATGAAAAAGGCTCAGCCGAGGTTGTAGCGCCTGGGCTTTTTGCGGGATTAAGGGCTGGTTTTTAAGGGCTTGGGTTTGCGTTGCGTTGGTCATGAAGGGTTGATGATAATGATTGTATATTTTATGAATGAAGTCGTTTCACGTGGCGTATGGACTCCGAACATTGACTATTGATACTAGAGAATTGATGTGTCTTGTGCATGCGAATCCAATGCATCGAAACCACTTGCGATGCCGGAAATCTGTGCGCGAGGTTACCAAGTAATTGGATTAGAGGGTGGAGGTCATTAGGGGGCCTGCAACGGGCCGGCCGCTCGCGGTATCACAGTGGAGATGAATTGGTTGTCACACTACCATGATTCACTCAAGGTCGAATGCAACGATGATTACCCAAAACAACAATCAGATAAGAGATTAGATCCATGGCGAATGAGCTTAGCGACTGCGCCACAGATAACATGCACGGATGGGCTTTGCTTCATAATGACGCACTCGACGCACTCGACGCACTCGACAAAATTCGTTGTCGACTTGTTTTGTCTTATTGCGGAGAAGGCGAAGGCGTGGGAAAGCGTGGGAAATGGTGTGGCAGTGGGGGGATATTCTTCGTGGCTGGATTGAATTGCATAAGATTCCGAGCTGCGAGGAGGCTTGGAAACGGGGCCTTGGACTTCGGAAACCGATACTTCGCGAGGGGGCAACGGTGATCGCAAGGTCCACCCAGAGAATGAGGTGATTGAGAGGGACACTACGAAGGCTAGAGGGCTAGAGGGAGAGAGCGGTATCATGACCGAAAAGCATGAGAGCAACCATGGGTTCACTGTGCCGTGCTTGTGTCGGTCACTCAGTCACTCGGTTATTCGGTCACAACTCAACCGTTGGTTAAGTACCTATTCAGCATGACTAACGTACCGTTCCAGCCAGTGAATCAATTCCTGCGCTTATAGAATAGCCGAAGCGGGCATCAAGCGGAATTTAGCATTGCAGTGTACATTCACGGCGTGGTCGAGCGGCGATAGACGAGCGACCAAGCGGTACCCAGCTTGAATGCGGGTATGTCAGGGAGGTTGTAGTCCCACGAGATTGCGACTTCGACTTTAACACCACGCAGGATCGGGAGACAGAAAAGGTTGATGTTTCAGCGCAGCACGGCTATTTACAGCAGCGTTATGTCGTTTTCCGATATCCCCCTCGTCTGAAGTCTGGGCGTATGTACTGCCGAAGCCCATTCTAGCCTCGCCTCTCATCACAGCAGCCAAGCACTGAATCCTGATGAACGAAAAACGCCGCCCGGAACCGAGTCGAAATGATAAATCCCATATGCATTGTATTCTACCCACTCTGCAAACACCAAAGAAACGCAATCCGCAATTCGCAAAAGAAAAAAAGGAAGCCAGCCAACCCAACCCATATATCCCCACGACCCAGCAGACCATCCGCACGTCCGTAGATTTCCTTAATCACTCGAGCTTATGAAACGACACCGACTTCCCGTCTCGCGTATAACTCGGGCTCTCGAAGCACCAGTTGACGAAGCTATCACACGTCCATTAGCTCGGTATGTAGCATGCGGGACAGTAAGGAAGGGAGGGAAGGAGGCCACAACGTACCCTCCGTCGCCCAACAGCTCAAACTCTCCCTCTTTAAACACCCAGCACTGCCGCCCATCAGCCACGACTACCAGCACGACCAGCACCACCACCACCGCGAACCGTACTCACATGAAACCCCCACAACCCCAACCTACCCCTCCCCCGATGAACCTTCTTATGGCACGTGTACATCTCCGTGGGCCCAGCAACATACCTCCCATTCCCCCCCAGGACCCCCTTCAAGCTCACCAGCCTGGCCGACCTATCATAAACAACCAGCACATGATGTCCAGGAAAGACCCTGGCATAGAAACCCGCGAGCTTGCGCGTAAACTCCCCGCGCGGGATGGTGGGCTGCCCGCTGAGCCCGCCGCCAGGATTCGAGAGGACCTCGCGGATCTGCGCCGCCGTCTGCTCCGCTGAGTGTGTTGTGTGCTGCAAGGCGTCAAGCGCTTTGGGGATCTCGCTCGCGTGCGAGGTGAGGGTGGCTAGGGTCGGCCCGGCGAAGTACGTTAGTAGTTGTTGGCCGAGGGTGGCGGACATGGTGGTGGAGATGTCGGGAGCTTAAGGTCGGGAGGGGAGGGGTAGCTACTATCCAGCTGTCCTCTGATGTTGGGCGCGCTGGTGGGGTTTATATGCAGCCGTGAGTGTTCTCGAGTGTGAAGCGAGCGCCGTTCCGATTGGACCAGCGCATCTACTATGATAGCTCTCGCCGCCACTGACAGGCTTGACCGGGGCCTGGATGTTTCCGTGCGTTGGCGGCGATTGCATGCGGCCTGCCGGGAAGAAATCGGATGGAGATTCCATGCACATGCGGAGCGTGACAGCTACGGTACGTTACTTTATCTCAAGCGAACAATTACATACTACGGACGAAATTCGGCCCTGAACTACCCAACTACACGGAAAGGCGGGCTGGAGACCGTGTGAGGTCGGTGTTGGGTTAGGGTTGCACAGCCCTTGCAATCACAGATCTCCAGTCAGCTGTCAGCCCGGTGCGGGTTGGAGATCCTTTTAGCTGCATCCGTGAGATTCGGGGATATGTAGTATCATAGTAATAATTCAACACCACTGACTCGATTCTACCCACTGGTACAGTCAAAAGCACGATACCACCCACTCCTCCCAAAAGCACGATAACGCCCGCTCCTCCGCATACTCGAACAAGCACACCACCATCCATCATAAACCATCACCCTTCCCCTCCACACCGCCACTCAAGGGATCAATCCCTATACCCAAGCTCCCCTGTCCTATAGCCCACGCACTACTCCGCCTACTCCCTTGCGGCGTAGACTTCGCGCTATCATCCTTCCACAGAATATCGTGAACACTCTGGATGCTTGCAGCGAGGCTGCCCTTTATCCTCATACTTCCACTCTCACCCTCCTCAACCGGCGCTGTGTCTTCAAGAACCAAGGGGCCGATATCGACCAGTGCCGCGTCCAGCCTGCACGTACTGCAGATAACCGAGTCCTCCTGGTGGGCGTGGGTATTGCTCACGGCGGTGGTAGCCGTGCCGACGGAGGGGAACGAATTCCCGTGGCCCCAAGTGTTGACATCATCTCCTCCGCGGACTATTGCGGCCGGCGGGCGAGTGATGAGGTTTTTCATGAGAGGATTTCCGCGCAAGCTCGAGCCCGCGGAACCAGCCGACACTTTTCTCGGGGTAACCTTTGCAGGCTTCGGCGGCGGCGTTGGCTTCCTCTGTGACTCCGAATCCGCGCCCCCATCGCTCTGGAATTTCATTCCCACGCCCTCTACCGGCTCGATCGGCGTCGCCTCCTCGGAGGATGGAGTGGTGGAAACGATCTTCGGTAGGTTCCCGAGCGAGTCGTTCCGTAAGTTCGTCACCCGAAACGCACCGACCTGCTCGACGTGCGCCTCGTCCGTAGGTGTATTTGGCGAGCCTACTGCCCGGTGAAAAGTCGGATCTGGGTCCGAGAACTCGACGGTCTTGACACGGATGGAGGAGGAGACGGGTGGCACCTCGGCTGGCGCGGGATCGAAGTTGACGGATTTCTGAGACGACATGGTACCGCGGCGGCTACGGGTGCCGATGAAGCTGGAAGGCGGAATCAGGATCGATGTGTACTCCGCTTCTCCATCCTCCATTGCCGACCCGGATACATCATCTTCGCTGTCCGTGAGCAGCGTTGCGAGCGGCGGTGTAGGCAGGTCCTCCCGCAGCACGGACAGGTTGCTGTTATCGCTGACCACGGAGGACTCCGTACTCCCTTCATCATCACCACTACTGGCCGGCGTGAGCAGGATCGCAGGAGAAACCGCACCCGATTCGAGATTGCTAGCTGGTGACAGTGGTATTCCCTGTGGCACTACGAGTCCTAGACATTGCGAGGACTCCCTCCGCTCCAGTGCTCGTCCACTCGTAACGATCTTCTCGGTGGGCACACCGAGTCCCATCATGTGTGGCGTACGGGAGCCAGTGTTTGCGCGACGACGAGTGGCAACGGCGGTGTTGGATGATTCGCGCTTGGGGGCGTCGAGGCCGGCCGAGGATACTGACCGCTCGAGGGACTTCTCGGATGGCATGGTGGTAGGAAGCTGGAAAGGTTCGCTACTGCGGTAGGGCCAGTAGGTCCGTGACTGCATAAACTGCTCGGGACGCGTGAGTCCTTATTGGAGATATGTCTGATGTCGATGGGAGCATACCGCTCTCCCGGTGATTATGGGATCGGAAACGGGGATGTAAGGAGGATCGTGAACATAAAGTGGCGATAGTGCCGCCAGCAGCAGCTATCGTATGCAGCGAGTGGTGATGGAACTGGGGATGAAGGGCTCGAGTTGTTGACCGATGCCCCAGTTGTCGAGTGTGAGTGAAGGAAGGAAGCGTAGCATAGCATAGCAACAGTGTCACGTCACTAAAGGCCGAGTCGGACCAGTCATGCGTCCTAGCCAGAATAGTACTCTTTTCGCCATTCATCTACTCGACACAACAACAGGTACTCGCTCGGTAACTCATACATCCATGATTAAACATGCAGCTCACTCTTATAAACCCGCATTACTTCCCAAAGCACTTCAACCACCCCTTCAATGCATCCCGAAACATCTCCTGCGGCCGCGTTGCGGACTCGACACTGCTCCTAAGTTCATAGCAATGCTCCGAGTTCTCCAACAGGTGCCCAAACATTTGTCCTTCGGGAGGAGTATGGCCGCATCGCGGGGCCTCGGGCGTAGCCGCCAACATTGGTGACCACTTTTCTTGGGACAGAGGAGATAGCGATAGCCACTGCGCATCCCATAGTCAGCGTGCCATCTTGCCATCCTTCGGGAAAAGGAGTCAAACTGGATCGAACTCTCCACCCGTCCAGAATACGTTACTAGGACGCATATTCCAACCGTCGGTGAGTGCGTTCATTTTATCTACCCTCGGCCTCCGTGGTAGATAACCCGACGAGAGACCGTCCGGGAACTGACGGTAACAGATTTCCTGCTGGTGCCGCTGGTTGTTGTACCGGGATCCCAACGCATGCGGCCCGATGTTCGTCGATTGGAAGTACCCCCATTCCGAACAATATCTAACCACGATCAGCTTCGCATGTCTGTACATAAGTTGTGGTGAGGCGATGACCCACTGCCATGACCAGGAGATTCCCAAATCTCCACTATAGCGCCCATCAAGCAGACAGTTAGGCTGGGCTGTTTCGTCTCGAGTAGAGCCTTCACAGTGACCAAGTGGGTTGTAAGTATTCACCAACTTCACGTATCCGGGCCATGAAGCCCATCGATCGGAGTATAATTTTCCAGCACCCTCACCGTCCTCCTCTTTAGCCCATTCCGGTCCGACCTCACTATCTCCGTTGGTAAGATGGTCGCAGAACGACCGTAAGTACTCTCCCACGCCCTCGGCCTGCCACCAGTAGAATGGATAGTGCAAAGTATCAGCAAAGCCTCCGTTGGTTACTTTCTCTGCCGTGCGCCCCAGGTACTGTTGTTTCAACTTTGCGGCGGTTCTCGACTTGGAGAGCTGCCGATCGATGTAATCAACCGCCAGCTTGACGTTCCTCGTGCAGTTCCCGAGATTGTAACGAACCATCCCTCGATATACTTGCTCCCAGTCTATATCATCATCAGCATAGTAAGGTATCCCAAAGATGTAGGCTGGTCGTACAGATGGACATATCCACCTGCGCCTGGACCGGGGCGGAAGACGCCCAAGCTGCGTAAACGGTCTCGGGGTATAAATCTGTGGAAGTATTAATACCAATGTCTGCACTTGGAGATAAGATGAGTAGCCCTGGGAAGGGACCCACGTCGAAGAAAAGCAGCACGCATGCCCGGATAGCTACCGCCAATAACCACCCACGGCGTGACCTTCGGGGAAACGGTGAAGTTCTTCCACTTGAAATCATTTGCAAAGACGACAAAGTCCTTTAGGGCGTTCTCGGTGGTGAGAAATCTCATCTGCTCCGAAGGGGTGTCGAGATTCACCGGGAACGGTTTACTCTGGCCGTAGTACCTAAAATTCTCAACGGAAGGGCCGGTGAATCCTGCAGCGGTACACTAACCGATGCTCCCAAATTATACCCATCCCCTTGAACTCCTTCAGGTACTGGTAAAAGAAGGTCTCGTTCACTGTCAAGTATCCAATATAGCGATGTCCTCCGTCCGATTCACCGGTGTCGAAGCCTTGACACTGTCAGTACGGTCCCTTTTCATTCCGCACCCAGAAAGCCAACTTACTGATCACCGGACCACCAGGCTCATAGAAACCGTCCATCACCCAGTACCGATTGCTGAAGTTCCCCGGATACTCTCCGGAGTGGTCTATCGGGAGCTTTCTCTCCTGTCAGCACACGGACGTCTCCCTGTCTTCCCAGTCCCCAGAGAGCAACAAACCGACGCTTCCTGCCAGTAAACCTTGTACTTCGGCCCTACTCCGGGAGCCGTGTTTGATCCTTCTGTACGGTCCAGTACTTCCAGCTGCTTGTGTATCTGAATCTCCCGCATACTCTGTCGAGCGGTGACCGTGGAAGCCACACACACGACGGCCACCAACAATTTCAGGAGGGGTGTCATCGTTGCGGACGGGATGGGAAGAGAGCTGGATGAACAAAGAACACTCTGACAGGCCGGGGGAGTGGAGATTGATCTGTCTGGAGCTTGGGAGGTGGTGAGGTATTTGTAGAGAGTGCTCCGAGCTGCGGAAAGCAGAGAGAAGAGTACAGGGAGATGAAGATGAAAGAGGAGGGATGAGTGAGAGCAGCCAGACGGTTGGATGGGAAGGACGCCAACGGGATGTTACCACAGAAGGCCAGCTGCAGTGACGGGAGACGAGCCCATCGTATCATGCATGCACGTCACCGGCCGGTCTACCGTTGAACTCGGTAAGCCTGATAACAACCTGTTTCTTGGCATGTCCCGATCCAGATTCAGATACCTACAAGTCTTTGTCTCCACAAACGGACAATATCTGCCGAAGTTCCAGGGGTGGTCCATGGACAGTCCTTTCTCCAGCGTTGCTTGGAATCCGGGATCTACTTGAGTTCGTTGTATGGCATAGAAGCTTCCCGCAACAGCAGGCAGGAGACTCGTACATATTTACATCCGGATGGATATCGTTCCTGCATTCCTTCACATAACCTAAGAACAACCATCGTCCCCACCTCATGTATACGGGAAATATTTTCTTTTCAGAGAAATTCTCCGAGATCCCGTCGCGTGTGCAGAAGGAGATGCGCACAGTCACGCAGCGGAGGATGCAGGTATCCACGTGCCACACCCACCCACCCACCCCGTTGCACAACGAGGTACTACTTATCCAGCTACCCTCCGACTCCCTGAGCCCTCACTTCACCTCTGCGAGCAGATCGATTACAAAGTTCAAGCAACCTTGTCCTTCGCGCCGGCTGGCCCGCAACTGAAGAATGATCGTATGCAGCTAATCCAGGAACCCGGCCGGGACCGGGACCGGACCGGCCCTCGCCGCACCGAGCACTTGAGGTCGCGAGCGGACGAGCGATAGAAGCACAGAGGGCACAGAGAAGGGCTGCCTGCGTGTGCAAACGCCTGAGTAAACTCCGCGAAACTGCGGATGCGTTGCGCAGCTGAAGCATAGCTACACGACATTTCTTGCAGATAGAGTGGTTGCGTCGGGGATCAGTTAGCGCGCTGAGCGATCTGCTCATGGTTCCTGGCGATATCTGAGCGACACGTGATATCGAAGGTCACGGGAACCCAAAATGGTCTTTTTGGGCTTACGAACATGTACGATGAATCTGAATAGATATAGTACGCCGAAGTGGTACCTATGCCGAGATGTGGGCGAAGGTCAACTGTCATTCCGGCCCTTTTTGCCCTACGCAGGAAGCTCAGGATGTCTTCGCTGCACCTTGAGCCAGCGAGGAGGGTGCTCCTGCTCGTGCTAGTGAGTCTCTGCTGCTTCTTCTTGCCGAAGCACTTGCTGCTCCACTCGCCTTCGGTGGCAACTCGCAGTGCTTCGACGGATGTTCAAACTTCGTCTGCGTGCCCTAGTGCTAGTACCACCACCTTCACCAAAGCCAGCCGTCGGACCCCCAGGCTGTGCCAGCAGAGGTGCTCTCTGCCGAAAATGGATTATTCCGGCCCTCCGGGACGTCCAAGACTCCAAACGACACTCGGATTTTATTTTTTCAATTTCACGAGTGATATATTGTGACTGGTACACCTCGTCGAATCAACAATAGTAGTCTCGAAGGGTCAAACGGTCCGCGTCTTTGTTTTCGGTTGGATGAGGGACTTCAAGACCAAGCACATTAGGTAGGCCAAGGCCGTGATGTTTTCGGAGATACACGAGTGGCGAACCGTCCACGGACCACGGCGACAATTTCCAAGTAGGGTACAGTAACACCCTCTGATTAACCATATTCATTACATTACAAAACTCCAACCGTTATACAAGCAAGCCAGTGAGCGCATAGACAATCCAAGTAAACAAAAGACGATCCCGCTCCTTCCCCCCTCCCCCTCCATATACCACTCCCGGCCGCCGGTATCATCCTCTCTTATCCCCCAACTCATCCCACGTAACCTTGAGCAGATCGCTCCTGACTCTCTTCTTGAATGTCATCTCGAAGCGTAGGTCCGCGGTGCTCTGCAACAACTTTACCGTATATCGCGCCTCGTAATACGACTTCCGGCCCATCCCGCACCACCCGCCCGTCGACCGCTTCTTCTTGTCGAACTCGCTCAGCGGGCACCGCCGCAGGTCTGAGGTTAGGACGCAGATCTCGCGGACACCTGGAGACGCGGAGTAAGTAAGTACGAGTGGTTGCGTTGGATTGGGGCGCCAAAGAATGTGTAAGATGTAGGTAGCATACCGGCTGTCATCCGCTTCGGCGCGATGTCGTGATCACTGCACACCAGCTGCTCCATCCACTCCTCGGTGATGGCCTTCTCAAAGGAGCGCACCAGCTCGCGTTCGATCTCGCTGACCGCACCGTGGGTAATCGGGTCGCCCTATCCCCGCGCACGCAGGGCGCAGTGCATATCAGCAACCTACCCCCTATTCATTTACCCATTTACACATGTACCAGGGGAAATCCGGCGGAGAAGAGTACACACCTTTTTACACAACCACATGATCTGGTTCAACGCCAGCTCCTGCCCCGTCACCGGATGTACATACCGCTCCTCGGGCGCATGTGTCGCCGGATTGAACGCCTTGAGCGCGACGACACCCAAGCTCGCGCGGCACAGTCGCTGGCTGACGGGGTCCTCTTCCTTGCGCAGCCGCTGCAGGTGCGTGTATAGACACCCGAGGACGACCGCTTGTTCACTGTTTGATTGCGTCAGTCGGACTGCATGGGGGAGATGGGGGGAAGGGTTGTCGGCGTACGCGTGCCGTGGCGTGATGATTTCGCAGCCGGGCTGCAGCTGGTAGAGCACGCTGGCGAGCCGCGCTTTGAGGTAGGGCGAGGTGCCGAAGCCGCCGACTAGGAATACGAACTGGAGAGTATTAACCAGGGGAAACGCATAGCGATGGGCGAGAGGGTGGTTCTTACGCTCACTTGGAAGCCGTTCTGGTTGCACTGGTGAACATGGTCCACCACTAGCTGGCAGGTCTCCTTCACAGAAGGCTCGAAGAAGGATTTCATCTGGTCGCTGGAAAGCATGCTTGTCAGCCGGGCCATAGGAGCCAATCAGACGGAAAAGTAAGGAACGAACCGTTCAATCGAGAGAAACCCGCCCCTCTGTCTCGGACACGAGACATCAGCCGGCAGCCGGAGGGCGATAGTATTGTGATATTCGACATCTTCAAACCACTCCTTCTTTGCGATGAACTCGTCGACCAACGCGGTTTTCTTGCTGCTGGAGAGGGTATTGTATGCGCCCTCTCCCATCAGCTTTTTGATGAAACGCTTAAACTCGCTGCGTGGGTAGCACAGCACGGTGGTCAGTAGGTGTGCGGTCGCGAAGTTCCCCACACATGAACTTACCGGTCAATCAGGATTGAACCGCAAACACCACCAGTAACAACACCCGTCTGCGCAAGCCGAATGCTGGGAATCATCTCACTGATCGAGTACGAGGCCAAATCCTGCACGGAACCATATGCATTCAGTCAATGTGTCACGTGTGCATGCAGAAGCAACTCACCACCGTGCCGCCTCCAGCATCGCAGATAACGAAACACCTCCCCGTCTATTTGGAATCCACGAGTTAGACGATGCGCCGCACGCAGGGAAGAAGGATGGTATCACATGCCCCCATTCCAAGTTGGTTCAGCAGCACCCGCTGAGTCCGCAGCGTATGCAGAGCAGCCGCCTCCGGCTCCGTAAGCTCGACCTGAATACTATGATCGCCCCATCCCGTCGCCTTAACGATCCTCTTGAAGGCCTCCACGGTGGCATTATTGAACGTGGCGGGGACGGTAAACAACACAAGGTAGTCGTAGAGAGTAGCGGAGAGACCCTGACCGCGGAGTTCCCGCACGAGGTGATCATACACACCCTGCAAGAAATCCCGCACGGCATCGAACAACGTCTTTCCGGGAGCGCCCTCGAACTCCTGCGGGGTATCAGGACTGAGAAACGGCTTGAAGGCGCGGACCTGCGTGTACGCGTCGGTGGGCGGCCGCTCCGCCTGGTAGCCCCAGAGAACGGGCGAGTGCGCGTTCATGCCCGTCGGATACGCTACCATCGTGGGCACTTTGAAGCTCTGCCGGATGGCAGGCTGCCCCGGCCATCGCCCTAGCTGCGTAGGCTCCGGATCCGTGTTGTCGCCGATGGGGCGGTAGGATACACCTTGAGAGGGGAGGTTAAAAACTGCGGTACGAGATGTGGATTTCACTACCTACCTGAATATGTCGTGCCGAAATCGACGGCTATGGCAAGTGTCTCTTTCGCCATGGCTCGGACTATAGTTGGTGCAGTAATGCCAAAAACAGGCTGAAGATTTTTTTGGTAAAGGCCTCTGATGGCTGCTGCTGCTGCTGTTGCTGCTGATGGCTGTACTTGAGCTCAGAAGGACCAACTACTGCAGCAACAAAATTGGTGGGTGGTTTTGTGCTGAAGAACGAACATGATCACGAAAAAGAAACTTTATAGAGGAGCTGAGGCTAACGAAGAAGAGCAACCGCTCAGCCCCCTGGCGAACCTCGCATATGTACCAGGTGTGTAGTTGTGCACTGTCAGCCCCAGCACGTCCGATTTGGAGCATTACCGAGAATAGTTTTGGCGGGGTTGGAACTTGGAACAAGCTATAGTAGAGTGTGACCTCGAACTTTGCTGCGCATGGAGCGGGTCACAGAGTTCATGTAAGGTGAACATATTTAACTGGTTGCACCGTAGGCAACCACCAACACGCCAATGGCACACCACCCTCTCGAGTCTCCTCCCGCTGAAGAAGAAGTTGAGCACTCCAGCCAGTGCGTTCTATTACCAGACACAGCTCTGCCAGCCCCGCCTGGAGTTTCTTCCTATATTCCTGACAGCTATCTCCCGCTAGGAGGGCTTGACCGACTTGCTTGCTTGCCATCTACTCACCAGAGCACTGGATTCCGGCGATTTCTAATCGCCCCTCCTCCCAGCTCCAGCGATTCGCCATGTCGGTGCTTCTGAATCTGCGAAAACGCCAGGACGACCACCGGAACGACTCCAGCTCGGGAGCGCCCACGCTGACACTACCACCAGGGCGGCAGAGTTCACAACCACGAGGAGGCAGCCGCCAGTGCAAGCCCGGCTGCATAGCGGCCAGCGTTCTCGGCGTCTTCGGCTTCCTCCTGATCATGACCGTGGTCGGCGTCTGGCTGCTCGGTCGCCGGCGGAAATTCGCGCTGTTCCCACCGACCCTTTGGAACGACGGCGGGATATCACCCCGCCGCAACCGCACGACCGCTAAGGAAGACGTGGTTCTCCCCGATCTCGAGCCGGAGTGGGCCGGGCTGCCTGTGGACGACGCCACGATCCTGCGGCGGTTCAAGGAGATCGACGACAGGATCTCCAGCCACGTCTTCGACTTCTACATTCTCGACGAAGAGGTGGTGGAGGGTGAAGAGCTGCGCGCCGTGCCGCATGATAAGCGTCGCAGCGTCGTCCACCACCTCTCGCATTTCGAGTACCTGGTCGCCCTCGAGGACGCCCGCGTGTATGCCCTCCGGGCGGCGCTGGGCGGCATTATCCTCGAGGCCTTCGATAAGGGTGCGTTCTTTACCGATCGCTATACCGAACACAACATCGAGGGCGGGAAGCTCACCAGTAATCGTGCGGGTTAGTTCGTGGCTCGCGGATGATCCAGATGGTCAGATGCTGATTCCAAGCAGACAACAGCCCGGCGGGCTACCATGAAGCCCGTGAACGGACCATCCTGAGGCTGGCGCAAGTGGTGCACGACCTGCTGAGCCCCTTTGTCTCGACGAAGACGTCGTCCGACCTCTGTCTACAGAGTCTAGAATCTGTGGTCCGATCCGTTGCCCAGTTCGCCGAGATCATCGAGCGACAGCCGGCAACATTCGAGCTGGTATGGACGGCCAAAGGCTTCACAGAGCGTAAAAAGGTCCCCTTCCGCGAAGAGGAGATGGAGGTTGCGGTGACGATAGCGGGAGACCGGAAGCGCGATCCGAAGGTTCGTGGGGTTGTGTTTCCGGGTCTGGAGAAAACGGTGGATTTGGAAACTCTCTTGTTGGTGAGGATTCAGGTTTTGATGTATTAGATCCTGCCGGCTTGCGGGTTTCTTCTCTTGATTCTACTTACTGCGGAGGAGGATTTATATCATGTACAAACGATTGGAACAATCGATGACTCGTCTACTCGTTCTTTGCGGGCTTGTTGTGCGGGATCTGTGGCCAGACTATCTCCCGTGTGGCCTGACGGCCACGTCTCTTCAAAGGCTGTCAACGAGCATATGCGACATAAGCTAGTTTTGCGGACGGCTCTTTTTCCAACGCCCCTCCAGACCGGCGGCGGGATCGGGAGGAGGTCACACACAGAAGAAAGAGAAGATAGAGGTTGATGGTGTATTCTGTAGGGGATGATCGAGAAAGAAGAAGAAGAAGCTTAAACCCCCGCCATGGCCGCCAACATTGATGCCCACTACTAACCACATTCGTTCTCTCCCGCCGACAACAGTCCTCATTCACTTTCTCTACTTCCTCCTCTCGCCAACAACTCCACAACTTGCTCCGCCACAACAGCCAAACCAACTACTACACGAACTACAACATCTAACAGTATGAAAAACAGCGTGACGTTGGGTCTGTCCACACCCATCGAGCATAGAATGGAAAACAAATACTCCTCCGCTTGGCCTTTCAAGCATGGGGCCTCATCGTGCGATGTTGCCATGCCTAATCGCGGTGCACTCTTGGAACTTGAAACGAAAGTCAGTCGTACTCCTATGTAGCCTGGCTGAATTCACTTACACAAAATCAATGTATCAATGAGGATCCGTTTCTCTTCAATCGTCAATGTCGGACAGCAGCGAATGCTTCCCATGCTTTCGAAGACCATGTCTGGGCCATCGAAGGCGGCGAGTCACGAAGTCATTTCCTCAACCGCCCAGAATATCTGGAAAAAATGACCATTCCGACGTGGGCCGCCGTCTTTGCCAAAGCAGCGCAAGAGGTGAGGCGAATGGGCGATGTAGGCTTCGTGACCTCGCCAGGGTACTGCTCGAAGATGGCGAACCCGAGGGTGAATATGAGGCTGATGAAGACCACGCAAAGCACCTTCAGCAGGCTTCCCAAGTCTAGTGCTGTGGCATGGCTGGTGGGGATTCGGGCAAATAGGTCGTCTATGGGAGAGAAGTCTGAAGATGGGGAAGAGGAGTAGTGGACGGAGTTGGTCGTCTTCGGTAGAAAGTGGATCGGAATAGAAGAGAGGAAAGAGGGGATATGGACGTTGGTCGTCAGGAGTCTAAGCAGACACTACCGAGGGGGGGAACCAGGGCAGATTTCGCAGATGGCAATGGCATTGGCGATGGTACCCTGGTGTGCCGCCAGCATCATGGCTATTTGAGGTGGAAGCTGCATGCAACAGTTGGAGCAGTTGTTCGTGTGAGGAAAGAGGAGAGATGGACGTTGGTCGTCTTCGGTAGAAAATGGATTGGAATAAAAGAGAGGAAAGAGGGATGTGGACGTTAGTCGTCTATTAGGGAGATGGTGACCGATAGAGGAGGAGGAGGAGGAGGAGGAGGAGGAGGAGGAAGAGGGGGAGAGGCCCAGTTTAAGTAGCCCTCCTCCCCCCCTGCTCGACCCCGCCATGGCCGCCAACGTTGGAGTCGGCCAAAGTTGGAGCCCACCAACGTTGAAGTCGGCCAAAGTTGAAGCCCACTACTAACCACATTCGTTTCCTCCCGCCGACAGCTCCTCCTCTCGCTCCACTACACCGTCCTCTGAGCTCTCAAGCCAGTGGGCTGGAGGGGGGAGGACGAAAGGATCCACATCTGATCAAGCTCTTTCGATTCAAGTCCCCACACATGCATGGCCACTAGATAGGAGGTACACTGATGCCGTCCATCCCCATCGATCGTAGACTTCTAGAACCCTCGCCACTCCGCCTCCCCCCCATGTAGGAGTGCAAAGCAGATCCCGACGTACACGTAATCTAGAGTGCAAAGGCCATGCGAGCCCCATCATTCACCTCACCGAAGAAAAGAAACAGTATTTTCCATAGAGACCCTGATGCCTGCCGTTCACCACTGCTGGTATCGACGTATCGTATCGTTGACTTCTGGAAACCTCGCCGCTCCGCAGCGGCAAAACCCCTCTCTACTCTCTCTACTTAATGCAGGAGTACAAACAAAAAGAAACAGTATTTTCCCCAGAACCCCCACCGCTTTGTCTTTGTGCCCGTTCCCATCCCCCCATCCCTCCGATCCCTCTGCCAACTGTGTATTACCTAGTATGTAGAGTGTAATACATGGCGCCGCTGATCGCGCAACCTCGCAGCGGCAGCGGTAACTAGCTTGCTAAGCACCATCGCCCCTCGGACCACTCTGCAGTGTACCACAAGCCTCGGGAGCCATCCTTCCTTCCCTCCTTCCTTCCTTCCTTCCTCCTTCCTTCCTTCCTTCCTCCTTCCTTCCTTCCCTCCTTCCTTCCTTCCTTCCCTCCTTCCTTCCTTCCCTCCTTCCTTCCTTCCTTCCCTCCTTCCTTCCTTCCTTCCCTACCTAGGCTTCGTAGCTCACTCCATCACCAATCTCCACTCCACGCTAATCGTTCTCCTGCAGTCTCCACAAAGCCTGGATGCGCTGGATCCGCTGGTCCTGAGCGTACTGGTTGTCCAGATCGGCTGCCAAATCGTAGTCGCGAGGAGAAGGTATCCACTGCGGGTGCGGGGGGTACGGCGCCGAGTGTCTTTGCTCAAAGGCGGGCGATGGCGGTGGTGGTGGCCGCGGCGGCGGTGGTTGTGGCTGCCCGTACGGCGTTGTGGGTGCCGATTGTGTGCCGCAGTACTGGCCCGATGGGGTGTAGAACTGTGTCGGGGATGCCCGTTGCGTGCAGTACGGCTCCGATGTGCGGCGCTGGTCGTAGGGCGGTATGGGTGGTGGTGGTGGCCGTGGTAGCGCGTAGTAGTCTGGCTCCAGGCTTTGGTAGAAGTATGGCGGCGCGGGCATGTCCACCCCGTATGCTGCCGCCGCCGCCTGCTGCGGCGTGGTCGTCTGGCCGTCGCCGGTTCTGTACTCGGTCTCCCCCCTCCACCGCTCCGACGACCGAGCCGACGACCGAGTCGGCTGGATCGAGACACCGGCGTCCGCGCCTGCATCGTCGTCCTGCCAGCCGTCGCCCTGGATCACTTTCAACGCCGCGGGGCCATATCGCACTCCCATATCGATTTTCATCGCGCGGTTGACCTCAGCGCCCATAGCCTTGACATCTGCGACCTTCTCGTGGATGATCGCGACGACCTCGAACGTAAGTCTCTGCTGGAGGGCGGCGAGGTTCTGATTAAAGAAGTTAAGTTTTCGCTCGAGCTGCACGGTATCTCCGTTCGCGAGCGACGACTTCTGCCAGATGCGGGACCTGAGCGACTTCCCGAGCTTCCGGGTGATGTCCTGCATTATGGCATCGAAGTTGTCGAGGTCGTTCTCGCACCGCCGCAGCTCCCGCGTGTACCGCTCCAGCAGCTCCACCGGAAACGCCTTGCCCTTGCCCTCGAACGTGCCCCGCAGATTGCGCAGCGTCGTTGCTGACTGCTCGAAGTAGTAGAGCAGCGCGTCGTGCTCTACCCCCGCCCGCTGCAGGCTCGATATGTACGAGAGGATCTTGGACGTGAGCGCTATTATCACGCCGACCGCGCTGATGGTTATCGTTACTGGCTCCGGCATCACGACTTAGTTCCTAGGCGGGTTCGAGGGAGAAACAGGTGGAAATTCTCCGGAGGTTCGGTGGACTGCTCGGAGGGGCGGAGCCGGCGGGTCTGTGGTTTCTAGGATATATCGGCTTCAAGTATCCAGAGCAACGGGATGTCGCTGGCGAGGTCTAGGGAGCTGCTAACAGCACGCGCATTGCGCAGTGGCTGCTCTAGTTATTTGCGGGGCAGTCGCCAGTCGAGACTCGAGGGCCAGCACTGAGGTCCGAGCACACCGCCGGCAAGCATCAGTCACCGGGGAGGTGAATGTCGTTCCGCTTTCGCTAAGTTGGAGTGTTCAGCCCTGAGTCCAGTGGGTGCGGGCTCCAATCACCGCGGGTTTGATAATGGCGGTAGGGTCACAGATAGTAACTCCGGGTCACCACACACGAGGCCGAGTGACCTGCAGAGTGTGGGATGATCGTTCATCTGCGAATACGGACCTATCAAGTGGCCGACCGCAGTGAGGCACACTCCCCGCGAGCAGCCCTCACCTTCTGCATACCAAGGAATTCCGTTGTTTCCATGAGGAGAACCTGAGAAGATCGACACCCCGTCGAGAGCACGCTGATCTCCACTCTAGAGTCCACAGTACACACCGGCAGGAAACCGGTAGGTAGTACGCAAGGGATCCAGTCACAGTAAGAACTCTACCATACGATGTTGCTACGCCGGTGCATCAATCATTCCGAGCGAACTGCTCGCTCCGGGTTCCCCCTTCAGACCTGCAGTGCCGAGTGCAGACTGCGACCTACCTGACTGGATGCCGGTATTCATGTGACATCCCGCGCTGGGCGCCAAAACACCTTCCTTCCTGACTGCGTGTAGAGTAGAGTGATGAGATCGACAGAGCGGAGCGAAGTCGGCGCACCTAAAGCCTACTGCCCACAGCCTTCAGTGCAGTGCAGTGCAGTGCGATGTGCACTGTGCGAACAAGACGAACGAGACGAACGAGACGAACTAGACGGACAAGACGGACCACGACACAGAACAGTTCCAGAGCCCCAGTCCCAGCCAAACTGCCAAACAGCGTCTGCCACATCTACCGGGTATCGTATACCGTCGCCCAGACCTAAATACCGCCCATCGCCTGGTACCGAGCCACGCCATCTGCTTACGCTTACGCTGCATGCACTCCCCTCGATCCCTCAGTCCCGCCGGTCCGCCGGTTCGCTGAAGAGAAGGGTGTTCTAACTTCTTACTCACGTAACGCCAGGGTCGCTCGCAGAGTCGCGGGGATGTTGTCTTGTCCTGTCTCGTCTTGTGTTGTCTTGTGCCGTGCGTAGTGCGCAGGTCTCGTTCGCTGATAGGCTGGTAGGTAGGTCGCCACCGGTGCATCGCAGCACGGCTTGTAGAGTCTGTAGAGCATGTAGAGTATGTGGAGTATGTGGAGTCTGTAGAGCATGTGGAATATGTGGAGTATGTGGAGTCTGTAGAGCATGTGGAGCATGTGGAGTATGTGGAGTATGTAGAGCATGTGGAGCATGTGGAGTATGTGGAGTATGTGGAGCATAAACTTCTTACGTACCAGGTGCATATGTTGGTAGCACAGGCTCGCGACTTGCAACAGCAACATCCTGATTCGGCACTGGCACAGGCAGGCAGGATGGCAGCACGCCGAAACTTGGAAGCCCCGTCACCGACTGCAACCACGTAGAGTTCTCCTCAATAGAAGGAGAAAGAAAAACAAAGCACAGCTTGGGAATCCCGTCAGCTGCAGTAGAGTAGGTATTCCGAATTCGCATGAAGAGAGCAGAGAGCAACCCGTGTTCTCGAAAGAAAAGAAAAGAAAAACCACCACCACCACCACCGAGCAGAGATCACGATTGGATGCATGCCCACCGCAGTTTGGCGATCGTGATTGGATGCATGCCCACCGCAGTTTGAGTTTCCCACGGGTGGTTTCTAAGAGCAGAGATCACGATTGGATGCATGCCCACCGCAGTTTGGCGATCGCGATTGGATGCATTCCCACCGCAGTTTGAGTTTTCCACAGGTGGTTTCTAAAAGCACACACACCAGTGCACCAGTGGCCGTACGTAAATGATTCCGGAATCTGGTGGGGGGAGGAGGGGGGCCGACGGGTGACCTGGCGTGTCCGTGGGATATGGGACATGGGATATCACTCGGCGCGGTCGATGGTTGCGAGCAGTCAGCCGTGACGGCCGCTGTACTCTACTCTATATGTTTATAATGTCATGATCTGGCTATCTAGGTCGCATGAGATTGGTGAGTAAACAAAAACAAGTCGTGATAGGAACTCCCTACGTTGTCAGAACAAAGTTGCTACGGTACGGTACTGTATGAGGCGTACGTGCTCCACCTTCGTGCTCCGTACTCTACTTTACAAAGCGTATTCCCAAGCCGCACTCACACATCAGCTGCAACCAAGATCGACACTGGCGGTCACTACTCTATATACGGTGCGCTGTGGCTGTTCTCCAATTATCTTCCAAGTTCGATTTCCAACCCGCAGTGCGCAGTGCGCACCCCCCCGCCACCACGACGACACTTGGCGGCGCGCTCTCAACTACCGGTGTTCTGCATATGTGCCTACCTGCCTAGTAGGTATGACTCGGTTTAGCCATGTGCACTTGGAATTGCTCTGCACTGCAGCTTTATTCTTCGAGATTCTTCGAGATCTGCCTACTGATCCAGCATTTGGCATGGCTTTGAAATGCAAAAGTCTCGGGATCTGGAGCTCGACCTTGCGTTGTTCGATACCTACCGTACCTATCTTGGTCGTGGCAATACACAAATATAGAGTACGAACACCCCCCTTCCCGACGCCTGTGTCCGGACCGTGCCTGGACTTCCCAGTGTGATTCACCAGCCCCCTCCCCCTCCTTTTTACCGGCGAAAGATACGGAGGTCCAGCTTACCGCCGAGTGATAGTGGGTGCATGACCTTGGAACCGTCAGTGACACATGTTCTTTCTCTCCCTCTTGCACACATCATTTTATCTCGGTGCTATTTACGTACCACTACTTCCTTCTACAATCTCTGAATCTAGAGGCCGTCCGTCATCCCAATTTTCGATGTCGCCATCGCTTCTGGCTGCATAATTCTCACGCGTGTTGAACGGAGACTTATACAGGTGCCTCTACAAACAATGCAAGAAATCCAAAATCCCATTTCATGAATCCCATGTATGCGAGTGATGATGGTCAGAAATTCCCCATCTCGTCATAGTGCGACATCCATGTCGCGTAGTCACGTCAGAGGTGGTCCCAGACTACGGGATGCGGCTCCGCCGAAGCGACCTCGCCGCAAACCCAAACACAACAACGCGACCTCCGACCCGCACAACGGCACCCCCGTCACCCGACGAACAACACAACCGACTTGACCACGCACGACCCGCACAGCAATGGCGGACCTCTTCCTGCCCCAACCCCACCGCCTAAGCGATGGCGCATCGTCCTCCTCATCCAGCCTGTCGTCCCCTCCCTCCGCCACGAAACGCGCGTTCGGCGGTTTCGACACCATGAGCAAACCTCCCATCAAGCCAGGGCCAGCCAGCGAGGTCTTTAGGAAACCAGCGTTGACGGCGGCCGCTCTGCGGCACCCCCACGCCCTCCCTCCCGTCGCGCGCGAAGCCACCCCCGAGCTCGACGACGCGGCGAAAGCGCGCAGGGCGCAGGAAGACGAGATCTACGCGGACGAGCTCGCGATCCAGCAGCTCGAGGCGGAGATCGCAAAGCTGGAGGCTGCGCAAGCCCAGGAGCGGGGAAAAGCAAAATCAAACGATCAAGACTCAATGATGTATGTGTCCGCGGTGCGCAGTTGCCCCCCACACACACACCCCCGCTGATGCCGAAGCAGCACCCGCCTCCTCGCCGCCAACGACGCCTCATTCGCCTCGCTCCCACCCACGCCCACCTTCGACTTCGACGCGGCCGTCGCAGACGCGGCGATCCCGTCCGCGCTGCCCCTGCCCGTCTCCAACCCGCTCCCCCAACTACGCGCCTTCTCCGCGCTAACCTTCACCAAATCCTTGGTCACGCCGCTCCCGCCCGGCTTGAACCGGCAGCACCAGATCGTGGGGTACGCAGGCGCGCCCATCGCGGCGCTGACGTTCCAAGTCTCGCTCGTGGTGTCCGCGCACGAAGAGACGGTCGAGGAGCTGTACTGCTCCGTTAGTCAGTGGGCGCGTGGCGAACTCACGCCCGTCATCAAGGAGTGCGCGGGCGCGCGTGATCCAAAGGTCCTGCTGTGGGCGATCAGCACGTACCAGCCGCTGGCGCTCAAGCGCGCGAAGGTGTGGGCGCGGCTGTGTTGGCGGTACCCGGGACTGCTGCCGCAGTACGCTCCCGGGAGCAAGAGGATCAGCAAAAAGGCAAAGGCAAAGGCGAAGGCACATAAACCCTCGCCCCGAGAGATCAATGCCCTGCTCGGTGAGCGGGTGCTATGCTTTCGCCCCAGAAGTGCGGGGAAGGGGGACAAGGGGAAGAGATCGCTGGAGTTCGTGGTGCGGTGGAGTATAGGCGTCGATGAGGTCGGCGAGGCCGTAAGCACTGTTGATGGCGATGCAAGGGTGCCGGGCGTTTGTGAGTGCACTCCCACTCCTCATCCCTCCTCTTCGCAGGAAGCGTAGGAAGGAAGCGCAGACTAACCGGGCTCACTCAGGGACACAAATCGACGCGGACGGAAACCTGGCCAGGGTAGCGCCGCTGTTCAAGGACCTTGTCGCCGAACGAGGCGTCTTCGAGGCTGTCAAGTGTATGGTCGGATTACTGTTTCCGCACGAGGAGCCGCGGGAGTGACACCGCAGTAGTAGGAGTCATCTCATATGTTTGCAATTTGCATGGGTTGGTTGCTTGGTTGGGCAGGCGTTTTGGGGTGTTTTTGTAAATTATTCTTTGAGCTCTTTGAGGCTGGAGCTCGTCAATTTCAACTGAGATACCAGGTGGGTGGGTGGGATGAATAGGTGAATAGAGGAACTGTTTGTAACTTGTTGCACCGGTGGACGCGGAACTGGGATGGATTCGTGAGGCGGATTGACAACGGGACTTCATGAGATGGCACTCGCGAGTACCTGCGTATGGCGGTGTGAGCTGCCGTGAGATGGAGTAATGGCTGAGTGACTACTGCGTAGCCTCCGTCGCGAAACGGCCATGCTACAGAGCAGCCAAAGGAGGCTTCAGAACTTCTGGATTGGTATCGTCGTCGTTTACGTGGTTACATGTTTACATATAGCATCACTCGGTTTCAAATGCCGCGCACAAAACTTTTTGGTTTCCGGAAGTTGTTCCTCTACTCTTGCTTCATTGCTGGGACAGGCCGGGGGCGGAGAGCGGAGGCCAGGGAAAGCCACATCAGGCTACCTACCTGATGAAAGTCGGGTTGGAAAGTGGCGTGGAAACGGGGTATTGCCATAATCTACATACCTGGTGGGGAGGTAGGTAAGCCTTCTTCACCAGGGTATTGGAATTACATGATGTACATATTACACGTATCAAGGCACGATCCTACACTACTCGTACTACACTCCAGAGTAGGTGCCTGGTGGGCAGGTATCAGCGGGCAGACGATGTACTGTACTGCATGGTACTATATACAGAGTAGAACCGTTACGCCTGGCGGGCATGATATGTAGAGTAGGTAGGTAGGTAGGTAGGTAGGTAGGCACTGTAGGCACCTTCATCCCCGCCCTCGTCTTCTCCCTTCTTCGCTAAACCACCTAACCACCTTCAGGCTTCACCGAAGCGAACCGAGCCGATGTGCGGGCGGCAGAGTAGATCCTGGCCATCCGTGTTTCAGTGGCTACATGAGTGCTTCCTACCGTACTGCGTGGCGGCGTATGGTTCGTTGCTGTGATCACTACAGTAACTGTAGTCTCTGGCTTGCGTGCGGATATCTCTCTTCTTGAATATACTACCGGTATATATAGTGAAGTAGATACAAAAGTCGAGTAAACCAAGCCACAATGCCTCAAAAAGACACCGTCTCAAGAAGTGAAGGGACCGCAATGATTGTGCCGACGCTCGAGCACGCTCGTTGGCTGTAGTATGGTATGCATGTGTATATATGGTATGTAGTATATGTCTGCCCGAGAGCCTCAGCTCTGCAAAGGTATTTTCCGTCCAAAGGCATGCGAAAGGCACCCGGTCAAACAGAATTGTACAAGGAAGAAAGAAAGGAGCCGGTAGACACCTACATGACAGAAGTATGTCCGCCTCGGAAGAAAAGAAAGCATAGGCCGTAACCCCCCCCCCCCCCCCCCCCGCCCCCACCGAACTGAAAACAAAACACCATTCCCATCTATATCGAAAAGCAGCAGACCCGACCCAACCCTTCCCTTCCCTCGACCACCCCAGCCCGCCACTACCGCGGCGGCGACCGAACCGTCGCCCCCGCTGTCTCGCACTTAACGGTGTACCCCGGGCGACCGTCGAAGGCGGTAGGGAACGACATCCTCCTAGTATCGCTAGGGCCGTATTCGAGGTCGTCTGTGTTTCTCCCGTCGGTGCCGCCGCGATCGCGGGTATCAAGGCTAGCGGAACGCTGCGTTCCGGTAGTGGAGGTGACGAACTCCTTCGTGACGCTGATGCCGTTGAGGGTTGGCGAGCCCTGGCCGCGGGTGACGGGGGGGACGTTGTCGACGATGCGCTCGGCGCTGTCGCCGCCGCCGAGCGTGGTCAGCCCGATCGACATCAGGTTCATCTTCCGCCGCGCGGGCTTCGACGGCTTCATCGAGTCGCCGCCGGCCATGTTGTGTGAGCCGCCCATCGAGTGCTTGTTCGACGACCCCCCCAGCGCCGAGGATAGCACCGAGGACTGCACTTTGGCCACGGTGCGCGCAAAGAGCGGGTAGATCATTGGGATGTTGCCGATCACAGCCGCGACGAACGTTTCGCGGACCGCCCAGGAGCCGGCTTGGGCGGCACCGTTGACCGGGTCGGCGATGATCAGCGCGCACCGGAGGATTCCGGCGATGATGACGAAGATTCCGCCCGAAAACATGATTAGGAGGAGAGCCTTGCGCTTGGGAGTTATGTTGGCTTTCCACAGCAGCTGGTGGGGGTCAGTTCTGCTTGGTCCGAAATGCGGGGGAAAGCCTTACAGGAAGCGGGATGGACATCAGATAGAGATCCGTAATGACGTTGAGTACAACCGTTACATAAAGGTTGATCTTTGAGATGGCGGGTTGGCAGTGGTCTGCGGAAGCATATCAGCACGATCCCTCAATCGCCGTGTGTGCGAGCTGGCACTGGGATAGGTACTCACTGCGCGGATCGGGATAAATCTGCCAGTTCTTCTCGTACGGCAAGCATCCCAAGTGGATACTGAGCAGCGTCACGACATACGTGACACCGATGGAGGCATATGCGATGTTGATGCGCATATTCATATGCAGACCCACGCTGTTGATCATCAGCACCACCCTCTCCCATAAGATGCAGCAACTCACGTCAATCGCGAGTAGAACTTTGCCATCGCCAGCTTCAAGCTCCACAAGAGACAGGTGTACAGACTCCAGCCGACAAGCTGAGTCTTGCTGCCGCCGATTCGCTTGTCCCACTCTGGATCCGATGGCTTCAGCGTTCTGCGCTGTTCGTCGGTCATGCCATTGTTTGCGAGGCCCAAGTAGATGGCGACGACGGTGTAGGCGGCAAAGGTCTCGAGGGCGTATACTATCTTTTTCCCCCCGGGGCGGTAAGTCAGATGGGGGTTAAGAGCCGACGCGGAACGGTGCACATATTCACCCCCGCAAAGACCATGATGTAATCATCGAGGGCAAGGTTTCGAAAGCCCACGGAGCTCCATCGCGCGTATGTTCGTAGGACGATGATGGAGATTGCTATGCCAAGGAGCGTGAAGGCCTCCGTGATGAAGGCGTCTACCGGGCCTCCCGCCATCGTGAGTGTCGGGTGGTTGTATACGGCGTCGCCAAGTTGAGATGCAGCTGTACGTAGAAGTTTTGACGTCGGGAATCCGCGATGAGGTGAATGGCGGTGGGCTGATGAGGTGCGATCCCAGGCACTCGGTGGAAAATAGTGGCCAGTGGGCCTGAGACGATGAGAACGGCGAAACGAACGATCCGGGGGAGACGGATTAAAGGAGAGGACCTGGGCTGCGCTATAAAAGAATGCAGACGGGAGAAAGCCTCAAGGCGGATGCCGATTCGTTGGTACGGTACTATGGAGTGCGGTATGGTATGGTCGACTGGCCAGAAACCCGGAATTTCTGAACATATAGCAGGTACCCAGTTATCCCCAGGACGGCCAATTGCACCCATGAAGTGGCCGCTGTTTTAAGAAATCCTCGGTAGTCACTTGGTTCCAGTCCCTGACGGTATGTAGTATAGTAGGTATACTAGTACCTACACTCACCGCCAAACCACAGGAGGCTAGAGCCTGATATTTGGCCAACGTGGGGAGCTCTGAAGAATTCCGAGCCTCGTGGGGGTGATTTGACTCTATATGCTAGAGTACCTATAGCATAGTTACTGGTAGCCTAATTCTCGTCGAGTTCGTAAGAAGAAGACCCACACAGGCTCCACGTCCGCGCACGCACGCCCGCAAAACTCGAGCAGCACCGCATCATCTCGATCGCCACCAGTAGTCAGGTTTCCCCGGCACCACCGGTACGGGTACACAGAACATCTTGCAAGCGAATTTGTTGTGAAATGTGTGGATTCCTGGTGTGTATTATACCACTTCATAAGAAGGAGACGAAAACGAAGACGAAGATACAGAAGATGGACATGCAGAAGAAGAAGAAGTTGAAGTTGAAGAATCCCGCAGACATGGATGGAGGCGCACCTTCACGCCGCTTAAGCTTGCTTCAGTCTGGCGCGGGACGACGCCTCCCACTCTACTTCCCACTTCGACGGCACACACAAAACGCACATCGCAGCCACAAAAGGCAGAATATTCTCGCTCTCGTTCACCACCCACCGGGAACCCATAAACTCCTGCCACTCCCAGACGGCAGTGGCAGTGCCGAGTATCCGGTCGACGGGACGGAGAAAGCCATCAGCCTGCCTTTCCCGACAGTCGGCTGCTGTAGATGGCGACAGCCCCCCGCCCCACAACACCCCTATCTCGGGCTCCTGCGATGATGTCGCCGTCGCCTCTGGAGCCTGTTCTCTCGCTTACCCCCTGCCCCATTCGCGAGCACTCTGCTGACAGGCGCTTCCAGAGATGCAACGACGACCAATCAAGTTCCAACATATAAACAAATCCCTACGTATAAAAATCCCGACGTTTCTGTATCATCTGCACTCCCACGATCGGGATCCGACGGTGGCTCGAGAGCAAGCCATCTCCAAGGATGGGGCAATTATTCATAGGTACTTACGGGCCTGCCTACAGTAGTCATCGCTAGCGGAGGTGATCGGCTGTTGCGAACTTGCAAGTTGCGGTGGGCCACGTTGTGTGCACTGGCCTCCTGGAGGAACGAGGCTAGAGTACTTGTGGACCTCTTACCTAAGGACTTCATGGTTGTATGGAGTTATACATCTGGCCCAGGTGCTCTAATGTGCACACACAGGCTGTCGGTTCAACCTGAAAAGGCTGTAGAGTCATATCTACTACTCATCCGGGACCTCAGGTCGAAGTGTATGTGCACAATGTGCAAAATGTGAATGTGCAACTGTGCAAATGTGCAATCGCAATGTGCAATCGCAATGTGCAAAATATGCGAATATTCAATGTGCAATTGTACAATGCCAAGCTCTATACTCCCGAATAGCGTACGCACTACCACGTACTTCCGCCGTCCGGGTGTCCACTGTCAGTTGGGATGCACCTAGAAAAGTAGGAGGTAGGTTCTAGCCAGTAGTCCTCGGCCGGACTGCTTTCCGCCCAGGATCATGACATGTCTGAATTTTTCAAACTGCAGCACTCATCCGATTTCTATATGAAGAATACCTACATAGGTGCCCACATTACACACATATATACATAGCAGTCAAGTTGTTAGTGGAGTGGACTCTGGTGTGATACTCCAACTCCTCTAACTAGATACCTACTCTAACCACTCTTGAGGAGGTCGTCCTAGAAGGTCCAACGACGCCTACCTACTCTGGCTGGATAAATGTCGGTACTTCACTCGCACAATTCCCAGTACCGGTACCGGTATACCTATAGGGCTTCGAGTTATATGTGAAGCCCGAAGGGCGCACTGCACGAGTATCTATCTAGATGTAGGTACGACGGAGCAGTCGTCCGCCCTTCCTTCTTTTTTTGTGGAGCAGAATTTCTCGGTAGATGTATCATACTACTATAGGTATAGCACCTATAGTAGTACAAACCCACACCACCAAGCCCCCCCCCCCCCCCCCCCTCCCCCCACCAGCACCAGGGCCTGTCTCGTCTGGTCTGGCCACTTTAAGCACTTGCAAGAATTATGGTAAGTTATGGTAACTTCCGGGATGAAGAATCTGGGATGAAGCATCTGGTTAAAACAGCGAGCAAATGGGCTTTTCGCATCTGATAGGCACGTGTGTGATTCGTCAACCCCAACCTTTCCCAGGTCCAGTTCCACAATTCGGATTCGGCGATGGTTTCGCCTGCTACATACGGTACGTACGCACTATCACTCGTCCCTAGTTGCTAGTAGTTAATAAAATAGCCGGTTGCGGCCACATCGCTCTGGACAGGGAAGATCTCTCCACTTATTCGGACTCCCCTAGATGAGATGGGGCGTCCTCGGGATGGCAATAGTTACATGATGGCTATACCTAGCACGTGTGCGTACTGTGAATATGTGCAATGTATGTACCTACATAGGTAGCGGCGGGACTCCCCCTTCCCCCCCTCAATTAAAAGGGACAATCGCGCACCCCCAACCTCCGATCATCTCCGGCATGTTTACACGCTCTCCTCATATTTCCACCGAGAAGAACGCACGCATCACTGCCGCGTCGTCGAATCAGATCCTGTCCTGTCCCCCGGGTCCCCGTTCGCACACGCATCACACACACTCACGCTCCGGAGTCCGAGAGCTAGAATCCAGACATACCTGAAACGGAATCCCCCAGACTAAATAAAAAAACCCTCATACATACATTCGGAGATTCACGATGGAAACAGTTTCCCCTCCTCCTGCTCCTCTGGACTTGGTGATCATTGGTGCCGGTCGGTCTCGCTCCTTCCTCCCCCATTCCCCATTCCATGGCTCCTCCCCCTCGCGGATCCAGCTTCTCGGCGGGCCGTCGGCAACTGCCATGGCATTTCCCCCTTCGTTTCACACCGGACCGAGGCTGCTGCTCGGCGGTTTTTTTAGAGGGCTCAATCGCTGACGTACTATGGTCGATGATGCACAGGATGGCACGGTCTGATCACCGCCAAAACGTATCTGGAGGTGAACCCGACGGCGCGCGTGGCAATCCTCGACAAATCGGCGACGATCGGCGGTGTATGGGCCGAGCACCGGCTGTACCCGGGGCTCAAGACCAACAACATGCTGGGCACGTATGAGTACTCGGACGCGCCCATGACGGGCGACAACGATTTTGGCGTTAAGCCTGGCCAACACATCCCCGGAACTGTCGTCCACGAGTATCTCGAGTGCTTTGCCGAGAAGTTCGATATTCTGAAGCTATGCCGGTTCGGGGAGGCGGTGACCGTGGCCGAGAAGTTGGACGATGCGGCCGGGTGGGTCTTGACGGTCGAGAAGTCGACGGCCGAGGATCGGGGTGAGCCCGCGTGCTATAAGCTCTCGACTAAGAAGATGGTCGTAGCTACCGGGTTGACGTCGCAGCCGTTCCTTCCCACGTTCCCGGGCGAGGAAGGATTTGAGGCGCCCATCATCCACTGCGGTAATCTGCTGGACAAGTCGGAGGAGCTGTTCGCCTCGGCTACCAACGTTGTCGTCTTTGGCGGAACCAAGTCGGCGTGGGATGCCGCTTACGCGTTCGCCACCAGGGGGATCCACGTCGATTGGGTCATCCGCGAGTCGGGACACGGGCCGACATGGATGGCACCGCCATACGTGACGCCGATGAAGAAGTGGCTCGAGAAGCTCGTTACCACCCGTCTCCTTACGTGGTTGAGCCCGTGCGCGTGGGGCGAGGCCGACGGATTCACCAATCCTCGGTGGTTCCTTCACAACACGGCGGTCGGACGTACCATCACCAAGGGATTCTGGGGTATCCTCGGAAGCGACGTGATCGCCCTCAACGAGTACGACAAACACCCCGAGACCGCGAAGCTGAAGCCCTGGGTCGACGCCTTCTGGATCGCCTCGGGGCTCAGCATCCTCAACTACCCGACGAATTTCTTCGACCTCGTCAAGGAAGGCAAAATCTCTGTGCACATCACTGAGATCACGAACCTGACCGCGAAGACCGTCCACGTCCAGGACTCGGCCTCCGAAACCCCCACCACGCTCCACGCCGACGCACTGATCTGCTCCACCGGCTGGAAATTCCACCCCGCAATGAAATTCATCTCCTCCAGTGGGATGGCTCTCGACACGCAGCTCGGGCTGCCACATCACGACTCCGAGGCCGAAACCGACGACCCGGCCACCACGGCAGTGGACAAAGAGATTATGGATCGCTTCCCGATACTCCAGGATCGCCCAAAGATGAACCCCAAGCTCACCCCGCTCCGCAGAACCAGCGAAGCAGAGGGCGACATCAACCGCGGATTCAGCCTGTACCGCTTCATGGTGCCTCCGGCACTGATCCACGACCGCACCGTGGTCTTCAACGGGATGGTGCAAACGATCTGCACGCCAATGGTGGCGCAGGCGCAAGCGCTGTGGCTCACCGCCTACCTCGACGGAAAGCTCCAGACCGTCAGCAGCGACGGCAGCGGCGAAGAGGACAAGACGCTCGAGGACACGGTGCTGCGCGAGACGGCACTGCACACGCGGTTCGGCAAGTGGCGGTATCCGGGCGGCTACGGGGCCCGGTACCCGGATTTCGTGTTTGATGCGATTCCATATATCGACCTGTTGCTGGGCGATGTGGGATTGTCGGGAAGGCGCAAGGGAGGCGTGATCAGCGAGTGCTTTACGCCATACGGACCAGAGGATTACAGAGGGCTGGTGGACGAGTGGAAGAAGACACAGGCGCAGGCGTAGATACCCATTGGTTGAGTTCTGTTCTGTTCTTTTCTTTCTTTCTTCTTTCTTTGTTTCTTTCTTCATGTCTTTCGCCAATTCGGCTGTGTATAATAGTTAATCAATTCTTTTTTTCCGGAGTCTCCACACATTTTTCAGTGTCCACGGTCCATCGGACATTCCAGCAAGAGCAAGATTGTAGTGGGCCCAAGCATCCCGCCAACCAGAAGATGGAGCTCTCCAGAGTCCGGCTGGACGGCCCATCTTGCGGGGATTCCGGAGTTTTGCAGCGCAGATCTGGACTCTGGGAGTCTGGGGCGGGGAAATTCGAGGAATCGATAGCCTCCATACTAGTGCATCCTTCCGAGTCGATTCGCACTCGCACTCGCGAGCCATCCTTGTATAGAAACACCGTGGGAGGCGGAGTTCTGGAGTTGTGGATGTGGAGTACGGGACCGATCGGCGATGAGGATAGTTGGTTAGCACAGTGCGCTCCAGACTCTGGTGATGTGAGCTAGGTGACTAACTCCTCAGACCTCTAGTGGCTGAGATTTGCCACAGCTGAAGTTAGATACTGTGGAGTATGCCCGGTCTCCCCGGTTCCGATCCGCGCTTTGACCTCACCGGCGAGACTGCCAGTGGCGCTCCTTCCTTCATCGTCATCGTCGGTGGCGGTGGAGATGGTGGAGATGGTGGTGGCCGCGGGATCGGATCGCGATGGCGGATCACCAACCTGGAACGCACGGATGGCTGCACGATAGTTATGGGCGGTTATAGAGGGGGAGGAGAGGCCGCTGTCCAACATCGTGTCGTGTCTTGTCGGAGTACATACTCTAGATGGTACTCTAGAGTAGGTACTGAGAGACCCAAGAACAGGTGTGGTCAAAGAAACGTGATCAATTGGAAGAGAGTTCTATGATGATGTTGAGAAGAAAAGCAAGGCGAACAGACAGGAACAGAAAAGCAACAGAAACAATTCAACGTTCAACGACCATATCGGGTCTGCCCTCCGTGACACATGGGTTCCACCAGGTCCCCCTGGTCCCAATAAGGTCTCTCCGCCAAAATACAAGCATACAAGGTGGATCTTCGCCGTGAGACAGAGAGAGAACATCAATTTATCGTCGCATACGGTGCGTATATACGGCTTTAACTCATATGTTCCCGACTATATGGTGACCCAGACCTGAGCTGTGTGTATGTAGAGTAGGTAGGTGTGTAGGATTTATCCCGGTTACGACCACCGTAACTGTCGCTACCTAGCGATGTATCCGCGACAAATGACGGAGGAGTGTGGGGGCGGTACCTCTGTGGGGAGGGGGACACGAAGATCAATCCTTTTTCGAGAATTCTGCAGCGGATATTTGTGTGTCCTAATTATGTTTGATATATGCATAGGTTGACCACTTTTGACAAAGCTCTCGCGTCTCAACCGAACTCAATTCGCAGCGCCGAGAACGGTAACGTGAAGGTTCAAGGGGCACCCCACCCGGAGGACGTGGGGAACTCGGTGTTTTTTTTGGCGGCGGGAAACGCCGTAGCATTGCATTAGGCTCGTACTAAGGCACTCTGGAGTCTGCTCTAAATGGCGACATGACACCCCGAAACCGCAACCGAAATATCCTCAGGACTCTGGACTGTGGATTCTGGAGCTGCGAGCGTGGAGCAGATTTCAACTTCTCAAGTCATGCGTGTCCAACCATCGACGGGGCGTAACGAGGCGTCGAGCTGATGCAGCAACCCCTTTTCCACGGGACCAACCTTCGACTCTTCGAGCCTGCGGGATAGTTATGCAGTGATGCACCCTTTGAGGAGAGACGGGAAGTCGAAGACACTGCCCACTGCCCACTGGCCGGATACATAGCCGTGATTGCTTTTCGGAGCCGTGTCCGTCACTCTTGTCGAGAAGAATTAGCAATTGGTTAGGACTTATTCCGGTAACGTGGGGGCTAGCAGTTACATGTGGATGTTCAATGGAGTCTTGATGAGGGATTGAAGCGAAGGCGGGTGGAAGTGAACACTCGAGACTCGAGTGGCAAAGATAATGCACAATAGCCGTCCATCGGCAGCGCGCAAGTGGGGAGAAATGCAAACCGTGGTATCGATAAGTGGTGGAGAAGTGTAAGTCATGATAACTATCGAAGTGCAATGAGAAGTGCAAGCCATGGCGGTTATCTAGAAGTGCAGATTGCGGGAGTTGTCCAGAAGTGCATGTTGCGGTGAGGCAACGGGACAACTGTGTAACTACAATCACCAGCTGAATAGCAAGCCACCGCCGCCACGAGCCCACATTCACTCTCACCCACCACTACAATCGCAAGCCAATTATGTACCTATCCAGGTACCGCACGAAGTTCGAACAAGCAGCCAAGTTGCAACACTCAAACAGCAATACCGTAACCTCGGATGATTGCCCCCCAACCCCCCAACCCCCCGAGCCAGCGGTAGATACCGTATCTAGATACTCCAAATCCTCCGTCTGCGGCCCGGCGGAAGTGACAAGTACTCCTGACGATCGCAATGGCTTCGCCTTGGGGACCGAGGAGCCGATCGCTGTCACTGTGCGTATATATCGGGCCCGTGTAGAGTCTCGGCGAACGCCCAGAGGAAACCCAAATAGCGGCATAACTAACCAAGAACTGACAGGTGATGACAGTGACGATCACGCCGCAAGAGTCAAAGGTACATAAGTTCCATCTGGGCGTTCTGGGCATTATGGGCGTTCCGCTGCGGCTCATACTTCACACTTGCGGCCAGTGGGTTTGTTCCCTCCGTGAGTGAGCCCCACACACGCTGGTCGGGAGCCTACCTATAATACTATACTTCTCGGCAAGGTAATTTCTACATGTACGGTAGAGCACCATACCCGTATGATATCATCAATCACTACTCTCTCACTCAAACAACGATGGTGGACCTGACAGATCGGTTCTCGAATTACTACTACATTTATCACTCGCCACAGCTGCGGAGGTCGTCCGGCTACTTTATGCAATGTATCTACTCAACGGAGATGCGAATCGTGAACCCAATGATCACGCATAACTACCTATGTACCTATACACCTATATAGTAGTATGATAGAGTCTAGGTATTCAGCAGCACGGCCTTCCCACAGCCCAGACACGGGATCCTCAGTAATAAAGTACCTACATACTACCTAGATAGTCAGGGCTCTCCCGAACGCCGACAGGCGGAAACAAACTGCCGGGGAAGCCTGCGGTACTATGATACAGCAACTAGTATTGCAGATGGGTCACCCAAGCACTCACTCACTCGCTCGTTATCATCCAGCGGCAGTAGTCGCTACCTCCGTGCATCAGCCTACGCCGCTCTACCAGCCCCAGGCGGGAAATTGGATGGCGAAGCTGCAGCTTGAAATCTGTAGTCGAGTCATTACCCATGACGTAGTCCCGAGTGAGATGCCGTGCACTTGCAGCCTTGCGGTCCATGCCAGGATGACCAGATATATTAAAGCTGACATGCCACCTTCAACATCTACACATATCCCATTAACTCTCCACATTCCAGCTTGAAATCCCATTACAGATGCCACCCCTCCGTCCTCTCGGCCCACTAGAGCGCTGGTTCGCAATCCGCCACACCCTCTCATACCACAACAGCGTCAGCCTAACCTTCACCGTCTCCCTGCTCGTCCCGCTGACTCCCGCCGCGGTCACCGCGGCCCTGACCGTATGCCTATCCACGCACGCCGTGCTCTCAGTACGCATCGCCTCGGACACCGACTTCCAGCGTGTGTGGCCCGTGGACCTCTCCCATGCCGTCGTCTACTCGGACGCAGACTCGCCAGACCTGCCAGACATAGCCCTCGAGGCGAACACGGGGTTCGCAGACGCCGGCGTCTGCTGGCGCATGACCGTCTTCGCGCGCGCGCAAAAAGTGGTACTCTCCTACCACCACGGAATAATGGACGGCGAGGCGGGCGTGGCGGTGGTGCGGTGCTTCGTCGGCGCGCTGCTGGCGCCCCCGGTGCCCCCGGTGCCATCTCCATCCCCTCCACCCCCACCCCCGGAGCTCCCCCCGCCGCTGGAGCAGCAGCTAGCGCTATCGGTATCCTGGCGCACGGCGGCATCAAAGCTCGCCACGCTGCTGCCGGCGTGGCTCCCGTCGTGGCCGGGGGCGGACCTGTGGACTGGCCCGCCGATCGGCCTGAGCCCGCCGTTCAGGACGCGGATAGAGTTGCTGGAGCTCGACGCGGCGGTGACGTGGCGGGTGCGCGCGCGGTGTAGGCGCGAGGGCACGAGTGTGACCGCGCTGCTACATGCTGCGGTCGCGGAGGGGTTGGTTGATAAAGTAGGAACGGGCGTCAGTGGGAGTGTGGCGGTTAGTTTTCGGCGGTTCCTGCCAAGGGGGGCGGGCGGGGCGGAGGGGGAGTGTGTGGGTGTTATGGCGTCGAGTTTGGTGCACACGCACCATCCGGGCGGGGGGGTGTGGGAGCGCGCGAGGGGTGTGAAAGCGACGATCACAGCGGGGCTGCGTGTGGGCCCGCGCGACTGTAAGGCGGCGATGTTGGCGTGGGCGCCGGATATTCGTGCGCACCTGCTGGCGCAGGACGGTAGGCGGCGGGAGCTAGCGTTTGGAGTTAGCAATCTCGGCGTTGTTGATATCGTGGGTGTCGAGGAGCTCGTGTTCAATCAGAGTGCGAGTCCCGTCGGGAATGCGTTGGATGTGTGCGCTGTTGCTACAGATGGGAGTGGGCTCAGGGCTGTGTTTGGCTGGATCGAGGGAGTGCTACAGGAGGAATGGATGAAGGACGTGGTGGTAAGGGTGAAGGATATACTCGAGGAGGCCGCGGGGGAGGTGTAGTGGTCAGTCGGTCAGTCAGTCATTGCACCGCCCGTGAATAGTGAGCCCTCCTGTATTCTGCACAGAGCGATGCTTCACCCCCATTTCCAGTACGATGCCAGTAGCTATCATAGGTATACGCATTTTATATTCCCTCTGCAGCACCTATATCTATTTCCACCCTCTACGCGCACCTCATAATCTCCTCGGTTCTCAAACATCCCATAGCGACCTGCAAATGCGCGGTCCCATCCTTCGCCAGCTCGACCTCCCCAACGGGTCCCCACCTAGTCTCGATCTCCTCAGCCTCCTCCCTCAAGCCAAACCTCAGGAGGGCATACATGACCGCTCTCTGCGCACTATCCAATGCACCCACGATCCACGCATGATGCGCGGAACTCGCCTCTCCAACAAAGTGCAGCTTCCCGTCGGCAGCAGGCCGCGCCAGGAACGGATAGAAGTTACTGAACTGCCCCGGGCCGAACAGCGCGAACGCGCCGGCGGTGTTCGGGTCCGCGTACCACGAGTACGCGTGGTGCGTCACGTACTGGTCGCGCAGAAAGTCGAGCGTGATGTCGTGGCGCGCGTGCAGCCGCGCCAAGTCGCGGAGCAGCAGGTCCTTGAGCGCCTCCTCGCCGCTGGGCGAGTCCGGCGTGATCAGCGCGCTGATGCGCTGTGCGTCCTGCGCCCACGTGTATGAGGCTAGGAGCACGGAGGGCGCGTCCACTGGGTCGTGGATGCTGAACGAGGGGTAGACGCAGGTGCGAAGTGGTAGGTCCGTAGACGCCACACCGCCCTCGGTGATCCCGCACTGTGTGATCCACCACGGCGTTTTGAACTTGATCGCGACTTTGGCGCTGGCGTCGTAGTGCAGTGCGCGCAGGGCGTCTTTTTGCGCCGGGTGCAGCTCGGCCCCAGTGAGGTCTATGCGCTGCGCGCAGGCGAGCGTCGTGGTGTTGAAGACGGTGTCATATTCACGGGTCTCTTCCGCTCCGGAAGCGTTGGTGAGCGTCACCAGCATCTTGGTGTCGCTCTCCTTGGCGCCGCGGCCGAGTGCGATGCCTGTGACGCGTGTGTTCAGCTCAGGCTTCGTCTTGATCTTGGCCAGCATGGCCTCGGTCACGACGGACGTGCCGCCTTCGACACACTTCCACGCTTCGTCGGGGGACTCGTCAAAGTCCAGCGAGTCGATCACCGTCTCGCTAAAGGACTGGTCGAACAGCCCCGACGAGGTGCTGACCGTCTCCAACCACTGGACGGTATGGAAGTCGAGCCCGGAGTCGCCATACCTTCACAACCAACTGTCAACCATGCTCCCCCCACAAACTCGGGACAACCCACAACCGCGACCGCAAAAACTCCCTGGTCGAGAAACTATCCAGCTCCATGAGCATCTGGAAGCCCTGTTCGAAGTCCTCCCTGAGGGCCTCCTTCAGGGGGCCGAAGGCCTCCGAGAGGATCATCTCGGCACCATCCTTAACCGCCCTTTGCCCTCGCTATCAGCCCCCACCCCCCGACCGTACCAACAAGAGCAGACTCACTCATCAGGAATCACCCCGCCATTCTCCTGGCTGATCCGGTACGGATCCGTCTCGTGCGGGTTCTCGGGCGGCCCCACGATGTCGTTGTACATGACGGGACAGTTCTCGCCGGCGAGGTAATAGTCGACGAGCGGGATCTCGAGTTCGGCAAAGAGCTCGAACGTCCTTCCCGCAGTATCAGCACCATCCCTTCCCCATTCCCCCCCCCCCCCCCCCCCCCCCCACACACACACATCACGCAACACCACCAGCACCATCAGTCGGGAACTCACTTCTGCATAACCTTAATCTTCGGAAACCGCATAGCGCCGACATCATAGTACTCATTCTTCCCGTCACCGAGCCTCTTGGTGAAGACCCTCCCGCCCACCCTCCCCGCACTTTCCAGCAAATCATAGCTCACCCCGGCCTCATCCAGCACCATAGCTGCATAGAGCCCCGCCATGCCCGCGCCAACGATACAAAACCTCAGCCCCTCTTTCCCCTTCCCCCCCCTCCCCCTTCCCCTTTCCCCCGCCGAGCCCTCCGTTGGGGGGCTCATGCGGCAACTCAGAAGGATGATGCGGCGGCTGAGTCTGCGGGCCGCCGCCGAGCAGGGGCGGGCCGGGAGGAGGCGCGCACCCCGGCTCCGTGCCGTACGCGGCGTGCCGGCGGCTAAGCTCCTCAAAGAGCTTTTCGCGCACGAGGCGGCGCGCGTATTGTGCGCGGAAGGTGGGCGGGTCGGCGGGTTCCATCGTGGTACTGCTGCTGATGGGTCTGTTTGCTGTATTGGTTGGCTGCGAGGAGGTGAGGTGGGCTCTTTTATCTATGGGGAAGGTAGCAGGTGTGTATGATGGGAGGTATCTGAGTATCTGTCCTGATGAAAAAAAAAACTCGTCGTGAATGGAGGGCCTGAGCTGAAATACCAATTCAGCTCTTCACCCCTCCCGCAGAGGTGCAGGCAGCTGGACAGCAAATGCGGGGCTTGACTCAATGCATAAAGACATGAATACTGACGAATGGGATCATTGGGATGGGCTTATGGCTATGCGTAGATCCCGCCAGTGGCCACCCCTGTAATAGCTCTCTAGGCAGCTTTGTGCGTGGCATGCCTGGCTGGCTGGCTCTTCGCTTCGTGGCGTAACTACTGTCAGCCGTGTCTGTCAGTCTGCCAGTCCACTGGTAGATATATAGCGACACCACAAACAGCCCGACGATTTGAAACACAATTGTCTCTCTTGCTGTCTCTCGTGCTGTCGTTCTGGTATGTCTCACAAGTTACAATACATTCAAGATATCGTTCAATTCATTATCCAACCCCTCAACTCCCCATCCCCCACCCATCAACCCCTCCAGAAGAGTACATATCCGTTCATCCATCCATCCATCCATCCATCCATCCGCCCAGTCCACCCATCCACCCACTCCATCCACCCGTCATGTCCCCCCGCTACCTCCCCTCAGCCAGCACCCCGCCATCAGGATCCACCAGCCTAACCTGCCTCCTATGCGCGGCATCATCATCGTCGCCATAGTCGCTTGCGGCACTATCATACGGATCCTCATCCTGCACCTCGGCGTCTCGAGCAGTCGGCGGGGGGCGGGGCGGTAGTGGCGGGGGCGTTCTCTTCGCACTCCCGTTACCATTCGCCTCCGGTGCCTCCAACTCGACCGCCTCCCTCTTCTCCTCGACCAGCGGCGGCGCGGGCGCAGGCACCTCGCCGACCACCTGCTCGACCAGGTCCGCCTCGACCAGTTCCGCGCGGCGTGTCCACTTCCTTCTGCGCGTATACTTCCCCCAGCCATCGACGCCGCGTCTCCCATCACGCCACTTATTATCATAGTACCACCAGCCCTCACCCTGCTCCCCCGCGCCGCCCAGGCGATCCTTCACCTCCTGTTTCGCACGGCTCCTTCCACCCTGTTCACCTGCCGCACCCTCGACAACCCACTCCTCGCCCGAAACCCATCGCCACGCAACACCGGAGCCCCGCGTCGTCGCGGGCAGCGCGAACTCGTGCGGCGGCGGACACGCCTGCAGGTGCTCGTCGGTCCACGCGGCGCGCTCGTACGCGAACAGCGTGCTGGTCCAGCCCACGCCCAGCCAGCGCCGCTGGTTCTCGTAAATCGCGAAGGTGAACTTCACCCCCGGGGAGGCGGCGGCGGTGGTTGCGTTGAGCGGCGTGGGGCGGTCTGCGGTGGTGGGGGCAGCGTCGGCGGTGGCGGTAAAGCCGTCGCGCGGTGGGAGTGGGGGCAGCAGAGGCTGCGGTGTAAGCGACAAACCCGTTATTTGCTCGCTGAGTCGCCGCAGGGTGCTGGAGCGCCAGAGGATCGTTCGTGAGACCTTCGCGGGCCGCGAGTGCCAGCTGAGGAATAGCGTGCCGGAGAAGATGACGATGCGGCGCGGCGTCAGGATCTGCAGCGGGTAGACGCTGACGAACAGCCAGACGGGGGTGAGGAGGAGGATCCTTATGAACAGCGTCGTGAGCGCGGGCCTAGTGGTGACGGTAGTCGCGCTCTTCTCCGTCGACAGCACATCGAGCAGGGCGAGACACGGGGCCATAAACACGTCGACGCGCATATTAAGAGAGTTCAGCGCCGCGAGTATTTCATCCAGCGTCGTAGTCTCCTCCTTCTTATACCGCCGTGCAAACATGGCGACGATGATGACTCCCACGGTGACAACATTCCCGACCCACCTTAGCAGCCACCCGCCATACAGCGCCACGCCCCAAAAAAACGCCACCAGCAAGAACGATTCCCACGGATCCCCCGTCGTCCACGTCACCAGCCCCAGCGTGTAGTCCAACGTCTTGATCCATGGGTATGCGCGGCTGAGGGCGCGCGTCACCTGCGGCGGCGTCGCGACTAACAGCGGGGATTTCTGGTGCACTTGTAGTGTGCTGCGGCGGGCGGGCGCGGCGAAGGAGGGGGAGAACGCGGCTACCGTCGGCGGGTGGTAGGAGTGCTCGGCACTGCTGCTCGTGGTGGTGGCAGTAGTGGTGTTGTTGCTGTTGCTCGAAGATGGGTCGGTGGGCGACATGGGGCCGGCTTCGGCTTCGGCTTCGCGGCTGTAGTGCTGCTGGTAGTGCTGCGTGTGGTGGTGATGGCGGTCGTCCGACGTCGTCCAGGGGGTTTCTGCGTCGTGAGCGTGAGTGTGAGCAAGCGTGCAGAACCGTCGCTACAGAAACTGGGACAAGACAACACCTACCGAGAGCTGCCATGCACTGGGCACGTTTCTCCGTTCCGTGTAGAACCTGTGGGCTGTGGGGGGTGTGGCTGCGCCTAGGTAGGTATCTAGAGTAAACCAATGACGAATGCAGACGCCAAGTAACTAAATGCGATGTGATGACGAAACCCGAAACCCGAAAAATGAAGAATCAAGAGTTGAAGTCGAGTCCGTGAAGGTGGGGCTAATGAAGATAGTGAGAGAGAGAGAGAGAAAGAGAAAGAACGGGAGCCGAAGAGCAGAATGAGATCTACCTAGGGGCATGCAACGGCACACATGTCACGTACCCACATACAACCTTTTAGGGTTCATCCTATTCGGGGGTGAATCACATGATGTCATTGTATTTGGCATGTGATAATCTACATACCTATTGGCAAGCACGCGCCCCTAGTTGCACCGTTCATCACTCACTCGTTTGAGCAATATTCACCACTCATCACTCAGTCGGAGCAATACTTCCACCATCCAACCTTGGAAAAAAGAACATAGAATCACCCAACCATTTACACAATAGGTACACAATAGGTACTTCAGCCTTCAGGTATCCAGCACTGGAAAAAAGAACATACAGTTAAAAGTTATCTCCTTCCCTTCCCTTCCCTTCCTTCCCTTCCCTTCCCCACCCCCATTCCCCCCCATAAACTCCAAGATCAAACGAACACAGGAGTCAAATACAATAGAAACACGATAGGTAGTCAAACACAATCACACACACACCAAGCAAGTAGTTAGACATAAAAACGGCACACCCGTACTGCCAAACTACCAAACACTACCAAACACTACCAAACACTACCAAACACTACCAAACACTACCAAACACTACCAAACACTACCAAACACTACCAAACACTACCAAACTACCAAGCTCACCGAAGGAAGTGAATCCGCATAAGATATAAAACGTAAAGTTGAAAGAAGCGAATAAAAGCGAAGGAAGAAGTAAAAAGAAGAAAAAGAAGAAAATAAAAAAGCAAGGCTACATAACGGTCATCAACACCCACTGCATCTCACCCCCCACTCCCCGCTCCCCTTTACCCCACTCCACCCGCCCGCTAAACCACCCTCAAATCATCCCACCAGCCATCGGCTTCTGAATCTTGGGCATATGATGTCTCATCGCATTGACCTCATCCATTCTCGCACGACTGGCGAGCGCACCACCATCACTCGTCGATTTCCTCAGGGTATTATACGACGCCCTATTCGACCTATCGGGGAAACCATCGCCGCCAGTAGGAGTAGCAGTAGTTGGCATAACGACCTGCGGCAGGCTAGGAATATCCTCCGTAGTATTATTCCGTCCAAAGACGCCAAAGATGGTATTGTTGCGCTTGCGGCTCTTCGTCGACTGCGCGGAGCTCTTGATCGACTGCGCCGAGGACGCGAGGAGGTGGGGGATAGAGAGTCCGTCTGCGGGGCGGTTGGGCAGGTTGATGGTGGGGATGTGCGACGTCTTTGACAGCAGTGTTGGCTCGCCGATTTCAAACTTGTTGACTACGCGCTTGCGCGCGGGTGCGAGCGACGAGTTTGCGTTCGCGATCTGCTGCATGATGGCGGCTGGGGATTTGGCAACCGCTGGAGACGGTGTCGGTGACGGTCCGGGTGTTGCTGGCGACCTGGATCCCAGCGAGTTTGGCGTTCCGATGGCATTGGGCGGCAGCAGACCGGCCGTGTTCAGCGGTGGCAGTTGCGTGCTTTCCCGGTCGATGTTCCTCGATCGAAGTCCCTGTACTCCCTGGATAAGACTGTTACCGCGGGGCCTCCTCAAAGGTGATGGTCGATGGTCCTCGTCCTCAAAGGTGGATCTCACGTTTTCCATGGGCTCCTCCGGGCTGGATCCGTTCCTCATGCGTTGCCGGGGAACCTCGGTGATGTTTGACTGGCCGGTCATCATGGCCCTCGAAAGATCGTCCCGGAATCCATCGGCAGCGGGTCGGAAGATCTTTCCTCCCACCAACGGGGGCAAGGGAGGCATAGGGCCTTGTCGAGGAACCGGTGTGGAAGGCGTGCTTCGCGTTTGCATCGGAGGCTGATCGAAGCTGTCTTGCCAGCCCATGGGCTGACCCCTATTGCCGTTCATCTGTTCGTGCGAGAGCTGCTGGCGTACCCGCGGCGGCGAGTTTCTCGGCGATGTGTGCCTGGAGCGACTGGAAGCGGGCGATAGGGGATCGGCGGAGCGGCTGCCGTTGCCGCCGGGGCCAAAAGTGTGGTTCGTGGCGAGAGGAGGTCGCTGCCGCTGTTGCGGCCGGGGAGAGGCACTGGGGTGACCTGGAGGACCGTGGGAGCCTGGGAAACCGTGGGGACCTGGACCTGGATGACCTGAATGAGCGGGATGCCCGGAACGACCATGTGCGGGGTGACCCGGCGGAGACATCGGTCCTCTTATGGATCTGGCGTCCATCGTGCGGCCGTCGTGCCTTCCACGCTCTCTGCTTTCCGCCCTTGGAACCACGGGAGACCTACCATTGTCCGTTCTGATGATGTTGGATCCTTTGACCTTGATTCCTCCGAAAGAGCTGGCGGTGGTATTTCCCCGGCTCATCAATTCCTTCGGGTGGTCGTACGGCATCTCGTGCTGGCTGTTGATCTTTTCCTGGTTCCTTAAGTTCTGCTGCACGATCTGTCGCCGGAAGGCCAATTGCTGTTCCCAGTCCTGGTCATCGGGGTCACCACCGGCTCTACTCAAGGATCTCTCTGTACCAGCCCTGCTGGGTGCTCTGGTACCAGGTCTACTATCACCCCACTCGGACCCGGGCCGACTATCAGTTGTCATCCTTCCTCTCTCCCAGGAGCCATTCCGCATGTCCTCGTCTTCGGTTCGATTTCCCAGGCTCGACCCCGAGCGACCGGGAGCCTTCGACGGGATCTCGGGCGGAGTCGCGGGGGACTTCTTGCGGCCGTACACGTGGGATGCTGATGATGGACTGCTCGGCTCGCTGCCCTCGGAAGACACTTCTGCGGCGGCTGCGGCGGCGGCATCTTCGTACTGCCAAATGTTACCTGCGCTGCTCCCCGATGCTCTGGGCTCTTCACCAACCTTGGAAGTAGTAGTAGAAGCGGCCACGCCGTAGCGGGACACTCGTGACATTCTCGTGTACGTCGACGCCGCATACATTGACGACGCATCGGAGCCGGATCTTAAGTGCTGTCGGACAAGCAAACTGAGACCTTGGCCTTGGCCCGAAGGGAGAGTAGGGGAATCATCTTCGGCAGAATGGGTGTTGGAGTTGAATCTCGGTGACGACGCAGAAATCGATGGATTCCTGGACGGCTTCAGCGCTTCGAGGAATGCCTTGGCCGGCTCATCGGTACTCATCGAGGAAACACGCGATGCCCTCGAAATACGAGAACCGACGGACGAGACCTCGGACTCGTGACCGTCGTGAGTCGATACTCGGACGGAGGGGGAACGCCGCCTCATGCTACCGCCGCCGTTGATATCGAGGCGCCGGACGCTGTGTGAATCACCGCTCCGACGAGGTGCCAAATCATTGTTGTCGAGGGAGCTGCGTTCGCTGTTGGAGTTTGACGACCCCAAGTACGACCGAACTTCCAGTTCGTCGGAGCTCCTGGGCGGAGGGGGAGAGGGGGACCTTCTCACGAGGGAAGGTGATCTCCTCGCCCCAACAGCCCCAAGCGACAGTGATCTATCGGACACCGGGCTCGCAACCCTTTCGGGACTGCGCTGCTGTCCACGTCCCTCGCCACTAGGTCTTCCGGACGAAAAAGGGGCTTGAGCGGGGAACTCGTTTCCCTTGGAGCTCATGGGGGGGCTGATGGGCTTCTGCAAGTGGAGGCCGAAATCGAACGTGTCGAATACGGGCGGTCGTGGCGACGTGCCCCTCTCGGATCTCATTTCTTCCTCGGCGGGCGGTGACAACGGAGTGTCGGGTGAGGTTCGCTGAGTCGCCCATGGCATCATTGAGTGCGAAGTCGGCGATGAGGGCGATATCGAGCGATGCGGAGACCCTGGCCCGGGGGAGCTGCTTCTCGGCGGACTTCCGGACCCCATCCTTCGCAGAGAAGCTAATCTCTCGAGTCGGCCCATCGCCGTAGACTGCTGATCCTGCAGATGCTGATCCAAAGCCTGTTCGTACAAGGGCCGTCGAGGCTTGTTTGTGGCCATCGACGTAGGACTCACTGGCGAAGGCACCACGCTGACCGAAGCGCCGGGCTGTGAATTGATGGATGTAGCAGCGGTGGACAGCCTCGCGGCTGTGTTTGGAGTAGAATTGGTCGAAGAAGTAGTGTAGCGGTTCCTATCGGGGTCCATGAGGTCGTTGGATTTCCTCTCGGAATCGTCATCCCCAGGTCCCTTTCTCCACTCACGCCTCGAAAACGGAACATCTGGAACATCGTGATGAGCCAGCGACCTTCCAAAACCGCTACCACCGCCGCCACCACCACCATCACCACCACCCAAATCCTCCATCGAGCTCGTACCGCCCCTCAACGTTTTCGACGGCGCAACCTTGTAGATCTTCTGTCGGCCACCAAACAGCACATTCCCCTCGCCCGCACGGCCACGGTTCATCATGCTGCCATCCCCGTCCTCAGAGGGCCTCCTTTCATCCGACCTCGACGTCAGCCTGTGGTGCGCCGACTTGATGGACCCGTCAATGGACGCAGTCTCAGCGATATCACCCAGCCCCATGAACCTCGACGACATCTCCGGCAGCTCGAAGCCACCACCACCACCATTACCACCAGCCTCCTTGCTGGCATTCGCGGCGGCCAACGCCTCCTGCTCCGCCTTCAAGATGCTGAAGCGCTGCGCCAGATTGGGCATCAGCAGCGAGGTGCGGAAGTCGTCGGACGACGGCAGCACATGGTCGAGCTCGACCTGCGGCGGCTCGGGCACCGCCGTCTTGTTCTTCTTCAAAAAGTTCTTGGAAACTGGCGGCACCGGAGGCACGCCGTCGTCCTCTTCCCCCTTGGTCTTCTTCTTATTCCGAAGACGATGCATCATTCAAACACTAGGCGAGTAATCGGTTGGTTGGTAGGTAGGTAGGCAAGCGAGTAGGTAGGTAAGGAGGTGGATAGATGCTTATTCGGTAAAGCTGGCTCGTGGCGCGTGTGCGGACAGCCGGCAAGGAAGGATGGAGGAGTTGAGGTGAGGTTGTGGTAGAGTAAAGACCGTGAGTGAAGTAGGTAGCAGTATGTAGTGGCTAGAAGTGCAGATTTCCGCGCTGCGTGTTCTCGTCTATCAGACCGTCGTAAGGGGAGAGGGGGAGGGGGTGGGGGGGATGTCGAGTATGGATCGATTCGATGTAGAGTATCCGCCTCTCGTTCGCTGTGGCCTGGCACTTTTCTTTCTTTCCGATCCCTCTTCCAAGTTCCGCGTTGCAAGTGAGTGTGAGTGAATGAGTAAATGAGTGAGTGAGTGGGTGAGTGTTGACGATTATTCCCGTGGACGCCCCCCCTTTTTTCTGATTTCTTCTCTTCGTGGGTCGGTATATGAAGGGGTAGAAGCGCGTCAGAGTTGATGCGTAGTAGCAGTAGTAGTAGTTACTCTAGAGTTACTGAAGCGTCGGGAGTGCCGAATTTTTGCGAATTCGACAACGACAACAGGAACAGATTGAACGATTGTGTATGTGATGCGGTGGGCAGATGTCTGAAGAATCTCGCGCGTTCTGATCACCACCCAACTCGTCAGTTCGGTTTACTCTATCTCTCGTGTTGCGCGAGCAAGCAGGGCAGGCAAACAATAAGCAACGCAGGCGTCCGTCCGTCCGTAGTGGTGCTACTTACTGACCTCGACTTGACTTGACTTGACTTGACTCGACTGCTGTGTTCCCGCACCCAAATTCCAAGTTCCAAGTTCCAACCAACGTACCGTGTGCAATAAGAAATAGCAATATAGAAAAACCAAATACAAAAAAAAAACCCCCCCCCCCGGATTTCTATGTTATGCGATGATCGAGTTGTGGGTAGCGTATTGCTCCTCTTCCTCTTCCTCTTCCTCTTCTTCTTCTTCAGTTCAGCACTTGATCAATCGCACGAAACGAAACGGCCGGCGTATGTAAGTAAGTCTGCGGTGCGTGTTATGCTTGTGCGGTGCGCGTTGTGCGGGTGGTGCGGGTGTGTGGGTTCCGCAGGCAGGTAGATGAGATGCGCGGCGCGATGCGATGCGATGGGCAGGCACACAGCAGGTTTCTGCAATATTGTGCAATAGAAAATAAAAAATAAAAAATAGAAATACGACTGATCCTCCTCCAGTGCGCAGTGTTGATCGCTGACCGAATACCGAATGCTTCCTATGGCAATATGGAATATGGAATGGGCGTGGAATAGGTATTTCCAGGAATACGGTACTGCTCGCTCGCTCGCTCGCAATACTAGTAGAGTAAACAGCGGTTCGTGATGTCGGTGCCGGTGTCGGTGTCTAGCGGTAGCAGGCCTGCACTTTGCTTTGCGGTTGCTGTGCACGGAGGGAAAGGAAACGGGAAACGACTGCGGGTGTGTGAGTGTTGCTTGCTCACGGACGTACGAGCGCGTGCGGGGGGAAGGAGCGACTGAACGAGCGTGTGCGACTGAGCGAGTGAGCGAGTGAGGGAGGGGGATGGAGGAGGAGGCGGCGAAGGAGGAGGATGAGAGGACGAAGGAAGGGGGGGGGAGGGGGGTTCGAGCGTGCAGGAAGGGCAGGAAGGGCTCTCAACTCACGGATAACGTCAGAAAAGGAGAAGAGGAGAAGGGCGGTTGTTAGAGGTCCCGGCTCGATGCTCGATGGATTGATTATTGATAATTGGTCCGGAGGGGAGGCAGGCCTCCGTCGCAGGGAGATGGGTGATGCCTGCAGCGGGGGGTGGGTGAGTGGGGGGATGATGATCGCGGAGGGATTCGGGGGGCAGCCAGGCGGAGAGGGGTCGCGGCGGAGAGCTGCTGCTATTACGCACATCTACTACCGACTGAGCACTCACTTACCAGTCGGTATAATAGCAGCTGTTCATCGTGAAGTCTCCAACCTCAAACACTCGCTCGCTCGTCGGTCAAGTCAAGCCAGCCAAACTTCAAACCTCAAAGACTCCAACGAAGCCCCACGATCGACTCTCTCGCGCAACCAGGAACGCACCAACACGTAACTCTATGCACCGTAGATGATTCCGCGGCGGGAAATTACGCAGCGAAAAAACGATCGTCGTCGAGTTCCACTCTAGCCACAACTGGGATCACGCTGTTTCTGCTTGAAACCTCCCCGGACGCAACTCTGCTTTCTGGTACGGTATCTAGAGGACTTCTCTGTCTGTGCCTCTCGTCGTCTGCCTCCTCTTCTTTTTCTTCGTTTTCATTCTCCTCGCGTTCGTCTCGTTCGTCTCTCGGCGAAAGCACACACAGCATGCATACCTCATACGAAGATTATTCGTTCATCAGCACTGCATGCTAGTAAAACGGTACCTGCATCCCTCCAGGGCCCACACCACACACCAAGTGACCACACCCTCACCAGTTCGGCGGGATGCCGCATTAACGTCGTGCGACGGCGGAACGGGAACCGGAACTGGAGCAGAAACAGTGCACAACCGCTGCCTCTTCGGCTAGGGATCGGGGTGCCCTATTCGCTCACCTCACGGAGAATCCTCACATATGATATCCTCCCTCCCTCCGTTTCTGGAAGAAAGAGGATGTAGAGTGTGAAGAAATGTAGAGGGTCGGCATCTGCGATACAAATACCGCCGACCGGTACCGCCGACCAGTCCTGCATATCATTCATACTACCTCCTACTCTACATACGATAGTATATAGCATCCGAAGATTATGCCACAAGGGAGGAAGGTGGTGCTCCACTGTGGCACTTCCTACAAACCCAGAGCACACACACCGGCTGATTGGCTCAAATCCGAAACCCAGGAAACAAGACACGGCCGCGCCGCGACAAGCGAGAACTGCCGACAAGCGATCGTGTGGATGTGGAATGTGGAGGAGTCAGGACTCGGGAGTAAGGCGGGAGGAGTACGGAGTAAGGAGTGCCCGCCTACCGCCACCCGCCGCCCAACACCCGCGAGAGAAAGAAAGGAAGAAGAAAAGAAAGAAAGGAAGAAGAAAAGAAAGAAAGGAAGAAGAAGAAAGAAAGAAAGGAAGAAGAAAGAAAGAAAGGAAACAAAAAAACGAAAAACAAGATGACGGACTGTTGACCCGAATCTTGGCGGCCCAAATGGTTGAACTCGCATGGACAATCCACATCTATCCATATCCTGTATCTACGTTACTCTCTCCTTCCACGATCCATCCATATCCTGTAAACATCCACTCCACCTTCTCTATGTACTCTAACATCTCCATCTGCACCCGCTCCAACCGCGACATCTCACTGAAACTGCCAGTCTGCCAGTCTGCCACCGTTAACTGCCTTCGCCGTGTGTACGTAAAAGCACCACTCTACCTGATGTTATCGCTCATGCAAGGCGCAGAGCATGCATTCCACCACCGAGCGATCGCTTACCTACTCTGTCAAACAGCAGTAACTATCAAACAGCAGTGACAGCACTTCACGAAACAGCACTCTACTCTGCTGAGGTTTGCTCTGTTCTGCTCTGCTCGAAAAACTCGAAGCACTCGAAAACTCGAAAACTCGAAAACTTGATAGGGAGCGCATGGATTATTACTCGGGGGGCAGAAACCTGGGGAAGGCTGGCAGCTTGAAGCTCGAGAGGCGAATGTATAAAATGCGGGGGGGATCGACCGCGAGTTTGAACTTCGCACATCATACGCTGCACGCACATATCATACCTTTGGCCAGTGGTCGGTGGCTTGCATAGCTCATGCTCCCCCATGGGGGGCGGGAGGGCATCCATTGGACGAGCTGGGACGTTAAGGCGCTGGGGCGCTGGTGGCGGTGGCGGCGTTGATCATTGCGGTCATGGTGCGCCCACTCCTCCCCTTCCATCGAACTAAACGCCGACCAACCACCAATTACAATGTAGCCACGGTGACTCGTGAGTGGAAGAGTGGCCTGCGGCCGATGAATTTATCTGGCGGAGATAACTTATGCCCTATGTACCGCACTCTAGGTACTCTACCTACATGCACCCCAGATACTCCTGGCCGGGTCCTTTCCAACACGGACCAATCTCTCCAGATGACCAGCTGAGCTCAATGCTCATGGAAGTGGTGTACCTCGAATCCTACAATCACCCCACACTCTACTCTAGGTGCCATCGAACAGTGAACAGTGAACTCGGCTTACCTACGCCACCCCCAGCGGATCCCCGTCCCCAAGTGCATAGGTACTGAATCCGAAACACCTAATCGCCATCGGCATCTGCACCACTGCAACACTGCAACAAACTCCCCGGACCCCCTCGTTTTCTTCTTCCTCTGCTTCTTCCCCTTCTCTTCTGCGTCTCCGTCGAATCTCCTCCTTCGAATCCCCTTCGAATCTCCTTCTTCATCTTCTTCTTCATCTTCTTCTCCATCAGATCCCCAAATTTCAGGGCCACCGTGTGAGATACATATCCTCCCAGACTCCTAGGTGATATGATTTACATGCATATGCACGACCGCCTTCCATCCTTCTTCCTCCTGGCTTCTTCCATGTTCCATGGTTGACGACTAGCGGATCAAACACTAGGTATATCGGTAGTAGATACCCAGCCTCCAGGTAGCTAGAGTAACTAGGCCTTGCAATCCGCGATGTGCAAGGCTGACGCAGGCGCATGGTCGGACCTCGGCAACCCGGTGACGGTGGATGAGACGGCTGGGGTGGCCCTGCGGAGCCGGGCTTGGGTTGGAGGATTGGAGACCGGGGGCTCGTCGTTGGGGTGGTCGGTGCCGACTAGGTAATCGGTGTTGGAATCAACGAGCAGAGCAGAATAGAGATTGTTGTTGTTGTTGTTGTTGTTGGTATTTTTTCCAGTTCACTGCGGATTAGGTACCTACTATGTAGCAAAGGTGAACGGGGGACAGAGGCCGGGGAGATTCGTGCTCACTCACTGCTGACACGGACGCGTTGGCAGTTTCAGGTTTACTACCAGTAGTTATGTATCTACCGGTGTGTATGAAATACCTACTTGTTATGTACCGATGTTTATCTGCTCCTTCACGCAACGTGATGCGCTGTCACGCGCCGTCACCCGCACGGCAGATGGATGGTGAGTGCATACTCTACTAACTTACACAAAGGAGCATGGAGGAGCACGATGTACCTACCTACCCACCTACATACCCACCTACATACATACATACATACATACATACATGCGCAGTGGGGGCTAGTCAGCGGGCAGGCATCGGCAACAAGCGTGGAGGATTGGCCGAGTCCCGAGTCCCGGACTCCCGGCGCGGGTGCGACGGAAATATGGAGGCTGGGCTTATTGTATGTATGTATTTGTATTTGTATTTCTTGCGTACGGCTATCATACTATGTACATAGGAAGATACCGGTAGCCTGTAGCAGTTACTAGTATCGTCCCGTATCGTCCTGTATCGTCACGGATCGTCCCGTATCGACGACCTTCGATGCCTCGATCCAGCAGGGAAGGCAATCGTCCCGGCCTAGCACTGTCGGATCTCGCCCAGAAGCGTATACGGTACTTTACCGCCGGACGGACCACGGCACTGCTACTATTAGCCCTGCTTTCCTTACGGGCGTATGTATCCTTATCACCGGCCCGAAGCCACGTGTAGCTAGCTATCTAACTCTCGAGCCCGCCCGGGTGGATACATACCGTAGGTACATAGATACCGTAAGTACCGTATTTGAGACTCGGGAGTTGTATGTACTCCTCGGCGCTGTGTCGGATTTCTATGGAGCTCGGGCGGGTCTGTGGCTGATAGATATACCGTTAGTTAGTAGCTAGCTGGCGCCATCATCCTTACTAACTATGAAGTATACATGTCTCGCCCCCATCGGATGCGTAGGCTGGCGTGCCCGCCTTAGGCGAGGGTCTTCCGTGGTCCTCTATATTTCTACCTTGCGTCCTCCAGCACTGGATATCACTCGCTGGTGAGTGGCCGTAGCATTTTCCGCCGCGGAGTGCGGGTCGTCAGCGTCATCTACCACATAGTAGCGGCTGCTAGGAATTGAGGGTAGGGGATCAGGTAGGACTCCGAGGAAGGGAAGCGAAATGGATTCCCTTTCGTTTTCAAGCCGTGATCGGCATATGTATGTACGTATCACGATGAAACAGGAATCGGTGGATCGGCTTGTACCGACGGTGGCCCACCTTTCAGTCTAAATGCCTGAGATGATCCATCCATCCAACCATCCATCCACTTCCAGCCACGGCTCCGATACCGGTAGTCGAGTGAGAACTTGGAATGCGGGGGAAATGGTCTATGGATGGTCATGGGGAATACCTAGAGTAAAGGGGGAGCGTTAGAAGGTGATCGCTGCTCTTACGTACGTGCGAGACCTATCATACAGCTCAAATAATCAACGCCATCTCATGTATACGATGGAGTTCACGACTATGTAGTATCGTCTGATCCACTGCCTTGCTGATCTCCTTCGCTAAGTACATACATGATACTCGAAACTGATCGACGCCTGGCGAGATGCACCTACTGGCTGCGACCCCTTCGGATCCGAGATTATCTCACCACCCTACTACTATGTATAGGCAATCGCTTCTCACCAACTTATAGATACCTAGTCCGCAATGCTCTCGACATCGCCGACTTCAGCTGAGACCTACTTTCAGCCTTGTTCCAGCCCTTATGACGCAGTTCGTGCCCGTACCCACTCTCCCCACCGTCCTACACCTAACTACCTACCCAGTCCCTCTGGTCGCGATACCAGACCATGCTCCATGGCGAACGATGATCCAAAACCCCCAGGTAAACGCTGACGTGCGCGGACACAGAACATCCGTGCTACTACATACCTAGTAGATATCTATGCAGCAGCTCGTGGGAAACCTCGACAACACGCACTCGACGCACTCGACGTATGCTCGTATACTCGTATACTCGAGACCCCCGGATCACACCTCCATACTCGAAACCGCCAATATCCAGCCGCCCCGGGGCCCGCACTCCCCAGCCCAAGACTCGGCTTGATAAATTGATATTACTCGGAGAATGGATATCCGGATGGATCATGTGCCACATCTCCACATCCCCACAGCAGGATCCACGGAAGCCACTGAGCAGACGTTAGGTTTCCCGGCATGCAGGGACGGAGGCGTGTTGGCCCATGAGAGCCCGTGCAGTGCGGAGACCGAAACGGCCATTCCCTGCCGTTGGAGGCTCGGAGCTTCCGGCCGGCGGGCCCGGTACATGCAGGCGGGAGCTGGGAGCGATGGGCCCACTTTCAGTCTTCAGGCCGAGTTCTACATACACAGCCAGTAACTAGGTATGTATCTGGGGTATGTATGCCGTCCCAGGGATGATATCGTTCTGCCGAAGACGCTGTTGTGGGGAAAGCATCAACTACTACATACCGGTGTCTATATGACGTATATCACCGATAAACGCCGTGACACTGTGCGGCCAAACACCGTTATCCCGAAGGCCGATGTGCCAAACGTCTGTTTTTTTTCTTCTTCTCCGAGTCAAATATCATGATCGTGATGTAAACACCTCAAAACACCCCAAAACACTCAACATCCCGAATGCCGAGTTTTCGGAGGAACGTCACGTGATACCAGTACGTCGTGGTTCTTTCAGATTAGAGTAGGTACTCTCTTGCGGGTTGGGCTGGGCGTTGGTAACTCGTGAGGCTCCATTCCTTGGATGGACGTGTTCTAAGTTCCAACTCCGGACGATAGCTGCAATTGATTCTTGCGGTGTGCAGGAACAAGGCATGTAAATACTTGGGTAGGTACCAGATCAGGCTTGAGGAAGGAGATGTTGTCGTGGTTGCACGGTCCGGGAATGCTCCTTTGTCAGGTGATAAACGCACCATCTCTACATACCCGCTCCTCGTCCCCGACACGAGCTCCGATTTGTGCGTTTGAGAATCCGAGACGTGGCCATTGCCGCATTTGGACACATTACCGGATTGATGGGAGAGTTACTAAGACGCACACATCATATATTCATTCCGTGACATGACATTACATTACACAAATACACACACGCCGGGTATTATAATCAACGTCCATCTCGTAACCTCCTCCCGTCCAACCATATCTACTGCACAACACCCATGCCTAGAACTTTCCAAGCATCAACTGCCCAACCATGTTGACACCGGTGAGATACACGGTCTTCCACAGGTTGGGGAGGTCGAGGGTGCTAGTGAAGGTATCGAGGAAGCCGAACGGGAGCATGCTGGGGATCCAACCCTGCGCGAGCTCCAGCGCCCAGCCGTTGAGGACGTACTGGGTCGCCTCGCCGCGGGGAAGGTAGTTCTGGTCGCCGGGACGGTAGACGGACGGCTCGATCTCGCCGGGCTTGAAGCGCTGCTGCTCGCCCGAGAGAATGGTGAAGTAGTCGTGGGCGAGGTGCAGGCCCGAGTGGCCCTCGGTGCCGAGCGGCGTGCCGAACAGGATCAGGTACTCGGTCACTGAGGCGTGGAGGATGATCATGGCGCCCATTGCTCCGCCGGCGTTGCTGCAACGTGTCAGTTTTTTCGAGCGGGAGAAAGAGAGAGAAGGGCGGGGACATACTTGAAGAACCACTTGTCCTTCTCGATGCCGTTGACGTGAGTGATGCCGTATTCCTGCTGCAACGCGTCGACGAGATGGTGCAGCACAATGGTGGCATTTCCGGCTCCGGCGGCGATGGACTCTTTCGAGAGTTCCTGGAGCTTGACGGGGTCGAAGATGTAGAATTTCGGCAACGACGAGTCCATCAGGTAGCAGATCAGCGGCACCAGCAGCCCGATAATGTAGAGTGTCCGCATTGTGTGTGTGTGTGTGTGTGGGTGTCGTGAGATTTCTTCTACTGTCGAGGCGATTGTTGTTGGATGGTGCGAAGAAAAGGGGAGGAATACGGGAAAGTTTTAAAGTTTTATGGGATGGTTGCAATGAACATAGCGTGTGGCTTGGCGGCAACGTGCCCACGCGGTTGTTGGGAACTTGACTTCCGAGTTCTCGCCTGAGCTTCGGATCCGCTGCATCCGATCCAGTGTAGCGGCTGCCTCAACGACTGGCCATGGAGTGGTGAGCACTCTACCATAAGCAATTCTAGTTATGGCAGGTTGCTTGGAAGCGTTCGAATTCATGACAGCGCAGCTACTCCGGGGTAACTGCCGTATCCGTTGTGGTGGTAATGCAACGTCGTCGTTTTACATACGTTCGCGCTCGCGGTGGCCGGTGTGCCGGAAACCGTCGTTGAACGGGTTCTCCAATTCTGCACGTGCATACAATACATAGGGATATGGAGGATAACTATGGTGCCGGACACGTTAAAGGGCTAGCGTCTTGGCATGTCCAATGAGGTGGGCCCGCCAAGAAATCGAGTGCGGATATATGACCCCGCAAAACCTATGGTGGTAAACCAATATTTCAGCCAGTTTTTGTTCACTTGACTTGATTTTTGATTCCTCCTGTTATTCTACTCACCACCACTCTAGCCGCGCCCTCATAGATCCACTTTTTTCTTCCGCCTGTATATGTTGCTTGTGATACTCATTAATTATCACTCGGCCTGTACTAATCTGATTAGTGTCATTCTTCATGGCGGCTAGCGTATGTCCAATGGCATACCCCCCTCATACAAAATACCCGACTTTTCAAGTCCTACTCCTCTCCACCAACCACCAATAATTTAATTTTGAACCCGTAGAACCGTTCTACACATACTACTCTACCATTCTACGGTTTCAAAATAAATTCTTTTTATTGTGGTAGAGAGGAGTAGCGGTCGGCGCTGGGGGTCATCTTTCGTCCCTCGCTTGCCCGTTAAAGCGTCCGGCACCATAAGCGAGTCGAACACCTGTTACCGTTCCATAACACGCGCATGGACGCGTTCCGACGCACGGCATCCCTCTCATCTCGAATTGGCCAGTGTTAAGGTACTGGTGCAATGGAAAACGACCAATCCATTCCAATGCGAGCCAGACCGAATCGATCAGAGGTCCGAGATTCAGCCATGAAAGTTACGGAGCTGCGTTGGGACATGCATACTTCCGAACTGAAGTTGATGAAAGGTGGATGGTAATGGGTACCGTGGTTTCCATTTGCTTGTATCACCGTCCAAAGTTCATCTATGAAGTGGAAAGGATGCTCAGAAGGGATACAGAACGCCGAGGTTCCATATCAACAAAGCACTATTTCATAGCACCTACATAGGTATATCCACCGAGTGATGATCTAGGTACATACCTGCTACCTATAGGGACCTACCTGCTAGCCGAGATCGCGTACGTACGTAGGACACGACCGGTATGTTCGGTGCCTGACTTGATTTTCTACCATCGTTGTGTGTACATGTGAACATGAGGTACATACATGCATCCCCTGACTTTGTCGATGGTTGGTCCGCTGGATTGGATGAGTGAGGTCCAGTGATTGACGGGTGATTTGGCCGGCGAGTACTGGTGGGTGCTGGTGAGTGCTGCGCGGTTTCGAACTTCTGCTGGGCTGCATTGTAACTACCAGGTACCATGTGAAGTAACACTTGAATGATCAAGTCTGATCATGAACTAGCACTCGTCATCAATGCTCGTGATGTCGCATTTCAGACTCGCTCGATTACGATATAGCGATGGATGACCTCCTACTTATCTACATCTCTTGAGTCGAGCATGACGCGTCGAAAGATAACCCCCTATCTACACCTCCCCCAACCCCCTCACCAAAAGCTCCTCCAGTCCCCTAACCGCCTCCTCCTTCGTCGTCAGACTGGCGAGTACGTACAGCACATTCCCCAACGTTCTCGCATCCACACCCTCCACCTTCAGCTTTTTCAACAGTCCCGCGGCGGCGGTAGAAGTATATCCTGCATCTGTCAGCTGCGATGTCGTGATTACATGGTGGGGGCCGGGCGGTATCGTACCCGTAGTATTATCTTTCAGCGTTATAGCCAGCACCGATCCGAGCGCGAACACGCCCTCGACCTGGCTGAAGCGGGAGACTTCAGTGATGAAGCTATGCCGCCACGTACTCCAAGCGGCACCCGTCTCCTCGCCGGACCGTTTCCAGTCCTTTTTAGCCGCACGCCAGGCGTCTCCCGCGTCCATAGCTAGCATGGTCTCGACGCTGGTCTTGGCCACGTTGCAGCCGACCGCGTGCGCGGTGTAACTGTGCCCGTGCAAAAGCGCTTTGGTCTTGCTCTCATCGAGGAAGTCGCGGAAGATGCTATCGCTCGAGAGAGTCACGCACAGTGGCAGCAGCCCGCCCGTTAAAAGCTTCGCGTGGATGCTGATGTCGGCGTTTATCCCGAGGAACGACGACGACGTGATCCGACCCAGACGGTAGAGCCCCGTGAATACCTCGTCGACTATGATGGGCAGGCCGGACCAGGTTGGTGATCCGGTGGGCTCGGAGGCCGCTGCGGGGAATAGGTCGGCGCTGGAGCGCACGACATTCACGAGTGTACGTTGAAACAGTGGGTCGCTGGATAGTCAGCCAAGGGTGCATGCGGGGGAACGAGGGATGCTCACGCGAAAAGCATTCCTCCGGCGCCTAGGACCACCGGCTCGATCATCACTGCACCGAACTTTCTGCCCTCGAACTTGACGAGCTGCTCGAGACGGGCGCGGATATACTTTGCATACATCTCACCGAGGCTTCCGGCCTCCCGACCTTCCACGTCAAACACCTCGCTGAGGCTTGCGAACTCCGTCTCGCCCCCACCCATCTCCTCGGGCATGGTAACCTTCCACACACCATCCTTCATCGCGACCTTGGGGAAATCGAACCAGTGACCACGGCCGCTATACCACTCCACCTCCTCATTGTACACACCGGGGTCGGCACAGTCCATCGCTCCGATGGTGTCGCCATGATATGCGCCCTTCAATCCGAGGATCCCGAGGTCATCGTTAGCACCCCATCCATACCTCAGGCGACTCGCGCGCAGCGCCATCTTGAGCGCCACCTCGACACCGGTACTCCCATTGTCGGAGTAGAACACGCGCTCGAGGCGCTCATTCCCCAGGTTCTTGAGCAACATCTCCGCCAGCGTGAGTGCCGGCGCGTGGATCGATCCGGGAAACATCACGTGGCCGTACCTTCCGGCGGCATACGCGGCGGCGAGTGTAAGGTCGGGGTTCGCGTGCCCCAGCCCCTGGGTCCACCACGATGCCGAGCCGTCGAATTTCTGGCGCAGCACCTCCTCCTGCTTCTCCGCGGACTTCGCGGACTTCGCGGCGGGCGAGTACACCTGGAAGAAATCGCCGTGCGCCGAGTCGATCGCCTGGATGGTCGCCGGCGAGATCTCGGCGTGCTGCGTGAACGGGTACCATATCGTCTCTGCTGCGCGCGCGGGCATGCTCTCGAGCTCTGCGATGCGGGATGCGTGCCGCGACTCGAGGTCCGCGATCGCGGGGCTCAGGCTCGCGGCGGTGGACTCGTAGTACTCGGACATTGCCGAGGCGTCCTCGGCGGGGCTCTCGTGCTGCGAAGGCGGCGAGGGAAGCACCGTCGTGGGCACGCCGTGCCGCTCGAAGTATGGCCCCAGGTAGCCGTCGTTGCGGTACGTCGAGTTCGAGAAGATTACTACTCGCTCGACATCGTAGCCGCGGATGTGGAGGGATTCGAACGCGGAGATGGAGGAGGATATTCCGCCCAGCGCCGAGTCGGCGATGAGGACTATTGGCAGCCGAAGCGGCCGGTAGAAATCCGCCTGCGAGGTCCCCGAGGGCGTCGGCGAATGCACGCCGCCGGCCGTCTCCACGACCAGCGTCCCCGACTGCTTGATGCCGGCGATATGCTTGTGCAGCTGCGACAGAAGCGCTTCGTCCGAATGTTGCTGACGGGGACATGTAATGAGCAATCGGCCGATACAGACAGGAATCGTGGTAGCTTACAGGAGTCTGCGGAGCAGCCAGATGCGGGCTGATCGGCTCCTTGAACTGCCATAGACATTTTGCATTCACGCCGTGCGCGTACTTGGTTACATGTCTATCGCGCGGATCATAAGCACATACCCCCATCTCTACGCGGCAGACGCGGCTATGTATGTAGGTAGCTCACCGGTCATCTGCATCCACGCCGGCACCGGTCGAGACCGGTTTCAGATACCACACACCCTGATTTTTCTCCGACTCGCGGCGGAGGAGCGCCTTGCAGAGCAGCGTCGACACGATTGTCTTCCCCACGTTAGTGTTGGCCCCATAGACCTGGAAGGCGCGAAGTGACCGCAACAGCGGTGAGCCGTCGAGCGCTGGAAACCTCATTCTCGTGTTCGGTGACGAGGTGAGTAATCCGCCGTGGTGAGGAACAATGGCCCTTTAATGGCGGCCGGGATTTATAATAGCAGTAGTTGCATGACTCCAGCCGGCGCCGGCGCCGCTGCCTTGGCCCCACGCCGAGGCCGAGATGACTGAGAAGAGAAAAAAGATAAGAAAAATACCCCGAAACGAAAAACGGGGATGTGTGCGCTTTGCAGGAACCTGGCAGGCCGCATCATCACAGCTCAACAAAAAATAAACCCCTCCTTCCAGGATCGACATCGAGCGGAGACTGTGAAAAATCGAAGAGTCATACATATGGCACCGACATGCGGGCGGGCATTTAGGAAATCCGCATAGTCTGAGATGATGCTGAGGCAGTATGATCATATCGTATGAGATGTCCGGTAAGCCTGACGCACGTACCATACCTTAATCCGACATCATCCCATTTTCGCACAGCTGTCTCCGCTTTCTCACGAGTTCGCGAGGTCCACCGTCCACTTCCGAGCAGAAATCGCCTGTGAAAGGCAGGTATCTCCATAGCTCATCGCTCATGGCAGCCAAAAAAACCACTTGTTGGATTCGATGCATCGCGCGAAAAATAAATGCTGGGCCGGATATGTATGATGAGCTTGAGAAATGTTCGGCTTGATAGTGATTATCCGGTAACTAAGGCGAGTTAGCAGGCTGAGTATGATGCACATCTGTACCCCGCTCTAGCTGCTTGTGGCCATAACCGGCCTGCAGAATTTTGCGCTGCGATGGTGTTCTGACCTATCACAGTGCGCGAATATGTAGGTGGGATGGCTTAACTGGATCCTAACTACGGCCTTGGACTGCGGGGTGGGGGGTAATCTGAATTCGGTGGCTGTGGTACCGATACGCCGCGGGACGGCCTCGAGCGTACCGTATGTAACATAACTCTACATCTGATCGTCCAGGCACCTACACACTCTACAGCTAAGCAGTTATCTCCTCCATCTACTCTACTGTAGTGACAGCTGTGACTCCTATCATCCACTTCTTCACCCGCTCACTCATACGAACCGGAAAGAAAAGAAAACAACATGCGCCGCTCGTTGATCACAACCGCTTCCCGCAGCACACGGTTGTGCATGCGAAGGGAATACAGCACAGTCCTCAATTCGACAATCGCTGCGAAAGACGCACCGCCGCCGCCGGTATCGAGCAGCAGCAGCAGCTCGGGCTCGGTGTTGCAGCGTGCGGTAAATGCCACTGCTCCTAGGACCGACTGGACGAAGGACGAGATCAAGGAGATCTACAACACCGGGTTGATGGAGTTGGCTTTCGCGGCTGTGAGTGGATCCCAACCGCACGGATTCCCATTGCGTGGCTGATGAACGAGATCCCCTCCAGGCCAGTGTCCACCGCCGCTTCCACGACCCCACCAAGATCCAGCTCTGCACCCTCCACAACATCAAGACCGGCGGCTGCAGCGAGGACTGCTCGTACTGCTCCCAGTCGTCGAAACACAAGACCGGGCTCAAGGCTACGCCCATGGTCTCGGTCGACACGGTCCTTGCCGCCGCACAGAAGGCGCACGACAACGGCAGCACCCGCTTCTGTCTCGGAGCGGCGTGGCGCGACATGCGCGGCCGCAAGACGAGTCTCAAGAACGTCAAGGAGATGATCAAGGGCGTGCGGGGCATGGGCATGGAGTGCTGCGTGACCCTGGGCATGGTCGATGCCGCCCAGGCCAAGGAGCTGAAGGATGCGGGTCTCACCGCGTACAACCACAACGTCGACACCTCGCGGGAGTTCTATCCCACGGTCATCACTACGAGATCCTACGATGAGCGGTTGGCCACTATCAATAATGTCCGCGAGGCGGGAATTAGTGTCTGCTCCGGCGGTATCCTGGGCTTGGGCGAGAAGCCCGAGGATCACATCGGCCTGCTCTACACACTGTCGACTCTGCCCGAGCACCCCGAGTCCGTGCCGATCAATGCGTTGGTCCCGATCAAAGGCACGCCGTTGGAAGGCAACAACCCGCTGCCGTTCACCGATATCCTGCGAACGGTTGCGACGGCGAGATGCGTGATGCCCGGTTCCATCGTCAGGCTGGCGGCCGGCAGGATCACGATGAAGGAGGAGGAGCAGGCTCTGTGTTTCATGGCTGGTGCGAACGCCGTCTTTACGGGAGAGAAGATGTTGACGACGGAGTGTTCTGGGTGGGACGATGACCAGGCCATGCTGAAGAGGTGGGGAATGTCCCCGATGAAGAGCTTCTCGAAGAAGCAGGCGGGTGGATGCGCAGTTTAAGGACTCGGTTGGAGGGGATAAAATAAAAGCCGCGTTTTGTTCCAATGTATCTTCAAGAATGACAGCCAGAAAAGTGCATACTGCAGTGTCTCATAGATTTGCCTTCATATCCGTTACCGCCGCCGCCTTCTCTTCTTGCTCCACCCATTCCCCTATCCGTGCCACTAATCCATCAACCTCCTCGTGGGTATTCGCCGAATGCACGCAGATGCGCACTCTCTCCTTTCCTCTCGGTACAGTAGGGTACACGATCGGTCTGACTAGATACAATCTATCCTGTAGATACTTTGCCAACAGCCTCGGCTTCGGTGTCAATACCGAGACGATCGGGGTGTTGTTCTGGTCGGAGTTTTGTAGAACGCAGTTTGCGGTGCTCGTGAGGCGCGATAATTGGTTGTGGAGGTGTTTGATCGAGCTGTGAAGACGATCCTGGGCCTACAGAGAATGTCCTGGTTAGTACTAGACCATGGGACGAGGGACAGAGGTCGAAACGGTACTGACATCGCGTGTGTCACCGTTCCAGAGAAGAGTGAAAGCTGCCCGCACGGCGGCAAGTGCGGGCAGCGATAAAGATGTGGTGAAGATCAATGTCCGAGCGTAGTTGATCAGATATTGCCGTACGAGCGGCGAGCAGAGGATGATCGCTATCGGCATGTGAGCGACAGCTTCGAGCTCGAGTCCGAGTGTTCTCACCTCCGTTGCAGGCCAATGCTTTCCCAAACGTGTGTAGCCGTGCAAACACTTTCTCCTCCAAACCCAGTTCGCACACGAGCCCCCTCCCCATGTCCCCGTACACCCCCGTGGAATGCGCCTCGTCGACAATCAAGTACCCGTTCCCTCCACCGAACACCCTCTCGATCGTGTCCACAATCCCCTGCAGCGGCGCCAGGTCACCGTCCATGGAATACAGCGTCTCGACAGCCACAAACACATTCCTCTTCCCGTCCCTTACCAGCTGGTCCCCGTCCACCAGCTCCCTCAGCACAGCTTCCAACGCCCCCACATCGTTATGAGCGAACGGCAGCGTCCTCCCGGCCCTCGATAAACGCATGCCCTCATGCACGCTGGCATGGATCAGCTCATCGTAGACGACGACGTCCCCGGGCTGGGGAACACAAGCGAAGAACCCCGAATTTGCGTCGAAGCCGGAATTGAACAGCAATCCGGCCTTTCCTTGGAGGAATCCCGCGATATCGACCTCGAGGTCCTCAGCGTAGACGGAGTTCCCGTCGAGCAGGCGGGAGCCGCCGCTGCCGAGCGGGGCGTGCGCGATGCGTGACAGCTCGCGCTGGAATGAGGCGCGGAACGAGGCGGACGCGGAGAGCGACAGGAAGTCGTTGCTGGAGAAGTCGATGCTCCCCTGGGGCGCGAGCGTGAGTGACCGGAAGCTGGAGATTTGCTGGCGGCGGAGAAGCGCCGCGCTCATGGACCGGTCTAAGGACGACGGGGAGGACATCGTTCTAGTCTTGATTGCTTGCGGTACGTACTGCTACCTATCGTGTGCGAATCAATCCGGCTCGAGCGAGCTCAAGATCGCGTCTCGGGCCTCTCCTCACCCCCACCGAGGATACAAGTCGGCCCCCCGTTCCTCGTCTCGACGACATGTGCCGCGTATAGTAGTGTACCTACCGTCCTCGCCCGCTCTCGTTCACCAACTAGTGGGGTTATTCCCACTTATTTGACATGGGGTAAAAAAAAACTTTTGCACAGCGTGCGGCGCGCGGCGGTCCGGGGTCCTGCTGCGGGCCTGCGGCCTGCCTGCATGCTTTTTTCTTCAGCACTCAGGCTCCTGCACATGAAAAAGTTTCCTGGAAACGTGCACCGCTTGCATGGGATAGAAAAGATAAGAGGAGGGGATTTGGCTGGAGCTGAAATACCATAGTATGTAATGCAGCAGATGACGCGTCAAAGACAGCTGCCGGTCACCGCGTTGCTTGCGCTCTGTGTGTGGGGGGGGGGCAGTGGGCACTCGTCCGGCTGGCTGTGGCGAGCCGCCGCGGATGCCACAATGGGCCGAAAAAGCCGAAAAAGCACGTCAGACCGCCGTAGGATTACACGCGTCACAAGATCACTCGGTTTACTCCGGAGAGTGTTCGGGTGGTCATGCGAGAACCTTAGAAACCGATGCGATCATGTTGAGGTGGTGGAGTATGATATTATAATGGAATGAGGCCGCTTTAGTGTTCCTCTACATTGGTATTTCCAAAAACCTTACCAAATAGCTGCAGTCATAGAACATTGATTCATTGAACACACGGCTTCCCGTCCGTTCGGCCCTATAGACTATAGTAGAGCAGTTAAGCAAGGTATCGTCAGGTTAGTAATGCAGGCAGTGGGTGACCTGCGGGAATCCCGGTACCATAGTTTTTCGTTTTACTCATGAGGTATCGACGTTATTAGTCTTTTTGTGATCATCATATCACCTCATCTAGAGTACCGGAGGACTCGCCGGTGCCGGGGCGTCGAATAGCACAAATGTACGCACGAGTACTCTCGTTCTGCATATGTACTAACAAACATTGTCATTCACAAGGGGCGCATACTCGATGCGAGCTTGTTCAACTCACTGCGAAGTTCGGTTAGATATTTGGCAGGAAGCCTTGCTCGGCGCTGAATACTCTACTCTACCATAGGTGGTGACGCCACGATATCTCACTCGTCCCGTCAGCTATCTCCAAACCGATCTCACAGCGGCCACAAAAGAAACACGATATCGTCGTGATCGATCCAGATATTTAGACACTTTGGGCTACAGAAATACCGTCTTTGACTACAGTTGGTACCCGCCTACCGACCGGTTTTACGCAGAAGCCGGATTCTACTGAACTTCGGTGTAATACGATACTACTGTAACGCAGCGAGCCCTTACGCCTTCTTTCCAGGCAAGTCCGGTCTCCTCCAGCGCCGTATGCGATGCTCACCGATGCTCGCCGATTGCGCCCCCCTGCAGGTCGTTAATTCCCGCACGGGAAGTTTCGTGTCGTGGCTTGAGCGGATTCATCCACTCATGCTGTGGGTAGACAGGTATGTGTGCGCATGCCTGAGTGCTTTCAACTTTATCTTTCCGACAAAGAGTCTCTCTCTCTCCCAATCACATCAACATAGTGCTACATACGGCCTATCTACTCTACTATCCCACCTAGACTAGTAGACTACGATAACACAATGTCCCGGATATCCAGAGAGAGAGAAAATCCGAAAGAAAAAAAAACAAGCCGTAGCCGAGTGATCAGCCATGATAGCCGTACCTTTCCCGCGTCGTCGAAACGGCATCTCACGCAATCCTCGGTCTCACATAATCTGCTTCTCACATAATCTGCTTCTCATACAATCTACTTCTCACACAAACTCACGCAATATGACACCCGATGCCACAAGTTACAACCCCGGCCCATGATATCCTCCCTTCAAAGCCGATGTCCTAAACCCAAGCCTAGGTAGTATGGAGGCCGACCTCTGAAGAACTTTGTTCCGATACCGAGTAGCAGATTCGTAGAATAGCGCAATTTGTACCGGATGAGAGGCTCGGTCACCGACGCAGGGCGGCGCATCGTGACGATTGTCAGACTCGCCCCCGGCGCCCCGGCGCCCCGGTATCGTTCCGGCTCATTCAGTCATCATCCTACGGGAGCGCTCCCGGCTGCATCCGCGGGCTCGAGTTCGCGAGTGCGAGGGTTTTCGTTTGTACTTGTACATACCTCGTATGTAGGAAGTTTCCGTGCAACGAAAGACACGCGGACGTCATCACGGTTGGAAATTGCTCAGCTACAACCGAACTCATCGAAAGCCTGGAAGAAACTTGATATTGCAAACCGCAGAACCCCATGCGCACACAAAAGATGTAGATACAAAACCAGATACAAAACACAAGACTAGCCCCCCCCCCCCCCAAAAAAAAAGAAAACAGAAAACGCAACATGTTCTAATGAGAAACAAAGGCCAACCCGGGTCCAAAACAGAGGGAAATAAGAAAAAACATCCTGCAAACTTCACCCTCGCTCGCCTACTTCTCCATCAACGTCTCCATCAATGGTGCGGCGGCGGCGATGGCGACACGTGTGGCGAGTACTCGGTCGACTGCTGGAGCAGCGGCGAAGGTTGCGGGTGGGGCTGGGGATGGGGGTGTGGCGGCGAGTACTGCGCGTGCTTGAGCGCGGTCCTCTCCGGTTCCAGGCCGATTTCACGGTTGACACGGTTCATCGAGGCCTTCATGCGGCGGTAGGCGTAGAGACCGACTGTCTTGTCGATGAACAGGACTGTGGCATACAAATCAGCATCGAGAAACCGCAATGTCAGGGATGAGTGGAAGATCGCTTACCGGCGAGGAGTAGCAGGGAAACGGTCGGGATCGGCCAGGCGCTGTTGATGAACGAGTCGTACAGCGCTTGGTTGATCCGGATGCGCTCCACGCAGATGAAGGTTACACCGATCGCGAATCGGAGACCGACCGAGAAGTAGTCCCACATGTCCTTGCTGCGGCGGACGAAGAGTCCCATGATGCCGTACATGAAGAAGACTACGGCGAGGGCGCCATAGAAGTACTGGAATACGCTAGCGTAGAGTCTTCACGAAGCAGTTAGCAATATGTCGGATTTCGTGAGTAGGGGGGTTACCGACTTTTGAACCGGGAACTCGGACTGCATCGAGGGACCCAAGAGGTCGAAGAGTGTCGCGTTCGGCTTGGAGTAGGGAATCTTCATGCCGTAGAACTGAGCGTGAGCTCGCGAAATGTAATGATCCAGCCACAGGGTCTCGTTCCTCTGCTGCGGGCCCCATTGGTCGATGTGAACGCTGGTGAGGTTGACGAAGACTCTGTTGATGAAGGCGTAATTCTTGACGAGCTCAATGGCAGTGCTGTCGTTGTAAAGGTACTCGGTGAAGGTACGCATCAAGCCTAGGCTGCGAAGCATGCCGGCATTGGGATCGGAGGCGTTGACCAGGGCAGCTTCCCACGTGGTCGACAGCGCTCTTCGGCTCTCGATGAACGCCCAGTAAGTTGTCATCTGACGCAGACCCTCGACGGCAAGCACGAGGGAGAGGTGGAACGGGAAGTGGAGACAGGTCCAGATCTGTTGGCGAATGGAACCGTAATGCACGTGCTGCGGCGTGTAGTCGAAGTAGAACATGTAGAAGAAGTACTGGTTTAAAAGTTAGTAACGCTGGGTGGCGAAGGGGTAGAATCCGCGTGGATGCAAGGGGCTACTGACAACTATACCGATGGACGCTCCAACGATGCAGAAAGTGCTGACACTCCAGCCGGCACCGGATGTGGCACCCTTCTCGACAGCGTTGACCGCCTTCAGCATGACGATAATACCTTCACCCATGACGATCAACGTGAGCAGGCTCAAGCGCTCGATCAGATGCGTGCGCTTGAAGCCGATATCCTTCCAGACGGTCGAAACTCCGCAAACAGTCACCAGCTCGATGAAGATGATGGGGTACCAAGCGACCCAACTCATCCTCGAGTAAGTGTTGAAGCTGAACCAGAGCTGCGATGAACACCGTAAGCATCATGCCGCCTTCGCTTCAAGCCCGCGCGGGGTGCACTTACTCCGAGATATCCGAATCCACAGAGGATCATGACGACCGAATGAATTATCAATGGCGTCGTTCCCTTGCGGTACCGTTTCGAGTAGTACGCCGTCACGCCGTACTGAACGCCGAGCGCCCACCGCGAAGCCATCAGTGTGACGCACATGGATTTGAGATTCATCATGTGCGTGGTCAGGGTCGGATCCAATGGATTCCATGCGAGCGTGGTGGCTGCGAAACCGATCATGACGCCGAAATGAACCAGTTTTATGGTGCGCTCGTAGACCGAGTCGACCGAGAAGCGGATATCGTAGAGCGTGGTCTGCAGCCATGTGAACCACAGGATGATGAAGAAGAGGACGTACGAGCCCAAGCCTAGATATTTCGAGGTTTCGTTAGTCGGCGCAAATTCCAAACCGCATTTGGCGGCGGTGCGTTGGACGGTGGGGTGCACGCGGGGGAGAAGTGCGTACTCTGGTTATCGACCACGTAGTGTACTGCCGTCACGGTGGTGAGATTGGCGACGAAGAACAGATCGTAGAACAGTTCGCCGGAAGAGGCTTCCTCAGCATCAATCTTCTCCTGGATGTCGCGGTTGCGTTTCGTCGAGTCGGTGGTGATGATGGAAGCATCGCTGCTCAGGATCCTCTCCTTCTCGTCGCCTTGAGGGAGCGCCTGATGGCCGCTCGCACCGTGTACTTGGGCATGGCCGTGTTTGCCGTGGTTGAAGAAATGCGTGAGGGGATCTGCGATCCACGGAAGCAGCTGGGCTTTCCGCTGGCTGAGCCGTTGCCTATGCGCGAGAACGAGATGCGGTCAGTATGGTAGACTTGCGAACGCAATGGTCGACGCCGAACTCGGGAGGACCAGTGCGGGGCCGGGATCAATGCGGAGTAGTGGACTCACTGCTCAGCTGTAGTGTACGCTGAAGTCATTGCTCAGGTATGAGGTATGTGAGTTGGAAGCACTGGATGGGGGAGAGTGTTGCTATCTGCTGGACGCCTCCATGGAAGTGTGGAGGAGGAGGTATTATATGGAAATATTTTTGTTTTTCGGGGTGGTAACTATTGTGAAGATTGGTAGGACGTGTGCTGTGTTCCCACCACTGCCGCAGCACCCCTGCGATTGCCTTGTCGACTCTATTCTGCTCGACTGTGTCTGCATGCATTGTCATGCATGGGCTGGGTTGTCGGCCACTCACCAATAGGCCGCCGTCGCCAGTAGAGTAAGAAGCTTTTGCCCTGCCGAATTAACTAATGCCTGTGCCCCGTTCACCACCACTACCACCACCACCACCACCACCCCGGCAGCGTCCTTACTCTACAGAGATAGGATCGAGCAAGTAAGTAGGTACAAGCCACCTTCGTCCCGCCCGCAGAGTTCTGGACCGGCGGACGCGGGGTAGCACTCACTGACTCTGACTGCAAATAGCAGCTGGACTGGCAGCGCAATCATCCTCCATGCCGTGCAAGCCGTTCCACTTCGTCTATATCCAATGGCCATTCCTTCGTCGTCGATTCATCACGCACAGCTGTTGGATCAGCGCTCGCTCATCGACAGCTCCATAGAGCAATAGGTAGGATCTGCCATTCGATTCTGGGTCTGATGGTTTTTTGCAGTGCTCGGAGATGCTGATCTTTGCTGGAACAGGTGGGTTTGGGGGAGGGAACTCCCTCCCCCTCCCCGACTCCAAAGGTTGGAGTGGTGCACCTAGAGTTTTGGCACTAGAACAACCAACTAAGGCAGTCCCTAGGTAGGGCTGAAGAATCAGCAAATTGAACCTTGGAGTGCAACACAAAATCTGCAAGAACCACATCATGGTATGTAAGCACCGTACATGCACTCACCCCGCTCATGCACAAATAGAGTAGCTAGCTAAAGTCCAAGCACCTACAGAACATGCTCCACTTGATCGCCAATAAGGTGAGATCAGATAGTAGCCACTGCTCTGCCGTCGGGCGGTGCGGCGGTGGTGACTCCCGAGTCGTAAGTGGTCACCGCCTCACTGCCTTGACCGGTGAAAATAGAACGGTCCCTACCTGGTAGACAGGCTGGTACTGTACAATTATCAATACAGTACTAACTACACTGTACACTGTACAGTCCGTTCATGCCATCATGGTAGAAACATACTACCTGCCCGCCATAGGTATGGTGCTTGAAACTTCCGCACCGGGTTGGGCAACGGAGGATCCTGAACCTGAAGGAGTCGCATTCCCGGTGAGGGGCGGTGCGGTGCCGTAGAGCCGTTCGAAAGGCGGATCGTGCAGGTATGTATCATACTTTCGTCGGGAATCCCGCACCTTTGACCGAATAGCGAATATACCTGCCATTCCGGTACCTATCGTTGACAATGACTTGGCCTGCAGTGCCGCTCGAGTTCCCCACGAGCCACATGCGATCCAGTAGCCGAGCCCGCCAGCTGCCAGCCAATGATGTGCACCGCGTCCAGATAAGGTTGGTAATTAGGGCCCTACATACACACAGCCGCACGCACGCATGCAGAGCCGGCGGAGAGCTGATTGGACTTTGGACTCGCAGGTATGTGTAGTATTCAGAGTATGTAGCTGGTCTCAGTCTCAGTCCACCGCCTCCACCGTACTACCGGATACTATAGTTAGTGTGGCATAAGCGTGGCAGTGGGCAGTGGCCATCCCCGCTTCCCTTCCCTTCCCCTCCATCCATCCCAGGTGAACGGTGAACCAAACCCGCCTCTCTCGACAAACAAAAAGCCATAATTACATACTCGAGATCAGCGGGGCTGATGCACTTCCGTGGTGGAGGATCGTGGCACGCATACTGGTCGGCACTGCTTCTTTTCTTGTGAATTATCACTTCCTTCCCTCGAGGCTCTGGCGAAAGTGCTGTAGAAGCTGCAAGCAGCTCCTTCTACGTGTGCGCCAGCTGACACTTGCCCGCAGAGTGCAGAATTTTTTTTCCCAACCGCATTATTGGCTCGTTTGTACGCGATGCGAATCGAGCAAATGATTGCCCTTCAGCTGAAGTTGAATGCGCTTCTGCTCGTGCTTCTGCTGCTGCTTCTGCTTCTCAGCCATCGACCGTATCGATCGACCGGCCAGCCAACCAGCTAGTTAACGAGCCCACCACCTCCACCTCCGAGAGAGACAGAGAAAGAGAAAGAGAGCGGTGCGGATACGGATATGTATGCTACGATTGTGATTTTGTGATTTCGGGACCAAGTGGGGTAAGGAGGGGCACGACAACCATCAGCACCAGCAGCAGCCCGCCCTTGCGCTCCGCACATCGTTAGGGCCAAACCGCGGCGGGCGGCAGGCTTAATGGGTTCATTTTGACAGCGAACGATTATCACTAAACAGACCGACACGCCCCGCTTTCGTTCGGTCTGCAGGATTAATAGAGGGGATTCAATTGAGGATTAATACTATCCTTGAGAAAGTCTTACTTGCCTTGCTGTCGATCTCGGACTGACTCTCACTTCAGAGGCCAGAGTAGGCAACTGTGTACATGATAGAGTAAACATTTAACTCGGGAGGTGTTGCTCCATGCGCGTGCTTCGTCCATCTTCCCTTTTTCCCTTTTTTCGTTCGGTATCCTATGTACCGGTATGTACCCAAGTTACCTATCTGCCTGGAGGGTGGCGCAGGGCGTGGTCTGGACGGCGTCAGCATATCCACCCGTGGAACGGTGGAAGGCCTGAATTTCGACCGCGAGTTGCATTAAGTACAGAGGTACCTAATGTGGGTATAACTAGTACTAGCAGTATTTACTATTAGCAGTATTTACTATTAGCAGTATTTACTATTAGCAGTATTTACTATTAGCAGTAACTATCAGCACTGGGCAGTATTAGCACGTAAAGTAACTCTACATATGTATCTATATACATATTATCGCTGCCTAGGGATGCCAGTTGGTGGTAATCATGCCCCCCCTCCCGAGTCCCAACCAAGTATCTACGATGTAGGTAAGTAGTTCCGCTTATTTGCTGTGGAGCACCAGCTGTGGCGAACCCGAACCCGAAGTTGCACTCCGCTCACCTTCTCGATCGCACAGTTCAGTCCAGTTTGAATTCTCCAAGGCCGCAGTTATGTACCGTGTTGATAATTTAATGCTTTCGTGCGCCAGGTACCAAGGTATCTACATACCTGTGCTGGCATGCACTTACTCTAGCCGATGAATGGGGGCGGCGACCGGAGAGAAAGGCTTGTTGAAAGATTGGAGCGAAGCGAAATCCTCCACCTCCCCGAGCTGGAGCTACCCAGAGCTTACCAATACTGCGGGCTGACTCGGAGATCAATTGCAACTTCTAGGCGACAGCATCGGCGCGTATGTAATCCTGGTCTCGGAGCAGCGTGGCTGAGTGCGCCTTTCTCGCCTTAAGTCCCTGCAGGCGAATAGCCCCAACGCCTGGCTGCGGGGGTGGCGCGGTTTACTTTACTCAGTACAACTACTACATACCTGGTACTACTATACATACACAATCCACCAAAAAGACAGAAGGGGGCCTATTTTTGGGCAACGGCCACTGCCAGGCTCCAGCCCTACATACGCCCGTCGCCAAAAATTTAGTTACCTATTCTAGTTATTCTATTCGGTGACAGTTTCGAATCTGGACGCATCATGCTGCGGACCCGCCGTCGATTGAGCTGTTTCCCAGCTCGGTAACGGTTTCGAATCTGTATGCTGCGGACCCGCCTTTGATTGAGTTGTTTCTCCCCCAGCTCGGTCTCGCTCAAAGCTCTTCAGCCTTACGAATCTGCGAATCTGCGAATCCGCGATTGATGACGGCAGATAGATGCAGGAACTTTTCACGCCGGCTTGGACTTTCTTTTAGCTAACTACTGGAGAAGGATGGATATTAGTTAGATGTGTCGAACCAGATCCTCTTGATTCGTGATTTGAAATATGTCCGGTGGTGACTGAGTAAGTAGTGAGCACTCGCATGCGAAGTCACTCGAGGCTGATGGTCCCTACGGAAAACGTTGACGCGGTCTGTGGCTCGTACGTCATTCGGCCACCGATAATCAGGCACCGCGAAAGCTGCCTACAACCTACTCAGGAGGACTCGGAAGTGCCGCATCAAAGTTGGCGATGGATGATGGACGGCATCGAGTCCGAGTCCGTGCCCGTGGGGCGGTCGAGGTTGACTAGTCTCTGCTCGCTGGGGGGAATCTCACATACACCGGCAGTTCGAACTTCGGTACCGGTACTCTACCTATGTAGAAGAGGTGCCACAACCGCAAGTCCGCAGCCGCGACTGCCTACATATCGAGGCCACACCGTACACGCCCTGAAGACTGATCCGGGCATGCATGAAACACCTACCGGTCGCCGAACGAGTCCCCACTGGACCACTCCCCTACGAGATGATAGATTTGCGGCTCCATCGCAACCATCCGATTGACCGACCGACGCTCCGACCGAGACTGCGCCGTCACTGGTATGTATAGGTAGTATAGGTAATATTATAGTACCTATAGTACCGGTATAGTAATACCGAACGGAGTCCCTGCTTGGTCTGCGCGGGGCAGCATGTGTCGTCCTTGTCGTCGTCTCGCCGCTCCAGCGAGTATATACATAACTAAGCTGGTAGGTAGCTTGGGCGCCTGGTGGTCTAATCGACTCTTATGTAACTCTGGGAGCTTGGGAGGCGGAAAGCTTAAAACGTCTAAGCGTTCAGCGGCTGCCTGAAATTCTCCCCGAGCGGTTGCCTTACTTATTCCGGGATATCCGAAACTGTCCCGATGAGTTGGCGAGCTTTGCGTTCTGCAACGGTTGCTGGCGGAGATGTACTACTAGTAGTAGTAGTAGTTACCATCCGCCGCTGCGGATTGATGGGTTGATGGATTTATATCACAAGCCCGCTCCTATGATAGTTAGGGTTGCCATGGAAACAAGGTCGCCATTGAAACAAGGCCGCCCTCTTGAAAGCGTAAAGCAAAGTGCAAAGTGCAAAAGCCCGGACGGCGGCTGCAGGCTAAATAATTACCTGGAGGCTGGGAAATAGCACCCACGGAAGAATCCCCCGACTACGCCCTCAAACGTTATCTCAACCGCAAGCGGGCCTGAATTCTGTGTGTGTGTGGTCAGCATCGGTAAAGTTTAAACAGGCAGTTGGAACTTGGGTACCTATTCTTGGTACCTTGTGTTGACACCTCTTCGAAGTTGGGTCTTGATGTAAAAAGTTATTTTGACCCGTGGAGCCGATACGTACGGTCATCGGGATTCGGCGGAAATGAGAGCGTCCGCCGGACCGCCTCGTCTTGTCTTACACGCACCACGATTGCGATTGTGCATTAGACGGAATCAGAGGATGGGTTCTTTTCTTAACGTTGTGTATGTATTTAGGTGCATAACACGTGAGGCTGCGGACGCCGGTAGCTCTAATAAACTGCATAAACCCCGCAAGGCATCAGCCACCAGCCACTGCAGCCAGCAATGCATCTCCTTACGTCCGGGCCGACAGTGACCAGTCTGTAGAAAATTAGTCTTTACACTTCCGGCAGCCAGCCAGCCAGCCAGCCGGCATGACGGCATGACGCCCAAAACCCAAATTCTATGTAAATCCAATCTATACATATATCTACCTCATGCAATACTTAGGTAATGCAACGTCTGTTTGTGACCACATTTCATATTTCATTTGTCGGCGTCGCTTTGACGGTTGGGGTCAATGTGTCATAATGATTTTTTCGATCGTGGCCCGTAGCTCATTCTCGCATGCGATTGCGATTGCGGGCGTGAGTGGGAACTTGGGAAGGGAAAGTCTGCGATTTCCGATTGAATGCATTTGCTGGTGGGTAGCGGGCACGGTCGAACTCCGATCTGCCAGCAACCACCGCCGCCTGATGCCCGAGACGTAAAACTGCCCCTACTACATAAGGATAAATATGTATGTAGAGTGTGTAGTTCGAAAGAGAACGAGCAATATAAATTACATGCATCCCTCACAAGTGAAGTAAGCTCGATGCTCGAAAACTCACTCGACTTCGTTCAGCACGCATGCACGTCGGGCCAATTGCAAACCCCTTAAGTTGGCTCCGATGCTTGGAGGTCCGCTACGCGCTTGCGAAGGTTATATTTATCTCCGGACATCTCTAGTAGGTATTCGAGTTATCATTCGTTATTGGCGAGTGAGTTTGTGTGATAAGACGGATCTACCTACCTACCTACTTACTTGAGATTATAGGTGGACTCGGGAAATAGTTCGATACTCAAATTTAGCGTTGAAGTTGGCGTTGAGAGTCGTTTTAACGTGTGGTGTGTATGATGAAGAGAAGAAGAGAAGAGAAGTGGGTGGGCGTGGGGGGTGTAGGCGTGTTGGTCCCCCAGGCTTGAGGATAAGCTTCAATAGGTATCTGAGGCTAGCGAGATTCCTGGCGAGATCCAATAGCAGATGGTGAGGGAAGGTCTAGTAATGGCCTCGCGGGGGCTATTGAATCTCACCGAGCGGCGATACCGCTCGCGCCGTCCGGACTCTGATCAGATCTTTCCACGGATTGCACAGGACTACAGAGAGGGCCACTCTGACGGAGTAAACATCTCTTCCCCCTGCAGGAATTAGTGGACTATCCTACTATAGATGAGACCCAATCGGTGTATAAAACAGCCGCCGAGGGAGAGAGAAGGGGGGTAGGCGTGAGAATAGGTGAGACCTCAGAGTGCGTGAGAACCGGATTACGTGAGAATCAGATTTTGTGAGACCGAGGATTGCGTGAGAATCAGAGTGCGTGAGAAATAGATGCCTTTTCGAAGACACGGGAAAAGCACGGGGCATCATATGTGATCACTCGACCACGGCCCTGTTTTTTTCTCGGAATATTCTGTCTCTTGATCGCGGGGACATCCTGTCTTCGTAGATTACTAGTCTAGATAGGATAATAGATAGTCCGTATGTGGCAATATATTTATTCGAGAGAGAGAGAGAGAGAGAGAGAGAGAGAGACTCTTTGTCGGAAAGACAAAGTTGAAAGCACTCGGACAAGCGCAGACAAGGCGTAAGGGCTTGCTGCATCAGTACCGTATTAAACCGAAGTTCTGTAGAATCTGGCTTTTGCGTTAAACCGGTCGGTAGGCGGGCACCAACTGCAGTCAAAGACGGTTTTCTGTGGCCCAAAGTGTTAGTATGGTATTCACAACGTTGTCTTGGGAACCGGTGTTCTCGCCGAACACCTCGTCTTCACAATACTCTACCGCGTGAACACCCGCCTCCGATAAATAACCATTCTGCGGCATACGTTTTTTTTCCTGACACAGCGAGCTGGTTTTATAATACCGTATCCATCACTCCTTCTGCAGGAAACGGTTGGGCGACGGTGTCAATTTTACCCCCGTTTTTTGCTACTGTAGATAGCCACGTAACGGCATGCTTCCTCACTTGAGATTTATGTACATTGTATATCACGTATTGGGCCAGTTGAATGCTGCTCTGAATGGAAGAGCCAGCAGAAGATACTGTGGGGCTTCAAAATCCGAGACCTCTTTGTAGACGAGCGGTGCAGCCAGGCCATCCGAGACTTACTCTCCTTCACCGATGTAGGCAGGCGGATCCTAGAGGCCAATGAGGAATATTCAGCAAGTGAGGTGTCCGAGTGGGAGGCAGGTGAGCGAAAAGAGAGGAGAAGCTGAGGGGACTGAGGCGACTTGAGGAGGAGGAAAGTGCTGAAGTTGAGGAGCCAGGGTCACCCCCACTATTCCTGCCCACTGCAACCTCCTTCGTGGCATCTCCTTCTGAAGAGGCAGGAGGCGGCCAAGCGCACCGCAGGGACTCGCGGCAGAGTAGGGACATGTTGAGGGAGCGGATGGGTTGGGGGAGGGGAAGAGTTGAGGGAGCGGGCGAGTCGACGAAGCGGACGTTGTCTCTTCCTAGTATTTTTTCTTTGTAAGTCGAGTTAGACAGTGACGTGGAAACGTGGGGGGGCGGACGGGTAGAAATTGCCACCATCTAGGTAGATAGGTCACCTGCAATCAATAAACAAACAAAAAAGAAGCTGAACCGTGGTTTGAACCAAAAACCTTCACCGCCCCCGGTGGATGGCTTGGAAACCCCAGTAGCTGGACCGCTGTCCATGCTAACTCCGCCGGGTGCGTGACCGCTAGGCCACGCGGGTTTTTTTCCGTACAGGGAGAATGTTGATGCTGATTATAACCACGTCGCGCAGCAGCATGAGCAGCAGGCTTATCGACTACGTCGAACCAGTGCACGTGATCGCCAATGCCTTTTTCTGTTTCATCGACAAAGGCACGCGAATCATTGTGAGTGATCGGCAACACCATGTATGACTCGTCGGGCAACTTCGTAGGTGGACAGATGTGAGCCGGTGCACATCTGGGCATTCCCAATAAACCCTCATACCACACGAGCTTGTTACGTTGATATCCCCACCTACCTACCTCCCTACCTACCTCCCTACCATACCTGAGAAGCAGATGGGTCGCGCATCAGAGTTCCCCAGGAAAAGCTCCCACAGTCCAGCATGTACATAGGATCAGCTCAACGATACCGACGGGAAAAAGTGCCACATCATACCTACATGACTCGGCTTCCACTACCAGCAGAACGGGCGATTTCGCTACTTGGGGGCTGGAGCTGTAGCTTAACTACCACGACTTCAACTCTCTATTTTATGGGAGTGTACATACCGATGGTAGCCACCACCTTAGGTCCCAATAGGTACTCTATATACCCAAAGCCGTGAACTCTCGCCCCGGTCGTGTCGTCGAGGATGCGACGGGGACGGACGGACGACACGCTAGGTACCTAGGTATCTAGTCACTCGGTGGACATTGGGGATGGACTTGCGGGAGCCCAGGACGCCGCATCTCAACATATGTATCCGACTCGGACTGGGTCCGAGTACCGGTAGATATAGATCAACGATTGAGGACCAGCCATTGTTGGACGCTCGCTGACGGAGCTGGTAGGGCACCAGGTGCTTATGTTTCTTTTCTTTTCGAAGACCGGACGTAATCCTAGTTATGGAGTAGGTAGTAGCAGGCAACTTGGACAGCGGTCCCTAATCTTACCCTGGTTGGTGGAAAGCCCGCCGTCGAACTGTAACTGCAACGAAACCGGACGTCCTGCCAACAACCCGAACGTCTCGAAGGGTGGAGCTCCTCTCGGGTCAGTGAAGATTACCCAGCGAACTTGTATTCTGCTATGACATGCTCACAGGTTCCACGGTTCCATCTGCTCACAGGTTCTACGCATATGTAGCGATGGGCTCGGGCCAGCTCTGCTGGTACATACCGTGCCAAGGGCCCGGCCAAGCCATGATTTGGATTCCTGTTGGAACTTAGAACTGGTCTATAACTATCCGTCACTAGGAGTCGAGATCGCCACCACCCCCATATGTACCGGGAAGGATAGTGGATCCGATACCCAGTCTAGCGGTCCGAAATTGAGGTTAATCTACTATACTCGGGATACGGTCCTGCGTTGAAAACGCTAGTGCGCACTAACCACCAACAGGCATTGGCACTGCCACACTTTCACTCTTATGGCAGCTGCGACACCATCACTTGGCATTTATGGCCATCACTTGGCGCGCTGTGTGAACTGGAAAAAACCTATGTAGGCGGCGACATCACCATCACTCGGTTTTCTCAGTGAACTAGAAATAGCAGTATGTAGGAAACATCACCCGGCACGGTCAGTGAACTGGAATAAAATATGTAGGCAATAGCATCACCTTGAACTGCAAATAAAAGTATGAAGGTGGTAGCATCACCCGGGCGCGCTCAGTGAAGTTTGAACTGGAATAAAAGTATATAGGCAACATCATCACCCGGGCGCGCTCAGCAGTATCACCCCGTGCACTCAGTGAAATGTCGCGACAGGAAACAAAGAGACAAAACATTCTCGACAAATATGTCTGTTACAATTCTTCCACTTGTTCATTTGGTGGGTGGAGTCAACGGCGTCAACTGTCCCCATTTCTGTAGAATCTCAACCCGTGATGGCAACGCAAAAACATTCCCTAACAGAGTACTTTCTTTGAATCGAGGACAGAGGGATCTTTCTGAACGATGGTATTCGCAGTGAGTCGGCAAAAACACGGGGGTACCTATCCGCGGCACGAAACTGTGGTATCCGCGACGCAAAACTGTGGTATCCGCAACGAGGAAATTACCAAAGAGCAGGAGCTGTCAGTCGGACAGCGAAGACAGTGAACTTACCAGCGGATGATTCGTGGTGGAGACAGTGTGCTATCGGCGTCGGGGAAAGTGTGTACTTGCGTGGTGAATGTTTGGTGATGGTAACGCGTCTGCGGAAGGATGTCCCCCTGAACGGATATCCATTGAGTAGAGTACTGTGGCGCTGTATTTTTTTATTTTTTTATTTACTGTGCCCAAAAGGCTTTAGCGGTTTCAACGCAGGACTGGCTCCCCTATACTCACATCGGAGGCGATCTGCCCAGTGCGAGACGATGAGTTCAGTGCCAGTGCCAGTGCTGGAAATGATCCAGTCGGAGGTTACTCGGCTAACTGCAATCGGAAAATTTTTCACAGAAAAAAGAAAACGCACACTCCAAGACGTTTAAATCGACCTGTTCAAATATGATCTTGATAAATAAAATGCTTACCGCACCCCCGGTAGTTATCGTCGAGTACTGGTACTGTGCACGATCCTCATGATCCAATCCGCGTAAGTATATATGCGGTGAGAGCTAGAGTACCAAGAATCCGCATGCAGGCGCCACCGATACCGCCTCTCAGAATTCAATACTCTACACGGGCGTACCCAAGCATCTAGTCGCTCTGGGGGTCTTTTAGTCTGCCCGCCTGTGTCGCGGACTGACCAATTGGATCCTATGTATATATCTAGGTAGCTGAATCATAGTTGAGCGTGAGTGGAACCATCATGATGCGGTATCTCAGTAGTGACACGGCTCGTGACAACAGATCCAGAACGGGCTTCACCCGCAATCGACCTCAAAGCCACGAATTATTCGCCAGGATCGGTTTGTAATTGTAGGTCATGCGTTTTGCGTTTTGCGTCGAACCGTGGTGGCGGTCTGGCTGACGGCGGCGGAGTGCTCGCGAATCACGCAGGTCCTGGCTGTTGGCGCTAACATAGATGCTGGATTCTACCAGGTATGTATGTAGGCTGAGTGCTGGATTCCCATGATCGCTTATGCTGGCTGACATCTGGACGTATGCTGTCTCAGTGAGGGATTCCTGCAACTTTCTCGGGGCGACTTTTGGGCTGACGGGAGCAGCTCAGCAGCAAGATCCCCAGCTTGGAAACGTCGAAGAAGAAGAAGAAGAAGAAGAAGAAAAGGTTTCGTGGTCCTGAAGTTCTGCCGGACGACAAGTGCTGCTTCCTTCGCGACGACGCGGTGGTGTTCGAGGTGGCGGCGCAGGCTACAATACCTGGGTAGTAGTAGGAGGAGTGGCTCCTTTCCTCAAAGGCCCTAGTTAAGCGGGAGGTCCCACTGAGCAAATTAGAGTAAGATATCGCTAGAACTCGAGATCCCCGAAGATTTCGGCTGCAACCAACCAGGTAGTTCTCCAGACTTTCGGGCTGTTGGCGTTGGCGTTGGCGTTGGCGTTGGGGGGAGGGCTCGAACGGTCGAACTGGTTAGTACATGGTACCCGAAACGATGCCGAAAGGCTTGCGAATCCCCCTGTGCATACTTGGCCACCGTTGCCGAAGAGGGGCCGTGGGGCGAAATGCGAATGCATCCACAGTGGCAAATACCATATGTAGCTCCGGAAGTCTCCACATGGGGTATGCACAGTACTACATCGGCGGTATTCACCAACTCACTAGATATGGTGGGGCATCTCTGTCTCGGTCAGCTTGGTTACATAGGTGGGTAAATCATTCGTATGATACATGGGAATGCACCTTCAAACCACAAGGACTTGCATCACGCTCTTTAGGTTCAAATAACACCACTTCCTCTAGAGTAGAAAACAGAGTTCAAGAGAAGGAACGGGGTGACAGAGGAGTTGTCATCACCTACTACTATGGTTAACCATGGCGTGTCTCGGAGATCTCCAAAGTCGGTTTATACTAGCACAGTACTCACCTGTTTTGCGGGTGGTTGGGGAAGTCGAGAGCTAGATAAGTGGAGTAAGTAACAAGTTTCTGTGTGGTGGGGCATGATGGTGACGAATAAAATTTTGTGTTGCGACGTTTGGGCTCGCTTATTTCTCCCGGTTCGGTTCCCGCGGAAAGCCCCGTTGCTATGGGATGTTCATCTAGGAACTCTAGTCACTCCTCTACCGTGGATGGCCCCTCATTCCGCGAGGGATTCGCCGTCGCTAGCAAGAGGGCCGAGCTCTCGTAGGTCGCGATTGGATCAGGATCATTGATGATTGGAATGGCAAATTCTGTTTGAGGATAGTTATCTAGGATTCTAGGTGCTCGGGAACAAATCCCGGCAGCTGAGTACGCACTCTATGGTACCGTACCTATGGCGTCCCCCTCAGCGATGCGATCGATTCGCCGTATCTGTTCGAATCGCGTGGTGCACTGCGTAGGAAGGGTAGGGTATGAAGAGTACGCATGTTGGGATTCGGATCGCAAGTGGGGCAGAAACCTTTGACCTACCTATCGAGCGGATACGGTAGGAACGGTATGTGCTGTACTCTGGCAAAGCGACATAGGTTTGTATGTACCGGTATCTATCATATGGGCGTGGGCAGTGGGCGCATAATTCTACATATCCACCTACCTGCCTAGCACAGCACGCGGCCCTGCCAGAGATCAACTGCCGTGGTAATGTTTCTGCAAGGTATGTAGATACTCTACGCACATACCTACCGCCATCGGATGAGTCGCCCGCAGATGCTGACTGCCTACCTAGATTACATACAGACAGTCAAAAACATCAGCCTCCGCCCGGTGGTGAACCCGGGACGGTGGGTCTTGTTTCCAGGCCCCCAGATTTTGGGGGTCCTGTCGAGATCTCCGAAGTCTTGCTCTACATATGTAGATATGCACACACAGCACGATGTACTTTGATGCTGGATAGTTATGTAACGAACGGCAGCAGAGTAAGTATGTAAGTCATACCAGCGAAGTACGGTGCCCCTCCCCCACCTGCGTCTTGTGTTTCAACTGACCCGGCTCGCACAACGTAGACTTTCCCTGCGGAAATCGAACGCGCTGGCCGTCACCTCACTATCTCACCCAACATCAACCGGTCTGTTCAGCCGGTATCGGCGGTGAAAGGCTGAGAGCGCTCGAGACGCGCAGGTGGTTTAGTGGGAATCCCACAGGAGGTTGGAGTTGCCTGGTGGACAGGATCTCACATGGATACCTACATACTTTTCTTTGGAGGACTGGATGGAGAGACCAGACCTCCCTCGAAAGCTGCGGGATCCGTGCAGTACCTAGGTGGGTATAATCCTAGGTACCTAGTTACAAGATCTACAGTTCCACTATACATATGTAGGATAACTACTCATGTACGAACCACGGCCCGGACGGTCCACTGCCACGGTTGGCCAGTGGCCAGGGCCCCAGGGGAACTGTTTGGCCCTCGCTCGCTCGCCAAAGAGGCGAAAATACTGTTGGAGATTCTCAAACTTCGCCAGATAGTGGGGGAACTGTGAGGTTTTCCGGATCGTTTCGAATCGTCGCGGACTGCAGGATTCGAAAATACTGCCGAGATTCTCGAACGCCGAATGATGGGGGGAACTGGGAGGTTTCCCGGATCGTTTCGAATCATCGCGAGCGGGAGGATTCGACAGCTTACTACCTACCTAGGTAACTAATAGGTGGGTACCATATATGTAGTACTCCAGCCAAGCGAAACGATTTTTCGCGTGGCACCTACTAGGTATGATAGTTACCTGCTAACCACAACGTGGTAGATATCACCCTGTACTGCACCTACCTAGCTACCCCATCAGCAGAAGGGTCCCGGCCCCTGATTCGAGCATCTTTTGCCCACCGACTTGCCCCCCGGGAATTGTGGAGTGGTCGCAGGAGCAAGATCTGTCGCCCGATGCAACTCATGGTAAGTTCGCCATAACGTCTCTGCACGGTTTTAGTGCGATGGGGATTTCTGAGACGTGCAAATCTTGCTCGAGCCGGATGGTTTCGGTGGAAATGCTACTGCTTACGGAAAAGGCTTTTGGGCCAAGGAACCAGCTGCATTCTCGAAGTTCTATACCTAGTAGTTGGTTATAGCACTACACTTATGCCCACCACGAGGATCCAAGCAGCCCGGGGATGCCGACTAGGTAGGTAGTGGGCTGGATCCAGGCATCGCGAGCTGGCTCGAGTCGGTAACTAGGGGCATATGTAGATGTACTCTACATAGGAGGTGGCTACGGCTAGTAAATACTCTACTCTGCGTACATAGGCACTCTACACTAGTCGCAAAGCCGCTTTTCTTCACAGGGGGGATGGAGGAGGGGGGATCAGGTATATGAAGTCGCTTATGCCCTGTGGGCCATGCGAGGCACCAGAGTGATGTCTTTCCATTCGAGCGATCCCTTCAATGTCGTCGAACATCAGCTTGTACGACGGGCTTATACCGCCAGCCAAGGCGGCAGCCATGGGCCTCCCGGACGATAACAGAGGACCGTTGCTGGCGACCACCACCATCGCCCTGTCGGCGCTGGCCTTGTTAATCGTGAGCACTCGAGTATACGGCAGGGCCTTTATCATGAGGATCCTTGGCCGCGACGACTACTGCATCGTCATCGCTACGGTACGCCATATGGCCGTCTCCCAAACAAATCATACGATCCCTTTCTCGGGGGTGCTGACGGCAGTGTGCTAGATGATAGCGATAACGATTACGGGACTGATGGCTGCCAGTGTGCCGTTCGGTTTGGGTAACCATATATGGCTCGTCGGCTACAAAAACATGAGGATAATCTTGAAGGTATGATATGTACAAAATACATACTCAATGTACTATGCTCAATAATGATGTCCGTCCTCACCGTCACCTCTTACTGACGTCGGTGCAGTACAGTTACATCATCCACATACTTTACATTCTGGGGCTCGGCTTCGCGAGAGCATCCCTCGTCCTCCAGCTCATCCGACTGGCGCCGTCGTACCGCATGTGCACGGTCTTCTGGGTGATATTCGGCTTCACGGCGACTTGTACGACTCTGTTCGTTTTCCTGCATACGTTCCTCTGCGGAATTCACCCCCAAATGTTCTGGATGAATACGGGTGGCTCCAATGGGTGCCTCGATTACTTCACATTGCAGAGTTCATACGGCGTGGTCAACATCCTCATGGACTTCGTGGTGTGGCTGGCGCCGCTCAAGATCATCTGGCAGGTGCGCTTGCCTTGGGGGCAGAAATACGGTCTTGCCGTCGTTTTCGCCTTGGGCGCTCTGTAAGCTTTCTCTTCCTTCGATTCCTCTCCAACTTTGGCTGGGGAGGTTTTTCGTTGTCGGCTCCGCTCATCCCAAGTACCTATATAGGGTGTGGATCGCTGCCATTGTGCGCCTTATTTACGCCCTTCGCATTGGGACTGCCATCGGGAAAGACCGTCCCATCGACCCATCGTGTTAGTTATTCTCCCCCTCCTGGGTAGTATCATAACCAGCCCCTAACGTCGCACGCATCCCATAGACAACGTATCCGATACAGCGCTTTGGATGACGATCGAAATCCACGTCGGCATTATGTGCAGCAGCATTCCGACGCTGCGCCCAGCGATACGTAAAGTGATGCCCAGGCTCCTCGGCAGCTCTATCGCCAGCAGCTCGCAGGGCACCGGCGGGCGGCAGCCGCCACACCTCCCGTCCATCAACACGTACCACTCGCGCTCGGGCGCTAACTTCTCGCGCACTGGCGGCGGCGGCGCGCCCGGCATCCCGCTGGAAAGTATGTTCTCGAAATCCGATGACTGTTCCTCCTCGACCGAGCGGTTCGCGGGCGTGTCGGCCCCCATGACCACGGATATTGAGGGGAACTACGATGATGGCTCCGCTGTCGACGCCAGAGGTGACCTTGACGGGCTGGCGGGAATCGTCAAACGGACGGAAGTGAGGATTTCGGAAGCGTAGCCGCTGCCGCCGCCGCTGCAGCCGCCGCCGCCGCCGGTTGCGCTCGTGTAGATACTTTGCATATTGTATGTTGATGAACCATAGCATTTTAATGTCGATACGGCCTTTGCACAAGACACTAGCAAGTATGGGATTGGATGCCGACGGGGGGAGATGGTGGGGAGGTGTCGGAGAGTTGTGATCCGAAGCTCGAGACGCAATGGTATTCTGGAATACAGCACACCCGTAGATTTTTCCCTGTGGTGATGATGCACACGCACCCGCTGCATCCATGGTCACGGGGGAAGCTACCTGAAACTCGACATCAGACAGGGTGGAGGGGGGGAGGGGGGAAATGTTTCAGACAGACAGCCGGAAATATCGTTGGATTACCATCAGAGTGGATAGTTCGTTCGGGTTCATCATGAACGGTCACTCGGACTGCCTAATGTTTCGGAAAAAGACGAAACGAGATCAGTGGTATGCGGCCGTATGCGACAATAAACTGAATTATCTCTCTCTCTCTCGATAGTATGCGGATGCCTACGAAAGAGGCTCCGTTGACATAAAGTTATCTCTCCATCTCCCTTGTCATACTCGTGAAAGAGTACTTTTCACAATTAGCAATTTCCAGGGTGAGGGATACCGTACCGTATGAAGAAACGGCCTGGGTTCGAGTTGCTTTGTATGTACATAATACGATACGTATACGGGAATCAGTGCAAATCCCGATAGCTTCCTCCAGACCATAGACCATACGCGCAGTGAATAACTCATCCCAGGCTATACCTAGTTAATCCATCCGCCTTTCCTGGACGTATGTGCTTATGTATTAATAAGACCAAGCAAGGCTCCCGCTGTGCATGGCTAATCCCTGCGAACCATCACGACAGTTTATCCCAACGTCGTGCCGCTCCTACGGCGGCAGACGTTGCCGTTCTACTACCGGTACACGCACACCGGCGGCCACTCCACCACTCCCCCTAAGCCTTGGCTGTTAACCTCAAACGGATTTAGAGCCTGTTTGTTCGATGGCGGAGAGCCACGCAAGGTGCTCATCTGCGATAATCTCTTCTACTACGGGGGTAGGCGGGGCTGCTTGTACGTATCAGCCTATCACGAACGTACTTCGGGGTAAACTTAGGAAAAGGGGCAATGAATGGATGGATGGATGGATGGATGGATGGATAGTAGACGATTTTCTGTCGATTCTCATGCTTCTCGTCCGGTAGGTCGGAGAAGGCCTCTACATACACGCCCATCCAGTTCAAGACACAATACTCCTACATACATAGGAGCTATCCCCGTCCCCTCCGGCTTCCAAGATGCGTACGGTGCGTCACGGGGTCACTGTATGTGTCCAACATATCGTCCGTACAGTGTAAGGAACCTTCAGGATCGTGAGCCTTCCGGAGGTCTAATCCTGGCACATAGTAACTACCAACACTTAGTTCCAACTTCCCCGACACTCTGGCGAAACCGAGAGAAAGAAACCCCAGTGGACGCGGCTGCACCGCCCAAGCGCCGCATGCTCGGATGTATCCCGCCATACCTAGTACAGGGTACTTACCTAATGTACTCAGACGTCAAAAACAACGAGTGATGCCGGATCATTCCCGGGGCTGTACATAGTGCCCGTGTAGATTCAACAGCGAACACCTTGACCTCTAACTAGCTCCTTTTAAATGATTTGGAGCTCTGGGGTTGCCTCTGGGGAGACGCGGAAGGGAGGAAGGATTACTATAGTAGTATGCGACCACTAAATCCAGCCTGCATGTCAAGCTTTATCACTCGGCGACCCGAATCAATCCAGTTTTTGGAAACACTGGTGAGTCGTCTTATTTCAAGCTCTCGTTCACTCCTTGCTCCACCTCTTTCTATTATGTGTTCTCACGTTCTCCATATTTCGGCTTCCTCGTCCACCAGATTCGGTAGCACAAATGGCGGGAGGTTTTGCATGACGGCTTTCACTCTTAGACCGTAGTGGAGGCTGACCGTAGTTACTTTAATAGTGAGAGACCAAAAAATAGGATGACGCAAAAAGGTTGACTAATCCTGTGGATGGTCTATGATGATGATGAACAGAAGGAAACAAGACGGATAGACAGAACAGAACAGAAACAATATCTAGAAAACAATTCAACGTTCGCCCGCCGCATCGGGTTTAATCCGGATCACACCCCATAACATTAGGTCCCTTCCCCGGTCTCTCCTGCCAACGCAAGCCATCAATAAGGTCCCTCCATTTCGCCGATCACCGCAACACCAAGGCGCCTCAACCCCCGCGCTCCCTCCATTACATATCAGGGATCTTTTTCTGTATGTATACCGACGGACTCCACACCTAACCCTCCCTTCCAGAAACCAAGCCCCCAGTTGTGAATATACATAATACGCAGTTGTATGATGCGTGGATGTATCTCCGGAAGATAATCACCGGTAAAAGCAACAACACTTAGGTAGCACCCGTGTACATGACCGAATTCAGCTAGCCTACCCCCACATCAACGCCAGCTAATGATGATCTGCACGAATACCAAATGTACAACTCCAACAAGCTTACGGAAGCCTCTCCGTAAACCTGAAAGAGTTAGCGCATGCTAAGAAAATAAAAGGGAAAGGAATACCTCGCAAAAATAAAGTCACTCCTTATAAACATGTCGTCGTTCCCTAGTCCTCGTAGTAGACATCAGATCCGCCATATATATGGAAGCCGACGGTGTTGAGAGGGCGATTTTGTTCCCTTAATTCGACGAATTCGTCGATTTTACCCTGGGAAATATATATAGATGCAAGGTTTTCCGTGATCTTTAAGGTATTTGGATGCTCTTTGCCAAGGACCCTCTTACTCGCCTCCAAGGCCGACTCCAGCAGCCTCTCAGCCTCCTTCCACCAGCCCCGCTTCCTGTATTTCAATGCGAGGGAGGCCATACTGGTCATGCTCTGCAAGGTATCTGGATGCTCATTGCCAAGCACCCTCATCCTTATCTCCATCACCTGCACCTCCAGCCCCTCAGCCTTCTTCCATCGGCTCTGCTTCCTGTATGTCAATGCAAGGGAGGCCATACTGGCCAAAGTATCTGGATGTTCTTGGCCGAGCATCCTCATCCTTATTTGCATAACCTGCACCTGCAGTCCCTCTGCCTCCCTCCACCGGCCCCGCTTCCTGTATGTCGTTGCAAGGCTAGCCATGCTGGCCAAGGTAGTTGGATGTTTTTTGGCCGAGCACCCTCATCCGTATCTCCATGATCTGCGCCTCCAGCACCTCGGCCTCCTTCCACCGACCCTGATTCATATATTTCGATGCAAGGGTGACTATAGATCCTTCATCTCCATCCTCATCATCTTCCCCTCCTCATCCTCCTCTATCGAATTAGGCACCACAAATAGCGCGATCTGTTGCATGTGCTGTCCGATATGGCGCTGAAGAATACGAGGAGTAAGATTATTCTTTCCACACAGAGGGCAACTCTGCTTCGACTCTGTTGCTATTTCGGACCTGTTCACCAAAACAGGTAGTTGGGTAGATCCGATCCGGTCTTCATGGGAATCGACGACGTGTTGTGCAAACGCTGTACTGGAAGACTAACCCTCCTGGCATGTGCCGCAGAACCATTCCCTCCGATGCTGGATTCTCAAACCACTCGTGCATACGTTCAAACAGGTGCTCTGACCTTTGACAATTTGGAAAAGTACACACATACGGCCGGAGATCTTTGAAGACATGCCGTCTTTAATGACCATAGGAGTCAGCGATTCAGTCCTTCAATTATTCTTTTTTGAGAATCCGGACTTACTTCCATGACTGCCAACCCTGAATCTTCACCAACGAAAAACAATATGGGCACTCGAAAGGTGTTCCCTCCAACGAGGATTCTTGGTCAGGCGGTGGTGGCACGCGAAGCCTGTTGGGGTCTCCCATAGAGGACGCATACGATGTCACGGACCGAGTGTCGTCCTCTACGGTCCAACCATGATCTGGGTCGATAGGGAATATACTTTCTCCGTCCACCGCTATGCCCGTTTCTGCAGGGTCACCACCACTAGCCGCCGCCGCTTGTCCACCCTTCAGAAACGTCGAGACAGTAGTCACCGCTTGCGTAGTTGCGTAGGCGACGGTTAAATTTTCAAGGACGCCAGAATCGTCGAGTGTTGTCACGGCCAGCTCCAGCCGGGGGCGTCCGACAATCTTTTCATGATGTTTTTCGTAGTAACTGAGAAGTTGGCGGCGTTTGAAGTTTGCTCTCCCAAGACGTTCCACCAGAAAGTCTTCAGCATCTGGAAACTTATTATCGACATGGTCGACATCGGGCCGTGATAATGCGAGACGTCGATGAAGGAGCACTTTTCCAACCGGTCTCGTGGTGCCGGATTTGCGACCGCGATTGAGGTGTTATAGAGACAGGTGATGATATTGGAAACGTCAAGTAGACACTCTTCGAATTCGTCGCTTGTATCCGGGTCCGAATCGGAGTCGCTGTCTTCTGGGTCTTGCGTTTCCGACATTCCGCCAGTCACCGGAAGCCCATCTGCCAACGTTTTGGCGGATCCGGCCGAAAGCGCTTATTCATGATATCAGCTCAGACCCACTGCTACTACCTACTCTGCTCGAGTACTGGCTGGGCTTGAGATCCGCTTACCGTCTTTTAGAACGTCATTCAGACTACCCAACAGCTTCACGACCATATCCTTCACCTTCGAAGCTCCCCGTAGGCGACGATCGAGTGACATCTGGTTATTGCTCTGTCGATGCGCTCCACAATTCTCCGCCCACACCCTGAATCGACCGACATCTTCGCGAAGCTTGGTAGGGATATTTCCGGGGCTTCCTAGCCTGAGCGAGTCGAAGAGATGCTGAAAGGATTTCATGCGCTCGCGATAAGCGGAAAAGGTCGACATTTCGGTGGTTGCACGTACGTATGCACATACGCGGACCCGAATTCGCTGATGGAGGAAGAAATGAGACTTAGATTTTGAATTGTAGGATATGGATTGCGAGGGGATCTGACGTATCTACTCCACCCTGTCGATACATCCGCACAGGCTTCGAACCAATCCTTCTGCGGCAGGACATGCAGCAGAAAGGTCGGCCAATCACATCCCTCAAGAACAGAACACGACATACCTACGGTACTTACTCTTAGCATGAGGCTTAGAGATCGTAAATGCGGGGCCGAGGCTTTAAACGCCATCACTTCTGCTTCCCGCCGGCGAGAACGAAGCTCTTCTTTCTCACTATACGTGAGTAATTGCGCTGTCACTTATTCACTTGATATTGCACTGACTGAAATGAGCGCTTGCCAGACGGGCTATATCTATACCTACCTATATACCGATACGCGGATCCAGTCGTGCCCACTACATACGAGGAATCCCGCCAACACCGCAGGCGAGGCTGGAGACACTCTGCTGTTGCCCCGATTCCGCAGACATCCCGTCATGGAGGTTGCCGGACTCGTCTTGGCCATACTTCCGCTTTTCTTGAACGGGCTGCGACAGATTGACGATGGTAGTCGTAAGGTCTTCGGCTACCGAAGAGCTTTGGGACGTCTGGTGCAAAAGATTGAGGTGGAAGCTATGAAGCTCGAGAACACATTCGAAATCCTGCTCGGAGATATTGTTCCGCCCAAGAAACTGCAGGAACTTTTGGATGGTAATGGCTGGGAAGGCACCACCATCGCCGAAAATCTGGAGCGGCGTCTTGGGTCACTGGGGACCAAGATTTTTAGGCGACATATGGAGGAATTTAACTCGAAGCTTAGGGAATTGGCTGAGGGACTGAGACTTAACGAGAACTTTGAAGTATGGAGCTCTTCCCTCATTCTTCCGTCACGTACATATTGATCATGATCCTTTGCAGCCGGCGTTGCTGGAAACAAAGTCCAAGAAGCGGTTGTGGATGAAGATCAAGTTTGTCGCAAAAGAGGGAGATTATTCTTCACTGCACCAAGATATCGTCCAGATCAACCATGAACTTGCGACCTTGGCAATGTTACGAACGTGTCCTGCCGAAGTTTCCGTATCCAAAAAGACATGACACCTCCCGGAGGCCTATGATCTGGTGCGCCAGTATACCATGACTATTTATGGCGTATTTCAGATGAGGTTGCAGGAAGCTCCGGCCTGCACATGTGATGCTGCACACATCGTCAACCTTCGACTGCAGAGCATTATCGACAAGCAAGGACGGGCTGCTGGAGCTGTGAGGTTCAAGGTCACCTTCTCATATGATCTTAAAAACGCGATGGTGAGTCGGACGCCATGGGATTTCAACGGCTCAGGGTTCCGGCCAATCGAGGCTGAAAAACCCACAGTACCCGCAGTCAAACTACAACCAGCACCGGTCATCAAGCCCCACCAACCAAAGCAGCAAGTCAAAAAGAAATTCGGCAGCAAAGTCGGTTCTATTTTCAGCTCGGATAATCAGCCTGCAGTCCGGACCACATCTACAAAGCACACTTTCAAGAGCGGGCAACACTTAGCGTGAGCAAAAGCTTGCCCTTTCGCCTGAGAGGTTTGAACACAAGCTGACGTTTCTAGTGCGGCGGCAACCCCTCTGGCAAAAAGGGTTTCGTTTGGTCCTGGCCTCAAGACCGCAGCTCCTCAGGGCGTGAAAATCCCCCAATCTCCCTCCCGCTAAATTTCGGGAAGGAGATAAAGAACCTGTGTTATCGGGCGGAGCGACAGCTCGGCGAATACAGTGTCGGAATACTGGATCCGGGTCGTGACCAGTGGCATCGCATGCAACCGCCCATGGAACCGTTGGCAGTTTCTGATATCGCCATCACGTTTTCGCTGCAAGAACTCCTTCGTAACGGTGTTCTTGGGCTCAACGAAAGGCTTCAGATCGAAGTCCAGCTTGCCTCAGCTGCTGTCCAGCTACACGGCACAAAGTGGCTTGAAGAAGGCTGGTGTAGCGAAGATATACTGTTCTGCGGCCGCCAGGATGCAAAACTTCGAGCGATAGACGGGACCTGGTTACCCGAGCCCATCGTCAATAACCCCTTCGTTCGAAAAGAATTTGGCAGCTGCGCAAGTGTATCGAGACAGAAAACATTGACGATAAATCACGAGCGGAAAATCGCCGAGTACGACAAGTGTCTTTTCTCCCTGGGGATCGTCCTAATCGAGCTTTGGTTCAGAAAATGCTTCGAAGACCTGAACGTCCGCTTAACAATACCCAAGCCGACAACAAGGCGGATTACGACATAGTTTGTCAGCTAGTGGGAAGACTTATCGAGTCGGGTGAGAGCTACATGCTTGCCTTGTCTCGATGTCTCGGGCTATGCCGTCCTGGATCCAATAATCCTCCACCGCGAAGGTTGGATGATTCTAACTACAAGGACGAGGTCCATCAGTATGTCATCAACGTGCTCGAGGAGAACTATAAGGCAAGTCTATATTGTCTCTGTTTCTCTCTTCCTTCTCTCTGCCCAGCGCGCTCACTCACATTTGTCAGATTTCGACCAGCGCAATGTCGGACGACTGATCAGTTGGTGGCGGCCGCGTCGGTGGGTGCCCACTCGGGAAACTTTCCCCTCTGCTCTGTTGTCTCTTTCTCTCGCACAAACACACTCTCACATTTTGATGCTTGCGCTTTCTCTTATTTCCGCACTGTCCGGTTGTTTCTTCACACATTACCTAGCAAATGTAGTCTCGTGTTTTCCTTGTAGCAATGTAGAGTGCATACCTATCCCGCGCAAATACATTATCATTTCCGAAGCCAAATACTGATTGCAAGCTCCTACCCGCAACCTCCTGGGCCATTGCTCAACGCTATCCCCTCTCATGCTACGGCGTTGAACCGCCACGTTCATTATAGGTCACCGGGCTCAACGGCCATCAAAGGTCGCTTAGCTCAGTTGGTTAGAGCGTGGTGCTAATATCAACGATATGCAACGCCAAGGTCACAGGTTCGACCCCTGTAGTGATCATTTTTTGCTACCTCGAGGTGGTGAGTATTTTGCGCTGGTCGTTGTGCTCTTGCGCGTTCTATATACCCTGGGAGCATGTGATCTCAGCGAACTGCTTGGGAAGTGCTCCTCGCGACAGCGCCCTGCCTCCCTCCCTTGTGCCGACGAGTGAGATTGTAGTCGAATGGGAGCTGGAACGCCGGCTTGCAACTTGAGGTCACTCACGGACAGCGGGAAACTGCCGCTTATTGCTGGATAATGTTCAAGTAAACGGTCCAGTCGTAGGCAACACCAACCAAAACACTTGGGTAAGTACTCCAAAGCTTGAGTGATGTGAAACCAATTTCGGCAGCAGGACCGAGCCCAAGGATCTATCTAGGTACCGTAAATTGCCCATCCTTCCCCGACTATATTACAATACACCGTCTACCAAACCACAACCTCTCAGCGGTACACCACATGCCCTTTGAAAGCCTTTTGTGGTTTGTCAATGCCTTCGTAAGTGTAATCAACCACCTGCTCGATAGGCCTAGCCCGACCAATGACCCGCTCCTTGTCCATGGGCTTTATCCGTGACGAGAACAGCTTTACGTTCGGAAGCTCGGCGAGCTCAGTCTCCACCAGTGCGTCGGCGAGCTTTTTAGGCGGAGGGGGAGTGATAAGGTGTCTCAAGAGGTCCAAGACGGTGTTGGTTTGTGTTGCTACGGCGTCGGGAATGCGCTGGCCGGTGAGCTGGAGAACACGTTTGATGATCTATGATGAGCGTCAGTAAGGTTGATGGCCGAAAGAGCTAGCGCGAAGGGGTACAGACCGCGAACTTGACTTGTTCTTGCGATATTGGTAGCCTGACCCAGCCCTCGCCCCTGAGGCCCTGCTCGAGCCACTGAGGCCGTGGCTCATCTGACTCGACCATAAACTCTGCTTCCACGGCTGTTTCTGCCGCCTCAGCGGTCTCAGCCACGACCTCCGTTTCGGCAACAATATCTGCCTCCACCTCCACCTCCACCTCCTCGGCAAGAGGCACAAGCGAGTTTAAAATCGCCTCCTCTACCTCCGGCCCTGCAAACTCAACACGCACCTCACCACTCTCCGTAACTACAATCTCCACATCTCCCGTAGCAGTCTCCGGTGTCGTAGGCGTATTAATTCCAATCTCCGTTACCGGACTCCTCCCATTCAATCGCAGCGTGAACACCTCAACGACAGCCCGATGAAGGGCACGATGTATATCCTCGGTCTGCAGCACCGTCTCCGTTTTCGGTGCAAACCTATACCCGGCCGCAGAGTCAGCCCCACCCTCATCTACCTCGCTCCACCTTGGGAATGATACATACGGAACAATAAGCCACATGTCACTCAGCTTTTCCAGTCCAGCAATGGGCAGTCCCCTTGCATCCAGCGCCTCGCGGTACTCGGGATCTATCTCTATCTCGCTATTCTCAACGACCTTTGCGCCGGTGGAAGGAATCCGCTTGTACGGATCGTTCGGGCCCGGTGGAGCATCGGTGCCCCAGAGGTTCCGACGGATGCGCTCGGTGATGGACGGGCTGTCGGAGGCGAAGCGTGCGGATTGCGAGATTGTGGTGGCGGCGGTGGACGCGAGAATAGGACGGCGCGTGCAGGCGCAGGGCCGGGTGAGACGGGACAGTATCGCGCGGCGCATGGTGGTTGTGAATTGAGTAGAGCTGGCCTGGCCGGGAGTGTGTGTCGCTCCGCCAAAAAAATGTTGCGGGGTGGTGTTTAGCGGGTTTACCCGGTTTTTCGTGTAACCTCTGCAGCTAACTAGTTGGAACGGCGCTTCTAGTTCGCATTGGGCTAGAACACGGAACCGAAAACTGTCTCAGGTTTCGTCTTTGACAGCCCCGGTCGACGCGGCTGCGCTTATTATTTTTTGGTCTGGTGGCTGCAATTGACCTTAACCATGACGGAGGGTCCCATTGTTTTCTTTCGATTCCTTTCACCCTCATTCTTTCCCCCTTCTATTCTCACTACGGGTGCCGCAGGATCAGACAGCCTACAACTCCGAGTCTGTATAGTACTTACTACGAAGTTGTCTCCGGTCGACAACGGCAGGAGCTGTCTCCAGACATAGACGCCATTACCGGTGCCCGTTTGAATTCCCAGGCGTGAACTACCGGCAGTGATGTGCCTCCGGTCGATCTGATGGTGGTGTAATTTAGCTGCTCCTTTCCTTCACCAATCCTAGTGTTTCCCATCCCGCAGAGTTGTGGCAGGGCTAACTATAGACATCACGACAACTATTTGGCCACGAATCATACTGACAGCCAGGCTCCTGTGGCTCCCCAAGCCACATGCAGTACCCAATCGAAAGGTCTTCATGATGGCTCAGCTGTATCTCAGCTTAGCAGCATCGACCAGGGGGGTACATACAACTATACCCCTCCTCGTCCTCCTCTCTTCAACCGTGACTTCTCTCCGCTATCTAGATCCATACGCCAAAGGAATCGCTAGTGGATTTAAACTTGGACGGCGAAGGTCCCAAAACACTGGATGGAAACCGACAGAAAACGAAGAGAGTTAGGCAAGCTCGAGACAGACATGATGACCGCCTTCTTTGTCGTCTATGGCATCATCTCCGCCGTATTTAACTGCGAGTGATTATTCTGAACGTATCAACCATCTCGGAAGCCCCGAGGAGGTGAAGGTGAAGCTGACAGAAGTTCTTCCTTTCTGCTGGGCGAAAATTCTGCCAAAGCGATTTGAGACTCAGTGGAGGTCAATGCCCCTTCTCTGGAGGCAGTCATTGATGCAAAGACCAGCTACTGGCTACGGTGCGGCTGTGGCTTCGTTATTCTTTCTTCAATTCTCTTCTCTGCTCCTCTTGATGTGGTATATTATTTAAGTAATGAATTCGTGGCGCTGCGGAGGAGGAGGAAGATCCCCCGGTCGAAACGGCTGAGCTGAGACACGAGCTGAGCAATCACGAAGACATATCATGGTGCGCCACGTTTGGCCAGAAACGGCCTTTAACGGATCCTGCCTGGAAATCTGCCTCAACTCAGCTCGAGCGTGGCGGTACACGGGTGGGAAGCGGCGGGCTTTGTGGTCGATAGATCTACTCTAGAGATATTGAAGCTTATGAGTGATGATTGTGGATGCGAGTACCGTCAAACCTGCTGCTTGCAAAGATGGCCGAGGCGAGATGTAATGCGTAGATCACCATACCTGACCAGTATTGCGGCGCCGACTCCGTCTGCTCTGCGCTGCCCACTTTTCGAGTATTCTGCTCACAAGACGTCACCTGTAGTCCATTGAGCTGGCTATGCCTTGGACTTGCTTTTCTTCCGACTCGTATTCACGACCGATAGCCTAGACCGAAGTGTGGTCCTTAGAAATCCGCCCCGGTTGCTATTCATAGCAGATACCTATTGATACATTCGTTTACGAGTTGCGGGCTGTGGGCTGCCGCCGTGGTTGGTCGGAGGCGCGCAAAGCCTTTTAGTTCTGACGTTTGCAGGCGGCCAGTCTCACAGGGTTGAGAGTTATTCTGAATGGCGGGCTTGCGGTCGTGATCTACAGTGTATAAATCATCGAATTCCTTCGTAGGTAAGTACAGATCGATACACTGAAACCCCTGGGATATCTGGCTCCGAAGCAGCTATGCATTTCACCGACCTCCTCTTCGTGCTCCTCCTCGCATTGTTCCAGTTCACCGAAGCCAGGCCGGGCTACACCACAAGCCCACCACCGGCGGTAAACACCACGTCCGGGGTCGTCAGCGGCTTCGAACCCGTTTCCGGGGTGCATGCGTACCTGGGAATCCCGTATGCAGTCCCGCCATTGGGCCTCCAGTTCATGCTCCCGAAGCCGGCGCCGTACAGCGAGGAGCCGATCCGTGCCACAGCCTTCGGCCCGAGCTGTATCCAGTTTGCGTACAAGACCGTCTTCTATGAGATTGCGGAACCGGCGGAACCGCAGAGTGAGGATTGCTTGAGTGTGAATATCTGGGTTCCGGCCGGTCATGATCGTGTGCACGGGAAGGGGAAGAATGGGAACGAGAACGGGAAGGGGGGATTGCCAGCTATGGTGTGGATTGTTGGTGGTGGGTTTGGGGAGGGAGCAACGTCGTGGGAAGGCATGTTCGCAGTGCGCCACTGCTTCCGGATGGGTAGATAGCTGACATTGATCGTGCAGTCACCAGTGGTGCAAACATTGTGAAAGCGCATCCCGACGTTATCATCGCATAGTTCAAGTCTGTACCTCTTGCCCCACCGTTGATCGTGCGTATCCACCGCTGACCATCTAGCTATCGCCTCAACACATTCGGCTTCCCCAACAGCCCCGCGCTCCCGGAACGCAACATCGGGTTCCTGGACGCGCGCCTCGCCATCGAATGGCTGCACGCCAACCACGCCTCCTTCGGCGGCGACCCCTCCAAGATAACACTCTTTGGCGAGAGCGCTGGCGCCGCCATAATCGGCTCGTACGCCTACGCCTACACCGACAAGCCGCTAGTCCGAGCGTTGATTATGCAAAGCGGCACCGGCGACATCATTGGCAACTCGGACGACTCGGAGTTCAAGCGGGTATCGGATGCGGTCGGGTGTGGCGGCGGCGGCACGAGTGATGAGGATTGAGTCCGCTGCTTGCAGGCGGTGGATGCAGGAGGGATCCGACAGGCGATCTCGAACCTGACGCTGAACTACTTCGCTTCTCCGAACGGCGGGGCTCCGGGAGTGGATAACCGCACGGTGTGGTCGACGGCGGAACACTACCGGCGGGGCTTCGAGGGAAGTTTGCAAAGCTCGTGAGCATCCGCCCCCCCCCCCCCCCCCCCCCATCCTGTCCGCATACACAGCTAAAATTCTCCCTACAGCCCACCCTGATCGGCGTAAACGACAAACAAGGCGACAACACCGTCCCGTTCCACAAGGATCGGGGGATAAACTACACAGTGAGCGACATCTGCACAAAGACGATGTTCACGTGCCCGTCAGCAGGACACTCTCTGATCCGCGCCAACAACTCTGTGCCCACCTACCACTACCGCTACATGGCGCGCCTGCCATCTGTGACGCCCTACAGCTGGATCCGCGGCGCTTTCCATGGCGCCGAGGTCGGCACCGTGTTTGGGTTTCTCGATGCGGGCATCGAGACGCCGCAAAGCTGGGAACGCGAGATTAGCAAATACATGATGGATGCTTGGGTTACCTTCGTGAAGGATCCCAAGGATGGGCTGCGGGAGCGGCGATGGTGGCCGCAATACAATCCAGCAGGTACTTATCGCCACTCTGTCCGGTGAGAGAAAATCGCTAACCACCACTGCGGTAGGGAATACGCTGGTCGAGATGTTCCCAGACAACAAGGTTGGCGTGGAGTTTGTGCCAGCCGGGAAATACGACGAGGGTGCGACAACCCGCCGCGTATACCAATTGAGTCCTTTGGGCCGTACTAGGTAGGCCTGCGCATAGGTATGAGTGTGTTTGTTACGAGGAGGATGGAAAGAGGAACTTATGTCTATAACGCCGATTATGATAATAAAATTTTCAGTATTTATTCCGTAGGCCTACAGAACTCCCTGCACTACAAGAATGTCGTAAATGTTTGCTTGCGTACAGCACGTCTTACTCACAGTACGTATTGTTGAAACTATAGGTTTCCTACCGTATGCATACCGGACTCAGTGACCGGAGCATTCTGCTCAGCAGGGAATTTCTTCCGAAGGACGCTTGTCGTCATAGTTTTACTACAGTCCAGGAACTGCGTGATTTGCAAGACGACGTTTTCTCTGCACTACGCTGTTGTGCGAATAGGGTAGTTCTCTGGTAGTTCTCTGGTATTCTGGACACCGCGTAATATTGTGCGTTCGGAAGAACTGCGGTCTGCAGGTGGGCTAGGTACTTGTTAGGGCCGCGCTGCTGAGAATGCATGGGATATCACTCGCTATAATCGAGTGATGGCTGTGATACAGAACTTCCAGAACCGAGTGAGAATTACCTGATGTTTCTGATGATACAGTGAGATACCACGGTTCTAACAATGATGGGATATTTCTCTGCGCGGAGACGTCTCTACCGCCGAGTCAACGACCCTGCCCAACCGATTCACGGATACCACCACCAACTCCATATCCATATCCATATCCATTTCGCAGTACAGCCGCATCTATTCCCTCTAGGTACTGATCGATCCATCCACGTTCCCCTCCCGCAATCCAATCCATAATACAAAAGATGTCCCATTTTTCCTCGCCCAGGCACAACGCACAAGTATATCCTACATACGCTGCTCACTACAAAAAGCTAATTCCGACACCAAACTGCAGCCCCTTCCTGGCACGCTCATTCTCGCGCTTAACCACGGGCAGGGCAAAGTTCAATTCAAACCGCGCTACGGGGTGGGCATAGACCAGTCCGACGCCAGCCGCAATACTCGGCAGGCCCACTCCGACCTCCTTCACCGCATCCAGGAGGGTGGTGGTGGTGGTGGATGATTTCTCGCCATCGGCCGGTTTCTGGAGCGCGACGAGACGGCCGCCGTTGACGAATGCTTGTAGGCGGAAGGGGGAGTCGACGCCGAGGCGGGGTAGCGGGAAGAACACGGATGCGCCGCCGGCGAGGTATACGTCGCCGCCGACGGCATCGTTGCCGTCGCGCGGCCCGATGCCGTTCTCGCGGAAGCCGCGGATGTCGGTGGCGCCGCCGAGGAAGAAGCGGTCGTTTATACGCGAGGGACGCGCGGGTGTGCCTTCGGAAAGCCCCGGGAGGGGAACGATGACTCCGGCGCGGAGGCCGGCGGAGAAGGAGATTCCGTGGGCGAGCGGGTGGGACCGGGACGCTTCGAGCTCGTTCTTGAGGAAGGAGACGTCGCCGCCGAGTCCGGCGAGCTCGGTTATGTTGCGGAAGAGCGAACCGGTCATAGGGAGGAGCTTGTTGTCGCGCGTGTCGGTGGTGAAGGTGTGCGTGATGGAGGATTTTACGGTGTCGCCGGCATCTTCACGGATGGTGGGCGAGGCTCCGTCGGAGAGGTTGGTGACTTGTCGCCATGCGCCGGTGTATCCGAGTTCGTGGGAGCCGTGGCTACTCAGAAAGCGCAAGCCTGCGCGAACACCCTGGGTCGCTTCCTCGTGGGATGCAAAGAAGTGGTTGCTCCGGGCCGACGAAAATCCAGCGACTTCCGCAACGGTGTCCGGGTTCGCGGCGATAGGGGTCGCGAAAGCGAGTTCGTAGGAGGAACGGGAGCGAGCGCCGACGTCGGCGGTAGATGTGGCGGTGGTTGCCGAGGCATAGATACTTTCCGCACCACCGAAGACATTGCGTAGTGTAGCATTCAAGTATCCCCCACCCTCGGCATTGCCGAGCTCCGTTCCCGTCTTCAACACCAACCTTCCTCGCTCCTGGACCGTAAGAAGTGCTGAGAGTGCCGTGCCGCTGGACGAGTGTGCCTGGTCGAGGTACATGTTTATCGTCGGGTGGAAAATACCTTCGGGACCATCAGCACAACCACAACAGGCCCACCACCCCCCCAAGCTTGGACCCACCGAACCGATGCAGCTTATCCGTCGTCCTCTGCAGCTCCTCCATTACGGTCTTCAGTGTATAAGACTTCTGCTTCTCCTCCTTGAGCGCATCCGCAAACACACTCTTCAAGAACCCCTCCCTTGTGATCTTCGTTCCATGTATCCGGATATCAGCGATGTTGACCGGCAGCGTGGAATTGTCTTCGATCTGTTCCCGTCAGCGTCCTCTACGTCCCGCAACGTCGAAAGGTATGCATTGAAGCAATACCAGCCCGGCAAGGCGCCTCTGCGCCTTCTCGTACTGCGCACGGACTCGCTCCTGCACAGCCTTTTCGCGCTCCGAGACGACCTCGGGATCGGCGGACGCTTTGAGACGATCAAAGACCTGTGGTGTCGTGTGAGCATTGGTTAGTCTCGGTCTCAATCTCTTTGGGTGAGGGGTAGCGCAGGGCGGGGGGGCGGACATACATCGTCGTCGGGGGAGAGAGGTGACGCCATTGGGGGGGCTGCGGGATGGCTGCTGCTGCTGCTGTCGCGGGAATGTGCGATTACGTAGCGTGTGGCGGGCGGCCGAGGTGGTTAATTTCGGCCGGGGAGGGTCGGGAAGCGGGACTGAAGGGTTGTGGGCACAGTGGATTACCCGGAGAGTGGCAGAGTGGTCGCACGTGCTTCTGTCTGTTCCTTCACAGCAGGCAGCAGTTGCCGGCTGCCAGGCGAGTTCGGGCAACACGATTGGCGGAGACAAAATTGGATTCCGATTCGCTACGGCGAGCCTTGTTTCAGCTCGCATGGAAGCCATCGTTTAGTGGGGCGAAACTCAGTCACTGTGCAACAACGACTCGTCACGCGGTAAGATAGAAGCACACCCACTTATCTATGGCAAATTGTCGAGATCCATCAGTGACTACAGACAGACATACGAGACAGGCCCGACCAGGTTGGTTTGTAGCAGGCCACGAATGAGCACAGAAGCAGCTATCTTGCTGCGGTCATGCTCGCTGCCCCCCACAAACGTAAACGGTGAAAGCCCCGCAAAAAGAACCAACGTAAGAAACACACCCGAAACCGTACAGAAATACAAAGCGCAAAAGAAACCCGTGCCGCAAAAGTCGAACCGAGAGGGAAATTGAGGCAAAAGTAAGTCCAACGGAGAAAGAAAGAAAAGACGTTGTGGTCAGATTAAAGGACCGGCGGAATCCAACGATCGAATAAAACGTAAAGGAAACCCTCATTCCTCGGCGCGGTCTCGGTCAACCAACGATCCCCAGTTCTCCGATCCCTACTCGAATGCCCTGGCCAGCAACACGTAGCCCACCACCACCATCAGTCCGACCACGAGACGATGCCTCCTCAGCCATCCCTCGCCTCTAGCCACAACCGCAGCACCCGCAGCAGGCCCCCCACTCGCCAGGATGGCAGAAGCCGGTGGAGCCCGCCTCCTGACAACCGCTTGCTCCTTCGCCGCAGCCGCAACAGGGATACCGCCCGTTAGAACATCGATCTTGTTGGCATCGATCCACTTCCAGTTCTCAACGTCGATCTCCGGCCACTCGTTGCGAAATCTCTTGCCAGCATCCCCCAGCCCCACCTTCCTTCCCGGCATCACCGTTCCTGCATGGACGATAGTGCCATCCGAGCGTCGCACCGCACTTCCGCCGCCCGTAGAATTCCACCACCGGCTGTTCTGCGCGAGAACCTTACGTTCGCGTTCGCTCGCGCTGATACTGCCAGTGGTCATCTCCTCGCTGGTCATGAAGCTCAGCAGGCCGATCAGAATCGTCGACACCTCCCACGCAGGATTGAAGCTCTTGGGGTGGAAATCGGAGATCGACAGGCACAGCCGGGTCGAGGTCTGGAAGCGTCCGGACGGGGTAATCATGCGGATCGCGGGGGGCTTGAACGGGTAGTCGGGGGGGAAGACGAGGGTTCCCCAGAACTGGCCGCCTTCGTACGGGGTCGCGGGTGGTCCCTCGAGCAGGTAGTGCCATTCTAGGATGTTTGTTTCCGAGGGGTGCGCGCTGATGTACGGCGGAGGATTCGCGGCGATGGCTTTGTACTCGCGTTGTAGCTAAGAAGGACAGGTAGAGTAAGCATCGGAGCGCGAGGAAAGATGAGTTGAGGTTCAGATACGCACCCGTTTGTTAGCCGCGACGGTCGCCATTATGAGAATAGGTACGGGGGCAGGGGATGGAAGGTTGGGTGGCGAGGGAGAAAGGTAATGCAACTACAGCGCAGGCGAAGACAAGCGACGTGGAGTATGAGGTGTGAAGGAAAGAAAGGAAGAGAAGGGTAACAGGGATACAGCAGAAGGACAGAGAGCGAAGCTGTGCAATATGACACGAAGGAGGGTTATTAAGGTAACAGGAATCGGGCGCTGGATGAGACAGGAGGCGGAGCCGGCGGTTGGTCTTGAATTCGCAAGGTAGGCGGAGCAAGCTTCTACTCGAGCAGAGTAGCGGTCGCCTCAAGGAAGCCTAGTCAATGGTGCCCAGCGTGCCAAGACATCCGGGATGACGCTCAGCGAGTCACTCATCTTGGACACGTGACGTAATGCACGGAATCCCTTGATGGTTTTCTATGCAATCAACGATTTAACAAATAAAATAAATACAAACCTTGATGGTTTTCTAACGGAGTGGGAGTGTAATCGAGATAGTGAGCGTAAGGCTAATAGAGTCCGCATCGCCTCTCAACCAGCGAGTACTAGTAGAGACCCCCCATCCTCACGGCAAATGACTCGTGAATGAATCCGATCATATGTCATCACTCGATAGGCTGATTAGTACAAATTCCATTTTTGTGATGTGGATGGCTGATGATTCCCATGAACGATATCCAGTGTTTGATTCCATCGGGGTGGTCTTCCTTGGTGACCTACCATAGGTAGAAGATCGTGCTGTCCTCGCGTTAAATTCCTCACTACATGTTACTAACTCAACATTCGCGCAAGTCATCGTTACGGATCGACCCCACCTCGACAGCCGTGCCGGCTCCACGGCAGCACACCGAGAGTATAAAACGCAAGATGTACCGAGTTACTAATCAATGAATCCCCCTCCTTCCCCGAACCTCTCTCTTTCTTCCCCCGTCTGGGTGCACGGGCACAATGAGTCTCAATGAGGATTCAACCCGAGAGCTTGCTTTGCTGTTTCAAAACCACATACTTGACCACTTCTATACCTGGCTTTGACGTGACAGGTAGTAATGTCTTTCATAGAACTGTGGGCTACCTAGTTACGCGATAGAAGACTTTCCATCTTGCTGAAGATGGCAGTAGGCCGTCGAGTATCGCTCATAATCCACCGAAAGCAATGTTCTCCACGGCCGCCGGAGCCGACCCCAATATCATTGACAATTGACGATTCGGTGGAGGGCGTAGGCCATCCGCGACGTTGGGGCTCTCAAAGCTGGCCGAAGCTGGTTGAAATTGTGTTTTTCTCGCTCGCAAACTTCAGTTCCACCCAACTCGAAACCGCAAACTCTTGCGTGAAAACACCTGATCATGAGTGACAGCTAGTGTCAAGCTCGCGATGGAACTTACCGAGAATGACGTTGTCCCACCTCACCACACTACCTGCACCTACTCTAGCTACACACCTAGGAACGCGTCTCCATCACCACGACACCGCGCGGCGCGACTTCCACCCCCCACAGCTTGCGACACGATGGCGAACGACATCCACGTCCAAAACAAGCTCTCCGAGATCCTTGCCGCGCTGAATCCGTCTCTCGCACAGCACCCACCAGCGCAATCATACCAGCAGGCACAGCAGCAGCCACCACCCCAGGCTCCGCAGCAGCAGCAACAGCAGCAACCATTCCCTCCGCCGTCCGCAGCACCCACGCGCCCGCCCGACCCCCGCAGCATCACGACCCTCCCCGCGGCGCACCGCTACATAACCCAGCACCTACTATCGGACCCATCCGTGGGCGCCGCGCTGCGCTCACTGCGCGGCTGGCAGCACGCCAAAGAGCGCCACTACTTCAGCGAGCGCTCGGTGCTGCAGCGTCGACACGCGGAGCGCGCGGCGACCGAAGCGCGGCTGTCGGCGCTGATGGGGACGAAGGTGGCGGCGCCGGCGACCAGCGCCGAGCAGGAGCTGAAGGAGTTCGATCGCATGGTCTGGACGAAGACTAGGGAGATGGTTAGGCAGATGGAGAGGGAGATGGCGAAGCTGGGCGTGCCGCTGTTTTGTGAGGGCGTCGATTATGGCGATCCTGTGAGGCTCGCCGAGTGGAGGAGGAGAGTGGTCGAGTTGCTGGAGGACCTGTTTGAAGATGAAGTGCAGTAGGAGTGGGCGTCGGTGTACATGGGAGAATGGGAGATATGGAAGTTGGATGTTTTGACTTGGACGCTGTCCGAAAGGGAGTCTGTATGGCGTTCCTCTCTTTTGGCATGTGGGGGTTGCGGGCTGACCAAGTAACAGCCCGAGAATTGTGGAGACGAAATGCACGAGACACACAAGGTGACAGCTGAATCACCGGGCAAGAGAGTGGGTGGTAATGGATCACAACTGCACATTTGCACATCTGCACGTTTGTATCTGTAGAGCACTTACTGCTATAAACACGAGCAATTGATTCCGACAATCGAATGCACATAATACAAGTACAAGCCAGCACACGCAATTCCCAAATCCGCATTACTACACGGGATATCTACTCAAGCAAACGACTTTTGACACATGCTCACGCCCTATTAGCCCCACTCCCACCCGGTCCGGTGCGCTCCCTCTTCCTCTTCGCCTTCAGCCCTTCCTTACGCCTCCTCTTCCAATCGCGATTCCATTCCCCGCGTGACTCGTAAAAGCGCTTCTTCCATATCTCCACGGGGTCGGTAATCAACTTGGCCTCACCCTCCTCTTCTTTTGCTGGCTCCTCAACCGGCTTCAAAGCGGTAGGCTGTGGCAGCTGCTGCCACAGGCTCAGACCCTTCAGGAACCTGCTCTCCTCGTGTAGAAACAGCAGCGGGGCGTCGGAGATGACGTTGCTCGAAGATGTCGTGTGGGGGGTGGTGGGATAAAACTCGCCGCCGGAGTCATCGGAGATCGAAGCGGGAGAGAAGAAGCGCTTAGTACCGATGGCTGTGTCGGGAGTTGGCGCCGAGGAGCGGTAACGTCCCGGGTCGCGGTAGGGTGTCGAGACGGGCGCCACGTCGTCGTCCGAATCCTCGGCATCACCGCCGAACCCGAATTTGAAAGCGCTCACGTTGGCTCCGGAAGCTTCGGTTGGGTCTGCGTCCGAATCGAGGGCGGCGGGTTTGTAGAGGGCTTCGAGAGGGTGGATGGCGAGCGGCGGGAGAGAGGTATGTGACATGACCTGCTTTCCTTTGGCAGGAGTAGAGAGGACTTTGGCAGGTGCGGGTTCCTCGGCTTTCGATTCGGGTTCTGTTTTGGAAACGAAGGATTTGCTGTCGTCTTCGGCCATATCCTCGTCCTCTTCTTGCCCGTCATCCTCCGATTCGGAGGAAGAGTCTGCATCCGCGGCAGCCATCGTGTCCTGCTCTTCCTTCTCGTCCTCTTTCGCGGTTTCCGACGACTCTTCGACATTATCGGAAACGTCGGCGAACACCTCTTCAGAGCTAACAGACACATTGTCGTCGATATCCATGGCTTCGGCAATAGACTCGATATCCACGGCGATATCCTCGGTAAAATCCACGATACCAGGCGTTGCCGTCTCCTCCACCGCGGGCTCCGGGGCTTCCTCCTTCTTCTTCTCCTTCTTCTCCTCCTTCTTCTCTTTCTTCTGCTTCTTCTCCTTCTTCTTTGGCGGCAGCTCAACAATCTCCCCCTTTGCATCCACCCAGCCTACATCCTCCACAAACTCGGCAGCAAGCGACTCCTTACCCCTCGTCATATCGAGCTGGCTGATCTTCAAAAACTGCGGGAATTTTTCCAGATGATCAAACTCCTTCACCACCTTCTTCTTCTTCTTATCCTTTCCTTCCCTCTTCTCCGCCTTCTTCTCCTCCTTCTTCTCCTCCTTACTCAGCTCTTTTTTCTTCTCCTTCTTGACATCATTATCCGTCTTGTTCGGCGGAATAACAACCTTGAACAAGCACTCCCCTCGTTCCTTCCTCTTCTTCTTCTCCCCATCCTTGCCTCTATCAATCTTCTCCGCCCAGCCACGGACGACACTCCTATCGCCGATCTCAAACCCCTCCAGGACGCCCTCCTCACGGGCCCTCTTCCGTTTCTTCTGCCCCACCTTCCCGTTGTCCTCGGGCACCTCCTCAACCGTTCGTTTCTTCCACTCCTCAGCCCGCGCCTCCTGCACGCGGACCTTGACACCGCGGAATATGGCGCCGTGCAGCTTCTTTTTCAGCTTGTTCGCGGCATCGACGGGCAGGTCCACGAAGCCGTACGACGCCTCCGGGAACGTCGGCAGCGCGTGGAACGATATCGTCGACAGGTCTGTGCCGGCCGGCAGGATCGATGCGGCGGTCGCCGTGGTGAGCGGGGTTATGTGTAGGCGCACTGTGTCGCTGCCGGCGGCGGGCGCATTGGGTTCTGTTTCGCCCATTGCGAGAAATTGCTTTTGGTTGGTTGTGGATTGCGCGGGACGGCGGCGGTGGTGGTGCTGCTGGTGCTGCTGGTGCTGCTGGTGGTGGGGGATGCTGCGTACCCTGCGTGGTTGAAAGAAAGTTTGGAAAGAGATGTTGCGCCCGGTAGTGCGTGGTCCGTGCGCTTTATCGCACTGGGCCGGGCCCTGCAGAAATGCGCTGAGGCTGTGGGCACTGGGGCTTGGTTACCCGCGCGCCTGGGCATATTACAGGACTATGGGCCTATATGGATCGAAGCATGAAGCGGCATTGATGAGTTCACGGACGATGTAATAATAATGGGTTGTCTATTATCGCCTTGTACAAGTATGTCTATCTTCATCGATCCCTATCTCAAGTGACTGTCCATCACTATCCTCAAGTGTCCATCCATCAAAGCCAATTACCATAAAATCTGTGTATCATACCTCAACTCCCGCAAAAAAAATGAAGAGAAAAAAAACAATCAAGGGAATCAAGCCCATCCGCTTCGTACATGAGTAAAAGCAGTCTACCGCTCCCCAGCGCGAACTCCCTCCCTTCCCAACCACCTCCTGGCGCCCTCCAAATCGCCATTAGCAGCCTCGACGGCGCGACAGCAGAACTGCAGGGCATATCCGCCCTTCCCGTCCTCGGCATCGGCCACACTCTGAATCTCCAGAACCTCGGCCATATCCCTCCTCCTTGCTGTCATCTCATCAACGCAAAGCGGAACCTCCGCGCACGCAAGCCGCGCTTTGATGAGCGGCATGGCCTCTTTGGCGCCGAGCTTTTCCTCCGCCACGCCCACATTGCTGCGGCCGCTCTTACACAGCGTGCTGCGGCACCAGCTCTTTCCGCAGCCGGCAAGAAACTGCCGGAGGAGCTTCCGCTCCACGCGGTTCTGCAGCGCGGAGCCGGTCGGATCGTGGTTGGGCGAGTACAGCGGCCCGAAGCAGACGTCGCAGAGGCGCAGCGCATTCTGGGAAGAGGCGGGGGAGCGGTAGCATTGCACGTTTGCGCAGATCGTGGGTAGCGGACGCGACAGCCGCTGCATGGTGTGGTCCCTCAGGTGCACGGACATGTCGCGGAGGCGTGTGCGTCGGCTGCAAATGTTGCACTCGGTGGTTCGCGCTCCGCACTGCAGCTCGTGGTGCGAGAGGCCGGTCAGGATTTGTTCGGCCGAGGGGTAGTCGCTGCCTTCCTGCGAGACGAGAAGGTGGCAGAAGCCGCAGAGGATTAGTTTATCCGGGCAGATGCTGGTGCGGTGCGATGCGAGGTCGTAGAGGGAGGTGGCGACGTAGGGACAGCTAGAACAGGAGTGGGGGGTGTGCGTTGTCAGGGTATGTTTGAGGCGCGAGGACGGGTGGTTGCCGTGGGCGCTACAGTCCGGGCAGTGCCAGTGTGCTTCTTCGGTACCTCGCTTGAAGACCGAGTTACACAGCGGGCAGTGGACGTTGTTGCGCAGGCAAAAGGATTCGTGGAGGAAGAATGTGCGCGAGGGAATCCACTGCGTGCAGTTTTTGCATTGCTTGTGATCGGGCGAGGGGGCTACCGGAGAAGCGCCGGCGGTGTTGGCAGATGGATTAGATATCTCAGCCTGAGTGACGAAGAGGGTGTAACGCCGAGGTGTTGCGGTTTCCGACGTTTCGACTTCGTCTTCGTAGGGATTCTTCCACCCTCTGATCCCAATGTGAAGCGTCTTCGCCCCTTCCAACTCAGCATCGCCTGGCATGAGGTGTATCCGCTTCGGGAAAGTCGTGCCCATATCTCCCCAGACGTATTTCTCGAACCGTGGCCTGTGGTGCTGGCGATCCGTCGTGACGAAAACATCCACATCCTCTCCCTCGACCAAGCCGTCGCCCTCCAGCTCTATTTCCAGCGGCCTAGTGCGATCCCAATCCTCCAGCTCGTAATAGTGTTCGTCTCCCGCCTCCATCTCGCCCCCAACCGTCTGCTCCAGCTTGACCTTCCCGCCGGAACTCTGCTTCTGCAGCCTCCGCTTCAGCGTCTCCCTAGCCTGCTCTTCATCCAGCGGCTCGATATCGACCTCCAGATCAGTATCGACCACACACACGGCCCCACCCGGCAGCGCCTGATCCACCAGAAACCTCCAGTTGCCCCTCTTGCCCACGCCCCTCGGGACCTCAAGCACCATTCCCTCCGCCACCGTCGCAAACCGTTCACGGATGTATCTCTCCAGAATCGGCTTCCAATCCTCATCGTCGTAGCCCGCCTCGAGCGGCCTGAGTCTCACCCTCGTGCCCTTTGGCAAACTCGCCGCCTCGACATCAACTTCGGCCTTCTCATCCTCCGGCAGCCCCAGAGCCCCGCGCAAAAACGCCGAGGCAACAACCTCGCCCTCCTCCGCCGAGAACTCGCGCGGGACGGCGTACACGCTCACCCCCGTTGGCCGGTACAGGAGCTTCACGATCATCGGGTGTGGCAGAAACGCATCTCTGCGGGCCTGCGGCCGAACCCACGGGTCGTGTGGGTTCTCGGGCGCGGCGGGGGCCTGCTCCGCCGCAAGGATCAGCTGCTCCAAAGCCGACTGCGGCAGGAGAATCTTATCGCCAGCGAGGGACGCGGGAGTGTTCGCCGGAGCGGAGACGGTGAGGCGGACGGACCAGGGAAGTGCCGGGGGACCGGAAACGTGCGTCGAGGAGTCCATCTCTGCGGGATCGAGTGTGGATGAATGTCGACTCGCGAAGGTGGGTTCGATGGTGGTTATGTCGATTCACGAGGAGGTGGGAAATATGCAACGGGAGAGAGAGACTACTTGGGTAATATGCGTTGGATCTGCCCCGCTGACGAATGCGGCTCTGCTCTGCCGTCGGTCGGTGGAAGCCTCTGGAATCCACGCGACACCCTCCCGGTCGATAGGGTTTGTCAACCGAATACGAATTCGACTGCGGGCTAGGGTGAATCCCTACAGCCGAGTTTCTCACGTGGGTAATTGCCGTGTTCGTGTCGGCCGATATCGGCTCGGCAGTCTGCCGTGAACTATCCTTCGGGATATTCATACAGCATCACTCGTGACTGGGCCGACTAGCCGTATGTAAAGGGTGTGTGGACTTGGAAAAACACCAGAAGGTATCGTCAGGCTCAATGGAAATCGGTAAGGTAAAATACCGGAGTTGAAATCCTGTGGGCCAGTGTGCACCCGAAACAATAGTTCGTACCGAAGAGTTGAATGACGAATCCAAGACACAACTCACAGATTCTCGGAACAGAAAATTTCAGTCCAGGACGCACTCCTGCCTGACAGATCTTGGAACCAGCCAACACCTTGTATAAAAGGCTGGCACTATCTGCCAAGATTCGGTTTGGAGATATTATCTAGCCAGTGGCCAGTGGCCAGTGTTTGACGATGCTATGTAATTGACATGGTCGACTGGGATGTACGAGTGACGTAACATGATTCCGGACTTGACGACCCCCGGTTTTCACCTCTCTGGCTCAACATGTAGAGTACACACCTCCACATTTGACATTGTCCATCCGCTCTTGCCCTTCGAGTTTTGAGATGGATATCTACGATAGGGGACCATGGGGAGTGGGATGTAAAGTAGAGTACACAGCCGCAGTCCGCCCCCCCAGTCCACGAAATCCATGGACTGGACGGACTACTTTTACGCAGCACGGACTGGACGGACTGCAGTCCGGACCGGACTATGTCGAACAGTGAACACTGCGTCACCGTGAGTGGCACTGTCTTTGTCGCGAATAATACACCCTCATTGCTGTTTGAGTCCTGAGTCCTGACAGCCCCTTTATGGCGGCGTGAAGGAGGAGCTGTCAGCGAGAGGAAGTGCGTGAATTCCTGTCGACCCCACCGCCGAGCTGGAGGGGTGTTGGTAAAGGAGCCGTCTGCAAATCCGTTGTGCTGCTGCATCTAGGTACCAACCCCCATGACACTCCAAAAGATCGCATTGTATGAATACGGATCCCCTAAGGTGCTGGTGAGCACCGATTTCTGCAACCACGAAAGTCTTTCAGTGGTCATACCTTACGCAGCCATCCGGTCGAACATCACGTAGTACCACCGAAGCTGACCAAATATGCAGTCGTGTTTATAGGACGAACCTGAAACTACACGCTTGATATAATTACGCAGTGCATTGCAACACTGCAGAACTCTCGTTGCCTGTATATGACGTATTACTTTTCGACACGTGATGTGAAAAAGGTACCTACTGAACAAAATTCTGATGGTTCTTCCACCGCTGTATATTCTTCCCGTATCAATCGCCCCACTTTTTGCTACTGAGGCGAAAACAACCGACCGAGCACCTCGCCAAGCCCCGGCTGTACCGGAGCAAGCATCACCCCACCAAAGAAAGTCCACCAACCGAGCCGACAACGTAGTACGACATCATCGATTTTTCCCCCCACCACCAGCCCAGCATCCCAACCCACTCCCCAGCTCCTCCCTCCTCCCTCTTCTCCCCAGCAACCAACAACACAATGCCCCGCACAGTAGCCGACGCCACGCGCTTCACCGCGACAGGCCCGCACGCCTTCTCACAGTCCCACGCCTCCTCCCCAGCGGAAACACCACAGCAGCGAGTCGCCCGCCTGCGCGATGCCGCGCGCCGCGCCAAGGAGCACCGCGTCGCCGGGACAATGTTCGAGCGCATTCTGGACCGCGGCCGCGCCGTCGCCGACAAGGCGCACCGCGTGGTCGCTGTCGGACTCATTGGCGGCACGGTCCTCGCGGGCGCCGTCACCGTCTATGCCATGACCGATATGATGATCTTTAATCGCAGGCGGAGGGCGGAGTTGGGGCTCGCGAAGGTGCGTTGATAGAGGAGGGGGGGGGGGAGGCGCGGCTAACGGAGAACAACTAGGGAACGCCCGTGCCCGCTGCTACGCCGGCTGCGCCGCCCGTCGAGCACCACCAGCCGCCCACGGAAAAGGCGGAGGCAGCTGCGGCGGAGGCTGCGGCATCGATCGGCCCCGTCGTCGGCCCGTGGACGAAGTTCAAGTCCTGGGCGCTGTCGGGGATGACGCCGGCGGACCAGGAGTACAAGACTGCGTTTGAGCGGCAGCGCGACGAGGAGCGGAAGCAGGCTGAGGCTGTTGTGGCGCCGATCGTGGTGGAGCTCACGCGAGAGGGCAGGGATGCAGGCGAGAGGATCGATAGGCTTGGTGCTGATGATTTGGTTAAGGGGGAGAAGCCGGCTGGCGGGAGTGTCGGCGTGCTTAGTAGTGTTACTGGGTGGTGGAGTGGGAGGTAGATAGATTGAGCATCGGCAACAAGTGGAGGGGAGGAAGAGAAGCGGGAGTGGAGGATGGAGAGGATCAATGTGGAAAAGTAACTGGTTGCGGTTGTATATATATTTCTTTTTCCTTGACTCAACTAGATGTTATTGATATGATGTGACTGCAGTCCGTCCTGCCCTCGATTCTTTTTGGACTGCATACATAGTCCGTCCAAACACCGCTCCCGGACGGACTGCCCAGATACGGCCCAGTCCAGTCCAGTCGACGGACTGGACTATGTATGTCGAACACTGGTATGTAGAAATCGGAGTACTGTGTTGGGTTATCCCTCGAGCGGCCACCGAACCGTGGCGGATAGTCTCCTACTACTAGTGTACTACAGCTCCTTACCTTGCTCGACCCGCCATGGATAGTGTTTCCTGCTATTACCGGTATTCATACTATTCTACTGCTCGTAAGTTGTCACCCTCCTGGATACGCCCAGGACATTCATACCTAGCTCGCGACACTCGGACGACACACTTATCACGTATTCATTACCGGGCTCTCTCACGCCCACTCTACAGCCTACAGGATCGGAGAAGTCTTCGTCTCTGCGTGGAATTGACCGCGTATATAGTATACGATGGATCTCACCAACAACACCAACAACACCAACAACACCGACGAAGTCACGAAGTTACGAAGAAGCATCATAGGACCAGAACTGAATTATTCAAACTACCCCCTCCCACCCTCATCCCCCCATTCCCTCCATCCCCCCTACTCCTCCTTCCCCTTCGCCCCATACAGCGGCTCCTTGACATTACTCTGCAGCCCCTGCACAGCCTCGCCACTCCCCCCCTCCTGGCCTCCCTGGCCTCCCGCTCCGGGCGTGCCCTTCTGCTGTCCCTTCTGTGCCGGCGCGCTGTGCTTGGAATCGCTGCCGCCCGAGGACTGCGAGCCGATCTGTTTGTCGTCTTGCGCCCCCGGGGATTGGCGGCCTTGAGAGGCGGATTGGGGGTTGGTTGACATTGTGGTTGGTTTGGTTTGTGGGGGGCGGCGGTGGTTGTGGGGGGCGGCGGTGGTGGTGGTGGTGGTTCGTGGTTTGTTCTGTGTACGGAAGGTTTATGTATGCGTGTGTGCGAAATTGACAGAGTGGCAGAAGGAGTGAGCGGAGGGAGGAAGGAGCACGGTATTTGACCTCCCTCTCGTCGGCGATGGTACGCGGTGATGGGATGCGGTGATGTCACCACGTCCTGACGTCACACTATACCGGGTACTTCTAGCGTAGTCAATCGCGATCTACATACAGTGGTCACGGTCAGCGAAAGCAAGGCACTTACTCTCTACATACCACCTCGAAGAGGAGCGTATGTAAACACGGCCATGCTTTGCAGAACAATGTTTGTACCATCTTGGCCAGCCAGCGTGAGAACTTGATCCCTCAATTGGCGATCATCCTCGGTTTAGCTGCTTCTGATAACCTGCAAACCGCACGCCAGCATCTCGTGAACTCAAACCTCCGTGGACATCACCGCCATCCATCCGCCGTCTGCCGCTCCTCGGCCGCCCGCCTCAAACCGGCAACTCTGGACAACTCTGGATAAATGCAATGGGAGATTACGAGTGACGTCGCATGAGCGAGACTAAGTACCTACATTGTCATCCCCCACAGTCCACTATCATCGCACATCGCACATCGCACATCGCACATCGCACATCTCATCGTTCCTTCCGTTATCGTATATGAATCCCTCCCCCCCTCCGACACGCTGGTAACACGAAAAATGGTATATGCCACACACAAAAAAAAAAAAAGAAACGAAAAATCAAGAAAAAAATGAGAGCAGAGAAGAACAACGAGACAACCTCCCGTAAAAGTTGCAATTGTAGACGGGCCAGCCATTGGTGTAAGTAAACAGTAAAACGAACAATCAATCCGGCTAATCAAGAAAGAGAACGAGAATCACCGCGCCTCCTCGCTAGCACCGACTCTTCCCACCTCAACCACGGCTCCCTTTCCAATGCCTTCGGCACCCTCAGATTCCTCCCTCTCCCCGAGCACAGGAATCCCACGGCCAACGACGCCCGCATCCTCAACGTGTTCTACAGCACTACTGCTGGACGAGCCCGCACCGCGGTCGACACTCTTCCCCTTACCGTCAGCGGGCGCACTCGCCTGCTGCTCCTCCCTCTTCTTTTTCGCCTCGGCCTCCGCCTCGCGGCGTTTCCGATCCTCTTCCTCGGCCAGACTCAGCCGTATAGCCTCCATCAGCATCATTTCCTCTAGGTCCACGATGCGGCTCCGACGCTCGTTGCGACTACCAGCATTGGAGACCGCGAGCATGCCGGCACTGTTGGGTGAGCCGCGCGGGGTGATGAAGCCTAGGCTTGCGAGACGCTCTTCCATGCTCTGGTCCCTCTCCCGTTGCTCGCGTTCGCGATCACGCTCTTGCGTTGTCGACGATGACATTCCGAGTGCTAGTAGACTCCCGGGACGTGTCGAAGTCTCATCGCGTGGAGTTCCCGAGCCGCTACGGTTGGGTGATGGACTCTCGCTACCACCGCGGTTATCACTACCATACGAGCCCTCCCGTACCGCTCGACGTATTAACCGCCGCCCATAGCCACCGGGTGCCGCTGGTCCGCTGGAGCCACCAGCACCACCGGCACCAGTGCGACTGCTATTCTCATTGTTGCCCAGAAGGAATGCGGCAGTGTGCAATGCGGTCGCGGCGGCAGCGCGTCTGGCGGCATGTGCCCTGGCAGCCTGCAGCTTGATATTCCAGTCGGGGCGGATATCATCGCTAGTTACCACGCCCGGGTCGCCAAGAGGCAGCATGGTTCTGCGTTTCCAAGATGGTGATAGCGGCGGCGATGCAGGCTGCGATCCAGCGGGATTCGACGATGCGCCGAGAGAAGCCGTCGACGAGTTACCACCGATCGAGAACGGGGATGGAATGTTCGTCGACGATCCCGGCTGCGAGACGTACGTAATGCCGCGGCGCCAAGCAGGCGGTGAGTACGTCACGCCAAAATCCGATTGCTTGCAGAACGGACATGTGGCCGGCTCCGACACTAGCTGTTCCGACGTGGAGCTGGGTTCGGGCCGCTCCTCTCCTGGCGTGTCGTGATTCTCGGGAATGTGTGGGTCCGCTCGCTTGATCTGGACGAAGCATTCAGAGCAGATGTCCTGGTCGCAGCAGCGTGTCCTGTTCAGAAACGGTGGGTAGTACATGAAGCAGATGGGACATTCCACGGCGTTTTTGTAGAGTACTGCTTCGATACACCGACCATCGACGAAGCGCGAGGGATTGTTGGTTTCCGGCGGTCCGGCAGTGTTGGCTAGGGTTGGGTTCTTGGGCGACGATATAGACAATGTCTTCGCGCGTGATCTGGACGTCGAGAAGCCAAACGATGGCGTCGAAGAGTTGGACCGGTTCGAGCCTTCGGAGGTGTAAGACTGGGCGCGCGAGCGCGAAGCGATGGGGACGGTCAAATTGTCGGAAGAACCCACAGTTCGACTCATCACCTTTGTAGACCTCTGCTCCTCCCGCTCGTCGACCTCCTCCTTCGGGGATTCCGCATCCGGGCCGGGAATCGGTAGTTCGTGGAAGGCGGCGTAGAGCTGTGCATCGGTCCAATCGTCCTCGTGGTCGCGGAGTCCTTTGAAGAACGGGGCCAATCGACGTTCAATCTGGCGTCACCATCCCGCGCCCGCCTCGGGTCAGCCTCTCCGAACCGACCCACACGATACGCAAGTAAGCGTCCTGCGAACTCACCATCAAATGCCGAACAACTTTATCTTTGAAGTCCTCCGTACCGGTGTAGACTCCATGTGTAACCAAGAAACCGCCTGCACGCCACACCCGCACACACGAATGAGCCTCTCGCGCATCTTTTCCCGAACCGAGCAACAGAGAGAGAAGAGCACATACCATCCAGACTCTCTTCCTTCCGACTCCTCTCGCGCTCCTTCTGTCTCTCGACCTCGCGCTCCTTCTTCCGCAGCTCACGCGCCGCCTTCTCGGCCTCTCTGTCGCGCTCGCGCACATCTCTACTGCTCCCAAGCCCGCCGAACAGCGAATTCTCAAGGTTGTGCCGTGACCGCGACGATCGCGACGTATATCCCTCGCCCCCGGTTCCGCCGCCCAGCGTGGCTAGCCGGCCGAGATGTGACGACGAGCCCTCGCCGTTGTTGTTGCTGCGGTTCGGCCGCCGAGACGGGTGCTGGTCGTTCGGCGAGGCGGCGCGTTCCTTAGTCGATGCGTTGCCCATCGCGTCGGGGGAGGAGGAGGTTCAGTCTGCTTCTGCTTCTGCTTCTTCTTCTTCTTCTTCCTCGTCTATTTCGGAGGTGCTGCGCGGGGCAGGCAATTGTGTGATTATCGATGGGGATGTGGTGGTAGTGGTGGTGTAAGGTGGTAGGTGTAGTGGTGGCGAGGGGGCGGTGGGTAATAAAGCCGGATAAGTAAGGTATAACTGGGGGGGTAGGTAGGGTTGTGGGGGGTTATTGCAAGTGTGGTGGTGGTGATGTTGGTGGAGGTGGTTGAGGTGGTGGGTGGAGGAGGAGGTTAGTGTGGTACGGGAGTGAGTGAGGTGAGTTGGTGTGGATACTTCGCAAAGAGGGGAGATGGGTGATGGATGTTGTTGTTATGATGGTGGGCTGGGATGGGGGGTGGTGGGTGGGGGGGAGGATGTGTCGTTGTCACAAGCAAAGCAAAGGCTGGCGGAGGGCGACAAGCAACAGCAACAGCAACGACGAACTGCTCTCGGCTTAGGAGCTGGCACCGCGGGAGGAAACGAGACGATCGGGATAACCTAAGGAAGTGTCCAAAGGGCGAAACAAAAGCAAAAAGAGAGAAATGCTTTTAGGGCGGTTTGCGTGAGGAAAAAGGAAGCGACGCCGAACTAAAAAACCAAAAAAAACACAGACTAAAAAGAAAAGAATGAAAAAGCCGATAAATCAAAGCCAAAATTCAAGATCTAAACGCAGGACCGTGCGAGTTTCTCTGTTCCGCTGCTTGCCCGAGGAAGCAGGAGACACACGAGCGGAGCGGAGAGAGTGTGACGTAGCTATGCGATCTCCACCTGTCGAAAAACTATGGGATCCTCCGTCCTAACTCCTGACTCCTCAGGCTTTGTCTCCGGATGTGGTACTCTATCCTGATGATCCATCACGTTCAGTCCTCGGGATTACCTACGTCGCGATCGCGGATACACGGAATCCGCGCAGTTCACAATCACGAGCAACTTCAGCTGCAGCGAGTTTTCGGTTTCGGTTTCGGTTTATCCGGCAACAGACAGACAGGCAGACAGACAGACAGACAGACAGACAGAGGATCTTGAGTCTTGACCTCGCCATTTCCAAACTGAACTGCAATCCCATGATACGTGCATGCATCCTCTACATACGAGCATATGGATCTCCCCTAGATCCTAGAGGGAAAGGAAACCCCGCTCCGCTCCGCAATCGATATCGGTATCACGACGTTTTGCCGCATCTAGAAACGTCACCGTAGAGTATCTAGACCGGTGGTGGTGGTGGCGCCAAGGTCAGGCACACCTTGCCTTTTCACCACAAGCTGACCAACTGCTCTGGAGTAGACTGCCCCGCGCGCCGATGCGAACTTTACGGAGCAAGCGAACGAGCGAGTGAGCGATCGAGACGGGAGATGATTACGAGATACGCTCTATACACACCTTCATGCTTGGCCGCTGCACGATAGTGGGCCAGGAAGCGAATCGAATTCGCCACGTTCGTCTGGCGTGTATGTACCGGTATGTACCGGTACATATCGCTCGCTTTTATGCAGAGTACCTACGCTCCTTCACCAACCAACCAATCAACCAAGCAAGCGTGATGCGTGCAAGGGAATCAATCAACCCATCGGTCCTACATACAACCACAATCACAACCTCAACCACAATCTACCCGTCGGATAAGCGTACCTACCTCCTACGGTCGCGTGAGTATGCAGGAAAATGAACCCTCGTGAATACCTGCCCTACCCTACCTACCTACAACACTATAAACGTTAAGCAGGTTTCCGATCGATCCCGTATGGGTTGCGACCTGATAGCTTATGGTTGAAGCTCCGTGATAGGATAGGTATTGGACCGTGTGGGCACGTGGTTCCAGAGAAATTGTATGTAGCGAAATCTGGCTAGGTAGTGATCCGGATGCCGCCTGCGTCCATCCATCCGTTCACTCGTGAGGGGTGTGTACGGTATCGCGGGCTTCATCACTTCACCTCGTACTGCTCCTAGTGTGTTCACGATGCTCCCACGTTATATACGGCAGGTATTGGAATCGGTAGGTATGCCATCCCACTGTCGATTCCTCGGCCGACCAGTACGGAAACAGCCTCCAGATGCTCTGCCGTGTCTCCTAACGTTTTGAAGAATTCGGTCATGTCCTAGGTAGACATTATGGTACCTATTCCAGTCGCGATTCCGAGGACCCGGGCTCAGTGACTCAAAAACATGCATCACTCAAGAACCGGACTCCTCGCCGTCCGTCCGTCCGGTCTGCATTACGGTACCTGGGTGGGTAGGACTGTCCCGTCCCCGTCCCCGTCCTGGGCTTCGGACCCGCAGCTGCGGGAGGCATAGGTATAATCAAGTAGACGTTTCTGCAAACAAATCATATACCTACCTAGTACGTATGGCACATGAGGAGAAGAGGAATAGATACATCCGAGTGAATAAAGATGGTGGCAAGTACCTAGCTGCGGCATTCCACCAACATACGGTGACTGACGGACTCGCTCGCTCGATGAGTAGGAGTCACCGACGATGTAACAAACGATATCTTGGCATGCAGAGCCGTTTGCAGTCCGCAGTCCGCAATCGTGCGGTATGTAGGGGGGAGGGGAACTCGGTGAGTATCGCGCGAATGCTCTATAGTTGGTACCTAGGCAATCCATCCATCTTCGTCCGCCGTGATGTTTCTTTCTTTCTTTTGGTAGACCATTTCTTCTTTTCTTTCCCTTGCCGGAGCTTGAGGAGCTCACCGGGCCTTGATGGCGATAAGGATCCTGGAGCCGGATAAGGAGCACGGATGGCTCGAAGTCCCCACGCGTAGATAAGTTAAGGCTGAGCGAGCTAAAGGAGCTTTGGACACTGCTGTGGAGAATGCCCAGAGCATCGACGATGAGCTCGACGATGAGCTCGACTGATGGATACGGGCTGCTCCCTTGTGACCCCAATCATCCATCCAACCTGCCTGCCGAACCAGCAAACGAAGCTGGCAAACCAACCAACCCCGAGCTGGCATGTAGGTAAGTGACCTATGATAGGTATCCGGGTTCTCTGTTTCACATTGCAGTGGTAAGCAGCACCCATCTGACGTGATCTCGGTACCGGAGTCGAGCAGCGCCTAGCTAAGCGTCAGTCATCTGTATGTAGACTGTGCCCCGGGCCGGGGTTCTTCTCGGACTGTCGGACATCTCGAGCGGCATCACCGACACCACCACCACCACCACCACCACCACCACCACCACCAGCTCAAAAGCCAACATCCGGTCTGAACGAGAAAACTGCACACTCACTCTAGCAAATGGGCATCTGGAGAGGAGGGGGGAGTGGGGTTTCAGCCCTGCCCTTCCTTAATCAACCACTTGATTGGTCCGTGGACACTGGAAGGCGGGAGAACGTTTGACTGACTGCAGGGGGGTGGGGCGTGTGACAGGCGAGAGGCTGTCGCCTACTTTCTTTTCTTTTTTCTTCTTGTTTCTGACGAGACGAGACGAGACGAGCAGCGAGCGAACGCCCGAACGATACTCTAGGTTCTCCGGTTGATGGCAAAGCGGGGTGGGCGTGGAATCGGGCTGGCAGACGTGAATGAGCATCGCAGGAGCTTGCAGGGAGAGAGAGAGAACACCACTTTACTGACAGTAGAGAGGACGGAGTGATCGGCCGTGACGGAATGGAATGCAGCATGCAACGATGAGTCGCGCGCGTCGTGTGCGTGTCTCTGTCTCTTCTTCTTCCTCTTCTTCTTCTGGTGATATTTATGCCATTAACTCTTATTTATTTTGGTATTTCGTGTGATTGCTTCACTGACTCTTCCGCCGCTCTTCTCGCTCACCTCTCTTCCCGCCTTTGTTGGCCTCCTCCGTGTCTTGCAGCAGCCATCACCACTCAGTGCCCACCCGTGCCCCCACCACCCCCCCTCCATCGCTGTCATCACCGCCACCTCTCCCATTCAGATATTCTTCACCCAAATCGTTTCCCTCACGTTTCACCGCCCGCCCCACCCTCGCCCTCGCCCGTGCCGATCTTGACGCGTATACTGTCTCACGAGACCGACCCGCCGGCCCGCCTGACGTTGACTCGCCACCAGCTGCACGTTCCTAGAGTGGACATAAACGGCCGCCTCCCCCCGCCCCCGCCGTCGCGTAAATTAGAGTTTTTGCGGCTCCGAACTCTCCAACCCACCAAAACTCCTCTTCTCCTCGCACTAAGCTTGCCGTCCCGTTCGAGTGAGTTGTTCGACAGTTGTTGTCTGCGAGCCCGCCCTTCTCTCTCCATCACTCCATCACTCCATCACTCTCTCGCGACCACCCCCACGACCACGACCGCCGCCGCCGTCAGAACACATCACTCAATCGCTCGCTCCCTCCAACAGCCTCGTTTCTTGCTCCCGCTCTCGCTCAAACACAGTCGAAACGAAAAACGAAAAACGAAAGAAAACCGCCCGCCATGAGTAAAGTCCACACCTCCCTTGCTAAAGCTACACCACCCGCTACACCTCCACTACACCTACAATCAAAATCAACATCACTCCCTTCCAACTTCTCTACTTCTACCACCCCCACCACCACTACTACTACTGCCATCCCACCACCACCACCTCCGCCCCCACTACAACAACCACCATCACCTCCACCACCACCACCTCCGCCAGCTTCTTCGTTACCTCCCCGTCCTCCCCCTACGCAAGCTGTCCCCCGTAAATCCTCACCCACCTCGATAGCACCCATCATTCCAGCTTTGCCAATGGCTCTCGTTGCTCAACGCGGCTCCAAGAAGTCTTACCCGCCGCCTGGCATCGGTCGTGGTCATTCGAGTCTCCCGCCGAAGCCTGGTTTCGTCAGCAAGCCGCTGCCGCGGGACACCGAGGCCATCGTCCTGACTTCGGGCGGTGACAGCTTGTCGTTTGCTGCTCCCCCCAAGGGCAAGCGAACTTACTCGTCTGTCGCTTCCGAAACGACCATGCGTCCGATGGATCCTGCCGTTACCAATTTGACTCCCCAGAACATCGTCAGCCCATCTGCCCCAGCTCCCAGCCATCATACAGCTCCCGTTCATACTGCTGTTCCTACTGCCCCCCAACCTCGTTCGTTGACACCACCTGCCGAACCCACCGTCAAGAAGATTATGGCTGGTAAGGAGCTGCAGGATTTGGGCAACCTCTCAGTCGTTGGATTTACTCCGACGCCTCC